ACCCCAACCCCAACCCCAACCCCAACCCCAACCCCAACCCCAACCCCAACCCCAACCCCAACCCCAACCCCAACCCCAACCCCAACCCCAACCCCAACCCCAACCCCAACCCCAACCCCAACCCCAACCCCAACCCCAACCCCAACCCCAACCCCAACCCCAACCCCCAACCCCAACCCCAACCCCAACCCCAACCCCAACCCCAACCCCAACCCCAACCCCAACCCCAACCCCAACCCCAACCCCAACCCCAACCCCAACCCCAACCCCAACCCCAACCCCAACCCCAACCCCAACCCCAACCCCAACCCCAACCCCCAACCCCAACCCCAACCCCAACCCCAACCCCAACCCCAACCCCAACCCCAACCCCAACCCCAACCCCAACCCCAACCCCAACCCCAACCCCAACCCCAACCCCTTTTTTTCTTTGACAATTAAAATAGCAAAATTCATAAAAAGTTTTTAATATAAAACATCATTTTTTTAAACAAACAAAAAATTCAATAAAGCCTTATTTAAAAGCAGAAAGAAGTGTTGAATTATTAGTTTTACAAATATTTTTTTTAATCACTAAAATAATTTTATTGGTTGAAACTTAAAATAATATAAATTCTAAAAATGAAAAATTAATTCATAAATAATTTAAAATTATAATTGCTTTAAAAACATAAATAGATTTTTTTTAAAAATAAAATTAATAAAACAATAAAATTTTTATTAAAATAAAATAAGTTGTTTTATTTAAACATAAATACAGAATAATTTAAATCAAATTATTTATTTATTCATTTATTTGATAATTTATTCAAGTATTATTTTAATACTAAATTTTTTTCAAAGTAAATTATTTATTAAAATTTTTGTTCCTCTCCTTTCCCAGTAATCTTGTGGTTTTTTAGAATAAATATATAAATAATATTAAGTAGGGAATTGGCAAAAGAGAGTATCTGTGTTAGGATTGATTATTGGAATTCTTACAGCATAGTTAATTTGAGTACTTCCTTAATCTGTTAATTCGATATCAAGAGGTTTTTTATTTGAAGATAGTATTTTCATTTGAGATTATTGATTTGATTAGTTTCTTGAATGATTTACATTGAGCAATCCAGAGTTTGCATGCATTGAAGGAGTATTTGCATATGTTTGAGAGAATCTGAATTGATCAGTACCTTCTCTTTCTTTTTACTGGTGAATCGGATCATTATAATCATACAATTTAGGAGGATATAGTAACTAATTGTAGAATTCACTTTCCATATCATGTTGATTGTATGAAGAATTCATTTTAAGATCATATAATTCTACTGCAATTATAGGATCGTAATATTTTTCAAATACATAAGCTTTTAGTTTCTAAGGCTTAGAAGTTACTATTAGCTTCATTTATTAAAGTGACTACTCAAATTCTCTTGGATTGTCGTCTTCTAAAAAGAAATTTTCTTTATTTATTTTACCATTTCTTACTGTTAACCCACTTATATTAACTTAATCTTCAACATGTTATGTTTCCTCAGCCATAGTAGTTATCTTAGTAAGTACAATCTTAATTCCGAGAATATTTTGCTATTATATTAAAAATATTTACATTACATTTCATTTACTTTATTTTTTTTAAATTTTACCCTTTCTTTAACAGCGTATTTGAGGACCATAGATTGGATATATCCTAGAGGGTCAAATAATTTTGAAAGAGAAATTACAGGTGTGAGCTGACACTAGTTATTTTTAAATATAGTATGAATATACTCTAACTTGCAGAGTAGAAGCTTAATAAAGTTAATAAGAGAGATGTTTTAGTTTTCTTCTGTTAAGAAACCCACTTTCCACCAAGCATAAGGTATTTTATTTTGCTGTAATGACTTGATGACATCTAGTAAGCCTTCACTTGATTAGCCGTCATTCTAAATATAAAATATTAGTTTATAATTAAATTATTTAATTAATTACTTTCAATTTGATGTATTCTTTAATTCGGAGTAGATCATATCTAATTACGTACACTAGTCTTGAGGCTATTAAAAATTCGTTGCTAAACAAAAGTTTCTCTGGTACTTTGGTTTTTGTTATCAATTAGACATCTTTTTTTCCAAAAATAGGTTTTTCTTGGAATTGAATTAATTCTGGGTGCTTTTATACCTCAGTTTCTTCTTGGAACTCTTCCTAAGCTGTGGTATCTTTCTCAAAACTATCTGTTTAAACAAATAAAAAAAATGGTTAATTCATAATTCTTAAATCAGTTTTTACTAGATATATTTAGTTTAAGGTAAGGATTAGAATCCTTTCTTCTACGTATTGATGATGAGCCTGAATCATCTCGTTGTTTTGTCTTAAGCAATGGAGTTCTTATAGGTGTAGTAGAAGTAGGAGAATATATAGAATCATGTCTCTTTCTCATTTAAGGAGGATTAATATGTTCAGCAGCATCTATACTAAATGATTGATATTTATTTGATAATGATGCAGAAGAAGGTGAGCCATTTTCATCTTTCTCGTTTTGTAATTATTATACTTAGTCTTATTAAAAGGTGAATTTTGATTTTTAAGGTATATTAAGGGCTAAATTTGGTAAGTTTGATTCTAGTTTTCTATTTTGTAGGCTGCTCACACCTGATTCTTTTACTTGAAAAACTTTTAGATATATAATAAATACAAAATAAAAATTGCTTACACTAAGAAGAGTTCGAAGGATAAACAAACTAATCTGAATTAATTTAGAAAATAGGGTCTTTTCTCTTGAATTTGACTACTTCATCATCTGAAGGATTTTGTAAGAGGATATAATCTCTAACAGAGTAGAATATTGGTTTTTCTATTTATTATTGATGCTTATTTTAGAATATAAATAAATCAAGCTAATCTATATTTATATCAAGCTTTATCACTTCTAAAATTGAGTCTATCAAGCTCAATAAATTTTCATTTTCTTGCTTAGATCTTTTAAGATTTTATAAGTAAACTAGTGGGTAGTTCTTTATTTTTATTAAATAAAAACATAAATTTCAATTAATTTTTTAATTTTTCATTTAATTTTAATTAAAAAAAAATATATTCATTTAATCTTTATTTGAAAAATTTATCAAAAATAATTTTTACCTTTTACTAGGTAGCTAAATCTTCTTCTTAGATATAAAAAGACTCTTAAGATTTGCTCCTTTTATTGAATAATGGGATTTTTTATAAAACGTTAGGCATATTTTCAGCTAACTGCTACTACTGCTATTAGTGTATAAAGTACTTTTATTGCATAGATTTTTGTCTTTATTGGGTAGATTCAATTAATTCTTAAATTTCACCAAGAATTGTAGAGATTTTACTTATATCCCATCTCTTTTCTATTTCAATGACTTTATCTAAGAAGTATTTAGATTATTGATATTCTATAATGAATTCAGAATTTTAAGATAAATCAACAACTTATAGGGGATCTTCTATTGGGAATTAATTCAAAGTTTTAATTATAGCTTCTTCAACGTTGTTAAAGTTTCCTTAGAAATTGTAGAGCTAATATTAAAATTGATCTTCTTTTACTTTAAGAGTTATCAACTAATCCATAGATGATGTGACATATTTCTTCACATAATTTGATACAAGATTTCTCTAAAAAGGGAATAAAAATGACAAATATTTTTCCAAAAACACCTTTGGATTTGTTGGGAAACACTCTAAAAACTACAGTATGTCATCGAGAATGTAGTATAAATCAAAATCTGTCTAGTAAAAAATATTATTCATGCCATAGTTCTCACGGTACTTGACAATACTAAATACAAATGCTAAACCAAAGCGATATTTTTAAGAAAATTTAGTTATCAATTCCTATTGCTCAGGATATTAAGTAGAATGATGCTCCACATTCAAAATAGACAAAAAGTTAAATATGCCTTGCCTATTCAAGCGATTTAAACGTGATTTAAGATTTTTGTGAACCCCACAAAAGATATTTGACTTTGAGATTAAAATTTTTTCTTATTAATTTCTTTTACCTCCAACAAATAAAGTGTTTGCAGTTGTTCCACTAATATTTGACTATAAACCAGAACCCATGTTCTACTTTTAACTATTTAATTTGTATTATGATTGTTTTTAATCACGATAAGCTTTATATTCTTATGCCTCAATGTTAAATAACCTTTCCATTATTTATTTGATATTTGAAGATTTATTTAAAAATATTTTCCAAGAAGTTTGTGCCAAATTTTTCATCATGCTGCAGCATTCTTCACTCTTACAGACAAAGTCTTAGTTCTTAAACATGGAATTAGAAGTTAAAGATATTGATATCCACACTTTAAATGTCTAAGTTGTGCTTTGGTTTTCTAACTCCTAATTTATTTTCCTTATCAAATAAGCCATTTCCCTCTCTTAAAGATTTTCCATGTTTTCAATAATTACCCAGCTTCCAGCTCCTGCAGCATTTTCTAATTCTATGCAGAGTTCTTCTACTGGTATAAAACCACAATTCAGTCTAACTAAAAATGAGTCCAAATGATTTTTAGCTGCCTTTAATTCTAAAGACTCAGCTATACTTTTATCCATTTAGTTAAAGAACAAAATAGTTGGTCTTTTATACCATTAGCTGCTTACATGAACATCCATACTAGTTTTATGTGTGCTCTTAATTAAGCCTATTTAAATAAAATTTAATTAATATAAAATAATTATAATAATAAATAAATATAGTAAAAATTTCAAAAATTTTAATATTTTCACTTGAATAATTAACTAATTAATAAATTTAATGAAAAGTTAAGTAAAAAATCATTAGAGTGAATGAATAAAAAGCTTTTTTCTTTCATGATATTTGAGCAACATAAAATTTATAAAATATTTTTATTATTTGGGAATTTCTTCATAAATATTTTTTTTTTATGCACTTAATTCAACATAAAAAAAGTATTAAAAATATTTATAAAAATGATGCAAAAATTCTTTTTGTGTTAATAAATTCATTTATTTATTTATCAAAAAATGAAAATCTGTGTTTTTAAATATTTATAAAAAACTTTTGTCAAATTATTTTAATTTTTCAAAATATTCTTAAAATTTATAAAATTTAATCATCAAAATTATAGCAAAGTCTTTTTCTTAGAAGTTATTTTACAATTTTTTCTTTATCGAATAAGTTTTATTGATGTTCTAATATGATTAAATTAAAAATAAATAAAATTAATTTAAATTTTTACTTTTAAAGCACTTTCTAATGAAATACTCTGCAAATCTGAGCAAACAATCAGGTCTGAAATACTTAGAAACTAGCATTGCTTCTTAAGCAGTAATCTTGCTAAGAATATTATTAGGATACTCTTTAAATAATATAATTTTATCTTCATTTCTTTTTTGAATTTTAACAGAGCTATATAGATAGTTGATCCATTCTTTTGCATGATCAGAAATACTATTTAAGACTATTCTAAGTTTTGATTAATCTCCAAGGAAAGGAAGGATGCTGAAAAACGATTTATAGGAAGTGATACCAAATTATATTTATTTTTATTATGGTAATTCCTTTATTGATAGATAATTTTAATTTCAAATTAATTTATTTAAAATAAATGTTTACTCTTAGTTATGGAATGAAATTAGATTAGCTTGAGAACTTTTTCACCTGATTTGAAAAAGTTTATTCATTTAAATCTTTTTCTTTTTCCTTATCTCTTTCTTCATAATTTGATTATGCTGTGTTTGATGATAAAATGTAGCTTTTTCTTTTAGCTACATTTGATTTTTCATCAATTATCTTTACACCTAGAGCATTAGCCAAGCTTAATATTATAATTTAAATATTTATATTTTTAAAAATTATTGACTTATTTACTTCTAATTGTACTGTTCTAAGGCAATATTTAAAGAAGTTTGAGGGAGAGAAGATTTATCTTCATTTTTATCTGATACAATTACAGAAGGTGGCTGAGAACCTTTATCAGAGCTTGGAGTACCCACTATTATGGTAGGATTCACTTGTATTTTCAATCCTTATGTATTTTCTGATAGCTTTTCTTAAACAGGTGAGTCATTCATAACTTATTTAATTTAAATAATAGGAATATAAGTATTTGAAGATGGCGAAGAGCTTTTTTCTTTAGTGTCTTTGTTGATTAAGTTTTTAAATTTAGACATAGCTTTAGTCGTGTGTTGCTGGTTTTTCTTAGACTCAGAATATAGTTTACTTTTAGTATCAATGTCTTCAACAGATATTGAAGGGGAATTTGATTCGCTTTGTTAACCATATAAATCAACTTTTTTATAAGTTAAAACATTTGAGTTAAATATTTAAACTTTTCATAATTGTTACTTTAGTATTTATTTAAGATAGGAGCCAGTATATCGTCGGAAAGGTTAAAATGATTTATAAGTTTTTCTAGAATGTTGACCCATTTATATTCATAGACCTGATCTCCAAAAATGTCTGCTTTATTTAAGTTTTCTATTCTTTAATTTAGGAAAAACTTCCATTCTAGTTCATTAAAGCTATCCGATTCAGAGGAAGGTAAACCTCTTTAATACATAATGGCAAGCTAAAAGTTAAAGAGAGTTAAATGGTCTTCTCTAAATATACTACTCATAATATAAAGGATATTATCACAAAATCTGTTACTGAAATTATTCATCTATTATTCATTTTTTAATATTTTTTTTATTAAATAATAAAATTAAATTTACTTCTTTGCTTTCTGAAAGAAGGTTTACTAAACTTTTTTCTTTGATGCATCTCTCTGTCGTCTACTTTACCAAGAGAATCATGTAAACTTCACTAAATGCATAGATGCTTCCCAATGTTTTACCCAAATTAATCCAGTTCATTTTGACTCCATGTAGAAAATCAATAATAGAAATATAAAGTTTGCAATACTTATTTAGCTCTTCATCTAGGTCATTATAGCAGCTAATATCATCGTTAGCTATAGCATCCTACTCATTATCATCTAATTGAAGCTAAAGACTTGTTTTTTTATTAAACTTTGGCAGAACTAATTATCTCTTTTTTTAAGAATAACTGACTGCTGATATCATAGAAGTTCCTGAAACTTAACTTGAGATTGACTCTTTTCTTTCTCTTATCTTTATAAATAAAAGATAAAATAATAGTTTAAGTTAATTGTCAATTAATAAAGACGATTTACTTTTATTTAAGAAGAAAAGTTGGAGAGAGAGTTTCTTTGAGATCTTACTCCCTTTTCTATGGACATTGCATATTTATCTTTACTTTCAGAATTTTCCACTATCTGCGGATTCCCTTAATTTTCACTACCATAATGAATTAATCTAACACTTCTACTCTAGAACTAAATAGGAGGTTAAGGAGATTCTTCTTCATCAATTTCAGCCTCAGGAATATGTAATTTATGCTTTGAAACTGAGTTTGAATTAGAATTGACTTTCAGACTGCTTGATTTGTTATAGACTGTTGTAGTAATTGGTTATTCAAAAATTTCGTTTGGTTCTTAACCTTTTAGATAGATTAAAGAGGAAATAGAATTCAAATCATCTTCTATTTGTTTCATCAAAGCAACATCTTCACATGTGATATTATTATTTAATCTTTCCAAAATTGATTGTAGCATATTCTCTAAGTCTTTTTCTCTGTTTTGTATTACATTAATATATTTATCCAAGACCTAATCTTTTTTTTCCTTATGAAATTGCTAAATAAGAAGATCATTCATGCTCTGTTTCCAGCTTGTCTCATCTTCCATATCTATCGTTACTGAGTAAACCTAGAAAAATGAAATAAAAAATAATTTTAAAGAAGTGATTCATTTAGTTATTTATAAATATAATTTTACTTGTTTTAAAAAGGATGATGAAAAGGAATAAGAAGTTTTTTCATAAATAAAGTAAATTCTAAAGTTTTCATGCACTTTTAAATTCATCTAATCATGGAAGTTCATCGTTCCACGATATTTTTTTAGAACTTCAAAGCTTTCAACAATATTTTAATCATATTCATTGTTGTAGTAAAGGAAATGATTCATAACATTTTCTATAATTTTAGTTTTCCAATCTAAGATTGGTTATATGAGCTAAATTAACTTGTCATCAAAGTTACTTAAAATCAAAACCTAACCTTGCTTTATTGCTTAAAGTATATTCGATTTGCTATCCTTACCAACAGTCGTATTTTCTAAAATAATTTGAATGTTTTTACTCATGCAGTGTTACCTTAAATATCTAAATACAAAAAAGAAATAATTATTAAATTAAAAAATAAAATTTTTTAAGTTAAATTACGTGTAGAATACTCCAGTTTAATCAATTATTAATGGTGGATAGTAAGCATCTTTCTTTTACATAAACTAAATCAATGAAATTCTATCAATAATTTATGTATTCTGAGGGAAATTCATTTTCAACAATTGGTAATAATATTCCTCATTTTCCAATAAGATAGGAATCTTTTAATCAAAGAATGTTAGTTTTATTCCATTAATCTGGCAATATTCATTGATAACATTTTCTTTGATATAATTTGGATACTTGTACAAAAAGAGTAACATAACTGTAAAATCTAAAACTATATCATTCAACTTATTTAAACTATTTAAGTCGTTAGTATCATTTGATAATTTTTCATAATAATAATCCTCAATCTATAAATAAATAAATAAATAAATAAAAAATTTTAACCAATAAAAAAACAAAAAATATTTTACCTTTTTCTTAGATAGTAAAAAGCTCTGGATGCCTTTTTACTTAAGAGCAATTTTTTATTCGAATGTTGCTTTTTCTAAAATGAGACTTGCTATTTTTGGAGGTAAATCATTTGCAACTCTTTTAGGCTCTTTAAGTGAATGCTCTATTTCGCTTCTTCTAAATCTGAGGTCTTTAATTTTCGAATCTAATTCTTAAGAAGTTTGAGTAACTTTTCTCTTTTCAATGATTGACTTAGTGAATTTCACAGCTAATTCTATAGCATTAACGACGTCTCTTTAAATTAAATTAAAGTTATTAGAAAGCGAGAAAAGATATGCATTCTCTATTTTTCCATCTACTTTACCAATTAAGCTTAATATATCATAATGTTCTTTCTTAAACTGAGATTCTTTTATTCCTGAAATTACTTTCTTTAATGTCTAATTTTAAATAAATATTTAAATTAATTAATGTTTTTTATATTTAATTTAAAAGATACTTGATGAGAAGAGAAAATTAGTTCAAATATTTCTCTGTATGTTTCCATATTTTGAGTGTCATTAACAGGGTTGTAATTTTGTTATTTTTTGGAAGACTCTTTGATGTCTTAAATAATTTTATCGACTGAAAATTAAGGATGCTCCACTTGAGTACCAAATAAAACAAAGAAAACAATAATATATTAGTTCATCTACTTAACTTAGGTCATCTTTTTAACTTATATCTAAAAGTATTTTTAAATTTTAAAAATTAAAAAACATACAAAAATGATTGATTTACATCTTCATTGAATAAATTTTAATCCATTTTTATAAGTTTATTGATTGGCTCATAAAATTCTCTTTCTGCAGCTTTACAAATACTTTCATTTTGGTAAGCTCTTTAGAAGATTTCAGTTTACTGCTTTTCCTCTTCATGAAGATCTATTTTTAGCATTAAAAAGATAAAAATTCTGCAAAAAAAACAAGGTAAATTTACCTGAAATTTGAGCTTCATATTCTACAATCAAATTCTGTGCGTTCTTTAAATTTGATTTATATGTGTCTAAAATTTGATTAGTTTGTTCTAATTTTTGTTAAGCTTGTTAAATTTCCTTTTCATACTTAACTATTTTTTTTGCACAAAGTTCTTTAAGTTGATAAGAAGTGGTTTAGTTTTCGCAGCGGTATATATTTTCTTAGAGAGTTTTTTTAATTAAATTAAAAGTGTAGAAGAACTCAAATTTAGCTTATTAATAGGAAGTATAATTAAAATTAAACATATTCTTTTAATATATTTTCTATATTTCAAAATCTTTGTAATAAATTTTCTTTATTTTCTCTTCTTCAAAGTTGTCTATTGCTGCACACGAAAGTTCTTAAAATAGCTCAGTTATTGAATTTCTATTATTCAAAAATTTTTTTGACTTCTTTTAAGGATCTATTGCTATGTAAATAGTGTATTTGGAGAAATGTGATAATAACTTTTAATAACTATGTATAAGTTCCATGCTGTAGTCATATTTAGTTGGCTTTGGTTCATAATAGAGTACAATCTTAAGCTTCTTTGTTAATCTGCAAGAAATCAAATAGTAAAGGATATGATTGCTTAATCCTATAAATCTTTTATGCATTTTCCACTGTGCTAAGTAGCTTTCCCATTTTTTTCTTGAGAACAAACTAGTAATTTCACAACCCTTTGTTATATTATTGACAGTTTCCAAGATATAAGTCTGATATTTGTAGTCTTTATTTTTGAATTCAGACATATTTATGAAAAAGACACAAGGGAAATCTGTAGTAAATACACTATCTATTGCTTATTCAAGATGCAAACGGAATTAATCTTTCAAAGCACTCATAGAATCAATCTATATTTGAGATGGATTAAAGTAGATGAACTTATATTTCAAAGTAAATGAAGCAAATTTAGTTAGCTAAACAGCAGATTCTAAAGAAATAATAGATTAAAGTAAAATATTTTGTTGTGCCATCTAGAGAAGATGCATTAATTTAAGTGAATGGAAATACAATGAGTAGAATGTATTCTCTTTAATTTAGAATAAGTAAATTAACTTTTACTTGTCTTCATAAGACTTTATTTTTTCTATTAAGAAGGAAACAACCCTCTTTTGTTACTTCCTGCCAACAAAAGTAAAAAGCTACTTCTACTCATCTTTAAATACTTAGTTATTGTTATTTATACTTTTGTTGCTCATGCTATTCTACTTTTTAAGATCTCCACTTCCACTAGTAATAACTCGATTAGTATCTATTTATTTTGGAGTCATTAAATTTATTTTACTACCAATTTACTGCAAGCGTGTTTAAGGTGTTTGAGGGTTAAATTCTATGCTTAAATTTGTTTTAATATTTTTCATGAATTAATCAGACCTCATTGTCTCTTTTACATTATCTTCTATCAATTCTTCTGATTTCTCTTCATTTATTCTAAAATTAGGTAACCCAAAATCTTTTGTTGTGCTTATTAATATCGTTTTGCTATTGGACTATCCATAATTTTCATCAAATAGCTCTTCGTTAAAGAATAAAGTATCATTTCTTTTTGATATTAAGTTGATCCAACTTTAACTATTTATTTTATCTTAGTTTTAACTTATCATAAGCTGTATTAAATTAGCCACTAATTAATCTGGTAATATTTCTATTTTATTGTTGTTTATTTTCATGCTCTCTACCTGTTATATAAATATTATAAATATTTAAAAATATAAAAAAAATTTAATGGTAAATTACTTTATCAGCACATTATTACAAGAATAATTTATAGGCTGTTTCTTGATTTTAGGTATTTTCTTGAACGTTTTTTTCTTAAGTTTTAAATTTAGAAGCTTTTTACATAAAGGTGCTTTTGAAAGCAAGTGAAGCATGTCTTGAAGGTGTATGCCATACTTAGATAACTCTCTTTTAATAAAGTTCCTCAACTATTTCTGATTAAGATATAATATCATCATTCTATTGATTCATCTTAGTCTTCATTTCAATTGAAACTTCCCTTTGGATAGCTAGAGCTAAATTAGAAGCTGTTACAACATCAGTAGATTTAATCTTTTACTAAGAAGGTTTTAAATTGTTTAAAGTTTTGAGTTTTGGATTACTTTACAACAAGTCATTATTTTACTGCTTCTAATCTTGCTCAGTATCTTATTCATCATCTATAAATTTAAATAAATAAATTAAATTATATAAATTTATAAAAGCAGCAAATACATACCTAAAATATTAGTGAAAAAGTAAAGTTTTTCAAAGCAACTCATTTCAACATATTGAGATTAAAGGCTTTCGATTTCGTTTAAATTCTAAACAAGACCTTATTTTATAAATTCAACTGTTTGAGTATCTTCATTCAGCTAGCCGCTTTCAGTATTGTGTATAATACCTATTTCTTCGTCTTCGTTTCGTTCGTTTGATTCATCAGATAGAGTATAAGCTTTAGTAATACTTGGAGCATATGAGACTTATTAATCTTGAGCTTTGTGAATTGAAAATCTTTCTTCTGTCTCGCATGAGCTATGAATAAACTCTTATGCATAAAATTAATTCATGAGAAAGATTAAAGATTTAACAAACTATTCTATGTTGTAACTATTTTTGCTATCAGAGAAATCAAAGTAATTCAAATTTCTTATAACTTCAAGAGCTTTTTGTATAGCCATATTCACTTTCATATTACAAGATATTTCAGCCAATTAGAATCTTTTATTTAAAAATATTTTTTTATTTCAATAATATATTAAGAATAAAAAGAGTACCTGTGCTTCATAAAAACTAATGCTAGCGCAGAAGCTGATGAAAACAGCTATAAATTAACACCTTTGGCTTCACTTATTTAGTTCTTATTCAAAAGTATTGCTTAGCCAGTCGAAGCTAAACTGTTATATTCTGTGAATATAGATATCAAGTCTTACTAATCTTGATTAGGCATCTTAAAAATCATTGATTTTTCAACCATAGAGAGAGGGAGGTTGCAGTACCTTTGGTCAAATATATTTGTTGATTACTAGCCAGAGTGGGAATACAATCCAAGTAAAACTATATTTTAAAACTAATAGAATCTGTTTTTGCTGTTGCTAAACCACGAATTTCCTTCAATAAATGATCTCATAGCACCAACAGGCGATATTCCTCTGTTTTTTTATTATAAATATAAATATAATAATTATAAAAATAAATGATTTACTAAGGAGCGAGGTTCAAATCATCCACAATTATAATTCCATTAGTCTTGTTAGGTGAAGTTAAGACAAATGGTTAAGAAGATATTAAATTAGACTCTATTTTCTTTTAAAATTGTTTGACACTTAAATTTTGAGTACATGAAATAAATATGGGAGAGTAATTGAATTATTCAATTAAGCATTAGGTTCTTTGGTTTACGAGTGTAGTCAGTCCGTTTTAGCCTCTCGATATAAGTAGCAAAGGTTTCTAGTAGGCAACAAAATACTGCAAGAAATGTTTGGTAATTTTTGTAGATTTTGTTTCGACAAAAAGAGTTTTATCAGGTAAAGATATACTTTGCACTTCTTTAGATATCTTATTTTCAATAATATCAATAGCATATGGATTCAAACGTATTATTTCTTTAGTGTCAATATTATTAGAAATCAAATTTCCACTTATAACACCAAATTCTTCAATTGAAAGCTATTACCATGGAACCCATTCAGCCCTTACTATATCATAGCAGAAATCGAAAATAGTTTGGTTGAGTTAGTTATTTTACTGATGATTGCTGATTGAGTTTTCAAATAAGTTTTTTAAATTTATAGCGAAAGGATAGTTTTCTCTCTAAAAGCGAACTCTAGTATGTTAAAACCTAAAATCTAAGTAAGCTTCAATTGATTTTTAAAGGAATTTATTATAAACACTTCTGTATTCATTCTTTAAAATATTTCCAACACTCCAAGTTAAAGCAAAAACGAAAACACTTTCTAGATAGCTGGCTAGCCTGACATCACTTTCTCCTCTAAGTATGTATTTTACATCTTACTGCTTTTATTATGCATTTTCATTTAAATTTTCATTTTCTGTATTTAAAAATTTCCCTTATATACTTTTTCTATCTTACTAACTATTTTAAGTTGCACTCTCAACAACTTCATCAGCAGAAATCTCAGAAAATTAAAACTTGAATTTATCTCCTTTTTTTGGAGGAATTTTACTTGGAGAAAATGCCATCTCTGAAATAAGTTCTTCACCAGATATTATAATTTATTATTAATTTTTTATTTTTTTCAGATTCATTCTTGGAATATTTGGTCCCTTTTTATTAAAATTATTATTTAAATTTGTTATTTATTTTTATTAAAATAATTTCAATATAATATTTCATTAAATTAATTAATTGTTGAAACTTGAATTTGATAAAAAGATTATTTATTTAAAAGTTTAGATTTTTTTAAGAATAATTAACTTGATATTTTATTAGGCTCTAAGGATATTAATTAAAATTTTAATTATTTTATTACTAAAATATTATTTTTAATTTACTTATTTAAAACAATTTGGGTATTATTTTGCGAATATTAAGTAAGAGAATTTGTTAAAGTTTTACTTAAAAGGCAGTTATAAAAAATATTTAATTAATTTTGTTATTAAAAATTTTAATTTTTTTTATTAAAAGAAAATTAATTAAAAATAAAATTCAAAAAAAATTTCAAAATCTGTAAAAATTTTTTGATTGATTGTGGCATTTCAAACAACTAATTTAGTTTTAATTGCAATTATTAGTTAATTACTTTGTTGTTTTCATCTTCCCATTCACCTGATGCTATTTCTAACTTTCTAATTTCATTTATAAATATCTCAAGGTAATTTAAAAAGTTATTCAAATGTGCTTTCTTTGAGATTATATATCTAAATGACTATGCGTGTTTTAAAAAAATTAAGTTTTTAGAAATCTTAGTTGATAAATATTTTTTACGTTCTCAGGTATTTTATCAAAAAGCTCTAGAAGTTCTTCGAAAAAGAAGGTAAAACATATTTTGGCAGCGAAATCAAATTAGCCAAAGAAAATATTTTTTTATTTCATTTTAGAAAGCCAAGCACTAAACTCTTCTTTAAGGCTAAAAGGCTCTTGATTCATATGAATAAGTATATGGTTGGCTAAGTGATTTGGACTCATGTTATCTAAGCTTTCCATTTCAAAAATACAAAAGGCATCCTAAGGAACCTTTAAAATGTCTTAATTAATCAAATTGAATGATCTTTAATAGAATCCAACAAGAAGTCTATCCAAATTTAGATTATGAGGGTACTTTTAAAATTAGAAATCTTAAATAGTATTTTTAATTATTTAGATTTTAATTTACCTTATTTGCTTAAGACGAGGCATCGATAATTATCCAATCTTCTTCAGTAACACAATCATGTGCTTTAGACTGTAAAAATAGCTGAACTACTTAGTTGGCTGTTGCTGTATTTTGAGAAGAGAATTTCAATTTTTCGATACTTTATTCATCTCTTACCACTTGGCTTGCAGGATAAGAACAAAAGTTTTTATGCCCATAATATTTAATTTTATTGATCATATTCTTTTAGTGATTGTTTGATTCCATAGAGGCAATAATTTAATTAACAACTCCTTCCTCCCATTCCCCTATTTATTTAAATTTAGTATTTTTGATAATAAACATTTTAAAAAATTAAATACCTTTTGAATTAAAGCAACCAAGCAGTCTTTCAGGTGCTATAGCATCAATCTTGAGCCAGTTCAAATAAAATTCTTTTTCTAATAAATTAATATAAAATTAAAAAATATCTATTGAGCTTTTTTTTTTTTTTTTGTTACTTTTTTGTCGGAAATATAAATACCCAAGCAACTTTATAAAGAATGACTTATTTTTTCCACTCCTTCCTGAAAATATAAGTGTGTTTTTGTTCATGACTAATGGGAATATATTGTTGGTAAGCTTTTAAACATAATCAGTGTTAATTAGATTATTTTAAGTTAAGTAATAAGACAAATCGCTTTATATTGACATGTAGTCTCTGTCAAATATTTCACTATAGTTAGTTTCCTAATCTTTAGTACCAAAATAACTACAGAAGGCTTTCATTACATAGTCACATTAGCTTTAAGTTAGTAAACAGGAGAAATAACTCTAAACACTAGCCTGAACTACTTTAATTTAATCCTATAAGTCTAATTATTTTTCTGTGTGAAAAACTAAAGTCAAACGAAGTATTTTTAATATTGCTTTTAAAGATATCAAATTTCCTAAGGAAAACTTATCTGAAACAATAGATTCTTTAAAATGATTAACAGATTTTTCATCGTAACTGTAAAATTTCATCAAGCGAGTATTTTCATATGATGATGAAATGAATCTTAAAAAGCTAATAAATTTATTTGAGTACTCTTGACTTTTTTCCTAACAGCCATATAAAATAAAATAGTTTTTGACTATTTCAGCTAAATCAGGCTCAACCACATTAATTACTCTAAAGTTTTCTAACAAACTTTTTGGCAACTGAGCAAATTTATGATCAAGCACATTTAATCTGTCAGTGAAACCGCTTACGATTCCATATGATGAATGGACAGGATAGCTCTTTCCAGCAAATTAAAATATTTTTTAGTCGTTCATGAGTGATTTCCTAATCAAAAATACAGCCTAAGCCAATGTTGAAATAATACCTAAATCACATGTCTCTAAACTCTTTATATATAACCAAAATCCTCCTGCAGCAACCTATATTTATATTTTTATTTAATTGTAAAATATTTTTATAAAATATTTATTACTCCTGTAATAATATTTTAGATCGTGTTGTAGTTTTAGTCGTGCTCAAATTTCCAAACAAAGTGAGGCTTAGCTAAAAGTATGCACAATGTTTCAAAAGTGGATGATTTTCCTGTTGCCTGTGGACCTTTTAGTATACCACCAGAATTAGTAGATAAAGCTTGTAAAAGCTGATGGAAAATTCTTCTACATCCTTAAGTTATAACAAAACCTCTCAATTGAGGATTAATTTCATACGTATAAGATTTCTTGTAGTTCATTGAAATTAAACAAATATCAAAATCCTTTCCTTTAAAAGCAGAGAGTAAAGGCGATTCAGCTGTTAAGTTAGGGAAAAATGGTTCATCAGGTTCTGTTGTTTCTTCAGTGTCTTTAACCTCATTTAAAATAGAAGCACCATAGTCTTTCGCGTTCTTTTATACCTCCAATACGTTATCTATTAATTTTGAGTTCATATGTAAACTAAATTTAGGAAGAACTAAATATTCATAGCTTCCTAACCCCTCAACAAATTATTATTTTGAATCTATAAATTCACTTTTTGAAATAAAAAATTTTTAATATAAAATCATTAAATATTCTATTTACTTCAAAATTTCTATGTGCTATAATATCTAGAGGAAAAATTATGTGGATTAAATGTAATTCATTCTCTGAACTCCATATGTTTTTCCTCCTATCTGCATGCTCTAAATAAAACTTTTCAAGTTGGTATTCATGTAATCTCTAAGTTGGGTAAGCTTTTCAATATAGGGTATGTCTTTCGTGGCAAGAATAATGGTTAGGTCATGATAAAAAATAATGTCATTAATTAAATAAAGAATTTGAAATATTGTTTATTTTTTTTGTACAATGTTCCACAACTCTTAGTATTTATAAGAGTTTTTGGACATTGGATTTAATTATTATAAAATTTATTGTTTTATGTATGATCTTGAACTGCTTTCAATATCTCGAATCATAGTAAAAGTAGGAGGATCGTCATATTATTAAAGACTATATTAAATAGGCTCATTAAAGTTAATCTATTCGTTGTACCAATTTCTGATGCTCCATATTTAAAATAGCTTGAAATGTCCTGTAAAAACATTATTAATCAGTGATTTCTGCTTATCTTAGGTATCTTCGACTTCTTCAATTATTTCATCTTAGGCAAAATTGTGTTTTTTTTACTCTTTTGGGCTACTAGCAGGGGTATTTGAACTAGAATTCTCACTTCCTCTATTTGCTTATTGAATAGTAATTATATTGAACGACTAAATACCAAGGAATGCTTATCTAATTGTATCAGAAAACTCCTATTTATTTATTTAATAATTAAATATTTAAAAATAAATACATTATTCCCAATTATAAAAAATAAATTACTTTTGTATTGTAAACTGATTCACAAAGATTCATAATTTAGAAATCAGAAAAGAAAGTAAAACGAGAATTTTGCTGCCTAATAAATTTTATGACAGTTTGTATACTGGATTCTAAATTAGACAAACTTTAAAAGTTTTCAGTCAGATTTTTAAGCATACTTTGAGCCTAAGCAGTGAGCTAAACTCCTTGATTATGATTATTGTGATGTTGGGAAAGAGCATTAGAAAAAAAATTATTATTATTGCTTCCACTATTTCTATTTGTTTTATCTCCTGCATGATTTTCATACTCTTTGTTCATGAATAGATCTAGCAAAAAGAGCAAACCTCTTTATTTAAGATCTTTAGCAATTTATTCATGATATTCTCTGCAACGATTAAAATCTTTGATGCCATCTTTCAAATAAGATAGATACCTTGTAAAATTAATTACAGGAACTATTTTAATAAACAAATTCTAAATCAAACCAATATATTTTAAAACTTTTTTCGAGTTTGCAACTTATTGCTGTAATTCTGAAAGCTTGTGAGCAAAGTCATTTCTACTGTAGATCTATTTAATATTAATATTTTTATAAATTGAATTAGCCAAGAGATCTAATAATTTTTACCTTATTTCTAACCATGTTACCAATTATTTACTATTGAAGCTTTAAGTATGAAGATAACTCAGAAGTGCTTTAAAACATAGGAATACCAAAGTAATTAATTGTTTAGAACCCAATTTTCTTTAATTCATTTTCTAAGCTCTTGATACTCTCATGAACCTTAAATTCGTTTTCTGCTTGCTATAAAATATAAATAAATTCAAACATAAATAAATTTAAAAAATTGATTTATTTACCCCTGCTATACTTTTTATGTAAACTATGATTGATAATATTTTGTCTTCTAATAGCTTCTATAAAGTTATATTCTATGAAGCTAGAATCTGCTTCTTTTTATCAGGATCATCAGTATATAATGTTTCAAGGACAAGCTATTTAAAATTTAAAATTAAAATTTCATTAAAAAATGATAAAAAAACTTACATTCCAATGTTCTTATTTGAAACTTTCATGTGAAACTAAGACTAAAAAGTCATAGATTTATTCATACTCATTTATTTCATTATTTATTTGATTTACCAGAATAGAAAATTCATAGTCATTTTAAAGAAAGTATGTTTCTACCTACCTTATCATTTTATTGCCTACCTCTAATGTTTGTTCAATATCTTTTAAGTCTGAATTACTAAGTATATTGTTAATCACTGACTTTGAAAGCCAAGTTTCTTTTTTCTTTATTATGTTAAATAAATTAATAATTTTTCTTACAACTATTTTAAAATATTTTACGTATTTCCAATCACTGGCGAATTTCCAAAATTGATTGTAATATTCAAATTTAGATGAATATTCATCATAATCAAGTCTACCATCATACCCAGTATTTAAATGAATTTCCTCATATCTAATCTCTTTAATCTTTTCATTGAGTAAAGTTAACTTTTATTTTAAATTTTCTGCTATTGTTTAGTTTGTATGCGCTTCTTCAAGATCTCTCATATTTGAAAAATCTTCAATATCTTTTTTTAGTACTTCTATATCTTTTAAAAGTAGATTCTTTTTATCCATGTGCATCTTTCTAAATTTAGGTTTATTTTCCTCTTGCTTTTTTTCTTTTTCTTCTTTGAGTTCATATAAATTTCTTAGCATAGAATTTTGTAATAGGAAATCTCTATAATTTTATTCATCTAAAGACATCTAGAAGAGTTCTATTTACTCAAATAGCCTTTCTATATATAAATCATCACAAAAAATTGAAAATATAATGTAAAATTAAAGATATGAAAAATATTTTACATGAAAGCAAAATGTACATTGAAATTTATTAAATTTGCTGATTTATTTCTTCTCCTTGCAGATATTAATTTATTTTAATATATTAATCAATAGTTTAAGGTTTTATTGATAGCTATTCTTGTATCTCCTGTTCCAAATCTTCATTTTTTTTAAGAGTTTCAATACAACTGATTTTAAGTTTATTTTTAATCAAGGCATCTTTTTACATAATTTCGTTAATCATAGCAGCTTTAAAATCTGTTACATCAACCAAGAAAACACCAAGATTAAACTTATCTGGCATTATACTTTTTATAACATGCATGTCTCTATAAAGTCTGTCCATTTCCTTAAATACTTCTTCTAATCTCTAAAAAAAATAATGATCAGCTTCATTCAAATTATTAAAATTGTTTAAATTACCTCTAATTGATTACTCTCAATTTCCGCAATTAAAAATTTTTCATATTATTTAGAATATAAGAAATAGAATTCAAAACTTAGCAACACTTTTAAAAGACCATAAATTGCAAAGTAAGAATTAATTATGAATTCTTGCAAATTTTATTGCAAATTCTCAATAGTTTTTTAGTTAAATTCTTGTTTATACAAAAATTTGCTTTCTGAGTTAAAAAAGTGAGCATTCATTTCATTCATTTTATCCTCAATTGCTATTATTAATTATTTTTTTAAAATTAATTATTAATTTTTAAATAAATAAAATAAATACTTCCAAAAAATATTTTTTGCATTTGCTCTAAACTTTCAATAGGATTCATAAAAACATTTTTTATTTCTTATTCTATAACATCGAGAGGTGGTTCAATTCTTATCATAAATGAATTTAAATTAAACCAAGCTAACTGATGATTTACAATGTTTTTCTTTAACTAAAATATTTATTTATTAAAAAAAAGTAAGTAAAACATTTTTAGATATTTAATAAAAAATGTACATTTTCAATGTTAAATTATTTTGTCAGGTCAAATTCAGAATGATTTCTCCTTGCAATATCAAAGTACATATCCATCAAAGTAACTTGTTCATAATAATAGAATTTATCTCTGCTTTCCAAAGCTTTTAAGAATATTTCAGGATTGCTATCGATATGCTTAAAGTGGCTGAATTTGGTAACAAGCTTCATTTACTTTTTACTTTTAAAATTTTTTTATCTTTTAAAAAAATTTATTTTAAATTAATTAAACAAACATACCCTTCCTCAGTTTTATCATTCAGGACATTCATTTTAATTTAAAATATAGGTTAAATTGGTATATTAGTAAGCTTTAAATGTTTTATTTGGTGGTACTAAAAGTCTGCTTATTCTATTTAATAAATATTTAATTTTAAGCTAAATATTTCAAATTAAATTAAAATAAATGTAAACCATGAATAAGAATATCGCATATCTGCTGATAAATATCATAAATTATCTATCCGTCCTTAAAGCACTACCATTCAAGAATATGATCAATTTTTTATTAAAATTCTTTGATAGAATCACGTTTAGTTGTTTGGTTTCCAGCATTATTAGGAGAAATTTCTTCTAAAGTTGAAATTTTATTTTTTTACTACTAATAATTTAAGGCTTTATTCAATTAGGGTTATGTCTTTAATATCAAAAAAATATTTTTATTTTAGGCTATTTTCTTTGTAATTAATTACCAAATAAATATTTGAATCTCTTGCCAAAGCTTTAAATTTGAAGTTTTTATTGTCAGATGATTCAGTCTTTACTGTGTTATTTTAAACAAAAGGACTTTATTTAACAGATATCTTATAACTCGAATTTAACCACTATTTTTTAGCAATATTTATATTTGATTTGGCATTATTAACTTAAAATATTTACATTAACTTCATGCTACTCGTCCAGAATACTAACTTTATCAGCATAATCCTCCTATTGTAAATAAATAAAAGATAAATATATTAGAATATTAAATATTTGTGATATATTACTTGAGCTCTATCAAGCATAGTAATTAATCTCTATTCTTGCCTCTTTTTAATTAAGTTAGGAGCTACATCTTTAATAGTTGTAGATACAAGGTATTACATAGGAAGGACTGAATAGTATTTATCTAATGATTTTATAGCATCTTAAATGGAATCATTTACAGTAGATATTAAATAGCTCTAAACAAGACTGTTTGTCCTATTTTTTATTTTTTATTGAGAAATTAAATTTTACAATTGATCTTAAAAAATACATTTTAGTTATTTATGCCTAGACACTTATTCTCCATTCGTTACCTTCGATTTCAATATGATAATTTTATAAATTTTTTAAAAATTCTTTATTTAATTCATCTAATGCGCTCTCAATTTTGTCAATAACCCTTTGAAGTTTAAAAGACTATCTTGAAAAATCTTTGCTTAAACCTAATTTTAATTTGTATTTTTTATTTAATTGTATAATAAAATAAGTGAATTACTTTTTATTGCACTCAAAGCATCTAACTAAAATAATAATTAAACATTTTAAATTCCCTTAAATATCTTTATTTCTTTTAAGCATGTCACAAACTGAGCTAACATAGGAACGACTATGCTAAACAATTCAAATTTTTTATCTTTTGAGTATATGATAGATTTTTTTCCTAGTTTATTACAATTATATTTTATGTAAGACTTGTTTTTTAATACAACTTCTTTATTATAAATTTTTATGTTCATTTATTCATCTATCTAGATATCATCATCTAACAATTTAACTAATTAGCCTTAATCTAAATCATTTTCAAATCTAATTGTCCTTCTCTATTGTAAATTATTTAAAGCTTGATCAAACTTCTTTTTCCTTTCGACTGCAGAATAAGTCTTTCTAATTGCTTTAACTTAGTATAGGAGCACTTTTTATATGTTGGGGTTTTTCTTATTGTTATCAAACGAGCTTTAATTTAGCTAAATACTAAGTTATGATTTATTTTTTAAGTTATCATCACCAATTTTGTTTTATTCGTCTTCGCTTTCCGAATCAGATTTTTACATTTAATTTTATTCTTACTCAGCAAAAAATTCTTAAATTACCCATTCAGACTTATTAAATACAATGAGTCCCTTTTTTTCAGCAAAATCTTATAGATACCTAACAAATTTTTGAAATTAAAGCTCATATTTAGAATTAAATTAGATTACTTTTCGTAGAAATGATGCATAGATGTTACTGTGTGAAACTAATAGTTAAATTTGATTACATTATACTTATATAGTTCTAAAGTTCCTTCTATAACTAAATCTCTAGTTTATTTTATTTCTTCTTCACTAGTAAACATCCTCCATTTTAAACTCCTAAATATGAAATTAAAAAATTAATTATTTTTGAATTTAACTAAGAGATTTAATACTAATCCAGAATTCGTTATAGTCTATCCATAGGAAAAGTGATCAAATTTATATTTGTTTGACTGCTTTCTTTCATATCTGAATTTATAATGGTATTTTTCATGCTCAAGAAGAAAAGCATTTATTCACGCCTTTCCTTAGCAATTTAATATCTTTAATCTCCTTTTTCTTAGGACTCATAATCAAATAATAGATTTATTCTAGTTACCTTAACAATTAATTAAAATTAAATATTTAATCAACAAAAAAAACTTACTAAAATTAAATAAATTTTAATTTAGTATTTAATTCCATTAATTAATTAGTAGAAGTTTTTATGTATTTATTTATTTAATTAATTAAATAAAGATTTTCATATATATTTATAAGTTGGTATTTTAAAAGTGAAACTTTTTTCATTAAGAAATAATTAATTTCATATAAGTATAATAATTCTTTTGTTCTAAATAAATTTGTTTAAAACTTAGATTTATTCTAGAAACTAATTTAATTGAATACCTCTTTTCTTCTGTTATTGGAAATCCATTAAATCCCGAATGTTCTTCTCTCTGGATTATAAGATTCTATAATACAATCTTTCCATTAAATATTTCCATAATTATCTGACCACTTTGAGTATCCTCTAATAGGAGCTTTCTGAATCACTTATAAAAAATCTTAATCGTATAACTATTCTTCATCATATTTTTCTAAAGGCTCAATCTTAAATATTAATGAGAATGTTTAAAAAAATCATTTTGCAAATTTTAATTACATTGAAATTAGTAATATGAGGTATTTTAATATAAATCATATTATCCTGTGAAAAGTAATCTAACTTATTTCTTAAATTGTACTAATTTATATCTTGAATTTACTATTTACTAAGAGGGTGCTTTCTTAATATCGTACTTTAATTTCTAAAAAATCTATCATCCTTTTTCCCTAATTTGCTATTTGATAGATATTGCTATCTTATAAAACTGCTTTCGTTTTCAATCTTTTCACTGCTTTCAAGTAGCTTATCAATCCTATATGTTGTGTTCAATTTTCTAGGTAAACTGCTTAAAACTGAGCTGTTCTATGGATTTTAAGTCTTTATGTTTTTGAAAGGAGTCTTTTCTTAAATGCTGTCTTCAATCTTTTAATAAATATTATATACATGGCTTTGTTGAATTTTAAGTGAATTTTACATGCTTAAAAGCAAGAAAGAAAGCAAATAAATAAATAAATTCAATTTTAATTTTTGAAACATAAAATATAAATTCTACTATATTTAAAAATAGATAACTTAATTACATTTAATCTCGATGTTCTTATCTGAAACTCATCTGTATTTATTTTGTTGAACGAGTATTACTGTCTTGCCTCTAATATTTCTGGCAGTAATTTTCCCTTTTCAATTTTGTAAATCGCATTAAAATTAATAGCACTCTTACGATATGAATTTAAATTTGATAGAGACTAAACTGATTGTGGGATTTCTATTGATGTTCTTTTGTTTGGAGTTTTTATGTTTAATTAAGTCTATGAAAATGATGAAGCATCTCCCACGGTTGCTTTTATCTCATCTTATTCTTCCCTATATCTATGGCTATCCCTATCTTTTTAAAAACTAGGCTAACTACTTACATTATTTAATTAAACAGAACTTCCACTCAAAGAACTTGTATTAAATGTCTTTTTCTTTTTTTAAATCTGTTTAATATATTTTTATAAAATTAGATTCGGTTTCTTGAATTTATTTTATTTTTTATACCTGATAAGACTAGCGAGCTGCTGGATATTTTGCTTTTAGTATTTTCATTTTTTCTATTTATTCATATGCTTGGATTGGTATTGAAAGAAAATAATTATTATCAATAGAGGTCTAATTAGCTGAATCTTATGGGCTTCTTAAGTCTCCCAAAGATCCAAATTAATGATTTAACTTTTTCATTTAATTCCCTATAAACTAACTTTTACTTTTAATACCCTAATCTTGAAAGCTAAGTTTATTTAAATTTCAGCCTTTTTAAAATGTTTCTTGACCAATTAATTTAATGAATGTATTTATGTATGTAGGCTGATCTATATATCTTACTAATATTAATAATTAAATCTTTTTTTCTTTTAATGCTAATTAATTTCTTAAATATTGATCTGATTCAGTATAAATAATAAAATTTGACAAGTAAAAGTTTCATGAGATATATTTTTAACAAATTAAGTTGTTTTATTCACAAATATTATTCCTATTTAGCATAAGATATAAGCAAGGCTTAAATATTTGATACAAAGCCATCAAATAACTTAATTTAAAAAAAACTCAAAAAGTTCAATTAAATTTTTTATTTTTTTACTTTTCTATTATTAAACAAAGAGTATTCAATAGTATAAAAAATAATTTAAAAAAGGTAGAGCCTTTATACTTTATTATGAAAATTATTTGATTTATTTGTATCTAAAATTATTATTTATAAATATATGCTTAATCAATTTAAAAATAAAAAATTTAGGTTTAAAAATAAAATTTTTTTATTCATTAAAATGAAGCAAAAATACTAGCTTCTTTAATAAATTTAATAAACTATAAAATGAAAAATAATATAATAATTAAGAATTTAATAAAAAAATTATCAATACGAAAAAGCTTGAAGATTAATTACTATTAATATTTTTAAAACATATTTTTAATAAAAAAATTAATAACACATTGAGAAATGTACTTAAAATATTTAATATTAATGCAAAAGTTTATCAATAATTTTGATAATTTGTTTTTTAAAAAAGAAAATGATAATTTAACTAATAAATTAATAAACAAAATAGTTTTTTATTATTAAACTTATTTAATTAACATTAATGAAATATTATTTTCTTTAGTTTTCATTGTAGAATACATATAAATATTTAAAATTTATTTAGGAGTTAAGATTTTTATTTGATATTTTAATTTAATAATTTTTTAAATGAGATAAGGTTTATTAATTAATTAATTGTTTGTTTATCTGCAAAATTGAATAGTTTATTTATCTATTTTATTCTTTCTTTTGTTTGTTTGTTTTTAGTAAAATAAATTATTTAAAATTTTTGATGTAAATGTTTGATTTATTATATTTAGTGAAATAAATTATTGAAATCATTTATGTCCATTTATACTTACATTAGGAGTTAAATTTACACTTCTCATCCTTGGAATTTCTGGGACATTTAAATTATGCTGAAAGCTCTGTCCAGAAAATTTAGAATTTTGTTTTAAAAATGATCTTTTTTGAGAAATAGAATTAAGTTTAGAAAGCTTTTTTTAAATCATTTTTTTCAGGTTTGGATTATCTTTAGTTTGATTAGAAAATTTCCTACTTAGCAGTTTCATAATCTTTATTTTTTCTTTAAATATAATACTAAAGTTTCCCTCAGGGAAATACTTTTTATACTCCCTTAAAGCATCCAATTCTAATGGTATAAATATGATATCTGAGTTGATTATATTATTTTCATAAGAATAAGAACCTACTCTCGGGATGTTAGATTGCTGTGGACTGCTTTGAGCATGTGTTGGAGATATGTTTTTAATTAGTAAAGATATATCTTACTTTAAGGATTATCGATGTATTTACGAAATAGGAGTCCCTGGTATCAATAGAGTATTTCCTAAAAATTACCCACTTCCACTATTTTTAGGACTGTAAATTGGTATGTTTTTAATTTTTTATACTTAACTATTTGGTGAAGGATCAATTACATTATTGTTGGCGTTTGGAATATCAGACTATATCTTATTCATATGTAGAGTTATATTTGGATTCATTGAAAAGATTCCAACAGTACCCCTTCTTGAAGAGTTTAAGTAAGTTGTGTTATTAAAATTATTACTTAAGTATGAATCTCTTCTTTGTTGCTAGGCCTAAATTTGAGCAATCTATGGGTTTATAAGGGTATTTATTGGAAATTTGTTTGATGGTTAAGTTTAATTTTCAAATTCAGATTAATAGCTAGAATAAAAATCATTCATTATAGAAGCTTTTTTCATTTAAACTCTTGCTGGCTTATCAAGAAAAGGTTTGCGGAAATTGTAAGGTCCAAAAAGAGTTGATCCATTAACACTAGGATTAAAACTTTGCTATTGAGACATTGGTCCTGTATTTGTTGTTTAATTTGAGTAAAATGTAGGGTTTTTACTAGACTATATTTAATTAAAAGTCTCTCCACTTCCGCTTCCACTTCCTCCTGTACCTAAAATAGGAATCGATGGAACCTGAGCAATTTAATTGTTGCTACTATTATAAGGTATTTGTTGTTTAGAAGTGATTGGCCTACTAGTAAAGAAACTTTTAGTATTGTTTAACTTGCTCTGAGGCGAAAAAGTTTTTGAACTATCTGCATTGTTAATTTGCTTAGGACTAGATTGAACATCATTTATAGAAGGTAGAGAAAATTAGGAAGACTATTAAATGCTATTTTATTACAAAGTTGAAAAAGGCACTTATTGTCCATTTAACTATCTTAAGCTAAACTCTTTCCTATAAAATTTTGATGGGTTATTCACATTTTTAACACTCAATTATTTGTTGAAGTGCTTCATTTGTTTTATGCTTTCTCCATCATCATTATTGTTATTTTACAAAGGTTCTTTATGAGTTTCTTATCTAAATATTTTTTTATCCTCTTCTTCCTAGTTTTGTAGGTGAGCAAGAGTATCTTTCTTTGAAAATTCTTTGAATTGCTATTCCTATAATTCTACTTTATCTTGATTCATTGGAGTATCGAAATTCGGATTAGTTCCAATTGCAGCTTTATTAGATCCTATTTAAGTATTTTCATTTATCTTATTATTATTGTTGTTTTCTACATTTTCATTACTACCTATTTTCACTAACGGGATTTTTATTTTTTCATCTAAATTTAAAACTTAAGTATTTATATCAGAGTAAAAATTATTTTCTCGATAGCTTTAAGGCAATTGCAAAAAATTTATATTACTTCTCCTTCTATTAATATTGTAATATGACTACTCATCATCATTATACTATTAAGATTTTTCTTCTTAAATAGTTTCTACACCATTTATTTTAATGATTTGATCATTTGGCTCTAGATTCAAAAAATAATTATTGTACTCAGAAAGTGATATGCTATCAGAAAGAAAATCAGAGTAGGCAGAATCTAATTAAACTGAACCATCTACAAGTTTAATTTTTGCAGTTTTCAAGTAAAATTATCTATCATCTTTTTCGTAAGAATTACCCATATTTCTAGGTTTTTTAAATTTATCTTCTTCAGAATCATAAGATGAAAGTAAAGAAGAAGATGAAGATGAAGTAGAAGAACCTTAATTGTTTATTTTATGGTTTAATTTTTTTTCTTTAGCTTATTTAATCATGAAATGCCTGATTTTTTTTAAATCTCTTCTCACTAATTTGATTTCTTTCAAAGAATTAAATTTATCATACTTTCTCCTTTCCTTAAAAGCCCTTTCCACGGGCTCTGAGTGTATGTATCTATGCACAATAAATTCTTTCTTTCTTATGTGATGCATTAATGGGCATGTTGATATTGTATGATATAATTTATTACAAACTGTACAAGAAGTTTAAAATGCTTTAGAATTTATTGTTAGATTATCTCTCATCATGCAAAATTTTTCCTAATTCAAAAATAAATTAAAGTTTCTTTTTTCTAAATTATTTTTCTTACATAATCTTCAGGGTAGTTCATTAAAACTTCCTTAAAGTCAATTTGAGAGCAAAATACAATCAACGTGAAAGAAACGCTTTTTGCAGACTATGTCAGTAAAGGTTAGCCAAAAAACTAATCTTTCCCGAATGCTTGTCCTTTCTTTAATAAAAAAATACTTTTTTAAATTTAAATTTTAATATCAATTTATTTACTTAAATAATTTCATAAATATATTATTTCTGGCTTGTTTCTATGAAAAGCTCAACTCTCCCCTTCGCTACAAAAAATATTCTATCATCCAAATTATTTTGAGAATAAATTATTTCTCCGGGCCCGTAGTAACATTCTTACATTCTAAGAGCTAAATCTGCTAAGCATTAAGGAGTAAAATTGAAGTTCAATATTTTATACTAATTCAGTATAGTCCCATAAAAATCCCTCTTGATTTATCTCTACAATTCTTCTGATAAATTGTATACAATATCTTAACCTCTAAGAGGTTATTAATCTTCTTTGTTTTTAACATAATCTAGATATTTCAAAGCCTTCATTTATAAAGATTTTGTTATAGATCTCATTGACATATAGTGATTCAAATCATATCTCTTCCTCCTTTAAGTATTTTATAATTTTATTAAAACAATTTTTTTAAAATATTTATTTTACTTAAACTCAGCTTCTTTTTAGAATTTCTCATGCATAATACCTCCTATAACACTTAATGTATACCCAAATATACCACTTGATATCATAGTAACAATAGAAACATATACCTTCTCTAAATAGTTATATGGATGAATATCTCCAAATCCTACTGTTGTCATCGTTATTATACTTTAATAGTAAAAAAATATTTTTTAAAAATATTGAAACTTTGATCATAAAATTGTTGAGATAAATATAAAATACTGTAAATCTAAATATAAAATTTAACTCTATTCATTTTTTTAAATGGGTCTTATTTTTTTATCAATAAAATTAATTAGGTCTTCATTAAATAGGATGGATCTTAATTAATAAGGATTTAAAGTGTAGTATTCAATATTGCAATAAGCATTATTAATAACATCTTTTTAAAAAAAATATACTATTTATTACCTAAAATAGAGGGAATTAATATATTATACAATCCAGTTTGATTAATCAAGCTGATTTTAGGTAATCCAATCTTACGAGCCACTCGGCCCATTAAAGGCGACATAAAGAAATCCACAGCTAAATAAATGAGCTAAGAATAAATCTATATAAATTAATTTAATGAGGGTATATGATGGTTGTATGTTTTAGGAGATAAAAAATTTCTAATGGATAACTTCTTCTATAACAAAGAGCTCTCTCAGTTTAAGAAGAATGAGTAAATGTAATACACTAGGCTTTTATGTATAACTAAATGCTATTATTATTAGGATGTCATAAATGGAGTTTTTTTTGAAGTAATTTTTTAAGATTCTTTTTCTATCAGTAACTACATTACCTTGCTTATAATAGGATGTATTGCATTTTATAAATATATCAAAAAAATGCACTGATAAAGGGATAACTCTACCCAGCAGTAGTTCTTCTTATTCATTATCAAACTCAAAAACTACATAGAGGGGCGTACAATAAATTAAGAAAGTATAGGCGCATAAAAAGAATAAATTCAAATAAATAAGTATCCCGCTTTCTTAAGACAATGGTTCTAGCCATGATTAATTTTTAAAATAAGAAGCAAAGGCTCTTATAAACAGAGAGAAAAAGCTTACATTTTCTTCATCTTTCAAAATATATGCTTTATCACTAACCATAGTTATATGCTATTTAGTTAATCTGGAGAACAAATAAACACTGCTTTATGCTTATAATTTTTCAACAAATTTCCTAACTAAACCAAGCTTTTTTACAAAGTTCCACTTCCTTTTTGTTGAAGAAGAAGACTTTTTAGATTGGCTAACATAATTTGAATTCATTATCTCAGTAGTTCTTCTTTAGTTGCTAAATATTCTACCCTTTTGAAGTACACTAGATATATGGCTATCCATTTCAATTTCTCCACTTATTTAAGGGGGAATATTTTAAGATACTTTATTATTCAACTCTGTAGCTGCTATTTAAGTTGTAAATAACTTATCTTCTTCATAATTTTTGTCGTTTAATCCATTAGGTCCACCTCCAAACTCATCTTCATGCTTTACTCTTTTTTAAAATAAACTTTTTTAGAAATTACTAATTCTTCTCCTTGTTCTTTCGCCACTATTCATACTTGCTACTGAGTTCCTTGGCTTAGGAGAATTAATCATAAAGGGATCTAAATGCATAGGAGAATCCTTTTTTTAATCTTATTTTTATCTTCTTAAGGCATTCCCTATTATTATTTTTTGATTAGTATCAGGGGTAGGTGAAATTAGATCTTTATCTAAATCTTCAAGTGTTTCAATTTTATCATTTTTATTATTTTCTGATGCAAATTATTCTTGAGGCACAATTGATGTGTTTTGCTTTACAAACTTCTTTTCTTTGACAGAATTTGTTTATTGGCTTATTTAATCTTATAATATAGTCCCTGAAAGTCTCTTTTGATCTTTGGATGAATTTAAAAATTTGTTGGATTTAAAATACTAATTTTCCTTCTTGGAAGGTAGTTTTAAAAACTTTTTATTCTATTTGGGTTTAAGCATATCTTTTTCATCATTATCTCCAATTGTTTCCTCAGGGAAAATCTAAGTAACGTTCTTAGGAGATGTAAATAATATCTCGCTATTCATTTTTAAATCCATTTCTATAAGTATTAAAAATAACTAAATGCTAAAATGTTAAACGTAAGTCTTAACTTACAATATTGTCTGCTTGCTATTTTTATATACTTCTAGTATTATTCAAAATTTCTATAAATCTTTAATAAATTAATTAAACTTTTTGTTTTCAATTAAAAGTAATTAATTAATTGGCTTCTGTTTTCACATTAAACTTGATAAATTGAATTCGATTATTAACTTAAATTATATATTTATGTTCTTAATATTTACCTAAAACTTTTTGACAAAATGTTTAGTTTTGAACATTTCAGAAGTATTCTCTATAACTAAGATAATAGTTATATAAGCTGACATTATTATTAATCAATCTAATTATTTTATTTTTTATTTACTTTGATACATTAAAAATTAGAATTCCAATTTCTTAGTTAGCAATCTTTAATTAAAATGTGTTTTATACAAACAGTTTTAATAATAGCTTTCAACACTTTTTCACTCTTTTACAATAGCTTCATAATTAATTTAATTAATTAAATATTTTTTATACTTAGTTTTTGAAACTATACATACAAGCTCAATTATATGTTTACTGGACTAATAAAAATATATAAAAATTATAACTTTAAAAATACTTTATAAAACAAAACAAATAGTGTAAAAATTTAAATAGCAAGTAAGAAAGAAAATTTATGAAGATACTTTAGATTGATTTATTGTGTGGTATAGCATGATTAATAATTAAATTTATATTTAAAATTAATATTTCTATTGAAATAAATAATATCATAAAACCTAGTTTTCATATCCTTTGTTTTTAGAAGTAACGCAACAAATAAAAGTATAGATAAACTAAAATAAATTATAATAACTAAATTGATTATAGAAGGAGAAATGTAATTCACATTATTTTTGTAATTAGTAACAAATTATAATTGTTAATTTCTCTCTTTGCAGATCTAACTCTAATTTTTATAAAAATATTTTACATTTTTCAAAATCTTATTATATCAATTAATACCATAATAAAAAATCATGAGAAATAACTTTTATTTAACTATATTTTGATGATACATTTAATTGATATATTCTAATAAAAATTTATAATTATTAGATAAAATTAAATTTTTGTTTTTATTATTTTAAAGAAAAATATACATTTAAAATTAATCAAACAATAAAATATCAATATGTCAATAAAAAATCTAATGATTTTGATATCACGATAATTAATTTAATTGGCATATCTTAAAAATTATATAAAAATTTATAATAAATTTAAAATTAATAAATGAATTTATTTTAATTTTAATTATTAACCACTTTAAATTTTTTTTTTTACAACTATTGAAGTAAAAAATAATTTTAAAGTTGAGGAAAAAATAGATTAATTTTTCAAATATTAATATTATAAATATTTTTAAATATTATAGCACAATAATTTACACTAAATAAATATGTAGTTTATTTGCTAAAATAAATAAAAATATTTGTATATGTAATGCTTCATTTTGGTAAAGTCTTAACACCACTTGGAGAGTGAGTAAAAATTGGAATTAAACCTAGTTCATTTTTATGCTCTTCCAAAGATTTTATTCCTAAATAAATTTTGTCTTAGATTGTATCATTATTATCTTCTGTTATATCAAAATTAATTTAATTTGATAAGCTTTAACTTAAAGAATTGAGAGGTGTATTAAATTCTTGAACATTTTTCTATTTTTTAAAATATTGTGACATTTAAATATCCTGTTTTTAACTAGATTATCTTGCAATTAAAAGTGATTACTACCTTGAAAATTATAAATTTTATCTTTATTTAGCTTGACTTTCTGTTATTTAATTTGGCTATGAGCTGTTTAAGTAAGACTAATTTACATCATAAAGGTTAGGATCTTCTTAAATATCTAAATGATATTGATAACAAATAAAGTGAGACTAGTCATATACTCTAATGAGATAGCTGTTTATATCAGATTTAATAGGAATCCCTTCTAAAAATATAACACCACTTTTACAATCGTAAGACATCCAATTAGGTAAAGAGTTGTACTTTGACATAGGAAGACTTTTATATTACAAATTAAAAATTTTCCTCAAACCTAAGCAAAGGCCTTCTTCAATTTTTTCATAAGCTTCAACTGATAAAATTTAATTTTTCTATAAGTGTAAAGACTCACCACAGCATCTCAATATTTTTTTTGCACTTATAAAATTTAATCCCAGTGTATCTGCAAATAAAACTTATTTAATTAATTTATAAAAAATATTTAATATTTATCAAATTTAATTAAAAATTTATTGATTTTAAATCAATCAAGAAAGATACACAAAATTTGTTTCTCATTTAATAAGAAATTTTAAAATTTATGATTTTGGAAATCCAAACTATTTACTTTGCTTATATAAAAAAAGAAGTATATTACTCATTAAGTTATTATAATTTAATTATTTTCTTAATAAGTTAATGCTTTAATACTAAATTAAATATAATGTTAATTAAAATAAAATAAATTTAGTCAAAATTATATTAAATAAATTACACCAAAATAAACAAATTAATTTACCTTCTTTTATCAAGTTAAAATCAATACCGAGCTAATTCAAACAGCTTTAAAATTAACTAAAACTAATATTTTCAGGTATTAATTTTACTATTTTAAAAATGTCAAATAATTAATCTTCTTTTAAATTTGTCAATGGAAAAGAAGTAGGCACTCCATGGTTATTTGATTGGTTTGTTGGTATTATCTCAACATACATTTTATACCAATCATTTTATAGGTATTTTCCTTATTCTAAAGCATATTTTTTAATCGTTTAATACGCATTGAGTGTAATTTTATCATTATCTATTAGATATCTTAAAACATTTGCTTTCAAACAATAATAAAACTTGCTACCCTTATCTTTTAAATCTTTGGCATACCTTTCTATTTTATAATCAAGCATGTTATATTAAACAGTAAGCTTTTATTTAATAATTTATTTAAACAAATTATCCATATGGAATGTTCCATCTTGATTTTAAGTTAAAAGTTTAACGCAAATGTAATTCTTATTTTCGACATTTTTTAAATTACCACTCTAGGATACTTGATCTAATTAGTTACTGTTATCTTTATTCGTTTAAAGCTAAATATTTGAAGTTTAAAGATTATTTGCTAATTTGTCATAGTCAAGAGGGGTTTAGTCTTTTAGTCTTTTTATTAAATCTTAATTTACATTTTTTTGATTATTTAGAACTGAATTTCTTTCTGTTTAATATTAATCATTATCTTCATTATTTTGCATGAAAGTGTCATTTTCTGGTCTATTAGTTCTAATATTATCCATTTAACTTTCTTTTTGATCTGCATTTTATTCTAATTAAGAATTTTTTCTTTGGCCAAAAGATAAATACTCAGATTTTGCAATATTTAACACTTTGACATCATTTCTTTTAGAAGGAGATTGTTATTAAAATTGCTAATCTAACTCTTAAGTTTAATCTTTATTTTGTAATTAGATTATATTTGGAACAAGTTATTTCGATTTATTAACAATTGATCGTTATAATTATGTTGAGCTTTTCTTTTAAACCTTATATGCTTATTTAACATATTTATGGAAAAACTAATTGGCTACTTCATAATCCTAATCTAAAATAGATATTTTTTTTGTGTAGATTTAATTTACATAAACAGTTTCCGTTGAGTACATAGTTTGATCCCTAAAATAAAAATTCATAAAAGCCATTCTTTTTTTATAAAAACCAAAAGCAAAAGCCAATGGACCAAGAATTTAAATTAATATATTCAAAACATAACTAAATGGCATTATACTGATATTAAAGTAAAAGTCTTCATGAATGGTATCATAACCATTTGTTATCTGCAATCTCAAATAAATTGTTTTAAATAGATAGGAAGAAGGTGGTGTGCCCACTAATCGGAGATTTATATTATCACATTTTATGAACGAATCTGATGATAGTGGTACGTATTATCCATTTATTTCCTAAAGAAATTCATAAGTTAGAGATATTTAATCTGGATCTATAAAAGACTTCACATCAAATTATATTAAAAATGACTCGTTTATTGTCAAGTCTGCTCCTTGATATTCATCGTTAACTTATTATTACAGCCCTTTCTGCTTAAGGATATTCTACTTAAGTTTTAAAAATTTAACCTCATTCCCGACCTGTAAATCAAAGTTTAAATCATAATTAAACTTGTCAACTATTTGAATAGAAATTATTTATGAACCACTGAAAGTTTGGTTATTCTACTTTGTTTTATCAAAATATAATATTCCATTACTCAAAGCTTAATTTACGTACTTCAAGTCTCCTTCAATTTTAATTACAGTTTATTAATCGTTAAAATACATGATTAGATTTGGATATATTTTCTGAATGAAAACATACTAAGAGCCATCAGGAAAAGAAAAACTAACTGAAATATCATTTTAAATTGCAGATATCATTTACTAAGAGTTGTTTTAGTTGAATTGTAAAGAACTAACTACATCAAACACAAATTAGTTATAAACTATTGTTCTTTTATAAGTCTCAGTAACGTAAGACTAAATGTTAGCTAATCTATTAGAATCTATGGATTTAAAGAGGTTAGAGAGATTGAAATATTAATAAGCTATAGGATCGAAAAAATTAGTAGCACAATTAGATCCATCAAGATAGCCATTTTACTTCAAGTATGTAAATATTAAATCACTTTCATCAGAAGTTGTTGTTACATCACTTGTGTCGAATATAAAGGAAGTATTATCTAATTAAAAACATGTCTGAATTACTATAGTTAAAAAGCTAATATTGCTTCCTTGAGAATCTAAACATTCTTTAGGAACATCAATTTATATCAAAGTTTATAAATTTCTATTACTTTAATCTGAGTTATCAATTAACATCCATGAAGGTAATGTTTTTAACTCAAGATTTTAATAATAATAAATTTAATTAATAATTTGGTTTGGTTTTCTATAAAGCTACACAAATCTAGCACGATATTTTAAACCTATTTAGAAGGGATCTTCATTAGACATTTCAATAAACTCGTTTGTTTAAATAGACTGGACTTCTCTTTCAACATGAATTGATACTGAGCTTTACAAATTATAAAGACGCACACCTGCAGCATCTGCAGAAAAAATGAAATTCAGACCAGTTGGATCTAATTTAATTGATTATTTTATTTTTCATTAAAAAATATACAAGAAGTTTTTAGGAATGAAGTAAAATTTTGTTTCACTCAAAAATTTTAATGAAATTTGTAAAATTAAAAAAGTAAATTTAAAGTTTAGAAAAAAATTAATTATTTCATTTAGTTAAAATATTTGATTGAAATTAATTACCTATACAGCTAGTAATAGAATCTTGAGATTAAACAGTGGATGTCATAATAACTCTTGGATTATGTTTATCACTTAGATCAATAAGTGTTAAAGTACCAGTGTCCATTGTTGAAATAATTCCATAAATCTCATTTAATGTAAAGGAGATGTAATTTGCCCAGCCTGAAGTAGGAAATTTTCCTACAACAACTATTTTAGGGAGCTATGTAGAGTCTAACAATACTAAACCATTAAATCCGTCTACAAAATATATTATCTTATCATTTTTTGAGCGTAGTAAAGTTTCTCCACCATTTGTTCTCCACTGATTGACCATTTTAGGATTTTTCATATCAGATGTGTCATAAATATATAAACCTATATTTCTTACAACAGACAATGCATATTTTGTATCATGAGAAAAAACAGCACCACAACAAGTACCTGTATCTGGGTTAGTGTACATAGAAATTACTTCAAATTTTTATACGTCTACTAAAACTATTCCTACAGTAAAAGCCATTACCGCATGCTATTCATCTTCGCTTAAATTTATTTCTTCACAATAATAAACGTTGTCAAACTTCAATCCTTAAACATATTAAAAAGAATAATCACCATTATCAGATTTAATAACTTTGAATTTATAAGCTATTATGTTAATATCCACCTACTGAGAAGGAAAAATAATATATTATTCATCTTTAGTAAATTGAATGTCATCAATATAAAATCCCATAGGGATGGATTCATTTGGTCCAAATACTCTGAATGAGTCAGTACTCACTAGTTACTAAAGGCTATCTGAAAATTAATACTAAAGTGTAAGTTTAGAAGGAGAAGATTTGGTGTAAGAATTAAGGCTAATTTTAAATATACTTAGACTAATAGTATCAAAAGCGGCAAGCAAATACTTACTGTTTGCAGATACTTTGCACCTCCACTTGGAAGCTGCATCGCTTTCAACGAAAAATTAAGACTATTAAAGATTAAACAGATTAGGAATATAATTATAAAGAGAAGGTTTCTATTTTTAGTAAACTGATACAGATAGAGAGTTTGAATAGTAAATATACTAATTATCAAATTATCCTTATAAATTCTTATTTAGTTTAGGAGATAAGCATAATGAAAAAGACTACCCACTTAACTTTAGCTATTAAAAAAATATAGGATTTAAAGGATCTGCTATATTATAAATGAGTATTCCAATTGATCTTGCTCCAATAAATAAAAATTAATCATCTGAGCTCATTCCTATTGAAGATGTATATCCTGCACTACTACCGAGATTAGCTTATACCAACTATATTTTATCTTTTAATTATTAAATAAATAAATAAATAAATAAATAAATAAATAAATAAATAAATTATTTTGGATAATATTTTAAAAATAAATTAAAATTAATCTCTTTCAAAATTTATGAACTTAAATAAGAATGTTAAAATATTTTTTAATAAAGTAAATGTTCTAACATTTTTTCTTTTTTATTTAAATAATTTTATATCTTCATGCTTTAATGTGAAATTGTGGAGGGGCATATTATTAATTAAATAGTAAGCTAATTTTATTAAGCTTGAAAGAACGTCTTACTTTAATAATTTTTATCTTGAATTTAGTTTACATACTAACAAAAAAGTAAACTAATTAATAATTATCAAAATTAAACCACATTTTAAAAAGCATATTTTTAGTGCTTTTAAAATGAACTATTTATTTTAGTTTAAATTTATATGAATTAGATTTAAATAAATATTTAGTCTTCATAAAATATTAATTCGCTAATATTCTTTCTTTTTCAGTTTTAAGTTTTTTTATAAAATTAGTAATATTACTGTTATTTTTGTTTTCTAAATTATCTCCTTCTGTAAGCAACTAGCTTAAATCGTAAAGCAAGTAAACGCCATCCCACTTATCAATAGCAAATATGTATTAGTTCTTACTCGTTACTGCTAATTCTGTAAAGCTAGAAATAGCTGGTTTGTATAAAATTCTAGTTAAATTTACTGTTAAATTGCTTTTTATTTAAATTTCATCTATTTTAAAGCAAAGCAACCCATCTTAATAAGCAATAACATAAAAAAATTTATTATCTGGCGATATTATTCCTCTAGCAAATACCATTTATGGGTATATTAGCTCTCCAAGCTTATTTAAAGTTGTTATATTTCTAGCATCATACCATTCTATCAAGCCATAGTAACCTAAAATAAACAAAACATCTTCTTATAAATTAAACTCTATTCCTACTATTACTGTATTTGGCATGCTAATAGAGTTTATCATAGAAATGCTAAAATCAATTTAGTTTAATTTAAAAATGCCAACTTAATTAATCATTCCTAAAAGAATGTAGTCAGAATTTTTAGATATTTGTATGCATTAAATGTAACTTTTGTCTGGAGAGGGGAATATCTAAGTTTTGAATTTTTGGTCAATAATCATAATTCCAGCATAACCAACAGCAGCTACAGCTATTCCAGAGTTTTAAGCTACTTTGATAGTGTTAGAAGTCCCATTTTTACTTTAAACATCAAATGTTTAGTAAGGAATGGAGTTGAATACAAAGTCTATTTGTGTTTAACTAGTAATGGCTTAAATGTAGGACTATAAAAAAATAAGATAGTAAAAAATTTTAATTCTCATGCTTTTTTTTAATTTAATTAATCATATGTTTTTTTTATTAATATTAAGTAAAAATACAATTCAAATAAAAAGCAAGTTTTTCAATAATTTTTTAATTTTAACATCTCTTCAAGTAATTGCCTATTATTTTTTCGTAGTTTAAGTATTTAAATCAACTTTATTAAAGTAGATAAAAAACATTTTTCTTTTTTCTCAAGTTTTTCATGTGAAAATTGAGTTTGTTATTTTTATTTTAATTGAATTATTTTTAATAAATATATATTATAGCCAAATAAATGCCATTCAAAAATTTAGTCAATTGAGATCACTATTTTTTTGAATGGCTGATGCGTTTAAATATTATTTATTAAAAATAAATAATTTTATAATAGAATTTAATTAATAATATTTATAATTTTAATTTATATCAATCTCTATGATTTTTATATTAAATTACTTTTTAATATTAGACTTTTTTTTGAATTTTTGTTCAAAATAAAAATTTCATAATCTCTAAAGCTAAAATTTTAGAATGGTACCATTTTAATAGAGAGTAAAAGGTAAATTTATAAAAATTAAATATTATATTTATTTAGCTTTAAATAATTAAGTGATAAAAATATATATTGAATTAATATGGATACTAATTTATTTATTTTAATTAATAGACAAGCATCAAAAAAAAATAAATTTAAATCAAATTTAATACAAAAAATGTTCAAAAAAAATAAAATAAATGCACAGTATTTTGTATTGTTTTATTATTTAGAGTAACTTTAAAATTTTATTTAAATATTTGTTTTAAAATATTAAATGGACTTTTATTTTTTGGTGAATTTTATTATTTCTTATTGTAACAAGTTAAATAACATTCAATAAAATTTTATTACTTTATTGTATATTTTTTAATTAATGAGAGAAATTCATTTGAGGTTTGTAAATATGTAATTTAAAAAAAAATGTGGAATACAATTGATGTCTTTTTTAGGAATATGAATTTTATGAAAAAATTCCAAAGAAAAAAACTAATTTTTTTTATTTTTGCTGGAAAACGTTCTAAAAATAATTCTTTTATCAATTATTTACTTATTAATTAAATTTAGAAACCAACAAACTCAAAAAATTTAAATTAAGTTGTAAGTAATTACTAAACAATTATTGTAATTAAAGTTAAGAAATAGATAGCCAAAATGAATAGTTAAACTCAAAATTCTATTTGTTATTGTTTAGTTTGCTACAAAGAAGAACATATTGAGAATTAGGTTTTAGATTGCTCTTGTTGTATTTGCTTTGAATGTGCAGACTCGTGGTTTGCTACTAAAATAAAAGAAAGAAAGTATGATCATAGAGTGAAGTGCCCTAATTAGCATTGTCCCAGATAAAAAGAGTATGCGTATGAGGATTTGATAAGGTTTCAAAAAGCTAATGATTAAATGTTAATCAACTATTGCTAAATATCTAAAGATATTTCATATTGCCCTAATTGTGATTACAAAGGATATTATGAAAATTCTAAACAATCTCTTTGCGATGAGGACTTTGTCTGCTAAAAATGTAATAACAAATGGAGCTTATAATCTAGAGAGAAATATTTTTTTACTGAAGTAAAGACCTCAATTCAAAAGCTATGGAGCACATCTAGCTGTCCCTAGTGCCATGCACATATCTTGAAAGCTGGAGGTTGTCCTTAGATGAACTGTAAAAGCTGTAGTTTTAGATTCTGCTGGAATTGCAAGCAGTCGCAAGAAAATCATTAATTTAAATACTGCTTTATATGGACATTAGGAACAACATTTATATAAACAATACCAATATTGATTATTCTTTATTTTATAGGCATACACTAAATGTTGAAAAACTAAGCCATGCAAATATTCTAAATTGAAGGCATGTAAGACTTTATGCAAAAAACAATAGATTTTGTCTTTAGATATTCTATATACCACATTCCAATACCTCTACTTGCTATAACTTTTGATAACTATTCTGTTTTGTTCACTCTCCCGAGACTTATATTCACATGGATTGCTATTCTTTCAGTTATTCTATGCTTTATTTAAATCGAAGAATTCCTATCAATTTTAACTATTGAAGGCTTTTCATTTCTTTTTGTCTTAAAGTTCTACTGAGTTCATTTATTTAAAAATTTCACTTTTAAATAAAAAAGAGTTTGCTAATTTATTGTGCTGCTTGCTTGCTGAAATATGCAAAAAGAATATTAATAAATTTAAGAAAATAAATAGAAATAAATAACAAACAAAATTATAAAGAATTACTTTATACTAAATTTTATTAATTATCAAAATTCTACTATTATACTGATTTACTTCTCTCTATTTATTTATTCACTACTTATATGTTTATTTATATATATATATTTATGAATATATAAGATTTGAATTAAATCTCAAAGTCATTTAGAAATTATTATCATAATTAATTAATTAATTACTGTTAATACTCATAAAAAAAATGCAAACAAATATATTCTTTCATAAATTAATTGCTCATTCACTTGAAAGATGCATTTAACTCTCCTTTTATTCCCTTTTTATCTTCCTTTTCCTCAGTTTAAATTAAAACTCTAATACAAGATTTTTAAGATGAATTTTCAGTAACATAAAGAATATTGCTCTTTTATGTAGAGAAAGCTAAACCTGATATTTCAGGAGAACCTAAAAGAGTTATATTTTCAACTACTTAGCCATTTTAAGTATTGATTACGCTAATTAAACCTTCATCAGAAAGTTAAGAAAACTCATATCTACCAACATATAATAAATCAGAAGGACTGACAGTACATGCAATAGGACCGAATCTACCTTAGAAAGTAGCAAAAACGCTTTTTATAAATATAAAATATTTAATTTATTTAATTTTAAATATCACAGCTAAAAATTTTTATTTTGAAGACGTTTCATATTTTTTATTTATTTATTTACCTGAAGTAGAAAATACCTTATGGAGTTAAAACAAATCTGAGTACTCTATTCTTGCATGTTTCACAGACATAACTATATTATATTTGATAGTAAAATTAATAAAAATCCATTTATATATATTATTAAATATCTTTTTTAGTTAATGAAAATAGCTATTTACAGTATTTTCTCATCAGTAGAAAGAGCAAGACCACTAGGATATGCTAAACAGTTTAATGCTAGAGGACGAACAAACTTATCTTCTAAATCTATCATAAATACACTACCCTAAATTGTGAAAATAAATAAAATACTTTAAACAATTATATTTTAATAACTTAAACATAAATATATATTTGTAAATATATACATACCTTTGGATTTTCAATAGAGGTTTCACCAAAAGGACCAGAATCAGTAAATATTAAACTATCTATTTTTTTGTTTAATACAAATTGTAGCGAAATATTTTAATAAGCTGCATTTTAAAAACTTACTTAATTGCTCAGAAATTGCTAAAGAATGAGGTCCTAATAGAGGTTAACCTTCATATTCTTTTATTAATTCATGAATATCTTCTTATCCATTTTCGTTAACGATACGAGCAAAAATAGATTAATGGGCCATATCTGCTAAGTAAAACATTTTTCCAGATGAATCAATAACTAAAGATGATGGTTAACCAGCAAAATGGAATTCATTCTTTTTTATAAATAATTAAAATAAATTACTGTTATTTGTATTTGATTGGTGTTTAGCTAATTAGTTGCTATTTGTATTAATTTTATTATTTTTGATGTTAATAAAAGCATCTCATTTTTAAAAATTACTTTTAACTAGTTGTCTTTAAAGCTCAATATTTCACCATTTTATGAAACAATATAAAGAGATCCTTCAACTTCAAAAGGAGAAGTTAAATTAGCTGAAAACTCACAAATTCTTTCTTATGGATGACTCATTCTAAATAAAATATGCTTAAATTTACTTTTTATAATTAATCAAACTTTTTATTAAAGTCGGTTTTGTATCTTTCTTTCCTATACAATTAATAAATTAATTATATTTCAAATTATCAGAGTTATAATTTTTATTATTATCTCAAATAGTTTGCAATTTAATTCTTCTTTGTGGTTTTAAAAATCAATTACTTTTTGTACAACTGATTTTGTTATTTATTTTTTTCTAATAATTAATTTAAATTAATTACAAATTTTAAAACAAAAAAGGCAAAGAGGAAATTATCAATTTTTTTTTTCCAATACGAAATAATGGAAAAGCAAATAATAAAAAGGAATTTAAAAAATGAAAGCTAACACTTTTTAAGTTTTTAACAATAATTTATTGAATATAAATGGGTAGTTGGTGCGGATTGCAAGTTTTTAACCCCCTCTTGTTAGTTTTCATTTAAAACCTACAAAAATATTTGCTTTTTATCTTTTCGGAATTCTCTCTTCATCTAAGATATTTTCTCAAGTTTTTCATCAAATCGGTCCAAAATATCTTAGAACTTCTTCTATTACCATGTCTTATTCCTATTATTTATGTATTTTTAATTCAAGAAAGCATATATTATACTGAGATAAATGAAGAGCAGGAGACAGGCATACAGAATGAGGTTAATTGATTGAGAACTATAAGAAGATTACTTAAAAATCAGCAAGAAAAATTAAAAATAAATAAATAAATTTAAAAAAATTAAAAGAAAATAAATAAATAAATTTAAAAATAAATATTAATAAAAATAAAAATAAATAAAAATAAAAATTAATGAGATAAAAATAAAGAAAAATTAAATCCAAAGACAAATATAAAATAATAAAAGAAATAAAGCTAAATTCATTTTTTAACTATTTAAATTCATTACTATCAAACTATTTTTTTCATCCTTTTTTAAAAATTTTTTCTAAGCAAATATTTTTCAATCAAATTGAATATTTAAAAAAGATAAGAAGAAATTATTAAGAAATTTTAAGATAAGAAATAAATTTGATTTAAGCTAATAAATTTTAAATTCTCTTAGAAAATATAAAGAAATATAGTGAATTATGTACAAACAAAATAGAATAAAATAATTATTTTTAATTTATTTATTTATATATATATTTTTTATTATGTTTTATAACATTTTTGTTTTAAAATTATTTGAAATCTATTCAATTTCATTCTGTTTTGGCCCATTCTATGGCAAGCTTTCTACCATACAAGTGAGTATTTTCCAAAGCTGTAAATGCATTCTTTGCTTCTTCTGCACTTGAAAATTCTGCGAAAGCAAAACCTCTAATTATTTTAAATTTATATTATTAATTTTGTTATTTAATGAAGTATTAATTATTTACCTATGTTAACCATTCATCTTCTTTGGTAAACGAACAGATTTTACTTCTCCATACACTTTAAGGAGATCTCTTACTTCTTTTTTAGTACATTCAAAAGCAAGATTTCTTATGACTAATTTAGTTGAAATAGGGATGTCAACTTATTTTTGTTTACGCTCCTTTTTCTTGGGATCGTTCTTTTCTTTTTTGGAAACACTTAATTATATTGAATGACCATCTAATAGAGAATTTTAAAGTTTTTTAATAGATTTAATAACAGCTTCATGATCAGAGAATTCAACAAAGCCATAACCTTAAGATTAGCCTTTATTTTTTACTATTTTGACTGATCTAATTGTGCCAACTTTAGCTTTTTCAAATAAGCTTTATAGTGTAGATTCAGTTGTATTAAAACTTAAGTTCTTAATATAAAGAATCTTAGATAACTCATCTTCTATTTCAATTTCTTTTTCTTTTTCTTCTTCTGCCTATTCAACGTCAATCATACCAAGAGGAGCCCATTCAAGATATAAAGGATTATTCTATATTTAAATAGATATTTAAACAAATAAATATTAACTTTATTATTATTACTTTAACAGAGAAATAGGAGAGCTTTTCAAAAGCATTCAAAGCATGACTTTAATCTTCAAATTGAACTACACCAATAGCCTTTTATTTTAATCAAAAGTTTTAATATTAATTATTTTAAACATGTTTTTTACCTTGTTAGGTGCAAGCAAGAATTTAGAAACGTAGCCATATCTACTGAACAAATCTTTAAAACTATCTTGTTCTACTTTAGAAGAAATATTCTTAACAAGGATAGTATTGTTTGATCTTTCACAGTTCTTTCTGTCTGTATTGAGGAAATCTAAGTTTAGACCTTATTTAAGCATCCACTCTTTAGTTTCAGCTATAATTTAAGTTTCAGCATGAGCAATTCTAACAGCTGCATTTTCAGCATCAGGTGACAATATATCACTCTTTATATAAAAATATATTTAGTTTAATTAAATAAAATCCTACTTAATATAAATAATTAATTACCTTTTTAATGTTGTATCTTGAGGCGACTGTTTCTAAGATTGTGTTAGGATTTAAGAAAAGAGTATTCCAATTAGTGTCATCATTTAATGATTTCTTTAATTCAGACTATTAAAAATATAATAAGGAATATTAAGTATTCTTATTATTTATTAAATTTATAATTTATTACCTTCTTTTATTTTTTAAAAGATGATTTTTCAAATTCAATGTCTTTCTGAGCTTTTTCTTCCTCTATTTTCTTTTATTCTTCTGATTTATTTTCTTTAAAAGCTGGTCTAATATGTAGAATTCTACCGAATTAAATCTTATTATCTAACTCAGCAAAAGCTCTCATGGCTTCACCTGCCATAGAGTAAGTGATGTATGCAAAACCTCTAAACTAACCTCCTTTTCCTTTTGGCATTTTTATTTCAAGTAATTTACCATATTTACGGAAGACATCTTTGACTTCTTCTTCAGTGATGTCATAAGGTAAATTTAAAACATAAAGTCTGCAATCATCAATCATAGGGTCATTATTGCTACTACTATTTTTTTATTTGGCATCTTAAGATACTTCTTAATTTTCTTCTTACTCATCCTAATTTGTATTGTCATTTTCGTTATTTCCTTTGCTTTTTTTGCTCTTAATCTTATCAAATTGCTTATCTAAATCATCTAAAGCTGTTTGAGCAAAGTTTACATTTTCTCCTTCTTCATCATCATCTTAATTGTTACCTTTCTTTTTATCATTTTTGGCTTGGTTTTTAAGTTCTTTCTTTGTGGGTTTTGATTTAATTGTTGTTAAAACATCATTCCAACTCATTGTTCCTTTAGATCCTGCCTTCATCAACTTTTTAAACTCTTCAAACTTTTATTCAGCTGTTAGCTCTGAGCTATTAGTAGGTACTTCGCTTGGCTATTCTTCATTTTTCTTAACTTTCTTTTAGAGTTTTTAATCCTGTTATTGACCTTCTCTTTTTTTAAACTAAAAAATAATTTTATTTAAATTTATTCAATAGAAAGCATTCAATTCAATTAATAAATTAGCTATCTTCAATAAATTTTATGCATTTTACTAAATGTAAATTATTAATAGCCAATCAGAGATAATATTTAAATTATAAGCGTTTTAAAATGATTTTGAAAATAAGCTTTAATAGGCTTTTTATTTTATATATTGTGCTTTAAAATAGAGCTATTAAATATAGGTTTTTTTGAATTACCTTTAGGTTTTTTTAGTTTACAATATTAGGGTCATCTGATGTTTTAGCAAAATCAACTTATATTTTATTCATTTATATGTAGGTATTATTGAAATATTCCTTTGCTTTAGTAGCGTCTGCTTCAGATTTATATCCTACATTTAATAATAAAACAAGTAAGAGACTCTTCTTAAAGCTATTATAATATTAGATTTACCGATAAAGCAAAAACGTCTATGCTTCTGTCCTTTTAAACAAACCTTGGCATCAGTAACGCTTCCAAATTTAGAAAATATTTCTTTCAGCTTTTTTTCATCAACATTAGTTGGAATATTTTTAACTATGAGTCTGCTAGACATTTATTTGTAAATTAATAGAGTATGTGTTTATAATTTTTACTTAAAATATAATTTGAAATTTCGATTATAAATATCTTTTATAAATTTTAGTCTAATATGACAGTGTTTTTTTTATTTTATTTATATATGATAGAACTTATAAATTATTTTTAATTAATTTTAAATTCATCCTTTTGTATCTATTATTCTGTTTATTATTATTCTAAATATATAATTCTTCAGTATTTGCTATTACTTCGAATGAAATAATAATTCTTTCTTTCTAATTTCCTGATTTTAAATACTGTGAATTTATTTGTAAGGTTAATATTAAATTTATATTCATCATAGATATTTGCTAACCAAAAAATTTTTATTTCTACTTATACAGCTATACAAATAATTATACATTCATTCATTATTTTGTTATGATTGCTTTTTAGTAGTAGTCAAATAACATAAAAAATTATTTGTATTAGCGTATGTTATTTTATGGTTTAAATTAAATCAATAATTTAAATTTATTAAAAAAAAATTATATAATTAATTTACTAACTAGCTGGCTGCTCTCAACCATTTTCTTCTAAAAAATGAGAAATTAATTATTTATTTATTAGTAATTAGAAAAAAGAATAAAGATAAAGACACTTTTTTTTTCTTCTATATTTAAATGTTTAATTTTGATAAAAACTTTTGAAAATTTTATTTGAGAAAGATAAACTCTTAAATTACAAAAATAAAATACAAGTGATTTTTTCTGAAGTTTATGAGAAATTACATGAATAAAAGGAAGGTTATTTAAAAGATAAAGTATATAATTTTATAAATAGATATTTAAATGTTTAAAAGAATGTTAAAATTCAATAGTTTATCTTAAATTGTAAGAGTTTTTGATCGAAGTCAATAAATATTACTTATTTAAATACAGAAAATTATACAGTTAGTAAATTGGTTTTATAATAAATAGAAGGTATCACTTTAGTAATATTTAATATACAATAAAAACAGGTTGTAATTTAGATGAGAGGGGGCACTTATTTTTTATTTTTAACAAAAAAGTATTAATGAATGAACTATTTATTTAATTAATTAATTAAAATCAGGAGAGAGGGAGATAGGCTGACTCCCAATCGATCAGAATAAAAATTTGTTTGTTTGTTTAGTTTTAATTAACTAAAGCTATTTATTATTTCCTCAGTCAATCAATCAAATTTTTAGAATCGTTTCTTAATAATTATTATTGATGAGCAAAGGATGAAAATTAAAATTTAAAATTAATTAGAAAGAACCCATGATGATTTTTTTGTTTGTTTTTGTTGAGTTTAAATTAATTAGTGAGTTAAAAATCTATTTATTTATTTAATTGTTTATTTTTAATTTTATATTTTAATTAAGTTTTTAAATTTTTAACAAATTTGATATAGTAATCATTTATTTATGTTAGTTTTTTTGTTTAGTTGTTTGTTTTTTTGTTTGTTTGGTTTGATCATTTATTATTAAAATGTATTGAAAGTTAATTTTGAGATTGATAATATAGTTCAAAATATTTTAGATCTAGTTGGAATTAAATAGCTAGGGCGAAAGAGAAAAATGTAGGCTTGAGTTTAAGATATGTTAGAATGAAGAATTTTGTTGGATTGTCTGGTTTTTCAATTGAAGTAATCACATGTTGATTTTTCGATTGTAAAGTATTAGACTTTATTTTAATTAGAAGGCTGATTTGATATAGAAAGTAGAGTTTTACCAGTTTATGGATCTGGAGTCTTTAATATATTATAATAATTACAATATCTCTTCTTTAAATCATAATGAGGTAGCAGTACATCAAAGAAAACGCAGTCTTCAACTGCTTCAATATAATGCAAGTTTTTGTGCAAAGGATCCAAATCATCTATGAAACCTTCAGATAAGATTTCCTCAGAATCTAATACAGCTTCTACAATTTACTATTGCTACATTAAATTCATGTAATCTGGAATCTTTTTATCTGATCTGGCTTGTTATTGTTGCTATTATTGTTAATGATTCAATTGCTATTAAGCATTAGTATAAGATTAACCATTTGCGTTTGATACAGCACTGCTATTCTTTTAGTTTACATTCGAATTACTGATATTACCATTTAAATTTGTATTTATTTGTATATTTCCTGATGAACTAATTCTTTCTTATGACTCACTTAAATTAGGAGATGAGTAAAACTATCCACTCTATGTTTTAGTATCAGTTGAGTATCCATTAAATCCGTTAATATCGAATGAAGAATTATTATTTCCTCCCTTTTAACTATTTGCTATGTTATTTAAAATTTTTTAAATCCCATTGTTTTAATAATTCATATTTTGCATTTAACTCTGCTACTACTATTATTATTACTGCTACTATAAAATAAGATTTTAATTGATGTAGTTGTTTTTAGCGCTAGCTTCGTTCTAAGCTGGTGTTATACGTTATCCATTTAGGTCATTAATTTATGCCTTTGCTGGTTGGGAAGTTTGATTTTTTTTCTGATTACTATTTATTTAAGCAGGCGTTGGATTGAATCCACTCTAATTAATCATATTAGGATAATTAATATTAGTTTTATCGTTAAATTAATTGATGGAAACATATTAGCCATTTTGCTGCTACATTTAAGTTTATTACTACTTCTAAGCCAATAATTATCTCTATTATAATAAAAGCTACTATTGCTATTGCTAAAAAAAGAGTTTTTATAAAATTAAATTTTGAGGATAGTCAAACTAAATATTTCTGTTCGTGAGTGTAAAACTTAGTCTCTTGACTTTGCCCATCAAGATTTTGGAAAAAACAAACATGTTAGGGTGGTCATGGAGAGGAAGAAAACCCCCTTTTGGAATAAAAAAAAGACCAAACGAGAATCGCTCGTCATCCTCAGAATGTATGTTCGCATAGGATATGGTATCTTTATCACTAAAGAGAATGGCATTAGCTTATTAATTACTCGTAATGCCAAAATGCTCTTTTTTGACTGACTCTATAACATCTTTGAGCTTGAGAAGAGTAGGCTTTTTCGCAACTTCCATAATATTTTCCCCTGAGGAGATGTATTCTGCATAAATTTCGTTCGCAGCTTCAAGCATGCTCCTATACATTTGCTGAGATGGGAATTTCAACTTGACTTTATTTTTAGTTTCTTATCCTTCTTCAATTAAAATTAAATCGTCTTAATATTATTGTTATTATATTTTTTCTTAATTAACTTCGCCTGCTTTTTACAAGCGATAAGCTTCTTCTTTAAGTTTTAGTTGTTTTTATTTATTTTAATTAATATATTCCTTAATCAAATTATGGGAATTCTTATCTTTTCTTCTATCCTTTGATTTGAACAAAGTCCTTTTGAAGGAAGAAGGATAAGACTTATCGATTGATTCAAAGATAGAGTCGTTCAAAATGTTAAATTTTTTTATGTTTGATTTTGCAAGGGAAGGGTTAAATATTTAATCTGCTTAAATTTTTTGAAAAAGCAGAGGATTAATAGTATTTGTGGTTAATAGACCTTGCGAAAGTTAATTACTCAATTTTACAATTGCTAAATAATTAATTGATTTGATATGATATGATATATACAAATAAATGTATATTTATTTTTTAAATTAAGGAAGATAGATATTCCTACAAAAAGCAATTGATAATTAATTAATTAATTAACTCTTTTTCTTTATTTTAGTGTTTTTATCTTTAATAAAATTATTATGATTTTCATTCATGGCTTATAATCTCTCTTTTAATTGATTTTTCTACGAACGTTAATCTAATCAATTGATCTTCTTTATAATTAAAGTTTTTTTTGTTCATTCATAAATAGCAAACAAATATAAGATTTGATATGCATTCTTTTAATTTACGATTATAAAGATTACTAATTTTCTATTTTTCTTTACTTGCTTTATTTATTTTGGCTTCTTTCTTTCTTTCATTATCACCGAAATAGTAAATTAATGTTCCTTTTTGCAAAAAATAATTTACCGATATTTGAAAGATAAAATTATGTTAATCAAATTGGCCAAAGTCACCTTCTCCAACTCGTTTAGTGACTTTAGTACCTATCTTGCATAAAAAACCACTCTCCACATAATTTTGATCATAATAGTAGTAAATGCAATTATGTTTGTTTCTGTGTTGTTAATAATTATTTACTTAACCCCTAAGTTCTGTTAATCTTTTACTCAGTGAATTTAATAAATTTACTACCCGTGAGTTCTGAGTATATGAGTATAGTTTTCTATATCCAAATATTAATTGAGAATCAAGATTAAGATGATATATATAATTTTAAACAAAATACTTGCACAAAGCTTAATTATAAATTTATAAATATAATGGAAATTTTAGAGAATATTAGAGATTACTCTATATCATTATTTATAATCGATATGTTTTTAATTCTATCAATTGCAATCGGTCATGACTTACAGAGCTACAAAATTTTCTACTCTACAACAAACTTTAATTAAAGATTTTTATTCATTGCATTTGCTTTTCGTTTTGCTTTTTAGACCTTATCAATTTATTCAAAGTCCATCCAATAAAATTTATTTTTCTTATTTAAAATAAATGTGAATATTTATTTGGTTATTGAATAAATCTGACAAATTTGTGAACACTCCTACATTTTTATTATTAATTTATTTCCCATTTTTCGAATAGTATAGGTAAGTTGCCACATTTATTGAGAAATTACTTTATACTTTATTCTTAATCTTTAAAAAACTTCATAATTACTGAAATTAATAAAAAGGAGAGCTAGCTTAAATGATCATCCAATTAAAATATCATTAAATACTTAAAAGTAAAAGCTAATAAATATGTTAAAAATTTTTAAAACTTCTTATTTTCAATTATCTTTTCTCATTTTGACATATTAAATTTTAGTATTAAAAAAATTTCATTTATGCTTGAAGGAGTTAAAAATATTTTTCCTTAAAAACAAAGGCAGAAAAATTCAAATTTCCTCATTATTTAGTAAGTTATATGCTACTGTAGACTACTATTTCTATGTAAAAGAGAAAATCAATCTTTTCAAATATAAATCCCCTAAGGTGCATTTAATTCTGACGAGTTATAGCTACATATAAATGAACAATTTTTAAAATATTATTTTAAAGCTATCCCAAAATTATTATAGACTATGCCTTGAAAGTATGCTAGTCTTAAAACTAATCCTACATACATTAAAATTCAACCAGAATAAACCTTAAAATGATAAATATTTAAGCCAAATAGCAAAAATAATTTTTGTTGATTTGTATGGAAAATTTTTCTCCATCATTTAATAAAGCTATCTTGTTACAGATTATGAATTCAAATCAAAATAAAATTTTGAAAGGATAATATTTTTGTTTTATACCTGCTTTGATTTCCTGTCAATCTATAAGCAAAGATTTTTATCAAATCCTATTGGCATCCACCATCTCCATTTATAAAAAGAAAATATATCTCTTATTTTTCTTCCTTATTTAGAATTTATATATTATATTACGCCTACCAACATCTCTCGTCTATAGCTTGCTTATTTTCTATTTAAATCAAATTTTAAAAGGATCAGACAGAAATAGCATCTATTCATTTGATTATTTTTGAGCTCAGCAACATTCTTAAATAGAGACAGCCCAGTTTAATTTAATTAAGTAATTTGTGAAAGATTAAAATAATAAAATTGCCCATTTTTAAAATATTTAATCCCCTTTAAAATAATAATTCTAATATCTTGACTTATAATATTTTTCTATTTATTTTTATTCATTATCAGTATTCATAAGCATAGTTTATCAATAATACCAAAACAACTAATTAATAGAATGTAAATTTAAAAATAATAAATTAAAGGTAGAAATTCATTCAAATTTATTGATGATATGCACGTTATAAAATGAAGGTAAATTTATACTTTTACTTTTAAAGATATACCAATAAAATTAACAAAACCAACAAAAAAGAAATGAATTTATGGATGAAATCATTAATTCAGTCAAACACAATAGAAATATATTAACAAGAACAAGTTAGTACATTACATTTTATTTTTTAACAATATATTTGTAAAAAAATAGTATTATTTTGATTAAAATAGTATTGACGACTACATAAATAAAAAATGAAAAATTTATTTGCTAGTCCTAGCAAATTAGAGCTGTGTCTATTTTTATCACTTTAATTTAAACAAGTAAATGTATCCTTTTCCTAGGGCTGGGTCTTCAGCTTCTGCAACCTTAGCATCGTTGTAATAAACCCACTCTTAATTTCTCTTAACATACGCCACATAATGACCTGAATGTACGCTTTTACCGATATGAACTATTGCAGCTAATAAATCCGATAAATAAAAAAAAAATTAATACACATATATACATATATAAATATTGATTTTTATTTAATATTCTTAGATCGATTGATGATCAGATAGGCATGAAATTTATTTAATTATATAAATATAAATTCAAATATTTTATCATTCAAAATACCTTGCAATTCAAAGCTTGTTCCTGTGATAGGTGCATCTTCTTCCTCCATTCCCTAGTCCTTATTCTCTTCATTTTCTTCTTCGTAGTATTCTCCCTAAGACAATCCATCCAAAGCTAATTCTACATTGTTGTTCTGCATTAATAAAAATTTTACCGTTATTTAAAAACAACTCATTAAATTTATAATTTTATTTTACAAATTTCTTCAAAGCTCTTTTGCATTGCTCGACTTCAAAACCCATTTATTAAAGTAGCATCAAATTTTCTTCATTAACTACAAATCCACTCTTTTTCTATTATGCTTTGATAGGCTCTAATGGCAGGTCGAGACCTTATTTTTTTTAACAAAAATTTTATTTTATGTTTTTAATAAGGAGTTAACAAATATTAAATAAAAATTTCATAATGAATGCATATGAGAATGATATTTGAATTTTATTTAATCTAATCTCAGTTTAAAATAACAATAAAAAATTTTGATTTAATTGAAGTCCTTCAAATAAATTTAAATTTTGTATAAATCAAACAATTTAATTAAAAGTTTTACTTGCGTCTTCCATACTTTCAAACAAATAATTTGTTGCCAGCTCAGTATTGTTTTGATATTTGATTAAAGCTCTTTTTGCTCTATTTTCACCAAATCCCATTTCTAATAATTAAAGTAAAGCGATTTCATCGACTTAGGGTTGATTTTATAAGTCCTAATTATTATTATTGCCTTCTTAATTCTCCAATAAAAACTCATCTCCCTCTAATCCTTTAAAAACTAAATCTTTTAAATTATATTCGCTAGGCATCTAAATAATTGCATTCAATTTTTTAGGAACCCAGTTTTCTAAATGCAATCTGTTTGTTGGTAAAACTAAATACTTAGGCAAAGTTTTCAAATAGTGATTGCTAGTAAAGTTGCTTTTCACTCCACATTTTGAGCAATTTAGTTCTACTACATCTCCTGCTTATAAAACTTGAATGCATTACTCAAAAGTAATATTGTATTCAGGTTCTTCAAGTAATTTTGCATCTTCCTTAGGGGATTCGTTATTTGTGGCTTCTTTTTTTAATTTTTGCTATCTTTCTTCTTAATCCTTCAAAGCTTGTTATAATTATTCCTTTGTAGGAGGTAGTACAGGAAGTTTTAATTCATTTGTTTTATTTTCTATTAACTTTACTCCTCCGCAGCTCATACATTTTAATTTGTTAACAGTCTTAAATTCAAAATTTTTTCCAATATGGCTTTATTTAGTGTTTTTTTCTTCTTTTTCAATTAAGTCGAACACATGTTGTAAATATTCTAAAGCATCTTGCATTTACTTTGTTTTAAATTCTGGGTGGTTTTTGCCAATCATAGCTCTTAAATCATTAATAGAAACACCATCCTATTCATATTTTTCGTACTCTGATAATACAGATGTGTCAACACTGCTCAAAAATCTAATTTCCTTCTTCTTGGAGTATTCACCACTTACTAACCCAACTCCGAGTTTGCTTAATTAACAAGTTAGACAGTCTACAGGGAATCTATTTTTAATTTACCAAACATAAATTATTAAAACACCTAAAAATATAATTTCTTTCTATAAAAAAAATCTAGATAACATATGAAGTCCAATATGGATTTGCAATAAATCCAAAAGATTCAAAAGTTAAAAAATTGATAAAGTTCTTATTCATATAAAAACATACTTCCTGCATTCCTTCAAATGCTCTAGCCCATGAACATAATATCTATCTTCAAACTCGGGAACAGAAAATAGTGTCTAAAAGACAGAATTTATATAGCACGAATTACCTAAGTTTTACATTCCAGTCAATTTAGAACCAAAGAGAGGCTTAAGCTTTTTTCCAGCTTCAATAATACTACTTAATGTTAGATTTCTGTTTGCATCCAAATTCTATTAATAGAACACGAATAATTTACATAAATATAATTATTTTATACAATTTATTTTACCATTTCAGCTATGGTTTTCTCAGTCTTTTTTTGTTCAGAAACATTTATGCCAAAAACAGCTAAATGCTATGACAAATATGCATCGGAAACATCATTATCGCATGAATAGCAGTAAAGAGAAGCGTTGCCTTTAAAATTAAACAAAAATTTAGTATTTAGCCTTAAAACACTAGTTTTAAAATATAATTATCTTCTTTGAAATTTTATCGTGTCTAAGAGTTTTAGACATTAATTAATTAATTTAATTAAAATTTAATTTAAAATATATCTGTTGATGACTCAAATAGAAATAAATATCTAGCAATAACTATAGTATATATATATACCTTCTTATGTGATTGTACCGAGTTTAACAACTAAGCTATGACCTGATTTTTAAAAATGCTCAGAAGCATGGCCATTACCTCCTGTACCATCATAATTTTTTCTTCCACATCCAACATTTCCGCAAACCAAACACAACCACAAATTTGTTGATAAATCGCAACTATGACAATGATTTAAACCTGTTTTATTATATTTGGCTTTTTACCTAGTGTATTTTCATAATATTTACCTTATGTCATATCTTTAGGAATCTACTCTATTGTCAGGGTGTGCTCACAAGGCTAAATATCGAGTTCCCACTCACAAATATCTTACTTCTTAAATGCAGAATTCTCTTATTGAATGCTTTTAATTACTCCATCAAGCTAATATAATATATTTTAAAAATCTATTTTAAATCAAATAATCTAGTTTCTTTATTTTTACTAATTGGTTATCTAAATTTTTATTGCAAGCTAAGCAGCGCAAAGTATATATCTCATCATATTCGATTTAGTTTGCAATAGCTCCACCTGGCTTTCCAATAGCTAATTTAGTTAAATCCTATTGCTCTTCTTACTATTGAACAGGTCTTTCTATTAATTTAATGTTAAGAACTATTGGATGATTGTGCTATTGGAAGTGTAACAAACTATGGTTTTATCCACTTACGCATGAACCATTTAAGCATTTCAAGCAAAGATCTAACCCATTTACATCTCTCTAATAATTAAAACAATTTTATTTTTTAATAAAAAAATAAAATCGAATAACTAAAATAAAAATGCAATGATATTGCTAATCTATTTCTATTTTTCCTTAAAAAATATATTTTACTGGGTCATGGAAACACTTAGTACATTAATCTTTGTAGATAAGCTTTCCTTATAAACTTTATAAGTAATTTTCTTTATTTAAATGAGGGCAAGTAGCTGACATATCTTAAAAAATATTCTAAGTTTGGTTAGGTTTTTATTTATTAAATTGAATTATTTTATTTATTTTCTTATATCTAATAAATATTTGCTATCTGTCTCTTTGTCTGATTACAACTTATTAATAGTAGTATACACCTTTAATAAATCAATATAATTCATTAAGAGAGAAACAAGATGTAAATATCTTTGAAGCAAACTAAACTGTTTGTTTTTTCATTCTGATATTTCCTTCTCTATTTCAATTTGTTGATCAGAATTCGTATCTTGTGTTTCTAGCATACTAATATTTTTTTAAAATGATATATTCTATTCATTTAACATCAGATAAATAGACTATCAAATATTATACAAAATAAACTTAACGAAATGTTAAATTAAATTTTTTAAAATCAATTGTCTTAATTCTTAAATTAAAATTAATTTATTAAATGAAATTTGAAATTTACTAAAACTTTAATAATTTAATTTATTTTTATAGGATTAATTTGGTTCAGTATTAGAAAAATATTATATATATGAAACGAGAAGCTACAAACAAATTTTTATTAAAACATAATATTTAGATAAATATTTTTACAAACTTTTAGCAAATACAATAAAAAAGTTTAATTATTATATTTGTTTGAGTAGATATATATATATATATATTCAAAAAGAAATTAAACAAATTAAAAAGGATTTTAGATAAAATATTCTTAATTCATTTGTTATTTTAGCTTTATTAATGTTGTAATTTTTAAAACTCAATATTTATTTCTGAGTTCATTAATTCATTAAATCTCTAAGTTGTTGTTATTTATTAATTGCTTGGAAATTAACTAAACTTAATAAAATCTCTTTTTGAAGACTTATCTGAAAATTATGGATTTTCGTTAGGTATTTCTAGGCATGATGTTTACAAGATTTCAATTTCCTGATCTTTTTTTTATGTTAAAGTATTTTGTTAATTAAAGATACTCGTTTTAATTTCTTAATTTTAAGTGTTTGCTGATTTTTGTTTAAGGGGTGGATATCTGTTTCTATTATTTTTTTAAATATTTATACAGAATAAATAAATTTTTGTTTATTGATAAAATAAGCTTTACAAAGTCGAAGGAGTTGAACTTTTAAATGTGTCTATGTTAAGTGGTTAAAATTTATTGAATAAGTTTAAGTTATCAAAAGATTGCTGCTATAGCTTAATTATTTTCTTGTTCTTCTTAAAGATGTATACATGAGATCTTAAAATTTCCCATAATTGCTGCTTTCTAGCTAAAGTAACTTTGCTTATCTAAATTAAAATATTGAATTTTGAATTAAATGTGTCAATTTTTTAAATGATGAATTACTTTTAAAACCTTTGAAAGTCTTGGGAAATATTGATGGAGCTTTTATCTATATCTATCCACATTTTAATAGAATTTAATGGTAAATTCTCTCATCAAATTGATTAAAATTTTTAAAATAAAACTACCATTAACTATTACAAGAAGGATAAAAGTTATGTATTCAAAATATATAAAGGAGTTTTTGTAGTAAAACAGAACTAAAATTAATGATAATAGGCAAGCATTAAATGATTATTTATCAAGCTGATTCATATTTATATCTTAGTAAGGTTTACACTTTTTGAGCAATATTCCATAAATGAAGCAAATCAGTATAGCTAGAATACCTTTTATGTATATAAATGATGAATAGAACTCTATTACTACTACGATAAGAATTTTAATCAAAGTTTTAAAGAGTTCCCAGTAAAATGCGCCTACCCTGTATTCATTATAAAGATAGCCAAATTTTTCTTTAAATAGAGGATTTTATAAGTTGTTTCTATTTATATACAACTTGACAAAAAGAATAAGAGGACAAAGTAAACACCAGAAGATAAAAAATGGCAAGACTAAAGTTAGAGTCCAATTATAATAAGTATCATCATAGCACATGTAATTATAATCAGCTTTAATGAAATACAATCCAGAAATATAAGTGCATGCCATAGTTGATATCAGTTCCTAAACAATAGAAGGTTAAAAGTATATAAATGTATATAATATAATGGTGTAAACTGCTGTTTTTTTCAGTTTATTTTTACCTAATAAACTGCAAATGCAATAAAAAAGAAAACTTATTATCATCAAAATAACAGGTTAAAATAGTTTCCATATTATTCTAACATAAACTATCGGAATATTATCAGAAGTCAAAACAATCTAGCAGTCTAAACTGTGACTAACTTGCCTAACAGGGTTTCCTATAACATTAACAAACTCATCTAATCCGGTTGGTAATTTAATTTAAAACTTTTATAGATGGCCAATAATTTAAACATAAGTTGTCAATATTTTTACTACAATAGCAACTTAACTTTCTTGCATAGTAGTTTTACCAGGTTTTAAAAATCCTAATTTTATCAAGTAGTATATGTGCTTGAAAGCTTCCATAGAGTTGATCTAGCCTCTTATTGATAAAAATAAACTTAGAAAAACGAAAATTCCTAGAGCAAGTAGCTTTAATTAATTAATAAAAATATTTATTTTTTAACTTTAAATAATAATTTTATAAATTACTTTGATTAAATTATTTGCAAATTCTTTACAACTTTTACATGTATATGAACTGTTTTTTGAGTATCTCTCCCCCCAAACATTTCCATATATATCACAGCTCTAGCATAAAGCTCCAATATATCCTTTTTTACAGGATTAATTTCCAGAGAGATATCCTCCAAGACACCCAGAAGAGTATTCATCGCATTTCTCAATTAAGTCTGAGTCATCCATTAATCTCCAATAGCCGGATTGTAAATTAAGCTTATTACCTCCATCGCAAGAATCTACTCCTACTTTAGGACATTCCAAGCACTGAGTTGATGAATTGTGTAAAGAATAATAATCCTTATCACACAATCTACATTCTCCAGAGATATCAAAGAATGCTTCACCTACTAGACCTTTATTTTAAATTTTAAGTAAATTTAATAAAATAAAATCAAAAAAATTTTTACATTCTCTCATTTTAATATTCAAGATAAAATAAAAATTCGTATCATAGCTATCTAAAAATCCTGTTAGTTAATCGTAAACTGGATATTTGATTGTATTAGACTTCACTTTCACTGATAAATTTTTTAAGGGTTGCTTTTTAAATACGATATCATTTAACACAACTTAAGATCCTTAATTGTTTGAAGAAAAAGATTTTATTCCATCAATTTTGGATGCAGGATCGCTTAATTCACTATCGTCTAAAGATACTTCTACTTAGGCATCTGGAACAATCATTTATATTGAGTTAATATCCAAAAATTAAATTACAAAGTATCCATTTACTTTTTCATCCTAACCTGTTACCCAATTATCAACATCAATAACAGTTTTACCAAAGCTTCTACCAAGTTCTTTTTCAACTCCATTTTTATTGAGACTAATAGAAATACCCATAGGATAGGACAAATAATCTTAACCATACCTTTTAGCTACATTATTCTTAATTTCAGTAAAATTTTTCTAAATTGCCTCAGTGCCAATTACTCTTACACCTCCTCCAGCATAAGCTATATTTTTTGCAATTTAAGTATTTACTAAAAGAAATTTGTTTTTCTAAAATTTGTTTTCAGTACTGTAATTGATACATCCACCTTCAGATTTAGATTCGTTTCCTATACATTTTACATTAGTAATTAGAATGTTAATTTCCTTTGCAGTAATAGCACCTCCATTAAATTCTACTTTATTTGATTAAAACGTACATTTATCTATCTTTAAATCAAACTCAATCAAATCATCATCTATAAACCATTTATTCTCTTAAAGATTTCTTTGATTCAAATTATTTAAAGCATTCATTGAAAATTTTGATATTTTAAAAGTATTTTATTCTTGTTATTTTTTTAGAATTCTAAGTGCTTTTGATTGAGCAGAAATAACTTAAATGGGGGAATAAAATAGTTGATTTCCTATGAATGTGCTATTTGTTATTATCATCCTGCTAGCTTTTAGGTATATAGTGTTAAATATTAAACCACATTAATTACATTTGATATCTTAGAAAACCAAATTATGTATTTCAGGAGATCTTGCAGGTTAATCGATTGAGTATAGGGATGCTATACTTTGTATTCCAATTACTTAACATTTATTTTCTTTTAAACACATTAATCTAATATCTTTATAAGTATTTATTTAACTCTGGTTTCCACGATTATTAATTTTGACAGAGGAATATTATAGAAAAAATAAAGGTGGATTATTCAGTTCTATATCTGTATAAGTGTTATTTATTTCTACATACTTTCCGCCATAAAGATAAACAATAGGACTGTTAAAATAAATACTTTTAAATAAACTATTTGAAATTGTTAGTTTAGCCCTTAAAAGATAAAACATAGCTCCTTGCTTTATATCATTATCAAAAAAAATATGTGATTCATATTTTTTAGGACTTGTAAAATTATTGTTATTATATACCACATTTATTGAGCCTGATATTAATTCAGTATTTGCTAATTAATTAATTAAAAATAAATTTAAACATTTATTTTATTGAATAAAAATACAAATAATTGGTAGATAAATTAAATTTGTTAAGCTAATTTTAAATAATAATTAGTTGGTTATTTGAATTTTCAATAAAGGAGGATTTAGAGTATACATAAAAGAAGTATTTGTTTTAGAGCACTAAAAATTTCTGTTTAATCAGTTTTATTTTATCATAAAAATAAGTTATTGAAATAATAAAAAATGAATAATTAATTAATTAATTACCGTTGATAATGCTTCCTTATTCGCAAAAACAATTTTTAAAATAAGAATTTTCAATAGTGATAAAAGTTTCCCCGTCAGCTTTCATATAAAAAAATCCTCCTGCATTATTAGCGATTATACCATCTACTATAATCTCGCTTATGTTTATATTAATGTCATTTTATGAGTCTATAAAAATAGCTCCTCCTTGCTATATTGCACTGTTTACAAAAAAATTTGTTTTAGGTCCTTATATATTAATCACAGCTTTTTAGTTATTAGAAATATACAAAGCACCTCCATAATTTGCTTCAGATATGATAAAATTGGTAGATTTTACAAGCAGATCTTATGTTAAAATATTAAAAAATCCTCCTTTAATTAACGTATATGTATTATCATCGTTATTCTTAGATTCTCTAAAGTCGCTACTTTTGATTCTTATTGTTTTAGAATCGATGTAATTAACAATTTTGTAATTTCCCGTAATTATACCTAAAATTTTACACTAATCCAAAACTACTACATCATTAGTAGATGTATAATAAATTCCAATTACAATATCCTAGATTTCTTTTTCTTCTTTAATAGCCTATACATTTGTAATATTTAATTATTTAATTAGGGATCTATTTGGTATAACATTTTAAATCATTAATCCACCAATAGTAGGTCCTAAAAAATTTGGCTTCAGAGTTATGCTTACATCTTATAATATTAAATCTTCAATAAATAGGATTGAACTATTTTATAGTTAGTTTTCAAAGTGTTCAGCAATTATCTTTTACAAATCTGCTTAAGAATCAAAGTATTACTTTATTTCTTATGCAGAAAAAAGAGATGGATCTTCTTGATTTATCTAAATAAATGGCTAGAGAAACATTATAAATTATCAAAAAAAATTTACTAAAAATGTTTTCTTTCTAAATAGAATCAAATAATTTTACCTGTGATTGTGTTTCTACATAGTAAACATTAACACTTGTAATTTTGGCATAAATAAAGTAATTTTATACAATTAAACATGTAGAAATTATGTAAATTTCCAAATTTTAATTTGAGCAAGTCACTGAAGAAATTTCCATAATTTTGGAATTTGAAACCTTTAGTAATTAAAAGCCAATACTATCTTAAATTTAAATATTATTGATTCTTGCTTCTTATACTCCACTAACTAGAATAGCATTAAGTCCATCCATACAGTTCGTTCCCTTACATTAAATATCTAATAATTATAGAAACATTTACTAAATAATGTAAATAAATTTTAAGAAATGAAATAAATTTATTATAATAATTAATTAATTTTTAAAATTTACATGAGAAAATAATGTTATTTAAAGTGACAATATGGATCAAGTGAGATGTCTTTAATGGGATAAAAGGTACATTAATGAGAAAAGATTTTTATCTAAATATGGTTTGGTTGATAAATACAGATTAAACTGAAAATATTGACTAGGATTATGTTTATTTTTGTTTTTATACATCTTGTAAATCTGGAATTTATATTAATCTATACCAATTAAAATCTAATTACTCATCTTCGCAGTCACTACAGCCTAGATTAATATTAAAAGCTTATAATTTTCTTGTTTAGATTAGAGATATGCCTTTTCCATTAGCAAATTTATTGGTTTAATCAATTTTAATTGTATTCAAAACTAAGTTTAGAAAGTCATTTTGATATTAAAATAAGCTTGACCCATCCAATAAACTTGAAACAATATTTAGATTTTATACTTTAACTTCTATTATTGAGTCTAAATTGCTTAAAGGAATGGCTTAATCACTGCTTAATGTTGAATTTATAAATTTAACATTATCAAGAGTAATATCATTAAAATTAATTTCAGATAATGGATTGACTATTGGAAATACTGTCTTTCCTGTAAATTTTACATTGATAATTTATAAAAACGAAATATCTGCTTCAAATTAAAATAATTCTTGGTTATAATCATCAAATAAAAAAGGATTATTGTCTTTGCTATATTCCCAATCTTCTAAAATAACATCATTGATTGTTAATTTTTTTATATTATGTAATATATTTTAAGGAAATATAGCAGGAGCTCCTTATACTTGAGTGGTTTATTTATTTTTTAAAAATTTTACATTATTGAACTCAACTTCTGATTTAAACAAGTTTTTACTCAAATTTATACCAAAGAAGGTATTTATCTAATTTTCATTTATTTATGAATCAGTCATAACTAAATTTTTAACTATAATTTTTGAGAATCCCTCGATATTTACACTTTCAGACATTTATAAATTTAAAATAAAATCCTCTTCAACTTATCCATTGACTAAAGGAACTAGTTTTAAAGATATTTCTTCTACAGCAAAAACCTTACCTGCTAATTATGATTTTACTGTGAAGTCATTCTTAATGTAGCAAGTATTATCAGAATCAGGTATGACATAAATGATGTATTCAAAATTAGTTATCAATTCTTCATTCAATACAGTGGTTAAGTAAGGAATATTTTCATATTCAGAAAAATCCAATACTATTTTGCTGCTAAAATCTAAAGAGCTTTTGCTTGATATCTTGTAAATATTAGGATCTGCCAAAAACTCTTCTTTATTATAGGCATCAGATAATTTTAGAAGCTTAGGGTTATTTGAACAATCAATTACTTTAGCAAACTTGATTGACTTCTTACATGAAATTTAATCATTTTTGCAAACAGTAAATCTATTAAATTTAGGGTTATAATAAATTCCTTAATCGTTTATTTCTTTAGAGCATTTTACACTTTATGTAACTTACAGCTAATTCTCTTAGCTTATCTGAGAGCATTGTTAATCTAAAGGCCTATACTGAAGGCACTTTTAAGTGAAAGTTTAATAATATCCTTAAAGCTAGGTACTAGGATAGTTTAGAGTAAAGTAAGGATTAATCTATGATATTTCTGATTATGATCTTTTAATACATTAATTGCAATACCTATCACACGTGGTACAATCAAATAGGTCAGATTTAACTTGTTTTCTTGATACTGAAGAAGGTTTAAATATTAAATCCTACTATTCATTTCTTAAAGGATCTATATCTCTGCATTTCTCACAGAATTCTTTGCCAAATTAATCAAAATTGCATTTAAAGCAGCTAAAATATTATCAAAGAATAATTAAAATATACATCTCTTTAATTTAACCTAATTTTACCTTGATTGTGAGCATTCTGAAACATAGCATTTTTTATCAACTGGATTCATACCATTTAAGCAAGTAATATCAACTAAGCCTTCTTTTAATTAAAAAAAAGCCACATAATTTTGTTCTTCATCTAAATATTTAAACAATAAATTTTGAAATAAATTTCATTTAATTAAATTAATTTTTACATTGTGTGAACATTTTTTTAAATAACTACAAATAAATAATTGAAAATAGATTATTTTATCCACTTTAAAGTGAAATCTGAGAACAAAAACGAGATTCTTTATTGCAAGGTAAGCATCCTAGTGGAGTTGGAGTGTACCCTTCCAAACATAAATCACAATAATTTAAGTTATCATTACTTTAATAAAAGCTAATGCATTTAGTATCTTTTAAATATTAGTCTAAAGAAATATTACATTTATTTGATCCGACTTTTTATCCCGAGTTAATGCAATATCTACAAGAAGAAACATTATTATAAATTACAATGTGCGCACAATTTTATATATTTTGTTAAGGTTATAACTAATTATTTGGTAAGCATTATTCATCTTGCAAAGAAGAGCTTTTCTGTAAAAAGAAGCCATCTTTACATTTTAGGCATTTTGTTATAAAAGAATCATTTTTATATTTTTTATATTTATATTGAAGAGTATAATAACTTTATGGGTTTTAAATATCTTCTGTTATATCCCCTTAATAACAAATTTCACAATTTTAAATACATTTAGAACATTGGTAATAGCTATTTAAAAAATAATCCTATTAACACTAGTCGCAATACAATTAATATTAAGTATTTTCTTAAATTTAATTATTATCACTTTATGAACTGTAAAGAGCTTTTGATTAGTTCAAATAATTTATCTAAGTTCCTTCAGAATTTCTAAAAGAGCATTTATTACAAAATGAAGACTGAGAATTACCAGACTCTGTTTGATCACAAGAAATACAGCTCTTTAAATCTACTGATGGTATAAGTTATATTCCTTATTAAGAGCTTTATAAAATCCAAATAAAAATTTATTTATTTTAAATTAAATAAAAATTTTTAAAAATATATTTTTTCAAATATATGACATATTTATACAGTCAATAAATCAAATAATTATTTATTCTTATCAATCTGTTCTTCTTTAAATAAAGTTAGCAAAATCATAATGATTTAACCTAAATTTATTTACTCTTCTAAAAAATAAATTCAGAAAATAAAACAAACACATTCAAAAAGTAAAATATTTAAATAAAAATAATAAAAAATGATAAAATTAGTTTAAATTACTTTTAACAACTTTAGCAATAAATAACATTATTCTTTTAACCACAAGATACACAATTTGATATGAAAGTGGAGCACAGCAAGCATTTATTATCTTGCAATAGAAATCCTTAATCACATTCTGTACATACAAATTATGAACTTTGAACTTAGCAGGATTTACATCCTTCAGGACAATTTTTACAAATTAAACTTTCTTATGAAGATAAATAAAAGGAGTTTTAGCATTATTGTTAGGCTACTTAAGCTAGTCTTAATATTTTTTTATCTGGATCAATTTCAAAGTTAAAGTTAGAGGATTTTATTATAAGTTGCTGTTGATCGTCTTAAGAATAAATTTATGTGCATCTTAAAGAATTTTACCTTTATTAGAATTATATTATTAAAATCATTAATGTTATTAATTACCATAATTGCTAATCATTAACACAATCGAGACACATATAGTTTTTGGTTTGTAGGTTATTTTATTCTTGAATTACTGGACTATTTTGAATTAAAAAAAACAAGTAAATAAATTAATATATAAATATTGATTATAAGTAGATTTACCATGGTATACATATTTAACTATCCTTCTCTTTGTATAAAAAATAATTGAAATCACATTCCTAACAACCTACTCCTTCCTTATAGTTACTGCAATTGTGTATTTTTATCTCATTAGGAATTTATTAGCCGTTTATTGTCAAACTAGATATTAATCATTTATCTGAATAACTTTTTAGTTTTGTTAAATTTTAAATACCTCTTCAAAATAATTCCATACTCATCTGACCTTATGAGGAATAGCTGAGTTAGTATAAATATTAGCTAGTAATATCTCATTTAAATAATTATATTCTCAGTTACTTTTTGCACTTAATATTTCTAGTTTTTTATGAGTTTTTTTTTACTTTTTTTTATATGATGTTAATTTGCTCTTATTTTGTATATTTTTATTCTAACAATTTTAAGAAAATAAAGTTATTTATTAAATAAATAATTGCGTCGAAATTAATTAAAGGTCTTAAAATTTATTTTTTAAAGATTTTTAATAAAAAGAAAATTTAATGAGCGTTTATAGTACCATTAAATTTTATGAATTTTAAGTGTAATTATAATAAATTTAGTCATAATTAACAAATTAAGCAAGCAAAATAATCTGTATGTAATATTATAATTTATTAATAAGAAAATGTATTTTTCATTAAACAAGAAAATATAAATTAATTTTTAAACATAGAATAAATTAAATTTCTTTTAGATTATTATATTTATTATTTTTATTATTCAAGTAAATTTTATAATTCATTTTAAGGTAAAAAGACAATTATTAAATTCGTTTAAACAGATTGTAAGAAACAGTATTAATTTCTTAATTAAATAGATATAGGTATAAAGTTACTCTAGTAGAATAATGGCAGTTTTTTATATAATTTGTATAGTAAGTATTATTAAAATGATAACATTTTAAATATTGTTTTTAAATTTTATATTAGTAAAATAAATTATATTTTTTGAATAAGTTTATTTTTAATTTTTCTCAATTTATTTTGTTAAATAGAACATTTTTACAGATAATTGAAAATCCTTTCACTCACTTTCTTCTTCTGCTAGTAGCTGTTCTTCTTCTTCACAGTCTTCTTCTAAAAAGTCATCATCTTTTTATTTATTAATTGATATTTAATTATTTGCATGTAAAGTAAAAAAATGATAATTTTATTACAATCACTTTTAGAAGGAAGGGTAGAGAGTTATTAAGCGTCTTGAAGTTCATCGAATATTAATTCAAATTTATTAGACTCAAAAATATTTTCTGGGATTAAGTGCTTTTTACTCTTAGGGAAATTAGGAGGGGGGAAGATTGGATCAACTGCAACTTTAAATACATTTTCAACAAGAGTGGATATGATTCTAGCTAGAAGTGGGCAGCTGGTTTCTAAACAAGGATTTGTATTTACTTCAATCAGCCATGTCTTATAGCTATCGTCAATCATAAAATCTAAACCAAATAGCTAAATTTATAAAATTAAAGGATTTATATATCTATAAATATTCTCAATTTAATTTACTTCAAAACTGAATTATTTTTTTTAAGGCTCAAGCTTCTTGAAAATTGCTTTGACACAATCTGTTGCAACACCCTATGTTATTTAATTAAAATATTTAGAGTGAAAAATATTAATTAATTAATTTACTTTCATATCTTGATAGGTTTTCTCCATAAAGTTATATTTAACTTAACTAGAACTGTTTATAGTATCCATATACCTCTAAAATTCATTAAAAGAAAGTTTATTTCCAATTTCAAATTTTCCGAATTCTTCCCCTTTTTTTTGAATTGCGTCGTTAGTCAAATGAATAAATTTGTTATCTAGATTTCTTAAAGTAAATTCTTTTGAACTAGTTCTTATATATCCTTCTTGATACCAATATCCTAAATAGATAAATTAAAAAAAACTATCATTCACATTTAATAAACTAATATATCTCTACCTTTTATGATACCGTTATAGGTTGTTATGAGCATATAGCATCTAATATCAAACTTTCTCTTGTTGTATAGCAGAGGTTTTTCAAGGTATTTCTGTATGATAAATGTTTTTTTCTTGCCATTATTATGCATTTCTTTAGTGTTAACTATATTTTATATAGACTACAAATCTGATGCAACTATTTATTTTAATTAAAATAATTGATTGATACTGATTATTATTTTTCAAAATATTAATTTTACCTTGGATTCCATTTCCCCTGTTTGTAGCCTCACCTGGCTTGATTATCCAAACATTCTTAATTTATTTAGGCTTTTCAATATTGAGCTTCTCAGCATCTATTTTCTACCTAAGCTTCTCATTTTCTTGCATTTATCCTTCAATTTAATTATAGAAAGTTAAAAACTTCTCCCATTCTTGATCACTCGTACCCTCCTTAATATGAAATGTTAGAGGAATGTAATCAAATGGATTTTTTTATATACATTCATAATATTATCTCATATTATAGAATAATGCCTAGAATTAATAAAGTGAAAATTTGATGGTTAATGAAAAATACAAAATTTTATCATACTTTTTTATTGCAAATGTGAAAGTTATTTTAAACATGATTATGAAGCTTATAATTTATGGGATCTTTTAATTTTGTAAAAGTTCTATTTTTACTTTGCTCTTCACAGTATTTCTCGCTACAAAAATCTTTAGATATGAATGGAGGTGCAAATATTTTCTTAAATATTAATTAAAATTGATAAAAATTTAATCATTTAAATAAATATTTTACCTTATTTTACATTAAATAATTCTCCAAAGAATCAAAATCTGATTCATTAATAAGCTTTTAAACCAGTTTTTAATAAGATTCTCCTTTTTTCTTGGACTGCTCAATTGTCATCTTCTTTTTTAAAGTAGGTTTACTTTCATCCTCTCCTTTGTTTTCAACATTCTTGATTAGCTATTTTTCATATGTGAGCTGTGGAAGAGACTTCATATACTTTGTATACTCTTTCCTTCTCCACTACATCCACAAAAATTAGCAATCAGGCCAGTCATCATGGCTTTCGACTAGCTACCACCACCACCTAACAAAATTAAAATTCTAATTAGAAATTGTTTAAAAATAAAAAAATACCTTGATTTAAAAATCTATCTAACTAAAATTCCATTATTACCCAATCCAATATATACTTTGTATAAAGGTGGATTAGGATTTGATAAGTTGTAAGGAATAATTAAGTTGTTAGAGTAATTGAGGATATTTATGAAATCTCTATAATTTTCCATTTTTTATTATAGTATCTGCTATTTAGTTGAAACAACTTAGTTTTTCGGAGAATTATTTGTGTTTTTAATGCTTTTTCTTTTAAATTATTTATCATTTTATTGATTATTTTAGCTGATTGTATTTTAAGCAACTGCGATTCCACTTGCAGTTTGCTCATAATTCGAAACAGGTCGAGAATTTATCCTAGGAGTATGTTTTATTATCATTTTTTATGTTATTGTAGCAGAGGGCTAAGTACCTTCATTAAGAGCCTACTGAATAATTCCTAAATTATAAGAAATTTTCTTTGGAGGTTCATTTTTTTAATTTTATGTCTTTTAGATGTTATTCATGTATCTCAGCTGATTATAATTAGTCAAAATTTAATTCCCTGAAACGAGAGGAAGCCCATTTACAATCCTCTTATTTTGTATCGAACTGCTCATTGGCCTGTTAGTGGGTGAATTAAAAGGTTAAAACATTTGCTATATGCTTTCTTTATCATAATCATCTTTTGCTCTGACAAGCCTGTATTCATTATTATTTTTAAAATCTTTTTAGTTATAATTAAGACTAGAGATCATTAAATTTTGTTCAATCTACTTTTTATTTGATAACTAATCATCAATCATAATCTAATCAGCATTATTAGAATTTTAATATTAGTAGTTAGCAGAATAATATTATTAAGTTGGGTAAGAAACCACATTACTCGAAGGAGATATTGACAAATTCATTTGAGTTTCATCTATACCACTCTTAGATATGGTATTTTAGCCAATCAATGACTGAACGTTAACTCTTTTATTGTAATGAGGTTATCTCTAGAAGGCATGTTATTTTTAAGTGACCAACTGTATAGACTCTCCACATGATACTGCCATTAATTCCGCTTAAATTAAAAAAATTCTATATATATATATTGAATTAAAAACATAATAAAAAATGGATACATTCATTAACAACAATTCCTTTTTCTTGAAGCTGCCAAATCCTATAGAGAACATCTTCATCACAGTCTTTAAGAGATTTCAAGTGGCCTTACCTTTTTGCATCCAAAAACATAAAATAATCACCACCTAAAAGATTGGAAGGTTTTATTTCTCTTCTCTTCTTATTGAATTTAACTATTCTTTAACCACCTTATAGCTATTTTTTAATCACTTGTTAAATCACTGAATGGTTTTTCTGCTACTGCTAAATGGGTAAGATAGCATTTGCATTAGAGTGGTTTTATTAAGTTGGAACTGTCTATGAATTTTCAAGATAAGCTTCAATTTCGCAGTACCTTTCATTACTTAAGTTAATCTTATTTAGATTAACAATATTATATTATCTCGCACTAGGCCTGTTTATCGAAGCTTTAAATATTTACATTAAATTTTTATTACAAAATGATGATTTAGATAGGTAAACATAGTAGGTAAAATTAAGTAAATGGAAAATAAGCTTCTGTTGTTTTTTTGTAAAAATTTGTTGAATCTTTTAATGGAAGATTTGCAAAATAATAAGAATGAATATTTGATTGCACTTAATTGTTCATTCATTCACTCAGTTACTAGTAACTTATTTGAAAAGTAATTTAGAAATTAAGTTACAACAAGAATTTAGTAAGAAAAAAAAAAATAATAGGAAAATATGAGAAAGAATTACTACTGTCTTTATTTTCAGTATTTTAATTCTTGTATATCTACTAATAAATTCGATTTCTCTCATTTACGTAGTCATTTAATTTATCTTCAAATTATTAAATGTGGAGGGTATTGTAGTCCGCTAATATTTGATTTCCTATTTTTTTGTCAAAAATAACAAAACATTTTGCAAATAAATACTTTTCACAATTCTTAAAACAAAACGAAATCGTTCAAGAAAAAACTTATAAATTCATTTTAACCATTTAAACGCATTTCCTCTTTTTAAAAATTTAAACTGAGAAATTCTTTATGCTTGTTATTGATTGGATTTATTTGCATTTTTTTCTCCTTAAAATAAATTAACTTATCTTGGTTATACCTTTAACGTGTGGTTAGTTATTTGACTTTTGTGCTGAATACTCAGTAATACTTGGATTGACCTATGATTTAAGAAGAGCATTTTCTAGCTAAATTTATTGCTAATTTTATATCTGAGTGTGGTTTTACTGTAGTTTTTACAAATAGAGTTAATTATATTGCTTTTCTAGAATATTTTTTTTTGATTGTGCTATGTAGGATTAATGTGGATTCGCTTAGCGCCTAGTATAAATTTATTTATCTTCAAAGTCGGAATTCTATTCTATTTAAAAGATATTTCTAATAAATATAAAAATAAGGAGCGATAAAACATATAAACATCTATTGAAGCATTAGCTTTAAAGTAAAGTAGTATTACATTTATTTATGATAGTAAATGAATTAGCATTAGACTTCTAAATTAATTGAGTGATAGGATTTTAGTGTTCTAATATTTGTTGATACTTCTGCTAAAATTTTTATAACTTTTCAATTAAGGGGCTATTGATTTAACCTGTAACTTAGCCAGCTTAAGGTGCTAAATTTTGGTTATTTCTAATCATCTAGTATGTTTGGTTGTTAGTTTGTTTTGGTTAACTTATATGTGTCTCTAGCTTTCGAATAATATTATGCGCTAACTCTATATTTATATTGATTTATTATTATGCTTCTTTACCTCTAAATCAATAATAAATTATTAATTTTTTTATTATCAATTTCTCCTTATTAGAATACTTTCTTTATAGCGAATAATTTGTTTATTTATTTTTTTGTTTTGATTACTTTTTTTACTTATTTAATATATTCTTTTTGGTTTTGTATTTAGTTATTTTATAATGATCAATTAATCAACCAATCACATAAATAAACCAAATATATTATTTTTTTCTTCTACTCAAATAATACATATGATACTATTATTATTTATTTGATAATAGGATAATTAATTATTGAAAAGAGTATGTATGTGTATGTTTAAACAAAAAACATTTAAAGCTTTTGTGCTTGCTATTATAAACATTTGATCTCCAATTTTAAGGAAATTTTTTGATAAAGTTTTTTGATAGTTTGTTTGTTTGTTTGTTTGTTTGTTTGTTTGTTTGTTTGTTTTTTTGTTTATTTGTTTATATTTTTTAATTGTAAATTTATTTAATAAGTTTTGATTGATAAATAAAAAACTTAAAAAAAATAAATAAGCAAATGCTAAAATTATAATTAAAATAATAAATTCAACATCAATCTTTATTTATTTATTTATATTTCATAAAATTCTTAATTTATAAAAATATAATTTATATATTTATTTATTTATTCAAGCATTTTGCTAGAAATTCAAACCACATGGCTTGAGTATTTCCAGCAATTCGCTTTTATTTAGAATGTTTGATTCACTATTATTATTTTTTTATTGGTTATTTTAAATTATCTCGTCACTTACAAGAAATGAAGTCTCTTTTTATCCAAATATCGATATTTCGTTATTAGTTTTATTCAAAGAGACAATATTGTTTTACTTGATAGTTTTGAGCTCTGCTAGATTTTTTAAGAAAGACACATCGTTTTCGTATTTTTTTTAATCTTGCAGTTTCATGATATTACATACTTATAAATTATTTATTCTCCCAATGCTAATTTCTCTATTAATTGTTAAAGAATTATCATTATGAACGCTCTATTTGTTCTACATATTTTCACATATATTCTATTTAAATTCATTAAAAGTTAAAATATTACTATTATTTTTATTATAGTTATTTTGGTTAAAAGCTTCAGATGTTTAAAAGGATTTAATATCTGAGGTATTTCCATTATTAGAACCGATTTGTGGAAGTTACTTAACTGTATAAATTTCACAAGAAGAATTCAGTATTCGAGAATAAGTATAATTTTTTTTATTTTTAGGTTGCTTTAATTCTGTATTTGTATCTATGATAACATGCTACTCTTCTTAAATTACTGATTCATCATGAAAGGCGAGTGAAGTATTTAGTTTTTTCTCTATGTTGTTATTTTATTCGGTGTTGCATTCTACTATTTCTTAGCTTATCTTATCAAGAGCTTAATGGTTTTCTTTTGTAGTTTCCTATTGGTTAACTTCAAGGATATTATCATCATTTTGTTCTACTTTATAGCTGTTAATAGAATTTGTATTTCTGTTCAAAATACTTTAAGGAAGAATATTGTTGTTGTTATTATTTTCAGATTCTCTTAAATTATTACTTTAGCTTTCTTACTTTTGAGTATCATCATCAACATCAAAATCTTCCTCAAAAAAGCTGCTGCTGAAATTGAATAAATCATCAATGTCTCCATAAATATCTTCTTTTTATTATTCATTTTAGTTCTTTTCATCAACTTCATTTTATTCTTACTTTTAATCCTATGCTTCTTTATCTTCGATTATTGGTTTTTATGTTTACTACTTCTCTGTCTTTTAAAGCTATTTGTCTGATTTTGCTTTCTATGTTTTAACTTTGGTCATTTATTTTTACATCTAGATTTTTTGTTAAGTGTTAATTTTTTACATTATTGACCTTCTTATATCATCAGTTTCTCTAGCTTTTCCTTTTTTTTATATCTTTTCAATTATAAAGTAGACTAAGAGGATTGTTCTAATATTCTATTGTAATTAAGAAACAGTATTTATGAATTGTAAAAAGTAATTAAAAGCTATAATGTAAAAGTTTCTAAAAAGAAAGACTTCTAGAACGCAAATCGTTAACCAAGTTAATGCAATTAAGTAATCTATATTGTAGTTTATCTCACTAGACATGCATATAGATTAATATACAGCAACCACCAAAATAGTGACAGAAATAATTATATTTGTAGTTCCCTTGCTCAATTTAAAGCAAGAACTTTTAATTTATTGTATTTCAGTTATTTTTTACTTTATATGCTAGTATTCGCTATAGATATTTTCAATTTGATGTTAAAAAAGCAAAAAAAGTGGTGTTATTATAAAAAACTGTATCAGAAAGCATATCATTACCATTTTAATTTATAAAGATGTATCTAAAGTTTACGAGTCTAAATTATACCAAGAAAATATAAAAGTTCTCCTAATTGATTAGCATAAAACAAGAATAGCAGCTATTTCTATGTTAAAAATAAAAATACTAGCAATTCTATGCAAGTATCCAATTTTTTCATCTTTTAGAATTAAGTAAAATACACTCTTTCTTTTTATTTGCTACTGTGCTAAAAACCAAACTAGTCTCAATTTCGATTTCTCATAGACCTTAACTTAGCTGAATAGCTTATTTATGATAATGTTTTAGTACTCTATTAGTTGAAACCACCTTACTTTTTAGTATAGTTTTATGTCACTCATTTTAGAATTTTTGAAAGATTCTCCATTTACTTTGACAAGTCTCATAATCTTCAATATATTTACATTTTGCAATTGCTAATCCATAATTTTAAAATTGCCTATGTCATGTGTAATACATTCTAACTCTTTGCTTTTTTTTTTGGGATTTTTCTGCTAATTTTCTTCATCCATTTATTTCGATTGGTCAATCTGCTAACTTTGTTTTTATTTCGAATGGTATTAAAGAAATTTTTTGTGTAAAATGTCTAGCTTTTTTTCATAGAGCTTAGTATTTAATTTATTTCTTTGGTTGCACAACTTTGTACACATTAAAACAAATATTATAATTGATAAAAAAATATAAATTGTAAACTCTATAATAGGCCATACCATTCTACCTTTTTAATTTGTTTTAAAACAATTTACTATTAAATTTCAGTACTTTTTAATTGCTTTTTTAAAGTGTTTTATTTAAAAATGATTTAAAACCTTGTTTGTTTTTTATTATTTATCAACCTTTTTATTTTTAAATAGAGCTTTTCTTAATTGTTTGTCTGTTTCCTAAGTAGAATTAATTAATACTAAAAATTTATTAAAAAGTAATATTTAAATTATTCATAAAATCAATTAACGTTGAACCATATTCGAAATTAATTGATGAATGATTTTTATATGAAAGTAAATTGTTATAATTTTATTTTCATCTTTATAATTTTAAGGTCCATTAAATATAATAAATTTAAATAAAATTTAATTGAAGTTAAAGATTAATAATATTTTAAAAAATAATTTATATTTTTTCAATTAGATTATTGATTTATAAAATGGCAATCTTAAAATAAATTTAAATTCACATATTATATAAGGCAAAAAGAATTCTAAAAAGTAATTAACAAGCAAATTTGGGTGAGAATTTAATTACAAATAAATACTTACTTATAAAAAAATAAAAAAAAATGAGATTTTATTGATTAATAGTTTATTTACATCTATCTTTTAAATTCTTAAACTGTTTTATTTAAAAATCCAAAAAATAGAATTTTAAATTTACATTTTAAATTTTTATGAATTACATTTTAAATAGAAATTTCTTTAGAAAAACAAACAATATGATAGATCTATTAGTGAATTTTAACTCTAATTTTAATTTGTTTTAATTTTCTAATTTATTTTATTTTATTATTTTATAATGTTTATATCTAAAATTGTAACAAATACCTTACTTTTATATAACAAAATGCATTACATATTTTAGATAAAAATATTTTGTAATTAATTATTACATAAATTTTATTATGATAGAAAAAAATTAATTACTTTTTATAAAATAATAAATAGAAAAGTAAAAGTCTAGAGTAAGATATATAAGAAAGATAATAAAAATATAGGATGCAAATTTATAAATTAATTTAATAGAATTTAATACAAGCATGTTGCTAACTTTTTGAAAGTTAATAATTAAAAAACAATTAATTTCAATCATTCATTAAAAAATCTAAAAATTAATATTTTGATTTGCAAAAAAATAAATAAAGATATTTACTCAATCATAAAAAAGCTATATAAACTATCAGAAATGTTAGCCTAACATAATAACTAAAATATAGCTGACTAAAATGAATTTATCAGGACTTGTAATCTAAAAACTAGAAATTGGTTTTTTAAACTATCGATTGGGTATAGTTTGAATGTTATACTAAATTTTTTACTCGCTATTTAAATGTATTAGCAGTCAGCTATCTATTTTATTCTTCTTGTATCTTATAGCATCCTTTCATTAATTATGATTTCAATTTTAGTGTATAAGAAACGCATAAATCTCAGCTTCCTATTTCAAGATATGTTCTTTGTGGGATTCTTCTATTTCAAAAATAAAAGCTTAAACTTGATGTAATAGAAAACTGCTCTACCTTATTTGTTTAATAGGATAGCTGCTCTTATTTTGATTTAATTAATTTCATTTTTCATATTAAAAAATGATTAAAGCTAATATATGCCTATATATATCCCAACTTTGCAATATGTTTGCTTTCTATTTTCTATATTATTGCTTATGGTTTGGTTCTCTTTAAGCAACCTGAAAAGTGAGTTTGACTGTTTTCAATTTAAATTAATGAATTCTTTTTTCTGCTACCTTTTTTCCTAAGGAGCAAACATAATTATTATTTCTTGCTACTTATAGTATAAAGATAATCGTGGTACTAATTTAGGTCTATATTTTATGGTAGTGAAAGAGTTCAATCTTTTTTTCTTCTAAATTTTGACGTACTTCAAATCGTCTTAAAATGGGTATGTCTCTCGAATATTTACTTAATTTTGTATTTCAATTTTCTAAAATACTAGAAATCCATAATTAACAATCACAAATAGCTTTAATATCCAAAATAAAAATATTACTCTTGTAGGATATATTAACTAATTAGTTCTACTAATAATTCTGATGATATTTTCCTTTGGTTATATAAATGAAATATTTTAGAATACATAAACCTAAGATTAATATGCATATATAAAACTAATAAACACTCTCTTAGCTTTTACTTTGATTATTTTATATCTTATTTTCTATTTCAAAAGGACTTTCGTTTTCTTATTCAAATCTAAATACTTTATAGTTTCAGACGAAAATGAAGCAATTACAGTCGTGGATTTTCTGTTTAATGATTAGTTTAAAACAAAGATTATTTAGATTGAATTTATCAAAGAAAAATAATGTAAATCGTATGATATCTAAATAAAAAATGAAGATGGAATAGCTTTTTGTACAAGTTAATGTGCTATTAATTATTCTTTATTGTAGAATATGACAAATGCTAAAAAACAAAACGTACACATAGTTTAAAACCTCGAAAATTTTTAAATATGCAATTGCTTTCTGTTAAATATGGTAAGCAATCAAGAAATAGTCTTTGATTAAATAAGTTAAAATGCTGCTAAAATGGTTCACATATATAATTATTCTTTGGATTAAATAGTTTTTGAAAGGTTTGAAAAAGGTTTTTTATTTAGTAAATTTAGTTAGCTGCTACTCGAATAGCAAAAACAAAGCAAACATCTAATTTTAATCTCTTATATGTTAGAATAAATAGCATTCCAAAAATATTTAAAAGAATTAATGGTTTTCTCACCTTTTATTATATAATATGATTTACTTGACAATTGATTAGATAGATAAATAAAAGCTTTAAACTGAAAGTAAAATCTTGTTCAGGTTTACTATTAGCGACCAACTATAAAATTACAATAGATTATTTTTTAATAACAAAAAATCACACATTACACTATCTTATAATAAAGAAATATCTTTTTAAAATAAGTATTTGCTCGCTCAAATATTTCTGTTAAAATATTTTTTAATTAAATTAAATATTCTTTTTAAATTAAATAAATAAATTATTGATGCTTATTTGTTTTATGTTTTCTTAAATAAAAACAATATTTTATAAAGATTAAATTATTTTAAATATATATTAACTTCTTACTTTTAATTCTTTTTTTTAATTAATGAAATTAATCTCTCTCTCTCTATATATATATATTTATTTTAGATGAATAAATAATAAATACTTTATTAATATTGCTTTATTCTCAGTAATTTTAACTTTTTAGTGTTTTTGAGCTTTAATAATTCTTATTTTTGATAAGGAATATCTGAAAATGTTTAAATTATAAATAATTTGATAGAATTATTTTAAAATGATATTTTTATTAGTTTTTTTTAATTAAAATATATTTATGTAAGTAAATCATAATTTTTAAATAAGATTTAAGATTTTAATATTCAATCATCAATTCTTACATTAAATTAATTAATTTTTGGATCTTATTGATTTACTCAAAGGACTTACAGTTCTATGCTCTTTATTATTTATTTCTAAAGTAAGTAAGTAGATTGAGTAGGCTTTAAATTTACCTATTTGTTATAGATATTTAAATTCTAGTAAATATTTTTGATTTTTTTTAATTTTAAAGGTTTTACACTATTTAAGCATAAACGCATACATACATAGATGATATTTTTCTAATCTAAATTTAGTAAAGATTTGACAGTAAATACTTTGAAAAGCCTACTACTAATAAATAACAATCAAAAAAGAAAAAGCAAACAATATAAATTATGAATAATAGTATAATTTCTAGTTTATATTCATCTAGCGATAATATGATAAATAAAGTCACCTTATACTCTTTTTTACTTACTGTTATTAACATAATTTAGACATTTTTAGCTTTTCAGTAGCGTAGCTAACATAAAATTGCTTACTTTGATACCTTCTTAATTATTTATGGTTTTGATAAAATGATAAGCATTATTTTAGGAATAAATTATAAAAAATCAATTTATTTCTATATCCTAGACTTTCTTTAATTAGGATTCGTTTACATTATTTTCCACTCAGAAACTGCTGAATAAATGCTATTTTTTTTTAATTTCAAATATTTAGTAAACGCATTTTTGCTAATTATTTTCTAGATTGTCTACTTGTTTGGATTTAAGATTATGTTTGATTAAAATAACATTGTTTATGAATCTATTCTTCTCTCAATTTTATTTCTAGCAGCTTTAATTTACTTTACTGCTCTTTTTACAGATTTGCAGCATAATAACTACTACTCAATCAGCAATCACATTATTTGCATTATATCTCTTGGAGTCAATTTCATGTGGATTTCTAGTTTTTTGATCTTTACCGATTAGTATGGAAATAGCTTAATTTATTATTTCCTTTGCTTGATAGGGTTTGATGTTTTTATACTCTTAACAATGAATGTGTATGAAAACAAAATTTGCTTTTAAGCCTTTTATAAATCTTTAAAAGAAGTTGTTGGATGCTTTTTATTTACTGGCACTCTGGAAGCTAAAAATAGTAAATACAATAGATCTGGATTAAAAAACATTTAAATAATCGATTATTTAAACAAATCAATTTAGTTAATAATAATATTTTTTTATGCAATATTTGCTAATGATATTTTTTAGTCTATTAATAATCTTGATCATCTGATAAAATTTATTTAACTAGCTTTAACTTGTTTGCTTACTCTAGCTTATATTGTTTATTTTTTTAAGCAATTAGTTTAGAATATTTTAAAAAATAAATTTATTCGAATCTACACATTTAGAGGTTTAGAAAAAGCTATTAAAAGTTTATAAGAAACAAAATTTAAATATAAAAAATTATAGATTGATTTATGCATTCCTATCAACTAAATTGAATCTTAATATTAGAGTTTATATTTTAATTTATTAGAATAGAATTGCAATTAAACATGCTTATAGTATTATAATCTACTAAAATAATGTTGCTACTTATAAGAGAAGTTAGTGATAGTATAGATTTATGATTTAAAAAATTAAATATGCAGATGCTGCTCGTTACAAATAATGTCTAATTAGAAAGTATTTCCTGATTTTTTAATTGAAAATCCTTACTTTTATAATTAAATAATTGAAACAATCTTATTCAATAGATATTTTAATGGGTTTAGCCAAACAACTCAAACAAAATAAATAGAGCAGCTATAGTTGCTAAAAGACTCTGTTCGAACATTGTTTTTAAAACTACAAAGCCTTTTGTATCAAATTATTTTATTCAACAAAATAGATAAAATATTCATGGTAAATTCTCCTAGTTAAATTTTGTATGACCTTTACATTGATTGATTTAAAGTATATGCTATAATAGTATAATTGAAATAAAATACTAAAAAATACCTAAATGATAGAGGGAGGAACTGCAGTAATTTAAATTTTATGATTATATATATAACTAAAACATTCATTTTTAATATTTATTGAAAAATTTGTAGACTTTCTAAATCTGAAACATTTAGTTATAATAGGATAACAAAATTAAACTACTACTTTGATTAGTATTTTCTTTTTATATTTATTAATAGCATTTTGATTATTATATTAAATTGTATTTACTAAAGTAATATTTTATATAATCTTTGCAACACTAAAAAATTTTATTTAATAAAATATATACATTCATGAATTTTATTTTGTTTATTTGTATGATTTATTTTTTGAAAGAAATATTTCACTTTTTTAGGATAAAACAAATAAAGAAATTTTTTAGTGATATTCTACAGTATCACTCAACATTTATTTTAAGTATTACTTAATTTTAAATTAATAGAGAAAATTGAAATATTCAAAATTAATCTTTTATCAAAAAGTGTATATCTGTAAATAAATATTCTTTTACATTTATATTAAAGAATATTACAAATTAAAAACAAAAAAGATTTCTTATCTTACAAGCTGATAAAAAAACTGTTGAGCCTTTAATCCTTTAATCGAAATGCATCTTCTCATTAAATCGATAATCTATTACTTAATTGGATTTATCAACATATTTTTAAGCTATAAAATATATTAATATGGTGATTCAGCATATTTTTTCACCTTTTGGTGCTTATTTTTGACAGACAAAATTATTATTTTGATAATGGCTCTTTAACACACTATCAAATCTGATATTTTAGATTGGATTTTTGATGTACTTCAAATCGGGTTTGTAAGATAAATCTTTTCTTCTTAATTCTTCCCGTTCTCTTATTTTGAAGTAGTTATTAGCAAAGTTTTTACTCACGCAATATTAGGGATAGTATAGTTTTACTTTTTTTATATTTCTGAATTTTTGGATTCTTCTTAAATATAAGGTTACGTCTTAGCTTTGATACACATTAATTTTTTTGCAAGTATATTTTTTGCTTTATTTCTATGGTCTAACGTAAATGAAGCTAAGGAAATTAGTAGGATGGAATTGTTTATAAGCATAGGTTCTAATCTGGTGACCTTTATTACTTTTTTATAGTATTAAAGTTAAGATAAGATTAATCTAGCTATAAACTACATAGGATTAGTATTACTTAATTTATCATGTTTGGTATTTTTTAATTAAGGTTTTGAGAGTACAATAGATAATTTAGTAAGTATTCTTAAATAATTAGTATAATGTACAATTTTTTGTACTAACTATGTGACTGAAGTTGATGAAATATTTTCTATTTCTCACCACACTACTTTAGTAATGCTTTTAGGCTACCTAAATTAGATTTTAAAATTATTTATATTGCTAAACTCATGCTATGATTTTAGCTACAGTGTAATTGTTGGGCATGTTGAATAAAGTCCATAAAATTATTCTAAAATTCTACTTTCTATTATTTCATTTATTTTTCTTATGACTTTTATGATTTATTATCTCAGAAGAGTTAATTTTTTTGTCTCTTAGGTTAAGATTTATACAATAAGAAATGAACAAGAAATGAAGATATCTTACAAAAATATAGAAAAAGAAATCTAAAATAAATAAAAAATATTTTCGATAGTCACTTCAAGAATATATGAAGATAATAAAAAATAGCAAAAAATAAATGAATTTTGTAATTAAACATGTTATTTACTATTCAAATATCAAAAGAAACTGTTAAAAATAAAAGCAAAAGACCTTCAAGTATAGCTTCAAGATTTAGATAACTTTTGCTAGTGCTATACATTTAAATTAGCTTGTGATTAATACAATTGGTTATTAATATTTGAAAATTCTTAAGCTAATCACATTTTAAATAAATTTACTAAAGATTAACTTCTATAACTACTTACTAATAGATACTAAAATGGTTTTATCAATGGAAAAGTTACTTAGTTTATTGAAAACTATTTGGAAGATGTGTACGGATATAAAAACTATGCTTTTAAATAATATAATTTCCAGGTCTTATGTTTTATCAAATATTAATATTCACATATGTAAAATTGCCCTAAATAAATATTATACGATTTATATTCTTCAAATATATGTGAATGAATTTAACCTTATTAAAACTAAATAATTAGCTATTAAAAATTAATAATTTAAATTAATTGTGTTTGTTATGATAAGAATATTTATTTTTATGTGTTTAAATTAAAAATACTAAGTAAACTATTAATTTTAATTATTGTTTTTCGATATTCTTATCAGATTATTCTAATAAAAATAATTTTTACAATTTCCATTGCATCTTATAGAATAAATAAAGAACAATCTGTATCTAAGCATATAAAGATCATTTTAAATCAGAGATTTCACATTAAAACTTATTGTAAATGTATTATTATCACTCAATTATTTCGAACATTAAAAAAGTCATATTTTTATTTTTCAAAATTAATTAAATAATAATTGAACCAAATAAGAAAAGATAAGACAAAATAAAATAAACAAATGATAAATAGCACTCAGTTTAAGTTATCTGAACCTGAAACAGATTAATTTTTAAAAACAATCTAACTAAATAAATATTAAGAAGGACAATGTAGGCTTGGTTACTTGAAATAAGCTATGGAAAAGACTTAGGAGCTCATTCCGTTTTAGAATTTATTTTTATTGGCTACACCCTTTGAAGAAAGAAGGTATTTAAGCTACAATGAGATAAAAGAGCTTGTTTTAACAGGTAAAGGAGGTTATTGCTTAGTAATGAATCCTGTATTCTGTGGTTTTTTGTAAAGTTTAGGATATGAAGCTTATCTAATTCATGGATCTTGTAGAAGAATACCTGAAAATCACTCTAGTATCTTAGTAAGAAATTTACTTGAGGATGGAGATAGGTACCTGGTAGATGTATGTTTGGGTTACAAAAACATGCCTTTAAAAATTGATTTTGAATAAAAAAGTGAACTGCAGTGCTATTCATTTGCTTCATATTATTATGAATGGGAGGATGAGACCAAATAAGTCTTAAATAGAATTGATTTACATAGCACTTTTTTTTGTTGCTTCACATTTTAGGTTTTTAAAGACTATGAAGATATGCTTGCTTATTAAGGAGATGTGTACACAAATATCAATAAATCGCCTTACCATACTTCATTTAGAATGATTAGGTTCCCTCCTTCAGGTGCTGTGTGCTTTAGAGACAATGAACTTCTAGTTGAAGATCCAACTACAAAAAAATTAGTGGTTAAAGATTTAATTAAAAATTAAGATTAGTATTTAAGATATATTGAAGAATATTTCCCGATGGTAGATAAATAAATTGCCTTAAATGCTTATAAAAATTTCTTTGAACTAAACAATTCTAATTTAATTAAAAAATGAAAAAATTAATTAATTAAAATTATTAAATTTATCTAATGATACAAGTATTTATTTTTAAGTAATTTTTATAAAGTAAATAAAATTATAATTTCTAACAAATTTATGGTTAGTTATATTTTTTAGAAAATATTCTATTAATAAAAACAATTTAAAAAATATTTTAAAGTTTGTTTAAATTTTTATATTAATTGGAAGGAATTATTTCTTTTTTGATAGAGAAAAAAATTATTTATTTATTAATTTTAAATATTTAATAAATTAATGTAATTTTTACAACTCAATTAAATAGGATAAATAGTAAATACTTACTAGTAATTTAATCATAAAAGCAGTTAATTTATATTAAAATTTATTAAATAAATTAATTATTTATCATGTCTAATTTTGTTATCGATTTATTTTAAATATTTCTTTTTTGAAAAAAGCATTTTCAGAAATAAGTTTTTAAATCATTTAATTAAAAAATATTTATAATTCTAATTATTTCACTTAAAACTTTAATTATTTTTATTATAAAAAACATTAAACATAATTGATAATATTTAATAATCTTAATAAAAAGTATCTTAAGAATGTTGATGTATTTTTCTAATTTATTAATTATACTTCAAAATTAATTATTTACTCCTCATTTCAGAGAACTAAAACTGATTATATTTATTCTTAAAAACATAACATAAATTCCTTTAAATAAAAGTACATGATTGAAAATATATAAATTAGTGAGTTCAATAAAATTTTGTTACAATTATTGAAAAGGATTAAATTGATTAGTTTTTCATTTTTTACAAAATTTTTGTTAAGTTTGTTTGATAATTAATTAATTAGTTTATTTATTTTTTAACCATAAAGAGTTTAATCTAATAGAAGAATATCTTTAATAAATTAAAAGTATAAACAATATATAAATTAGTTATAAAATTTCAATAATAAAGTTGAGAATGCAAAAAATCATTTTTGCTAATAGAATTTTTATCTTAATATATTTTATCTATGAAATCAAATGGGGTCTTCGTTATTTTTGTAGCAATCATCGTAATTTAAATCTTCCTCTATAATTTAAGCCCTTTGTTATTCATGAACAAGAGCTTTTTCTTGAATGAAGATGCGATGAATATTATTTGAGTAATGTTTTGGATTAATTTTAAAGTGAAGATTTTCATAAAACTATTAATCTTTGGTTTTTACTATAATTTACTTTTATTTGGTGAATTTCTTTTCCAACATTTATTAACTAGTTGTGATAATCCACTCTCTAATCAATTTGTCATTTTCACTTTCTTCTTTTTCTTCGTCTTCACTTGATATTTCTTGATGGAATGAGTTTTTTATTTTTTCTTCATCATCTAAGAATTAATAGAGCTTATCTGTGTCAATATTTAAATCCAAATAATCACACTATGGATATTTTATTTTGATACTTTCCAAAATCAACTACTCCTATCTTTTAACTTCCTTTAACAATCTAATTGGAAAACTTTCCATTAATTCTTCAAGTTCTTCCTATCTATCTTTGTAATCCTAGCTGTAAATAATATAATCACTCATTTATCTGTAATCTTCCATAGCATCCTCATTAAGTTACTAATTTTTTATTTATTTTCAAAACAATTTATAAATGCTTAGAATTAATTAAAATTATTATATATTACTTCAAAATCATATTCAACAATAGCATAGTATTTAAATCTAACTGATCCAGACATAATACCTTTTTCGTCTCTAATACTCTTTACATAAGGATTCTTCATAATTTCATTATGAATATCATTCATAGTCTCTTCATCAACACTTTTACCTAAAATTGTTGATGCTACTTCTTTGAATAAACGCTATCCTAACAATCTTTAACATAATCAAAAGTTAGATATATTGACAATTTAACAATTCTTACAATTAAATTGACCCTATGACTATTTGCCCAATAAATTCAGGGAGATTTGATGGAATGATCATGTTACTGACTTAATAAAAAAAATATATAAATTTTTAAGTTGATATTGAACTTATTATTTTATTTTATTTATTTATTTACTTCCTACCATAAGAGGAACGCTCATACTCATTAGTGTGATCATATTTTCATATAGAATAGCTTAAAGAAGAGGGTCTTTTTTTGCTACTAAAGTTTTCATAATTTAGAACAAAGACAATTTTTAATTAGTTTATTATGTTGAATTTATATTCTACATTTTCAATGAATCTCTAATATTGTAAGCAATAACGGATATTTCAATACAAAAACTTGCTAAATAGAGCTAAATTTAAATTAATTGCTTTTTAAAATATAAGTAATTCATTAATTAATTACTAAAATTGAATAGATATTATCAGATTATGCTGCCACAGCTGGACCTGCCGCTAAATATTCTGTAAATGCTGAGTAAATAGTGTAAGCTCCAAATGAAACGAATAGAGATGAAGGTATTAAAACAATTAACTGCTTTATATTTTCTAAACCTAATTTTGTTAAATTAAATTAATTTATTTTAGACTTCTACTAAGTTACTATTTATTTATTTATTTTTTCTAACTTTTTCTAAATCTTTCTTTTACTTGATTTAAAGATTCATTTTTTAAAACTTGTTTTGACAAAACATCAATTTTATATAATTTTATATAGTCATATACCTTATGGATAGCGTTTACTTGGCTTAACATCAATATAATTTGCAAAATAAAGTACTAAATGATTCACTGCATCAATAGATGAACGGCATAATTCTGCAAGGAAAGTACCAACAGATCTTTTGAAATATAAATAAAATTAAAAAAGAAGCTATAAACCAATGCCAATAGACATCATATTTGGTAATATGTTATAAATAGTTTATTAATATTTAAAACGAAATTTTTTACGCGTGTCCTGCAAAATTATATGCTAAAAACTTAATTGGCAATTGCATTGAATCATTAAATAGCTCTCTCTTTATTACATTCAAATTAGTATTTTTAACCTTTTTTTCGAATTCTGCTAATTTCTATTCAGGATCAAACTTTTCCTCCTGTTTTTATCTCTTTTACTATAAAATATTTTGGGTTCAATAAAATCAATTTTTACTGATATTTATTTATTTATTTAAAAAATAAGAACTCATAAAGAGTTATTTAAAATTCATAGCTTAAAAGCTATTAAACATATTTAAATTAGTTAAAGTACTTTTGAAAATATCAACTCAAGTTCCTTTGCTTTTTGATCATCTTCCTTAAAGGATTATCCTGCTTAACTTGTCCCTTACTATTATATATTTGACTTCTACTACTATTACTGCTACTATTATTATTAATTATCTTTAGGAGGCTAAGGCTTGGCTGCAGAAAATGTATAGAAGGATTTAAAACAATGAAAAGGATAAGTGGGCTGCATTCTAGCCATTAAAGTATTTTAAGAAATCACTTTACTAAGAAAAGAAGAATTAGATCTTCTTATGCATTCTAAAGGCCGCTAATTAATAGCTAATCTATTTATATTTTTTAGCGAAAATAAACGAAACATTGTCTGTTCGCTAAATTTTTAATTAGATATCTTTTTGAAATAGTAATAATGTATCTAATTTTGGTTTATCAAAAAGCAATTTTAATAAACATATTAGTTAATATCTCTCTAAGTTAAAAACCTAATTAAAATAATCAATTAAATTAATTACTCTAAAAATACTAAATATTTCATTTTATGATGTAATAATTTTAATGCTTGATACTTTTTTATTCAATGTTCTTAACTTTTCAAATGATCCTACTTAAAAAATAAATAAATATTCATGAATGTTCTTTTGTTAAAGTAATTGTTTCACTTGAACTAATATTCATTATTTTTAAATAATAATTAACTAAAATTTAAAAATTATTTCAAACCTATTTTTTTCATTTAAGTTTATTTAGTCAAAAAACCATATTTTTTTTTTAATTACATAGACAAAAATTAAATCTATCTTTATAAATTTTTTTAGATACATATTATTTACAAATGTATTTATAAAAATTGTTTTAAGTTAATTCAATTAAATACAGAGTAAATAATATACAAATTTATTAAAATTCTGGAAGTCATTTATTTATTCATAATAAAAATATTTATTTTCTTAATAATAAGTTTATGTTGTTGCTTTTTTCCTATAAGTTCTTATTATGCAAAATGACAGTCATAATAGATTAGTTTTTTACTTGGTAATATTTATTAATTTATCTGTACAAATAACACTTAATAATTTAGTGCAAAATTTGACCAAAACTTAATATTCATATTTCTTGTCTGTCTTGGGATTTATAGTTTTACTTTACAAGTGCCATAAGAATATCATAAAGTAAAACATTTATTCTTTAAGGATGGCTCATTTGTTTTAATATTGAATATGTAGGTATGAGTCATGTCCTTATTTATAAAAAATCATATTATAAAAATACCATCATTTTATTTTGAAGAATAGAATAAATATATTAATTTTAATATGATTAATATTTTCTTTTACATTTTAATTACCTTAAGTATTTTAATCTTCATTCACTATTAAATTTGGATTTTATATCTATCTATTATTAAGAAAATCCGATCTTTGGTGTTTTAATAAGGATATCAATCATTATTAATTCAAAAAATAAAATATTTATTTTATTTTAAAATAAAAAAATAAATTCTTCAATAATATAAAAAAATATTATTTACTAAAATATGTTTGGGATGGATTTTAGACTTTCAAAAAAAATTGTAAATTAAAGTAAAAAAAAATGTTTGATAAAAATTTTGATTTTTTTAAAATAAAAAAATAGATAGATAATCTTGTTATATATTTACACAATTAAACATATAATTTCATAAACTATTCAATTATTTTTGATTGATTGATTGATAGATAGATAAAAAATAAGTATTTATTTAATTTATTAATATATGTATTAAAATTAAATTATTATCTTGTTACATAATATTTGCATCAATTATCTTTATAATAAATCACTTCTTTTTCCATTCTACTTCTAATTTACATCCTGAGAGGACAACCATATTAGCAATAGGACATCTATTTTTTACAATATTCTTTAATTTTTGTACCTATTCTTCAGTACCATCGGTGTCAACAATTGCTGTTCCCCAAATTCTTTACAATCTAGCTACAGCGGGACCGGGTTCGTCTATTGGAATATGTCTAGGAGCCAATTCATCTCTTTCAGCTTGTATATCAAAGTCAATAGAAAATACTTTTATTCCCATTTAATTAGCTATGTATCTAGCAGTGGCTAATTCACATCCAACTAAAGAAGTTAATAAAAGTTAAATAGGCTAAGCGTATTCTCCTTGTCCTCCTTATTTTATAGGAGTATCTGAGCAAATTTAATAACCATCTTCTGTCATCATTTTTACTTGACATTATTATCCACTACCCTTTAAACTGTAGTTTTTCATCATGGGTTAGTAATTATCTTAAGAGGAGGCCATTTAGTATTTAATTAAGCTGGTTAGTTGTTTATATTACTTTTTTATTATTTAAGTTGAAAGTTTTATTTAACTAAATAATTACATATTTTATTGTTTGTTTAGTAGTATTTTCAAATCAAATATCAAATGCTTAATTACAGTAAATCTTTTTTGATAGAATTCTAAAAATATATTGATTGAGTCATAATCGTACAATCAGGATAATATTCTGATATAAATAATAAAACTTTTCAAAAAATGTCTTAAATAGAAAAATTCTTTTGTTCTATTAGTACTAAATACCATAGTATTACTATAAATTAGAAATTTCTTTTCAAAACTTAACTTTTACTTAATTTACACCATTTATTTTACATATTCACACACAACTTGAATATTACTTATTTATTTATAGAATAACTAAATAAGTTAAGAGTTAAGCCATTAATACTTATTAATAATAAGTCAATCCAATAAAGATACTCAAAATATTTCAGAAATGAATTTATTTATTTATTACTTACTTACTTTATTTACCTTCTTAAAGAATAAGTTAAAAATTAAATTGCAAATTATAAATTTTAAACAAAATTAAAAAAAATCAAACATATAAAATAAATTTTAAAATAATTCGAATATCAGCTAGATACTGAATTATGTTTTTTGGCTAATTTAAAAAAATAAACTTTAAATAATATGAATAACCCAAATCTTTATTAGCTTTTAATGTATTTAGATTTAAAGGAGTGGAGAATTTTTAAGGTCTCAAATTTTCAATTAATTGTATTTTACAAGTATGGAGGGATATTTGTAGGTCAACTTTAACAATTGACTTTGAATTATTAATAAATATTAACTATGAATTTAAATTAATTAATATATTTATTATTTTAAAAGTATCAGTTATAAAATAAATAAACATCGGCCCAATTTTATCAAAAAAGTTATTTTAAAGTTTTAATTTTTGAATATATAAATAAAACAAAATAAAAATATAGTAAAAAGTAAAAAGTAGAAATATTATTTTATTATTTATTTTAGTAATAAATTAAATTTAAAAAAAAAATAGATTAAAAGCTTTTTTTTTATTAATAGATAACTATATTAATATATTTAATAGCATGTATTCATTAGGTTTATGATAATTAAATTATGGTTGCTTAAAGTTATTTGTTGAGGGTAATAAAATTTTATAAAAGTGGTTAGTCAAAATTAATATAAAATTTATTTAACTAGAATTTGCCAATTTACTTTTTTCCTTTTGAAAAATTATTAAAGTTTTTTGATAAAATAAAATTTGAATATATTTTAGAAGATTAAAAAGAATTTTAAAGGCAAAAATTTTTTAAAGTATTAAATTTATTTTTAAGTAAATTAATTTGATAAAATAAAATAAAAATATAGTAAAAAGTAAAGAATTATTAACAAAATAATTAATTAATTGATTGTTTACTATTTTAGTAAATATTATATTAGTAAATTATAAATATAAATAATAGAAATAAAGCTTGTTGTATAAATAGATAGATAGAAAGATAGATTTATTTATGTATTATTTATTTTTAGGTCGATTGATGTAATTTATTGTGTCTGTTATTTATTATAAGTAAAATATGGATAAAAAATTTTTATGTTATTAGTAAATTTTTCTTTAATTAGTTAAAATACGTTTTATATTCTTTATTATGTTGCTTTTTGATATATTATATTCACATATTATTCTAAGTTTTTTTTTATGTGTTGAATCCTAGAATTGAAAATAGGTTTTTTTTATTTTCGATTTAAGATTATGCATGCCCATGGCGTAAAAGACTCTGCAATTCAGGAGATTTTACTTAATTTGCATGGCTTTTTGAAGTTTGTTGAGTATTAAGTTTACTCTGCTTTTGTTTACTCGCATTGTGTGGAGTAGAGTTGTGATGATTATATTAATTTTTCACCTAATTCTCATCTAAATTTTCAGTGTTAATTGCTTCTTCCATTTTTTTTAGGAAGGGCTTGTCTTTGTACAAAAAGTTGAGCTGCTTAAATTCATTAATATAAGAAATTATTTCTTTTTTACTAAGCTCATACTACTGGGCTCTTTTGATGATTTTTTCAGGATCGATAACTATGTTTTCCTCTAAATTTAGAGTATCTTTTTATAGGAAATTTATTAGAGGACTTAATAGAGGTCTAGGCTTACATGGTGAATTTCTTAATTCACCTTTTTGAACTGAACACTGTTTGAGTTTTTATATAAATTAGGAAATCTCATCTAATTCATTTTTTTTTATTAGGTGCGCATTATATTCATGTATCAAACTTAAACTAATACTGATAGCTGAAATGATTGATCCTTAGTAAAAAATGTAATCCCAAAATCTACAAACAACATTTAGAGACAACGAGTTCAAGAAGATTGTTTAAAACCACTATACAACCCACATGGTTTCTGGAATTTTAAGTTTGTTGAAGTGTCTGAATAGCTTTGGGAATTTGCGTCCAAACTCTCTTTAGAAAACAAAATTCATAAATTAAATTAAGGGAAATTCTTCTTCGAATAATCCCATAATATTCAGCTTTTTTTCCATTTGAATAAACATTGAAAAGGCCTATAATTCATCCCCACCATTTATAAGTAATAGGAAAGCAGCTAAAAAGTTCATACCTTAGCAATAACCAACATTATCATAGTAGAGAGATACTGCTTTTAGCACATTCCTCAAAGATTATAAGCTTTTTTATGAATATTGAGGATCAGAAAAAAATGGCTCATCTGGTATAGTCCTTGTTATGTCTTTATTAATTTATTTATCTATTGGGTCAGTATAAGTATGATCAAAGTTTAAAGGTTCAGTAGGTTTTAGCTTTTCATATGTCTCTCTGTATTCTTCTACATTTAAATCTAACGCCACCTTCCATGCTGACCAACGATACCACATAGGAGGTCCTTTTTTAAGAGCTTTTAAGAATTCATTTTTTTGAATTTTTTTGAATTAGTATATGAGCTAAAACTCTTCTTCAGCTGTCAATTAATCATGATTTGTTAGTTGTTTTGTTAATTATTCATTTTCTTATGAGTTACTTTTTTTATGGGTGTTTGTTTGTTAGTCTTAAAATTGTTTATTTTTTGAAACAAAAGGAGAAAAAATATTTGAATTATTTTAATCTAATAGTTTTTATTAAAATATTTTTCTTTTTAATAAATCAGCTTGATTTTTTTACATTTTTTCATCATTTTATGCATCAATTATGTTTTCATTTTTAACTTAAGTAGTTTTTTAGTTATTTTGAAAGTCTTGGTCATTTGATGGCTCTATCTAAATAGAAACTAAGCAGTTTGAAGATAGCTTGAGCTTTTCATTTAGTTGTAAGTAATCATAATTTTCTTGAGACTTTCTATTTAAACTATTCTCAGCTTACTAAATCATTTTTAGCCATTTTTTAAGATTTCTTTTCTTTTTTTAGAATAATTTAGTATCACCGTAGACATTGCACATCTTTTCATAGAAATATTTACCTATTCCTATTTCTCTTTAGTTGATTTTATTTTATTCTTTTTATTTTCCTTACTCTAATTATCTCTTGTTCTAAAATTCTTACTTTTAGAAACACTAAGCTCTATCTTGCATTTCTTAAAATGCAATAATATTATTGTCTTATTCAGCTTCATCCTCTTCTTCATCTAACTCATCGTCTTCTTCATCTTCTTCTTCATAAAAGTCTTCAATTTCATCTGCACTCTAAGTAAATAACACATCATGCTAGTTTTCAGAATTTTACTTTTCGTTGCTCTTTAATTAATTTTTAAAAATGGATTTTAATATAATTTAAAAAATAAATTTAAATAAAATTTTCTACCAATTTATCTTCACTGGAGCTAGTTGTTTATTTTTCTGGTTGCTGAGCTTATTGCTATCCCCAAGATGAGATAATAAATTCAGGAAACTTATCTGTTTCAGGACTTTCTTTTTAAATTTACTACTTATCTTCAATAATTTAATTATATTCCTTATTGAATGCATGCTCCTTATATTACTGTAGTCTGGTTAAAAAAGTAGAAGGTCTTCCTTTAAACTTGTCAATAAATTGTTCTGCAGAATTTCTTTACTCATTAATTTAACTAGATTAATTATATTTATTATTAATCGGAGTGTTGTTCTAACTAAAAGCCTTTATACGTTGCATACGAATCTTTTTTGAAGGAATTTCAACACAAAATTAAGTTATTATTTCGCCATCTGAGCCTTTTAGAATACTTTCATCAGGTGTTATTGTTTATTAAAGTTCATTATTTCCTTTTGTGCTACTGTTATTATTATCTGATTCTTCTTCAGTCTCAAATTATAAAATATGTGTTTTTTCTACTTTACCTTTTTAAGCACCAGAAAAAGAAGCTATTTTTTTGTCATCTATGTTTGTTTATTTATCATCTTTGTTTGAGGAATTTATTTTTTATTAGTTTTATCCAACTGCTTCTGTTAAAATTTCTTCTTTATTTTAGTAATTTGATAACACTAAATTATGAGAAACCTCAAAATTGTTAAAATCATCCTACACTTGTTCATTAGATTATATTTTATCATTTAATTCTATTTAGTGATTTGAAAATATAATTAAATTGCTGTCTTTTTGATATTTAATTGTATTAAAATCAAGTTTTGGTAAATTATTATTATTTTGTTGAGAAATTTCTTATTATTTAGGATCTTGAGAAACAGCAGAAAAATAAATTAGTCCTAAATCTCCTGTATCGTTGTGTTGATCCTCAGAGTTTTAATTTTACTAATCTATAACAGCAGGTTTCATTTCATCATTTTCCTATTTTTCTTCTTAAGAATTTTATTCTCTTTCACTATCAGACTCATTGGAATCGCTCATGATTTATGTTTGAAATTATTAAAGGCTTATTTTTTTACTGGATTATTTTTTAGAATTTATATTTTAAAACAACAAAGTAGGCACACTTTTATTTTCAAGATTCTATTATTTGATTTATGGAAAGGAAAGGGGAGAATCATCACTAAAAGAATTATCAAGTACAGCTTAATCTTAAATAACTTTTTATTCAATTTACTCAAATTGCTATTATTTTGAGCCACTTAAATTCTTTTTTAAATCTAAAGCAATTTTTTTGTAATTTGAGTTTTAAAAATCAGTGATGTTGATCTTATTTTTTTTTGTTTCTTCGTCAATTTCTAAATTAAAATCAGAGTCTTATTGTTGTTACGTGTTACTCTTAATCTACAAATCTGCCAAAGAATCATGTGAAGTATAAATTAGTTAAATATTACCTTCGAATATTTATCTTGTATTTTATTAATCAGGGTTGTTTTGGTTCTATTGCATCTTATTCTTTGTACTTCTTTATATCCTTTTTCTCAAATTTGCAAATTGGCTTTAACTCTGATTGTTAATTTATTTATTGCTTTAATTTTCTAGCTCTTACTGCTTCTCTGGGCTTAATGTATAATCAGAAATGATTACATTAGCTTATTTTCCTTCATTATTTTAAAATTAACTAGACTCATTCAAAAGATGATCTTTTTTAGAATTTTATTTATAATTTATTTCATCAAATTTTCTTTTTATTTCATGTAAATTAAGATTTGCTTCTGATTCTTCAGTTTCTACAGTCTGAGATGGAATTATTACAACTGCAATCTCATTTTCTTCTAAATTTTATTTTTTATGAATTTCATCTTTTTGTATGCCAATTTCAATATACTCTTAATTATGAAGATCATTTATGATAATTTCATCATTTTCACTCTTAAAATCTACTTTTATTTCATCAGTTTATTTATGAGATTCATCACTCATGTCACTAGTTAAGATTAATTATTCTAAATCCATATTTTATTCATTTGTGTGGGTATTTGTTTCCTATTTAGAATTAATATCTGATTTTATTTTTTCTTTTTAATTTTATTTTAATTAAGTTTTATCCTCGCTGTAAATCTAATTAGAAGATTAGTCAAAAATATTTTATTAGCTTTTCTAGTTTTGAGCATCTTCGCTGTTATTACTCTCGATAATTATTTATCTATCTGAAGTAACCTGGTTTTAACCTATGTTATATTTATTTAAACTGTACTCCTCGAATTATGTTATTTCTTTTTTACTTACTGGTGTACTATTCAGAGAATTGTAAAAGCTTAATGATTTACTATTAGATTTATTTTGGACAGATTAGTTTGTAGAAGCGTTGCTAAATGGAATAGAGTCTTTAGTTTATTAGTGTTGATATTTGTATTTATTTTGTAAAATTTAAGGTGAAGGGTCGTTTATAGAGCTTTTATGAGATTGCATAGGCTTAAATTACTCAATATAAGACTTTGATTATGGCTTAATTTGATTATCAAATTATTGTTAATTGGACTACAAAGAATCTTAAATCGAACCTTAGCTTTTGATAATTTTTTAATCAATTTTTTTATTTGAAAATTAATCTATCATATGTATCTATGTGAGAGAAGATAGGTTGCTGTTATTGTTTTACATAGTTTCATTAAAAATTTGTTATTATTTTTACAATTAATTTTAATCACTAAAAATATTCGCTTTTTTTCTTTAGCTAATTTATAGATCTTTTTTTAGTGAGCTTTCATTAATCTAGAACTACTTTTAAAAGTGTTCCTCCCTTTCTTTCAATTAATTTTGCTAGTATTGCTTTATCCTGCTAATTCCTAATTCAAATCCTTTTAACCCTGTATTTTAATTTTTATCATTTTAAGCCAACTTCTCATCGTTCCTAGACTTGCTATCACTAATCTGTTTATTTTAAAAGTCTTCATAGTCAGTAGCTTGCGTAATTGAAGTTTATTTTTCAGAATCTGATAAATTCATGTGTGATTCCTCATCGAATTTCATTAAGGAATGATCCATTTAATGCTTTAGCTCCTAATCTATATCTATATTTTGTTATTCAAACTAACTCTCTTCCTTCATCTGTTTAGTTTAAATCTATCCATATCTCTTACCAACAAACTTATATTCAACTTTTCTAATATTAGAAAGTGGATACTTTTCATTTTAATGAGCAGTATTTTTCATGTAAGAAATCTATCTATTCAAAGAAGATATTTAGTCCTTACTCTTGAAATTTGAATCTTATTTTCAATATTATCTATCTATTTATTAAATGGAAAATATGTATAGATTTCAGCCTAAAGTTTGTTTATTTGTTTGTTTAAAAACAATAGATCTAATTTAAAATAATACAAGTAATTGGTTTTCGATATTATTGTTTATAAAGAATATAAACCTTTTTTAATATTGTATTAATTAATTAATTAAATTCTGACTGACTGACTGAATAAATGAATAAAAAATTGATTGATTTATTATTTAATTATTTTTTATTCAATTAATAATCTAGTCACTCAATCAATATCTCTTTATTTAAAAAAAATATTTTTAGAATTTAATTATAAATTCAATGTAATCTTAAAGTTGAGTTAGGTTAACATAATACTCAAATTTAATCTTAACATTTATTAGCTTATTCTAAATTTTTTGCATGAAAAAAATCAATCTTTGATTAAATTAATCAAAAGCTAGTTTAACTCTTTTGGGATTTAAATTATCCATAGACTTTTTAAGCTATTGCAAATCTTGTTTAATTTTTTAGTTTTGAGTTGGCTAGATTAATTTAATGATTTTCTCAAATTTAAGCAACTTTTATTTATTGGTATTGTAATAAAATTTGAGTTTTTCTAATTTCTGATACATTTCCCACACCATTTCAAATTTAAAATATCTATTCCAATTCTACAAATATTTTTAAATCAAAATATCTTAAAATAGTTAACTAATTCATGCTAATATTTTTGTAAATAATACTTTTTTAATTTAAAAGTATTAAATTAAAAACCAATTTATTTCAATTGATTTATAAATTAATTTAATATTGGATGATAATTTAAAATTGTTTGTACGAAAAAAAAAGTAAAAATAAAAATACATTTTTATTGTTGAAATTTAAAATGTAATTGATAATTTTTACAATTATATGATGTTTATTTAAAATAGCAAATTCAAGACATTTTTTTCAAATATACTTAATATTTTAAGGGTTAAAATATAATTTTAACATAAATATTTTTTTTTTTTAATACAATAAAATAATTAACAATATAATCAATTTATTAAAGTAATTTTAAAAATATTTTTTTTAAATATGATTTTTAAGTAAATTTATAATATAGCTTGAATGTATTTTATTCTTTTACCATATTTTATTGTAAATATTGAAGAAATATTACAAATTAAAAATATATTTTTATTAAACATGCAGTGTGCTTACATTAAAATATGTTAAGAGTTAAAAAATATTCTTCGAATTGTAAGGTTTTACATTTTCATAAATTTTTGGAAATTTATTATTAGTTTTTTTTACTTAGTTTTGTTTGTATTTCTTATAAAAATATTCATTTAATTTAATTTTACTAATTTTAATAAATATTTTGATTGATTTACACTTGCTTTATAATGTCAAATTTAGATGAATATAGACCTAAAATGAGGTATCAGAATTTTCTGATTTTAAGATAAAGCGAGAATTTTGATAGCACTAAAAGATCTAGCAATGTATAATCAAATTAAAATACTTAATCTGGATTTAGTGGAAAAGAAATATCAGTTAAATAGGCATTGGATTACAAAAAAGTGATGTCATTATCTTAGAATCGTGAGAACAATAGACTAGCATCTAAATGGAAAAGTAAAAAGCTAAAAATAATTGAATAAGAGTAAGAAATATTGAGAATATTGAAGTAAGAGTAAAATAAATCGCAAGATATTGAAATAAACTCTTTTTTAGATGATATTGAGAAATTAGAAAGTCCAATTAATAAAAAAAGATCTCAGATTGTGAGCTAGATTAAAAATTTATCATATTTTTAATCTGCTCCATCTAGCGGATAAAAGATTTAAAGAATATAAAATTAACATTTAAAAAACAGATATTATTTGAATACAGAAAATGATTATGAACATAACAAGATATAAAAGAGTGCAATTAACACTTCAATCAATGATAACAGCGCTATCCTTCAGTTGTAAACACCAAATTAATAATCTAGAATCGATACTAGTTTTCCTAAAATAAAGTCACCAAATAATTTAATTAGCATTTAACGGTTTAGAGAAAATATTAATCAAAATACAAAATCTTCAGTAAGTGAATATATTTAAAAAAGAAAAAATGTACAAAGGTCCAGTAGCATAAATAAACAAGACAATTTAAAATAAAAAGAATTTTATGATCAAAATAAAAATGATAACAATTCCAATTAATATTAATAATTACATTAAAAAAGAAGTCTAAGTAGCAGTAACAGAGGAAACGAAAAAAAAGCTTTATAAAATGGCGATTAAAAATAGAATTCTGTTTTTAATTATCCTAATTTAGCTGCTTAAGCTAATAGCTTACACTTATAAAACAATTTATCAAAATCTTAAGAAAAAAGCAATCCCTAACTAGATTGTGAATAGTAAAATAATAATTAATAAGAAGCATAAAATGAAAATACAAATTCGAAGAACAATCTTAAAACAGAGGTACTGGAAGAAGTTTAAATGTAAAATTAAGAGACTAGCTTAGATCAATAAATAAAGTAAATTGAATTGTAAAATAAATTAAAAGAAGATTAAAAGAATGAAAAATAAATAGTTGATGAATATTTAGAGTAATAAAAAATTGAAATTAATTAAGTAAATAAAAATACATCTAAGTAGATTTGTATGAGTGATCCTTCTTTTATTTATTAAGATGAAAAAAATACTAAAGTAAGTTAATAAAATCAGCATAATAATTTTTTTAAGAATTGTTATGAAAATCAGTAAATACATTGTGAAAATTATAGCAACAGAAAAAGTTGCTAAAACTCCTATGATTAATAGTTTGATAAAGAAAACTATGTTATTTATAGATAAGTAATTAAGGAACAAAAAAATCTTTAATCTTATTAGCAGACAATCATGAACAGAATTAATCATTTAGAAAAGGAAGAAACAAAAAACTTAATGAAAGTTGAAGAAACAAGAAAGAGAGTGTTTCAAATTTTATAAGACAAAATTAATTAGTAGTAGTTTTAGCAAAATTTACATAAACCAACAGTAAAATTAATTTATAAATTAAAAGATTAATGTTAAATTTTAATTAAATAAGGCTGAGCAGTTAAATTAAAATCTAAAAAGAGATGATTCAAAATGGAATGACAATGTTTAAGTGGTTTAAAAAAAAATAAGATCAAAAAGTGTAGCTGAAACAAGAAATTTAGGATAAATTATTAAAAAGTAGTAAAAATTTTAGGAAGAAAAAAAGAAGGAAAGGGCAACATAAATTAAAACTGAACTCAAACAGATTTTAGAAGAGAATATAAAAAAGTAATAGTTTGATCAGCAATTGAAAGAATAAAAATGCCAAAGGATAAAAATTTAACTGCAATAATCTCGTGAGCAAATTTACAGAGCTTTGCAAGAAAAAAAACAAAACGTCATTAACAATTTTAACATATCAGTAAAATATTTAATTCAATAAATTAAAAAAATTTATTTAAAAATAAATATTAAATTAAAAGATTATAGGAGAGAAACAAAGAAATTAAGTTATTTAAAAAAACATTTAAAAGCTTGAAGAAATAGAAGAAAACTTAATTTAAAATCTTAAATAAACATAAATTAGATAAGAAGGGGTGCTAAACGAGCTAAAAGATGTTCTTGCATTAAATCCTGAATAATTCAGTAAATTACATTTTAAAAGTATAAAGCATGATTAAGATTAAATGCTGACAGAGCAATCTAATAAAATTCTGAATCTAAGACATAAAAAAGCTTTACTATGCTGAAAAATCAATTAAAAAAAACAAACATTTTATTGTAAATAAGTATACTATTATTATCCACAAATTTCCATAAAATATTTTAAAAATATTTCAAAATATTATTTTCTTTCAAATTTATAATAACATCAAAAAATTATTGAAAATTTATTTTTTTTATTAAATTTTTAAATAAATTACAAAAATATTTGTTTCCATTAATATGCTATTTATTTTCATAATCAACATTTAACTAACTCATAAATTAAAAAAATATAATGTCCATCAATCTAAATAAAAAGAGGACTTAATTTGTTAATTTTATGCAAATAAATTGAAATATTGATAGATAAATTATAAACATGTATATTTATTTATAAATAGTTACAAGTTATTTATTTTGTATCAAGAGAAAATTAATTTTTAGTTTTTTGATAAAAAGTTGTTTTTTTTCATTTTGTTTATCAGAATAACTTTACCAAAAAGTATTTATTAAATTAGTATGAGAATTTAATAGAAATCTGTTTTTATTAGTATTATTTATAAAGTAATCAATTTATGCATAATATCGAATAACCACAAATCCTTTAACATCTAAAACATGATTAAAATTAAATAAATATTTAGAAACGACTATCTTAAAATTTTATATCAAAAATAAATTAATTTCAAAAAGAAAAATTAATTTTACTAATTTAAAGTAACTTTAAATTTTAATTAACATAAATAAATTAATTTATATTTTTTTTAATTGAAAGTAAAGTAGAGTTTAAGTTTTAAAAGCAGCACATACATACATATTCAATATTGTAAAAAGAGAAAATTTAGATTAAACTGAACAATATTAGTAAAAGATACAAAAAGTAAAATTCCTATTTTCTTCGCAAAAATTGGATTATTCTATATCATTTGATTATAGTAATCTAAATCAGAAAAAGTGGATTAATTCAACAAAACTTTAATAAATTAAATATTTACATAAAATTTGATTTTCTTTAAATAAATTAGAATAAAGTATTAAAATAATTAAGCTTAAATGGTAGATTCGGTAGGCCCAAGCGGCAAGTATAGTTTCACTGAAGATGAATTAAAAAATATAAATCCTAAAACAGCTTATAATATCAACATAGGTAATATTTTCTTAGTATTTGTTTAGTATCATATCTTATTTATTTATAATAAATTCAGGCGTTCTTGGACATATTGATAGTGGTAAAACTAGTTTATCTAAGGCTTTAAGTGTAGTTACTTCAACAGCATCTATGGATAAAAATCCTTAAAGTTAAGAAAGAGGAATAACATTAGATTTAGGATTTTCTGCATTTTTTACTAAAACACCATAACGATTAAAAGAATAATTGAAATTAGATTATTTATAATTCACTTTAGTTGATTGCCCTGGTCACGCATCTCTAATTAAAACAATCATTGGAGGAGCTTCTATTATAGATATTATGTTTCTCGTTATTGATATAAATAAAGGAATCTAAACTTAGACTGCTGAATGTCTAGTAATAGGTAATACTTTACTATTTTTTATTATAAATTTTAAATTTCTTTAAGTAAACTAAAGTTTTTCCTTCTCTTCTTTTAATGTTATCAAATAAAAATTGGTTAAATTCTTAAAAGTTAAAATAATTTTATAAATTAAATTAATAAATATAGGAGAACTACTGATGCAAAAGATGATAGTTGTATTGAACAAAATTGATATGATTCCAGAAGATAAAAGAGCTGAAACTATTAGTAAGAAAATGGAATAATTAAGAAAAGTATTTTCGAAGACAAAGTTTGGAGCAAGTGTTCCAATGATTCCAATTGCTGCATCCTAAGGAGCAATTGATGGATAATCATTACATATAGAGAATTTGATAGATTGTTTGCTTGGTGAAATAGAGATTCCTTAAAGATAAAAGGATGGACCATTTTTTTTCTTAATCGATCACTGCTTTCCTATTAAAGGAAAAGGAAGTGTTGTGACTGGAACAGTTATTTAAGGCTAGCATAAAGCAGGTGATGAAGTAGAATTCCCTCTCATAAAAGAAGTTAAAAAATCAAAGCAAATTTAAATGTTTAAAAAACCAGTAGAAAGTATTATTTAAGGAGATAGAGCAGGTATTTTATTTACATAGTTGGATAATACTTTAATTGAAAGAGGTATAGCATGCACTCCTGGCATAATTCAATTCATCTCATATGCAATTATTCCAGTAAAAGATTTGATTGTAAATATAACTTGTTAATTTCATCATTTTTTAAAAATAAGGTAAACAAAGTTAATTATTTCAAATATCCCATCTCGTCAAAAGGAAAATTTCATGTTACTACCGGTCATTAAACTTTAATGGCTTCTATAAAGTTATTTAAGGTTTAGATTACTTAAGAAGAGCTTTTGATTTTAGAAAGTACAAAGCAGAATATTAATTTCTAGACTGATAAAAATAAAAAAGATACATTCAACTTTGATTTTAATAAAGAATATGAGTATGTTGAAAACTATGATGACTATCTTAAAGTTAAAAAACCTAATGAGTGCCTTTTTGCTTTATTAGAATTTGAGAAGCCAGTTTGTGCTTCAAATGGAACTCTTTTTATCTGCTCAAAGTTTGATACTGATATTACTGCTAATATATGCAGAATAGGATTCTATGGAAATTTAATTACATAATTAACATAAGAAGAATTAAAAAACAAAAAACTTAAAATTTTTAGAGAGAAACTTAGAGAAGGTATCATCGAAAAAGTTAGTGATGACTACTCTGTTATAATAAAAGACATGTTTAAAAAAGAAACAAAAATTGAAGTGTATGTTAATAAGCCTATTGAGATATCCTTAACTAAAAATGTTGGTAAAATATAAGGAGCCTTTGGTAAAAGCGGTAAAGTAAAAGCCGTTTTCCCTAACGGAGTCTTACACTAACCTATTCAAGTAAATGCTAATGGAGAAGAGTAGAAATAAAATTAAGATGATATTCTAACAGAAGAAAAATTAGTTGGACAAACTGTTATTTTAAAATACAATAAAATTCTTTTCAACAAATGATTTTATCTTTATACTTTAAAAAAAATATTTAAAATAAATTGCAAACACGAATTTTCTTAAAATAGTAAAAAATTTTATTTAACAAATTTAAAAATTATCAACCAACTTTTTTAAATCTAAGTAAAGTAATTCATGTTTGTTTTCTAGTTTTAGTAACTATCCTAATAACTATTTGAAAATTCTATTTTAAGTATTTCAATATTTATTACAATTATAAATGAAAAATGTATTTTAATTCATTTATAATTAATTACAAATGAAAATGTTAATACTATAATTAATGATTAAAAAATAAAATCAATGTCTTAAACCCTATTTTTCTAGAAGGAAAATAGCACACAAAATATGCTTCAAAAATAATCTGTTATCTAATAATGTAAAAACATATCAATCAGAATGTCAATTTAAATAGTGTTTTAAATATTATCAAAATAAATTTAACAGCTTGAAGATTCTGACTTAAAAAGCTCAAATATTAATTACATTTGCAAATGAAAATATGAATTTCATTGTAAAATTAATATAAGCAATTTATTTTTCATCAATCATATTTTTTATAAATTCGAGAAATTGTTATCATATCAATGATATTCTTCACATGTTTTCTGATTATTTTATTCACTTAGTTAATTAAAAAACTCATAATTTATTTAATTTGTTAGAAAAAATAAATTTGTGGATGTATTTGGTTAATTCTAACAAATAAATCTTGTTTATTTATTCGTTCAAAGTCAAATTTTTCGTCTTTTTTTTCAATAATATATTTATTTTTTTTGATTGCTAGATATTATTTTTATTATTATATTAAAGAGAAAGATAGATAAATATCAAAAAAAAATGAAGATAAATTTAGATAAAATCATTCATTTTACTAAAAGAGATAAAATATTTCAATAGGGTATCTTTACTTTGATAGTTATAGTCCTTACAGTGACTATAATATCTTTAATTATTAAAAGAAGGCGAGCAAATAAAGCTAAATCAATGCCCATTTAACATAACAGTCAACCTAAAGAAGTTTAAACTTGTGAATAAATGATGAAATAATTAGAAAATAATGGATTTATTAGACTTAAAAGCTATCGCCCATTTTAAGAAGAAGACTTATTCAAATACGATGATGAGCTTTACTCTGTTAAGCAATTTAAAAGCAGGTATCCGAATGCAAAAGGTTTTATTTGCTATTCAGATAGTAGCCAGAAAGTACCATATAATTATATTGGAATTTGTGATGCAGATTTAATTCATGAGTTTATGGTAGAGAAAGAAAAATATTATGAAAGAGATGTAACACTTTCTTATGTAGCAAGGATTCTCGGAGATAGCTTACTATTTAATCTTTCAGATATATGGAGAATGAAGCGCAAAGTTTATGGATAGATGTTCCATTTTTATTAATATCATCAGCTTGTGAAGTTGGTGAGAGAAATAACTACAAAAAATTCTTATATAATAGACATGAATTCTTAAAAGCCTGTATAGCTAATATCTCACTTTGAAGATATTCTAGGAGAATGGTCTCTTCATCTATTTTTCGGATATAATGCTAGCTAATATGATTTACAATCTAAATTAAAAGCAGCTTATAACAATGCTCGCTCTGCCATACTCCTTTTACAGCCCCAAAATATAATAAACTGTCTTGACCCTTTAAAGGAAGTCCTCCTTGAATATCTATACATCACTTCTGATTAGATAAAAAGCGATCCTGATTACTAAAGCAAACCTTAAAATAACATCACATGGTATAAAATTTAAAAATTAATTAAAAACAATAAAATAAATGTTTTTTTTAGTTAGTTATTCATTCATTCATTCATTTTACTTACTAATAATTTTTTTGAAATTTAAAAACAGGTTTTTGCTAAATAGCAAAGAAGTTTAATGGAACAAAGATTTCCTTGATTAAATTTGCTAAGATATTATCATCTTTTTCTTCGCTGGAAGAGATACGATGGCTCATACTCTTTAAATGATGTTTTATTATTTATGTATTTACCCTGAATATAAAAAGAAGATAGACGAAGAAATAAATAGCCTAAACGGAGATTATTCTGTTTAAAATATTTCAAATTTAAATTATTTAGAAGCTGTTTTAAAAGAAACTCTTAGACACTATGGACCAACAACTACAATTTTACCTAAAGTTGTCATGGAAAGACATTCCTTTATGAACGATAAAGTATTCTTAGAAGAAGGAACAATTGTTTCTTTGGCAATCCAAGAGCTTAATTATGATCCACAACATTATGAAAATCCCTTTAAGTTTTATCCCGAGAGATGGTTTGACGAAAACTTAAAACAGAAGGAGAAGAAAATTTTCATGCCTTTCTCATATGGCTCCCATAAGTGTATAGGAGATAAGTTGGCACTACCAGTGATGAAAATGCTATATATAACTCTGAATGAATATTTTTCAATAGACATTGATCCTAGCTTCAAATTAAAGCTTGTTGCCCTAATATAATATACTCCTTCTACTTAAATACCTTTTCTAATTACTAAAAAAAAAAATATTTAAAGCAATAACGAAGTGTATTTTTCGTGATTGATTAAATATTAAATAAAAAATAATTAAATGATTTATTTGTTTATTGTGCTAGCATAGCTATCTATGATTATAAGTCCATTAAATTAGATAAATTAAATGAGAGAAATTACTATGACAGAAAAAATATTTTCATTTTGTATCAAAATTAAATTAATGAGTGATTTAATTAATTAAATTGTGATTATAACTAATATATATATGTATGTACATTAATAATATTACTTACTTACTTTTTTATAAATTTATCAACTAATATTTAATGAATTTTGAAAATTACACTTACATATTTTATGTCAACACTTAAATTAGAATATATCATAAGCCATTAAAAGAAATAGAAGATGAAGTGAAATAGGCTCTTTTGGAAAACCCAAATGACGTAGAGCATTTAATAATATTTGATCAAATTCTCTTTAAATACCATCTTGATTATACTGCTGCTATTAAAGTTATAAAATAAGTTCTCTAAATCTAAGCAGATTGCATAGATGGGCGTATAGATTTGATACAAATAATACTAGATTTTAAACTGAGCTCATATGAAGATTGTTTTTAATTATTAGAAGAGTGCATGCGAATTGATCCTTCGTATTGGCGAATTTATTTTACGAAAATAAGGATTTTAGATAATATTGGAGATGATGATGAAAAAGTAATGAAAGAAGTTGACAGATGCATGAAACTATATCCTTAAAATAAATATTTTATTATTTATAATGCATAAATTTTATCAGAGCAAACAGATAAAAGAGAGTAGGTGCAGTGCCTGCTTGATCCCTATAAAAATAGCACAGAGTTAGATTTTGATTTGCTAAGAAGAATCTCTTATGCTTATGGAAACTTAAAATAAGGAAAAGAAGCTATTGAATACATAAAACAAGCTATTAAATTTAATTAAAATTCATACATAGCATATAATGAATTTGGATATTTAGAAAGGTCAGTTAATAATAATAATTACACTTGCTTGGAATATTGCTTAGTTTCCTTAAAGCTCAATCCTAGGTATACTTTTACTTTAAATAACTTAGCAGCTACTTTCAAAATTCTAAACAAATAATAAGAGTGCATAAAATGCTAGAAGAAAGCATTGCAGCTAAAGAGTAATCCTTTTTCATATCATTAACTTGTGTACGATTTTTATGAAATGCAAAGCATAGATGAAGCTAAATACTATTCTTATAAAAGTGTTCAAAAATTCTAATAAGATAAGTCAAGCAATTTTCTATTACAAAAAATAAACAGAAAATAATTCAGTAATACAATTTTAGATTATGAAGAATAAGAATTATAAGGTATAAAATGTCTTAATTTTAAAGTGGAAAATCTATAACAAGAAGAAGACTATGTGGAAACTTCAATAACATAAAATGAAGTTTACGAGGATGATTGAAAAAAAAAATATAATAAACTCTTAAAATTACTACACTAAAATAATTATTAATCTTTTTTATATTACACATAAAATAGAATGTTACTTATAAATATTTAAATTTTAAACAGATAAATGTTAAAAGAATAAATTGGATGTGTATGTGGTCTTTAATTAATTATTCATTTATTTTGTTTTGCAAAAAACTTAAAAAACAAGAATTAATTATTAAAAAAAAATTTTAAGTGGATTATGCTAAATTAATTAAAAGAATAATAGATAGCAGAAATAAAAAACTTTACCAAAAGATTAGAAAAGGCTCTCAATAAAATATTCAAAAAATAAAATTTTTATTTAACGGCTAGCAAAATATAAGATGCTTGTATACAATCTGTCTATCAATAAATATAAATTAATAAAAATGAAAAATACTTTGCATCATTTCTAAATAAGTAAGAATTTATATTCTAAAAAAATAGCATTCAGAATTTAGAAAAAGAAATAGATTAGAAAATTTCTTTGTTATAAAGGTATAAATTTTATATAAATTATTATTAAAAGCAGGCTATCTAAGTTATTTTAAATATTTTAAAAGTGAATAAGACTATTTTGATGCAAGGTTAGATCTTATAAATATTATGCTCCTATTTTAGGTTTGTAAATTAGATTAATAAAATCATTTGTTATAGGAGTGTTTTTATTTGACAAAATTTATCTTTAAGTATAATGAGAATGAAAAAATAAGTTTGAAATTTTTGAAATTAATTGAAAAAAAAGATTTACATTTTAATTTAATTAAAATATAACTTAAACAACTTAAAAAAGCAAGATCAAGTCTTTAAATCATTAAAACAAGAATTAAAATCAAATCTACTCAGCTTTTAAATTTATTAAAATCTTGGCTTAAAATTTCAATATTATTAAATTATCTATTTTATCAAATTAAATGAAAATAATTATTTACCTAAATCATCATATATTAAGTATGGTACTGCTAAATTAAGGTATTTTTCACAAAAAAATGGATATGATTAAGGTAGTTTTTCTAAAAAAAATCTTAAAATGAATTAAAAAAAAATAAAGTACTTTACTTAAAATTAAAAACAGTCTCAAGATTTTTTAAATATAATCAAGATAGTTGAGTGAGTAAGCGTACTTACTTATTATATGAGGATATTATAATAATTTTTTTTTTTTTCAAATAATAAAAATTCAAAATTTTTTATTATAAAATCACTAAAATTTAATTTTATGATTTACTTAAATGACCTCCTTTCTTTTACAAATTTAATTTGATTCATAAGTACATACATAATAAATAATAAAAAATGATATTTTTTATTTAATTTTAAAAATTAATGGTAATGTACTATTTAAAAGCAATATTAATTTTTTTAATTTGCTAAGTGCAATATTTTACTTACTTTTTTTTATTATTAATTAAATCTTTCATTTATTTTTGGATCAGAAAAATATCTCAAGATTCTAAAAGAATTTAGAAAATACAGAATATTTTAAAAATTTATTAAACTAAAAGATTTGATTTAAATTTATCTGAATGAGACAAATTTTTTGAGTAATAATCTAAAAATAAAAAATTAATAAAATTAAAAATTGCTTGAATTAAATGAAATAGCTATGAAATAGATGATGTCATATATTAAAGATAGATAAATAATTAATAGACACCTTTACTTAACTTAAATTTATGCTCAAATAAATTTGTTAAATAAAAATATTTTATTTTTTATTAAATTCAAGATTTTTGTTATTGAAAAAGATTCACAATATTTTTTATAATATTTAATGAATATAAAATAAAAAAAATCATACAAAATTACTAAATTTATTAATTATTTCATAAATGGATAAAATTGAAGACAAAAAAAAAATAAAATATACAAAAAATTTGAAAGTTCCTCCTTACAATTTGTAAAATGATGGTAAATATTACAACGATACATTAAAATTCAATGCGCACTAGGGTCATGGGTTTGCAGCTGAACAAGCGAACAATCTGGTTGATTAATATAAAGGAGATAAAGCTGTTGTACTTAATGAGAATGTGAAAAACGGACCTGATAGAATTGTAAATGGAGTTTAGATACAAACTAAATATTGCAAGAATGCTTAAACTGCTGTTTAAAACTGCTTTAAAGATGGTAAATTTAAATATAGTGGTTAATAAATTGAAGTTCCTCCTGAATAATATGACGAGGTGGTACGATTGTTTGAAAAAAGGGGAATAAAAAATGCTATAATCAGAAAGGGACATGTCAGCTATAAAGTAGCTAAAAATATTGCTAAGTTTGGTACTATTGAAGGTCTTACCTATGATGTTGTTACTGGTATAAATATAGGTATTAATGCTTTTGGTATTAGTGCTTTATTCAGTTTTGCTTTTACTAAATGGAATGGAGGGAGTACAGAAGAATGTGTTAAAAATGCTTTATAAACATCTTCATAAATTTTTGGAATGAATGTTGTGTCACATGTATTTTCTCAATAATTCGCTAGATCTAGTTTAAACGGTTTTGCTCATTAATCGACACTAAATGTATTGTAAAAGGTCTTAACTAAAGATTAATTTGCTACATTTGCTAATAGCTTTAGAGACGAGGGTGCTAAGAAAATTTATGGTGCTGCTGCTTAACAAAATGTTGCTAAAATGGTGAAAGGTTAAGCTGTCTTTGCTGCTGGTATCTTAGTCCTTTAAACAGGTTGGGATGTAATAAGTGTAACAAGAGGGAAAATATCTGGAAAATAGCTTGCTAAAAATTTTTTCAGTAACCTTGGTAGCGCTGGAGGTGGTCTTGCTTGTGCAGTGTATGGAACTTGTATAGCAGGACCTGTTGGAGGTTTAATCGGGGGAATAGTAGGTGGAATAATTTCTTAATTTGCCGTTAAAAAAGTACTTGATTAAATTACTCCTGATGATCTAGATGAGATGGCAGAAATTTTAAATAATTAAATTATAAAACTTTAGAAAGAAGAATATTTGCTTACTGAATAAGAGTTTAATGAAGTTCTAAATAAAATTAAATCATAAATAAACAAAGATTTCCTTCAAAATATGTTTGAAAGCTCAGATAGATAATAATATGCTAAAAAAAAATTAAAAGATTATTTCTAATAGGCTTTAAAAAATAGACCAAAGGTTAAAGTAAATGAAGAAATTAATAATTATTTTAAAAATGAAGGATGAGATAAATATTCATACACAAATAATAATAAAAATTATATTAGCATTTATTATATATATATATGATCAAAAATATTTTTGTGTTTAAAATGAAACTAATATTTATTCAAATTTCAAATATTACTTTTTAGATATTTGATTCTTAAAATAAAAGATTTAATCATTTTATTTATTTAAATTACAATATTTATTTCAAATAAATTCTTATTTTTAAAATTTAACTATTTTTTATTAAATCTGATATTGAAATTAAATTACAAATTGTAATTAATATTTATGAATTATAGAAATATATTTTGGATTTAATTAATATTTAAGGAAATTTATTTTGAATAAATTTAAGAAATTACGAATTATTGATATTTATATTATGTATTTATTTATTTGTTTCTCCTTATTAATTTTTAAAATTGAAATATTTTTAGTTCATTGATATATTAAATAAGCCCAGTATAGAAAACACTTTTCTCAAGAAAAATCTGGCTTTAATTAAACCATATTGAAAATTTTTTAGAAACCGGCCTTAATATATTGCGGACTTAATAAATAAACCTATACCTTATAATTTATTAAGAAAATTACACAAAATTATAATTATCTTAAAAATGCTATAAAATACATTTTTTCTATCTTAGCTACTTTTAAAAATGTAAATAAAATAATATTTAATAATTTTCCCAAAGGAAGAGGTACATAAATATCTAATATAATAAACTAGACAGCTACACTTTTTAGTGAAAAAACAATATTTCGAGTTCTTTAATATTGAGATTTTAACTAATTTTTAGTAAAGTGTTTTGTTAATTACAAGCTAGATAGATAGACTTCAATTTTTATAATTTTTGAATAGAATCATTTATTTATTTTTTGAATAAGAAAAACATAGTAAGTAATCTTCTAAAAAAATTTAGAAAATACAATATAATTTAAAAATTTGTTTAACTCTTCACTTTGATTAGAATTTATCTAAATGTGACAAATTTTGTAAGTTAAAATCAAATACTAAAATTTAGAATAGATTTTAATTAATGATAGATAAATAAAATATTATATGGATTTGATAATAATTATTTTTATTTATTTTTAAGAAATAAAAACATGAAAAGTTTAAAATTTGTAATTAAAATAAATTTAAATAGATTAAAAAATGCTTATATTTATTTATTAGTTGATGAAATTCAATAATTTTTGTTATTTAAAAAGACTCACACACAATATTTTTATTATAATTAAACAATATTAAATATCTAAAATCTTAATAAATTACTAAATTTATTAATTATTTCATCAAATGGAAGACAAAAAAAAACTAAATACAAACAAATTGAAGATTCCTGCTTACAATTTGTAAAATGATATTAAATGTTACAACGATACTTTAAAATTCAAAGGACCCTAGGGTCATGGATACGCAGCTGAACGACTGAACAATCTGGTGGATTAATTTAAAGGAAAAAAAGCTGTTGTTCTTAATGATAATGTGAAAAATGGACCTGATAGAATTTCAAATGGAGTTTATATACAAACAAAATATTGCAATAATGCTTAAGCTACTTTTAAAAGCTGCTTTCAAGATGGTAAATTTAGATATAGTGGCTAGTAAATTGAAGTTCCTCCAGAATAATATGACTAGGTGGTAAAATTGTTTCAAGATAGGGGAATAAAAGATGTTACAATAAGAAAGGGACATGTAAGCTATAAAGTAGCTAAAAACATTGCTAAGTCTGGAACTATTGAAGGCCTTACGTATGATACAGTTACTGGTATAAAAATGGGTGTTAATACTTTTGGTATTAGTTTCTTATTAACTTTTGCTTGTACTAAATGGAGTGGAGGCAGTACAGAAGAATGTGTCTAAGAATCTTTGTTAACAGCATTATAAAGTTCTGGAATGACTGCAGTTTCACATATATTGTCTCAACAATTCATTAGATCTAGTTTTAACAGGTTTAATAATTAAAAGACACTAAATCGATTGAAAAAGCTTTTAAGTAAAGATTAATTGACTTCGCTTGTTAACAAATTCAAAAAGTAGGGTGTGAAGAAAATTTATGCTTAACAAAATGTTGCGAAAATGGCGAATATTTAAATTATCAATACTGTAAGTATTTTAGTCGTTTAAACATTTTGGGATGTAATTGAAGTAACTAGAGGAAAAATATCTAAAGAGTAGCTTTTAAAAAATTTTATTTGTAACCTCAGTAGTGCAGGAGGTTCTCTTTGTGGTACACTGTATGGAACTTGTTTAGGAGGACCTGTTGGAGGGTTGATTGGGGGAATAGCAGGAGGATAAGTTGCTTAATATGCTATTAAAAAAATACTTGATAAAATTACTCCTGATCTAGATAAGATGGTAGAAATTTTATAAAGCTAAATTTGTAAACTTTAGCAAGAAAAATATTTGCCTACTTAATAAGAGTATAAAGAAATTTTAAATAATATAGAATAGCATTTAAAAAATTTTTTTTGTAACCTTGTAAGTGCTGGAGGTGTTTTTGCTTGTTCAGTGTATGTAATTTGTACAGGACCTGTTGGAAGTTTAGTAGGGACAATAGTTAGAGGATAAGTTACTTAATATATTGTTAAAAAAATACTTGATAAAATTACTCCTGATCTAGATAAGATGGTAGAAATTTTTTAAAGCTAAATTTGTTAACTTTAGCAAGAAGAATATTTGCTTACATAATAAGAGTATGAAGAAATTTTAAATAAAATTAGTTTAGAAATAAAAGAAGATTTCTTTAAAAGCATGTTTGAAAGCTCAGATAGATAATTATATGCTAAAAAGAAGGTAAAACCTTATTTCTAACAGGCTTTAAAAAATAGACCTAAAATTTAAGTAAATGAAGAAATAAATAAATATTTAAAATTTAAATTATGAGATAAATGTAAAAATAAATACAAATTCTATTAGTATTTATATATATGATCAAGTATATTTTTGAGTTTAAAATTAATCTAAAACATTATTTCAATTTATTTTTTATTATTTTTTGTTCATTAAAAAAGTTATTTCTTAATAGTTTGCTGAATTTAAAATCATTAAATTTTTAATATAGTCATATAAATAATAATTGTTGATAGTAGAAATCAAAGCTTAATATTCTGATTTATCATTAAAAAAGTATTTAAGAAACATTTTTAAGATATCGTTTTGAGTATGAATTAGACAAATTAATTTTAAAAAATAGTCATTTGATACTTAAAAATATGATTAAGTAAATTTGTTTGTTTTAATAATCTAAAAATAAATAACAAATTTTATAAAATTAAATTATAGAAAGTAGAATGAATATTAACTTACTTAATAAGAGTTTGATGAAGATCTAATTAAAATTAAATCACAAATAAACAATAATTTCCTTCACAACATGTTTGAAAAATCTGATATAAAATAATATCTTAAAAAAAGGGTAAAATCTTATTTCAAATAGGTTTTAAAAAATAGATCAATGATTTAAGTAAATAAAGAAATAAATAATTATTGAAAAGAATAAGGATGAGATAAATATTCTTACACATTAATTAAAAATTATATTAGTATATACTTTGATATATGATTAAAAATATTTTTGTGTTCAAAATTAATCTAAAACATTATATCAACTTATTTTTTATTATTTTTTGTCCATTAGCTAAGCTATTTCTATTTATTTTAATTTCAAATAATATTTTACTGAAATAGCTTAGAAACATTTCATGAATTTTAAAAAAAGCATTTGTTCTATTATTAATAATTTGCTGAATTTAAAAACATTTAATTTTTTATTTACTCTGATAAATATTAATTGTTGATTAGTAGAAAGTAAAGTTTAACACAGTAATCTAACATTAAAAAAGTATTTAAGAAACATTTATAAGAAATTGTTTTGAGTTGAATTAGACAAATCAATTTTAAAAAAATAATGATTTTTGATACTTAAATTAATCATTAAGTAAATTCCATTTGATAGTATAATCAAAATAAATAACAACACTAACAAATGATAGTTAAATAAAAAGAAATTCATGTGTTCTTTGCAAACAAATAAACTATTGTTTTTAATGAAAATATCAAGTAATTAACATAAAAAATTTAGAAATAATATTCTGAAAATCCTCATGATATACAATTACAAACCATCTTAGTTTAAATTTACTATAAATATTAAAATAATTACAAAATTGCATTAAAGATGATAAAAGATATATTGTTATAAGATAAATTACAAATGGACGCAAGGCTAGATTTAGCTGAAGTTATGCTAGAATTTAATATAGGCAGCAAAGAAGATATCTAAAATTTAATCAATGAATGTTACAACTTAGATTCAAATTATTGGCGTACATATTTTACTCATATAAAATACTACGATTCGATTGACTCAAATGATCTATTCCTCAGTAATGTACTCTAGAAATTTCTTATAAAATTCCCAGATAACATATGGCTGAAGGTTTATCTGTTATAAGTATTATCTGATTCAAATAAATCTTAATTAAAAGAAGAAAATGCAAAAGAAATTTTGGATTCTGAGTTTCTTGACTATGACTTGATGAGAAGATTATCTTACTTTCTAATGAATGTAGGATTTAATGATAAAGTTGTATAGTTGTTAGAGTAAGGTTTAAAGTTAAATCCCAATTCTTTTATTTGTTTAAATAATTTAGGATACTTTATGAAAACTAATCATAAAAACAATCTTAAATGCATAGAACTTTGTAAAAAAGCTTTACAACAAAATTGTAGAAGTTTGGCAACATTAAATAACATAGCTTATACATATTAAAATATGAATAATTACAAAGAGAGCACAAAGTACTTAAAAAAATGCTTAGATGTTTATTCTTATAGTCCTTGCTAGTTCTAAAATATTGCATATAATTATTAAGAAATAGAAGAATTTGAAATGTCATTTTATTATTTGTTAAAAGGATTGAAAAAATTTCCTAACTCTGCTATCTTAAATGTATAATAACAACTCATATTTTTTTAAATAAGTGATGAAGGAATAATAGACAAAGAAGAATTCGAACTTCTTTCATAAAAAAACTGTGATTTATAATTAAAATTAAATGAGCCTTACTATTATAACACTCATCTAATATTTAACTTAGTATTTTAATGAAATTTTAAATAAATTTTAAAAGAATAAATTAATTATAATAAGTTAGTTAATTGTAAAATATATATAAAAGTAATTAAAAATAATAAAACTACAAATTTAAACTATAAAAATATTTTCATGTTTTTTAGTTACAAAATCATTAAAATATATTTTTTTTTATACATAATTACCCTCCTTTTTAAATCTTAAAATGTTCCCTTGTAACCTCATTTTACAAATTTTATTTAATGCATAAGTAGATATAAAATAAAATTTATTAAACTATACAATTTATCTGATTGGAACAAACTTTATAGGTTAGAATTAAAAAGTAAAAAATAAAAATAGTTAATAATTATTTAGAATTAATTCAAATAAATGACAGATAAATAAAACAATTGTACATGTTTAATAAATAATTTGATTTAGTTTTAAGCCTAATAAAATAATTTGTGTGAAAAAAGAAAATATCTTTTTTTGAAATAGAAAATTTTTTATGAAATAATTTGTAAAATTTAATATAATTAAAAATTATTTAGAATTAGTTCAAATAGGTATCAGATATATGACGCTTAATATTTTAAATGTATATTAATAATTAATAAAAACTTTTATTTAGCTTAAATTGGTATTTAGATAAATTTGATAAATAAAAGTATTTTATTTAGTTAGCTAAACTTTTATAAAATTCAAGATTTTTATTATTTAAAAAGACTGACACGAAAAATTTTATAATTTAATTAAATAAAAGAAAAAATATTAAATCTTAAAAAAGTCCTAAATTAATTAATTAATTAAATATTTCATAAAATGGATGACCAAAAAAAAATCAAATATACAAAAAATTTGAAAGTTCCCCCTTACAATTTGTAAAATGATGGTAAATATTACAACGATACTTTGAAATTCAATGCACGCTAGGGTCATGGATATGCAGCTGAACAAGCGAATAATCTGATTGATGAATTAAAAGGAGATAAAGCTGTTGTTCTTAATGAATATATTAAAAATGGACCTGATAGAATTGTGAATGGAAATTTAATTCAAACAAAATATTGTAAGAATGCTTATTCTACTTTTAAAAACTGCTTTAAAGATGGTGAGTTTAGATATAATGGCTAATAAATAGAAGTACCTCCAGAATAATATGACGAGGTGATACAATTGTTCCAAGATAAGGGAATAAAAGATGTTACAATAAGAAAGGGACATGTCAGCTATAAAGTAGCTAAAAACATTGCTAAGTCTGGAACTATTGAAGGCCTTACGTATGATACAGTTACCGGTATAAAAATGGGTATTAATGTTTTTGGTATTAGTGCTGTATTAACTTTTGCTTTTACTAAATGGAATGGAGGGAGTACAGAAGAATGTGTCAAATAATCTTTATAAACAGCATCATCAATTTTTGGAATGTCTCTCGTGTCACATGTATTTTCTCAATAATTCGCTAGATCTAGTTTTAACGGGTTTGCTCATTAATCGACACTAAATGTTTTGAAAAAGGTCTTAACTAAAGATTAATTTGCCTCATTTGCTAACAGCTTTAGAGGCGAGGGAGCTAAAAAAATTTATGGCGCTGCTGCTTAACAAAATGTTGCTAAAATGGTGAAAGGTTAAGCTGTCTTTGCTGCAGGTATCTTAGTCCTTTAAACAGGTTGGGATGTAATTGGTGTAACAAGAGGAAAAATATCTGGAAAACAGTTTGCTAAAAATTTTTTCAGTAACCTTGGTAGCGCTGGAGGTGGTATTGCTGGTGCAGTGTATGGAACTTGTATAGCAGGACCTGTTGGAGGTATAATTGGGGGAATAGTAGGAGGAATAATTTCTTAATTTACCGTTAAAAAAGTACTTGATTAAATTACTCCTGATGATCTAGATGAGATGGCAGAAATTTTATAAAATTTAATTTGTAAACTTTAGTAAGAAGAATATTTGCTTACTTAATAAGAGTTCAATGATTTTCTAAATAAAATTCAATCAGTAATAAACAAAGATTTCCTTCAAAACATGTTTGAAAGCTCAAATAGATAATAATATGCTAAAGATAAGGTAAAACCTTATTTCTAATAGGCTTTAAAAAATAGACCAAAAATTTAAGTAAATAAAGAAATAAATGAATATTTACAAATAGAAGGATGATAAAACTTATATTAGTATTTTAAAATAAGATCAAATATATATTTGTGTTTTTTATTTAATCTAAAACATTATATTGAATTACTTTTTATTATTTTTTGTTCATTAACTAAGTTATTTCTATTTATTTTAATTTCAAATTAAATTTTACTAAAATAGCTTAGAAACATTTGAAGAATTTAAAAAATATTTTTTCTTTTAATAATAATTTGCTGAATTTAAAAACATTAAATTTTATATTTAATCAGATAAATAATAATTGTTGATTAGTAGAAAACAAAACTTAATATTCTAATTTATCATTAAAAAATTTTATAAGAAAAATTTATAAGATATTGTTTTGAGTGTGAATTAGACAGTCAAATTAATTTTATAAAAATATTGATTTTTGATACTTAATTATATCATTAATTAAATTCTATTTAATTTTATAATCTAAATAAACAACAGGATTAACAGATGATAGTTAGCGAAAAAGTAATTCACGTGTTCTTTGCAAAAAAATAAACTATTGTTTTTAATGAAAATATCTAACAGTTAACAGAAAATATTTAGAAATAATATTCTGAAAATCCTCATGATATATAGTTGCAAACCATCTTAGCTTAAATTTACTATAAATATTAAAATAATTACAAAATTGCATTAAAGATGATAAAAGATATATTGATATAAGATACATTAGAAATAGACGCAAGGCTTGATTTAGCTGAAATTATGATAGATTTTAATTTAGGAAGCAAAGAAGATATATAAAATTTAATCTATGAATGTTATAACTTAGATTAAAATTATTGGCGTACATATTATATTCATATAAAATACTACGATTGGATTCAATCATAAGATCTATTCCTCATTATTGTGCTCAAGTAATTTCTTATAAAATTCCCAAATAATATATGGTTAAAGGTTTATCTGCTATAAATATTATCTGATTAAAATAAATCTTAATTAAAAGAAGAAAATGCTTAAGAATTTTTGGATTCTGATTTTCTTGACTATGATTTGATGAGAAGATTAGCTTACATTCTAAGGAATGAAGGATTTAATGAAAAAGCTCTATAGTTGTTAGAGTAAGGTTTAAATTTAAATCCCAATTCTTTTATGTGTTTAAATAATTTAGGATACTTTATGAAAACTAATCATAAAAACAATCTTGAATGCATAGAACTTTGTAAAAAATCATTACAATAAAATTTTAGAAATTTGGCAACATTAAATAACATAGCTTATACATATGAAGACATGAATAATTTCAAAGAGAGTACAAAGTACTTAAAAAGATACTTAGATATTTATTAGAGCCCTTATTAATTCAAAAGTATTGCATATAATTATGAATAATTAGAAGAATTTGAAATGTCATTTTATTATTTGTTAAAAGGACTTAAAAAGTTTCCTAATTCTCCTATCTTAAACAAAAGATAGTAACTTATATTTTTAAAAATAAGTGGTTAGGAAATAATAGACAAAGAAGAATTCGAAAGTCTTTCATAAAAAAACTGTGATTTATAATTAAAATTAAATGAGCCTTACTATTATAACCCTCATCTAATATTGAACTTTGTATTTAAATGAAATTTTTAATAAATTTCTATAATCCAAGAATAAATTTAATATTGTCAATTGAGTAATTGTAAAATATTTATAAAAGTAATTAAAAATAATAAAAATACAAATTTAAACTAAAAAAATTGATTAAAAAGTAATCATTAATTAATTAATAGTTAAGAAATAAGTAAATTAATTAGTTAATTATTAAGATATTTAATATTTAAATTTTAAATATTATTTATTTATTTATTAATATAATTTATTATTTGTCAATTTCAATTAAAATGTATTCTATTTTTTTCTTCCTAAATACTTACACGACGTTAAGGTTATCCTTGAGGTGGTGCTAGTGATTTTATCTGGCTTTTATATTATTATTGGATCATCTAGTTGCTGTTATCGATGACAATATTTTTTTATTTTTTTAAATGGCCATTGTATATTTCTTAAGCAGTGTCAAAACAATGATTGATTAATTCCTTTAGCAAAGTGCATTATTTTGAATTTATTTTTTGTTGGTTCATGTACTCGTCTGGAACTTAAAGTGTTTGTCTTTTAACCTCTTCGAATGTTTTATATTTATCTTTTTTCAAGCTTCTCTTGACTTACTTAAATGTTTATAGTTTTACATTGATTGTAATGTTATTGGAGTTAGCATCCATCACTCCGTTGGACTAATTTTATTATAATTCTTGATTCATTTTGTTTTGATGATCAGTTTATTTTATTAAAAAGTCAAGAATAAACTTAGATATTCTAATAACATTAATGTTTCCTTTATCTTTTTTACAAAAACTTAAAATTTAATCTTTAATGTTAATTTCAGAATTGATTCTTTTTCTTTTTTTCTACTTGAAGATTTATCTGTACTTTTGTTCGTCTGACTGGTCCTTCTTATCTCCATCGCTCTTAGACCAATTAATCCAATTTTTATCAACACAAAATCCAATGTCCTCTTCTTCTTGCACATATTATTTTCTCAAAATCGTGCAAAAAGGAGCCCAGTGGAAGTAGATATCCCTAAATTGATAATAAAATTTGTAAGTAAATCCAATAACAAATAATAAGAAATCTTTACCTGTACATTTTAACCCAATAAAGTCTAACATATGGATTAACAAGAGAAGCTGATGATACAAGCTATTCCCAGATTACTTATGCAAAGAGCATATTTTAATGATAGTCTAACTTAAATTGCATGTCTTCAACAAAGCTATTAATATTTACATGCACATACTGTTTTAGAATGGCAAGATAATTGATGTAGTCTTGGCATTTGACAAAATTCAACCTAGCTTTTTCTATTTTTTTAATTAAGTACATAAACATTTGGTGGGGGAGATAAGAATTTGAGTCTTCCTTTCTTAGAAATTTATCATAAAGATATATCCCTTTCATATTAACTTGATTTTTCTATACCTTGAAATCCTATATCTATTGATTAATTTAATCAATAAAGACTTAAAGGTCTTGATTTTCTGTTTGAATAACTACTCCTTTAGACTCTTTGACCTTAGAGTAACCATTTATTCCATTTTCGTTTGAATTCCCATTTTTATATGGTTGACTATTTCCATTTACTTACTTTACTTCACCATTATTCTCTTCTATCATTTTATCATTTAATTCAATTTTAATATCTTCTATTTCATCTTCTTCTCCTTCTCCAAATTTATTTTTGCAAATTAATTCATTCTTCATCAAAAAGAAATAATAATTCATAATAATAGCTTTAAATACAACATCGTTCAAAGAGCATTCAATATATTCTAACTCTAAGCACCTATTAATTAATATTTTAAATTATTCTTGATCAATAATGTACAATTAACTATTTTACCTTATAACTTCCTTAAGAATAGTCTTTTTAAAGTAAGGATGATTAGTCAGCAAAAGCGAACCAATTAAATTGGCTCTGTATATAGAGTCATCAAACCTATTAATAGAATTATCATTTTCTTTTATGAGCTTAAGGAGGTATCGAATAGTATTTTCAGGAGGATATTATTTGTCAGCATCAACTGATATATTTTCGTCATAACAGTAAGGAAGACCTCTGATAATCGTCATCAATATCATATATTTCTTGTAGCTTTAAAAATTATTAGGCAGAAGTGATTTATCCTAACCAATTACATTCTTTTTAATAAGCTCTTCTAACAAATTAAAACATTCTTACCTAGCCTTTTTGACCTTAGATGAATTTCTAATAATTACATCCAAGATCTCTACTTAAAGGTCAGTTTCTAAATCATCTTTTTAGATTATAAGTTTTAAGTTCTTAACTATATCATATGAATCCTAGTCATAATTTTTATTTCTAAGCTATCTTAGCAGATAGAGAGTAACCGAAATATATTTGTATCTATGTTTTTTATCCTTCATCAGTTAAGTCAAGAGTGAATGGAGATTCTATTGAGGAAAATCCAAAGAAAGTAAGTACTTATTAGAAGGGTCTATTTTTATCCATACTTTCTCTAATTCATCTTATTTCTTCTTTGATCCTAAAACCCATAAGTTGATAAATAAATTATGAATAAACAAATAATTGAATTTCTAAATAAAACAAATAATTTTTATGATAAATAAATAGAATTTAAATGGTTTCTTTAAGAAAGTTTTGAAAATACCTTATTGCTTTTTTTTGCTGTCGTCTTCGTCATCCTCTTTCTTTTTACCGTTATTTTTACGAGTTTCTGATCTGTAGGCGACATCTCTTTTGAATTTGTGGTTTTTATCAAGAGTGATCATCTTAATTTCATCATCTTTTTAAATGGAAACATTTTGCTGATCTTTATCCCTAACTTCTGATACGATTAATTCAAGCTTTCCTTAGAAAAATCTAGATGACTTTAATATTAATGGTACTATCAATCTTCCATTACCAAGATTATCTTTGGTAATTATTTTAGGTTTTTCATCTTTGTGGGCTTGGCTTTTTGATTCCTCTCCTTCTTCATCAGAAGAATCTCCTTACTCACCTATTGTTTCATTTTCTAGCATTCTCATTTAGTGTGAATGGATGCAATTTTTCTTTTCGAGCTCATTTCTATAATAGTTATGGTATCTAAAATACTCTTCTTATAAAGCAGTTTAAGTTACTTGCACAGAAATCTTTTTAATAAAATAGCAAATTGATTTTACAGAAATAAAACAATAGTTAGTTATTTTACTTTGTTTTCTTTACGAGAATCTTCATATTCAAAAGCAAAGTGAGGGATACCTGTGCATTCTATAAATTACTTTCTGAAATTTTTATCTTTTATTGAGTAGTTTTTATGAATAAATTTAAATATATAGTCTGTAGTTATTTTTTAGTCTTTTTCTGCACTATCGAGAATTGAATTTACAAATTCACTTCCTTTGCTATTACACTTTATAGCTAAAATATGGAATATTAATCTGGCTTTTAGTATATACACTTCGTCTACAAATTTTTCAAAACCAAAAGTAAGCTCATCAGCACATGATAAGGGAGCTACTTCTTCTCCTTGCTCCACCAAATAATTTAATTTCTCAAATTATTTAGCCATCAGTAATCTGAATTCAAATGCATTTTCTTTCTTTTTAAAAATAAAAAAAACAATTTTCAAAACCCATGCTTTTCATTTTCATTAAAAAGTTTTATTAAGTTTTAAAAATTAATTACATCACTTAGGAGAGTTTTGTAATACAAATCAGTCATATATCCTATATTTTTTTAAAACAAGATTTGTATCTAAAATAAATTATCTTTAAATTTATTTACCATTTACGCCTATTAGAATCCAATAATCAACATGGTACCTGGTACCTACTGATACTTTTTATTAGCATATTGAAAAGTTAATCAATTTAAAATATTAAAGCAATCTAAAATTTTATTCTATTTAAGTTTAAGCAAGCAAAGGTGCTAAGAAAAATTCATCTATACATCCAAGCTTGTAAAAACCCTAGGGAAGTTAATCTAGTGTATAGTCAAATTGCTTAGTTATGTTTTCTTAATAGTTATACATTGAGTTAGCAATTAATTTATTGCTTTGAAAGGGAGTTTAGTTTGAATCGTTTTCCTCGAAAACTGTAACAGTCATATGACTTTACGTGAATATATTTGGAAGGAAAATAATTTTGTAAATATTAAGGTATTCTGAAAGATCTTAAAGCTGCTATTGAGCAATAGATTTCAATATTGATTCGATAAGAATTAGAGTAACATCTAGTCTCTTTTTATCAACACCGATGCTTGAAGCTATCAAGACTTAATTATTTTTTTAAGTTTTAAAATTAGAGAGTTCTGTCTTAAATTTGCCAATGCATATACCAATATGATCGGTTTTAATTTTCTTCTGAATTGAATATTTAAATAGTATTTTTCCATTTTCGTCAATTAATTATTCCTTTAAATCTCCTGAACAAAGAGCCAAATAATCGTATTCTTATTATTAAAATATAGTTTTATCACTTTGAACAACTACATTAAGATCTGTTATGAAGACTTCCCTGTCTAAGCTAGGTACCCAATATTGAGCACTTCTAACAAAATACTCAGTTAGAACAAATATTTCATTAATTTTAACAGTTTGAATATCGCTAAACTCGCTTTCTTGTGTATTAACATATCTTTCATTTTCTAAAAAGCGAATTCCTGCTACAGGATTCTCCATTTCATAATCAACAGTTAACAAACCTTAATAATTCAATGCCTCAACCTAAATTTAATTTTAATCATCATTTGGATTTTCATCCTAATTATCAATTGCACTTTGCATTAATTCCTTATCGACATCAAAAAATAACTATATTCCAGATATTTCTTTATTTTCAAAGCATTTGCGATGTGTTACGATGTACTAATCTATTGAAACAGGTGTTGGAAGAATTGAAGATAAAATTAATGCTTGCTTTTCAGGTGACATATAATAATACTCCCTTAAATTTAATATATCATCACCTTGTATTTTTTAGTAAACAATATTTGTCAGATTCATTTGTTAAGCATATAAATGCATATTCATGCTTTCTGGAATTACATTTTCTTCCTTTTTACCTATTACATCTTTATCTAATCCTTCTATATTCATCTTTTCTTCTATCATTCTATCATCTATATCAGATAAAACACTCATATTTCTTTATAAATTCTAAACTCTAGGATCTCCCATCATTGATTGCTATTTTGCTATCTCATTTAACCCATCTAATCCATCTTTTTTGACATTCTTTTAATTCTCTCCTTAAAAATTTTTATTATTATTTTGATTTTCTTTATTTTCGAATCCTTCAACGATTGTGAGTAAAAACTTGGTCTGACCTTTTACTGTTCTCTTTTTAGGATCTATTTCTAAAAATATTGATTGCTTTTCTACATGTAACCTATATGTCATATCTATCTAAGCCTATTTACACTTTATAATAATTTGCGAACTTTTTGAATTTTTGGATTAAATAATTAATATCTTTCAAACAAAAATTCTGATATAAAATTTATGTCTATTTATATATTAATTAATTATAATTTTTTCATGCAATCATTTCAATTTAAATAAACCACTAAAAATGTTTGAAAATTAAAATATACAAAAAAGTAAAAATAATTAAATTACATATTATATATTTATTCTGAAAAATTGAAATTAAGAACTAAATCTCATATAAATTAGTATTTGAAATACAAATTTTTTAAAAAATAGAAATCAATACTACAAATAAAAAAATAAAATGTAAATTATATTAATATGCTAATTTATTTAAAAGATAGGCTTTTAGTAGTTTCGTATTTTTTTTTAGAAAACAGCAAAAGAGAAAAAACATTTTAACTTGAATTTAAATAACTAAAATAGATTAAAGAGTGCCAAAAATAAATAAATAAATTATTATTTTATGATTTTTATTTGTTTAAAAAAAAACAAAATAAATTGTTGATTAAATCTTAAATAATTCTAAACTATACTTAAATTATCTAAAAAACATTTTTTCTAACTAGCTTAAATTTTTATAAGAATTAATAGGAAAATAACTTTTACTTCCTAGAATTTATTGAAAAATATTTTTTCATTTTACAAGTTTAAACTTTAATAAAATTAAATTTAAAAATAGGTTTTTAATGGTTTTGAATATTTTTAAAGAAAATAGTAAAAGTGAAGAAACAAATTAACTTGAATTATTATAACTTTGATAAATTAAATAGCATTAAAAATAAATAAATTAATTATAATTATATTATCTTTATTTGTTCAAGTATAAAAATAAAATAAATTGATATAATATTTATACAATTTATTCATTTTAAATTACTTAAATCTTAAATGACTCTAAATTTTATTTAAATTAATTAGCTAAAAGAATATTTTTTCTAACTAAATTATATTTTTTAAGAATTAATAGATATGAAATACTTAATCTCATATATTTTATAGAAAAATACTTTTCATTTACATTTACTCAGTATGATTATGAATTTTTTAAAAGCTAAAAATAACATTTAAATAATTTAAATGATGATAATCAGCTAAATATAAGTTGAAAATTAGTTATGTCTTAAACACTTCTAAATAATTTTAAATTCTAATAAATTAGCAAAAAGATAATTTTATGACAAAGTTATATTTTGATGAAAACTAATCAATTTATTTGAAACTTTTATTTTAATAGATTTTATTTAGTTTTTTGATTTATTATTAACTTATTTAATTATATTTAAAATGTAACAAATAAAAAACTTAAATACTATTTAAATAAATTAGAATGATGATCAACGATATATTAGTTATATATTACTTATATCTTAAATACTCCTAAATAATTCTTCAGATATTTAAAATTCTACTAAAATTTAATCTAAAGGGGCATTTTTTCTTACAAAGTCTTTAAATTCAGCATTTTTGATAGAAATTAAATTTTAATTTGAGTTATGCTTCATGTGATTAGGTTTTTTGGAAGTTTTGTATTCTTCTTCATTAATTAAGTTTTATATATTAATTTCATTGAATAGATCTATTTCTCTGTTTGCTAAAATGTACAAATGAACTCTTTCTATCAATTCGTGAATGATTCCAAAATGAACAAATTAAACTAAGTTAATTTTTTCAAATCTTAATCTGTTTTCTAAAACAATATCTTAGACTGATTTTTACTTCTAAAATTAAAGATATAGGTAAATAATTTCAGAAGGATCTATTTTTCTTTCAGGGTTTACTAAAATATATCTAATGCAAGTTTATTAGAGCTGCTAATTTTGCATAAAATCATGTATTTTAGCAGTCACTTGATAATGGTTATTTAACCTAAATATATCTACAAATTTAATCATATTATGGTAATAAAGGTTTTTTAAACATATTTTTAACTTTTAAAGATCTTTATTTAACTCTCTTGATATTTTCTTTACACATTTTTCTCCATTTACTTCCTTAAAAACTTTATAGAGTTCTGAATCAAATTATTCTAATACTCCATCAAGAGCTTTACTTGCTATTGAAATTATTTGGTTAAATAGATTATAAATATATATATATAATAAATTACTGAATAAAGGGAGAGGGACTAGATAGTCTTTTATTTCTATAATATTATCCTCTACTCCTTAAGGCTTAATAGAGTCTATGTATTTGATAAATACATATTACTCTTCATTATATTCTAATAAGCATTCCTTCTCTGAATTTAATGATTAGTATAAGTTCTGAATCTTTTCAGAGATAATTTTTTTGTCATTTTTATAAATGAAGTGAGTTTCAATCTAATAATCAATTAGTTAATTATTAAAATATTATTTATTCTATCTCATTTTAAAATTTTATTTTTTACTTCTAATGATGTAAAAAAGAAAGCTAGTTTTCTTGTTATTTCTTAGTACCAAAATTTTCTTGATAAATATTGCTCCTTTCTTACCATAATACAAATATTGAAGATGTACTTTTCTCTTGAATATATTTTCTCCTAAATTAATAAATTAATCCTATTATAAAACCAAATTTAATCTCATTTTTATTTTACTTTTTCTTTGTTTCTTAACAAAATTGGCAAACCAAGAACATAATAATGCTATCTAAATTCACTATATTATATAAATACAATTTTCTTCAAAGTAATAAAACAAAAAAAATTCTATTTTTACGTAATTATCAACTTTCCGCAAAGCTCATCTTTTGGAATTACAAAATCCTATATTTGATCAAAGTCCTTCTTCAACTCATCTCTTAAAAAATAGATTTAAAATTAGAGATTTAGTTGATTGTTCTTAAAAATTTATATTTAATTCTCTAATAACAATTTACTCAGGATAGCAATAAACAATAGCATTTCCAACTATATCATGAAATTCGCATACAAATATAGCTTCTGCAATTAAATTAATGCAGCTTTATTGTTGAATTTAATTATCCATGGATATATTATTAATCTAAATATTATATTTATACTTTATTTGCTTTGTTTAATGAATAAATATTTTAATAACAAATGATTTAACTATCAACAAAATAAGTAGAGTATTTCAAAAGATACTCTTTTATTACAAAAATATTTATCTTAAATAACTATTTAAAATTAATGCCAAATTATTAAAATTAATTTAAAAATAAATATGAACTAGAATAATGCAAGCAAATAAATATTAAAATATCAACAAGTAAGTAATTTATTTTATAACACTAAAATAAATATTTAAAAAGCAAAGCTTAAAGCAAAAATATAATTTTTATGAACAAAAAACATCTAGTTTTAAATAAAATGAATGCATTTATTCTTAAAGATGACAACCAAGAAGAAAAAAAACAAGCTTAATATAAATAAAAATAAATTCATTTTTAAGAAAACAATTTTAGGTTGACTGCTTTTCTTATTTCCAAGATTTTTTTAGAATTTTCTTGATGTATTCATTGACTGACTGAATGAATAGTAATTAATTTAATAATCATCCGCATTTAAAACAGCAGCCTTATATTTATTTTAATATTCCAACAAATATGGGTATTTATTTAACTGATCGCATGTTTGATTTAATCAATAATTGAGAACAGGATCTTCTGATCTATCTAAAACATTGCTTTTAGATTATTCAAGATGTCTACGTTCCATATATATATCGGTTCTTTTACCCTTTTTATGACCTCCCTTAACAATTGCTTTCTTTAATTCCTACTCAGTATTAGTTCTATCATCCCAGAAGTAGTTGAGCTTCTATCTAATAGAGCCATATGATTTATCAACAACCTTTAAGTCAACCAACAAGGGAGAGTTTTGCTTAACATGCATAAAAACTTCAACACCGTGGAATCTGAATACACAATCAAAACCAGCCATTAAAGAATTGTTTTTATATCTTGCAGTGCACATACCAGTGACAGTATTGCCATAACCTTCACTAATTGATTTCAAAAAGTGGAATTAAATAATATCACCAGCTCTAAAATCAGGAATTTTGAACTCTCTTTAACGGTCAATTGCTAACTTTTCGCGCTATTCAACTTCCTTAATCAAAGCGCGTCCCTCTAATCTAGTAGGATGAGGATAGACAGGTGGCCAAGTATAATTAGGATCATCCCATTTTACTTACTTTGGCTTTCTAGATTTATGATATTTATTAGGTCTTTCAACATAGTCCTCAATGTAGCTAGTCTTATCGAATATAGAACGCTAAGGCTTATATCTATAAACTATGCTATTGCTTTACTGATTTACTAATTATGTAAAATTAAAAACGCCCTTTTACAATTATTATCTTAAAAACATTCTCTTCTACTTACTTACTAAATAATTTATTTCTTTATATTTCTCTCTTCTTTGTGTTTGCAAAGCTTTGATTTGATTTGATTCGATTGCTTGATAGATTGCTTGTTTATTTAATTTTCACTTTTTTCGAATAATCTTAAAAGTTTATTAAATTTAATTTAGATACAGATCCTATACTAACTAATTCAAAGAATCAATCAATATTTTACCTTAACTTAATTTCTCTTAAAAAGCAAAAAAAAAAAGTCAACACTAAAATATGGAGTATTTAATCTTCTAAAATATTAATAGGATACTAACAACTAACTTATTTAAAAGCATAACCTTTAAATTAGTTTTAATTTACTCAATTATAATTAATTATTATTTGAAATAAAATTAAATTTAGTATGTTAATTAAATATTCGGATAGATAAGAGTTACAATCATCTTGTTTATTAGCTAATTATTTAAAATATATTTTATTTATGGAATTATAACTAATTATTAATTTAAAGAAAGATAAATTTAGGATATTAATTAAATGTTTGAAAAGATAAGAGATACATACAATAATCTTGTTTATTAGCTAATTATTTAAAATATTTTTTATTTATGGAATTATAACTAGTTATTAATTTAAAGAAAGTTAAATTTAGTATATTAATTAAATATTCAAAGATATTAAGAGATACTTTCATCTATCTTGTTTATTTTTTAATTATTTAAAATATATTTTATTTATAAAATTAAAATTAATTATTATTTTAAATAAAATTAAATTTAGTATGTTAATTAAATATTTGAATAGATAAGAGTTACAATCATCTTGTTTATTAGCTAATTATTTAAAATATATTTTATTTATGGAATTATAACTAATTATTAATTTAAAGAAAGTTAAATTTAGTGTATTAATTAAATATTATAAGAGATTAAGAGATACATTCATCTTATTTATTTGTAAATTATTTAAAATTTATTTTATTTATGGAATTATAACTAATTATTAACTTAAAGCAAACTAAATTTGATATTCACTAAATAGTTATTTTAAAAATTAAGTATTTTAAATAATTAAATTATCAAAAAAAATTTTAAATATATTAAGTTTGTTTAAAGCTAAAAATATCAAATTTAAAAATAAAATATTTAATCTACTCCAAATATTACGTAAACAAGATAGTAATTCAATAAAAGAAGGATGGACAAATGAAATTATAAATAAATTCATAACTTTACTAGCTCTTTAATATTTTGTATTTTACTTTATGGAAATTAACTAATAGATAATATAAATTTTTTTGATTTGATAAATTTCTTTGAAATTAATTTGAAAAAATTTTGATAGAAAAAAGTTAAATAAAATGGATTATCTTAATAAAAAGTAATGGCATACAGGCTCTATAAAAAATATAGCTAGAGTATGGTAAAAAGAATAAGAAGCTGCACGTTAAATACAAAAGCAGGAAGAATATAAAAAGAAACTTTTAGAAGAATAGCATGCACATGAATTAAAAGTTGCATAAGTCGAAGCAGGCCTAATCCCTAAAAGTGCTCTAGAAAAAATGGATTGGATGTATAATCCAATCCTTGGTTAATAACCATAAGAAACAGAATAATATTTACTTGGAAAATAGGTAGATTTAAATAATTTACCTTAAAACACTAAGCAATAGGATCCTAGAGATAATAGCAATAAGTATTAAGCAATAGTTACTGAAGATGTTACAAACAGCACTTGTGAAAACTTCACTTTAATTCATGAAGATCCATTGTTTAAAATGATGTAAGAAGAATAGAAAATGAGAGAAAAGCTTTTAAATAATCCATTAGATGTCAATAAGTTTATGGAAGAAATTAGAAAAGTGAAAGAGCTTAAAAAATAGAAAGAGGAAGGAGGCAAAAAGAAAAAAGACAAGAAAGAAAAAAAAGAAAAGAAAGACAAAAAGAAGAAAAAACACCGCAGCAGTGATGAGAAAGAGAGTAAAAAGAATAAAAATAAGTCTAGATCTCGCTCGCGCTCTTAACGTAAAAGCAAGAAAGAAAGTAAATCAAATAGTAAAAAAGATAAAAAAAGGAGAAAATCTAGATCATCATCTTCTAGTTCTTCAAGTGTTTCATCTCGCTCTAATTCAAAAGAAAAGAAAAGCTAAAAATCGACATCAATATCTGAAAAGAACCACAAATTAAGGAGAAACAGTAGAAGCAGCAGTAGTGCTAAATCTCTCTCTCCTGAGTCAAAATTAAAGTAGATTTAATATGAGTAGTATCTTTAAAAGAAAGTTGGAAATATTTTGGTTAGAGGAGATGACGGAATTTTAAGACCTGATTTTGGGTTGATGAAAAGAAAATATAGAAATAACTTAAGGCCCGAAGAAAAAATATAGATGACTGAAGAAGAGAAAAAAGAAAGACTGAAAGAAATGTAAGAAAATGCTAAAGAATTGACCAAAGAAAGGTTAAAAGAATTTAAAGATGACTATTAAGATAAAGACTACAATAATGATGAGTCTAACATAAAAGATTTGCATAGTAAACAAAATAATCCTAAATTCCTCCATGAAATCAATAAAGAAATTTACATTGGTAAAAAAGATATAAACTCTCTTGCTGATAAGATAAGTATGAATAAAAATAGACTTGCTAGAAACTTGGAAGAAAAAAATACTTTCAAATGAAAAGTAGAAATTTTGTTTATTGTTAAAAACAAACAATTCTAGACAAAATTCATATAAAAATAATAATTATTCAATTAATAAAAAAATCAATCATGTCTAAAATTTTCTTGCTTACTTACTTAATTAAATAATATAATATAATTAAACATAACCTTAGATGTAATTTAATAAAATTATACAAAATATTTATTTAAGATAAGGCTAATTTAGGAATTATACTTTATATTAATGTATTCACGGTTTAATAACTATAAAAAATTATTTATTTGTTTCTTTTAAGACGCTTTAAAAGATTTACGTTTTAAAAATTTTAATCTTTTTTGCAATTTAAGCATCTAATAAAATATATTTTTATATAATATAGATAGATAGATAATTAAATAAACAGATACAATTAATTTTTATGTTTTGAATTTTTTAAAAAGTATTTAAAATATATTTTTACTTGATTTTTACAAAAAAAAATAAATTTTGTAATTGACTTTTTCAAAGATTAGTTAATTTTTTTTGTGAATCAGTTAACTGATTTCGTATCAGATTTATGATAAAAAATTGATTGAAAATTAGAATAGAAATTTTGTTGAAATAAACATATAATAAGCTTAATTTTAAAACAAAAAATATTCTTAAATTAAATAAAAATGGATTTTTAGTTTGACATTTTAATAAATAAATAAATGAAATTATTATTGAATGATGAATATTTAGCTAATTATTTAATAATTCATTTATCATTATATAAAAATTCTTTAAAAATTAATTAAAATTATGTTTATTTATACTTGGAAATATGCTTTATTTATTTGATAATTTTTTAATTAACAAAAATCACTGAAATATAAATATTTATTTTTTATAGTTAGCTAGTTTTACTATATATTTATTTAAGCCTAAGTTAGACAATTTTGCCTAGTTAAAAAATACTAAAAGTTCTTAGCAATCCCATAAAGTTGATAAAATGATTTCATCTCTTAAACAAGCAGTTTAAAAAGCTTCTAAATTAAATTTTGCTACTTTTAAAAATTTCTCATATATACCAGACTAGTATTCTAGATTCTTCATGGTAAAGTACAATTTAGTTGAAGATTTCGGATATAAAAGAGGTAAAATAAATATTTGAAGCTTGAATAGTTAAAATTAGAATATAGAGACTATTATAGTTTTATAAAAGTTCAATTTTGTGATAGATTTTTATATTTTTTATTTAATTAATAGTTGCTTAGGACTCAAACCATTTAGAAAAAGTTAGGGATCTTGAAGAAAAAGGAAATATTTTATTTGGAGGAAATTCAGTAAATAATGATTCTGCCTTCTTTTTGTTTTATGCCAATGATGAAAGACTCCCTTACGATTTTATTAAAAGCGTAATTACAACATTTTCAAAAATGGATCATTTATTTTTATTTTAAATTTGGAAAATCAAAGAAAGATTTCTACCTTTCTAAATTACAAATCAAACAAATAAATAAATATCTTAAATTAATTAAAGATATAAATAAATGTAGAATTTATAAAATAAAAACAAATCCATAAAATATAATCAAAATATTTTTTAAATAGGATCCTTATTACTTAAATGGCTTAGTATAATCTTATACTATAACTGAAGTAGAAATTCCAAAAAGGTCAGATCAAAAAGAGATAACAACATAAGCTAAATACAATTGAATAAAAATAAATATTTTATTTGTTATTTTAATAAAATGCATTTTTAAAATTATTTCGTTATCCTTAAATATATTTATATTATAATTATATATATTTGTAATTTATCAGTTTGTTTAATTATAAAGCCAAAGCATTTGTATTTTAAAAATCTCTTATTTTATAAAATTCATAAGCTAATTTGCTAAAAAGAGTAAACTTTTTCAAATTTATAAAATAAACTGCACTCAATCAATACATTATTGAAAAATACCAATATTTTATAAATCAAAATATTAGAAAATGCTATGGAAAAAAATAGACTATAGAAAATACTTGATTTAAAAAGAAAAGTGAAGAGGAAAATTTAAAAGTCACATATAAACATAAAATGATAACAAAATTACAAGATAGGTAAGAAACAAATAAGAAAACTTTAGTTTTGAAGCAAAAAAAAATTTAATATTTAGAGAATTTATTTATTTATAGATTTATAATAGAAAATTGCTAAAGATAAATTTTTAGTCAATTCAAAGGCAGAAGTATTTAGATAAAGATTAAGATAAAAGAATAAGTCTAAATTTTGTGTTAGTTAGTCAATCAGTCAGTCAGTCAGTCAGTCATTCAGTCAATCAATCTGTCAATTATTCGTTTATTAGGATTTTGTAAATAATTATTAAATTGATATAAAGTTTTTATTTTAGTTTTGATTCAAGCTTTTAATTATTTTAAGGAGTTATGTACTTTATTAAACTTGAATTATAATCAAAAACCTTAGAAGTTGAGATAAAAAATGCGTTGTTATATATTATATAGAGACTATTTAAAAAGAATTTAGAGTCAAGCAAAACATTTTCACATACATCTTTGTTTATCAGATTCTTATTAAAGCACCAATCACCAAGAAAGCAAAAATTAGAATTGAAAGTTGATAAGGCTGCAGTAAGAATCTATTTTCTATGTTTATAATAAGAAAATTATTTGTTTGTATATTGCTTATAGTATAAGATAGAATAGGAAAGATGTTAATTAACTTAAATCTAAGTATTTTTTAATTTTTGATTGTCTATTTAGCTTATTTATTACTCATAATCCTTAAAAGAAAATACGAAGAAGTAGAAAATATATATCAAAAATTAGGAATATAATAAATGCTTAACTATTATGAGTAAATCAATTCATGTTGCATGAATTAATTAATTTGAAATAAAGTTATTTTTTTAAAAAGCTATAATTAAATAAATGAATAAAAGTAAAAAAGGCTACTTGACTCGCTTTAGTTGTCGGTTAAGGACTCATTTTTTCTGAAAATGAATTTTAATTTACTTATTTCATTATGAAATTTTTTAATATCTTCTTTATAGCTTTTTATTAATTCAACTTGCTCGTCTTAGCGCTTTCTAAGCATATTAAATTTTTGTTAGTATTTGTAATTTTCCTCTGCTGCGTTAAATACCATTTACTGCTTACTTTAGTTAAATTTAATAAAAATATTGAATTTATTTACAGATTCATAAACAAATAAATTAATAATTTTATTCGAGTGAGAATCTAAATAAATATTATTTTTAATGTGTGATATCCGCATTATTTAGTTTACAAATTAATAGATGACACACAAGAATTTTTTTTAATATATATTTTGATAAATATAATTAAATGTAAATTACTCGCTTGAATTTTGGCTGTAACTATTTGTGAGTTTTAACGTTTTAGACGACTACTCGAATCCAAAGTTGTCAGGAGTAAATTTAGATTCTTCTGGGTATTTATTATCTAAATTAAATTCGTTACTACTATTCATCCCATTAACGTTAGGCGCAAACTGATTAGATCTTGGACTCATTTAAGAATTAACGACTTTAGTGTAGCTGAGCTAAGAGTTATTTTACATTTAACTTTAATTTGGTGAGTAAAAACTTTTTTAAGATTTGTTATAATATGAATTGTAATCATTATTAACACCATTCGTTATTCCATTAACAATAGGTCTATTTGGTGAATTAGATTTAGCATTTTATTTTTAAAACATTACACTTATTGAAAGTCTAATTTCTTTTTTTGGAAATGTACTCCAAGCGATGTTCTATTTTTTGAGTTAAATATAAAGAATGATTAATAAAGAATCCTTAAATAAAATATATATAACTTAATCAATTAAATCTTCTTCTAAGCAAATGTATTCCACTTTGAACTGGTCTTTCATTCTTTTTTCAATATCAGCCTTATTATAAAAAAAATGATTAGATATGATAAATGGTTCAATTATTGAAGATTGTATTGTACATCATTAAGTATTTTCCTTTAAAAATTGTAAAAAAAAGCAATAATTTTTATATTAATAGACAATCAGTAAAATATATTTAGTTGTGTATTCTATGTATGTATCTATCTATCTATTAATGTACTTACTTACATATCAAGTTTAAAAAGAAGACAATAATATGCGATAAATATGAAATAAATTGTATAAATATTAAAAAATAAAGCTTTACTCCTTTTGATATGAGGATAGATTTGATTTATATTTTTTAGTTTGGATTGATTTCTCCTTTGTAAGGCTCTACCTTATAGCTTTTACTTGATGTGCATAAGATCTATTACATTTTTTGAATTATTTTAGTATTTCAATAATTTTTAAAAAGCTGAAATTTGAGTTATTTAAAAAGCTAAATTTGATCCAAACTTATATAAATTTACTCTGTATAAATATCTCTTAGTGTGCGATTAGTTGATTATTTCAAAATCTGCTGTTATGTCTTTATTTGATAAATACTTAAAAACTATTTCTCTCTTCGGTCTGATGATTATGCAATTTCTTTTTATTTAAAATCATAATGAGCATGATGTTAAGTAGAATATTTAACTAAATCGCATATATTTAACTGAATTTGCCAATATTTTAGAAACTAACTAATTAAAATAACAGACTTACTCCATTTCTTAACTGCTGATAGAGCTTACTGAGCTTACTCTGTCATTTAAAAAGGGTTAATTGTATTAAGATTTCATCTATTAAATCATCTAATAATCTATCTATCTATATATTAAACAATCAATTAAACTTTAGTATTTATTCAATCTTTTAAAAGGCTAATTATTGATTGATTTAATATTTTCAATAAAACTGATTTGATTTCTAATTATATAAATATTTATTATTAAGTCTCAAAACTTAGCTGCAAAAACAAGTGATTTATATTCTTGTAGTATTACAAAAGTAAATCAAATAAAACAAACAATATAATTACTTTAAACCTTAAAACTTCTAATTACCAAAGTTTCTCTTTCTATTTGATTGAATGCTAAAATTTTTGTTTAAACATAACTGGTAAAAAATTTTACTTTAAATTTATGTTAGTAACGCAAATACATAATAAATTATGTAATAAACATAAATCTCAAATCTTTGAAATGTCTTTTTAGAAGAATTCAAATTTAACGGTATAATTTCAATAAAAAATAAGTAATCCAACACAAATTGCTATGTCTCAAAATATTTTAGTTGTATTATGACAAAGAAAAAACAAATTTAGCATTAAAATCCTAAAAGATTTACTCCTCTCGTTTAATTAAATTGTTGCTTTTCTATTTATAAAAAATCAAATAATTAAAATTGAGTGTGAATCTTATTTCATTAACATGGGTGTAATATCAAATGTAATTATTTTTATAGCTACCTCCCACCTAGAGAAATTATTAGCAAGTAATTTGGTCTTATTTATAGATACAATTAAAATCAATCAAATCTTTTCTTTTTTTACTTAGAAAATTTATATTTAAAAAAATTCAATGCGCTATTCACTCTTTTAAAATCAAAAGTAATTTTTCTTAAGAAAGATTACACATTTCTTTTATTACATTATTTGAAAATAGTGTAAAGAAAGAGTCTGTGATTGTAAATAAATAATTAAACATTTTTTTTCACTTAATTTAATTTCAAAGTAAAAATTGCAATATTTTCTAACGATGAATATAATGAAATTGATTTTATTTCATGATTCAGGCTTCATTTAATTTATAATTTTATTATTTATTGTTCCATTTATTATAATTAATGAACAATATTTACCAATTTATGTATTTTAAATTAGTTCTAGCTGATTTGATCAAATAATTTTTTTTTTAGTAAATATTTTATAGTTTCAATGAAACAAAAATATTAATCTATTATTCCTATTTCATTAAAAAAGAAATAAAAATTTAAATATGATACAAAAATAGAATTCATTGTAATTTACATCAATTTCAACATATTTTTATTTTATTTTTCTATAATTCTTTATTAAGCATCAGCACAAATCAAATTAAAATTATCTTAATATTTTGAATACTAATCCATAAAAAACTTGGTTTTATCGAAATATCCTTAATATTTTAAATAACTTAATTCTTTTTGTAATTTTGAATTTTTTTTTGCAAACAATATTTAAAAAATAAAAAATATATATGAATATTTTATTAAAAGCTATTTACTAAAATTATAAAAGATTTTTGTTTTAAATCTATTTTTCTATAATAAAAAAGCATCATTTATCATAATAAAAATAATATTCTTAATCATTAAATTACTTTTGCTTAAATTCCAAAATTAGATTTTTCACATTATTTTTCTACATTCTACAAATTATTTTAAAAATAAATCAGATAATTTCTTAATATTTTAATGTGTGTATTTTTTATAATATTTCAAATCAAAAAAGTTTCGTCTTTCATAATAAGAAGGTAGGTAGAGAATTTCATATTTTATAGTTATCTTGAAATAATTCAAAAAAAATTTAAACAACTGATTAATTCTAAATTTATTTTTTAAGTTTTTTGAATTCGTTAATTTGAATCTGATTAAAAAGATTTTATTAAAAAGTTCAATATAAATCTTATCACTAGTTTGATATTAATTTTAGCAAAGCCAATGTAATTAATGCTGAACTTAAGGAAAAATGATAATATATTTTTCAACTCAATAACATATAAAAAATAAACACAAATGAATTAAAGTATGTCAAATATATGATGAATCTTTTCTTTGAAACCAAACAAAAATTTGATAATATATCAATAAATCACAAATCCATAATTTTATCAAGAAAAGTTTTTTAATTTAGCTAATTTTTAAATCAATTTCATGATTAATTTTTATACTTTGTTTATTTAATTGAATCATATACAATTAATTTGTTGAAAATATTAACAAATATAAAAAATAAAAATTTGAACTTAGCTTATAAATACAAATTAAAATACATGCATTTAAATATATTCACATGGTTAAATTTAATTTGTAAAAGTATCCTTAAAACAAAGAATTAATTTATATAGAATTTTTAGGATATAACAGTAAATTAAAAGATTCAAGGCCTTGCTCAATTATTTGGCATCTTAAATGAAAGAGAAATATCAACAAAATATTGTTTACATAAAATTTTATAAATGGTTCAAGTAAATATTTTATTTAAAAAGTTTAATTTGATTACTTTAATATTAAAGAAATTTAGACATTTGTTAATTAAATAGGTTTTTATGAATTTTTTAAGAAATTTTTATTATTTTTTCATTAATATTTAAATGAAATATTTAAAAACAAAAAATAATTTTGATTCCAATAAAACAATAAATTTGATTTATTACAAATATAAATTTTTTATAAACAAATTACAAATCTTTTCAAATGATATTTATATTTTTTTTTCCAAGTTTTGATTTAATGAAAATCAAAAATTTTAATTTTAGTAAAATACTGCTAATATTAGATACTTGTTTATTACAATTTTATTGGCAAGTTTTAAAAGACATCTTTACACTAAATCAAATTAAATTAATGAAAATAAATAAATAATGGGTGCTTTAGACTTAGTAAATTGAAAATACAGTAGATCTATCAAGCAAGAATAATAAATACTGATTAAAATTTAATTAAATATTTCTTACACATCTAGTAATAGGCTGAGGAAATGTTAAGGTGCTTACATATTTTTTTAGTAAATTTGTAAGATAAGTTATAGAATTTAATTAATTTTTCAAGTGAAGAACAAAATTTAGTTTTAAATTTTATAAAAATAATTTTTGAATTGATACGAGTATAAAATAATTAGATTTTTTTATTTTTTTGTAGAGTTTTGTTATTTAAAATAAACAAAGAATTTAAATCTAGGAAAAATATTAAATTTAATTCACATATATCTATCTTATTACCTTTTTAACAAATATAAATTCAAGTATTTATTCAACAGATTTCTAATCGAAGTATTTTTATTTTAATAAATTTGGTTAAATATATTAATTTAAGCAGAATTTTTTGTTTCTTAAATTAGGTAATTTTTCAAGCTATTCAAAGAAAACAAATATCTTTAAATAATACTGTTAAACATCTTTGAAGTTCCCCTTAAATAATAAAATAGTAAATATTCTCCGATTAAAAAAATTTAACAGCATATTTATATATTTGTAGAAATTGTTTAAAATTAATCATTTTTGGTTCTAATTTTTAAATGGGGTTTTTATGGGGAGTATCATATATTGCGATTTTGGTGAACCCTTTTGCAAATTAGCCTCTTCTCTATGATGGACTCAATCAACATTTTGACATAAATAATTTAATTCTCCTTAAATTAAAAATTAGTGAAGACCCTCATACTTAAGCAAATGTTTTAGTTCTTCAGGCTCCTAATATCGATAGGTTACATCTTTTACTGATTTTAGATTTTGCTAATGTTTTAAGCTGTATTGTTTTACTTAATTTTACTTAATATATCATATCAATTTAATTACCTAATTTTGTGAATAGGAATCGATGATTACATTGAAAATATTGATTTTTGTAAATTGAATTCGATTCGCTTTGGACAAATTATATTTTGCAAATTAAGTAAACATAAGTGTTTTTTGAAGTAAGTTAAACAAGTAAATATCTTAAAGAATTAATTTTTTTGATTTATGTAAAATCTCTATCAAAACTAAGAAATCTTTTCTTCTCTAATCATTAGAGTTATTTTTATCAAAGTATTTACAATACTATTTAGAAGAAAAATTGTTATTTTGGCAGAAGTAATTGTTCTATAAAATTTTCATATGCTTAAGTAAACAAAAACTACAGATGAAATAATATAGAACTTCGATAGATTTTATAAAAAGTAATAAATTTCAACTTAATGAATTCTAAGAATATTTCAGTAGGTATTATTTAGTGAAAGAGTGGTTTTCGTTTTGTTTTACTTCTCTAATTATTTTTTTTTTTTTTGATACAAATAACCAGATTCTTTTTAATAAAAGTTTCTTATTAAAGATTATTATATTTTTTCTATGTGTTGTGTAATAAAAAAATTGAATCGATTCCGATCTTAAAAAATTAAACTAGACTCTCATAGTTAGACGTAAATTTTACATTTTTAAATAGGGTAATATAACCAAATAAAGCTTTTAGTAAATAAAATATTTATGCTAAAAATATCCTCTTTAAAATATTTTTTTAAAAAACATTTAAGTTTTGAATAGATTTGTTTGAAGATCTAGAAAATTTAATTTATATCAATCATCTGATTTGGTTGATTTTTAAATAGAAATTAGATGAGTAAATTTGATGAGAAAATATTTCATAAATTATGTTTAATCTTACATTGTTTGAAAAGGATTATAATGATAAAATTTATTGATCCAAACAAATATAATTGATTGAAATTCTAGTGATATTTTGTTATCTTGTAAATAATTATTTGCTTTGTAAACTTTCATTTGATTTACTATTTCATATCATAAATAAATATTCGATTTTGTTTACAAAATGAATTCCATTATAGATATATTCTCTCAATGTTAATCATATATTTCCATAATTAAAATGTACTTGTATGAAAAGAAATTTTTGCTTATAATTTTGATCTTTACTTATTTCTATAGCAACTAAAATCGTTTAATTGCGATCAAATAAATATAAATAAATTAAATTTGTATTAAAAAATTTTCTATTTATTTTTTTTGAATAATGTAGATTATTTTAATAAATATTATCGAATAAGGCTTTTTTATAAATTATGAATCAAATTTTAGTCCAATAACCCATGAAATGTCATATTGAATAGATGACGAAATATTTTAGAAAATCATCAGATATGTTTGTAGTAATTGATTTTACACTTTTATTAAATTACTCATCCTAACAAATTAATGTACATTATATGCATGCGTTTAAAGACAATGTTTTTATTATTTACAATCTTATTAGTAATGATGGGTCACAAAGAATGATAGACAATTTAATGGGAATATGACTATATTTTAGCTGTAAAATTCGGAGAGGATCGATCCCAAAAGTTATCAGATTAATATAAGAATAAATTTAATAAAATTGTAAAAATCAAAAAAAGATTGATTCATTAATTTAAATTATTGTTTTATTGGTTTCTTGGCAAATGAAATTAAAAAAAAAATACCTTAATTCGCACTACCACCAAAAGCAATCAATAAATCAATCAATAAAGAAATAAATAAAATACATGATTCGCTTATTCTTTGTCGTTCAAAAATATCTAAGTAAACAAATTTAATAAAAATATAAATTTAAATTAAATATTTATAAACTGAATTTGTCAAATATTTATGATTGTGTTTTCTCTTTTAGAAGTGTAAATTTTCAATGATAGAGGCTGAAGGAGTTTAATGTAATTATTTGTTTTCATAAATAATAATTTGCTTATATCTATGATAAATGACTTTTTTCTTTGAAAATTCAAAATTAATTTTATGACACCTTTTAAAAAAATTAATCGTAGTAAGCATAGTTTTAGTATTACTAACGGTGTAAGTTTTAGGTGAATTTTAGTTCTGTCAATTGCTTACAAGACTAATATAACTCTTTGATTAATTTTTTGATTAGGTTTTAAATTAAATTATTTTTTAATTCAATGTAAAATAATAGCTTATAATTATGGATGCATCTATATTTCTATGAATTTAAAAAATTGATTATGTAACACAATTTATTTCCTGTTTTTTATTTTAGCCTTATAAAAATAATTTTATTTTTACGTGTGATTAAATTATTAAATTGAAAGAAAAAATATGTTTATTCTAGATTATTTTAAAAGCATGGCTGATAAATTCATATCTGAGAATGGTATAGATAATTAGTGGGACAGATATTTTGAGTAATAAAGAAATTAGCAGTCTTATTGAAATCATAAATGAAATTAAAATATGCGTCCATATGGAAAAATATACAAAATCATTATGGAGTTTGTATTTCTTTGGATAAATTTCATTAAACAAAATATGTAATAATAAATAATCAGTATTAATTAGTTTTTGTATGTTCATACTAATTCATATTCTGTAAAATCTACAGCACTTTTAATAATCTCTATTTCATCGTATTCCTCTATTTAATTCCCCATACTAATTTAAAAGCTTATATTTTGTTTTAATATAATACTTATCTAAATCAAAAGATTAAGAAAAACAAAAACAAAGGAATCATTAAAAGCAAACACCTTTGGCTAAGCTCCATCCAATCTATCCAAACTCAAACATATAAACATCCTCCAAGAGCTTTTACATTAACACTCTAAAAGAAGAGAATTAGACTAACAGGCTCAATAGTAGTACTTAAAGCTATTAGACAACCTAACTCATCTAAAACATCAAGGTCATCCTTAAGCTATTAAAAAGGAGAATCTCTTTAAGTAGCACTTTAGTTTTTACTTATCCCATTCAAATAAAATTGAAAAGCACTGCTTCATCATAAAAAATAAACCTTCATAAGTCACATTCTTAGTAAAAATACATAGAAGTTGAAAAGACCTTAAAACCAAGAAAAAAAACTCTTTTAACTAACTTCAACTAACCAATAATATCTCAAAAAAACAAAAAAAACTAAGCAAGGTGTCAGCAGATAAACAACAATCAAAAAGACCACCTTTTAATTTGAAAAAACATAGGAATTTTCTACAAACAAAGAAACAATAAAATTGAAAACTTTAAAAATTGAGTGAAATTACTGACATAAAAATGGAAATTGAATAAGCTGCAACTTCCAACGACTTATTCCAAACCCTTTAGCAACTTTGTTTCCAACACTAAAATTCGTAATAACAATAATAACAAAATTAATCACAATAAATGATTACAGAAAATGATTTTTCAAATATCACAGAAGAAATCTTCAAGGCTATGATGGTTGACTCTAATTAGAATTTATTTAACTAATAGCAATAATAATCCGTTGAAGATTTCTAGCAAACCTACCTCAAATCGTTTAATATCTTGAATCAATTTGGAAATTCTTCTAATGGTACAAACCTTTTAATTAACAATGACTCTGTTCATATAAATAACTTAACACCTTTACTTCAAACTCAATCCTCTATCTAAAATTAACAAAAGCAAAATTCAATATAACACTTTAAGCAACTAAACGAATCTACCACCACAACTTCTACAGAGGAACAAATGCAGATAAAAAAAAGTCCCATGACATCTGAGGAAGATGAAGACGATTCCCTCAAGCAAATGCTAGTCCGTAAAGTAGAGCATCAAACTGACTAAGGAAATGAATCAGATCAATCTAGCCACACCTCACATCGTCGTAGCAATATGAGCCTCTGCCTCGAACAAAATGAAAATGCCAACTTTAATAGCTCAGGAATGTGCAAAAGGGAGGAAGAATACGTGAAAAAAGACTTTTCTTTTGAAACGATTCTTAAGCAGGTTTATAATCCTTTAGCACTTTAAGCTTTACATGGCGATATTTTTATTGACTTGAATTACGATTATGCTAATTCTCAGCTTTTCGGCTAGCCCTCTTTAATTAATTAATATAAATAAGTAATTTCAGTCGAAAATTTCGAAGAAAAAGGATTAGTAGAAATCAATATATAATCGAATTATAGCCCAGTCTACTAATTTTAATCTTTAACTCAGGCTCTATGCAATCACCCAGAAATCAGCTTACAAGAATTAGGATCAAGATTGCAAAGATATTAAAATATTTCTCAAAGAATGCTAGAAAAAGGCCAGATGTGCAAATCAATTATTGGATTTTCGAAAATCTAAGAAATGATGGTTGAATCTTACAAGAAATTCGAAATCAAAGCAAGACAAATCTTAAGCGAGCTCAAAAAAACAAATAAGCTTTTTATTTATTCTTTAAGATAGCTTAACTTAGAAAATTTTGGCTTTGAAATTAAGAAATATGGCTACAGTTCTGAATTTCTCCAACTCTTGGGGTACAACATTCACTAATTCAAAAATCTTGCTGTCCGTAAGGGTTTAATCGAATTGTAAAACTTCAAGGGGCGTATAGCATTAAATAAGATGACCCTTGACTTACTGCTTGGCGACATTCAAGACTCTTCAGTCCGTCTCAAAACCTCCTACATTACTTCAGATAACTTAGAGCTTTAAGTTGATGGAATAGTTAAGCAAGTCTTTAACACTGACTCAGGTATCTAAAACAATATACTATTTACTCATTCTGAATTCTTATCTATAGTGATTCTTGATGTAAATACAGATACTATGAAATAGATTTATACAATAAGACAAGCAAGCAAGTAGCCCCACTCGTAAAATAATAATAACCACAGCAACAATTCTACTAAAAACCACTAAAATTCTTAAATCATCAACACTCTATCTACTTAACCAGGATCTTAGCCACTCATTCCTAACCAATAGACATCAGTATTTGGAGGTCCTGCATTCCCCCCCATCCTCCCAAACAGTGAAGAAATTGACGTAGATGAATATTATTCAATGGAAACCTAGATTTTGATAGAAAAATTCTACGAAGACAGCTCATCTGCAAAAAGAAAAGTGCGTCGTGTGAAGAGAAACCAACTATAAGAAGACCGCAAAGAGGTGATTTAACTCATAAATTAAAACTAGCATGTATTACAGTCTAAAACATGCGGTTACAGGGTAATTAAGCGTGATTGAATTAATCTTCTCTCTCCCCCTTATAATTATTAAAAGACTAATAATTAGTGCACAAATTGCGAGTGAGTAATTTTCACACACATAAATTACACACACACCTTTTAACTGAATATATTTCTAAAATCTCATCATAATAAGGCATAAAAAATTAAAAGATGATCTCATAATAAGAAGACCAAAACAAATAAATAATATTGAATAGATTTGATTCTTCAAAACAACCATTAATACTTCCCAAAATGTAAAACCCTTGAAATAACTTGTTCTTATCTCATTCACTCAATAAAAACCAAGACTTCCTTTAACAAATATTTATTTAAAAAGTTCTCATCTCATCTCACTTCTAACAATAAACAATAAATAATAAATATAATAGCAATACATACTACTTATAAAAATTAAATATAAAAATCAGAGAAATTATCTAGTTTTATTTCTGGTTGTACAAGGAATTATAAAAACTTGAAACTATTTACATTTGAAATATTATCTATCTTTACTACTTCTTACAAAATATCAAAATACATACATAAATCCAATTCATAAATAAATAAATAATGCAACAGGATTCTCACTTTTTGCTTCCTTGATGCGTATTTAAAAAACAAGAATATAAAATTTGAATAATTAATTTTTGATTATAATTAAATAAAATAAAAATAAATAAATAAATAAATAATTAGTAAACTAAATTAAAAATTTATCTCATTAATTGTCTTACCACTATCTAGTATATTATTAATTTATGTATTTCTTTAATTCCTTCAAATTATACTTATCTAATTCATTTATTTTTTCATTCAATATTAATTAATTCATTCAATCATTTATTAATTTATTCATTCATTTATTTATTCATTAATTCATTTACTCAACTCAACCTGTTCACTAAGTTAACTTTTTCTCATTTCTTTTCCTTCTATCGAATTAATTTAGAAAATTGTAAACCTTTTCTATTCTTTTTTCCCTGAAATTTAAATATACTTTTCACAAAATCCATCGATTTTTCTCGAAGCTTGATGGTAATACCTCAAATTACATAAATATAATATCTAATTAGCTAAAATATGATCTAAAAAGTGAAATTTACAAGACAAAATGAAATAATTTTACCTCTATAATCAATAGTTTTATAAATTATAATTTTGGTTTATTTTTTTTTTTCACTTTGGATTTTGATATATTTACTTAAAAGCTACGCTGCTTTTTAAATTAAAAAATAGGGCTGTCCCTACTTCTGATAAATTATTTGTACATTTATTAAACATGAATTCATTTGAAAGAGAGAACAAATCTTAAGTAACTAGTAACCCTGGGGAGAAAAGCGCTTTCTGCTTTCTATAGTAATGAATTTGAAAATTATTTAAACTTAAAATTAATATTTGACAATCTTGTGCCGTAATTACGATTATTATGCTAAATTCAAATAGATCATAGTATTCTTATGACATGCTTATTTCAAATTAAATAATCAGCATGTAAATAATACCTAGTTAAATGAATTAAATGTTTTCTTATCATGCACTAAACTCATTTCTATTCTAATTCAGTCATTAAAAATATAACTAAAATCATATTCCTTTAAACTTTATGAAAATTTTAAAGTTGCTTAGCTTTCATCGGAATCTGAAAAAAAGAAAGCTTTACGTATAACTAAATTTAAATAATTTTCTATCTCAATATGTAAATAATTACAAAAGTAAATATCTATCACACAAAAAACAAAAATCTAATCTACAGTTATAATTACTCAGTTATCAGACACAGAATCTTCATCATCCGTTTCGACTTGGTTTTACTGATTATTTTTAAGCTATCCGAGATCAAAGTTGTTTGTATAATTTTGCCTGTACTAATTTCTATCAACCTATTGTCTTTAGTTACTTTTTCTTTGCTAGTCTTCTTAATAATCGTCTTCTATTACGTTCTTCAAGTATTAAATTTTTATATTCTCTTATGTTTAATCATACTTATTTTCTTCTTCCTCCTCTTCGTCTTCCTCTTCATCGTTAGACTCTTCATCTTAAAAGAATTAATCATTTTAGCGAGCTTATAAGTTTTAAATTTGCTGAGTCTACTTGGTAATGATTTAAACTGGAGGCTTCAAATTATCTTTTAACAGTTTCTAGTTGACAGCAGGTGATTCCTCTTCCTCACTTTCTTCATCGTCAGAGTCTTCGCCATCTTTTTATGTATTCAAATTTTTTCTTTTTGCAACAAGTGCCTTCTAGTACTCTTCAATATATTTTGATACCATGTAGTCAACAATCAACTTATTTTGCTTAACTCTATCATTGACTTTCAATTACAAGTTCTACAAATAGTTCTCAAGCTAAGCATTCTTTTCCTTTATTATAGCTATACCTTGCACATATTTTGAAATATTTTCATTAATTTATCTCATATTATTTATTTCATCAAGTTCTTCTTTAGTTTGATCTTAAAGCTTTGCTAATATGTTTCTATCTCCCTCTTGCAAATTTTACAGTTCCAATATAATAGACTAAAATGTTTCTTTATTTTGCTTAGAAACATTTTCAGACTCTTTGCAATAATCACTGAAATGCTTTAATCCTAACTCATAAACTTTGGATACTTCTTAGAAATACTCTTTAAAGTGCTGTTCCATACAAGATATAATCTAATCTCTTAAATAATTTTTATTTAAAAGTTCATTTTAAAATATTTCCTTAAAAATAGCTTTCTCTTTGTCATACACACCCTCCATCACCTTGCTGCAGATTTTTTCTTTGATTCTATTTTCTATGTATTTCTCCATCTCATCTATTTTTCTCTTTAAATATTAAGTTTGTGCTAAAACATAATTAAAAGATAGCAATCAATAAATTTGTAATAAAGCAAAAAACTATATTTTTTATTAAATAAATAGGTATTTATCTTACCTTTCCTATTTCAATAATTATATCGCATTTTTTCCTAAGACACTCTTTCAACTCCATTAAAAATTGCTTCACTTTTTAACTCTCTTCCTGCTCTGGCTACTGATCATTTATATTTTGTTGACTCTATTAAACTAAAGCTTTTTATTCTAAATCATTCACATTCACAAACTAAATTTCTTACTTTTTCAAATAGACAATAAATGAATTTTATAGTTTATAAATATAAAAAAGCTTGATTTAAATTAAATATATTTATTCATTCTTACATTTTCTATTAGCCTCTCTTATTAGTTATGGTGAGGATCTATTTAAACAGAAAATTGGTTTCCCAGTGAGCTAATAATATCACTAATATCCTATTAGCCCATCTAAAAATTATTCATAAAATTATTATTATTATCATGCTAATAATGATCACGATTATGATAATTCTAGCTCTGATTATTAAAATTTCTTTAATTATTCTTTTTTCTATTGTGACTTGCTACTCCAGGAGGATACTTAGGGTTATTTAAGTTATTCATTTTGAGTTATCTTTATCTAAAAATAATTTTAAAGTTATACTTAAGTTCTATCTTTGCTTAAAAAGTAATATTTAATAAAAAGAATTGAGTTTGTTTTTAATTTTTAGAAAATCTAAAATTAATTTATTTCTTTACTTGTTGCTTTATAATATCATTAACCATGAAATCATTTAAAAGAATTATTCTATAATTTAAAATATTTTTAATATTTTAAAACTAAATTGATTTTCTTTAATGCATTTTAAATTTTATATTTTAAACATATCAGTTTGGTTATTTATATGTCAAATCATCAGAAATACTTACTACAAATATGAAACTTTAAATTATTCAATATGGATTATTAAATAATATAATTAATTATTCTATTTTTTGATAAATAAAATTTTTTTTATTAAACTCTTTATCATTTTTCTTCACTTTTAAAAATAAAAAATAAACATTTTTATGTTGGTTCTAATTTAAATGTTTATATGTTTGCTTCTAAAATAAATACTGTTATTATTATTCATATTTATAAACTTAAATAAATGCTACTGATTAGAATTTAATTAGATATTTTTATTTAGAATATATAATAAACTATTCAAATTATATGGTTTAGTCGAGTAAGTCAATCACAATTTTTAAAATATAAATACCAAGCCTTTAGAATTGTAATGAATTTTTAAAAAATACCCCTCTCCTTCATTCTCCACTCCTTAAATAATTGCAAATACTTTTTTAAAATAAGTAATAGCTTTGATTGATTTTTATTGAATTAAATAGCCGAATCAAAATAATAATAAAAATTTGCAGTAAATACCTAATTTTTTTTATTTTTAAAAAATGAAATGCTTATTTATAATATCAAATTATTTTAGTAAATAATGTCTGTCTAAATAATTAATTAAAATAAATAATATTAAACAAAAAAATATATTTTTCAAATTTCTTTTCTGATCATAATTTCATATATGATTTATTAAATATTTTCTAAATATAAAAAGAATATTATTTTTAAGTAAAATAATCAAATGGCATCCTGATGTATATTTATTAAAATATTTTCCTAATCAATACTTGAAATGTAATTAACATAAAATGAAAAATATTGGTTTTAATAATTAATAGTAATTTTTTTCTAATTGCAAATTTTTCATAGTATAAGAAAATTTAGAGGTCATATTCTAATAGTTTCAAATTATTTTTTGATTACTGATTTTGGATCAAAAATATCAAAAAGCATTAATTAATTTTGATTTATTCTATTTAGAATTAAATATTTCTAATTTTTCAAATTATCAAATCTTTGAATTATTTACTTTTAATTTTTAACAACAAAAATAGTTTAATCTAAATAAAAAACTTAAAACTATCTTATTTCTTCTATTATGGGTCAACCAAACTCAAACAAGTTAATAAAATAATAATCTAACTATTTATTTAATTTAATACCTTTAGTAAACAATACTTTTCATATTTTAGGGAGAGTAATTGAGCTAAATATCAATACTTTATCAGGAAAAAAATATATTTTTGCAAATGATTGAAGAAAACAGTCAGTTTTGAATAAACTTTTTTACCTAAAAGGATATTAAAAACAAAATAATAGAGAGTCATAAAAGTAAAGATAATTTCTAATAAAAATATAAATTGAGTTTATATGGGGCATTGTTTGTATTAAAGGATGAATTTGAGTTATGGATAAAAGCTAATTAGAGATTTAAGATGTAGAATATTTATGAGTTTTAATATTAAGCGATTAAAAGTAATATAGTAAAATTGATTGATAAACAAGAATCACATACAGCTTAAGGACCATGTAAATGAAATACCGACATCGCTCATCTGCTAAATCTGCTAAGAACTGGATAAATATATTAAAAAGAATGTAAGGATATCTTAATTTTTAAGTAGTCCTTTTTATTCGTAATTTAAGGAGAAACTATTATTATAAAGGATAAAGATAAGTCAATAAAAAATTTAAAACAAAGATTGGCTATAAAAAGAGTATTTTGAGAAAACCATGGTGAAGAAGTTGCTAATCTTAATAAAATAGATCTAGCATATTAAGATAAAAACGACTGCAATAACTAATATATATTTAAATCAAAACTTGACTAAAGCATAAATTATTGGAGAAACATATGCTGTTGTGGTAGATACTCTTAGTAATATAAGTTTATTATCCTTATAAAAAGAGATTAAGGCTAATCAATTATTTGATAAAAAATACTAGTTACACTTTTTTATTAGAATAGCTAGTATTATAATTATATTTAATGAAATTTTTATAATATTAATGTCGATACAATCGGAAAAATCTGTAAAATAGACAAAATAATAAAGTGGTATTAGCTATTATTTGTATTCAAAACACTTGGCATTCCATATTTATACTAGAGCAAAATTTTTAATTTTTTGATGAGTATGGATGGATCAATATAAATATAAATCGTATTAATGCTTTATTTTTTATAATTAGAGGTTAAAACTAACATTGATATTAAATTAAAAAAATAAACTGTTTCTAAATTAATATTGCAAAATAATTAAAAAATATATTAGATTTATAGGGCAATAAAAGTAAAGTAAACACAATAAAGGCTTCTTGAAATTTTGATTAATTTTTAATTTATATACAATCTAAAAATAAAAACTAATATTTGTCAAAAAAAATTTTATCAATTTTTTACTGTGAATATTTTAAATTTTGAGTAATGAAGGTTTGAGCTGAAATTATATCTTTTCAAATGCAATTTGTTAATATATAATATTTTATGATAAAAATAATTAGTCCATAAATAGCTAAATTAATGTCAAAAAGATTATTAAAACTTAGTTACTGAATTTATTAAATTAAAATTAAAGTTTTTTAGTTTAATATTTTGAATATTTGTATTCATTTTTCTAAGCCATATTATCTTCAAATAAATTATTTTTTATTGATTTTTTTATGAAATTATTTAATTAATATCTTTCATTTATTCAAAATTTATTTTAATTTCACAAATAAATTACATAAAAAGATAAATTAATAAAGAATATAAATTTCTGATTATTATGTATATTTTATAAACATTTGTAACAGAAAAATACACATAAAGCTTCTTCTTTAGACAAATAATTAAATATTTGTTTTAAAATATAAAAAATATTAAATAATTTTCTAAAAAACTTATTTGAAGAATTAATAAATTACTATTTAAAATACTAGATTATCAATTTTAAAATAATTTAAATTTTAATCACTAAGCAATTCAAAAAAGCATAGAAAAATAATAAATTCTGATATTATTTAAATTATTTAAGTGTTTTTAAATTAGCTATAAAATCTTATTAATTCTTAAACGCTAACTTTTCAAAACTTAAATTTTGTAAAGATAATAATAATGATGATATATGAAAGTGAAATTTATCATATACACTTAGTTTTTATTGTTAAGATTCAAAGCTATTTATATAAATTTCTCAAATTAAGACCTATTTTTTTGGACAAGCACCTGATTGGATCATCTTAGAAATATTATTAATGAGTAAAATAGAGTAAAAAAATTAGTTATTTGTAATACATTTAATTGTAATGAAAGGTGAACATAATATCACCTAATCAAATGATGATATCTCACTAATAAAAAACAATAATAGATAGATAAATAAATAATTCAAAGAGAAGAAAGACAAAACCTTTGAGATTTTATAAATACGAGTTATTATTCTAAATTATAATTATCAAATAACAAAAAGTATCAAAAATCAATATATTAGTAAAAACATCAACAATACACATAAAATGAATCAAAATTATTAATATCAACCTTATGGAAGGTTAAATGAAACTGAGGATAATATTCCTCAAGGATAGCCAGTTGAAAGCCAAAACATATAAATGGCTCGTATGTCTTAAACTCCTTAACAACCAATATCAATTCCATAATAAATTCCAGTTTAATAAACTTATCCTCAAAATATTCCTCAACAATACAACTATCCTCCTCTCCCATAAGGATAATTAAGCTCTCCTCCCTAGATGTATGCTTCAAATCCTGCACCAGTGAATCCTTATTCCCAAATGGGTTAATCATAGGTATAAGTACAAAATGTTGCTCCTGTTTAATAAAGTAAACATTTTTTATTTTATTTTTTAAATTAACTATTCTATTTAATGATCTAAAATTAATTTTAAATTTTATATTAGATTTTGCCATGCTACCTATTGTAAACCATCCTACTTCTAGACATCCTCAATAATTATACTGTGCTAATTGCAAGTAATACACAACTACAAAGGTTGCTCTTAAAAACGGATCTGGAGCTTACATTGCTGGTGGTGTTATTGCAGCTTGTGGTTTCTGGTTAGGTTGTTGCTTAATTCCTTGTATGGTTGATGATTGTAAAGATTCAGTACACTTTTGCACGAGATGCGGTAGCAACCTAGGTTCAAAGAGATTCTTGTTTGATTGAGAGCCAAATTTACTTGAACACATTTAAACAATAATAAATGACTTTAAATTCAATTAATAAATTAAATAAAAATATGATCAAACAAACAATCAATCAATCAATAAATATTTGAATCTAAATGCTAATCAAATAAAAAAGATTTGGATTATGAAAAGCTAAATTCACTTTATAATATAATAAAAAACTAAATATTTATGATAAATATTTTTTAAGGACATACTGTATTTTCCTATTTCCATGTTAAAATATAAAATAATAACTTATTAATCAATTAATAATAAAAAATGCATATATGATTGATTGTTTAATTTCGATAATTTTACTCAAAACAATACTCTGAATACGAGAAAAGCAAAAATATCTTTAAGATATATATAAATAAGATGTTAATTTACATTTTTAAAAGATTTAATAAATATTTTTGAAATGAATTGTTTAAAGCTGATTTAGATATCAACTTGCAAAATAACTACGAATATGCTTTGAAACCAAATATTTTTCATATTATTTTGATTAAAATTTTATAAATATTATAATATTTTTTTTGAATTTTAATATACTCATAAACTTACATCATGGATTTAAGTTTATTAATTTATTTTATAAAATAATTATTTTTGTTTTCTTAAAAAATGAAAATTTTAAATCATAAATCTACTATTTTCATGATAAAAATAAAATTAAAATTATGAAATGAGATAAAAATACCCTATTTTTATTTAGTAATCTTTATATTTAATAAAATTTTATTAAAATATTGTTTGTTATAGAAAAGCATATTTTAAGGCATCGATGCAAGTAAATTTTGAAGATTTTCTTCATTTAATTCATAATAAACAAAATTATATAAAAATACTGTTTGTCTTGTAAAATTATATTTTAAGGTATCATTAAAAGTGCATTTTAATCATGTTTTTCATTTTAAATTCATACAAATAAAATTAGAAGAATTATGGTGCACTTAATATTTATTTTAGAAAAATAAAAATTAAAATATATTTTTAGAAGTTAATTATCTAATTTGTGTATTTTTAAAACTGTTTCATTTTATCCTTAAATATTCTTCAAGATATGCCTAAAATTTTTTTTAGCTTAATAAAAGCACAAATAAAAAACCACATTTATAACCAGTAAAACTTAAATAAGTTTACAAAATAATAATTATTAAATTTTTTTTATTTGCATAATATTTTTTGTATTAATTTTTTATTTTAACAACTATGTAACATAGAATTAGAATTTACAAAATGTATGCTCAAAAATACAAAAAATTAAATTAAATTTTTATTTAATTTTGCTTAATTTTGTGTAGAAACTAATTTTAAATTTATCTATTTTGAGATAATTAATTATAAAATTAAATATATTTTGCTTTTTAAAAGATTCATTAACATTTAATATTATTTATTGTAGATTTACTTAGTATATAATATACTAATGAAGAATATTATTATAATTATTTAAAATTCTACTCATATTTTATATAAAAAGCTAAATATTTTTGTATTGTGTTCATATTATCAAACAATAAAAAAGCAGATTTAAGTTTTCTTACTTTTGTTATTATAAATTGATATAATTATTTATATTCACTATTTGTTTTTTATTATTTTATAACCTGAAAGATTAATCTAAAAAAAGAAAGTAGAAATATAAATATTATAATTTTTTATTATTCCTAATTCTCAAAATAAAAAATCTACTTATTCACTAACTAACTCTATTACTACTTAAAAATTTGAATTATACTTATGGATGGAACTGCAAAAGCTACTCCTTCTAACGTTACTGTTTCCAATACTAATAATTTCTTCTATAGGTTTGATATCAACTTACTTTACTTATTAAAATGTCAAAGATATTCTTAAAGAAGCTCAATAAAACCTTTTAAATGATTAAATATAATCGATAAAAATAATTATTTCAGCTCAGAAGGCTAAATTAGATACATAGTTTATTAAGATGGGTAGAGAAATCTAAATGGTTAATAACTTTTATAGAAAATCTATAAATGATTAGGTTTATATAAATCCTTTTTATGAAATAAATAACACTATAGCTTTAGCTGGATCTCTTAATTTAACAGATTTGACTGATCCTAGAGTTGTTTAGGTTTTGAAAGGAGGAATTTCGGTTTCTTCATGGTAAAATTAAAATTAAAAAAATACTTTTGAATGATTTGTGTTAGTTTATTTAACTTCTAGCTCACCAACTTATTTTTAATAATTTATAAATAGTTAAAAACTTAATTGTTTTGTATGATATTAATCTTGTTTGCTTTTCAGATAGTTTATTATTTTGTGTTGAAAAACTTATCAAAAATAAAAATAGAATTCTAAAATATTTTAATATGAAATTTTTATTAATTTAATTTAATAAGGTTTCTTAAAAATGTGAGTTCAAGTGATTTCTCAAAATTACCTCAGCCTTCCATTTCAAATATTAAGCATTAAAATAGCATAGAATATCTGATAAGATCAATTTACTTAGCAAATAAATTTACAAAATCCTTTTACTTTGAAGACTAGGCGAGAGGATTCTAAAATGATGGATTAGCTATTTCTAATCCATATAGGCAGATTAGGCTTGATAAAGTAATTTTAAAGGAATAGCATTGTTAGACATAGTATTATGATGCCAGATGTAGGTCTTGGTATGTTGAAACTAGTTAAATCAGTCAATAAGATGATAATCTTATTTATGTTACAGATCCTATCTTAATTTTTACAGAATTAATTCCTTATTTAGGAACAGCATTTTGTTCAAAAATAATGTTCAAAAATGAAGTAAGTAAATTATTTTTGCAAATCTTTTTATAAAGGACTTTTAAAAAAATATAAAGCTACAGAGTGTGGGATGTGGATATTTTAGGCCTGATAAATTTGAGCTAATATCAAGCACTAGTATATTTTCTAATGGATTTCAAATAATAACAGTTGCTAGATCTTAATAGACTATTTTTTACCAGGGCATTGAAAATGGCTACAATAAAACTTTACAAGATCTACTATTTGATAAAAATGAAACTTTATTTTAATAATTTATAAGCGAAATACCTTAAAATTTTACTTAATATCAGTATAAAGTAATTTAATCTAAAATAGGTTTACCCTTTTTAGAAAGAAACTCTGATGAATTCTACACATTTGATTTTCAGACTAAGAATAATTCATACATAAGCATTACAACTCCAATAAATATTATAGATAAAATAAACTCATAATAATTCTAATTATATAATATTTTCACTTTTTATACCATTATCTCAAAGGAAAAGATACTTCAGTACTACCAAGAACTTTAGTCTTAAATATTGAGTATTTAAATAATTATATTTATTTTCTCTGCTATGATTGTGGTAAATTAACATTTTACTTATTTAAATTTTACATTTCCATCAAAATTTTATTTTAACTATTAATATTAAAGATTTAATTTTCATTTTATTTTATATTATGAATAATCTATTATTTGCAAAATTATTTATTAAACAAATGGTAGTATTTAACTTTCAAAATAAAATCAATTTACTATAAACCCTCATAAATTAAAATTAAATTAATTATGTGTTATTTTACCCTTGAGTTTTTAATAAAAAAATGCTAGTTTTTTTAAAATAATTAGATGCTTAATTATTTTTATAAAGTGGATTAACAGTATATTTTTATTTAATAATATTTCAAAAAATTAAAAATAAGCAAATAAATTTGTTATAAAAATATTTATTATTAAATATTTAGGGAATATTTTCTATAATATCTTATGTACATGGAATTAGCATTGCAAAAAAAATAGAAAATCCTATTTAGAATCTAACCTTTTTTCTTTAGTAAGTGACTGTAAACGATTTAGGATTATTAGTTAACAGCTAATTTAATAATTTAGAGAGTATATTAACTTTATAAGAAGAATTAGAAACATAAGAGGTAAAAATTCTATTTGAGACATTTTTGGATTTGTTTACATCTTTGAAAATAGTGTCATAAACTATTTATGATAAAAATCACTCTGCTGCAATTATAGAATTAAATTAGGCTATTAAAAAGTTTTCTTAAAGAAGTGACAGATTTGCTTTAGGGATTTGCTATAATAACTTAGGAAATATTTTGGTTAAAGAAAGTAGATATTAAGAAGCTATGGAAAATTATCTTTAATCAATAATCTAAATTGATTACGATCTTGGTAAATACGAGCAAGAAAACAATTTTGAGGAAGAAATAGCTAATTCCTCTGCAGCAAATATACCTATTATTGAAGAAGATATTGATGATAGCGATAATAATCAAAGTATTGAGCAAGATATAGTCATGGCTTATAATGAAGATGAAGATAATAACTTTTTTACAAACAAATTATCTTAGCATAAATAAAAAAGATTAATTGAACTTTATCGCTTAAAATTCGATAGAATGATAAACTTTTCAAAGGCTTTTAAATTGTACAACTTACAAACGAAAAATTATTTATGGAAAGAATATTAATAAATATTGGAACAAACATTAATTATAACAAAATACATACTTAAAGATTAACCTTTTAAATTGAACTATCTGTTGCAAGAGCTTTCATTTTGCTTTCTTAAGCAAAATAAATATAGAAGTGCTATAATTTACTTAAAAAAATGTTAAAGGATTATTGCTTCAGAAAAAAAGAAGATGAATGACAAGATAAATAACAACCTAAAACTAAATTAAAGCATGAACAATTTTGAAAATAAATACTTTTAAAAAAGAGGTAAAAAGAGAAGTACCTTTGTCTCTGAAGTTAATTCGATTTCTAATTATCAATCATCTGTTTTTTTCAATCGATAAAGCAGTTAGAATGTCCTAATCAGTCCAAGAACTTTAAACTAAAATCAATCTTACATTTAGAATGACAACTTTTCCATCAAGCATTTAAATAATAATGCTAATAAAATAATTTCTCCAAGTGAATCAGAAATCTTTTTGAAGTAAAACAATTTTTTATTTTTGAAAATAAAAATTATTTCAATTAATTTTATATGAATTAAATCAAAGCGATCCACATATAAATCCTTTCAATACTTAGTAAAATTCTTTAGATCTCATGGAAGGCAAAATCATAAATTAATAGGCTAGATGCTTGATGTTTAAGGGCAAAAACTATAATGCATTTGAGATTTTACTTTAAAATTTTGAAAATCTGCAAACTTATTACTAAGAAGATAGATTAATTTGCTTATTGCTCATTAACTAATGCCTAAATTAGATAATAAAAAATATAGAAAAAAATATGAACTCATCTAAATATATTTATTATTAAATTATAAATATTGAAAAAATATACTCTTAAGAAATAGAAAAGATAAATCAAAAAATAGACAATGCATTAAATGACACTTAAAGAAGATATTCATAGACCTAAAGTGAAATGGTATTTACTTAAAGTTAATATAGATATATCGAAATATCGAATCCATTAATTTAGTTGTAAGTCATGTAATAAAATAAGTTTGAAAACAGAGTTGAAAATGTATAGTTGTATTTATAAAATTTAAAAGAACAATTAAAAGTTGCTTTGAAAGTTGAGAAAATTCTTGAGGGATTAAATACATCAATAATAAATTTTATTAAAAAGTTTTCTGTCAAATACCTACGACTTTCTGTAATAGTGGACTTGTAAGACGAAATATTTATATCAGAAGTGAATCAAATTATTGATGAAATTTACAGCAGCATATTGATAGAAAAATACGATGTCATGGAGGTTATTAAATTAGAAAAATACTCAAAATAAATTATACCATTTACCTCTGTTTACTAGCTTAAGCAACTTAAATTTCACTATAAATATGCTCTACGAGCCATGTATTTTGCAAAGACCAGAAGAAACATACCGTTTGAAACTATTTTAAAATCAATTTCAAAGTCTATAGCGAATTTAAACTAAAACTCTGCAAAACCTAAAGAATTTGTTGATAGAACTTAAAATTTTATCATTCTTTTTACAAATTTATCTAAAGAGGACTGTGATAAGTTAAAATAGCAGATAATAAACTATTTTCCTTTTGATACATCAATAAAAATAATCATTTTCAACATGATTGTCACTTCTTAAGTTTTAAAATTAGTGAATTATTCTTATCTTTTAGCTGATCCAGACGATGAAGAGAGAGAAATAGAAAATGATATTTAAAATGAATTGCATTCGACTTAATATATGAAAACTAATTATGACAATATTTTAGACACTAACTTTGAAGATTAGTCTCTGAATTAAATCAATAAAAAGGTTTTAAATAACAATTTTACAAGAGAAAAGATGTCAAGTATTAGCAAACAAAACGATTAAAGAGAATACTTAAATAACTAAGATAATTGTAAATAAACTGAATAATAATATAAATTTAATTTAATTATTTTAATATTAAGTAAATTTAGATTTTAGGGGCGATGATGTTTTTGATGATTTTGACTATAACTTTAACATTATGAATATCTAAAATAAAAACAACTTAGCTTAAACAGCTTAAACAATATAAACCAGCAACAAATATCAATATAATTAGATTTAGAAGTCAAAGTATTAGAATAAAGACAGAACAAGCGAAAATTAAATATAATTGTCTAAAAACACAACAAATACTTTAGAAGAAATAGAGCAAGAAAGAATATACAATAGCTCAAATACTGATTTTCAACAAAATGAAGCAGCTTCTTAAATTTATTTGTGCAAAAAAAAATAATTAAAAGTTAAAATATTTGTAAATAAATTATAGCTTGTAAATTATTTAAAAAACAAGAGGGAAGTCATCGAAAGTTTAGGAACTCCCTTACTGTATGAAAGGTTGTGATCTTTTTCATGGGTCATTAGGATAAAGTTTAATTCAAATATAACAAGTTATAAATCTATCTATTTTTCATCTCATTTCAATTTAAGTTTTTAATTTAAATCAAGATTTCTCTCATTATTTTCATTGTTTTAAAAACAAACTTTAAATGTATCGATTAAATATTTTAAACAACACTGAAAAATGTCTTGAATTTTTAAAATAAATTTATTAATTTCAACTAAATATTTTATTTTTAAAATTCTAAAAATATTTCCTCTTAATAACGGCTCAAAATTAATTATCAAAAATTTTAACAAAAAAAATCATTAAATTATTGAACAATTTTAGTTAATAAATCAGTAAGCAAATACATAATTTTGTCAATAATCTGTTTTTGACAATATTTTTTTGTTAAAACGAATTTTTAAGATTAAAAAATAGAAAAAGAAGTAATAAAAGGTAAATAAGAATAAAAATGAAAGGGATAAAACAAATAACAAAAGAAAATAATTTTAACATAGGGTAAACCCTTCACCTTCTGTGCTATGAAATATTATTTGGAATAGTTTGGAACATCGTTTGGGGAAATATATTTTATAAATACTATTTTTTGAATACAGATTGCTTATATTTAAAGATATGGACATCATCTATTATTATTTTTAGCTTTACGAGCTCATTTGTTTACCTTTTAATAATTTACTTCTTTGTGAAGTATACAAAAGAGAAAGATGAGAGAAAATTTAATGTTGTAGTTTTGATAAATTAGATTTGGAATTGCATTTGCTGTGTAGCAAATTTATTGCTTATTTTAATCAGTTTTAATGAATACTATTTCACTGAAAAATTTGCTAATCATGGATATCTCAGCCAAACAGTAAAGTTTATTAAATACATAATTCAATTTTTTTCAATTTAATATTGAATAACTAAAATAGATAAAGTATTACCTACTCGTTATTGGGGTAACTTTGCTATTAGCAGCTATAAGCGCAGTCGTTTTATTTCTAAGTTGCTTATTTATAAGTAAATTCGAAGCAAAGAATGAGTATCATACCTACTAATTAATACATTAAAATGAAATTAATAACTAAATAGAGCAAGCAGAATAGCTTTATGAGTGAAAAAAATATATTATAATTATTATATCAAAATTATTTATTTTTTTATGTTTATATCTAACTCACAGATATGTACCTAAATATTTATAAATTAATTTATTTATATTATTAGAAAATTAATTAAAATCTATTGCATAAATTGTATTTATTCTAATGATATAATTAAAAAGAAATTATTTTAATTGTAATTAAATTCCTCATAACTATGAGTAATCAATTAATTATTGGTTCTGTTTTTTATTACACTTGATAATTTTTTTTAACTCTCCTATTCTATTTAATGAACAGTTTGTGGGAAAATATAAAGATAGTAAAAATGAAATCCTTTAACATTTGCATATAATAAATTTTATTAAAATTATATTCTATATTTTAAATTAATTTAATTTTTTTCATTAATTTTAATTTTATAATGATATGATAGTTCAAAATAATTGAAATTATAAGATAAAAAATAATTATCTTTCATATGAATTCTTAAATTAAAATATTTTCTATATTATTCATATTTATTTATTTATAGGTTGTCTGGAAATGTGATTAAAAACTTAAGAAAATTTTGATAAATATTCATATTTTAATAGAATTTTAGATTTTAATCACTCAATAGCAACAAAAGCTTATCTTATTTAATTATTAAATAGAATTTATAAATTAGAGTACTTATCCTGGCCAATAAGGCGTTTATACTACATAGATTCTTACAAATAAAGAATATTATTACTCTGTTATAAATAACTAATATTGATTGAAAAATTTGTGTTAGAGTTTATATTTTTGATTTTTAGTTTATAAAAATATTATTTTTCATAAATATTTTATATAAATCGATCTTTGATTTTTTTATCATAAATATTCTAATAACCATAAAATTTTTTTAAGGATAAGTAGAATTTTAGGTCAAAATTCAAAAAATCTAAACTATTTCGTTTCATCAAAATTTTATAATTAAAAATGTTTAGTAAAAATATTGTCTGTTATTTATTCACTGAATATCTTTTTTAAATATACATACTCCTATTAATTAATAATGGCTTTTAAATTAGTTTATCCAATTCATTACAAATTTCTTAATATGTGAAAAATTAATATAAATTTATATTAATTAAATTAGATGAATTCATGGTGGATTTTTCTTTTGGAATAAATAAATTACCTTACTTCTCTTATCAAATTTATATTTTAAATAAAAGAAAATCTTTTAGATAATTAAAATAAGGTTTTGAATTTTGTTTGGCTAATTTTATTTTAAATTTAAAGTCTGAATAGGAAACTATACAAATGCCATAAAATACTAAATTATCAACTTCTTATACAATTAATTTTGACATTAATTTTTAATTTGAAAAAGATTACAGGTAAATTAATCAAAAGATTATATTTCCTATTAAATTATAATTAGTAAATAAATTTAATGATAAAAATTCATTAAAAATCCTTATGATAAAAATATATTAGACATAGAAAGATTCAAAATTTCATTTTTAAAGATTATTTAATTTTAATTTATATATTATAATTAATACTAGATGTATCTTGAAATAATCGACATATAAATAAATAAATGGTGATTTCTATTATTTAATTTTGTGTATCAGAAAGAAAGTATATTTACTTCTAAATAGTTGAAAATTGAGATCAAAAACTTTTTGAAGATTAAAATAATAGTGGAAAAAATAAAAGAAAAAATACATTATTTTTTAATTCAGCGAAAAAAATAAATAGAATCAAGCAAGGATTATAGATTTACTATTTATAAGTAAAAAAAGCTAAACTAAGAAAAAAACTGATCATCTATAAAAAGTTAATAGGAGAATATATCATTTTTCAATCTTAGGCAACGCAGTTAGTTATTTATTAATCTATAAAAGTGAGAAGAGCTTCTTCTGAAGAAAGAATTCAGGAAATTTCAAATAGCTGAGTTAAAAATAAATGTCTTCCATAGCTCTTCTCGCATTTATTTTAGCTACTACCTTATGTGGAGGTAATCAATATAAAGAAATAAATATTTATTATTTAATGTTATGTAGAACAAAATAAGTCAAGCATATCAAAATTTTTTAAGGAAATGCTAAATTCAAAAATTAGATCAGCATTTTAAGCTTATTAAATTGCAGTTAATAAATATTTTACATATAAATCTCATAATTTTAAATATCGATAAAGTCAAATTACTCTTTCAGAATCATTGTATATGATAACAAATTAAGTTGATATATATAAGGAATTCTTAAATACAAAAATTTTTTGGTAAGTGAAAATGAATATTTTAAATAGAAAAAAATAAAAAAATAAAAATATAAAATATTTTACTCCAAAATTAACTAATTAATAAACTTAAATACTGCATTGAAAAATAAATATTCATTTATTAATTTTTTATACATTTAAATAAATATATTTTGCTTTTTTAATTTGTGTTACTTACTTTTTTTTACAGGTTTAGAAAAACATTTGAATGTAAATTACATTTAGATCTTTAAGATAATTCAAAGAATTAATTTTTAATTCATTCAATTTTAATTGCTAATTAATATGTATCCCAACGAAAATTAAAATGTTCGCTCGTTCGTTGGTTCGGTAATTTATTTTATGATTGTTAGTTAATTTTTTTATCAGCTTAACTTATTTTGTCAAAACATGGCTTGGCATTTATTTATCTATATTTTGTAATTAATATAAAATGCGTAATATTAATTAAAAACCATCTAATCTTTATTATCTATATTTAATAGGATTAGTCAGATTACTAGAGACTTACTAAGACTACACAGAATCAAATAAAATGTCTAGCTTTCACCCTTTAATGTAGCCTTTCATATTATTTCTTAGCTCTAGTATATGTATTACTGTGTATATTTTTAAGACTAAAAACCCTAAATTTATAGTAAGGAGAAAAAACTTTAAATGGAGCTACTTGCTTGTTCCAGCACTGTTATTTCTAATTAATGTATTTCAAAACATCATAGCAATAAGATATTTATATAATGGCCTTTATGCAATTATGAAGAGCATATCACTTATATCGAATGTAGTCATGGAAAAGTGCTTTTATCCACATAGATCGTATACGAAAAATCAATTTACAGGATTAATTTTAGTTGTAACGGGATAAGCAGCTGTGGGAATATATTGTTTAGTACTTACTTCTAATATGGATATTATAGATATAAATAACAGCGTTGAAATAAATATTATTCTAGGTATTACTTTATTATTAATTAGCATATTCCCTATGGCATTCTATTATTTACTTTAAGAGCGATTTATGAAAGCCTTTAAAATAGACCCTTTTTAATATGTTGGAACATAAGGAATTGTAAACTCTCTCATAACATTAATCCTAATTCTCTGCTTTTAATGGCTACCATGCAGTAACAAGACTTGCTAATTCTAAGTAGGCAATGATTTTTACTTAGAAAGAGTAGATATATGGTGGGAGCAGCTAACTTCTAACTACTTTTTCTTGTATACAACATTAACTTTATTTCTTTTTTTTGCTGTTTAAATGTATCTTGAGTTTTTCATAATGAAAACTTATTCAGGTATTGCTTGCAACATCACAAGCACGCTCTATTTATTGATTCCTTATATTTATGTACTAATAGTAGGAAAATTCCCTTTTGACTTTGTTGTTGTTGGTGGTTTTCTAATTATAATTACAGGAGTGCTTATATTTTACCATATCCCTAACTTTTCACAAATAAACAATCTTAATTCCTACACTTCTTCATCAGCCACTGTTCCAGAATTTCATACTGAGATTTAAAGATCTTCTTTAGAAGATTAGCTGAATCCTACATCTTCGTAAGAACCTGGATTCTACTTAGAAGAAAATGTAAAAAATGAGAGCTAAAATTCTTCATAAAAGCTAAGTAAGAATAAATAAAGTTTAGATGTTTACTAAAATAGTTTAATGAATTAAAATAGATAATATTAACAACAAATGCTAGATGATTAATACATTCCTCCTAATTAGCTCAAATATTTTAATAGAAGTAATAAATATGATATTAATATGTAATTATAAACATAATAACAATAATTATTATATATATAATAAATAAACGAAACACATAAAAAACAAAAAAATCAAAAGCTAATCACAGCTATTAATAATGGCTGTGATCATAGCGAAATAGTTTGCTTAAATTGTAATAATTGTTAGAAGATGAAATTATATTAATAAAATTAATAGATTAATTACTATACAAATCAAAAAAATTATGCTAACAGGTAAATTAACCTATTGACATAATATAGTAACTAGCTTTAGAACTCTAAAGAAGATTTGAATGATTAGTAAAATGTCATTACCTAAAATGATGGCAGACTAAGCAATTCCTAGAATCAAAATATTTAAAAATCTTAAAATTCTTAAAGTAACAACGAGGATGATGATTCTTCTATATATTACAATAATAAATTCTTCAAAAACAATAGGAGTAAAGCAAATAGTAAATCAAATGCAACTCAATTTAATTAAAATACTCAAAACTCTTTTAACGAAAATAATGAAAATGATTATTTTAATAACATGTAAATAAGCTAAAATATTGCAGTTTATCAATAGAATGAATAAGTAAATAATGAATAAAATGAATAAAACAGTGTAATAAGTAATAACACAAGAATTAATAGATGCAGTGGCAGCGGCTTATGGATAAATTAATCTAATAATAGAAATAAAAGTAACTTATATGATCAGAGCATTCTACTGTTAAATTCACAAATATCTGAATAAAACTAGAGTAGTATTATATATAAAGAAACCACTCCTAGGTAGCATTAATATGATTAAAAGATTAACAACAAGAACAATAATAATTTAGAGGCAAATTAATAATCAGAGGAGGAAAATTAAGTTAACAACAGTCCATACATTTAAAGAGATTTTGAATTGCTTGTTGATAATAATAATAACTCATAAAATTGTTAAGGTAACTAGTAAAACTTTTAAGCTGCAGTAGATCAGTAGTTATAATAGCAGTAACATTAATAATTATAAACAAGTAAGACATCTTCAAAACAATACGAATATTTAAGGAAAAAGAGCAATCTAAGTAATAAAAGTATGTCTGGTAAGAAACAAAAAAATGACAAAAAAATTCTACTATCTTAAAATAATTTTTAAGAAGATTTCGTACTTCATTAAAATGACATTTCATTAGAGAATTACGATGATATTATTTTAGATTAAAGTAGCAGTTAAAATGATAATTTAAAGATAAACAAATATTAAAATTCTAGCATTCCATCTCCTACTGTTTCACCTATAAATATAATTAAAAAAAATAAGAAGAAAGAAAATAGAAAGCTATTAATCCTAAACTTATGAAAACTTTCCCAAATAATCGTTTATATTCATCATACTATCTACCTATCTATTTAAATATATATTCATGAAAGATATACACTTTAATTAATTAATTAAATAAATAAATAAATATTATTTATTATCAAAAATAAAATTTTCATTCTAATTATTATGTAACCATATTTTTATTTATTGTATAATTACTAAATTTTCTGTAAAAATAAATAAAAAAAAACATTAGCTAAAATTTTTTGATGGTTTGCTAAAAACAAATTAAAGAAAAATATGAAGCTTTTATATTTTATTTGTTTTAAATGAATTTCAATTTATGCATAAAAAGAAGTGTCACTTAATTGTATATTTAAGAGTAAGTAAGAATATATTTAAAAAAATATGGGTAGTAAAATTGGCATGTATGTATGTATTTATGTGTGTATGAGCGGATAGTTTAATTACATCAATTTATCATCTATCTATATTTATACGATAGTACTCTTTTTTAATACAATTAATAATTCCAGTATGTGTTAATAAATTTTCTTTTATGTACAATTTAATAATTGTGCAAAAATTAACTAACTATTTATTTATTTACTATTAAGTATTTTATATAAAGCTTTTTCTTTTCTTTTTTAGCTCATTAATAAGTAAAGGATAAAAAGCCAAAAGACAATAAAGACAATTAAAATTTCAAAGTTATTTTACTTACCTCTAAGACTCTCTCGTCGAGGTAGCTGTGAAGATTATTACTTTAGCAGAAAGCTCATATTTATCTTATAAATCTATTATAGAAGTTAGTTAAATGCTGTACAAAAATCTATTCATTCTACTTTTACCTATTGTATTTATAATAGCAATAGGTTTTTATTCAATGTTTTATGCTAAATAATAACTTTCAGATATATTAAATACTACAAAACAATAGCTTAGAAATGATACTATAGATAACATTGTTATTTTGAGCTCTTTTATTGAATATAAACTGGAATTAATTTTATCTTAACTCTATTTTCATAACTTGATTATGTCTATATTTCAAAACAAAGTTATGAGAAATCAAGTTTTAGTTTCTCCAAAAATGAGTAATTTAGCTGTCAATCTCTAAGATTATCCAATTCCAGGTTAGTATCCTCTTTACGTTGAGAATCTTTTAGTGAATAGAAACGGTGATAAAATATCTTAATTGTAAATAAACATTTAAATCTTTTTATCATGAAAATATTAATTACTTTACTTAATGAATTAAATTACTTTATCAACAAAATTAGCAAGAAAGCAAAAGTGATTTTATATAGATAAATCTATTGTCATTTAATAATTATTAATCATTTAAATTTTTATTAAGTCAAAAATCAATTTAAATCCAATTTACACTTAGAATATTTTTATTAAATCTTATTTAACAATTATAAAAACTTTTAAAAATAAATAAATAGCACTCATTGCTTTAAATAATTCAGAAGCGACTATAGCCCTGTTTATTAGAGAGTTTTATAACAAAATTAATATGCAGATGTTTTGTCTAGATCTATTTATTATTCATTAACATCTTTAGATATTCGACCTTATTCATTTATATAAATATATGAACAAGAGTGTTTTATGTATGGATATCCGTTTTAATATTCAGGTAGAATTGAAGATTCAGCTGCTTATAAAAATCCCCCTGATTTAATTAATTACATTTTAAATGAATTGAGAGAGTGTGAAACCTATAGTCCTTTTTATAATTTTTAATGCATTCCCTGGTATACAGTAGGAAGTATATTTGATGGAATGTATATTTCGTTTCCAGGATTTAACGGTGATAGTGAATATGTAATTGGTCTTTGCCGCTTTTTTGATAGCAGCAATGAGGAAGAGGCTTTTATGGACAGATAAATCTGTGATGCAATTAAACTAAAGGATTTAAATAATTATGTTACAAGTGTAACTTATGGATTAGATTATTTTTATATACTTGATAGATAACTCTAATTAGTAGCTATGCATTCAAATTTTAGCTTTGATAATGTAACTGTAAATGATGTTACATGGGATAGCTTAGAATTAAGTTAATTTACGTTATAAGAAAAGACTGATTTTTTATCAGCACTACCAAAAAAATTTTACTAAGGAGAAAATGATTATGATTTTTTTGAATCTCACGACGGAATAAGAAAGAATAATGACACATACTTTGTAGGTAACTTTTGGCCAATAATTATTATTTTAAAATATATTTTTTAATGTAATCAAAATTACCATCAATCCTCATTAATTAATACACCCACATCCTCCATTTTAAAATTTATTTTTAGGGTATTCTGACTTGATGGGACTTTTAATTTTAATTAAATCAAGTCTTAATTAATGAGTATTGATAGTATATAATTTATTGAATAAAATTAATAATGAATTGTTTTAATGAAAATTAAAAAATGAATTAGGAGAATATACTTAGTAAGGAGTACCATATTTATATGTTGCCTACTAAATATTTCTTTTAGATACTACACCTCAAGATAAAAGTTTTAATTACCAAGAGAGACTCTACAGCAAAATAAAAACTTATAAATGCTATTATACAATGTTTAATGTCGTAAATTAAGATAGTCTGTTTTAATAGCAATACTAATTATAGTAGAATATTGACAATGTCTATTTCCTACTTTTATTTATTTAAATAGCATGTTCATTAGTTATAATAATGTACTCAGTATACGTTTCTCTTATATTAGTAAATTCAATAAACTAATCACTTGAAATATTAATATATCTTTTAAAGACGTTTTCTCCTTAAGAGAACATGGATTTAACTACACTTTAATCAAATTTGGTCCCATTTGATTAGATAAGTGACATATTTTGCTTTGAAATAAATTTGATTTACGGAGCCTTTAAAAATCTTATGCATGTTATTACTTTCAGAAATAAAACGACTTAGTTTTCATAGATATCTGATGGCTAATCACTCTTGGATTGGGTATTTGCCTGTTAATTCTTTGAAAATATTATGGGAAATCATAGTTTTTTAGGTATAAGCTATAATAATTTAGGGAATATTCATTTTAATTCTCATCGTTATTTAGAGGCATGCTAATGCTATAGTGTTAGTCTGATACATTTAAATTATGAGTTAAATGAATTGACTCAAAATGGTGAAACTTATTGCAGTCAATTTTTTTAAATAAATGATAATAAAATCGAAACTCCTATAAGAAAAAGAAAAAATTCCTCTAAGGATTATCAAATTGTTAATAATCAATAAGTAAATAATAACAGGTAAGGAAAAACACATAGCACTGGATCAATTATTTAGATTGTAAAGAAAAAAATATCTTCTCTTCCATTACGTCCTGAGCCAGAATCTGTTGCAAACGAAGATTAAGATTTTTTTAAATAAAACTAAAAATTTTAAGACCTTTTGCATTTAAAATTTGAAAGATAATACTAATACATACGCTCTTAAAAAATGTATTTTCTTGCTCAAAGAGCATAAACTAATTTATGGAAAGAATAAATAAATTAGCTTAAAGAACTTTATATTTTGGATTAAATTCTATAACCTTAACAGCACTCAAGGACAATTATGATCCTCCTAGAGCTTAGTTTTTGTTATTTAATGAAAAAGAAAATGGAAAAATCTAAAGTTCTGATCAGCCTTTGTTTGGCATTATTTACATAATTTTCAAAAAAATGTTAAGATGAAAACACAAATATCAGATAAGTGTAGCACACTAAAGTAAATTGGCTTGATTAAGATTAAAAAAATAGTCATAGATTAGATAATTAAAAGCAGAGTATTTTATTAAACAAATTTTCACCAGATTACCCAGTGAAGAGGAAAAAAAAAATGAATATATTCGAAGAATCTGAGCAAGAATATCTGAAAGTTTTATAGTAAATTTCTCCTGTCTTGTAAAATCCACTTATCAAATAAGCGTTCGATGAGATAAGCATTCAGTAAGAAACTAATTCAAGAAATCAAAGAAAACACTCTGAGAGATTGAATTATAGTTCATGTCCTTCTCCATAACTTAACAAAGAGTAGACAGATATAATCGTTTATAATATTTAAGAGGCAGTAGAGCTCATAGGATTAAACAAGTTTAATTTAAATAAGTAAAGGAATACCACAATTTATTCTGGTTATAGATAGACTTCTGATACTTCTTCTAAGGATCCATAAGAAGCTTATAGATTTAAAAGCTAATAAAGAAATTCAAACTTTGGTGCAAAAGCAAAATAAACAGAAGCTGGTTTGTGGGATCAAAATTATCTTATGCCATATGTTTAATCTAGCAAAAAAATTGAAAATTAGAAATTTAGAGGAAGAAGTTTTGTTAAAGCTAATTAAAATATAATAGATAAAAAAGATATCTTCTCAAATGATGATGAAATTTAGACATATTAAAACTACATGCAAACTATTGATGTCCATGAGATGCAGTCAGGAGAATAAATAAATGCTCTAAAATATAAATCTTAGGTTAAGTAGAACTATGATGTTATTCATCAAAGAAAAAGTTAAACAATCAACAATAATTTCCTTACAGAGCCAGAAAAATCAGTAACTTAGCGTACAAAAGAACCTTCATATAATAATTTTTAATTACAAACAAACAGATTAAACATAAAAATGAATTCTGATTAAAAATTATACAAAAAAAGCTAATTAGAAAAAGACTTAATTCCCTCTACTAGCAAGGATGACTTCTATGATGTAGAGCAATTTTAAAAATATTCAGAAAATATACTCAGAAAAAATTCATACATTTAGACAAAAAACGAAATTAAAAATAAATCTAACAACTAAGAAAGATAGATTTAGGATGTAAGTTTTATTGAATAGGAAATCAAAAAATATAAAGGGGACATGTATTCTCCTTACTTAGGTTCTTAACTTTCAATGATTAACATTTAACAAAATATAAGTAAAAAATATTCTAATCTAACTCTTACAAAAATTAATTTAAAAATTATTATTTATATAAATAGATGATAAAAGCTTTTAAAACATTGAGCACCATAATTCTTTTAACAAGACATTTCATATAGATCAGCCCTAATTTAATCAATAAAAAGATTATCCTAACGATGTTGTATTTTCAAAAATTATGTTAAGTTTAGCTAATCTTTTTGAGAGCTAGGGGTAGCTTTTGAAAGCTGCATAAATTGCTACAAATAGCTTGGAAATGCCCACTTAGTATTTTGCACTTTACAGATATGAAAGTTTGTAATTAATAAATAGCTGTTTTTCTCAGCTTCAAATGCAATCCGAAGACTTATCAAAATAAATAAAGAAATTTAATCCAAACCTCTTTCTTAGTCTATCTATTGTGATTGATTATGGAAACAATAATGCCTCGAATAAAGTTAGTAAAATTTTATAAGAGTTATGTGAAAACTAAATGAAAAATCCAAAAGATTCCTTTTAAATTATTTTAGCGAGAGAATATTGTGAAACATTAGTCACTAAAATTTATAAAGATTAATATTTATCTCTTCAATCTAGCATTAATAGCATTTTTAAGTGCCTCCCATAAAAAATTAGTAGACTTTCAAAAGCTTCTTCTAATAATAGGGTAAATTTGTTCAAACCTCTTACAAAGCTTCTGGCTGAATATTAAATATCATCCTTGATTAGGAAAAATATTTTTTCAAAAGAATAAGAAGAAGACTCTTTTTAGACATCTTAACTACTATTTAACTAGAAGATTTTTGAAAAAGAAGTAAAGTAAAATGAAGATAGTTTAAGTCAGTTTGAAACGAAAGTAATTATAATATTTTCAGATATGAAATTCCCAATATAAATCATTTATAATTAAGAAATTAACAATATATTTTTAAGCAATAAAATACACCTTGTGATATTTGATATCAATGGGCTTAGTTTGATTAATCCAGAGTTGTATAATTAATATAATTTTTTAGATTTTATACATATCTTCTGTTAACCTTTCTAATTAATTAATTTCTTTTGCAACTTAAGAGAGAATTCTCACTAACTCGAGGAGCCAACTTATGTGTAGGCTATTTGATTAAAATATAATATCTAAGTATTTAAATACAAAATACAAAATAAAATATAATCAGATTTCAATTTATAAAAACACCAATTTAGTTTAAAAATAATTTATGTACCCAAATTTATTTGTATATTTTTTATTTAATTATATGGTAAAGGGTAGAATTCTAATCAATTATTTATTATTTACTTGTTAAATTAATTAATTATAGCAACAAATTAAATAAATAATTTTCATTCATATAAACTAAAAAATTAAAAAAAAATGGTTATTTTAGCATCAGTATTATCAATATAAGTAAATCATTATTATGCAGTTATTTTTTAAATATTTGTAAATTAAATACAAATTCATTAAAAATAATAATAAAAATTTACTGAAGATTTATCCTCGCTTTTTTATTTTACCTTAAATTTTAAAATTTTATATTTTATTTTATTATTGATTGTTCAAATGAAATTCTAAAAATTTTGGATTTTATTATTTGTGAAAAATGTATTTAGAAAAATTTGATTAAATTAAAATTATTTTACTTTTATTTTATTATTTTAATGAAAATAAAGATTAATTAATGTACTTTTAGATAATTAAATTTTTTTAGAAACAAAAATATATTTATATGTGCATACTAAAACAGTCCAGAAATTATTTTTGGTTTAACTATACTATATCTTTCAAAGATGAAAAAAAAGCTTAATCGATAATTATCATTTTTTAAGTTTTTATCGAAATTCTTGACAAATAAAAAATAAATAGAAACATAATTTACTTTAAATTAATATTAAGTTAAAATTAGCAGAAAAAAAATTTTAAAAAGGATTGATGGTAATTATAAAAATGAATTTTTTGAAGAAAAAATTATTCAAAGTTTAAAACTTTTTTTTATCAAAAATTAGAATGATTAAAGAAGTAGAATATTTTTTTTTAAATTTAAAAGGAAAATTTTATTTAAATTGAAAAAATGAATGAGTCTCAAATATGTTTTATTTAAATAAATTATGAGTACATATTTTCTAGATATTATAATTTATGTCTTTTTAATTATTGCTATTATTTGCTTATAAAAGAATTTTTATAGATTTGAGTTGTAAAATTTAATTATATAATGAAATCTGAGTCATCAATTTATCTTAATTAGATTTAATCATACATTATAATTCATAATTTTTAATTGTTACATATGAAAAATTTTGCAAAATTAGTTTTGACAAATTTAAAATATTTGTTTAAAATAAATTTCTCCTACTAAAACAAATTTATAAACCAACAATAAGTAATCTTATTATATTTTAATCTTATGAAATGTAGTATATCTATTATGAGTATAAAATATATGCTACATTAGGATTTTTAACCCTATCATAAAATAATAAGTTTTTCAAGAAAAATTAATTAATCTTTTCAATTAGATTTAATTCAATAAAACACCTGAAAAATTTTTTGTGTTACATTTACATTGCAAATTATAAATATTTATCATATTTTTTCATTTAAAAATAGCAAATAGTAAATAATTTTTATATTCTTAATTAAATATTTTCCAAAATTTATTCATTTGTTAAAGAAAATAAATAAATGTCTGCCAAAATTGTGTGTGCTACAACAAGCAATGAGTTTTTAGAAGATTTACCTATTAATAAAGGAGTTGATATAGTTTGGAAAAATGTAAACTATACAGCAAGAATTAAAAAAAATACTCGTTAGATTTTAAAAAACTCTTCTGGAATCTGCAAATCAGGAGAAATGACAGCAATAATAGGTAGTTCAGGAGCAGGAAAGACTACATTGTTAAACATTTTATGCTGTAGAGCATAAAACACCGATAAAGTAAAATTAACTGGAGAGATTTCTGCAAACGGTCAAAACTTTAACTCTCAAACATTTTCTAATTTTGCAGCTTATGTCATGTAAGAAGATCTTTTGATGGAAAGTATGACTGTTATTGAAGTTCTTCAATTTGCTGCTCATTTAAAAATGAAAGGAACAGATGAATAAAAATATAGGAAAGTGAAAGATGTCTTAAGGATCATGAGGTTAGAAAATTGTTAAAACTCTTTAATTGGAGGTGCTAAACTAAAGGGAATTACTAAGGGTGAAAAAAAAAGAACTTCAATTGCATTTGAATTAGTAAGCGATCCTGATGTAATTTTTTTAGATGAACCTACAAGTGGACTTGATTCGTTTACAGCATATCATGTTATTGATGTATTATAAAGCTATGTAAAATAAGAAAACAAAACTATTATTTGCACAATACATTAACCTTCATCAGAAATATTTTTGAAATTTGATCGTTTGATACTCTTGGTGGAGGGTTAGTTCATCTATTAAGGTCCTCGAGATCAATGTATAGATTATTTTGCTTCCTTTGGATTTGAATGCCCTAAATTAAATAATCCAGCTGATTACCTTATGAGTATTATGCATGGAGAGTCAGAAAGAAATCGTTAAAATTATAAAACTTATTTTGAAAAATTTGAGTTGAACTTGAAACCAGTGATAGAAAATGAATTGCAGCACCATAAAACAAATTTAATATCTAATTAATAGTCCGAAGCCAGCTTTGGCACATAGCTTTAAATTTTACTAAAGCGCAATTTAAAAAACGTTTAACGTAATCCAATGGAATCTAAAGCAAGAGTCCTTCAATCTATAATTCTAGGTTTGTTTACAGGTATAATTTATTTATCTTTACCAGATCCCGAGGCTCATCAGTATGATTAGAGAGCTGTAAACGATTATAACGGTGCTATATATTTTTTGGCGTAAAATTTGCATATGAATACACTTTTTCCAATCGTACTCTCTCTTCCACTAGAGAAAGCAATTTTTTTAAAAGAATAAGATGCCAAACTGTACAATGCAACTACTTATATAATTGCTAAATTGTTAGTTGAAAGTATTTTGGCAATACTGTGTCCAGTTATATTTGTAAGTATCAGCTATTATATGATAGGATTAACTCCGAATTTTGGATGCTTTTGCTTTTTTATTTTAGTGAGTATATTACAGAGTTCTGTAGGAATGGCATAGGGTTTGTTCTGTGGAGCTGCTTTCAGAGATGCTTAGACTGCTGTCAGTGTAACACCTATGATGATTTTACCATTTATGCTATTTGGTGGACTTTATAAAAATGTTGCAGACATGCCAGACTGGAATGGATGGATTTAATGGATTTCAAACTATAGATATTCATTTGAAGCATTTGTAAGAAATAACTATGCTCACAGCCCTTTTAAAATAGACGTTGTAGGATAGCTAAATTTTGATTTTGGTAAATGGAATTGCGTATTCCTTCTGATTGTTCTGTTTTTTTCGTTTTCTCTATTATCGCTTATATTGTTAAAAACCAAAAATTAAAGCCTTTAATGAACAAAAAAAACATTTTATTTTCCTCTTTTAAGAAAATTTCCATATAATTTTGTGTAAAGAATATTTTCTTATTAGTATATAATATGAAAGAGTAAATATTATATCATCTAAATGTTTTGTTTAAAGAGCAAGGAGCAAATACTTAAGAAAAAAAATGACTTTTGAATTATCATTTAGTTTAATAATTTCGAATATATCTTACATTTATTTAACACATATACATTTTTTAATTGAAAAATTGTAGTTTTTTATATTAATTTCTTCAGATTTTATCAATAATAAATTTTGTTTTTATTAATAAAAAATTACTAAAAAAAGATTAAAATAAAAAAATTAGAAGTATTTTTGAGTTTATGTAACAAGAATACTAGATATATATTAAATTAAGATAAAAATAACAAAGGAAAAAGATGTTTGAAAATTAAATTAATTTATTATTATTTAATAATTATAGCTAGCTTGTGTTAGTTAGGATACAGAAAATAACTTTTAGAAATCAAATTTTGAAATTTAGGTTTTTTTTTATATTTAATGCTATTAAGATTTAATTTATTTCAAGTAAAAACAAATATTTCCTTTATTTATAAAAATTAAATAGCATTAATCTAAGAAAAATAAAAATAACATATATTTCCTCCTTTATGCTTGTATTTATTTTATAAATTTTTTGAGATGTAAAAATTTATTGATAGCTACTTTTGAAATTCATCTCATTAAATAAGATTTTTCTTAAATTATAATAAATAAGGTATATATATTATCTTGATAAATATATCTTATAATTAATAAATATTTAAATGTCAATTTTTTGTTATAAAATATTGATTTGAAGATTAATTTGAATGAAATTTTATAAATGCATATAAAAAGTATAGTTATATTTATATTTATTTTATAAGAATATACATACATTTTTTTTAGACAATTTATCAAAAAATACATAAATTTATTAGTTTTTAAATGAAATGAAAGGCAGTTAGTGTTAAGATCCGACTCTGTGTGTTATACGAATATAATATATTTATATGAATGAATGAAATATGTTTGTCTTATTTATTTTGCTAACTTATAATTAATATTTTTATTTTTATTGTTAATTGGTTTATGTTTTTTAATATGTTTTTTTTAATTTAATAGGCTGAATGAGGAGATTGATTCTATTTATTATTTATTGAAGATATTTAATATTTTTTTTTTTTTTTGCTGATTCAATCAATAAATAAAATATTGCAAATATTACATTCTTATATATAACTTCTAATCAAATTTAAATTTCAATGCTTTAGAATACCTAAGTACATTTTTGATTTATTCTCCATTTTACGCAACTTATCTGCTTAAGAAAGCTTCTTTTCTTCATATTACTTTTTGTATTCATTAAGTTAAATAACAAGCTATGATTATTCTTATTCTTTTTATTTTTTAGCCTTTTCTAGTTGATTTGTTAACTGTCTATGATTAGCTTTGTTTATATTTATTTAAGCTCTTATTTCGTTATTCATTAGTTCAGCTTGTTTGATTGCATTTGTTAAGTCATCATGGTTATTTTAAATTTCTTCACTACGCTTTTCGATTAGATCTTTGAGTTCATCCAGTTCTTTACAAAGTGAATCTATTTCAGATTGATATTTTTCACTAAGCTGCTATTAGTATATGATTTGTTCTTGAACTTTGGTTGATGCATTAATTAATGGCACTATTTCTTTTTCTAGCAATTGAGCTTCTTCTTTCATTGCTTCTTCTTGCTCTTTCATAATATCTCTTTCTTCTTTTTTTGCATTTACTATGGTGTATCCTTTATCTAACAAGTCATCGAATGTATTTGCAAGGGCCTCATCTAGATAAAGATATGCCTTTTTCTTAAAAATGTTACAAATATCAACTTTAGGCACACTTTTATTATTCTTTTAGTGAAATCCACTTGTACGGAAAAGAAAACTTGTTGAAGTAGCAAAAGAACTTTTTGAAAAAAGAGAAAAACGACGTGATTGATTTTAGGGTCCATCGAGAGAGCTCTGAGAATTTTATCTTTTTGCAGCTGAATGAGATTACATATGATTGTTAGTTTAACTGCTATAAATATTTTAAGAGCCAGATTGGCTGTGTCCTGGATGGCTATTCTGCTTGACTCCTAATTAAGGGGAATTTTATTTAACAAATGACCCTTAAGTAGAGTTAGAAGGCTAAGCCTAGTACTATTAAGAGTAAACGTTTCCATTCATTGGATTTTATGCAGGCTAAAGAGTATTTGCATACTCATTAGCATAAGAGTTTTCATTTTTCCTGCTGCTTCCAACAGGAGATCCATTTCCTTGTTAATTTTCTTTCATATATTATCTTAAATGAGTAGACATTTAAATCTAAATGGTAATTTCTATTTAAACTAATTTATAATTTATTTGGAATCTCTATTTGCTAAGCTGTTAGATCTTGAAGTGAAAATTGTAAGAATAAACTAGCTCTTTTAACTCTTTTTAGGTGTTCTACCTTTACTTAGATAATAATTTATTAAATATAAAAATTTGTTTTAATTAATTATTTAATCTGGAAAATGATTGTTAGAATGAATGTTTAATAAAAAGTTTTTAATTGCGCTACTTACTTATTATGCAAATTAATAAATATAAATACAGACTATGAAATAATTTACTCTACATATACTCAATTATATATTTGTAATCATAAAAAGAACATCTCCCTAATAATTTTTAATCATAACTCTTATCAAAAAATTTCATTTTTCATCATCTTTCAAATATTTTTTTTTTTTTTCAAAGCTAAACTCTTTAATTTAATAAAACACTCTGATTACAAACGAGCTAAGCTCTACTTGAATATTTTTACATTTTTTGCTTTGTTATTTTTCCCTTTATCAACACATTATTAATAAATTTTATAAAATCAAATAAAAACTTTTATTTTAAATAAGATAGATAGATAGATAGATACCTTGAAATAAAAAGGAGTTTTTTGAAAAAATATTGAACAAACAAATAAACTTTTTAGATTCTTCATATTTAAATAAAAATAGCGTTTAAATAATTTTTTTAAATAAAAAGAATTTCTATATTTTGGTCCATTAAACTTATCTAAATTATATACATTTTGTTAATTGCCAAATAAATTAATTATTCAGACCTCAATACTAATGTTTGATATATTTGTTATTCCTACATCATTTTGACGCATATTTTTAATTCTATTTTTATGCACTTAAACTTATTTATGAAGCTTGAAATCTCCAGAAACATCTGGCTTGGTTAGAAGTGCTTATAAATGATTTAAAAGATCATACTAATTCCTAGAAAAATTAAAAAATATTTATTGATTCAGTATAACAATCAAAATTTTTTAATAAGCAAAATATTATTTATTTTTTACTTAATTTAAAGCTTTTATGGTTATGGAGGTACGAACAAATCAATATCTCCGTATTTGTCTCCAATATTTCTCAAACTAATTATAACAATATTTGTTAATTTAATTTTCTAAACATTAAATATTTATTTTAATTAAAGAATTTATTTTTTTTGTAAATTTTAATTGAATTAACATTAAATATTTATTTATTCAATTAGATTGATTTGATATTATTCATTGATTAACAGATTTTAATGTTTTTACTATGATTAACAAAATATTCAAATTTTACATTTTTCCAGATCTTGCGAAGAGCAAAGAATGTGCTCTTAATTAATTTGTTTTTTCTGGTAAGATCGATAGCTGATTCCAATCTAATTAAATATTTTTAATTTGAAAAAAATCACATTTGGATAACAAAAATACTTTAAATAAAATTAATTGATATTTTTTTTACGTTTTTAATTTTTTGTTAACTTTGTTATGACTTTTTCATATTCTTGCTCTGCTTCTTAAACAACTGCTTTTTAATCAAAGTCACGCTTTTTAAGAACCATTTTTTTGTGGAAATTATGTTTTGAAGATTTAAACATTTTTTGATCAGATTTTTAAAAAAGCCCACTCGTTTCTTACTTTAGATCGTCTTTTGATTTATCTGATTCATCATCTTCATCTTAATATTAATAAGCTGACTTCTATTTCTGATATTCTTTTTTTGAAACATACTATTCTATTATTTGGCTTTAATAAGAGTTTGGAATCATTTTAGTATTCTCATTTAAAGCGAATGCATCTTATCTGTCTACAAATCCTCTTTTATTTTTAAGATAGATATATATTTATTAGTTAACTTAATAGAGTAAATTAATTATAAATACTTTAATTTCTCTTTTTTATTAGCTTGGTTTTTTTTGTCTTCTTCCTCTTCTTAAGCCAACATTTTGTTAAAATCATCTTCGTTAAAAATGTATTCCTTGACAAGTTATGACTTTCTTTGTTTAAATAATAAAATTACATTCATAAATAGTAAAAATTGTTTTAAATTTTATATTACTTGATTGTCTTTTGACTCCTTTTATAGTTTTGTCCATAATCATCTAAAATAAAGATAATAATTTAATATTAATTTCCCATTAAAATTATTTACTTTATAAAACACGACGTTTCAATTTTTCAGCATATGATTACAATTTTTTTACTTTTTCTCTTGTTTAGGCAATTAATCCTTACACTCTGTCTTCATTAGCTTTCTTTTCCGAGGGCATATTTTTCATTGATTAAGTTGATGTCAGGTTATTAATCTAAGGTTAATGTACTAAGCCTGCTGTACTTTTGGCAGCAGCGAGAGGTATTACGTTATTAGAGCCACTAATTACAGGAAAACTATTCTTTTTTTAAAGTATTTATGACTATTGGTTAGTCGTTTTTTTTTATTCCATCATTGATTAGCCTTGAATAGCTGTTTAATTTGCTGAAGGAATTCTTTGTTAAGAAGTAGTGTGAATCTAATTTTAGGAAACTAGAATACTTTTTTATAGTTAACTTTAATCAATTTAGTTATCTGCTTTTGAAGACTCATGAATATAATCAGGAACAGCTGATTGCTACCTTGTTGGTGATAAATCTCTAAAAAACTGTACATCTTCATTCATTTGTTTATGAGGTGATTATTGTGGAGACTGCAATGAGGTTGCATTAATCAATTAGTTTTTAAATTATATTGATGGCTAATTTGTTTTAGGTAACATTGGTGAAGGTATAGCTTACTGCTACTGCTGCATTTTGCTTGATTCATTTTTATTTAATTTAAAACCTCCTCCTCCAACAGTTGAATTCATTTAATTTTATTAATTGGTAAAGTTTACTTTCTTATCTCTTTTCTTTTCCTATGAAGTAAAACTCTTGTAATTTACTTAAGCTAGTCTGCGAGGAATTTTTTGATCACTAGAATAATCAGCTACTGCAAAGGCCTAGTATAAAATTCATTTACAAAATCAATATTTTACAATCATAAAATTTATTTTAGAGAAGTTTTTAATAAGAATTTTAATGCTTATTTGCTTGGTTTAATGTTTTATTTTCATTTTAATTTAATATTAAAAAAAAATACTCTACTAGGATCTTCAAAAAGTTTTCTTGCATATTCAAAATTCTCATTGTAAATGTCATCTATTGAGATATAATTTTTATAGTCGCTTGGAGGAATACGTCTATCAAATACAAATGTAGTGGGTATTTTTTCTACTTTTTATTGAATTTCTAAACTTGAAAATCCATTTCCTAATTATCCAATATTAGAATGCTAATTTAGCATTTTAGCGTTAGGTCCACCACTATATTTTGATATTGAATATGAAGATTAAGTTTATCGTTTCATCTATAAGCTAAAGATATATGATTTAACTCTCTTATAAAGTTAGATTTTTATAATAAATTCTAATACTAAGATAATTATAAGAATATATATATTTATTTTTAGTATTTAATCAGCAAATATTGTTTATTATTCAATCCTAAATTTTGAGCAAAATTATTATTAATAAAATTTTCAACTATTTACTCTATTAGTAAATATAAGAAATATTAATTATTATAAACATTTTTGGAAACAGTTTTAGATAAAGTTGTGTTAGCTTTGCTTTAACTTTAGGATTTAAGGTTGTTTGTTAAGAGTTTGAATTATTTTTAAAAAAAATTAATTAAATCAAAAATCTTAAAACATAAAAAAAGATATCAATTAAAATGGACACTGAAGGTATTAAAAAAGCATGGTAAACATAAGGGGATAGTGAAGAATAAAAAGTTAATATAGATGTAGTTGAAAATCTAGTTGACCCAAAATGTCCTGTTGAATTAAAAACAAAGCTTAACAATGAATAAGAAGATAAATTAGCTGCTTTTTTGAAAAAGATATAAATGAGCATTTAAGATGATGATGAATTCGACGCATCTGTGAAAAATAAAATTTTAGACTGGAAAACAGAAATAGAATGTAAGTAATAATAATAGACATAATAATAAAATAATAATTGAAGCATATTTATTGTAATATTAAATTTGTTTTAGTAAATATTCTTAGAAAAAATGCTTAATTACATATTTACTTCAAAAGTGCATTTTCGCAAATTAAATTTTCAAGATAGATGCAGAGAATAAACCCAAATCTAATAATATAGTTTTAAATTTACTTTTAAATGATAGAAATTATAAGCTCTATATCATTAATCTTTTAGTAAGAAACCAAAAATATCTTAGGAGTTAATTATCAATTTTTGATAAGCATATATTATTTCTTGGTAAAATAAAAAGGTCATAAAATATACCACCATAAAAGTATTTTTAAACTATCCATATATAAATTTATTTAAAATGAAAATTATTATTTTTAACAGTATAATTTAGAATGTAAATATAATCTAGTAAGTAATATATTAAAGGATTTTTAAAAATAAGTTTCAAATTTAAATGGTTTTCGCTATAAAAAGAATTAAAATGAAATATTAGATAGTAAAGCATCTTAATTAATTTAATTTTAAATAATGTTTAAAAAGTTGATAAAATATGTTAATTTATTTAATAATAAATTTATAAATTTTTGTGATTAAAAAATGAAATAAAATATAAATTTTTAGTTATTTAGAATATTCAAATCTCAAAAGTTGTTCAAACTAAATGTACTATAATTTATCATTCAATATTTAAAAAAAAAATATATATATATATATATTATCAGCAATTAATATTTAATAAAATAATTATCGAAAAAAAAAAAATTTTGTTAGTGGAAAAGTATTAATAATTAGTTAAAGAATAAAAACAAATATTTAAAATCTTTAAAAATATAAAAAAAAGTTTTTAAAATGTTATGAAATATCACCCTCCATGTAAAATACTTGAAAAGGCAAAAAAAAATGGGGTAATAGGTTTTTTTTTACCTATTGGATTTAAAATGCTCCGATTATATATTCTCTTATATTATATCAAGCGATTATATTATCACCTTCTTGTGGGTAAAGGAGTAAATGTTTTATAATTAATTCCTTAATCAGGTGTATTGCCTAATATTTTTTCTAGCTTCAGTAATACTTCTGGAGTTAACTTTTTATACATTTATACACATTTTACTGTTTCTTCTAACTATTCTGCTCTTGAGCATCCTGTAATTGCTGTAGAAACATCTTTATTTGTTAGCACCCAGCACATAGCTAGTTAAGCTTATGTCATGTCCAATTCTTTAGCATAGTCAGCAAGCTGACCTAATGCATTAAGTAAATGATCTTTTTTTTCTGGGCTAAAGAAATTATTCCAGTATCTTTTAAAAATAAAACTGTTTTAAGCTTCAAATCTTACACTTTCTGGCACTCCTCCTTAATTATATTTACCGGCTAGTATTCCCTATGCCAAAGGACTCCATACAGTAGATCCCATTCTATATTTGTCAAATAGACGAGCATACTCTGACTCTATTCTATCTCTGGCTATCATATTATACTAAGGCTATTCGACACAAGGTTTTATTAGGTTCTTTTCTGCACATATTTCTCTCATCTCAAATATATTTGCAGCACTCCACTCTGATGTTCCCCAGTAATGAATAACTCCTGCTTAGATTAGCTCTGTGAAAGCTCTTGCTATTTCTTCAAAAGGAGTTTCATGATCAAATCTATGGCAAAAGACTATATCTGCATAATCAAGTTAAAGTCTTTTAAGAGAATTTTTAACTCCTTCCTTAATATGTTTCCTGCTAAGCCCTATTGAATTAATCTTTTGACAATTAATGTCTCCTATCTTACTGCCTAAAAATATTTTTGTAGAAACTACAATATCTTCTCTTGGAACTTTAAGTGACTTAAGAGCAACTCCCAATTAAATTTCCCCTAGACCATATCCATAATATTCCGATGTATCAAAATAGTTAATACCTAGATCCCATGCCTTTTTAACATGTTCATTGGTTTTCTCTTGTTATAGAGGATCATCTGTTACAACCATAGTACCAAAGCTTATCACTGAAACTTTTAACCCAGTATTTCCCAAACTTCTGTATTCCATTTTTTTCTTATTATTTATTTATTTATTTTTTGTTATTTCTTTATATTCATTACAAAGTTTAAAAGAGCTTATTTAAAACTTTTTAAATAGCAAAATAATGTAAGTATATTTTTAGAAATTGTGAGTTGATAAAAAAAAAAGCTTAATTTACAAATTTCTTTTAAAAAAATTACTCACGACATATAATAGATAAGGGGAATTATTGCCGGTCAACCCATATTAATAACCATAAAACCAAAAATTTAACGTAAGTTAAATTTTTGGTTTTATGGTTATTAATATGGGTTGACCGGCAATAATTCCCCTTATCTATTATATCACGACTAATTAACAAAATATTATATTTGATCAGAATAAAAATAAATCTGATTAAAAATGCAAAAGTAAAATAAAATTAACAAAAATAATACAGTAAGTTCATTCTTCTAGAAGAAAAAAAGTATTTATAATAAGTAAATCATTCAATTAGATTAAATTAATATTTTTTAATCATTAAAAATTAAAAAAAAATAACAGCAATTAAACAAATTTTAGGATTAAAAAAGCCTAGTATTTATTTTGGTAATACATAAAAAAATTTTATTTTTATTTTTATTTTAGTCTATTTTTTTATTAATATAAATAAATAAGTTCATTTTGTTTTATGAAAACAAAGTAGTTTCAAAATTATTGATTATTTTAAAGAGTAATAAATTAATAAAAATGAGATTTTAGTTTTTATTAGCTGATTGTTTTAGTTTGTGAAAAAAAAAATTTTCAGAATTATTTAGAATTTTTAAATTCTCATCAAAATCTATCTTATTTTTTAGAAATTCTTTTCTAAAAGAAAATAATTTTAAATTGAAAATAAAGTTTAGTTTGTGAAATATTTGATAAAAAATCAAAGTAGCTGATAGAACTCTTTTATGATGAATCTTTAATAGATTTTGTTTAGATACGTTTAAGTTTTATAATTAATTTTGAAATTCTTATTGTAAATAATAAAATTGTTGTGAATAATTTACTTATTAAATTTTTGTAAATTAATATTTAGCATTACTATCTATTTATCTGACTTTATAAATATAGTTTACATCAAAATTTAGTCATAAATAGAAATTAAATGAAGATTAAAGTAATTTATATCATATTTGAATTCTCTATAAGTTATGCTATAATGAATTTAATTAGTTGTTGAATGATTTAGACATTAAGAATGGCAAAAAAGCGTTAGAAGTTTTGAAAAATAATACACGCATATTTCAAAACTGGAATGTCTAAGAGTTGAGTGATTTATCAGAATATATGCGCTTTATTAGTTTTACAAAGTATGATATTATATAATTCAACATATAATAAAGAAATACTTTTGATTGTTTCAGTTTTAAACTATTTTATACATAATTAGGAGTACTCCTCTTGCAAAAAAGAACGAATCAGTAGACTATTTCGGTATAATAATTTCTGGTAGAGCATTAATTTCTTCAGAGGGAAAAGTGTTTGGTTATTTAGAAACTGGAGATATGATAGGATATTTAAATTTTGCAAAAATATAGAAGTATGATATTTAGATAAATGATTTATCATTTATTTTATTTATAGTGTTAAATTGTTATTGTTTTATAAAAAGTACATAAACACATTTTTTTGATATTAATGGTGAAAAAGAGGGATTTATAGCTGCAATAAGAATAGAGGATTATAAAACTATGAGTAAAAAATCACCTAAAATAGCATTTAAACTATCTTAAGTAATTACTAAAAAGGCTTTTGATACTGTCCACTTTTAATACAGGTAAATAAATATTATGAAAATAGCCTTATCCATTTATTATTATCAAAAATATATCTTTTATCTTTAAAAATTCAATATTTTTATTTATAGAAATGAACATTTACTGAACGATATTTAGCCTACTCCTTCTATCTTACCACCAAAAAGAATAGTTGATATGTTTGAAAAAAGTCCTGCCTTTTAAGGCCTTATCAAGAGAATGGAAAAGAGAGATCGCTCAAACTTTCTAAAATTTGCTCAACTTTACGAATTTAATCCAAAGGTATTCTTAAAAATCATTTAACAACCATTTAATTAAAAATTAATAAAATTTAATAGGATCTGATTTGCAGAAGAAGAAGTAGATGCCACTAAATGATATTCCTTTTAAAGGGAGAGTTATTAGAGTTTAATCATGAAGACGATAGTGTCACTTCTTACAGACCTGGAGATATTATAGGACTTAAAGAATTTTATTTAGATCTTTCCTGGACATCAAATATTATAGCTAAATCTGAAGGTTGTTACTTAGTGCTTAGAAGTGAGCATTTAGAAGATATAGCTCTTGAAAATGGTGGAAGTGCTATTAATCTTTACAATCTTTTCGCCTCATACGAATGTGATAAAATCAAAGCAGAATATGAAAAAGATTTTAAAGACCAATTTTCAAGTGATTTTAGATTTAAGTTTATGCCCTCTGAAACATAAAAAAATATAGTCAACTAAGAAAAAAGCTTAGAGCTAGGTAAACAAACAAGCAATATAAATTATATTAATAATAATGATTTATACAAATTATAAAACCAGAAAAGGAAAAACAATTAAAGGAATCTGATCAAATAACTTTTAAAAAGAAACCTAAAGATGAAAAAAAAGTAACTTTTACAGGGAATGAAAAAGCAGAAGATTTTATGATTTCTAATTTCTTAGAAATAGATGTTGAAAAAAAGATAGATTAAATAAGTATGACCTCTGATAAAAATAAAGAAAATTTAGAATCATATAGAGTCAGTTACGATATAGCTCCCTTATATTTACATGAAATACATGTTCATTATATAGAATAACCTTAAAATGCTTAAGCAAAGCAATAAGGTGGTTAATAAGGAGGAATAGTGCTTCCTCATGAAGGAATCTCCATTCTTTTCAGAGAAAAATTGGAAAAGTAGTCTTTAGCTTTGTAAAGACTAAAGCAAGAGCAAAGATAGTAAAGAAAGATGGGAGACTAAGGAGTAACTGAAAACAAAAAACTTACTACCAATGAACTCATAGCCTAGCACAATGAAGTAAATAATAAATGAAGCGATCTTAATCCTATTCATGTATATTTAAAATCAAAAGGAATACGAAGAGCTTAAGAATGAAATGGCAATAATAGATTAAACTAAACAAGAGCTCGAAAGAATGCTGGGAGAAGTAAAAGATGAAAATAAAAAATTAAGATTAGAAATTAATAAATTAAATGAGGTTAACATTTTGTTAAATGCCAAGGTAAATAAGAATTTGGTTCAAAGAGAGCTTGTAAATAAAGATATATTGAATCAAGGTGCCTACGCTACTCTTGGAAAATAAGGAAGGTCAATTAAGGATTCTTTCCATACTGTGGTAAATTATAATTGATTTTTTAAATAAAAAAATTTATTAATTTTTAGTTTAAACTTTTTTAATTTTTATAATTTTGATTTTTAAAATTTTTGTTTTATTTAAATATCTTTGTATTTTAGTTAGATCAGTAGTTGCGTCTAAATAGAGGGTAACAATTGGCGGCTAAATGTGCTTATAAATGGCTAAACCAAACCAAAAAAAATATACTAAAAAAGAAAACGATTGTTTTTTGATAAACATCTATTTTCTCTTTATTTGTAAAAAATATTCGTTCATTTGTTTTAGCTTATTTTTTTCATAAATTGGCAATGAATTAGTTAAAATCACCATTTGAAGAATTATTCAATTATAAAAATATAAATCACCTTAAAATTTAGCAGTTTGTCTTTTATCCATTTAATCAGACTTATTTATTATTCTTAGCTTGATTTTTTTAAAGATATTTGAGCTTGGTTATTTAAAATGGTAAAAATAAAAGTTTTTTTGATTATCATATATATAATTTTTTTAATTTGAAGATAAAATAAGTTTCGAATATTCAAATGGTACTTTCTTTAAATTTTTACAATTTGATTTTATTTAATTTTTCATGCATACTCTGATAATTTAATGAGTGTAAAGCTTTTTCATAGGCTAATACATATTTTGCTAACCATTAAATACGAATTATAAGAATATTTGGAAGGTATTATATAGCTGTTTAACTTTTCAGGAAATTTATTTTTTAAACTTCTAATTAAGCAATATTTTTTTGTAACAAGATGATTAATTCTAACAGATTAAGTTAAAATGATAAATATGCTGATAAGAAAACATATTATACTGCCACAAAGAGAGATCAGACATAATAATATTTGATAAAATAGATTATTTTTTTCTATTTCATCATTGCTTCATTGAATTTCTTTTACAAATAAATTTAAAAATGCAATAAATTCTGATGAAGTTGATAAACCTTATTTTATTTAGCAAGAAAATAAATAAAAAAATCAATTCTTCAGTTACTTAATAACTTCGATCAAATAATTATTTTTATGTGTTAAAAATATGTGATTCAGATCAGAGAGTTGCTTAAGAAATTCTATTAATTAGAATGATTTAAATTTAAATATAGTGATAAATTATTAGAGAGGTATCTTTTTGCCAATCGTCCTAAGGCATATATTTTTATGGAATGAATGTCTTATAAAATTTATCAAATTTTTTACGCGCGCACGTGAGTTAAATTTTAAAAAGAAATTTAACATGCTTGCAATCATGCTATTTGGATTTTCAAAGAAAAATTTAGTTAAAATTTTTACTAAAGAGATTGAACTAAAAATTATTAGAATGAACTTTATAAATTAATTAGTAGAGTATTGTGTTTGTTTATTTATTAGGGAGATCATTTTTTATTATATTATTTAAGTAGCAATTTAGATTGTTTGATGCTACATTCCTTCTATTTAATTAAATAAGAAGAAAAATAAGAAAGAAAGAAAGAAAAAAGCGATTTAAGAGGGAAAACTAAATCCACTGATTTTTAATAAATTCAATTTGTCTCAATAAATAAAATTCAATCAAAAAAGAAATTAATAAAGGATAAAAAGTCGAACAATAAATATTTAGAAGATGACTGATTAAAACGCTAACGCTAACAGTGAATATCTTAATCTTAAAGTTAAATCTTAGGTAAAATATAAAATACTTATTTAAACTAGAGCCAACCGTCTTTAGCAAAACAGTTGAAGCATAGATTATTTACTTATATATCAATTTCTCTAAAGCAATCCTCTACTTGGAATAGCCAATAAATATTTGCTTAATATTCAATCTATGTAGCAAAGCCCCACAAAAATAAATTAAAATATTTTACGAAATTTAATCTATCGATATATACGAATTTACGAAATGAAATTAACTCATTAGTAGACTTCAATTTATAAATCAGCTTCATAATTATTTTAAAAGCGGCTCAGTTCATTCTAAAATATCTTTTATAAAATTATTCTAATAATAATAATAATAATAATAGGAAGGAGAAGAAATTTTCTTTAAAATTAAAAAAACTACTCAATTTAAGAAACTTATGGATGCTTACTGTCAAAGAGCTTAAGTAAAAATCTTTTTTGATAGTTTTTAATGCTAGAAATATAAATAAAATAAAATATTACAGAAATTTTGAAATATCATTTAAATTTGCTAATTTGTTATTATTAATTCAATTAAAGGTTAACGCCCATAATGTAAGATTCCTCTTCGATGGTGATAGAATCCTTGAATCTCACACCCCCGCTGATGTAATTTTTAATTTAAAAATTTAAAAATCGTGAACAACTTCAAATAAAAGCCATTCTTATTACAAATTTATAATATTCAATAAATAAGACTATGAAAAAATTAATTATCCTACTTTGAAATTTGTTTGTTTGTTTACTGTTTTTAAGCAATAAAATTTATTCAAAAGTTATGTTAATATCTTACTTATTTAAATAAAAAATAGCTTAAAATGGAAAGTGGAGATGAAATCGACGTTGTTGTTGAACAAGTTGGTGGCTCTTTCTGAATAAATTCTTTATTATTATAATTGATCTTCAAAATTTAGTTGATTGTGATAACAAAAAAAATATGAGGTTAAGTAAAACATTAAGCTTACTTAAAGATTTGATTAGCTACCATAATATTTTTTAATTATAGCTAAGTATTTCATTAAAAATGTATCTAACTAATTATTTCATATTAATAACAAAAGGTATGTGCTTGCTTATAAACTAATAAAAAGTATTGCAAAGAATATTAGGATAGATGATATAAATTTAATACAAAATTATCTAAATTGATTGATTAACTAATTGCATTCATCGATTTTATAGAATTAAGCTTCCTAAATACTATTACATAGATCTATATTAACTCTCGCAAATAAAAATTCAACAATATATTATTCTATTTATATATAGCTTGTATTGATTTTTAACAAATATTTATTTTGTTATCATTAATTTAACTATTCTAAGAGTAATTTATTACTATTATCTCAATTCATTTTTTTAAAAGTAAATTAAAAATTTAATAAATAAATAGACTATCAAGCAATTTATTTAAAATAAATAATTATCATTCAAATTATTTTGGTAAAATCAAAAACTTAATAGCAAAACAAAAACTCTTCTTTTTATGAAAGATTTAATTTTTTAAATTGAAAGAAAATATTTCTTTTTAATGAATTTCTAAAAAAATTTAAATAAGAAAATTAAAATTTCTTTTTAATGAATTTCTAAAAAAATTTAAATAAGAAAATTAAAATTTCTTTTTGGTAAAATACTTTTATCTCATTTTTTATTTATAATTAATTTCTAGCAGATTGAGCAAAATTAAATTAAATTAAAATAAAGTAAATTTAATTAATTTAATTTTTTAATTTTGATATTTTACTAATATAAAGAAAATTTTTCTCAAACAGAAAAATAAAGCTTTTTTCTTCAAAATCAAGTATTAATTTATTGTTCTTCACATAAATCAAATAATTTAATAAATAAACATACCTTAAATTTTAAATATTTTGATTATGCTTAAAACATTTTATTTTTTTTAAACCATGTTAATTATTGATTTTTTAATTAATATTTAAATATTTAATTTGTAGAGCTGAATATTTATTTAATCTGGTTGATAATTTAATATCATTTTTACTTTAATTATTTATTTTTTTTTAAGTATTATTTATCAAAGGTAGTTAGAATCTATAGCAATATCTTCTATTTATATTAAAAAAAACAAAAGATTAATATGAAATTTGTTATAATACTTTAATTATCTTAAAATTTTAAAAAAAAGTAATTTAATAAAAATTTTACTTGCCAGTTAATAATTTGATACTTGTTACCTCTGTTTTTAACAGTTTACTACTTAGTTAAAATAATTTTAGAAAGAACCAAAATTTTGATTTGCTAATATATTTTAAATTTAACTATCTTGAGATACTCCTTGCATATTAAAGGAGCTTAGTTTATTACTTACACATTTTTATGTTGCTTAAAAATTATTTAGACTTGTTTGAGATGCTTAATTCTATATATTAAATTAATTTTGAGTTGAGTTTGTGAATTGGTATTGTTCATCTGCTTTATAACTTTAGCAGCTTACTGTATCTCGAGGGGATATGCCATAGACAAATGGAGATTCAGAAATATACTTATTTTTAGCTTCAAATCCTTATGTTTTCATAAACTTTTATTAGTCTATAAAATCATTGTTGTCTTAAACTAAGGCAGATGAATGAATATTGTGATATTAAAAATTATTGTTGTCATTTAAATTTATAAAAGAATCATCTTCATCACAAATTGAGGTATTTAGCTAAAGATTAGGTTCAAAAAAATCATTAGCTAACTCTAGCAATTCACAATCCATCAATTCTTTTAACTAAAGGGTCTTATTAATTCTTTGCAAAATCTAGGGATCTCCTTCAAATTCACGCTTTATAGCCAAAGCACTCATTTAATTTCTGACATTTTTCAAAAGAATTTCAACATTTTTTTCCAATTTTTCTAACTTAGAAACACTTAATTTCTTTAACCCTTCTATATTTTAGTTTCTGTAAAGGGCAAGCTCTTACTTCAACCTTGAGTTTTCGATACCCAGAGTTATTTTATTTGCCTTCATTGTTTACTGATTATTTATAAAATAAATTATTATATTTGATTCATCATTAATTATTTTTTACAAGTTTTCTTTTTTTGCTTGCTAATTTTTTTTCTAGTCTTTATACTAGATAGCTGGATTCGGATGTTTTGTGTTATACTTAATATTTAAGACTTTACACTTATTCTTCTAACATTTTTTTTTATTCAGTTAAGTTCTTCAGTTTTCTCATAGCACATTTATTTCCATGAATTTCTTTGCTAATATCTCTAAATGAATTCGGCTTGTCTTAAATGCCTTCGTTAATTTCTTCAAAAGCAATCTTTTGAAAAAAAAACAATTTTATTTATGAAAAAAGATAATTTTTGTTACTTTAATTAACCCAACATTGTCAAGGTGAATAAAATCTTGGTGAATGCTCCTTTTTTTCTTACCAAGAATACCTTAAATTTACACATTTTGTTATTTATCAAATAATTCTTTTGCCTTTATTGTTTTTTCAAGATTGTTTTTTTATTCAATAAGAGTTTAAATCATTTTGACAAGGTTTTCAGAATTTACTTTACTCACATTTTTCTCTGATTCTAGCTCAACAATTCTTGTTTCGTATTCCTTAATCATGCTTTAAAGAATATCATTATTTTATAGTTAGATTACATTTTGCTTGACTTAATTTTCTATTTTTTTTGCGTTTAGGCCAAATCTTAGCGTACTTGCGGATTATTCTAATTAAGATAAACAAGGATTTAAACACAAAATAATAGCTGTTCGACTATTTCCTCCAAGTGAACTTCTTAAAATTTTAGTTAAAGGGCTATTCCTATATGGGATATGAGATTCCTATTTGCCTTGGCTTTTTAGACTTATAACTTAAGTTAAGAAGAAAAGACTCTTATTTATTGTCTTGCTTTCAATTTAACGCTCTTTAAGCTAACTATTTACATTTGAATTATTCCCAGCTATAAGATTATTTGAACTTTTACTATTTGTGTGATGAATACTTATTTTTTCGCTTCCAGCAAGGTCAACAAAATTCTAAATAAAATAATTTTTTTATATTAAAAATATGTTAAAATTGAATAATTACTAATATCGACTCTGTTATTCCTTGATTACCATTAGTAAGATCTTTTGGCATTGCTCGTACATACTATTTTTTAATAAGAAAATTTAAATTTCATTATACTTTTACTTATCAAATTTTATTTTTTCAATTAAATGATTGATTACAAGTCTAAAAATAGTATGTGACCTAGAAGAAACATGGTTCATAGCGGTGGATGTATAATGTCTGTTATATTCTCCATATTTTAAAAGTTAAAGGATTTCATCAATAGAGCTAACTATTTCTTCAACAGCACCTTTGATAAAAAACTCTTTCTAAATTTATTTATTTGAATTTTGTTTTAACATAAATATAGTGTAAAAATAAAATTGTCTTCTTTACATTGTAATCTTCACCTATTTACAGAGTCTCTGTAAGTTTATCAAAAGGTTTCAAGAGATCATAAACAAAGTCAGTATATATTTCAACGTAAGAACATCTTAACAAGAATTAATTATTGGGAGACTAAAAATATATAAAAATATATTAAGAGAAGATGAATATCATTTTAAATAACAATTACATTTTATATTTCTTTGAAAATATCAATGAGAGAGAGTATGAGAATTCCGTATTGATTGCTGCTGCTTAAAGTCTAAGAAAAGAAGCTAGTTCCATCTAAATTTGATTTTTAGTTAAATCCTTGAGAGTCTTGAAATACTTCATGAGTATTCTATGAATTTAAAATAACAGCTTGAGATTTTTAAGAGTTATTAGTAAGATATTTATCAGGAGTTACATTTTAAGAACGATAAGATGCACCTGCAGTAGATTATTAGTTAGAGTTTTTTTTATTATTAATATTTTCTCTCTAGTTTATAGGAGAGAAAGTAAAAACGCTATTTCTAAAAGCACCTATTCCTGTGTAATTTGAGTAGCCTCCTTTTTCGTTAATTTAATTAGTGTAGCGAAGAGTATTTTGAACTCCAAACTAATTTAAATACCCAGAAATATCTTAATTTTCTTTATTATTATTATTTAAAGAAGCAGAGTCTCTTTATTTAGGAGAGCTTTTAGATCCATATTATTATTAGGTATGCTATTACTACTGATAACTATTACCTTTTTAGTAATTAACCAAATTGTTTGAAGACGACTACTACCGAGATAGACGTGAAGAGGGGTCTTTTGTGATCATATTTTTAGGGCTTAAGGGATCTCCAATTAATTTTGATGAATTTCTTCCATTCTAAATTTACTATTGCTAAGTATTACTATTCTTGTAAGTTAAAATATCTTCTCTATTTTACCCCAACATAGTAAAGGTTTTGCCACTCCCAGTTTGTCCATACATAAAAACAGTTCCATTAATTCCTTTAAGAGAAGAAAGAGCTATTCTTTTAACAATTTATTCATAAATTTCAGTGTTTTAAGACCTCTAATCAAAACATTTATCTTTTACATATTAAAGTAGAATTATTACAAATTACTTAAATCAATTGGTTTTTAAAACTCTTTTCAAAGATTTTTCATAAAAAAAAGAAGTTTTAAATACTATTTCATGCTATAACAAATAGAAACTTGTTAAATAAATAAAAATATCATATTAATTTTCATAAAATTATCACTACTTTTCAAATTTAGTAAATTAAATTAACATCATTTTGCTTCAATACACTCCAAACAAATGAGATGTTTATGAAAAAAATAATAAAACAAAATTATTTGATGGTATTAATTTTAAAATTACTAAATAGATATGATGTCTTTTATCCTGGAGCTATTTTACGCATGCGGATTAAGTCTGTATACTTCTCTGCAGAAATTCCGACTTCATCATTAGCCAATGTACTCCATACTTCAAAGTCATTATTCTCTACTTCTTGCTAATTAATAGGTCTGATACGAAGAGCTACTTAAATATTTTCCATAATCTCTAAATAATATCACTTATTGAATATTTTTATAAAATAACTTTGTGCTAATCTTTAAATATTAAGTAGACTAGTGTATCTATTTAAAAATAACTAAAATTTGGAATGTTTACTATTATTTAAAGATTTATATTAATTAATTAATTGGTTTTCTTTTTGATTATTTGTTCTAAATATTAATTGCAAGCTAGTATTTTTGTTTGTTTTTTTGAAAGTTTTAATTGATTAAAAAGCTAGCGAGCTTATTAATTTAATTGTTATTCAAATCAATTGGTTGATTTCATAACACATTTTTCAAATTTATCAAGTTTTTAACTTAAAAATGTTTGAATAATTCAAACGGTATTTTTGATCAAATAATTTAAAATTAACATAATTTTTTTTTTACTTTAATTTCATAAATGATAATTTATAAGCACAAATAGATTTATTTATTCATTTTTATCGCACATTTAACTCTTATTATCAAAATTTAAATGTTGACATAAAAAAAACTAATATAATTAAAATTACATTCAATTTTTTAGATTTACTAAATCTTTTAAAACATTTTTGGTTAACTCTAAATTATTTTGTAAATTTCTCTTTAATTTTGTTTAATTGAACTAAAAAATAAAATTAATTTTTATAAAATATCTCAATTAAATAAATAAAAAATTTTAAATTAAAATAATAAATTAACAAATATTATTAGGATTATTGATTTAAAATTTGTATTCAGATAAAATTATTTTATATTTATTTAAAACTCTATTAATAAAATAATAAAATTTTTATTGAAATAATATCAATTATTTTAAAAATAATAATATTTTTATCTAAATCTCAATCAACAATTTTATGATAATTAATTTTTTTTGATATTCATAGATATATCTATTATATAATTAATCAATCTATCAATTATTTTAAAATATAATAATAAATAATTAATTTTATCTGAATAAATTTCCTTAATCAATAATTATGAGACAATTTTAATTCTTTTTTAGAAAATTGTCACTAATTACAGATAAATCTATTATTTGATCAATAAATGATGAATTAATTTAAAATTTAATAATAAGTTTATCTGAAAATATTTCTCAATTATTAATGATGAAAATAAATATTTAATGAAAGATTTATAATTATAAACATACTTAATGTATATGCCAAATTATTATATATTAATATAATATTTGAAAGGACAGATTATCAAATTATTTTTATAACTTGTTATATATTTTTTTATTATTGAAATTTATTTTTAATATGTTGTTTAAGATAGAAAATAATAATTATTGATAAATAGATATTTTTCTTATGAAAAACGAAATATCTAAAAAATATTAATCTACAAATAGAATCAACTAAGAAGTATTTAAAATTTACTAATTACTAATCTTAGTTTATTAAACCTAATAAGGAAAAATTTAAAAAAAACAAACACAAACAAACATAAATTGAAAATCAATAAATTAATTATTTAATATTTTTAATAATTTAAAAAATTAAAAATTTTTAAAAAGATATATTTTCCTTTGAAATAAGTAAAAAGAAAATCAAAAAAGTTAAAGGAGTAAATTAATAATACTAGTTTTCTAAGAATTTATTGAAAGTTTTGTAAGATGAGAATAAAAGTGTTGTTTCTGATCTTACTTATTAGCTAGCTTATTTACACATAAAAAAGTATTCTGAAATTAGGAACCGAAATTAATGAAATATCTTTAAAGGATAAAAATGATAGCTAAGTATTTGAATTAGAATCCAGCCCAAATGAAGATTAGGCACTAGTTTTTCAAATATTTAGCAATGAAAAGGCATTCAATAATATCTAGATTCAGTTAGGTACTTTAGAAGAAAAGAAAGAAGGCGAAAGCTCAATTATGGAGTTTAAAAACTCTGATCACTCTTCTTGCCAAATGAAGAAAGCTAACCAAAAATGCTTATATCTGAAAAATGTTTCTTAAGTTAAAGCAGTAAACTTTACATGCGTAGAAACCCCATGCTCTGCTAGCTTAAAAGTTTATAAAATCAAGCCAACTGCATTAGATACAGACAAAGATTAATTAGAAATTACATACGAATAAGACATCATATTAGTGAGATACAGTAAACTTTATTTGTTAAAATATACAATTATCATTCAGAAAATTCATAAATTAACTTATTCTATTATTGATCATTTATATATTTATTTTTTAAATTGAATAGAAATTATCCCATCAGAATTCTTACCTACAAGAACTGTAATAGAAACCAGACTTCAAAGTGGACTTTCTTATAAGGTAAATGATACTTCGGTATAATATTTTTTACCATAGAAAGTTGCAAACACAGTAACTAAGATAGTAGGAGATATAATTCTTACAAATATTCGTTATACTGTTGATTATAACAATAAGGGTGAAATAGCATATTATGCAATTTATTCTGGTAAGAAAAATAATAATATCATGATTAAATATAAGCATTATACTGACTTTGAAACTATTGAAATAAATAAAGTATATACTGATTACTTTGAAAAAACATAGTTCCCAAAGAACTTAGCTTATTAACTTAACGTTAGCAATTTTTAGGAGTATGATTATATCAAGTTTATATTTAAATGGTATGATTTGAAGTAAGGAGAAGTCAATATTTTTGCAAGTTGCTTACAAAACTAATCTATGGCTTAATCATTTTGGAATACAATCTTCTCTCCAAGCATAGAATACGAATCAAAAGAATCTGATAGCCAAGTTAACAAGTAATACTCTTTGGTTGTTTCATAAAGGACAGCATAAAAAGTTAATATCGATAAAAATTCTTTTTATTATTTTGGTTTACAATCAAAGGTTGATTCAGGCTTCTTTAAATTTGAGATTTAGGTAAATAATTGACATAAATTAGTTAAAAAGGCATAAATTTTTTTAATATTAAAATAAAATAGTCCTCGAAAAAGAGTTTGCCTGAAATTAAGCTAAACGAATTAATTGGAGGAAAAGTGAAAGGAGATGATATAGTCAACATAATCTTACATTCTCCTAGGAGTGCTGATGAGTATATCAAGGTTGACTTAAGAAATATTAGTGGCGGATCTAATCTCTATTTAAGAGAATGCAAATCTACTGATTGTATTTCTGAGCTCTATACCAATGACAACAAAAATTAAATGGAGTCTAAAACATCTAACTTGGAAATAGATTACTAAACTAAAACAATTTAGTTTATTCCCAACTGCTCAGACTAAAATAAAGAAACATGTCAATATATTATTGGTTTAATACCAACTAACAGTTAATAAGACACAGAATATTTATTGGAAGTATTCACTAGCTAATTCAAGGATCAATAATTTAAGTTAACTGAAAATAAAATTTTTGAAAACCAAATTAACATTGATGAATACTAGTTTTATGCACTTTTCATTGATAAAACATCTGACATTAAATCTATTTCGGTTAAGACTTCTTCTCCACACGTCCAGTTATATGCTTCAGTAGAAAATGAATGCATGCATCCCACTCCTGATTGTAAAGGTAAGGTACTTTACAAAGGAATAAACACAAAGCCTATAGTCATAAATAACAAAAATACTCAAAGAGGAGTTGTTTATGTTGGAATCTACGGTTATACAGCAACAATCTACACAGTTATCGTTGAAGTAAATTGTTATTTAAATAAAACTCAAACTTTGACTTAAGCTTTATCTATTAAAGATTATAAAAAAAAATAGTTTTAAATTTCAACTTCAATCTAATTTTAAATAAAAGAAGAAAAAAAAATACAACAAATAAATAAAATTCAATTAAAAATTAAATTAGTATTTTAATTTTATTTGTTTATATTAAAAATAAAGGTTGACAGAGTTGATTAGACTTTAATAACTTAGGTTTAAAGTGGTTCTATTTATTATGGATAGTTAACTAAAAATTAGAACAAGCAATACTTCATTTTCGATCCTTATTCTTCTTTATCAGAGGAAGAATAGAAAAATTACCCATTTGAAGATATTGAAATCAATGTCCGCGGAGCTAAAGATAAAATAGTGATTATGGCTAACAACGATGGTAGTATGCCATATGAAGGTGATAATGGGTTTATGTGGTCCTCTAATAATGGTGTCCTTTTTATTTCTAGGAATGATCTTTAATTTAAAAAAAATGCTGTCTACAAGATCTGCTTAATGGCCACTGAACACGCTTTTGATATTCTCCCTACTGTTAGAGATGGATTTTCAAGCTCTAATGAAATATAGTACTAATTACATATCACTTCAGATGCTCACACCAAAGTAGTTGAACTAGGTAATACGATTAATGATATGCTGGAACCAGAAGATCAAAAATTATATTAAATCCATCTTAGTAACTCAGGCATGTCTTATATTATCTCAACTCATTCTAATGACCACGCTAACAAAAGTTTGAAAGTTTTAATGAAGGTAGGCAGTGCTCCATTTGAAGAAGGCGAATCTTATGAATTTAATGTAAGTTATCTTTTTAATTTAAAAACAAATAAATTATTTATTTATTTATTTATTTATTTATTTATTTATTTATTTTAAAGTATGACTTTTCTATCAGTCAATACCTCCTTAAGGCTGAGGACGTAGATAAATTATGCAAATAGAAGACCTCTTGTGATGTCTTTATATCGATCTAAAGCAAAATGAATTTGTTCATTTCGTTTTCTTTGACTGTTTGGAATAGAAGTACTGCTATTGAGTTAAAAGAGGGAATTTAATTTTAAGACGGAATTCATTTTATTGATGCTCATACTAACTTTTACTTTTTCCCCACAAATAAGGATCACTCTCTTAACATCTTTGCTTCGTCCATTTATGGACATACTGGGTTTAATGTTTATATCTTTAAGAATTCAGATAAATTAACTCCCATGAATTTACCTTTCCCTAATTCATCTGATGCAGAAAATTTAGCTAAATACCACTTTACTTCTGGAATCCATAATTCGCATTCTATAACTTTCTAAGCTCAAGCTTTGGATAAGTGCTGGCCTGATTGTGTCGTATTGATTTCTCTTAGCTACTATAAGGGACTTCCTAATGATGGTGGTGATCACACTGTCGATATTGAAGAAAACCCAGCAGATAAAGTTTCTTTAGATAGAATTAATGACAAGTATACTATCCTCGTTAGCACTATTTACAGTGATTTGCATTTTAACTAATAGCTTGAATTTACCATTGATAATTAGCAATCCAAATTCTTTTATCTTAATCTTAAAAACATATTGGCAGAAAATGACTCAATTTAAATATCTATGACCACTCTTTCTGGAAAAGCAGTAATTAATAAAATTTTTTTATTTTTATTTAATTATTTATTTTTTATATTTTAATCATAAAGGCTATAGGAGCTATTATTAAAGACGACACCCACAACAGGTATCCTAGTGTAGCTGGTGAAACATTTGATGTTGTTTCATATTCAAACTATTTGGAAATCAGCAATAAAAAGTTACTTTCGGTTATGAAAAAGTAAAATATTACAGCTGAAAGAAATCCTGTTTTGATAATTGAAGTTACTTGTGTATCTGAATCAGCTGGTAAATTTATTATGGTTGCTATGCAAGGAAATAATAATGTAATTGACGTAATGCATGGAATACCTTAAGAATTATATTTAAAGGATGGTTAGACTAAATACTTTAAATATTTCCATTTCACAGATACAGATTTCTAAATAAAACTATCTCGTGAAATTGGTTTCCCTGATATGCAGCTTCGTGTCTGTAAAAAAGCAAAGACTTCAAGTTTCCAAGATTTCCAAAAGTGCCTATAAGAAGTCACTCCTTAAATAGATGACTAGCATACTGCAGGTGAATCTTCTTCTGTAATTCACATATCTCGTAATGACACTAAGCTTTACTGCTTAAACTGCTTGTATATTATTGGATTAGAAGTAGATAACAAAGCTGAAACTCATGCTTTCTTGAGTGTTTTGTTACAATAAGACTTTACATGGTTATAAGAAGGTCGTTAGATTATAGATTCAGTCGATAGTAAAGGTATAAACTTATATAGACTCTCTGTAGACAGTGATGAAGAGACTTAGATTACATTGAATTCAATAAACGGTGAAGTAGAACTTTACTACAGCTATCGTTATTCTTATATAATTAAAGATTACATCGGTCCTCTGAAAGTTAATCCAAGTGATAAATTTATACATAAAACTATTAGACCAAGACAAGACCTTGAAGATGATAAAAGTGTTAATTTATTTAATAAGCCCACTAAAATACCAAATGCAAATAAAAACCCAGATAAAAAGTTTAATTATGATTAAAATAGCCAATTTGATGACTTAAGTGAATTCTTCTATGAATCAGAAATTTACTTATGTGTTAAGAATGTTGACAAGAGAGGTATTGCCGCTAACTATTCTTTGGTATTTAGTGCTGGAGACGAATATAGATACATTTATGATGGTTAGATTATGGGTAGCAGTATTCCCCCTCAAAAAAAGATAACTTACTTGTAATTATTTTCATTGAAATTAACTCTCTTTTTTTATTTAAAGCTGTTGAATTACATTTTAAAAAGGCATCACAATTTTTAAAATTGAATAAAACTATTAAAAATATTTTTGAAAGAGAAAAACCTTAACTTTAAAGAGATGTTTCCATTAATTGAATTTATAAATTAATTTTTTAAATATATAAAGAAAGCAAATTATATTCTAATGAAAGCGGTTTATTATTTATTTATTGATAATATTTTTTCTAATTTTAATTTTAAATTATTTAAAAAAAAATAAAATATGAATTGAATTTGGTTAAAAATTCATATAATTATTAAATGAAAATTAGATAAAAAATATTGTTGTGAATAAAAATTAAAAAAAATATTTTTTATTATTCCATTAAATTTATTTCATTTAAAAATAAAAGATTATTTTTTGGGCAAAAATTTTTAATAAAATCTAAAATAGATATCATCATTTCGAATTTGAAGCACCAGCTAGATTAAATGTATTCTCTCATTCTAAATTTTTCTCTATGGAAAACCACTTGACTGTGATGGGTTATCACGATTTGATGAAGAATAGATAAGATTACAAGGATATAACTAGAGATCCTATACCTCTTGAATTAATATCTTCTCATGATAATTCACTTTCTTATGGTCTCCCTGAAAGAAATGGTACATATGAAATAGTTTTTACTAATGAGCATCAAACTAAAACATTAAACATAAGTTTATCAATAAATTCAAGAGATATGCTTTTAGTACCTCTTACTTACTAGATAGAACATGCTATGACTGCTAAATCTATTAATTATTATGAAGTTATTGCTCCTAAGAACGGTTACATTACTCTTACTATTACTCATTGCACTGGTGATTTCATACTTGGCACAACTTAGGACTATGATGATTTCTTATAACAAGAATATAATGCTGAGTTTAAATCTGTTCCAGGATCTTCAAATGTCTTTAGCTTCAAAGTGAATAAAGGTATTTATACGATTTTTTTATTAAAAATGGAATAATTAACTAATAACATTTATTTTTAAAGGACCTGTTTTCTTCTCAGTAAAAACATCATTAGAAGAGTCTTTCTTTAAACTTCGTCCTGACTTTTTCACACAATAAAAATTGATTCCTCATAATACTATTGTTGCAGGTAATGAAGGCGTGATCTATCATAAGAGAAAAGTAGGTGGCTAAACTGAAATTACCTTTACACCTATTATGTGCTCTTCTTGTTCAGATGAAGTAAAAAAAAAAATAAATAAATAAAAAACTAATAATTTATTTAACAATTTAAAAAAAAATAAATAGATTAGAAATAAAGCAAAGGTGCAATATGATGTAATATATTCTACTGATGTCGAAATATTAAACGTTTTGGGCAAATGTGGCGCTAAAAACTACTATGAGCACGACGCTAAGAACTAACTTCACTTTAAGAATAATGTTGATCCAAAATTAGTTTTATAAGAAGATAATGTCAAGCAAAAGACACTCTATTTCGATTTGCAAGACTCTTAAGATATAAAATTCAATATTAATCTTGATGATGATGACAAAGTATATTACCTTAGTGTTGTTGCAACTATCTCAAGCATACCAAATAAAGATTTGAAGGAGATGAAAGTCTTCTATGAGAATTCTTAAGTTGGAAAAGTGTAAGTATTTGTCTAAGGCGAAGCTAGTGTATATGCTTTCTTGTTTGCATGCATACTAATCATGATTTTCTTCTGCATGACTACCTGCCTTTTCTGGAGAAAATACAAAAGCATGTAATAAGGTTTAGAAGTTTCCCATAAATGGAGAGACATTGAAATGTAACGTGAAAGAAGAAAATAACGTGCTTAGGAAAAGCTTAACGACTCTTCTATTGGAGTACAAGATACTACCTAAGTTGAAGTAACTAGTAGAGGCAATAATATAGATGACTCTTTTGATGGAAAACCATTCTAAAACCCTGATTTATTGCCTTCAGAAAATGATTTAAGCTCTCACTTTAAGAATGACGCTGCTCCTAAACAAGAAGCATAAGCTTAATAGGAGAATCCTTTTGACAGAATATAAATTAAAATAAACCCTCCTCCTAGCTAATCTACCAAAGCAGGTTATGATTAATTAATAGATGAAAATTGAAAGCTTTAATTACTGCTTTTATAAATATGAATTATCAATATTTTTATTTATCTATTTATTATCTGTTTTTCAGTTTGTTATTAATTAAGTTAAATTTTTTTAATTTTATTTTTAAATGAAAAATATTTTTAATTAATTGATTTAATCATGACGTAAATCCTCATTAATTCTCACCCCTTTTAATTTTCACCATTTTTCCCGAAATTTTGAACTCCATTTTATGTTTAAAAAGATTGTGAGTAGGTTGGTGAGAATTAATGAGGAACACGGTATATATTCTTGATATGTAAATTAAATATTTTAATATATTATTTTTTGATCAAATACATTGTTTGTTTAAAGATTTGTAATTTTTTAAACTTTATTTACAATGAAATTTTCTTAATACTCATTATTAAAAAACTTTATATTAATATATAAATTTTTAAATATATAATTATTAGAACTTTAAAAATGATAGCTCTCTATAATATTGGGTATTATTTTTTTAAATCTTAAAATTAATTTTAATAATATTTGGTAAATTAAGTAAGAAATTTAAACAAAAAAATTATTTTATTACATTAAAGAAGAAAATACTTTTTAATGTATTTGAATAAAATTTGAAATACTAAGAAAAATTTTTAAATTAAACTAAATATGTAAGTAAATTTACAAAAAATTGTGAGGCTTAAAATTAAAAAAAAGAAAATACTTTTAAGATTTAAAAAAGAGAAAATATTTGATAAAATAAATTAAATTATAATTAGTTTATTTGCAAAAATATAAAAACGTATCTACCTTTAATGTTATAATTTTTTAATTAATTAGAGAGTTAGAATATTAATTAAATTCACCAGATTAGAAAACTTTTTCAAAATTAGTTTCTTTCAAATTTTGCCTACTTTTTTAATTATAAATGAGTGTTTTAAAAAAGTACGATAAGATTTTCTTTACTTGCTCTATTTGTCAAAGTGATGAATTTTGAAATGGAGAGCAACTTACCTTATAATTAAATTGTGATCATATCTTTTATATTTCTTGCTATAATATTTTACTCAATTATAAATAGTGTAAAGTAAGCCAGTTACCCTAGCTGCAGAAGAAAGTCGTGTGCAAAGCGAATACCTTATGAGATATTTGAAAAAAGTCAAAAATATTTTTGGAATGTCCATTTTCCAAATAAATCATCGTCCTTTGGATTAACCATGATTTAACTTTCGAAGACATCATTAAATAACTTTCCATAATAAAAGGAGAATCATTTGATAAATTGAAAATTTATATCATATTTCATAAACCCTGCGAAGAAAATAATTTCTTATAATGTAGCCGAATCATATTATGTTAAAGACTATGATATCGCAGGAAAATTATTTTATTCTATTCAAGAAGAAAATACTTTTTAATGTATTTGAATAAAATTTGAAATACTACAAAAAATTTAAAAATTAAACTAAATATGTAAGTAAATTTACAAAAAATTGTGAAGCTTAAAATTAAAAAAAAAGAAAATACTTTTAAAATTTAAAAATGAGAAAATGTTTGATAAAACAATTTAAATTATAATTAGTTTATTTTGCAAAAATTTAAAAAAGTATCTACCTTAAATGTTATAAATTTTTAATTAATTAAAGAGTTAGAATATTAATTAAATTCATCAGATTAGAAAACTTTTTAAAAATTAGTTTCTTTCAAATTTTGCCTACTTTTTTAATTATAAATGAGTGTTTTAAAAAAGTACGATAAGAGTTTCTTTACTTGTTCTATTTGTCTAAGTGATGAATTTTCAAATGGAGACCAACTTCCCTTATAATTGAATTGCGATCATATCTTTCATATTTCTTGCTATAATAGTTTACTCAATCATAAAATGTGTAAAGTAGCCAATTGTCCTAATTGCAGAAGAAAGTCATGCGCAAAACGAATACCTTATGAGATATTTGAAAAAAGTCAATAAATATTTTTGGAATGTCCATTATTCGAACAAATTATAATTCTTTGGATTAACAATGATTCAACCTTCAAAGACATCATTATATAACTTTCCATATTAAAAGGAGAATCGTTTGATCAATTAAAATTTTAGAAGTAATTGTATTTCATAAGCCCTGTAGGGAAAATAATTTCTTATGATGTAGCAAAATCACATTATGTTTAAGACTATGCTATTGCAGGATAGCAAAAATTAATTCTAAGATTGATCCCTATAAATCAAGATTATGAATAAGAGTAATGATATAATAAATATAAAAATAGGAAGTAACAAACAAATCTTTCTTTATATTTAGTAAGTAAAGTAAAAACCATATAAAGTTAAATTAATTAACTTAATTATTTATTATAATCAGAATAGGAATCTATAAATATATAATTCATTTTTTGTTTTGATTAAATAAGTCTATCAATAAACACCTAACAAATTATTATAATTATTTTTTTAATTATTATTTCTAAAAATTAGATTAAAAAGAATTCTATCTTAGCTCAATTATTTGTTTGAGTTGAGTTGATATATTATTTTGTATATCTATTTTTTTTATTTGAAAAAAAAAATTAAAATTATTAAAGAAGATAAATCTTTAAAAAAATTATTTTATTTTCTTCATTAATATTTTAAAATTTATATTATCTTTTTTTTTAGTTTTCTATAATAAAAATTTATATTTATAAATACTGTTTGCAAAATAATAAATTATTTACTTAATAATTTTATAAATAGGTTAATTTTAATTATATTTGTAAATATTTAAAAAAAATTTATATTAGGTCATAAAAACAGAGTAAAAATACAAAATTAGAATAGAAATATACACTAAATTAATTCATTTATTAATTTTTGTTTTATTGGTCTGTTTCAAAAAAAATTAATTTTTTGAAATTTACTAGTATTTATTATAGTAATTAAGTAGGTAGTTTTTTTATTAGTAAGTTAGTTTATTTGTAATGGAAAATTTTAATGTAGGGATGGATGGATGGATTTATATTTTTTTGTTTATTATTTCGTTAGGTAGTGCATGAATATTTTTTCTAAAGATTTAAATAGTTTTTTCAAAGTGAATTGCTGATATAAATTTGTTGGTAAATGGTTTTGTTGTCCTCTATTTTTCCTATCAATTTGAGAAATCCTTTCAACAAAAATGTTGTATACCCTAATTTCAAACTATTTATAAAATAGTATTGCAATTAAAAACTAAAATTAAAGATTGATTTATTTATTTATTTACTTTAGCTTTGATCCTTCTTATGTGAGACTTTATTTTCTCATATCTTTTAATTGGTCAGGAGTAATAGTAAAATGATCAATTCTGAACTGCTTAAACTTCTTACCTCCACATATTGCATTAAGAATACTTGATCCTTATTCTTTGTATACTGCATCAATTGTAATTTTGTTTTTCTCGAAATTAGATATTATATAAAACAAGCAATCTTCAATTTACTCCACGCTTTTACTTTTATGGTAAATCAATGTTAATATTTTATATACATTCATTAAAGAAAATAATTACATTTTTTTAAAGCCAACATATTCACTTATGTAAGTAATAATTTTATCATCTATTTGTTTAACAACTTTTTTAAGCTTTAAAGAGTTGTAAGAGTATTCACCAAACATGTAAATGCTTACAAAATCTCCGCTCATATTTTAATTCTTAACTAAAGTTTTTTAAAGTCAAATTTAAAATAAAAGCAACAAACTTTTTGATTGAAATTAAATAATTATTTTACTATTTTAAATAACTTTATTTAAGTTGTGTTTAGAAAAGAAATCAATGTTGGCATAAATGTCTTTGCTCATATCTTTACTATGAAGCTAGCTTTAAACTTTTTCAATAACAGAATTAGGATTTGAATCTAACAATTATTATAATTCCTAAGATACAATAAAATATTTAATATATTTTTTTATAAAAATTAAAGTACGGTATTAGCTAATCCAAAGTGGCAATTATTTAAAATCAAAAACTATTAACCTTTCTTGACAGGAATTAATTTTATTTAATCCTATAGACTTTTCCTTAATTCAAAAAATACCCTATAAAGACTCTGCATTTTCTGATAATATGATAAAATTTGCATAGTCTTTTTATCTAGCAATCTTTTAAGAGATTATAAATATTCCAATTAAGGGTTTTTCTATTAAGCAGATTCAAAGTCATACTTTTTAATTAGTTAAAAAATAAAAAATCACAACACAAATATCTAAATAAAATTATATTTTATAATATTGCTTTTTTTTATTGCTTAATGTAATTTTTTAAATAATTGAAAAAATATAATAGAAATTTATTTTCCAAAAAAATTATTGTTGATTAATTTTTCAAAAATGTGTCAAGAAATAAATACTTACAGATTCCTCATTTTGTTTTTGAAGGATATAATTATCAAATTTCTTCTTAAAGTTTTATAAAGCCTTTGCATCTAAAATTTATCCTTCTCTATAAAAATTGGATATTTATTTATTAATAAATTGTTCAAACTATATTTTTCCACCAAATATTTAGTCATAGGTTGATTTGTTAGGTATTCTTTTAATAAACTATATTGCTAAGCTTTCTATTTCTTCAGGATTATATATTAAAAATCTTTCTATTAAATTATGATCAGAGCTTTTTAAGTGAGATTAAGGCAGATATATACCACAATCTGTACACCTCTTAAACCCTTCAGTTTCAAAGTGATAAAATAACCTATTTTTTAGCTTAACACACACTCTTTTTTCATCTTTTTAATCCAACTCTTGATATATAAAACTAGTTGTATCTTTAGAGAGTTATTCAATTAGCTAAATAAAAAATTATTTAATTTTTAATTTAAATGAAAATTTTATCTATTTTACTTAAAAAATAAAGTCTTCAGAAGAGTTTTATTTGAGATAAATTGGATTTTTGTGAAGGAATTTAGTTAGTTTGCTTAGAGTTGATAAATTCACTAAAATTTTATCATCCTAGTACTATTAATTTAAACTTAAAATAAATAGCTACAGCTAAAATAAATTTACTTTAGTAGAGCCGGTATATACTTCTGTGATATTTTCATAGCCATTATTTATTTTTCTCTATTTCTTTTTGCCCATTAGTTTTTTGTAAATTATATCTTTTTCTATCTCTTTAGCCTTGATGTAAGTGTTGATGACCTAATATTCTTCTGACTATGATTCTTTTAATATTTAAATTTAAATTTTTATCGATTATTCTTAATTTTATCATTACCACCTAAGTCTCCATTTATAAACTGCCTGAAAATTGATATTATTGAATCAAAGTTGTACTTAAGAAGCCTATTTTTAGTTAGAAACAAATAAGAAAATATCTAAATGGTTGGTTTGCAAAATAAATTAAAAATTTTTATTACAAGTTTGATCTATCTATATTTTGTTCACAATAATTAAAGATGTTCGATGTAATCATATCTGTTTTTTTTTAATGATTTAATTTTTCCTTTTAATAATTTCAAATTATTTACATAAAAACTTTTAGTTTAACTTATCTTCATTTTCTTCTCCAATCTTTTTGAGAATCATGTCTGATGAGAATTATATTAACTCTCTAATCTTTTCTGGAAGAGCTCCTTTGATGGTAGTATCATTTTTATTAGCGTTAAAATTTAATAATGGAAGAATTTAATCAAAAAATTGTGTTATTTTGTATGCGTTTTATATACAAACAGATTTTATTATTTCTTCATTGGAATGTCCATGAATATTGATAATGATATCCTTTTTGAGAACAAACAAAGTTTATTAAATTATTGAATTTGAACCTGTATCAGAACTGCAGTAGTCTAATACTTTTTATCTCAAAAATATCCTGAAATTTCTGTTTATTAGCATATTTTATGTAAATGATTCATACAGCAACTAGAAAAGTTTCACAAATGTGTAGCTGAGAGATGTATCTTTATTTAAATCTAAAGAAAAATTGCTATTTTTGAGAGACTTCTTTCTTATATCTAAGTGAAGAACTTTTTTGCAAATATCGATATAAACTTTCTGTAATCTGGTATTAGATTCGATTTCGTTAAAAATATCTTTTACAATATTAAAAAAATCGTCTTCCTTCATTTTTTTTGATTCATAAATCTTAATGAGATAGCAAGGATGAGTAGTCAATTGTGTTAGTAAGTAAGAGTATCTATTTTTTAATATTATAAGACTAAAATCAAGAAATAAAAACTAAATTACGATAACTTGTGATTCAAATAAGCTTCACTGATAATATTTTTTTCATTGCTCTTTTCTGAAATTTGGAATGGAGGTTCTTAAATTCTTTTAAATATTTTAGACTAGATGACTGTTTTCATTTTGATTTGCTATTCCATGTACTCCTTGTATTTGCTGAAATCCATCTTCACTTCATTCTAAATATTAAGAACTTTATCATACAAGTTGATAATATTATTGAAAGCAAAAATTCCATATCCGTCTTCATCTTTTATTAAAGCCATTAGCTCAGGTTTTCCTTAAAGCATAATTTCTTAGTACAAAGTGTTATTTCTAATTGGATCAGTGTAAAAATCATTAATATCTATTTGTACAATCTAGTGTTTTTGGAGGCTTAATGAGAGATCCATTTTATTTTTTTCAGCTGGGCTGTTATTCTTACTAGTTTTATCTAAAAAACCAATAATAAATAAATAAATAAATTAATCCTAAACTTAAAATATAATTTTACACATTTTTTCTAATGTCTTGAATTTTTTAAATTCTTTTGTATTTTAATTAAATGACCCTAAAATTTTAGATTGACTCTATTCGACCATAGATGACTCATAAAGAATGGTTTTATAAGTACTGGGTTTCATAAATGTCCTTTTTCTTATATCAGAAGACTTAACTTATATTGATGTTTACTATTGTTGCTATTATATTGATAATTGGTGCTATTTTTATCTTTGCTCCTATTTCTTTATTCTTATCTCAGTCTATTTTCTAAGTTAGTCCCTTCTTTTTTTCTTTTCTAGGTCATTAAAATCAGCCATTACATCTTCTTCAATATCCTTTACGCCAATACCATCTTCATCATCTTCTTCTATTTCTTCTTCTACCTAAAAATCTTATGGAAGATCATTGTAGCTTTCTTTATATTTATTTTATTCAAAATTTTGAATTTTATGGTGCTGTTTTTTCTTCAGTTAAGCATGTTTCTGCTTTTATAAAGTGCTTTATTTTTATTTAAAGTTATTAAAAAATTTTAATTTCCAAAATTTACTTAAAAATATTCAGCTTGTCAAACATAAACCTGTTTAAATACTAACAAGATTAAGGATGTTCAACTAAATTATTCAAATCTGTAATTTATGCTTTCTCTTTTTATTAATTTTCTTGTTAATCTTCCTAGTAAACATCATCTATCATCTTTTACTCCTCTAATTATCTTTTTAAATTAATTAATATTTAGTAAAATACCTTTCTATTTTGTACAAAAGCAATAAAATGTTATAAATATTTTACTGATCATAGAATTCATATCCCTAACTAAGTCTGCCAGTGTTCATATCATATCCCCATGTGTAAAGCTAATTTTTCGAAATTAAGGCAGCATGGTTATTAGCGACTGCAATTTGAGTAATTGTCGAAGAAGGAGCATTAATTTTTTAAATATTTATCATAAGAGATTCGTTTATTTAATTCCTTGTTAAATTTGGGTTCTCTTTACATTTATTTTCATAAGTCTTATCAAAGACACCCCATTAAAATATTTGGTTTATATTATTTAGGACAATGCTATATTTATCTCCTAAGGCTACTTTTTAAACTTGCTGTATCAATTACTATCTAGGATGAAGCGTAGGTCTGATAAACTCATTTACATCTTACCTATAATTTTTTTTATTCTTTTCTTCGGGCTTTTAATAACCAAAATATATATAAGGTCCCCATACTATTAAATTATGTTCCTTATCTATAGCAGCACTATGATGACCACCAGCAAATATATCTCTGAAGCTAAAGTTTGCTTATATTCTATTAGGCTCAAAAAGATTTTCCTTTTCTCCATGACCCAGCTTGCTTTCATATGCACTCCCCCAGCTATAAACTACCTAAAAAATAAATAAATAAATAATTTTTTTTGTAAAAAAGAATTTTAAAGATTTTTGAATAATTTTAAAAAAATGATCTTTTATTGAATTTTATATTTTTATTAGAAAAAATGAAATAATTTGAATAATAAAATCTTTTTACCTTTTTGTTGAATTCATTTTGTAATAAGTTAAAATCATCAAAATCTTCATCAACATATACATCTTCTCCAAGAGCAAGAGAGTGTGTATATCCACAAGCTACCTTATCAATTTTGGCTAGACTCTATATTTTCATTGGGAATAATTATATAGCATCTCTCTTTCCTAATCCGAGTTTACCATCAGTCGGTGAGCCACATGAATACACGCAGCCTTCTTCGGAAAGAAATAATGTGTGAACTTATCCACAAGCCACTTATTTCATAAGTAAACCTTCTAATCCTTGTACTTCAGTTGGCTTGTGCACTATAGTAGATATAGCTCCTATACCTAGTTATCCTTAGTCATTTTTCCCCCACCCATATACTTTTCTTCTATTTTCTATAGCCATACAATACTCTGCTCCACAAGCTATAAAAGAAACTCTCCTATTTTCTTTAATATCAAAGAAATTTACTAAACTAGGCAAAGATGAGGTTACTAATGTTTAAACATTTATTTTAATTTTGCTTATTGCTTAATCAACATAAGCCTATTCAATCTATAAGTCATCAACTGCGTGCTGACTAGACTCATTACTACCCCAAATATATAATTCGCCTGCATTTGTTAAAGCCATAGAATGAAAAGTACCAAGTTAAACATCTACAAATTCACTTGATATGAAGTCTCTCTTTTTAGCTCTGTACAACTACTGATTATAGATAGGCACAAAAATCTACTAATTAAATCCTAAATAGTCAATTTATACACGATTTGGTATAAAAGAGTTTTCGTATCGTTAAGGAATATAGCCTTCAACTTTATCATCATAGTCTATATCTAGACCACATAATTCCTAGGATGAAAAAGTAGATATTTTTCTTCCTAATATTCCCTAAACATTCAATCCCCAACTAGTCAAATAGCCTTTATTTGAGAGGGCAAATGTACTATGAAATGATGATTAAATTTAGTAAATATACAAATCATTAATTTTAGAAAACGAAACTCCTTTTAAAAAGGTGTTGTTTAATTCTACAGGTAAGTAAATATTTTTACTGTTTTTGGAATAGTTATTATAATCTAATCCAATTTTATTATGCTGATTACTTCCACATCCATATAATCTACCATTCTGAGAGAAAAAAAATGTATTATTATAGCCACAGGTCACTTATATAATAAAATAGCTCTAAAGCCTTTCGACAACACAAGGATAATTTATCTAAGGCAGATCTTTATCTAGTCCTAATTATCCATTCGTATTTGATCCTAAAAAGTAATTTTTAAGAAAATAATTTTAAAACTAAATAAACTTTACCCCAAGTATAACAGAATCCATCATTTGTTATGCATGCCATGTGAAATACTCCGCAAGATACTTAAGTAATATTTTTTTATTCAAGTATTCCACCTACTCTTTAAGGTAAAAGCATATTCGATTAAGCATTTATTCCAAGCTAACCATTTAATCCTTTCATTATAAAAATAATATTCAATATTTTATTAAAAATATTATTTATTTTTTAAACAATATTCAAAGATTTATTTTACCTTAGCCCCAAGTATACAGCTTCCCATCTAATTAAATTGCGGCAGAGTGTTATGCTTAGCAATCAATAAATCTTACTTAAAATGGTTTGCCGAATTCCAATAAAACAAGAGAAGGTTTAATTCTATATCTGGTATCTCCCAATCCTAAATTACCGGACCTATTATCTCCCCAAGAGAATAATTAGTGACTGCGAGTTAATATCATACAAAAAGACCATCCACAAGCAATTTATATAACAGAAAACATACTAAAACCTTTTATTTAAGTTATTTCAACAACTTCATCAATAATAAATCTGTAGTCAACTTTTGTGTTCTTTTAATAAATAAAAAAAGGTAAATAAATAAATAAATAAATACTTACAATTTTAGTATTTTATAGTTTAAAAATAATCAATAAAAGATTAATTCATTCTTTAATAATAATTTATTTACTGATTAAATATTAATTTCAAAAGAATCCCTATACATTTAATTATTTTTAGGAGTATTTAAATAAATTGAATCATCTTCTCTACTTAGAGCTCTTTTAATTGTTTTCATTTTTGAAGTTAAATAATTTTATTTTTGGAGTTGTTATATTTCCTAATTTGGCGTTAGTTAGATAGTAATCTTTTTATTTTCAGAATGAACATCTTCCAATAATGGTAAATTAGTAGCACTTTCCATAGGAGAGTTGAAATTACTAATTACGTTAACATGATCAGGATTTTTTATTTATATACTCATACCATTATCAAAATTTTCAATATAATCTTCTTATTTCTACTATTTGAATTCATATATGCATAAGTCTTAATTTTATAAATCAGAATATTCAATTCTACCAGTATAAAATAATTTTATATCTTCCATAAAATCATTTTTTAATTAATCCATTATTTCTTACTAGTTAATTCCCATTTTGCTTTAAATTTCTATGTCATTTAAAGCCTTTTAGTGCTCCTCTACAAGTGCACTTCTTACAGCTAAAATAAGAGAATGGTTTAAACCACTGCTTACAGAAAGAGGATAATACTGATTTTTTCTATACTCTAAAAAAATTGGTCTCGGGCTTTCCTAATAATTTCCATATTAATTTCTTATTTAAAAATAATTGATCATATTTAACATCATTTGAAATTTATTTCTAAATAAAATTATTTAAAATATGATATCAATCCCAATCTTCAAAATTAATTAGGGTAGTAAAAACAAAATATTCATTTTACAAATGATGCCTCAGAATTTCCTGTTAAATCTATTCCCAATTATTATAAAGAGTTGTCTCCCCATCCGCAGAGACAAGGTTATATCTAATCTTAAACAGCTAATTCATAAAATTTATTTTAATGATCAATAAAAAATAATTTTTAAATAATGGCAATAAGTTATAAATAAATGTTGAAATAACAAATTTTTAAGAAAACAGATTTACTTTTATTATAAAAAATGGCTAAATTATGTTTGAGTCCACTTGAAATTCTCTTGTGGAAAATATCAGGAATCAAGGTTGGATTGGGATTATCATAAAGCCTATCTATAACCTTATATGCTCCGCTTAAACGTATTTGATTCTCATTTAACTTTGTTTACATTTTAACTTAAGAAGCAGAATTAATAAACAAATCTTCGAATCTTAAATAATTTCAAATTTTTTAACATTAATCAAAACAAAATTTGTGTGTTTATTATATAGTTGTTAATAAATAAATAAATTAATAAATATGTTTATGTTCATAAAATTATTGATGCAAATTTTTGCGTTTTACTTAAATTTAAGCATAATACTAAGGTAAATTTTAAAACAGGTTTATATATTTGGCGTTAATAACATATTTTATTATAAATCTTTTTTTTTTAAAAAAATCTGAGAAATAAATTTAATTGTCTCACCCTACCTCTCATTTATATTCTTTAGTTTAAAAAATACTCTCAATTTTTACATAAAAAATAAATAAATTAATAAATAAATAAACTACAAATAATAGTAAATATACTATAATTTTATTTGTTATATTCTTGAGATTTAAAAAATACTCTCAATTTATTTTTACATAAAAATAAATAAATAAGCTACCAATAATGGTAAATACAAAAAATCTGAGAAAAAAATTAAATTGTCTCTCCCTATCTCTATTTTATTTTCTTAAGATTTAAAAAATACTCTCAATATTTACATAAAAAATAAATAAATAAGTTAAAAATAATAGTAACTTTACAATAAATAATTGAATTTTTTATATTCTTTAGATTTAAAAATACTCTCAATTTTTACATAAAAAATAAATAAATAAGCTACAAATAATGGTAAATATACAGTAATTGAATTTGAAATAAAGGAATTTTTGATCACTGTACTTAATAAAATGAATAATATTTTGTTCAAAGAATAAATATTTTGTTAATCATACAGTACAATTATTGCTTGAATAAATATATTCATAAACACTGTAATGATCCTCCATTTTTTCTAATAATTTTAGCAATTAACTCTTCTAAAAAGTAGTGAATCCAAATTTAATCCTTTATTTAATGTTTGAAAAAATTGATTAATTTTTATTGAACTTAAAAATTATCTTTTATTCATAAAAAATGTTAATTTTAATTTTTAATTTCAAAATTTATACGTTTATTTTGAAATGTCTTCTCTGATTCGCTATTTTCTTAGAGAAAGGATAGTATCTCTATCAATTCTAAAGTGATCTATTCTAAGTTCTTTGCTTCCTTTTAATCCACATAGAATAGTCAAAATACTAATTTCTCCGCCTTTATATACTACATCTACACTCACATATTTATTTCCATAGTCATTAAAAATATAAAACAAGCACTTCTCGATATCTGATTTGATATCTTTCTTTTATTTTTTTTTCCTAAAGATTTTTTAAAAATTTAGTAATAATAGAAATTAATTTTAAATTACGATTTAAGACTATTTTTATTTGGTAAATAAGTCTTAAGTATATCTACTACTTCATCATCTATAGATTTTATAACTCCCTTTTACTTAAGCTAATAAATTGAATATTCTCCAAACATATTTAGTTATATGAAATGGTCTTTAATTTTATTTTTCTAATCTAATTTTTATAAAATTTGTTTATTATTTCTTTTAAATATTTTCTTTAAAATTACAATCATCCTTGATATTATTAAGCTTTTTATTAGAAAAGACGTCTATGTTTTCATAAAGAAAAGTACTTAGATCCATCCCGTGAATTGAAGCCGAAATTTTGCTGGTAATAGCTATTGGGTCTCTCTCAATAACCTTTTCTAAATCCTTTTGACATTTAAAATTTAAAAATATTTAATTAAATATTTTCAACTAATGTTTACTCTATTCGCTATGCCGTAGTAGCTGTTTGTGATTATTTTAAATTGCTAAGATTTTGCTATATCTACATTTGAAATGAATTTATCTAGAACTGTTTTGATGCTAAAATAAACTCTATAGAGAGTTTCCATTTTATTGTAATATTTAACAACTTGATTAATCTAGTTATCAATTCTGTTTATTAAACTTTTAAGAACTTGCTTGCTTAAATCAGAAGGGATAATCAGTTTTTCTGATTGCTATAAAAAAAAAATTATTTAATTTATATATTTTTTTTTAATAAAAGTTGGTTAGTTACACTCTCATTAGAATATTCTAATTCGTAAGCATTTTCGAATGCTTTACTAAAATTTTTAACAATTTAAATATTTTAAACCAAATTTTTTCCATCTTTATTAGCCTTATTCTATAACTTAGCAATAAATTTACCACACAAATGCTGAATTTACTGCTTTCCAGCTAATAAATCATCATAATTTTACTTGGTTATCACTTGCACCAATTTCACTATGCAAGATTCTAAACTCGAAGGATTAAACATTTAAAACTATTCTTTTACATCCATATCATGACTTCTTAAGAAATCTCTTTGCAAGACTGTTTCACAATCACTGCATTTTTTTAAAAATTGGTTAGATGAGTAAAATAATTGTCTAGTTTCTAGTTTTATTTTAACTTTTAATTGTTCATGCTACTTTTCTACAGTTGACGTAACAAAATTAGGTTACTCATCTTTAAGACTTTTGCAACACTTTTACAAAAATGTAAGATTAAGTAAATATTTAAAAAGATAATTTAATATACTTTGAAAAAGAAATCCTCTTCTTCTTTAGGATTGAATTGAATATTCACTCTTTAGACAAATTTTGTTAACTTTTCTAGAGTGCTCAGTGATATTAAGGCATAATCGTCTTAGTTCTTTTTATAATCAATTTAGAATTATTTTATATATGCATATCATTTTACTAAAGTTTTTTACCTCAATAGAATGACTGTAAATATCTTAGATAAAATTATAATATGATATTTATTTTTTAGGCAAAGACTTTCCAACTAATAGTTCGTATATTTTGCTTCTTTCATCATCTTACTACTTTATGTATTCTATGAAGATATTTATATCCTAATTCTTTTTATCTATTTTAAATTTTTACAATAAAATTTAACATTTTTTAAATCTTAAAATAAAATTAAACATTATATTAAGATTTAATAATGAATGATACACTAACTTTTTAAAATTAAACATTTTTTAATCTTAAAATAAAACATTCTTTTAATCCTAGAATAAAATTAAAAATTCTTTTAATCATAGAATTAAATTAAAGCTTTTTAAATATTATTAATAATTTTAAATACCCTTTTCATCTAGAAAGATATACATTTTAATAGCTTTGATAATCCACTCGAAATTGCTTCCATTTCTATATATTTTTTATATGATTATAATTAATAAATCTTTTTTAGCAGTGTTATATCAATAGATTTACTAGTTGGAGTATAAGCTTTAGCAACTATCTAACATACTCTAAAATATAATTCCTTAAATATAAATTATTATTTTTGATCAGTTTTAATATAATATTACCTAAAATACAGTACTAAATGTTTTCAATAATTTCAAAAGGTCTTTTCTATTGGATATATTCAATCGCAAAACCTATAAGCTCTCTTAACTTTTCACACATAATAACTTTTTAACTACTTGCTGCTTATAAGAAATCTCTATCTTTAAAGAAATGCTACAAATACTCTTTCACAGAATATTAGTTTCTGTCAAGCTGTTCTTTTATTTATTCATCAGTTTTATAATAATCACCACTTTCAGCAATATGCTTTCTATCTAAAACAAATAAGTCTTCAGATACTTGATATTTTGAAGAATTAGTTTGAATTAAATCTTCTAAAGTCTTAACAACTTTTAATCTAAACTTTCTATTCAGCTAAATTAAATCAGACATACTCTCATAAAAATGAATAAATAATTTAACAAACACATAACTGAAAGAACTATTTTTATCTGTATTCAAAACTAGAGGCTTACGAGAATCCTTTATGCTGTTATTCTCCTTTAAGTCAATATATAATATTTTTTTACATAACTCAGTATACAGTCTCTATTTCCTTGCACTATTTTCTAATTCCCCAAACGTCTCTTTGACTAATTAGATAAACTAATCTTTATCCATTTTCTTCTCATATATTTTAATCAAATAGCATGGATGAAGTTGCATTAAAGTGAATAGCTTTTTATAACTTATTAAATAATATAAAAATAAAATCTATATTAGCATTAAAAATGAAGTTTTACTAAAATTTATTAGACAAAAAAGGCTAATATTAGTCCTACTTGAGCAAAATATTACTATTTTTTTCAGAATAAGAAATATTGAAAGGCTAACTAGCAATTCTTTTTAAAACTTAAGACTAAGCTGCTCTTTTGAAAGCCTTGTTATGGTTCAAGTGCTACTAGCAAATTTAGTATCTCAAAAATATTTCTCCTTAAAGAGCAGTAACTTTATCATATACATAAAGAATACGTTCTTCATTTAAAAGCCCATACTATTCTGATAATATTGAGTAGAGGTCAGGTTTATCTCTTGCAGTTAATTTTTCATAAGTAGATTTCACATTTAAAGGATTTTAGAAAAACTATTCGTATAATTGTTGGTTGTTTTATTTATTGTTTATTAAAAAAATGTTCTAATTTTGTACAATGGTCAAAGCTATTTATTTTAAATTATCAAAATAAATTTATTTTATTAACAATAATAACAAAATTATTTCTTAAAAATTTGTTCATTTTTTAATAGAAATGGTTAAAATGAAATCTTAAAAAAAAATACCTTTCTTTGATCTCATTGTGTTTTATCTATTTTGATTGTCTCTGTTAAAAAATTAAGTTTGTTATCTGTTATCGTGAGTTGCGCTGCTGATCACAGTTACTGATTTTACAGTATTAACTTTAGTTCCTTACATTGATCTAATCTAAGTATATTGTTTTGAAGATTTTTTATCTTCTCTATTTTAATCTTCGAAACCTTTTTCTTCATCTGCTCTTGGGTCAGAGTCGTCATCACTTGATTTCTCTCCTTCTTCTTCTGCTTCTTCATTTCCTTGCTATTGCTTTTTTCTTTATAAAAAAATCAATTTTAATTAGTCAATAATAAGAAGATATTTTATGATTTTACTGAAATATTTTAAGCTGCTCTTGAAGATATTTGTTGATATAATTACAATATTCAGGCTTTTCCAGTTTTTTAGTTAAATCATGTTAAGGTTTCTAGCGCTAATCAGCTTCAGCCTATTCCTCATTTTGAATGTTTTCGATTTGATTTTTATTTCTAGTATAAATTAAACATTGCTAACTAAATCAAAACTTTGCAAAAATAAAAATTTTTACGTATCTTTAAACATGTATCCATGTCCTAATCTTCCAGTTAAATTGTCATAGCCCCAAGTGTAAACTTAGTTTTTGCCAATGACGGCAACATGATCTTTAGAAACAGCAATTTTTTTAATTTCATTCACAGGTACTTCATAGTATTCCTGATCTCCTGTACCTCCTCTAAAAGGTAATATTTTTTCAAGAATGTGTTCGTTGTTATTTTTATGAATTTTTAACAACTCTTTGAAATCTGTTTCAAATATTCCATACTGATATATTTTATTGTCTTTTTTAGCCACTATAAAAGTAGTTTTGTCACCAAGACATACATGTCTCACTTTTTCAGTTATTTTTGGATGGAGAGTGGGCTTCATAAATTCATGATATTCGTGCTGGGTTGTAATAACTTTTTTTCCTTTTATATTCTCATCAGGTTTTGTATGACCAAAATATTTGTATGGTCCCCACACAACAAGATTATCATCTGTAGTTAGTGCAGCACTATGGTGAGATCCTGCAGATATGTATTTAAATAAATAATTTGATTGAATTTTTGTTGGTTCATATAAATTTTCTCTATCTCCATGTCCAAGTTTACTTTCCCATGCATTTCCCCATGTATAAACTACCTTTAATGAGAATTCTTTTAAATAAATACCTTGTGTTTAAAAAATTTTACCATTTTAACGTTTATCTATCTTGCATGCTCCTCGTCATCATCTTATTTAAAGAAATCATCTTAAGCTAAAGCCATAGAATGAGATTAACCGCAAGAAATTTACTCTACTTTTGATAAATTGGTAATCAATTGTGGTTAAAGCTAAGTGTTTGTCCTGTTACCTAACCCTAATTTTCCATCTTTGCTTGACCCACAAGAGTAAACTTACCCAGTATCAGTTAAAAAAAGAGTATGATTTTCTCCACAAGCAATAGCTTTCATTAAATTTCCTTCTAAACCAAGTACCATTTGAGGAGATTCAACATAATATTGAGTTTTTCCTATTCCTAACTATCCATCAGTATTACGTCCCCATGCATAAACCAAACGTTTATTTTCTATAGCCATGCAATATTCGTATCCAGCTGCAATATAAGTTATACGTCTATTTTCCTTGATGTTAAAGAATGATACGACTGAAGGAAGAGTTTCTTTTGATATATCATTTTATATAATGTTGATGTTTTTCTCGTTTGATTCATCATATTCCTGTCTTATAATATTACTTATGCATCCATGCTGACACATTTGGTTGCTTCCCCATACATAGATTTCTCCTGCATTAGTTAGAGCCATAGTATGAAAGACACCTAACTCAATATCAACAATATCGTTTGAGATAAAATCCTTTTCACTTGCCCTAAATATTGTAGAGTTCTGAATCGGATAATAAAATTTATGATAAGTAGTATACGAATCTATTTAATTCCTAAATTTAGTAGAGCAAGGAATCAGCATATTTGTACGATTCTTACTCAAATTTTTCATTTTTTCCGAAATGTAGTTATCTATGCTTCTTCCAAGACAATCATTTACTTACAATCCCCAAGTAGTTAGCAAACCTTAGTTGCTTAGTGCATAGGTAAAGTGTGGAGAGGCTGCTATTTAGTAGATATAAACGTCTTTTAAGTTAGGATTGTTAACACCCTTCAAAAAATTTATATCTAAATCAATAGGGTTTAAAAAATTATCTTTTTAATAAAATAGCTGATCCAAACCTAGTTTATTATGCTAATTACTTCCACAAGCAAATATTTTACCCACCTAAGTAAGTATAAATGTATTATTCATACCGCAGACTACATTTACTATAAAATAATTCTACAGTTTTTGTATCTTCACAGGAACATTTCTTTACTCTTAGTCACCCAATCCTAGCTATCCATTTTTATTATTTCCTATTAAAAATAATATAAATTTTTTTAAGAATGTTTGATATTGATCTAGTAAAGCTTCATAAGGCAACTTAAAAATTTATTTGATAAATTAACCCATTTTTTATGATTTATTTAAGATTTTCGTCTGCTAAAATTTCATTTGAAGTCTAAAAAAATAACAACAAAAAATAGTTTATTTAAATGATTAATTTATTATTACCAAATGAATAGGCATATCCTTCGTTTGTCAAACAAACTGTATGAGCTCCGCCACAAGAAACGTAAACTACCTTCTTTTCTTACAACTCACTTTTTACTGCTGTAGGGATACTTAAGTTCATCACATTTTAGTGACCAAGCTAGCCTTAAATACCTTTAAATAAATAATAATAATTTTAGGTAGCTGTATAAGAATATTGATTTTTAACCTTATCCCCATGTATAAAGTTTTCCTGAAAGTGATACTGCAGCACAGTGATTTGCACCACATGAGATAAATTAAATTCTAGAATCATCTCCTTTGTTTTCATCAAACTAAATGATTTTTGGTTTCTCCTAATAATCCAAATCACCTGTGCCTATATTACCATAGGAGTTATCTCCCCATGCTAAGACTTAGAAATTATAAGTTAAAATGAGACAAAAATTGAGTCCACAACAGATCTAAACTACAAAGGTTTTTCTTCCCCCTATTCCTTTAGGTAACTAAACAACATCACTGATACAGTATTTGTAATATTTCTAAGATATTTATTTAAATCATTTATTATCAATTATATTATTTGAAATGAATATATCTACTTCTTCGTGCTTTATTTCTTGTTCTCTATTTGTAAAAGTTTTTGTGTCATTATCATCGTCTTCGTCATCGTCAGAATAATTATTCTCTTCTATGTCTAGAATTACTTGATTGTTAGCAAGCAGTGCATCATTTTCTGAATACTAATTACTATCAACAATAGTATGATTTTTTTGACCTAAATCTATTCTTAAAACGTTTCTATCAAAATTTCGTGTTTTGAGTTTAGTTGGATGTCTTAAAAAATTCCTTTTTTTCTCAGTTTTAATTATAGCTGGATTGTCTTCTTAATGAATGCCGATCTCTCCAGCAAAGAATATTTTAGTTTTGCTTAATAATTCCTAAAACATTTCTTATTTAATGTTTTAATACTCTGATTTTTCATATTTTTCAGCTTTAGCCTATGTTAGTTTATCCAACCATTACAAATTTTTACCTTCAATAGCCAAAATTAAAGAAAAACTGTAGCCACAGCAAACTTAAATAGGATAATATTCTTCTTAATTATGAACCAAAAAAATCTTTTCAAATCGCTTTTAAGAATTTAAATGTAATAAAAAGTTAGAAAAACTCTTTCTATTATAAAATTTGTTTAGTGTTTACTTCTCTATCTTAATTATTTGTATAGACTGTATTCACTTATTTTCCTAATTAACCATATTAATTGCTTCCCGTTCCCAATAAAGTTGGCGCTATATATTGGTTTTTATCAGGATTTGCTCCTACTATTAACAAATAGAATTATTAAAAATATAAATGATAGCATTTTAATTCATAGCTCATTTTTTGAAAGTAAAAAACCTTTAAAAATAAATAAATTAAAATATTTAAATATTGAATAAATTCATACAATGACTCAAATAGCCTATTGCAAGTCCATGATTTAAACCAGCAGAGATTCTGGAATGAATTAAATCAGTCTTCATTTGAAGAGTGCTTTCGTAGGCTTCTTATAAATTTTTAAATGCATCAGAGCTTCTTATTTTTGCTTCATCAATTTTATATTTTGACATGAAAATAATAATAAATATAGTAAAATTTTATATAGTATTCTTTCTGACGTTTTTAAAATAATGATTTGAAAACTTGATAATAACCAAAAGATTTATCAATCTAATAAATAATTCTTAATTTAATACACTAAATTTTACATTAATTTTTAATTTCTATCATCTAAAATATTACATTTATTTCAAAAAATATATCTTTATTAAACTATTAATTCAATATAAAATATCTAAATATGTAAAATAAATAATTAACATTTATTTAAACGATCAAGATAATATACTAAACAATTTTTTTCAAAAAAATTGCTAAATAATATATTTTAAAAAAATATATTTAACCAAGTTTATTTAACATATTATTCATAGACAATATATTAAATGTAAATATTTTAAAACATGTATTTCAAAGATTTAACATTTTATTCTATTTTTTATTAAATTATTTTAAACTTTTTAATAATTAAATTTAAAAATTAAATTGGATAAAATTGAAATTTTACAATAGAAAAAATGAAAAAATAAAATGAGGAATAAAATAATTAACATTTATTTATGTATTAAATATATTTAAATTAAATGTTTTCATAAGGTTTTGTTATCAGTAACATGGTTAAGAGTCTCATAAAGAGCCTAATATTTTTAAATAAATTAAAATATGTTTTTCATTATATTTATTTACCTTTGTCCAATTATCAATAACAAAATCATAATCATCATGAGATTCAGGATTAAAAAATAAGAAGCACTGTTAATAACTATCTGAAAAAAGATCTGATAAACTATCGGAATCAGTATCGTTGCTTGATTCAGAACTATTAAAAAAATATTTTAACAAAATATTTTTGAAAAAAAGAATACCTGGATTGAAGGAAACACGATGATGGACGGAATTATTCGCTTCTTCTAAAAGTATGACGAAGTCTTTGATTTCTAGATCTCATTTGTAAAAAGCTACTACCTTCAAGAGCTTAATGAATTTCATTTTCGTTTGAATAAATTTCAAATGCAAAAGAATAATCAGCTTCAAGGGTTTCATAAATATAGTCCAAACAAGTTCCAGGACAAAGGTAACCTACTTCTTTTCCAGCAGCTCCAACACTACAATTTTTGCAATATTTTTTTTATATATCACTCACAATATTGATCATATGTTCTTCATTTCTTTCAGCTATTTAATTTTAAATAAACATAGTTATTTCAATAAAACATTTTAAATTTAAAAAAATATAAATACATTAAAATCAAATGATATAAAAATTAATTTATTTACCTCTTTAGTTTGTATAAGCATAAGGAGTATAGAGACCTAAAGTACCAGAGTGAATTGAAATGAAAACATTAGGTGAAAAATCAGTGGCTATTTTTTTTAAAACCTAAGTTTCTATTTCGCTAAAAGGAGCTTCGCCTGAATTAACTTACCTTTATTCATCTTAGACCTAAATAATATTCATGTATTAAATATTAAAACATTCAATTTTTAAGAAATTTTACATGTTCCCAGTGACTACCCCAATTTCTATTAATATCTACAAAATTTGGATTTTCACGCTTGCAATAATCACCTTCTTCTACTAATCTTCTAGAATTAGGATTTGAATTAATGATTAGCTTCAGATCATAGTTATCCCTTATTTTTTGTGTTAGTTCATAATCTCCAAATTAACTTTATCCGCATAAAGATTTAAGAAAATTTAAACCAGTTTCAGGTGATATTAATTCTCTTGGATGCTCGCCAAAAATTATAAGTGCTTTAAGTGGTTTATCGCTTTCTAGTGAGCTTAAAGTGACTTCATAAATATCAGGATCATCATTAGCCAAATTCTATTAAATTAAATGTAAAATAAAATAAACAATTATATGAAGTCAAAAAAAATTACTAAGCTATAGCCTTCACAATTACCATCTAGCTGTTGAAGTAGTAGATTTATTTCCTAATTTATTTTAAATAAAAAATGATTGTAAATATCCTTTATCTATGTATGTATGTTATTGATAAATTATACTTCATTCTCTACATAAAAATCAGTAAAAGAATGAAATATTTCTATTTTTTTACATCGGTAGTATGGTAGATATCAAAATTTATCTTTGAGCATTGAGAGACTTGTAAAAACAGTGTTGTTATTACTATTAAACTTATTGTAAATTTGTTTATTTTAATCATTTTTGTAATAATTGCTATTCTCTATGAAACTAAATCTTTATAAATTTAGTTATACCTAATAAATGTTAAATGAATGTAAATTAATTAATTGTGTGAAATTGCAAATATAATTGGATATCGTTTTTATCAAAAATAAAAACGAATTTGAATATAAAAAAAACTAATATGAAAAAGCTAAAAAATTGATAAATATTTGTTTACTATTGTATGCATACTAAAACTTAAAAATTAAAATTAAAAAAAAATTAATTTTTAAAATTGAATTTTAAATTTAAAATATTTTATAATATATTAAATAGTTAATATATTTTAAATTCTACCTACCTCAAACAAATAAAACAAATTAGCTTAAATAAATTAAATATTTACATATAAATTACCTTGTTTTATAATTGAATATAACATTTCAACTGAGAAAATAATTACTCCTAAAAATTTTTTAGAAATAAAATATTTTTTAAATTATAAAATATTTTCTCTAATCTTTTAATTAATATATATTTAAAACAAGAGAAAGAAATTAATATCAAATTTTTTCAATTGTGATACTGTAAAGCCCTGTAAAATATTTAATTATAAGGATTTTTTGTATTCTAAATATCTAGGTTTCATTCATTTTTTGAGACTTAAAATCCACATTTTTTTTGTTTAAAATTTTACAAACAAAAAAATAATCTCCATTAAAATATTTATCAGCTGAAAATATTTGATTAATTTTTTTAGATAAAAATAATTTTTTTGATGAAATAAATTTTAAATAAGTAATTAAAGATTAGAATAAAATTAATTTTTATAATTTTAAATAAATTTTACATTTTAAGGAATGAAAATAGAATAAAAAATAGTTTTGTTCATTTATTATATTTGAAAAAGCAAAAAGAATTAAAAAACTGATCAATTTAATTAAATTGAATGTATTCAAATTTTGTTTCGTTTGAATAAATTTTCTTAATTTCAAATTTGATAAAAAATATAAAAATTAAAAAATTTATATTATTTATTAAAATTAATAAATATAAGAAGATGGAGGATGAAAAAAATTGTTAATTGGAGGAAAGCAAATTAACAAATTTTTTAATTGATTTCAACAGCTTGATTGAAGAATATTAGAGCTAAGATTCAATTAAATCTATAATATTTGATAAAACTTGTTCTTTTATCATTAAAAAGAAGATTATTTCTTTTATTGATAATTTAAATTAATAATTTGAAAGTCTTTCAGAGGATAACATTGTTGAAGAATTAAATTTAACAATTATTAGTGGAGATAATATAGATTAGTAATCAGTGAGCTTCCTTTGTGATAATTTACTGTTAGTTTCTTATCAAATTAAAAGATTTGCACTTCATATTTAAAGTTAAGAAAATCTGGGTTAAGAAGGAATTTTATAGATAGGTTAATCTATATCAAACTTTCAAAATTTGCAAGAGCTAAAAATTTAATTTGACTTTAACAATATTAGAGAAATTGGTATCAGTGGTGTCTGCTAATCCTTTTAAAATTTATCATATTTATTGAAATTAACTTTAATTATTGGATGGAATAATATGATAGGACCTTAAGGAGCTAAATTTATAGGAAATTCATTTATATTTTTGAAAAATTTAAAAGAACTTGATTTGTAAATATGCCAGTTAAATAACATACAGAGTGAAGGTGCAAAAGGTATCGCAAAAGGTATTAGGAATTTAAACTAGCTATAAAAGCTTGATATAAGTTTTTTAGCAGGTAATAGTATTGGATAAAAAGGGACAACTAGTATAGGAAAAGCTCTCTAATACCTAACTCAGCTCTAAAGCTTGAGCATAAATATTGGGTTACAAAATAATATCAGTTCTTTAGGAACTAAAGGGTTGTTTTAAGGAATAAACAAGTTATAAAATTTATAAATTTTGCATTTATAATTTGGAAGTTTCAACAATATAGGATTATTAGGGGTTTAAGAAATAGCTAATTCGTTTAAAAATTTATAAAATATTATAGATTTATCATTTATTATAGATAAATTCAATTCTATCGGAAATAAGGAAGTTTAAATATTGGGATATGGCTTGAAGTATTTGATTAATATGAAATATTTTTCTTTTACAATAGATGAAGTATATGTCGATTTTGATGGGATTCAAGGAATATCTGATGGTATGCAAAGTTTAAAAAACTTAAAAAGTGTTATAATAATAATTTAAATAGAAATTTTTATGAAAAATTAGATAATTTAAGCTTATTTTGATTCCATTTCCAAAAACCCTTAATTAAGTCACTTAATTTGTGATTTCAAATAGCAAAAGTCTAAAAAGCAAAAAAGTAAAGTGATAAGAAAATGTGTTAGGCTAGTAGAGTTTAGATGATATTTGCATATTTTGTGAGTTATTTTTTTATAATGAATTTATTCTTTTATTTATTGGTTTAATTATATAACAAAAAATAAAATACTTTTTTTTAATAAATTTAAGAAATACTTCAATAAAATTTTATTACTCAGAAATATTTTTTCTATTTTTATTAAACGAATCTAGTAATCTTTCTATGTTCATAACTTTAATTTTAAATATTTTTTCTATGTTCATAACATTGATTTTAAATATTTATTTTTTATCATTAAATATTTAAGATATATTTTAGACTTTATTTTAACTTTTCTAAGCTATTTCTTACTCTTTTGCTTGTTACAATTAATTAAATCGAAAAAAAGTAGATTTTTTATCAAAAATATCAAGAATGAATAAGTTATAATAAAAATAATATTTATTTTTTAAGAAATAATTTGCAGTCAAACCCACTTTGCTGTGATGTTACATGTAAGACTCGTAATGGATATTAAGATTTTTCTAGCAAATTAAGAGGGAAAAAAAATCCTTTTTGAAAAAGGTAAAATCTCATAAGAAAAAGTTTGGATATTATCATATAGTGTATGAATGGATCTAGTAATTACCTAAAAATATATAGAAATTAATAGTTTGAAAATATATTAATGACTTTTTTTTTAATAATCTGAGAAAGGAAAGAAAAATGATAAAAGTTAAGTATTCATTGATTGATTTTAGATTAATTACTAAAATAATCTAAATCATAATTATTTTACTAATAAAGTATTTAACTAGACAATTCTTACCTCAATCAATATGAATGTTAATTTCCCTTATTTTGTAGTTTATATTTTATAAAACAAAGATTTAAATCAAAAATTTTAATTAATATATAAGTCAGTAATTAGTTATGAGAAAATCTTTATAGAGCACTCCAAACCATTAGATAAATGTTATAAGAATTCCTAGCAGTTAATGTATAGGTTCATATTAGTAGATAGTATAGAGTAAATAAAATTTTAATTAAATACAGCCGATTGAAATGGAAACTTTTGCAATAGGTTAACCTATCAGTCAAGATGGAGTGCCTTTAATGACTCCTTTACTCTAATTAAATTCATAAATAAGTCAAAATTAGAATTATTGTTAAACACCTACGAGTATGAGAGCAGCAAATAATAAAATTTAAATAACATCTCCTTTGAGTAGGCAATTAAATAAAAGCTTAAATTAGTTAAAGTTCGAACAATTTCCTGATTCTGATCTACCATAAACTCTTTATTGCTTTAAATGTAATAAGCTTGTGATCACATAAGTAGAAGAAGAGTATGGGTGCGGTACCTATTCTGTAGCTCTTGGATTATGTATTTTGTTTTTTCCTTGTGCATTTATTCCTTTTATGCAGAAACAGTGCAAAGATTATATACATAACTGCGGAGAGTGCAAAACATATTTAGGAAAGAAGGTTTTTCTTTGTAGACTATGCTGAAAAAAAAAAAATCTTGTATATTGTAAAGCTAAATAACAATAGTAAATCTAGTTAATTCACTAGTGTATATATGGAAAAAAAAACTCCTACTAATTAATAAACGGCAAACCCTTTTTAATTTAAATTTATAATGCTTCTCCATGGCATTTAATTATCAATTATTTCAGAAAAATTATTTTAATAACATTTTGAATTAATATTAAAATTTGAAATAAATAATTAAAAAATTACTTTGTTAAGTTTTATTGGTGGACATAGACGTCTCAAAAAAATACAACAAACTATAATATTTATAAATTCTAATTAGAGAGTATTCTAATTGAAGAATAAGTAAATTCCTTTTTATCATAACACAATTTCATCAAATAAAATAAAATAAAATGAATTATTTCTAAAACTATTTATAAATTTTATATAACTCTATTTTGTTTGTTTATATTTATATCTAAAAGTAAAATTATCATTTAAAAGTTTACACTATTGATTGTAAATATTTTATTTATTTAATTAAAATTAATAATGAACTTAAATAATATCAAATTTGACCAAATATTTGAATTTTTTTTTATATGTATTGTGTATTTACTATTTTTATATCAGAATATATTCAAAGTTTTTTTTAATTTTATTTAAAATTTTGGATATATATATTTTATATTGCTAAAAAATGTTCTGGACAGGTAATCATAATTTTTAAGGTAAGTTTTACTTTTATGTTATTTCCTTTAAGTAAATTTAATTTTAAATATTAAATTTTAATATCTTAAATTACAAATTGGCTAATTCTATTTTTATAATAAAATGAAAAATTAAAAAAATTTCAATTTAAAATATAAAAATTTATACTATGAAAATATAGAAAATAAAAATTGACTGTATTGATTTTAGATGGATGATTATCTTATAATAGCTTGGAGTTGACTGAACTTATAATTTTTCGTTTTTAAATGTAGAGATTTTTAAGACTCATAAAAAAAAGTTGATCGCTATTTATGTTGAATCTAGATTTATAAAATTAAATATTTAGAAAAGTCGTAAGATATTAGCCATATGCATGAATTTATATTAAATAAAACACGTTTTAGAAATTATTAAAAATTTTTGTTTTTTTTTAAATGTTTTAACAAAAAAGTAAGAATTACTTTGTTAGGAAATCAGAGGAAGTCTGACAAAAAGAAATTTAAGAAATATCTTTGTGAGAAAAAAAAAGTTAAAAATTAATTAATAAAAAAATTAAATAATCACAAAACATATTAAAAGGATTAATGAAAATAAAAAGGAATTAGCAAATTGCAATTATATTTGCTATTTTCATCTTGACTGCTATTTAGGCAGCAGATGATGTTGCAGATGATAAGGTTTAGTAAGCTATAAAAAGTTATTAAAAGTAAGTAGATGGAGGTATTTTAGAATTCGAGTGGTGTGGTACAAATGAAATTTATAACGATGAAACTGACCGTGTTGTTGTTGATTAAGAAGTTGAAGAATCATTCGATACTCGTATATTTGTTCTTACAGATGAAGGTTAAGTTTTTAAAAGTACAAACTATGGTAAAAGTTGGGTCCATGTCACTAAATCCTTTTATGGTTCAAATGTAAAACCTCATTTTAAATTAGCATTATTTAATTTTGAATTAACCATTTAATATCAAATTTTAAAAAAAGAATTAGCCATTTTTCTCTACTGAAGTTTCCATTTCTCCTGTTGATGGTAAAACAGTCTATATTTGGGGACACAAGGATACCAGCTATGTTTCTGAGGAATGTGGTAAGACTTGGAAAAAGTTAAACCATCCTGCTGGTTTGTTTGATTTTAGATTTCACCGTAAAAATAAAGTAAACAAACAAACAAACAAACAAACTACTTAGCTATTGATCTATTTGATTTTTTAAAATGGATTTTCTTTGACTAAAGTTTATTTTTTTATTTAATAGAATTGGGTATTAGCTTTCACTAATATAGAATGTAAGAGATTTGATGAAGATTGTGAATCTAATATGAGAAATCTTTACGTTTCTTAAGATGCGGGTGTTACTTTCACATTCTTAGCTACTAAAGTTTTAGAAGCTTCATGGTACTAAATATTGTTTGTTTGATAGAGAGTATTTTTATAGATTATACTTTAAATATAAATAGGAATAGAATGAATAACTTTTACAACGTTGACAGTCCTGGTATTTTAATGGCCGTTCAATAAGAATGTAAAACGTTTGAAATTTATAATGGAACTCTCAATAATTTTCTTTATTCAAATAAAAATAGCATAAAGTAATGTAGTTTACACTGAAGACTTCGGTAAAACTATGCACACAGTTTAAGAAGGTGGTGATAATTTCTTTTAAGCAGAGTACTTCCTCTTTTTAACAGTTAAGCCTAAAAACAGTAAAAGAACCTATGATATGAAAATCGCAACTATGTTTGACGATTTTAATTACTATGTTGAACCCAAAAGCTTAAAGCTTCCCTTTGAAAACACTGATTAACTTTCGTTTACAATTCTAAAGAGCGATGGTGCCATGGTTTTCCTTGCCATACACCACGAAACTCAAAATATGTGGTAAAGCAATATCTATGTTTCTGATTGGAGAGGTTATGATTTGACTTTAGCTTTACTTTACAATGTTAGAGCTCCAAACGGAGATTGCGACTTTGAAAAGGTAAAAAAAAATAATTTATAAAATAAGCTTAATTAATTGTTAGATATATAAAAAAATATAATGACAAAAAAGTAATAGATTGAGAAATAAATAGTGATTGACTTAAAATAGATTCTTTCAATTTTTAGAAAATTTTTGTAGGTTAAATCAAAATTTAATAAAATATACAAAAAATAAAAATAGATAGAAAGCAATGAAGGTGTTTATATAGCAAATACATATGATGTTGAAAAAGTTGAAAAATTAAGAAACGAAGTTAAAAAAATGGATATCAGCACTGCAAAGAATAAATTATAAACAAAAGATAAAAAGAATTTGCACAAAGAACTAACTAATTATAGGAAATCAGTCATTTCATTTGACAGCGGTTCTAGTTGGCATCCAATTAGAGCTCCTTCATAGGTAAATAAAATTGCATAATATTCCAAATTAATCTATATTTTTAACTTAGAGATGGAATGGAAAGACTGTTGTTTGCAGTGGAGAATGCAGTTTGCATTTAGCTGGTAGAACATATTATAAAAAATCTTAGATGTATTCTTCCTCTAACGCTCCTGGTTTAATTGTTGCATTAGGAAGCATTGGAACTCATCTTGAAAACAACTTCAATCTTCTTAACACATATCTTTCAAACGATGGTGGTCACTAATGGCGTGAAATTCTTAAGGGTCCTCATATTTTTGAAATTGGTGATCATGGTGGTATCATCGTAGCTGCTTCTGGTAATTTTATTTTTTATCGAACAAATTATTTATTTAAAAAGTAGAAATAGCAAACAAATCATTAAATTTAATTATTTTAAAAAAAAATGTAAACAAAAAATAATAATTAATATTTTAACATTTAAAAGTTGCCAATAAAACAAATATCATCAAATACAGTTGGGATGAAGGAAAAACATGGAGCGAATATAAATTGAGTGCTTTACCATTTGAAATAGATTAAATAATTACTGAGCCTAGCAATATGGAACAGAGATTTGTTGTTTATGGAAAAGGAAGAAATGGAACAGAAACTTCTATGATTGTTTCTGTAGATTTATAAGATTTGCACATTAGAGGTTGTGTAGGAGCTGAACATCCTAATAGACCTAATAGTGATTATGAAATCTGGATTCCTACTAATTTTAAAGGTGAACAATGTATTTTCGGTCGTAAAGTTAAATATGTTAGAAGAAAGCCTGATGCAAAATGCTTTAATTCTATCACAACAGATTAAGTAATTAATTTTTTAAGGATAAAAAGTTTATTAAAAAACAATAAATAATAGAAAACAGTTATTGAAGAATGCCCATGCACATAAGAAGATTGGGAATGTGACTTCGGTTTCTACAGAAAAGAAAACGAATTAGAATGTATTCCAATGAATGAGCATTATTCTCCTGATAATCTTGCTAAACCTCCTGCAGATTGTAGTTGGTCTTACTTAGTCTCAAAGGTAAAAATTAGAATTTTTTTATTAGACGTTGTTATAAGGATTCTTTAATTTAATAGGGATATAGAAAAATACCAGGAGTATTTTGTTAAGGAGGTGTTGATTTAAGTCCAGAATATAAAGAATGTCCTCCAAAAATATCAGTGCCTAGAACTGAAGAAGAAACAGATTAATATAAAAGCTTCAAAGAAGCATAAAAAGAGATTATTAGCTAATATTAATAGTAATAGTAGTAATCAAATAGTTAAAATGGAAAAACTGATTCATCATCTTCAATAAACTGGGGTGTTATTTTTACATAAATTTTCTATGCTGGATTAATTTTAACAGCTTTAGCTTTAGCTTTCATATTTAGAGAGAATATCAAATAAGTAGTAAAAAGCATTGGTGAAATAGGACATAATAAAGAACGCAAATAATATTAATAACTCTAATCATCTTAGAATAAATAATCATCATACACTTAATAGAAAAATACTCAAAATGTCCGCATTTAAGAAACTGAAGAAAGAAATTATGATTTAGAAGAATAAGACATGCATTATCCAGAAGATGAAAAGCCTGTCTTGTAAAGAGATCAAGAAGATTACTATTATTAAGAAGATTACGATTGAATTAAAATAACAAATTTCTTCATTTTAATTAATTTGTAAGTTTAATATTTTATTTTTTGTAAATTAATTTTTTAGTTTTCTAAAAAATTTCTTAATAATTTAATTTAATCTATTTTAAAATCTACAATCAAAACAGATTATGCTAAATGTTTTGTTAATTATTAAAGTTTAAAAGAGGATTTTAATTGAATTTAAATATATTATTATAAATTGAAATTGTTTATCTTATAAGTATATTTTATAAATAACTAAAATCTTAAAAAAAGCATTTAATATTTTTATATGTATAAATATTGCTAATCCTGTAATTAAAATATCACGAACTATGTAGGTACAGGTGGTGATATGTCATTTAATTTTTATGATTTTAAACTTTTTATTTTTTAATTTCGAATATTTAAAAAAAATAATTCGGCTGAAAAATATACAGTCACTCCCTTCTATTAATAGTAAAAAAATTGTTTTATAACCAAAGTACATTATTTCTTAAACTTCAAACACTATTACGGTAATAATATTTAAGAAAGTATTTAAATAATTCAAATATCAACATATTTTAAGTGCTGGTGATTAAATATGAACTCAAAGAAACAAATACCTTTCTTTAATCAAATTAATTAACTCATAGGCATTATCATTTAATTTTAAATTAAATTCTCATTTCAATATTTTCTTTCTTATATTAGAGATTTTTGACTTTAGCAATTAATATTCTAGTTTAATTTTATTTAAATATCAACAAATTAATAATAATTAATAAAATATAAAAGATGAGAAAGGTATTTATTTAGATTTAAATCAAATCAATTAAAAGTGTTTGTTTTAAAAAGGATACAGTTTTGATTGAATTAATTGAAGATAATTAAAATATAACCTCTCTTTATAAGTTTTACTTCTATAATCTTTTTCCCAAAAATTACAACAAAAGTAAATATTTAAAGCCATAAATATTTTTTATGAATGTCTATTTTTATTATAAAAAATATTTTAAAAATAAAAATTCATTTAATTTAGTAAATTTAATGTATTCTTACTATTACTAAATAGAAAGATGTTTCAATATAATTTATTGTAAATAAAGAGTATTCCAAATAAATAAAGAATGGATGGAAATAATTAAAAAAAATGATTGGAAATTATTTATTCTTAATTTTATAAGATAGTTTAATTTGGGATCACATTATTTAACATTCAAAATTTCAAATTATTAATTAATTAATTTGTATTACTTAGATATTTTCTGTTGAAAATTAGATTGATTTAATGTAAAGTGCTATATGTATGTGTGCTATACAAATAAAAATAATATAGTAAACAAAATTGGTTTTTATTAAGGTGATTACTATTTTTTAATTAAGACATATATAAAATAGATGAATAATTTGCAAAGCAAATATGCTTCATAACCAAACAGGCAAACATCTCTGAAGCCTCCTTTAAAAGACAGCTTATTGACAAAAAATCACACACCTGACCATATAGTAGGCGTGAAAAACAGCTTTAATGAAGTCTAAAAAAGGAAGTTTTTCAAAAAATTTTCAGAGCCAATAGATATATTATATTTAGATAGAAAATATGAAACAAACAAGAAATAAATAGATCCAAAAGTTGAAAATTATCAAGCCATAGTAATCCGAAGATTTAATTTCCAATTAAAATTTATAGGATTAAATTATATTAGTAAATGCCATTGATTTCATATATAGTAAAACTAAATTTATAAATTAGGCTCATTAATTTGAGTAATATCCTCCTTGTAGTTAAGAAGAAAGAAAAAAAGGTGTAGCTAGGGCAGATATTACAGAAGAAGGATTAGATGATTGGATAGCTTAAAATATGAATAGAAGCATTCCTGAAATGCTTGATCCTAAAAAAAAATTTAACGTGCCTGTAAGTAACATTTAAAAATATAATTTCTATTAAAAATGTAAATCGTATTTTAAAGTATAATTATTTAGATAAGCTTAAAGAAAGATACCCTCATTTAATACCATGTAAGGCATTACTAATTGGATTTTTTAAATTAATTATTATACAAATAATTTAATTAGAAGTTGAAGTAGTTTGCGAAGATGAAGAAGAAATGTTTTTAAGAGGTTTATTAGAGGATAGCACTATTGTTGATAGAAAAACTTTGTAAATAATAATAATTTATTGATAGAATTGTGAGTAATAAATAATATATTATATAAAAATATGAAGGGAAGAGAAAAAAAAGCAGTTTAAGAGAAAAGCAAACAAAAAAATACTAGAATCATTCTTTCTAAAACAACAGAACAAAGAAAAAGTTATAGATTTGAACATAGACCCTAAAAAATTAGAACCAAAGTATTGCATTTAAAAAAAAATCATTTTCTTAAAATTTACAATCAGATTTTTATAATATTTATTTTTTAAACATTTTTTATTAGAGTAATTCCAGGCACTTAAATTAAAGTTTCAACAATAAAATCTACTCAAGCAAACAACAGTCAATCAAATGAATTTCTTTAAAAATATGACATTCCAACATAGTCTTCAAATAAAAATACTCCTTATAGTTAATAAAGTGGGTACAACCCTAGGATTTCAATAACCTCTCATTAAAAAAAAAGATATATAACTAACAATACTCAAGCTGATGAACAACCTGAATAAAATGATTCAAAAAATAATTTTAGATCTACATCCTATGATAGCACTTTAAACTCAGCAGCTCATAAACTGTTTACTCTTAATATTAGTAATTTCTTAAGAAAATCAAATAATGAAAAAGACATAGAGACGTCCATAGCAGAAAAGGAACTGAGCTTTATTGAAGTAATTTCATCAAAAATTTGCTGATAAATATTTAATTTAAATTAATAAAATAGGGTTTAATTAATAAATAAAATGAAAGAAAATAGCTTGAAGAGTTAACAAGAGAATAGAAAAAATAATCAATCGATTATTTTAAAGATCTTTAAAAGTAAAATAGAAAAGAACTAAATAGAATTGTGAATGATGCTATGTCATACTGCTAAAATCCTCCTGATTTAGGATAATTTTAGCATATACCAACCAATACATCTCAGTAAGTTACCAAAGAAAAGCGTCCATAAAGTCATTCTTCGAGTAGAGCTTAATCTAGTTCTACATAAAAAAGATTCTTTATATTAACAAAACTTTAATCTAAACCCAGTACGGCCTAATCAGGAAAAAGAGCAACTCATCTCAATAACTTTAGTAATATAAATGGCAATTAATATAATGAAAAAATAGATTATAACGCCTAGTAGACCAAGCAAAGCTTTTATCTTTAAACAGATGAATAAGAAATTCATAAAAAAACTCAAAACAACTTTTTTGACTTCTTTCTATAGGATAACTTCATAAAAGTTTAAAATGAATCACCTATAAAATCCTCCTTAAATCCCATATCAACTAATTAAGATTATAAAATAAATATCAGTAATTTTTTAAATAATTTCATCAATCTGTTTTAACATAAAACATTTATTAAAATAAAGATAAATTTTTTGAGAACAATAGCTCCTAAAATACTAATTCTAGCTTCTACTATTAGTCATTAAGAACTTATAAATAAAATAAAATAAATTAAATGAGACAGAGAATCACATTGAAGGAATTAACTAAAGACTACATCAATTAAGACTAAAATAAAGGAACAACTATTTTTAACTAATCAAATTTAAATAAGTTTTAATAAAAGCAAAGAATAAAAAGCACATCTATGCATAGTAAAACTTTATAAATACTTAAATGATTTTTTTATAATAAAATTTTAAAAAATAGATAACAGTAGCTTTACAAATAACTATACATCAAATCTTCAGACTAGCTTTAATGGGAACCTAAACGAGTCTATAAATTTCAAAAAAATGGAATAAATTTAAACTAAAAAAGAAAATACATCTACGAGCATCATGCAAGGAACATCTCCTTCAAAAAAATAATCGGATTTACCAGAGTAAGTAGAAGATCTTCTAAATGGTGGCAGTGAGGATAATCTGCTTTAACCAAATGATGATTTTGCAAATCTTGTTTTGCATCTAGAAGAGCTAACAATCACTGAAAAAAAACATGTGACATAAATAGATAAATAAAAATATTTTTATTAAATAAAATTTATTAATTAATTAGGTAAATTAAATGTCCAATGCAGAGTTTTGGTTTTACAAAAGCTGGAAATTAATTGAAAAGGGATAAACAGAAGTAGCTACTTAATGTTTAAAATAAGTATTAATACAAGATAAACTCCATTTTAAATCTATTTTTAATATGGGCTCTCTCTATGAGAAAACTAAAAAGTTTAAGACAGCTTTAAAATGGTTGAAAATGTAAAAATTTGCTAATTGAAATTTTTTCATTTATTCTATTTTGAAATTTAATTAAATAATTTTTATATTTTTAAAACAAATTAAAAGATCCTAGTAATTTGGTGAAAATTTAGAATAAATTAAGTATGGAATAGCTTTGTGTTTATATAAATTGAAGGTCTTTGATGAGTCATACAATAACATAAATTCTTTGATAATATAAATTAAAGAAAAAGATGACCCTCCATCTAGATATATTTATTTAAGAGCTTTATGCTTAAAGCAATTGAAAAGAATTCAAGAAGCTGAGGATGATTATAAAATTTTTTATAAAAAGACAAGCCCTAAGAATTTTGATTTGCTCATGCACTTTATGATTTTATTTTCTTTTAAGTATAAAAGCAAAATAGCTAAATATCAAGATATGGAAATAAAATATTCAGCTAGAACTTTTTGTAACTTCCATAGTGCTGTTTAGCAAATTCTTTAAGGAGAATACTTTGAAATGAAGCTAACTAAATTTTACAAAGAAAGTTTGGGATGGATAAATTAAGATGAATTATTACAAAAATTGCAAAATTTATCTTTTTTTAAGAGATTTGCTGTTTCTTTATTAGTAATTTTATTATTTTAAAATTTAAATATAATTTTTTTTATAGAAAAAGTCTTTACCTTACTTAGAGCATAATCTCTTAGAAAAAGAAAAGCTTATCAATCCACCTGATGATGAGATTTATATCATTATATCAGGGTGTGTCTAAGTTTTCGATCACAGCAAAAATTATGAGAAACCTGACATCGTCTCTTATTATACAGAAGGAGATATTATAGGATGCGATCAATTAGAAAATGATTTATCTAAAAAACCAAATGTGTGGCTAATTTCCTAAACTCCTATTGAATATATAAAAATGAATAAAAATTTGTTTTTCGATTTGTGGAAAGGACAATACTCATTAGAAGGAGAAAAGATAACTTCGTTGCTTAGAAATTGCCCTATGTTTAAAGGAATCTCTGAAATATCTATGTTAAAATTGAGTTATGAACTTGTTTCAGTAAATAATTATGCATTATATAAAGAAGTTTATTAATAATATTTTATAAAAAGATGGAAGAATTTAAGTAGAATGAAATAATTTATAATGATGGAACTTATTTAGAATCAATGAATTTCAATTATATTGAGATGAAGAAATGCAGCCAAAGGAGAGGAGCTGGTTTGCTAAAAAGAATTGTATAAAAAATGACTTCTTATACAAGTGCATTATATAAAATGACTAAATTTAGAAAATTTTGTATAAAAAACAAATAAAAAATTTAAAAATTAATGTGGAAAACAAAAATCATAAAGGGCTTTTATATAATTGTAGAAGGAATAGTAGAGTTAGAAAATGATTAAGGTTGGAGCTATATTTTAACCCCAGGAGATTTCTTTGGTGAAAATTTAATTTTCAAAGTCAAATCTCTTTCTAATTTTGGAAGAATTAGAGCTGTTACAGAGAAAGTAAAAGTCCTCTTTTTACCTAGAGATAAGTTTAATCAAATAAATTCCTTAGATGTAAAATATTTTGTTTGCATTTATTATTATCATCAAAAAGTTTTACAATTTAACTAAAAATAACTTTAAATATTGCATAAATCATTAAATATATTATTTTCTTTAATCTTAAAAAGCTATTTTATATAAAAAATAATAAAAATAATACTTGATTTTATATTTATTAAAAAAAATAACTTTGAATTTAACTTATTTTATTTTTAATTAATAAATTTTATGAAGTATTAATGATAATTTAAATTCCAAAAATAAATTTAATTTAATTTAATTCTAAAATTATAGAGAGCAGTAATGAAAAGTAATTGCCTCAATAGAGAGTAAATTAAAAATATTGAATATCAAGCAAATAGGTATTCAGAAATCAGGAAATTAAAGAAATAAAGATAAAGAGAAAAAGAAGAAAAAATGCTCTAAGATTAAACAGATGAAGATTACATTTAATCATTAATTTGATTAAGTAAGGTATACTCTTTATAATAAAAAAACCAACTGCAAATGCAAATAAATAAACTAATTAATTAATTAATGATTAATATCTACTCTAAGCTTTAAAATTATTTTATAGGACTTAATAAAAGTTAATAAGAGAAGGATAAATCTTTTATTATTTAAAAGAAAGTAGATTATGTTTAATTAATACAAAAATGGAATCAAAAACTAATTTTTTCAATATAAACTATAAAATTTAATAAAATGCATAAGTTGATTTAATTTAAATTGAATTGTATTTTATATATTTATTTTTTTTAAGTTACCTTTATCGTAGGTAATTTAATTATTTACTTAATTACTTACTTGTATGATAAATAGAATAGACTACTTCAAAATGGTTTATCCTTTAATATGATAATTAATTTATTATTTTCTTATTTGTACACTTTATATAATATTAATTAATCTATATAATTTAATATAATTACTTAAATTTAATATTTAAATATTTTTATTTCAAGGAAAATTTTAATGAGTTTGTTTGTTGTTATTTATAAATTGAAATTTATTATCTTTGGTTGATTGATTGGTTGGTTGGATTATTTGTTTAATTTATTGATCTCTTTTGTATCAGATTATCGTATCTGCCAACAAATAAATAAACACTTAGATTTTCAAAATATTTTATTGGTATGTTTACATTTTTTCATTCTAATTAATGGATTGATAAAGAATTATTTTGTAGTTCAGCTTAGCTTAAATCATGATAGTAATCTCCACTAGGTATAATTAAATTACTGCTGTTAAAATTTATTTTGCTTGATTATTGCGAATTGCTAATGCTACTGTTTTTAAGTATATTTCCTTTAGACTTAAATTAAATATCTTATTTCTACATTTTTGGATTAGTTATTATTTATTCGCCTTATTGGTATTAAGATTTGTTGTTTATTTCATGTCTATAAATTAAGTAAAAAAATATAAATATGATAAACATAATAAAATAAAATAATTACATCATTTAGTTTTATAAATAGTTCTAATAAAAAGATTCACTGATATTTCCCTTTTCATCGTTTGAAGGATTCCTCATATGGAGAGAGTGGTATTTTTTATTACTTTACTGCATTTAAGTAAGATTATTATAGTTAATAAATTTTTGCTTATCAATAATCTATGGGTGTTGCATTTCATATTGCTAATATTAATTTTCAGCTTCGTATTATTCATTGAATAGATTGTCATCAGTTACATATTCAATTTCTTATTCATTATCTTAGATTTATCCGAAATTCATTATATTTTGATTTATTACTTAAGGTTTTATACTCATGTTTTATTTTTCAATTTCATTTACCTCTGCCACAATATTGGGATTTGAATAATTAAAGATTCCTGTATTGTTATGTATGCCTTCACCTTCATATATATCTTCTTATTGGAAGTTTGATCTATTCATATTCAAAGGCACTTTTTAGAAATTTAAGTGAGATTTAGGTTTGAGCATCTTTTATTATTGGCCATATTTTTAATTGTGAACACTAAAGAAATGGCTATTATTTTCAAAATCATCAAACTTAAGCTCATTCATACTCTCCTTCCTACTTATTTAGTATATTTTTGTTTTGTAAAAATAAATTTAATTTGTTCAATTTGATTACCCTTTAGATGAATAATTAAAGTTCTGTGAAGAGTAAGAATTTTTAGAATTTGATTTAAAAGTACTCATTTCGCTGCTTTTCTATTACTGAGATTATAATTACCTAATAAAATTAAATTAAATTAATTTTCTTCATTCATACAAAATAATTTATTACTATAAAGCATATTTAAGAGTGTAATGATCATTTTCACGATCAATAGTTAATTTAGCCAAATTATCTTATGTATGTTTTAATTTAAAGACAACCTCGTTGTATTTTTATTGCATTTATTTGATCACATTTTCTAATTGTGCAATTTTCTATTAATTATAAAAAATTTTTAATTTTATTTTTTTAATTTTTTTGCTAATTACATTTTTATCTTCAGTTTTTTAAGTCATTAATTTTGATATTTCAAGCTACTGTAAATTTTTTTAATATTATAACTCCTTTTTCTCTCCAAGGATTTTTTCACATGTTTATTTATATATCATGTTCTCCTTTATAAGTTATTCGTTTTATATCTGGATATTTTAAATTTGCGAATTCTAGAGATATCTATTATTGTTACTACCTAAGCCGCTATTTTAGCTGTTAAAGAAATTGTTTTGATAAGCCTAGGTGCTAGGTTTTGAGGAAGTGTATGAAGGTGATTCATCTGGCTAGCTTAAGTAGGTCACATAATTTCCTAAAAACTACAAAAATTAGGCCTAATCAGTTTTTTATACTGAAACTCCGGTGGACTGGTTTGTTTCGTGAGCAGACAAACTCTCTAAATTAAAATTAAAAATAATTAATTAATTAAAAGATTAAAACAAATTTTTTATCAAAATCAATCTCTAAAATTATTTTAAAAATTAATTTTTTTTAAAGTTAATCAATATTTTTTTTTCTATTTTGACTTTCTTCACCCATTTTTAATTATTTTAAGTTAATTCTAAATTTTAACTCAATTTCATGAATTGAAAAATATTAAAAAGTAGTTAATTAAGAATTTTATTAATTATATCTCAATATTTTACCTAAGTTATTTAACTAGTTGAGTTATTGATGTTATTAATATTGTTTTTAAATAGAATTTCTTCCCGAGTCTATTTTAAAGCTGAGATTATTATGCTATCCTTAAACCTTCTAACAATCACTTTAACTAGTATCATGAGCGCTTTTTTATAAAGCATCACTGCTCTTTTCAGATTATTTTTATTTACTAAATATAGGCAATGTTTCATTTAAACTGCGATGAGAAAGAGATTTCTGTTAAATTTAATTCTAGGAAGAAGGTTGGTTTTGATTTTCTTCTTTTGAGTCTAATTTATTGCTGCTTAAATTACTGTTTCTGTGTGTCTTTGATTAAAGCTCAAAAGAAGCTATATAATTTTAATAGAAATAAAATTATACTTTATCAACTATTACAAAATCCAATTTAAAAATTCTCACTTTAATGACTATTAGCTGCATCTGTGTGTCTGAGGGTATTTGTTGACATATTCAAATCATTTTATGAAGACTGCTTTGCTTGATTTTATTGAGATGGAGTTGAAGAATATTACCCCATACTGCTTTTAGTTCTATTATGCATAGCTATTTTCTTCTAATTATTACGAATTTCTTTTTACTTAAGACTATTCATTAACGAATTTATATAGTCCAAATTATCTTAACTTTTCTTATCCATATTTCCATAATAGGCATCGCTTTGTTTGGAAAAATAGCCTATGCTTTTATTTTAATCGAATGAGCAATTGTTGGACTAGTTTTCATTATTTAACTTCAAAATTTACTGTTAATTTTAGCTATTTTATAATGCTTGCTGCTATTATTCCATCAAATTCAAATCTTTTTCAATATCTACTGCTGACTAATTTCTTTTCTTGTTTATCAACTCTATTAATTGTTAGGATTTCAAAAAAAGTTACTTTCTTCTTCAAATGAAAATCACATAAAAAAAATAAAATATTTAGCAAATTATAACTTAAAGAACTTATTTAATTTGAATTTAATTCTTTACTTGCATATAAAAGGCTATTTGTCTTAGCTTTTGGAGTTGTCATTTTCAGTATTTGAATTTATTTTAAAAAAATAAGCTGTTGGATATAATATTTTAAACTAATGCTATAATCTAGTTTTTTAACAAAGAAATCTACCCAATTATCTATCTTTTTTTCTTTAATTTAATTATTATTATTAATTAATTGATTTGTATTTTTTAACTTTGTTCAATTTATATTTTTCAAAAAATTTAAAACTATAAGATAGATTTCTTGACAACCTCTTTTATTCATTACTATTTAACACATATTTACAAACAATCAATATTGAACAACCTATTTTCCCATTAAAAAATTTGAAATTTTTATTTATTTATTTATTGTTTGTTACTAATGGCTAATAGATAATAAATTAATTAGTTAATTTATAAATGTATTTGATATGTAGAAAAATTATGAAAAGCATAAATTATTAATTAACTAATTAAATAGATTGACTAATATATAGAGAACTCTTCTGTTCGTTATTTATATAATCCACCAAATCTTATTTTTCTTAAATAATATAATAAGAAATTGCAAGAGTCATACAAAATTTTAATTAATTTCTATCATTTTTTAATCAATCAATCAATTATCCTATTTATCTATCTTAAATTTAGTAATATTTTGTCTAACTATTTTCATTTTAACAAGTAAAAAAAGATTGTCTTTTTTGATAGCTTAAATAAATTAATAATAGAAATAACATAAAATTATATTAGTAATTTTATTTTATTTTTCAAGAATTTCTGTTTTATAAATAAATAAACTAAGGCTTTGGCTATTAATACATTTCTGACCCAAGTAATGCTACTAATTTCGACTATCTTTCTTCCTATATTGATTAAAATAGATAAATCAAATAGTAGAAAATAAAATTTGTTATTCAGAAAAATAAATGTAATAGAAGATTAAAACTTTAAATAGAGAGTACTAATTGAAATTCGAAAAAAGTAGCAATTAAAATGAATATCTTAGTGATATAAAACTTAAATTTTAAATTAAATCAACTTGCTACTAAGTTTACTAAATAACATTTTTGAGAAATAAATACTAATTATTTTAAAATTCATAATTTTTATATTTTTTAGAATTTTTTATATCACAATTAAATAATTAAAAATTATTTCTGGGAGAGTAGATATTAAGGAAAATTTTATGGCAAGTAAGAGTTGGTTAATTATATAATCACTTTAAAAAATATTTTAAAAAAGATGATTGATTAATTAACCCTCGTAAAGTAAAATATTATGATAAAAAAATTAAGAATACATTTTTGAATAAAAAAAATTTAGAATTTTACTTATTTAGTTTTTGAAAAGATTCTACGCTAAACAGCTGATTTTAAGTGAGCCATTTCACTTTAATTAGTAGAATGTCTGATCATATCTTTAAATTATCTGAGTTTTTTTGATATATTGAACATTGAATCTACAGAATCATTTACTGATAGAGCATATTGTCTGTTCTCTCTCTCAAGTAAATAAAGTGGATCAATTTTATTTACAGATTATGATTTTATTAATTGATACTATTATTAAGGAGAATTAAGCATATCCATAGTAGTTTTTAGTGCCTATTAATTTGATAGAATAGGTTCTTAGTGTTTACCTATTGATAAAAAACGTTTTTTATCCCCTATATCTAGTACATCGTTGGGTTTTATTACCCTATCTAAATGAGAACGCAGATTTAAGTTTGTATATTCAGGTCTTAAGCTTTTATATAAATCTCCCACATATAAGTGCTAATCGTTTCTTTAATTTGATAAATCAACCTACCTCTCATCTTTAAATAACGATGATTAAGAGCCATACATATCTGCTATATTTGCTGCTCTTTATTAGGGTGATCTTGTAGTATTTGGAGAAGCTTGTACTTAATCGTAGTCCTTGTTCACTTGATAATCCTAAAACCCATAATTTTTTGGTTAGTATACTTTTTGATTAGATAAATGATTCTAGCTTAAATCATTTTTTGGATTAACTATATCCTAAGAAGCTCTTTAGAATGGATTTTAAGTGCTAGTAGCATTAGAATATCTAGGATTTTATTATCCATACAACCTTTCTAACTACATTTTATAATTTTTAGGATCAAATGCCATATTATTTGGTTTATCAGAAGAAAATTACTTTTATTTAATTTTATTATATTGATCTTCATAGTTTGCTAGTACATACTTTTATCTATCCTATTTAAATTAAATTCTTTTTGGAAATGTTCAATATTCATCATAAGTTGCACAATTTTACATAATTTTAATTATTTTAGCTGTTGTATCCATTCATAAGAAATTATTAAGGTTTTGGTGCAGGTTCAGCAAATGCAACTCTTGGTGATCCTTGTTTTTAAATAAGTTCCCCAAAATTGTTATACTCAAATTTAGTTCTCTAATTCATAAATTATATATCAATTAGGTAATTAAAAATGCAAATAAATAATTTTAAAAATAGCAAATATCATTAATGCTGCTTACAATAGGAGAGTGTTAATATAATAGACTAGCTTGAGACATATCCTTGAATTCTGTTAAACTTTTCTAAATAATGCTTGCTATATTTGTATATAAGTCTGACTATTTTTTTATTAAACTAAAGAATAAACAAATGGTGTTTAATTGATTAATTAATTAAATTATTTATTAATAATATGTTTTGCGATTAAAAAGTATGCAAATTTGAAACTAATAAATAAAAATTGATTTTTATTTTAATTAAAATAAACTGAAAAGTCAAACCAATTATTTATTTACCTCACAAAAATCAGATTAATTTTATTAATATGACTTAGCATAATTATTTTTAAGCTCAAATAACTCTACTTTATATATTTTAATATTTTTATTGCTTAGTAATTTTAATAAAATTATTTATTGTCTTATTTATATATTCACAATAATTGAAATCTATCTTTATGATATTTTTAAAAAGATAAATTAATATTTTTTTAAATTATTTTTTTATGAGCTTAATTATTCTAATTGAACAGAAGGAGAAGGAAGATATTAGAAAATAATATTTATGTATTTTATTATGTAAAATGAATATTTTTTATGCTTAAAGAAATTGGATTAAAAAATATTTTTTAACTTCTTTTAGATTTATTAAAATTCGAATTAATTTAATATTATTTTAAAGATTGTTAAAATCTATGCAATTTAATTTTAAAAAAATCTTTTAATAATATATAAATATTTTGAATTTATCTATAAAGAAAATTAATATTAAATTTTGCAAATTGAGATTTTAATTTTTCTGATGGATTAGGATTCTGAAGGTTTTTAAGAAAGGATTGATTTGCCAGATCCATTTGAAAAAAAGAAAATGGATTTTGGCCTACCTGATTATGAAAGCATCAAGCAACTGTAAATTACAGAAAAGTAGTTAGTCATTTTAACAGAAACAGGGAAAATTTTTAGATAATTATATGAAGAAAGAATTTAATTGCAAGAAATAGAATTGCCATAATCATCATAGCCTATTTATAATATTGTTACTAACATTTTTGGAAAAAGCTAATCATATGAGCCTATAGAAAAATTTTTTTTAGATAAGACTGGAAATCATTGCTTACTGCAAGGAAAAAATGAGTAAACATACTATTGGCATGCATCTGAAAACAAGATTAAGATAGTTTTGTCTAAATTCAATAAAGATATAACATCTTTGGCATTTGATGATGCAGCAATCTCTGATCAAGAAGTTGCTTTCTTATTTGGAACAAAAAGCAAAGAATTTTTTTATGGTAGAATACAAAGGAGAAAGACAAATGACATAGAGTTTACTTGCTATTAAATTGATTCGCTAGTAACGAAGAGCCCTATTTAAAAGATTTTCATTTATCAGCTAGATTATTAAAAAACCAATTACACGTATAATATTTAATAAGCAACATTAGTTAGAATCTTATCTTTTTTAACAATAAAATCGCTTTTTAAGCTAATTCAATAAGAAAGATACGTTTTTGTTATTGCTTAATTTAAAAAATATTATATTACAATATAATTGATAAATTTTTATATATTTTAAATAAAGATGTGTACTTGTATGTGATGATTAGACCTTTAATTACTTCTATGATGAGCAGCCTTTGCCAAATCTTTTTAAAAAGTATGAAAAAGGAAGTGAAAATCTTGATGAAATACCAATCAATCCTCCAGGAAATATAATTATACATATGGCTAAAAAAATTGGTTGTAATAGACCTCATTCTTTTGCTTATACCACAGGTTCTACTATAATATGTCTATAATTATCATCTGTTAATGAATTACCCAACGACTCTTTCTTGAAAAACTTTAAATTTCTTTAGTATGCTAAAACAGAAGAAGATTCTCGTAAAGATGTGAAAGATAGATTTTTAATTGAAGGTAAAATTTATTAAAACATTCAAAAAAACTTAATTTGCTTATCATGAAAAACTATTGAAATTCTTCAAAAAAATATTTGATTTTAATAAATAGAAAGAATCCTCAAAATAGGATTAACAGAATTTCATTACTTTTTGCTTCATGAGGACTGTCTAACAGTAATGAGTAGATTAGATTAAAAGGTAGTTACTACATTTGAACTGGGAAATATGTAGGGACCTGTGATTGATATGATCTACGATGATTCTTCCAGTTAAAGATCTTTTCTTATTTATTCTAGAAAGAGAATTTTAAAAATTGTGATTAACATGGAAGAAGAATTTGCATGCTATGATTTAATTAAGTAAAAAGATATAAAAGGTGCTTACGAGCTATGCAAGAGAACAAATTTGGACTGTCTTCCTTATGTAATACAAAATATTTTAAGAGAATATTAATCTAAATTTGAGTAATTAATTAATTTATTATCATTAGGTTTCTGGTTTATATGGAGATTATTTGTATTAGGAAGGAAAGTATGTGACTGCTGCATAAGTTTATTCAACATCATAAAAAACATTCGAAGAAATTATGATTAAGTTCTTAAAAAACGAATCACTTGAATAGATTGAAGGCATAATAGGTAAATTAATATTCTTAAATACTTAACTTAAATAAGATTTTTTAATTTATCTTAAATAAAGAGTATCTGTAAATTTAAGCTGCAAGACTCAATAATTAGAAAAATTAGGTTTAATTTAAAATAATTTCAGGATTGAGCTTAGAATATTACAACTATAAAATTAATGAATTAGAGAAGTATTTAGAAGTGCTTATTTAAGAGGAGGCATAAAAAGAATTAGAAAAGTAATCAGACTAACATCTTAAATTTAAAATAGAATATAGAGGCAATTAGCTACAGGTAGTTTATTTAGATAATTTAAATGAAATGAGATTGAGAAAGCAAAGTGGTGAAGATCAAACACCAATGTCTTAGCCCTCAAATAAATTGAGTAACGATGGTTAAGCTGATTAAAAAAGAAAAGCTTCTTAAAATTCTATCACAAGTAAAAGAATTGTCAGGATATAAAGCAAGCTTAAAAAAATAAAAGATAATTATAACTCATTTTTGAAAAATCTTAATTCTTAAATAGATCAAGAATTCGTTTATGAAATAACTCAAAGTCATGGAAGAATTGATGACTGCTTACAGTATGCAAAGGAGTAAAATAATTATGAAAATGTTATAACACATTATGTAAACGAATAAAATTACAAAGAAGCTGTCAGCTATCTAAAAGTTTTAGCCAAAAAAGACAGCAAAAGAGCCATAGAAATCATATACAAATTTTCTTACATTTTACTCTAAAAAGTTCCTGAAGAATTCATTTCTTTGGTCTTAAACTCTATCAGAGATTTCCAACCTTCTAAATTGATATCAGGATTAATGAATATTCCAGGCACCTTTAGAAAATTTGGAATCTAATTTTTAGAAAATTGTGTTTATAAATAAAAGAGCTCTGATAAAATCATTCACAATCTTTATCTTTTTTTCTTGGCAAACCAAATTCGTCCTGATGAAAACAGCCAAACTTAAAAAGTTGATGAGGAAGCTTACTAATAACTTATGGATTACTTGAACAAAGCAGAAGAACAAGAAAACTAGTAAATTTATGGAAGTTTATAGAATGATGATTCTGAAATAAGTTTGTATTCATAAAAATCATCAAGAAATTCTCAAAAGCAACAAAATTATATTCTGAAATTTGATTTAGATTTTGCACTTCATTTATTTGAATCAAAAATGATTACAGATGCGATGGTCAAGACCTATGCTTTGATGAATTTTTATGATTTAGCAGTTAAATTAGCTTTAGATAAAAATAACATTAGCCTTGCTAAAGAATATGCTTCAAAGCACCATAATGATGATAAAAAACATAAATTGTGGCTCAAAATAGCAGTTCATTTAATTTAAACATAGTAATCCCAAAATGTTCTATAATTAACAAATGACAGTAATGGTTATTTAAAAGTAGAGGATCTTCTTCCACATTTTGGAGAAGTTCATCAAATAGACCTACTCAAAGAATAAATTTGCAGTAATTTAGAAGACTATAACAATGAGATTGAAAATTTGAAGAAAGAAATGGATTAACTAAACGAAATGTCAGATTCACTTAAGCGTGAAATTAATACTTATTCTCATAAATCTCTATAGATTAAGGGAGAATAGGATTGCAGTATATGTCACAGAAACCTTCTTTCATAAGATCATTATTTCTTTGGCTGCTTCCATGGTTTTCATAGAAATTGCTACATTTAAAGAATGTAAAGTGATATAATAGCTGAATAAGAGAAAGAATAGATAAGCGATTAAGGCGAAAAATAACTAACTTCTTATTCTCAAAAGAGAGTTTTTGATAAAATAATATCAATAAATTAGTACATCAATAAAATCTAATCGGATTTAAAAAATAAACAAGAAGAAGAAATTAAGTAAATGAAATTAATGTTAATAGATGAAAATCAATAATAGTAATCCTCTTCAATTACTAAATTCTTTAAAGGACTTGGAGGTGCTTTAATAGGTGGAGCAGGTAAAAAAGAAGATGAATAATAAGCTACTATAGATATTAATGCTTTCAAAAAAAAACTAAGTTCTATGGCAAATCTCAAAGATATGTTATAATTATTTTTAAGTTAAGAAGAAAGGGATGAATATTATAAACAAGTATAAATTGTTGATGACTTTCTCTCAAAAGAGTGTTATTTTTGTGGACTTTCTTCTGTTGATCGTATTCATACATTTTATCCTAAAAATACTAAGAGTTCTATTGATTGGGCGATTTGATATTTTAAAACAATTTTTAAAAGTATTAAAAATAAAAACTATTTATATTTTTTGTAATTTTATTTCTAACTATTTTATCATTAAAATCAAATTATCAAAAAGCATACTTTTAATTTAATTTTTTCATATTTTTTATTTTAAAAAAAAAGAAAACAAATAAAAAAAAATTGCTCTTGCTTTTCTTTTTAGAATTTTAGAATAAAATAGAAAAGATAAAATAAAAAAATGATTAATTTAAAAAATAAAATGAGGGGTAAAGAATAAGTAAAATTTTAATTAAATTAGTAAAAAATATTTCTTAATAAATTTCATAAATTTTTATAAAATATTATTTAAAAAGTTAAAAAATGTTGGTTTTAAAAATATTTTTTTAAAAAAAAAGAAGGTTATATAAAAAACAATAGATCATTTTTATAAAATAGAACTTTATGATTATTTAAGATACCATTATTTGATAAATTTAAACTAAATAGATTAAAAATAGTATTCAGATTTTACTTTGATTTATTAAGAGAAGTAGAAATTGTCAATTAATAAGAATAAATAAGCTTTTTAAATTAAAATATACCAGAAATTAATTTTTTGAAAGTCTATATATTACTTAGTAGTAATTTAAAAGAAGTCTACACTTATTTTACTATTCCAAAATAAGGAAATTTAAAAAATAATACTATCCATAATGTTTAAATATTTAAAAAAATAAGCAACTATAAAATCTTTTAAATTTATTTAATTTAAAATATTATGAACTTATTTGTTAAAAGTAGAATTTTTTTTAATTTCGTAAGTAAAGTAAATGAATAGATAGGTATTTATATGCAAACAAACATATGAAACAATATTATTAAATTTTATTACAGTTTTAATCAATTTTTTGGAATAATTTTCACTTCTTTTTTAGAGTAATATACTTAAGTCCCTCTTATAACCATCATTAAGGTGGAAAGTATTATCAAGCAAATGCTTGCAATTTATCCGGGATTCATTTTGAATTTATTAAAGTTGTTTTCGATATTGTATACTTCTGTTGCGCAATCCCATGAGCAACCCAAGAAAAATTTGAAGTAATCGTTTTCATAAGAGTCTTTTTAATAGCAATTATTGTAGCAATCTTGAGCTCTGCCTTAATCCTAAGCGTCAGAAACGTATTTAAATTTATTAATGTAGCAATTTTTATTATCTGCTTAACATTGATTAAATTTATCAGAATCAGAATAAAATCCAGGCATTACTTATGTTTCGTTGTAGCTAATTATATTAGAACATTTGTATTTGATACAATTTTATAGTTAAATGTAGCCTTAGCCATTGATTTAGGTAATTGTTACTACCAAAAGTACTATTTTTAAAGTTAAATTTATCATTTTTATCAATTTATAGATATTTATTGATTATTTAGTTGATTGATCGATATATTTATTTATGTATTGTTTTTCTCAAAAATTAATTATTCTTAAGTAAAAATTTTACTTTTAATATTTTACCATCAAATCTAAAAGAAACACTTAAAATAACTTTTCTCAAAGAATGAAGCTATATTGATAATCATTCAGTAAAAAAATAAACTTTTTCTATTACTCAAAATTAATTGGTTCAAGGGTTAAGAAAAAATTAAATATCAGGAATGAATGGAATGATTAATTAAATATTAAAATTTTCATAGTAATTGCTAAAAAATATGTTTGTTTATGTGTAATCAACATTTAATGAAATATTTCTAAGGAAGAAATTCTTAAAATTTTTAATTTATTAGAACTGCTTTGATAAAAATAAAATAAGAAAAATTAAATTAATGAATACTTTATAATTTAAATAAAGCCTAAAAAAAAATTTAAGTTTTTAAATTAATTTTTTATTTTATTTTAGAAAATGAAAAATATTAAACTATTTGAAGCAAGCATAACTATTTAAATATATGTATTATTTTTTGATGAGCTTTTTAAAAACAAATAAATTTAATAAAAATTATTGAAAATGAAATTTAAATATTAAAATATGTCTTTAATTCTAAGTATTAATATTTAGATTCTAAAAAATTAACAACATTAAAATATTTATTTTAATTAAGTACATAGTCAAATCTTTATATTTTTGAAAATCTTAATTAAAAATTGATTTAAAAAGATAAGTAAATGATTACATAAATAAATTAGATCTAAAAGTAATTAATATTCCTTTAAACTGAAGATTTTATATTTAACAACAGAGCTTAAAATATTTTATTTAATCTTTGTTATAATTTTGAATAAAAATAAACTTTTAAAGGAAAGTAAAAATTTTGGATATTTAAATATGAACTAAAAACAAAATAGTTGAAAATTTTATTTAAATTCTATAAAATTGGAAGGTTAAAAAATACTTCAAGCATTTATTATTTAAATTATTTATTTTTTTTTGAAAAGCTTCATTAAAAAAATAAATTTATAAATACAAACAAAAAGTTTGAAGATTTAATTTAACCTAATCAATATCTAAAAATGAATATCAAATTAACTAATTTACTTTTTATTTATTTTGAATATCAAAAATCAATCAATAGTTTGAAATTTTAATTCGATTTTAACTCAGATCAAAACACAATTATTATTTATTTAATTATGTATTTGCTTGACTGATTAATTGTTTTATTAAGAGGTATTATTTATAGCTTGGGTTTCTGTCTATTTTTAAATATTATGATGAATATTAAAACAAATTAAAAATCTACCAAATAAATTTAAGTTATTGTTCTCAAAATAATGGTATTATTATTTCTAATCAAAAAAAGATATGTATGTAGGTAGATAAATATAAAAACGATTTTAAATTTAATAAATAATTAATAGGGTAATCAAAGCTTAGCAGCGGGTTTTAATTCAACAACACCAACAATGCATTCAAGCTTTCTTTCAACAGTAGCACCACTGACAAAGACCTTATCGCCATCTTTCCAGAGTTAGAATTCGATAGTTTCACCAGGAAAGACATGAGATGTGAATCTGGCTTAGGCAGTGCTGACTCTAGAAGAGTCGTTGTCTAAGAATTTAACAACAACAGCCTTGGTCATTAAACCATAGAAGCACATACCGTGTAAGATGGGTTTATCAAAACCACCCATAGCAGCCATACTGGGATCAATATGGAGAGGATTGTAGTCACCATTTAATCTATAGAGAATGGCTTAGTTAGGAGTAGTTTTTTCAAGATGAGTGGCATCAGGTTATCTAGTAGGCTTTTTAGGAAGTACAGGAGTAGAATTGTTACCCTTGAAACCGAATCCACCAAGCTTTCTGATAAAAACGTTCATTATGTTCTTGAAGGCAAGATGCTAAATAATATTAAAGAAAATTATTAATTATTTTTATTTAAATTTTTTTATTTGTTTGTTTAAGGATATTTATTTTTTACCATTTTCAACAATTAAAAATAATTTTTAAAGAAAATATGTGAATTAATTACCTTCTTATTATTTTCGTCAACTTCGTAACTCAATAATTCGAAACTTAAAAGCATACCCTTAACCTTGTCAGCAACATCTGCAATTCTAGCTTGGGTGACATACTTAGTATCAGGGACAAGAGGTCTATAAGTTTCTAAACGCTATTCACCATGTAGGAGCATCATGGGGTTGAAATTAGGAAGACCAGGGCAGCTAGTAAGAGCCTTGAAAATATCAATCTTAGGAAGAACACAAGCGAAAGTAGGGAAGGCCTTGAATTCATCATTTAATTCAAAAGTGTACTTTAAATCAGATTCATTCATAGGATCAGAGCTATAACCTAAACCTATTTTAGTTTATAATTGATATTAATTCATGACTAATAAATAATTGAATAGCTAATATAGCTGTCAGATTTAAGAATTACTCAAAGAGTAAATAATGGCGTCTCTTGAGTTGAAGGTGTCAACGCATTCTTCTGTTCTGAATGCTAACATCTTTTATACATCGACTTGAGGGGCTGATTCTCCTGACATTTTAATAGCTTTTTGTTAGAGTTTTTATTGACGTTTAATAATATTAAAAATTAATAATTAAATTATAAATAGGTATGTAGGTAGGTGATACATTCTTTTTAAACGAATCTGATATCAAAAACACTGTCATCAATTCTTCTTTTTTAGAAAAAAAGAAATTTATGCTTAGTTGATTTTCAAAAGAATATCTTAGAAATTAAAGAGCTTTTTCGACAATTGCACATCAAGAGTGTGATATAAGATTTTCATTACGTAATTCTTGTCATTCATCCTCTTCTACAATTTTTATAATTATAAAAATTAGAAAAATTATTATGTACTTACTTGCACTTAAGCCTTTTATTTACAGTCTAAATTCCATTATCAAATAGAATCTTAAAAATTTATTTACTAAATGTCATCATTTAAATCTAGAATTCTTTTTATAGCATCAATTAATTTTTATTTTAAATTACAACAAAAGCATCAATCATTTTTTTTAAATTGTTCTAATTTAAAAAAAACACTTTCTTTCCACTTTACAAAATAAAAGACATACAATAACAGTTTATGTTTTATAATTGATTCATATTCAATGGCACATAAATTAATTTATTTATCTTTAAAATAAATATAAATTTTGATCAATTATATATCATCTCTTTATAATTTTCTAATGATTTTTCTTAAGAAAGCAATCGTGTTTGATAAAGCATATCTTTATTTGTAAAATTCAAGTAAAATTTGCTGATTTACTTTAATAAAAGGGAAAGGAAAGTTAAATAATTGAAAATCAATTTAGCATTAAAAAAGCATAAATATAAATCATAATAATGGAAGTGAGCATCCTTAAAACAATAGTTAGCGAATTTAATCAATAAGATCATAAATATGGTCTTCTTTTTGGTTATGTAAATAAATTTTTATCTAATTTATCAGTCAATAAATAATAATTTAAATTTGATATTTCTAATAGAATGCTGGAAATGAAAACTATTTGATAAGTTTTTTAGCACCTTCAACATTTTAATAACTTCCAAACGAGCTTAATGAAGATAAAAAAAACGACATCTTAAATATCGCAGAAGATGTAATTTTTTGATATTTATTTAAGAAAATATAATAATAGTGTATTTTAATTAAATTTCAGCTTCATAACTCTGTTAATGGATACAGTTTATTAGGATTTATTGCAAAAGAAAATGAACAAATAACTTAGCAAGCATTAATTATGAAAGCTTAAGAATATTATGTAGCTCTTTAAAAAAGATTAAAAATTAAAGGTTCCTTTTATCTTTGCTATATTAACTCAGCCAGCTTTGAAATCTTAGAAAAAAAATAAGTATTAATTAATTTATTTATTTATAGCTTTAAAAAATAAAAAAAATATGAATTCAACTAACTTAACAGGGATAAGTTTTTACTAAAGTCAATCACAAAGAATTTGAAGAAAAAGAATTAACATAGGTTAACTCCTTAATACCTCTTAACATAGAGCAGGTTTTTAGTGAAAAAGAATCATAAAGCAAAACAATTATTGATCAGATAACAGATGTATCTCAAAGTTACTTAGGTTCACTCACAAATAGCATTATTTTATTAAATAATTTATTGATAACTAATGATACTAAGAGCTTGAGTGAACTTTGTAATACTGCTGAAGTAATTTATTTATATTTAGAGTAGCTAAATATTAATATAAAATATAAATATTTTGTAGGTTTAATTATAATTTATTGAAAGCAGCACAACATAAGCATAAGAATAATTTTACTAGAGACCATATTACTTCAGATTCAATGGTTTAATAGAAATTAGCTTTAAATCTTATAAAGATTTACCTATTCAAAATTTAAAGACTGTAATATTTATTTATTAAAATAATTATTAAGTATTTTATTATTTATTTTTAGATTATTATAAATGCTGTGAGAAAAGAATTAGAAACCAGAATGTACCAAGTTTTCGGTGAATAGTTTGCCTAAAAAAGCTTAAGCGAAACTGAAGAAATATAATTACCATCCAAATACTAATCAAATCAATTTAAAAATATTACATTAAGTATTTACACTTCTCACCCTTCTATATAAGACTATGGTAGCTGTATCTTTTCATCTTTATAAGTAAGCAAAATATAAAAAGCAAATTAATTAAAATTTATTAATTAATTTTACATAAAAAATTAGGAAGCAGAAAAAATGTTTAATTAGGAATTTAATGGTAAAAAACTAGAATTTAAATAAGTAGATTAGTTACAAATATCTGTTTAAGGAAGCTAAACTTAATCTAAATAAGAAGCAACAAAAAATGTAGAAAGTAATAAGGAATAAAAACAAATAGACCCTTCTGTTTTATTAAAGCAATAAGAATAAAGAAAATAACAAATTAGCTACTTAGTCTTCTCCTTAGTTATTGCTCTTCTTGCCTATATTTACATGAAAATTTGATTAAAATTTACTTTATAAAAAGTAGATTGATAATAATTTAATTTTGTATTTTATATAATATTTTTTAAACATAAATTAAATTAAATATTCAAATTCACTTAAAAAAGTTAAAACAAATAGAAAATAGATGATTAAAAGAATGATTAATACATTTTTAAAAATAGTAGGTAACAAAAATATTGTAATTCAATAAAAAAAAACACACTATTATCATTTTTAAAATAATAAAATTTTAATTTGATTTTTATTTATTTTAAATTAATTATTTCTACAATTTTAATTGTAATTATTAAAATAGAATTTATCACTTTTATTAATTTGTTATTTTTGAAAGATTATTTATTAATTATTTGTAAGACAATAATTTAAAAAGCAGATATTTTGTAATTAATTAAAAATAAATTATTCATACCTTATTTATTTTTTAAAACAGAAATTCTAATAAAAACAGTTTAAATCAATAAATTAATCAAATATATAATTTTTTTATTTAATATGAAACAACCATTTTTCTATTTTCTTTATAATACAAGTTTGCAAAAAAGCAAGTAAGAATAAATGTTTTTATTCTAATTGATGTATTAAAAAATAAATAAGGTATTAATAATCTATTTTTAATTAATTACAAAATAGCAGCTTGCTAGTTTAAATCACTAAATGGATAACTTATACAATTTTTTATTTAATATAAAACAACGACTTCTATTTTCTTTATAATATAAGTTTGCAAAAAAGCAAGTAAGAATTAGCAAAATATTTACAATATCAGCTAATGTAAAAAAAATAAATAATCTTTAAACTGAAGTTTTAAGAGTCAAATCATTTGAAAAAACAATTATATTAAAATGAAAAGAATTTTCAATTATTTTTTCCATGAAATTTGTTTATTATTAAATTTTTATCATCCTCAAGTAAGTATTAGAGTTGAATAGATTAATAAATTCTACTTATTACAAATCAAATAATATTTATATTTTTAATTTGTTGCTTTCACTAAAAACCTATCTGAATAGTTTATTAAAAATATATCTAGTCAAAAATTTTATAACATAACTTAATTTCATTAAAAAATGGGATGCTAATAATCCTAAATGGCATAAACCAAGTATATAAATAGTTAAGTTGTTGATAAAAGTTTTAATGGAAAATTGAAAGTCATTTAAAAAGATTAAGAAATATTTATTTTGCATAATACGTAAAATTTGAGAGCTACTGATGTGCAATGCTTTTTGTAATAAATAACATTTTTTTATTTAAAAATAAAGATAAACTATGGTAAAAAATAAAGATTTAATAGATTTTGTAGAAGTACTGCCAAAAATAGATAAATTATAAAAATTTACTATTGCGATTGAGTATGATTAATTTTATTAGCATCTATAAATGTACTAAAAATAAATATTTGTAAATAAATAGAAACTAGGAAATAGAATCAGATGGCTTAATAAAATGTATTAAATGGCTTAAAAGTTATCCATAAATAAATAGTTTAACTTTGATGCTTAAGTATACATTACATACTGCTATTTAAAAATGGAATTTTTGTTATATAAATTATATTATATCAATAAATAGAAATAATGAAATTGAATCTTCATTTGCTTAGCCTTTTAGAAGTTTAATATAAAAATTGCCTTAACTTTAAAATCTTTACCTTGATTTAGAGTAAATTTAATAAACGGATTTCAACAATAAATAAATGCAATTTTTATTATAAAAGATCAAACAGAATAAATAGTGATACCTTTTTAAAGCTTTTCAATGGCTAGTTTGCCTAAAATTTGAAATACCTCTACTTAAATTTTAGGTTTTTTTTTAATATTTTTGAATTTATATTAATGTTACTAAATATTAAAAAAGAGATAATGATATTGATGATGAAATAAACTATTCCATGTAGTTTCTCTCTAAGTCTCAAATAGAAGAAATCACAATAAATTTGGAGTATTTTTTCAACATATAAAATTTTATTTTGTTAAATATTATTTGATTAAAATAAATAAAATATCAAATATATAGAGAAAACTAACTAGAAACCGAAACAATTTGTGAAATAATACAAAATTTCTCTTCATCGCTTAAGAAAATAAACTTGATCTTCACGTAAAAAAGTTATCTATGCATAAAATTTATTTTTATATAAATATTACTTAGTTGTGTGTATGAAGGTGAGAGAATATTTGAAGTTTTAGCAGAATAATTCAAAGTATTGATAAATTTGGAATAGTTGAATATAGAATCTAAGTATGTATTTTAATTCTATTTTATTAACATTTATATATTCGATTTTTACAAATAAATTGGTATAAATATGTCTAACTTAAAATTTGTTAACAAAGTATTACTAGATTCGAGGATGTTGAGAAATTCATTTTAAACATGAATGAGTGCAGAAGCCTATCTACAATTAGCTTAAAGTATAATTTATTCTAGTGGACCTTTCATTTACTTATTTTAATACTAACAGATTTAAATTAAATTTACCACACGAAATAGCTGTCAACCTTATAAAATAATCAATTTTAGCTATACCAAGCATCAATCTGGATTTATAAAATCAATAAGAGTAAAAAAATATTAATAAATTGACCTAAAAGAAAAATAAACTATTTTTAATAATAAGATTTGGATCAATAAATATAGATTAATTTTTAGGAGTACTTAAAAAAAAGAATTTAGAATAAATGATAGATATCTATAGATGTTTACTTCTAAAAAAAATTTTTTAAAAATATAATATACAACTAATAGATTGGTAAAGTATATTTATATGAATTATTGATTTAAAAAAATTTATCTTATGTAATCTAAATTTACCTAAACAAACATTATTTAGATAATTAGTAAATTTACTTTTTAGGCAAGCTAATAATAATAGTCTAGGATTTTCTTAATAAAATAAAACAAACATTAATTATTTTTTTATGTTAACTATTTCAAAAATTTGTTAAAAAGTAAAAATAAAAGTATGAATAAGATTCTTATATAATAGATAGATAGTCAGACAATACAATCAAGCTCATTTAATTTATAAATAATAATTTTTTTTATTTAAATTTTATTTATTTTTCTATAATCCTCCTTCATTTTCATTTTTTGATAAAATTATATTAGTCATTTAAATAAATTTGTTTAAATATTAAAAATATACTTTAAAATAGTAGATTAATTGTACACCCGTTTTAATTTTTAAAAAGTATTAAACTAGTCATTTATTTATAAATAAAACGTAGCCAACACACACATTACTAAAAAAAAAAAATATCAAATAAAGTAAATTGTTTAAAAAATGCCTCATCTATCATTTAGTAAATTTAATATTATGAGATGAATTTAATAATTGTATATTAAAACGATAAATGAGTGGTTAATATTTTTTCATTTCAATCATCATTATTAACCCTTAAGTCATCTTCACCAGAAATATCACTATCATATTCATTAGAGTTATTTTCACTTCCTGAAACATAGCTATTACTTTCAATCTTATTATCTTCTTCATTAGAATCTTCTTCTTTTTCACTTTCTCCTTACGAAGAATATTGATAATCATCTAATAGCAACAGATATATTACTAGTTAATTTATTTTATTTATTTTCTAGTATAAAGAGCTGTTATGTTTAGATTTAATCTTATTTTGCCTTAAAATAAATTAGATTAAAATAATAATAAATATCTTTATTATTTTGTAAAAATTAGTACACATTAATTTAATCGTATGAAAAAAAATAAATCAAAATATTAAATAAACTAAATTTACTCTAAACCGATTTATAAAAATGAAAGATTGCTGCAATTTTTCAAAGAAGAAAATAAACTTAAAACTCCTTCACTTTAAATAGAATTGAAGCTTTTTATAAAATTAAAAAAGTGAATTTCATTTAAAAAAGAAAGAAAATAAAAAATATTAAATTTTGAAAAATAAAATTTTATTGGTTAAAATTTATCAAAATAAAAAGTATTATTGAAATAGAATAATAAGAACTTGCTTTTTTTTTCTTAAAAAGCTTATTTAAAAATTATTCAAAAGTAACAAGGAATTTTTACACTAATTTTAGTTATAAAGCTGTCAAATTAGAATAATTTGCTAAAGCACAGCCTAAAGATATTATACCCTAGGTATGAATGGAATTGTAGCTTTTAAAGTTAAATTAATGAATGAATTAAAAAATTTCAAAAAATTAAATATAAACTGAAAAAAATATTATATCAAAATTAAATAAATTATAGTTTTATACGAAAGATCTAATATCAAAGTTGAGAGTTTATTGCATTTTTCTAATGAAGTAACTAAGTATGACAAACCTTCATCACTAATTTTGTTTTATACTTCAGACCTATAATAAAAATATGAAATAGAATAGGAAATTTAGAAAGCTATGATTTGTATTTCTTTCAGAAACAAAAGTTATTACAAATTGTTGTAGAGCATATTCACAATATTTGAAAACCTTTAAAATTTTAAAATATAATTAAATTTAATAGTAAGCAAAAAAAAATTGTAAAAAAAGTTAAAAGCAAATCAATCTATTTATCAAGGTATTTATAGAGATGCAAAAATGTAATAGATTCTTTTTTCTTTTTGCATATTAAAAATTAGGCATTTTTCAAAAAAAAAAACTATTTTACCCAAAACAAAGTTATAAAGTTGAGAGATTAGATAAATTTGCTAAAGCAGTCCCTAAACTTATTGCTCCTTTTGCTTTAATTCTATTCTCACTTTTAAAATATAATAATTCAATAAAAAATAGTTAAATTTCTTTAATTTTTTCAATCAAGTGTTGAATTATAAAATATCTCTAAGAACCATTTATTTTTTACGCTAAAAAATACTTACTATTATAAAATAAATCAATGACTTTTTACCCAACATCAAGTATTAATTTTGTGATATTTGTGCAATTTGCCAGACCTGAACTAAGATTTGAGAGTCCTTTACTACCCAATTTATTCTTACTTTATATTTTACAATTTACATTTAAAACAAGATGATTACCATTTAAAAAATTGAATATTTATCAGTAAAAAAATATAAAAATGTAAATAATTAGAAAAAATCAGCCAAATAGTATGAACTCTTTTTAATTAAATTAATATAAAAAACAATTTATTATTACCGAAGGCCAAGCACTAAACTTGAGAGTTATTTACAATTAGCCAAAGAAATACCTAAATATGATGCACCACGATGACCAATTTAATTGTAGCTTTAAAAATATTGATTAGTTTTTAGTCAATAGAAAATATGGTAGCTAGCATATGTAAAAAAAAGCTTTATGTAAATAGAAAACAAAAATAAAATAAAAAATTTTTGATATTCAATTTCTAAATTTTTTGAATAAATAACCAGAATCAAACAAAATTAATAAATATTTTTACCCAACATCTAGAGTTAAATTAAAGAGATGAATGCATTTTTCCAAAGCTAAACCTAGGGTTGTTATTCCCTTATTGCCAATTCCATTTTCCCTTTTATATTTTTGAATTAGTAAAAATAATTATTTGATAAAATTAATTTATTTTTAATCAATAAATTTTTAGATTTTTATCTATTAAGGAAGGAAATTAAATAGATTTAATAAATAAGAAGAATAAGTATATTATTCTTACATTAAATTAAGATTTAAAGTTAATAGATTAGCGCACTTTGCCAAATCAGGAGATAAAGCGGAAACTTTCTCACCATAATTTTACCTACCCATTCAAACATTTATATTATGATAAATTTATTGTTAATCGAAAAAGTTGAAAAGAAAAATAAATATTTGAATTTAAAATTAAAATATAAGATAATTTAGAATTTGGTTAAAATCAAAGAAAACTTTTTAATTTTTAGCACAATTTTTAATTTTAATTTTAAAAAAAAGACATAATATTAAATAAAATTTGGGTAATATAAGTAAATATCAAAATGTATTGATTAATATGTTTACCTAAGTTCAATTTAAAGATTTTTGTGTGACAAAAGACATGAGTTTTAAAACTTTTTGAAGAAATTAATTTAAATATATATTATTAGAAATATTAAATTATTAAATGATTTACTTCAGATAAGCTATAAAAGGAGCTGTCTTGATCAATCATTTTTTTATGAAAACAATTAAATTTCAATTTTTTAGGAAATTAAATAATTATAGATATAATTTGGTATAAAAATTAATTTAATAACAAATGCATTTAAATTTAAAAAAATGTATTTTGAGATCAAATAAATATTTAATTAATCAATATTAATCATGATCAGATATTGAATTGAAATAGACTTATAAGTAAATAAAAGGAAGGTCCTTTCTACTTAAAAAAAACCTAAAAATAAATCATAATAGTACTTGAGATTAAATATTTTATTCCTTAGCTACCAAATATATAAGTAAATCAATTATTAGGAAAATAAAAGCTATTTTATCTTCAAAATAAGCTTTATTGATCAATCATTTTTTTATGAAACAATTAAATTGCCATTTTTTGTAAAATTTTATTATTAAAAATATAATTTGATATTATAATTAATTAAATAAAAAATGTATTTAAATTTAAAAAATGTATTTTGAGATCCAATAAATATTTAATTTATCTATATTAAATTATGATCAGAAATTGAATTAAAATATAATAATAAACAAATAAAAGAAAGGTTATTTATACTTAAAAAAAACCTAAAATAGATCATAATAATATTTGAGATTAAATATTTTATTCCTTAGCTACCAAATAGATAAATAAATCAATTATTAGGAAAATGAAAGCTTTCTTGATCAATAATTTTTTTATCAAATCTTTATAAAATTACATTTTTTTGATGTAATTAGATATTAAAAATTAATTCAATAAAAAACTCATTTAAATTTAAAAAATTTATTTTGAGATCCAATAAATATTTAATTTATCTATATTAAATCATGATCAGAAATTGAATTGAAATAGAATAATTAACAAATAAAAGAAAGGTTATTTATATTTAAAAAAAACCTAAAAATAGATCATAATAATATTTGGGATTAAATATTTTATTCCTTAGCTACCACTTAGCTACCAGATAAATAAATAAATCAATTATTAGGAAAATAAAAATTATTTAAATAAATAAAAATGAATAGAGATTAGTTTTTATATTTCAGAAATTACAATAGATTGATTTTAATATACTACCTTGTCTCATATTCTAATTGTAAATATTTAACTACAATTTGTTTGCTTAATATTTTATAATATTCGAATAGTAAAATTTTCTAATTTGCACATCACTACTATTTTGCTACCATTTTCAAGGTAAGTTTGGTTGAAAATCAACCCCTTAAATTGATCAGTATGTATAAAATGTTAAATAACAAAAGATGCAAATTTTATTCTCATAATAAAATTCTCATAAAAAGTAACCCAAATTATAATGAGGCAAGCTCAAGTTACTGGCTGGCTGGCTGACATACTGACTAATTTAATTGATAAATTGATTATATGAGATAAATAATAATTAAAGAAAGTAAATCAAAATATTATTTACAAAATATATTTTTTATTTGTGCATTAAATTACATAAGATTTATATATATAATTTATCAATTGTTTTAATATATTATTTATAACTTATAATTGTTAAGTTAGTTTACTTATTTTTACTTCTCATTTTTATTCATTTCTGTATTCTTTTTTTTTGAGTTTTGTAAAAATTCTGTAAAATAGGAAAAATAAATAGCAAGAAGTGTTGCATATAAAGTACTTAAATTCATATTTAGAATTTTTAATTAAGTATTTAGTAAAAACATAAGTTTTTAGGGATTTCAGACTAGACAAGTCAAATAAATAATATTTTCTTGCTTTGAATAATTTGAACAACTGCTTTTGCTTTCTCAAACTTTGTTTTATCTTTTAAGATCAAGCAGAAGTGATTTGACTTAATTGTTTACCATCACTTAGACTTAATCTAAAATTTATCCCACATAGGGATCTTTAGCTCCGAGTATGTACGGGTGCTTTCCAAGCTATATTTCGCCTGATTCAATGTTACCATAAGGATTGTATTCATTGTTAGTGACAATATCGTTGATATTTTCATTGCCTACTTTTTAATTATTAGAAAGGGCTCTATCAATCGGACTCAATCCTTTCTTTGGTGACTTCATTGGAGTATTTGTAAATTAGCTTGTTGTAGTTTTCATATTGTGAATGTCAGGTGAGTTTTCAAAAGGATTATAAGAATTTAATTTTTAGTTTGAACTTGATCCTAAATTAGGTGTTGGAGTTGAAGATTATTTATACATACTTACTATGCTACCTAACCCATTTTGATTGAAACCTGATGCTATATTAAAATTTTATTCTTTAGGAGTAGAAACTTCTTTGTCATCTAACTAAAACTAGGCTGAATTTAACTATTAATTCATTTAAATTCCTAAATTATTGCCACCAAAACCTAATTATGCTTGTTGAAGACCATTTATGGTCAACTAATCCTTTGACTTTTAGTTAGGATTTAAAAATCCAGCAGCTGAATTTGCTAGATTTTGGCTTAATTGAAGAGGATTTCCATTATCTGAGATTTAACTTCCTCTACTATTTAATCTAATATCTCCTGTCATTTTTGGATCGGTTTACAAATTAACTTATGGTTTAAATGTTAACTCATTTGTCTTGCCATTTAGTCCATTTGTTTTGTCAATTAATGCACCATTCAAGCCATTTGTTTGATCATAACACTGACCATTCAACCCATTTTATCTATCATTGAATCCCTAACCTAAAGGATTTTTATTTAAACCATCCATATTCTATTGTACAAATTTCTGAGTATTTTTTATTTCATTATTCTTTTAAGCTAACTCTAATTGTTATTATTACTATTAAGTGTTAATTTATGGAGGGTTAGGTGGAGGAGGGGCTGTTTTAAGTCTGTATAATATATACTGTGAGCCTACTAGAAATAGCATAGGAATTAATGAAACAGGAATTACCATTTATTGGTAAGCCTTAAAAGCATTTAAAAATTAGCATGCTTTATCACTTGTACTACAAGAAGTAAGAGTTGAACCAATTTACACGTAGTTTACAGTACCGAAAACGAAAGCAATTACTGAAAAGAAGAGAGTGGCCATTTAAGAGTAATTTATATTCTTTCCATAGTATTTATAGGATAAATACATCAAATAAATGCTTATAAAAAATACAAGCCCACTAAAAGGGTTGTAGATGATAATAAAATTAAGGTCAGATTATAATTATGGACTAAATTTGAAGAATTAAGAAATATCTGCAACATCACCTGCAAGTATCATTGTAATCATAGAAGATAAAAACCCTGCTAATGATAATAAGCAAGTTAGTAAATATATTATAAATAATGACCAATTAGTTTAATTAGGCAGGTTACTTTCAGGATTGTTATTCTAATTATTTTATACATTTTGTGTATTTTATGTATTCTTTATAATTTGATTAGCAACATTATTAACTTGAGCCTATGCAGGTATCTTTGGCAAAGTGGGTGTACCATTTAAGTTTCCATTAATTGCTCCAGATACTGGCTTAGGGGTATTTTAAAAATTGTTATCTGAATTAGGTTTTTAACCTCCTAAACTAAAATCTATGCCTGAAATAGAGTTAGAAGGGTTGTTGTTAACACCATTTAGAGGCTACCTAAGCTATGAATTATTCATAACTAGCTACTGGCTTATTGAAATTTATTTTATTCTTTAATCTTTATAATTGTGTATTTCCTTTTTTATTGCGAGAACTATGAAATTAATAAAATTAATTACAGTATTTTGTTTACAAATTATACTTTCGCAAAAAAAGGTAAGGAGAAAATTTAACCAAACAACCAATATATTAATTAATTAGAAAGGATTATTTAATCTTATAAATATGATCCAAATGAAACCATTTAAAAATTTTGTTTGCACACATAAAATAAATAAAACTAATCAATATTTTTTTAGAATAAAATTTGTTAATTTTTATTTTCTGTTGTGTTCTTCGAAATACTCGCTATTATCCACACAAACTTTTATTATTGCTAATATTATATTTAATTCCTACATATAACCATCTAAATTTACTTACGATATTTATTTAATCATAGTTGGCTTTATTTAAAATTTTATCATTTATTTTATTTTACATTTTTTTACAAGCTAAAGTTTCTCTTACTTTTTCAGATAATATTTTTTAAATCAATCAGGTTTAATAAAATAATTAATTTTTCATTAATCTTGAATTTTCCTTTTCCCTCTACTTGCTTTAGGTATTAGTGAATTGATATATTTGCTTTAAGATATTTGCAATAGAAGCATCAATATAAGCTTATTTTGAAAAAAATTAATATATTTCGAATTTGCAGAATTTTAATCTTAAGATTTGTTTAAAAAAAACAAACAATGCTCGGATAAATTTAAAAAATACAAGACAAAATGAATTTTATATCATAAATGACGCCACAAAAAACAATCCAAAACAAATAAATAAATTTTTTTATATATATTATAAAACTGGTATGATAAATGTTAGCGTTGAATGCTTTCTATTTATTTTTTAATAGGATATTTTAAAAAAATATTACTAATTTAATTAAGACAAATAATTTTAGTCATTAAATTATTCCAGCCAACTATCTCTAGATTAAGATATCACGTTTTTCTTTAATTAATAATAAGAAATCGACTGCATTACCTCTCAAATCTAATCTTACAGCCTCTTTCACTAGATAGTCAAGAAGATAGTTTACTTTTGTTTCGTCTTATTAATCGAAATTCAAAAATTTTTCAATCTATTTCTAAATATTTTCTCTTCTCTAAATTACATTTGTAATGTCATTTTACACATACTTATAATTTTAATAAATTTCCTCTCCATTCTGCTCTGTATTTGGAGTATTTTATTCTTCACTGTTCATTTAATGTATTGTCTAATTAATTCTATAAAAATAATCTTAGAAAAGTTAAACCTCTAACCCAATATAGTAACAGCACTCAATTAATATGCTAATAGAGTAGTGATCTCTAATTAATATAGCCTTATTAGTTAATATAAAATTTTATTTTTATAATATCACTTAAAGATAATTACTTCATTAAGCTTATCCCAAATGATAGCCTAAAGTGGTTCTAGTTTTTAAAGTGGAAATTCAAATTCTAACTCATATATAGACTAGCAGAATACTTTATACTCTTCAACTTTTAAATTGTATGACTCTATTTTTCTAATTTCTTAACTGATATCCTTTATTTTTTAAACATACTTCCTCTTGTTTGGAAGATCTTTATTCTTTTAATAGCGTTTTCTCACTATTTAAATAGTTAAAGCCTACTTCCTTTAGTATTAAATATCTTAGTCTTAAACGTTTTATATACTTTATAATTCTTATTATTCACTAATAAGATTAATATGTTGTATGTTTTCATATTTAACTTTTTTGTAATCTATTTAAAAAATTTTTAATTTGAAAAAAATAATTTTATTTTAAAAACAAATTTTACGTTCATATTTTTTTTTAGACACATATAATTAGTAAAAATATTCTACACAACTTTCTATAAGACTAGGGTTAAATGGAAGAGGAAACATATTGATGACAACTTTACTAGCTGATTAATTATTTAATACTTAATATTTATTTGCCTCAATATCTTTAAACAGTCTCCATAGAGCATAGCAAGAAAGTTTATTATGTGATATATCGATATAAAAGAATTAATGATATTTTGCAAACAGTATAAATTACTCTAAGCCTTTTAAAACTGAATCTTTTAGTTAGTTATGACTCATATACAATTTAAACCCATCATAAACTGTTTGTGGGTTATCAATCAATTCAAGTAGATTAATTGTATGAATAAATTCTGCAAATTTCCTTTCCTCTCCCTCAAATAGATTATGAGATAGATTCAGTACTTCTAGTGTTTATATTTTAGGGATATATAATATTAAAAAATCAAGAGATGCATCAGTCAATAGATTGTAACTCAGGTCTAAATGAGATAATAAATTAAAGCTTTTATACAAATATGGAAACATTGTATTCAATATGCCATCATGCAATGTGCATCTAATTATTTTTAAATTTTATTATCATTTAAAGATTTTATTTTTTTTTAATTATAAAAAATTATTCATTATTAAAATAAATTTTTATTTGGCAAATAAAGTCAATTTTCTTTTTATTATTTTATAATGAAATGTAGTTTTTTAAGTATTTTAATTTTATATACTTTGAGAGAGATAGTCTTGTTAAATTTTAAGAGTTAAACATACTTTCAAGAGGTTCAAAGTAATAGTTCTGTAATTGAATATCAACTTAAGTAGTAAACTATAATCCGTATATATATTTGAAACCATTTGTAAATACTTGTAGAGATTACAGTTGTTATAAGGAAGTATTTTTTTCGAAGTACTATAATTCAACCATAAAAGGCTTTTGTATATATCCTTCTCCATTTGAGTTATCTACAATCCAATTAAGAAAATCATAATCTGGTTACATATAATTTTCAACACAAAAATAATAATAATCTCTCCACTATTTGCCAATTTTAACAGCACTATAAATTATATTCATGTCCTTTTCAGTCTCAAAATACATTATGTAAGTTCTATTAAATATTTTTTTCTACATAAAAAATTTAATTTAATCCAATTTTCAACAAAAAAGTCTTTTTTTTAATAAACTAATTTGCTACAAAATATTAAAATTGATTTTTTTTTTTCATAAAAAGATGTGTGAATCTTTTAAAACAATTTTAATTCTTTAAAATTTAAAAATAAGTTGAATGCTATTAAAAAAATTATTTAAAGAAAATTAATTTTTACTTAGCCTTATACTATCTCCTCTGTTGGTTTTACCTAATAGATAGCTGCTCCTATTAAGTTTGGCTATTTTTGTTTCTTATTCTCTTTTTCTTGCTGATTATCTAATTGTAACTTATTCTAAAGTTATTTTTTTCTCTACTCAATAACTTTTTCCATTAAATTTTAATGGTTTGGATATGCTGAATCTTAGCTAAATTAAGAGTGTTTGAGGATTTAAGTAATAGTGTCTTTATCTTTGTTAATGATAATGTCAATTTCGCAAAGTTTTAAAGTTACTAAATTTATAAATGGTAATTTTAAATTTATGGCATTCTTCAAAATAGAATAATGGATTAATTAATAAATAAATACATTCAGGGATAAGAGTAACATCTGTTTTATATATGATTTCTTCATTTTATTTGACTTCATTTTCTTTAAAGGAGTGAAGATGAGGAAAAAAGTGAACACATTCCTCTGTAACATGCATATTCATCTATCTCCATGTTGGCGCTCTTAAATTTTAACTGCTTTCTATGTATTCAATAAAATAAAAAAGGATACTTACGCTTAATATCAAGAAATCTTCGTAATATTTACAATTTACCTTAAAAAAATAAATAAACTTTTTTAGTGGCTAGAACTCTTTATAGATACATTTATTTATATTTAGCACTTTAAACTTAAGATAGAATATAGTAAGTATTAAAGAATATGCAAATAAAAAGATCTAATTTTTTATAATTTTATAATTTATTTTAACTAAGATACAGTAAATTTGCTTACTGCTAAATTCTAAAAAAAAACAAATAAAAAATGTTCGTTTTATTTAAAATATTTTTGCAAAAAAACATATTAAAGTTTAGACTTACTTACTTAATAAATTCTATTTGAATTTTCAAATAATGTTTCAGTTTATTTTTATTTCGAAATTATTGAAAGCTTAAGAAGTCAGTAGAATTTTAATTTGTTTTTCTTGGAAAGTAAATCGCCTACTAAAAAGATTGAATATTTTTGAAAATAATTTAATGAACATATTTTGAAGAAGTACTTATTAATTGATAGTATTATTTTATAATTTATTTAGATACATTTGATAACATTTATTAATTTTTATATTTATTTATTTACAATCAAATTATTGTTTGTTTTTTGTACAGTTTTTATTGAAATTATTCAAATCTTAAGAAGCCAGTAAAATTTTAATTTGCTTTTCTTGGAAAGTAAATCGCCTACTAAAAAGATTGAATATTTTTGAAAATAATTTAATGAACATATTTTGAAGAAGTACTTATTAATTGATAGTAATATTTTATAATTTATTTAGATACATTTTATAACATTAATTAATTAATTTTTATATTTATTTATTTATTTACAATTTCAATTTTCAATCAAATTATTGTTTGTTTTTTGTACATTTTTTATTTTAGGTTGTAATGTATTCTTTTTTAAAACCACCAACCAACCAACCCCTTTTTAAGATTTCTGCTTTCTCTCATAACAAAAAATTTATTTTTTAGGATTTTTCATTATGAAAATACTTTCTAGAAATAGCAAATAAAATTAATATTATTGCTGGCGTGATTGATTGATTGTTTGTTTGTTTGATATTTTAACAGAGATTAAAATTATTATTTTTATTTTTAAAATAAGATGGAAGTAATTAATCAGAGATTTTATAACTTTCTTATGACATAGCCCATACCTGCTTCTACTGATTTAAATTTATATTTTTGAGGAGAGTAGTTCAGAGATGGTTAAATCTATTAAGCTGCCACTCCTATTGATTCAGAGGGATTATTTTATTTTATATTATTTTCAATTTGATTTATAGATTATTCTTTGAAATTATTGGATTAGTTTAAAGTGTAATCTTAAGTACTATGCTAATCTTCCTCAGATTAAATTTATTACTATTTTTATTACTAGGCTTTGATAACTTCATTTTAGATATCAATAGAAAGGTTTTTTAAAATCTCATTAAGTTATTCTATTTCATGTTTTTTTTTATGCTAATCATACGAATCATCTCTTTTCTTAACAGAGTCTTTTTTCGTAAATAAATTTTCCTTATCTTTATAGCTACTTTAAATATTCAAATCTTAATCTTCCTCTTCTTCACTCTTTTCTTCTAAGTTGTTGAGATAGAATATTACCTTACGACTCTTTCTCTTCTATTCATCATCGTAAAGTTAGCTTCTCCTTCTTAACTTTGGGGAATATTCGCTTTTAAAGTTCATTTTTTCTAGCTTACTATTTAAAATTTGCTCATCATCTTCGATAGTATTGTGACGAGTAATCAAAGGAGAGTTGCTATCACTGCTACTAGTGATATAAATATTTTCTTTATCAAAATCTTATCCAGAATAACATGCAGTATTTCTTTATGAGTCGTTATTGGACTCATCTTCTATTTTATGTTTGAAGATATTTCCACTGTATTTAATGCTATTACTGCTACCATATATTTTTTTTTAGCTTCTATGTGAAGGAGAATAGCAGAAAGTGGATTAAACTTTAGATTATCTCTTTTTGTCTTTTGATCTACTTCTTGATCTGGACTTAGAAGATTATCTTGCTACTTTATAAATATTAAACCTTGCATTTGAATTTATTGGTTTATTCTCAGATTTACGAAGAGATTTATTTCTCAGAACTAGGTTTTCTAGCTCTTAATGAAGTTTTCTTAGCAATTTTTGGCTTTCAATCAAGACTGATATTTTATCTATTTGAGAAATAACTTTCTAAGTGTCCTAAAAAAGGTTTGTCAATTTATTCTTTCCTTCATTTTAAATTTAGTCCTCTCTACTAATATTCTTTTTCACTTAACTCTATTCTGTTAAGCTAGAATTAGATTTATTATCTCCTGCTTAACTGGCTTGCAGATCTCGGATATTATCATAGCTATTGCTTCTCTAAATAGGATTTGGTTGTAAGGTGGCTATTTATTGGGTTTGAAAGTCTGAATTTGAAGCTTATTATATTGATCTATCAAGACTGTTTCTCCTAATTTTTTAGACACTTTCTTCAATTTCCAAATTCATATCTATTTTGATAAAAGTTAGTTGTTTGATTTTTTTTTTTTTTTGATAGCAAATAATTAAAATATATGTGATCTATAAATTTTCAATTTAATAATTTAACAAGTAAGTTTATATTCCTGTATTATTATGATTTTTTTCTTATCATAAGCAAACCCATTTATTTGCTTCTAAAAGCAGATCAATTCCAAATATAGTGCAGAGCACTTTTATAATTTCAATATTCAATTATTTTCAAAATTTGTATCATAATTTTAAGTCTTTATTTTTAGGATTCATTCATTTATAAGACTAATTGATTGATGTCTCATTCATTTTTAATAATTCTAATTGATGAAAACTTATTTGAATCTAATTAAGTGACTTTATATTTAATTCTAAGAATTCGCAAAATAAAAACAGTTGAAACATTTAAAATATCAAAATTTACAAAATAATTTAAAGTAATCAATATTATTAAATATTTAATATGAGAAATCTAATTATTTATTAGTTCGAAATTTATTCTAATTTATAACATAAATTGATTAAAGTAAACATAAAATAAAATTTGAGGAAGCTTTTTTTTCTTTTTCACAAAGTATTGTTTGTTGTTTTCAAATAAAATAAAAGTTACTTTTACAGCTTAATGTAAATATATATTTAGGAAAAAATAATTAGATTAAAATAGATTAAGGTTATATAATATTAATGAGTTATTATTAATTATAATTTTATACATAAATTAACATTTATTATTGATTAAGGACGTTCGTTTCGTTAGTTATAGTTTTTTAATTCATTCATTTATGAGAAATTTATACAGTAAATGCTAATTTTAGAAGAACTCTTTCTTATTTGATCAAAGTGATAAGATAGATTATTAAAATACTGATATTAATTTCTAATTAGTATTTTTTATTATTTTTATTAATAAGATTTTTTCGTCGTTTTTTATTTAGCTGGAAAGCTAATTAATATTCTAACTATATATATAATTTTAGTATTTAAGCAAAATTTATTCTAATTAATAACAACTTATTTAATTCATTATTGGAAAAATTTGAATTTATTTTTAGCTCTCTTTGATTAAAATTTTATCTTTAAATCTTTAATAAATATTTTTTAAGTTCATCAAACTGAATTTATTTAGTATTTTATTAAATTTCTATTTATCATTTTGCTTACTTGCTGGTTATTTAGTTATAAAAGCCCTTTCCAAATAGTTGCTTCAGAAGTTATTGATTGGATTAGATTGATTCACTTTGTAAGAATTCAGTAAATTATTTTACAATTTAAAAAAAGTGAATTATGAATTTGTAATATAAGTTAAGGATATTATCTTAACTTACTTTTATTATTTTATCAGATAAATGATGTAATTTTAAGATTTATTGAGTCACTTATTTATTTATTGTTTTTTTTTATTTTTATTGCTTTTCGATTAAGGTTTAAATTTATAACTTATGTAGAAGAGATTTTAAGCTATTAGTTTTTAAAATAGTTTTATTATACGCTCTAAGGTGCTAAAATTCCTGATTCAAGAGAAAAAAAGATATTTTTAATTAATTTTATCTAAAATATTATCAAAAGAGTAGCTTGAATGAATGAATGAGTGATGTATTTTATACTCAGAATAATTCAAATCTTTCCCATGTTATATAATTCAAGAACTGTAAATGGTTTTCCACGAGAGTTATAAAAATGAACATCGAGAGTTGTCTCTTCTGCTTTTTTTTTCTCTCTTTCTTATTGTAATAAAGCTTCAGCTGCATTCTTGTTAACATGTTCCATGTAAATTTTTAATATAATAGATAGTACAATCTAAACTATAGGAAAAGGTATCAAGCAGTTTATATAATTTTTTTATATACCTAGAAAATCGCAACCTTGGTTGTTAGAGGATGAATCGCATTAAGTTTAAAGAGCTTTAGTTTAAGTGCTATCAGTATATTAGCCTTGCTAATTGTAACTGAGTATAACCAGGATAAGACTAGTGATGAGAATGATTAAATAAGAATACTGCAAACAATTATTTACTGATTACTTTCTCACTTATAATAAAATTATAGTACTCATGAATACTATTATGGCATCTAGGATAGATACTGCAATTATATAATTAAATCCTTATTCCTTAAAAAGATGGCTAGATAAGTCTGAGGAGCAGCCAGAACTTGAACCCGTTGAGGAAGATTATGAACAACTATCAGATTTTTTTGCATAATAGAGAATTTCAATAATCAATCGAGAAAACGAAAGAGAGGAGTTTACAAACATTACGAAAACTCCCACTAAAACAATATGATTAGAACTTTATTTACTTCGCTGCATTAATGAATTAAGCTAAATGAATGGTTATTGAAAAGGCTTTTGTTATTTTATGGTTAGTAAAGTATAGATAGATAGTTAGTTAGTTAGTTATTTAGTAAGTAAGTATATTTGTTTAAATTTTAGTAGTTTATTTGCTTTGTTTTTTAAGTTTTTATTATTAATATTAATATTTAGCCGTTCATATCTATAATAAAAGAAAAAAAATAGACTTTATCTATTTGTACATTAAAAAGAAAAATAAAGGTATTTAATTATTTATTTAATTTTTCTTATTCATTTTTTATTAGATATAAAAATATCGACAAACAATTTTTACACTAATTGCAAGCATTACTCCCATAAATTCTACACAAACCATTATTTAATTAACTAACTAAATAATCAATCAATCAATAACTTTATCTGATTGCCCTTTATTTTATTATTTTGATTTTCAATCATTTCTCTTTGTATTTTATTCTCTTCACTCAATATTTTATTGACTTTGTTCTTCCTATTCTTGCTTTTACTCATCCACCTTTTTTATTTTGAAATTTATCATCTCAACTTACTAAATATCTATCTATTAGATGCGATCCTTTAATTTTCGCGTTGTAATTTAAACATTATTAATTACTAATTTGAAGCAAGGAAATTTTATCATTGAAAATACATTACATTATTTTCAATTAATAAACTCAGCATTACCTAGTATTTATCCTGAATTTTATAAGTATTCCACCACATATCAATTGAGTAAACCCATTTTTTAAAATTCAGATACTTATTTTTAAATTTAAAATAAAATAGCTAAAGATTAAGCAATCATTTTTTAAAACCAATTTCATATTTTTAATTCATTCTAACTTTTCTTTCCATTAAAAAAATAAATTTTAGGAAATATGCAGCTATTCTTACATAATTTTTAATGGATTCTACAATTTTGTAAATTTTCAAATATAAAGATATCTTATGATTAATTTTTAAGAATCAATAATTTAACTAATTTACACTTAAAGAGTAAGATAAAAATTTAATTTACTTATTTGTTTTGCACATACTAAATAGTATTAAGATTTTTGCACATTTGTTTTGATTTATTGTGTGTGTTCTTTAAAAGCAAATAAATAAATAAATTAATTTCTATCATCGTTTTAAAACTAAATATTTATCTAAATAAATATTTGCCAATAAACAGTTTTGAATTGCTATTTTTTTGGTTGGTATTAAATAAATTTGTAAAGTTTTTTTCATAAAAATAAAATTAATGGCTAAAAAACTTAAATAACAGAGCTTTTAACAAATAAATAGATACATACATCATTAATATAAAATTAACATCATCAAATTCTAATCAACTTAATTAAAATACATTCTATGGTAAATATATCGTTATATAATTTATTACGTAATTATTCATCATAATTATAGTTCATCCAAATAAAAGGCAAAATAGTAAGTTTAGCGAATTTCGAAATCCCAAAAAAATATTAAAATTTAATTATTTTTTCAACTTTTTGCAAGTTATGTGATAAATAAAACTATTTTTTATAAATGAATAATTAATTTCTTTGTACACTTAGATATATTTTATTTATTTATTTATTTAATTACTATCTCTTTCCTTAAAATATCTAATTTTTAGTTTTTATCAAACATTATCAAACAAAAAAACACTCTAATATCCTGAATTATCCAGAATTATGAGTTAAAACATGTTTTAAATAAAATATTATGTTAATTAGACATTTTAATTACTAAAATAAAAACAATTTTATTGTAAATAATAAAATATAGTTTATTATTTAAGCAATATTTTGTTTTTTATACTTTACTGTGCTATTAATATTAGAAGATTAAAACTAAATTTTTTAGGGTTGAATATTTAAAAGATACAAATTTTGTAAAGATATAATGTCAAATTGAATTGGTTTTAATAAAATTTGATAGATTTTTTTAATGATCAATTGCTTTGCAGATAAAAATATAATGAAATATAAATTTATATTTTTAATATTTTAGTAGAAATGTAATATCTAAAATAAAAAATAATTAAAGATTTTAAATTAAGTTATTTTCTTATTATGCAGTATTTATTCTAAAAATCTTCAATATCAATTTTCGAATAAGTTAAAAAAACTATTAATTTATTAAATAACTGATCTATAGGAATATCAAGGAAAATATTATTAAATTAAATATTCTATTTTTATCTGCTGATTACTCAATTACTAAAATTAAATATTTTCTTAATATATTTTAAGAAAAGTTATATTTTAAAATTCTACTTTGAAAATTATATGAAAGTAAATATAATATATATTTGCTTATTTGAATCTTTAAAAGTAAATATGGCTGGCCATCTTTAAAAAATAAATATTTTGATTTGATCAGATAAAATATTTTTTCTTACTGTAAATTAAATATATTTTATATATTTTTTTTTGCTTTTATTAGAAATATAATAATATAAATAACTTAACTATTTTGATGTAATAAATAAATAAATTAATATAATTTAATATCTTTTTCAGATATTTCTAGATAATTGCTAAATTCTAATTAAATAAGCTAAGTTTTTTACTAAAATTTGTTTAAGATGATTGGAGAAGCATATAATATAATAGAAAAGAAGGTAGAGGAGATGGATTAAAAGATCTATAATTAATATTAGCCATAGATTACCGAATTTTACTAAAAAAAATATGAGAAATTGTATGAATGTTTACAACCTTTAAAGCATGATTAGTAAAAATAATATTTAGATTGTTTGAAAAAGTATGAAAAAGTTGATTTGAATATTTCTCACGCACTTGAGAATGGAAAAAATTAGTTATATAACTGCATAAATTTATAATATTAGATCACTTAAAAACCTCCTTCTTATCAACCTAAGAATTTCTCTTTTAATCAACAAGTATAAATGTGTGCTGATGAATTTGAAAAGGATACAATTAAAGTTATTGAGAATTAGTTAAAAACTATTAAAATTGATTGATATTTTATCATAGCATTTTAGTATTTAAATTTAATCTATAGCAGATGATTTATTATCAGATTGCATTTTTGAACCGATGAATTAAATGTTTTCAAAATTATCTAATAATATCTCAAAATATTTGTTCAAAAAATTAAAATAATACAATTCAATTACTTGATTTCTATTTTAGAAAAGAGATTTTACTCAGAAATTTCCACAAATTATATAATATAATATAAAATAATTATAGATAAGGGAAAATGTAAACAACAAATAAATTTAACTGTAAGAAAGCACATTTCAAATTTATATAAACATTTTTGTAACATTAAACGATATATTTATTTTAACCAATATGTATATTTTTTTTATACCAATTTTCAAACTTTAAAATAAATAGATTCCTTCAAAAATAAATAGAAAATATTGTGATTATCAAAAATATGGAAACCCATTTTATTTCTTTGAATTATTTAATTTTAACATTCATATTATTGTATAAATGATAATTTTTTATTAGATTATGTGTTTAAAATTATTTATTTTATTCAAATAATAAAAACATTTATAAATCTTACTTTTAAAATTAAGCTTTTAAGTTGTGATTTGTATGTATGTATGCTTAACTTTTAGATTCAGAAAGTAGAATTTGCATAGATAATATTTAATAAAGTAATCATACGCCCACCACCTTTTTGAGCAACTTAATTAGAATAAAAATCTTTAAATCTATATGTAGTATAAAAATTAATAAGCAATTCAACTAAATAAAAAATCATAAAAAAGCAAGTAACAAACTATACAACTTGAAATTTTTTAAACTCTTAAAAAATAATTTTAAAAAGAAATAATTAATTAATATCGCATGGAAATAGAGCAAGATAATATAATTAATTCTGTTATTAAATTGATAAAGTAAAGCGAGATTAAAGAAGCTATAAAATATCTATTATAAATAGAATAGGTCAACTAAAACGATTTAGAAAGCTTCTTAGATAGCCAAATATTAATCCCAATTTTTTCGTATTATATATAAAAGGATGATATCTTAGATAAACATGATAGAGAAGATCAAATATAATAGTATTACAGTCTTCTCTCTTTAATAGATAGATTAATATTGATAGATGATTAGAGAATAAACCGCATAATTATGAAATGCAATATCAAAGAGTTAATGAGCAAACTAGTTGCAATAAAGGATCCTAATTTTAGTGTTAGTGTATTTTCTTCATTATCATAATTAGCTAAATAAACGCCTGAGCTATTTTCTACATAATTTATCTATTAACTTTAGCGCTCTTTACTTGAAAAATGTTCAAACTCTTCCTAAAGACTAGAATACTTCTTTTATATCTTTTATAATTTAAAAGATCAATCTCCTAAGTACAAAATAGATGCTTATTTCTATACTAATTTCTTAAAAATGTAATTTCAAAGCATCAAGTTGACTAAACAAAGTATAAAGTATGTATTGTCAACGTTATAGCACTTACTCAAAGAATAAGAAAATTCTGAAAGTAATACATTTAAAAATATTTTTGAAGTTGTTGCAGGATTTATGTTTCCCAGATTATCACTTGACTATAATATTTGCAATGCTAATTTTGAAGAATGCGACTAAAACATTTAATTTGAATTCTTTTAGTTAATAAAATTATTTATGATTTACTGTCAAAACTCTGCTACTCTATTTATCTCTAAAAACATTTCTGAAATCCGAAATGTAATTACTGATATAAAAATTAAAAATTAATCAATCGCTAACGTTTGCCTAGTGTTAGAATTAATAAATGAAGCAATTAGCAGTCAAAATGAATACTCTCTTCTGATTATTGATAACTTACTGAGTTGGGAAAAATTCTAAAATGTTTTAGACGACTTAACATTTTAGAATAAGAAGGATTAAAAAGATGAATTTATAATAAGAAAAATAAAATAAGTTATTTGTGACATTTTAGTAAATATGCTAAATAAAAGTTAGGAACATATCATAGATTATTTTATAAATGAATTTCTAATCGGATAGCTTGTTGATTTGTCTACTTATCTAGATAGCAAACGTAGACAAACAGGTATAGAGGCATTAGTAAAAGTACTCACTTACTTAATGCATCAATAACCAGAAAAATTTATAATTGATTTAAATAATTAAGAAAAAAATTAAGATAAAAGCGATTTAGATTACTTATTTCCTCAGTACAAAAGTGGCAAAATTATTTTAAATTCATTGGCAGATTTGTTTGAAATGACATAATTGCCTTACGATGCAAATAAAGTTATCCCATCATATTATTTCGAAATGCAGAAATTGTCAAACAAAGTAAAAAATAAACTTTATAAGAAATTTGGAGATAAATTACCTAAATCCCTAAGAGGATAAGTAAATTAATATAATTAAAGTAACAATTAAAAACTTAAGAAAGTTAATATTTAAGAAAACTAAGACGAATGGGAGGATGTTTCAGAAGATAGCTAAGAAGCAATTAACAATCTTCATGCAATTATAGTTGATTAGTTTAATTTACAAACAAAGTAATCAGATGAAAGTTATGAAGAGTGACCAAAAAATATTTTAGAAAAAAAAAACAACAATTTTTGTTTCTAAATATGAAATTTTCTAGCAATAATAATATTTAAATACTTTAATTTTAAACATAAAATTATTAGATGAAAATTCTAAGAGTAAAAAATTTTAAACATATTATTTTTGTAAGAAATTCTTCAATATAATTTAGAATTTGAATTAAAGTTTTAATTATTTATGATAGAAATATGAAATTTTTATATATTTGATTGTTTGTTTTTAATTTATTTATTTATTTATTATTTATATTTTTATCTGTAAACAATTTATTTTCAAAAAATTTTAATTGATATTTTTTCATAATTAATGTAAAAACAAACATAATATTTTAAATATTTTATTTGTATATTTCAATAACACTTTTTATCGATTAATTAAAAAGTAATTCTCTTTATAAATATCATCTATTATTTTACTATCCTTAGAAAATAATTATGTTATTTATTGTTTTAATTTATTCTTAAATGTTAGTTTAGCTTTAAATTGTAAAATAATCCAATCAATCTTTTATTTTTAGTTTTCTCACCTTTTTCCGCAATATCATTAGTTATTTTTTATCATAATAATTTAATTGAGGTTATTTTACTTATTTATTCTATTTTAAAAAGTATATTAGAATGTATTTTTGCTTATTAAAATTCTATTTTATTAACTATTTTAAATTTTCAAAATATATTTATGGAAAAGCAAATTTAAAGAACAAACATTTAAGCTTTTTTAGTAATCCAATCTATCCTCAAAGTTTTAATTTAATATTAAAAACAAGCTAATTTTTTTCTTAATTTTGTATTTTTAAAAATATTTTCAAAATTATTTTTTTTAAGTTGGATAAATAAGAATAAAATAAATTATTAAAAATTGCTTTAATTTTAATGAAACATCTAAAATCACATTTTTAAAACACAAGGAGATTTAATTTCGGCAGATAATTAAATAAAAAATATATATAATGATGTAATTATATTTTTTTAATTGTATCAAAATTAAAATTTATGATTTATTTTTGCATTTGTTAGATAGGAAATGTCATCAGTAAAAATTAAGTTAAGTGTTTGGTTGTAATGTAAACTCTTAAGACAAGTATTTTTAGTCAAGAAAAATATTGATTTATATTAGAATAGAGAGTTTTATCTTTGTTATTATTTAAATATTTAACTAATTATTCGCCACAAGAAAAAATCCAAATTATATTAATAATCTTTACATTAAGAAAAATGTTAATTAACCTTATAAAAAGTTATTACTAATTATCGTAAATGGAAGATATTGAATTTTGCAAAAAATAAACCTTGCCACAATAGTACAATTGAAAGTATTATTTTGTTAAAATATATATTTCAGTTATGCTTTAGCTAAAAAATTTTATTTAGAGAAAACTTAAAGTTATCTAAAATCAGAATAAAAATATTACACAGTTAGTACTTATTTAGTATTTGAGTGCACGAGTGTTCTGGGAATCTGGGAATGTGGGAATTTTGAAAAATAGTTTTTCTTATAATGATAAAATTTCAAAAACTATCTGATAATTATGATTTCAAAATGAATGGAATATGATTTAATTCAAATAATCCAAAAGTCTGTATTTTTTTTATTTAGTTTAAAATAAGAAACATCTTAGCCTTTTTGCTTAGTTATAGCCTTATTTGAAACTAATCAATTAAATATGAGCTAATAGTTTAATCTTTATAAAATTTAATGATTTGTTATTTGAAACCAATAAATTAGTTTGATATAATTTTAAATAATAACATCCTTTCAATTTATATAAAAGGGTATTCTTATCATATTATTTATCAAAACTTATTTCGTTTCAATTTTGTTGTAAAATAATAAATTTTTTATTAAAAATCAGTAGTATTTTTAAATTATTTACTTTCAATAAATGTTTTTGAATTCTATTTATAGTAGTTTTTCTTTATCGAATAAATTATAATTTTTTTAGTTAATAAGAAGAAATAAAAAATATCAGTCAACAATTTTTCTGGTAAGAGTTAGATATTTATTTATGGCTAAATAATAAAAAGCTACTTTTTTATTAAAAAAATAGATTCCTTTAAATTCCTCTATAAAATGTGCTAAGTATACAAAGTTCCTTCAAAATCCTTAGTCAACGCATTACATTTTAATAAAAGTCTTACAAAATAGACATTATCTATTAAATGCACACATGAAATTCATTACTTGAAAAATTTTTTTATAGTACCCTAGGTTACTGACTTTTTCAAGGCTACATACACGAATAATAATAATTATAATAATATATTATATTTTTTACTTTTTTTTATAAAAAAAAAAAGGTTTGCTGTTTAGAGCAAAACTTGTTTTATGTGTTTATATAATTATTTTTTCAACATTTTGCTTGATAAATAATTGAGATAAGATTGATAAATATAAAATTCAAACTTATTTTTACTGAAGATTAATATTTCTGTGTAATATGCTATATTAAAAACTTTACTTCCAAGCGAATCTTTACTCTTTATTTGGTTATTTAGTTCCTTTAAAATCTAAATGTTGTTTTTAAAATTTTTTATGAATAAATTAATTAACAAAATATTTAATTTAATGTTTGCTTAAAAAATACTAAGTTTCTTTTTTTTCTCACATATAATATGTTTTTCTAATTAAGAATAAAGCTAAAAGAGCTTTTCTTATTGGAGATAAACTTAAGGTCTTAAAAGTTATTCACTTTGTGGTGGTGTCTAAAATTGTGAAATATGTGAGTTTTAATTCTGTTTGAAATGTACTGATATTAGGGTTCTTCCTTCTTGAGGTTGCCCTTAAGGATTTATAGAAATAAGTGGAAATTGCACAAAATGCCCAGATAGTTGTTAAAATTGTTCAGACAGCAATACATGCATCATTTCTAACTAATAATATACATTAAATAACGGGCAATGCACTTGTAACAATGCCTTAAGTGGATGTAAATTTATTTATTTTGTCAAACTCTCTTTGAAAATTATTTTTTAAAATAATAGCTGTATGTAGTGATCCGTTAATTCTTACTTATTATAAATTTATAAGAAGTGATTTATAATCTGTACAAATCAATTTTAGTGATAATATTAGAATATCTGGAATTGATGAATCTAAGTAATTTTAAATGCTATTAAGTAATTGCATTATTTTAGGTAAAACAACGATTGCTATTTATAGATTAGCATCTAATTCTTAACAAAATGCTGGATGTTATATAAATTAAAGTCATTAAAATTAGTTTATAATTGCTATTGGTAAATATTTATTTTAATAAAATTATTTTAACATTATATTTGTTAATTAACTATAAAAATCAGGTTAACAATATGATAAAGTTGGTATCTTACAACCTCCTTAGATAATTCAAAATTTAATAATAAGCTACAGAAATGGATAAATTAACCAAGTAAATTCTGTGTTATCAAATTAAGCTGGAGTTTTAAACTAATTAAATTAAATAAGTAAATCTTGCTATTTTTAGAATAATAAAATTGAAATAGGCGTACCTTTTACTCCATCAAGTATTAAAATTGTTACTATAGTTAACTAAAATAATGTAGATGTTTAATGTAATTTGGTGTCTAACTCACAATAAGACAGATAATTACCTTTTTCCTGTACTAAATCTTAGTTATAGTTTGATTTGAAAAATTTTTTAAAAGGAACAAAAATAATAATCCAAGTAGTTTGTATAAATATTTTTTAAATGGTAACAAGTGACCAAATTTAAATATCTCTTACTGATGAAGATAATCAAATAAATATAAATAATCTCAAATCAATACTCCAAAATTACAATTTTAATACTAAAATTCCTTTAGCTTTTTCAATATGATGTACTCATCATCTTCTTAATAGTAAGAGTTTATTGTTAATATAAATTCTTATCCTTAATTATTTACTCCTATTTCTGTTAAAACTGAAAATCTGGGATATTAATTTGATATTCCACCAAACTCAGTAACATAAGATACTTATGTTTAATTATAGGTATTTAATTAATTAATCATTTTATAATATTTTTTGCAATACTTCAATTTGTTTTTAAGTAATAATATGGCAAATTAAAATCTAAATAAATTTCAAAGCTGAATAGAAAAGAATAAAAAAGATTCAAATAAATATCTTAAAAATATAATTTTATTAATTTATTAATTTTAATAAACAAAATATTCAGAAAATTATTTTTTTTTCCATTTAATTAATAATTTAAAAATTTTTTTAGTGAAGAAAAAATGATGACATTTTGCTTAAAAGTGAAAATAATAAAAATTTAAATTAAAAATATAATTTTAAAGTATTAAATAAAAAATCTTCATTAAATTTTTAAATTTAATTATTTTATTAAATAGGTTTCTGTAAGTAACACTCAATAAACTGTATAAACTGTTGAATACTTTTAGTTTTACTATCAAAGCTAATTTTAATTATCTATTCTTTAAAAAGGTCCAATCATAAATTTTAATCCATCTTAAAGTTTAACTTTAAATGCTTAACTTATTGATTCAAATTATGCAACAACAGATGCAAATTAATTTTTAATCCAGTGAGTCTGCATGGATACAAATAATCTACCATGCCAGTAAAGTAATGGAGCTCTAATTGTTTTAAATTCTGGTTACTAGTTGGATTTTCCTAAAAATCTATTAAGTTTGAATAATAACTACAATATTTATGCTATTGCTACAAGAAATTCTGATTTTACAAATACTTAAAAGGCTGGCATAAGCATATAAACTATATCTGCTCAGTTACTTTATACTATTTAAAATCAGTAATATCCCAGCTCTATAACTGTTTCTTATCAAGATATAATTTCAGTGTATCTAGGTTATACTTTGAATAATACACTTATTAACTATACAGTCAGAATATTTAAAGATAAATACACAATGAGGAGTATATATTCCAATTCAAGTGCTATTTCATTTAGTATCTAAGATTACTTTCCCAATCTAAGCTTTTCAATTAATTCAATAACTGACTTAACTGTGCAATTCTAAGCTACGGATACATACTATTAGTCTACAATTGCTTCTACTACTCAACTAGATGTTAAATACGTAATCCACCCTAGTAATGCAGTCTGGGATTCAGTAATTCTTTTAAATTTTATTAAATTATTAATTTTTTTGAAATTGGAAAATCTTTTTTTTTAAATACTTCTAATTAATTAAACAAATTAATTATGACGAATTAAAAAATAATAAATTTTTATTTTGTTAATTTTATTTAGGTGGTTCAAATAGTTTTAATGGATTCAAATACTTAATTACAGTTTTTACTATTAACTGCTAATTTGATTCTTAATATTAACCATACACATACCAATACTTCTATTACTAAAATAATACTCAACTATAATAAGAGATTTAAAATCCTTAAATAATAAATAGACAAGAATTAAGCTTAGTTTAAAGTAATTCTTAAATCATAACATATTTCCTCCAGGTAATATTACAATAATGGTGGTTGTGCAAGGCTAATACTCAGTTCAAGCAAATTTTACTTAATATGTATAAGTTAATGATAGTGGCTTTGGTCAATCTGAATATGAAAATTTTATATAAGACCAATATTCTAAGGCTCTATAATATCAAGATTAAAGTTAAGAACTGATTAATTATCAAATGATTTCGATTGCTATTCAGTATTATGAAATTAAATAACCCTAGTATTAACAGCCATAGAGTGTTAATACATTAAAAAATAACATTATTTAAAGATTATAAGATGCCTCTTGGTCTATACTGAGTCAAGACGTACTTTTACTTTCATAAAAAACTACTTCACAAATTTCTTAATCTAAAATTCAAATGAGCCCTGCTTTATCTTAAACTTTAAAGGCTTAAAATTAAAAAATTATAAATGATGTATCATAAGAAATATCAATTGCAGATTAATCTACTTTAACAAGCTCTCAAAAAAATTATTACTAATAAATTTTAATCAATACTTTTTTGAATTTTGTGAAAAATGTTAACTCTATAAACAGTTGGACAGCTTGAGATTGCTAAAATATGATTGATCAAACATCTAAATCTTTAGATGGAATTTCTCAAACTATGGCAGTAAATTAAGCTCCTATCATCTTATAAACTATGGAATCTGTGATAACTGTTGAAAAATTAGATTACACGAATTTACTCAATAAATATTATAAAGGCAGTAGTGCTTCAGGTCAACCATCTGATAATAAAGTAAATGCTAATTATTATGTTTAAATGCAAACATACCCTACTTCTAGTCATGTCTATAGAGATGAACTTTCATAAATTAATCAATAATATAAAAATCAAACCTCCTCACAATAAATATTAAATTTGCTTAATAAGACATATCCTGTAAAAATTCCATCCATAAAAACTGATGTAAAACCATCAAGAAGAAGAAGATTCTTAACTTTATACCCTACTCAATCAGATGTTCCTATAGAGATCTAATTTGGGTAAATTACTGCTGAAGAAAAGTTAACATGTATTTAGCGTTCTGCGAGTGGTAAATGGGTATCAAACAGTTGCAGTGCATCAGTTTAAGTAATAGATAATCAAAGACATATAAGTTGCTCATGCAAAACACCTGATGTAACTTCATTGATAGCAGATATTGAATAGCTTTTTGATAATGAAAATCTTAAAGATCTTTTCGATGGGGATGGAATAGAAAGACTTATACACTTAACTGATTGGTACAAGTATGCACCAATTTGGACTATTATAGGTTTAAATATATTGTTGATTGTTTTAGTAATTGTTGGGTGTAAACTTGATAAAAGAGATACATTAAATATTGCAAATAAAAAATACCAATTAACAAAGCTTGAAGAAATTTAATAAATAAAAAAATTAAAAATTTACCTTAAAAAAAACATCAAAAAAAGCTAAAAATTTTTTTATTATGGTAAAAAATAATGAAAAAATAATAGATAAGTTATCTTAATTAGAAATGATAAAACAAAACATTTACTAAGAGGCTAAGTAAAATGAAAAATAAGAAAATTAGTTGGTTAAAGAAAATAGCAATCAAATGATTCTAACTTTAAAAAAATTTTCAAATTTTCAACTTGAAAAGAAATAAATCATAAATGCATCAAGCTTTGAAAATAAAGATTGCGAGATGTAGAATTTCAATGAATTAGAAAAAATTAAAAATTTTGGTAGTAAATAGTAAGATAGAAACACTAAATCATTGAACTCTAAAACCAGCTATGAAACAAAATAAATGACTCCAATGAGTTAACAATATATTTAAAACCCATAGCCAGCAGATGACAAATAATCTCACTTATATTTGGATATTTATTCAATTAAATATGATGGTTAATAAGAAAATAACGGCGAAGTTGAGGTACATTCAAAATAAGTGAGCTTAAAAAATTTATTTAATAACAAAACTCCTTTAAATAATCAAAAAATTCTTATTGAAAGTTAAAAAGAATAACATTTGAATTCGAAATAAACACTTTTAATATAAAAATAGCTTGATAATTATCAAAATTAGCAATAATCTAATAAAGTTTGTAAATCATAGTAACAATAATTATAAAGTACCATTTAAAATAAATTAGAGGATTCAACTCAATAAAATATCTTACTAAATGATGAAAATATGTTATAAAAAAATAAGAGCAAATAGGATTAAAAAAAACAATAAAAAGAAGAAGAAGAAAAGCTCAAATTGTAAAAAGCAAAAGAAAAGCTAGATGAATATTTAAAATTAGAAAGTTCGGTGAAAGGAATCATTGCTTTTCACATATTTCTCTCAACTTTCATTATTTATGACCAAAAATTTTCTCGTGCAATAAGATTTATAATTTACTATAATAAAATGGTATGGCTTTTGGCATTAAATTCAGTCTATAGAGTAAATATTAGCTTAGTTTAAATAATTATTCTGAGTATTACATCAACTATTGTCCTGCTTATTGTAACTACAATACTTATAGCTTTGCTTTCAAAAAAAAAGTTAAAAATCATCGGCTTAGTAATTACTTTTCTATTTTTACTATTTTGTTATTATAGTATTTTTATTTATTTCAGAATTGAATCCTAAGTAAGCTAATATTTGGATAGGCTCTTATTTTTTAACTCTATTTATTAATGAGTATCTAATAGGGATCCCTATTTGCTGCTTAATGTATTAGGCAGCTAAAAAAATAGTTAGCAAAGTTTAGAATCCAATTATTTTTTAAATTATCGGAGCAGGACTACTTATAGAAGCATTTAAAAATTGATTTTTTAAATAAAAATAAATTCTTTAATATTTTTTGATATATTTTTTGGTGAAATTATTATTACTTGTTAGTTGTTTAAACATTAATTTATTCTTTGACTTTATATCATTTATAACTATCATCTGTTAATTATTTTGTGAGAAAGGACTATATATTTAGTTGAATAATAGATCTTATTTAATAAAATAAAAAAAAAAATTATTTTTAAATAAATAAAAGATTTTGAAGCAAGTTTACAAACTGATAGAAGATAAAATAATGAAAAAATTTTTAATCTAAGATTTTATTTTAGATTTCTTTGTTTATTTAGGTCAGAAACCTATCTCAATAAATTTTTTTATAATTTAAAAATTTTATTTAATATATAAAATACTATTTATTCCTTAGTTAGTCATTGATGTTATTAATAAATTACAATAATAAAAGTAGATCGTAAATTTTTAATAAAATTTTCCATTCATTTTTGTAAACAATTACTTTTTAAAAAATATATATGAATAACTCCCTTAATTTTCGAATGCATAACTCAAACTATGATTTATATATTAATTTATATAAGAAAATAGATAGGTTTCCATAATTTTGAAATCCACTATAAATATCTGATAGAAATTATTTGCTAAAGTGTATCTAAAATTATTTATTTTTTTCAAATTAATAAAAACTTTTTGTCAATCTTACTTTTAAAAATATTCCTTCTAAAATTAAACTTTTAAGTTATGATTTGTATTCTTTAAATTTAAATAAGCTTCATGGTAACCGACCCTTTAAAATATTTTCATTTAGCTAAAATAAAAGTAAAGTTAAAAAGTTGCTTTAGTAATTTACACTTATTCAATTTAAATATTACTTTTGAAAGTAGAATTTGAATAGGTAATATTTAATAAAGTCAGCATACTCCCACCACCTTTTTGAGCAACTTAATTAGAATAAAAATCTTTAAATCTATATATAGTATAACAATTAATAAGCAATTCTTCTAACTAAATAAAATCATAAAAAAATAAAAAAGTAAATAAATAACTTGACATTTTTTAAACTCTTTAAAAAAATAATTTTAAAAAGAAATAATTAAGATAGTATGGAAATAGAGCAAGATATAATTAATTCTGTAATAAAATTGATAAAGTAAAGCGAGATTAAAGAAGCTATTAAATATCTATTATAAATAGAGTAGGTCAACTAAAACGATTTAGAAAGCTTCTTAGATTGCCAAATATTAATCCCAACTTTTTCATATTTCATATAATAGGTGATAGCTTAGATTAAAGTGATAGAGAAAAACAAATATAATAGTATACAGTCTTCTCTCTTTAATAGAAAGATTAATGGTGATAGATGATTTTATGAAATGCAATATCAAAGATTAATGAGCAAACTAATTGTGATAAAGGATCCTACTTTTAGTGGTAGTATATTTTCATCATTATCATAATTAGCTAAATCAACCCCTGAACTATTTCTACGTAATTTATCTATTAACTTTAGCGCTATTTACTTGAAAAATGTTCAAACTCTTCCTAAAGATTAGAATACTTCTTTTATATCTTTTATAATTTAAAAGATTAAGCTCCTAAGTACAAAATAGATGCTTATTTCTATACTAATTTCTTAAAAATGTAATTTCAAAGAATCAAGTTGACTAAACAAAGTATAAAGTATGTAGTGTCAACTAAAGATTAAGAAAATTCTTAAAGTAATACATTTAAAAATATTTTTTAAGTTGATGCAGGATTTATGTTTCCCAGATTATCACTTAACTATAATATTTGCAAAGCTAATTTTGAAGAAAGTGACTAACATATTTAATTTGAATTCTTTTAGTTAATAAAATTAATTATGATTTACTGTCAAAATTCTGCTACTTAATTTATCTCCAAAAACATTTCTGAAATCCGAAATGTAATTACTGATATAAAAATTAAAAATTAATCTATAGCTAATGTTTATCTAGTGTTAGAATTAATAAATGAAGCAAATAGCAGTCAAAGCGAATACTCTCTTCTGATTATTGATAACTTATTGAGTTGGGAAAAATTCTAAAATGTTTTAGATGACTTAAGATTTCTCCAATTTAGTTTAAAATTTGAATTAAAGTGTTTTATATATATATAAATATGTAATTTTTATTTATTTATTTGATTATTTGTTTTAAATTTATTTATTATTAATATATATTTTTAGTTGAAAATAATTTCCTTTCAAAAATATTATTTTTTTTTAAATAATTTTTTATTAATCATGTTAAAATTTAAGTATTTTAAATATTCTATTTGTATATTTCAATATCATTTTTATTTATTATCTAAGGTCTGATGGGTAATGCTTTTCATAGTAGCAATATCATTTATTATTTTAGTATCCTAAGAAAATAATTTTGTTATTGAGATATTACCTTTAATTTATACTTCAGCGCGTTGGTTTAGCTTTAAAATGTAAAATTATTTAATCAAGCTATTTTTAATTTTCTCACATTACTCTAAAATATCATCAATTATTTTTTTAACACAGTAATTTAATTTAGAGTATTTATTTATTTGTTCTATTTCAAATAGTATTTTAGAATGCATTTTTACTATTAAAATTGTATTTTATTTGCTATTTTAAATTTTCAAAATACTTTAAAAATATTTTCATAACTATTATAATTAATTTAAGTTGGGTCAAAAAGTATAAAATATATTATTTATAATAGCTTTAATTTTAAAGAATAAATAAATACAATTACATTTAGAAAGCAACATAATATATTTTATATTAAATATTTAATTTCTACATATTATATTAATAGGCAAATTTTAGATTAAGAAATATAATGAAATAATTGTTTGTTTAATTGAATTAAAATTAAAATTATTTATTCATTTTTTAGATAGAAAATTTGTTACAGTGAAAATTAAGTTATGTATTTGGAGACAATATAAATTGTATCAAAATTAAAATTTTTTATTAACTTTTGCATTTTTTAAAAAGGGAAATTTCTTCCCAGTAAAAATTAAGCTAAATATTTAGTGGTAATGTAAAATCTTAAGACACATATTTTAAGTCAAGAGATTTATTAATTTATATTAAAAATAGAAAGTTTGTGTTTTTGTTATTTTTTACTCATTTAATTAATTTTTCGTCACAAGAAAAAATCAAAAATTTAATTGTAATCTACATTCAAAAGAATGTTAATTAGCCTTTTACACCTAATTACTTACTAATTATCGTAAATGGTAAATAGAAACTTTTTGAATTTTGCAAAATAATAACCTGATCACAAAAATGTTATTGAAAATATTTCTTAATATACATATTTTAGTATGCAATGCTTAAAAAAATATTTAAATAAAATAAAACTATCGTACTTTACCAAAGTAAAAGTTTTACCCAGTTCGTACTAATTTAGTAGTATATTTTTAATGCTTTTAGATTATAAAAATACCATTGTTTTTCATATAAATATTAAATTTCAAATATCCAATAAATATAATTTAAAAGTGGAATATGTTTTAATTCAATAATTTTAAAGATCAGCATACTTTTTTAACTTAGCTATAAATATAAAAATAAGAAATTTCTTAGCATTTTAACTTAATTATGACCTTATTTGAAACTAATTAATTAAATATTATCTAGTAATTGTATCTTTATAAAATTTAATGATTTTTTATTTGTATCCAAAAAATTAGGTTGATATTCTTTTATATAAAAACACACTCTGAATAGTCAGAAATGGATATTGTTATCATATTATTTATCAAAACAAACTTATTTAGTTTTAATTTTATTGTAAAATAATAAAATATTTCTTGAAAATTAGTAGCTATTTCTAAATTATTTACTTCAATAAATGTTTTTGAATTCTATTATTAATTACTAATCATTTTTCTCTATCAAATGAATCATCCTTATTTTAGATTTATAAGAATTAAAAAAATATGAGTCAACACTTTCTATGATAAGTGTTAGATATTTATTTGTGGCTAAATAATAAAAAGCTTATTTATTATTAAAAAAATCGATTCCTTTAAATTCCTCTATAAAATGTGTTAAGTATGCAAAGTTGTTAAAAATGCATTAATATTCACATTGCATTTTTATAAAGTCTTGCAAAATGCGCTTATTATCAATTAAATACACACATGAAATTCTTTATTTGAAAAATTGAAAAATAAATTTGAATATTTTGCTTGATTTATAATTGAAATACGATTAATAAATACGCATCGAACTTATTTTTACTGAAGATTAGAATCTATGTAATGTGAAATATTAAAAACTAAATTTAAGTTCGAGCAAATTTTTACACTTTATTTGCTTATTTAGTTGATTTAAAATCTTAATGTTGATTTTCAAAAATTTTAGGTAATAAATTAATTAAAAAAATATTTAATTTAATGTTTGCTTAAAAAATACTAATTTTCTTCTTTTTCTCACAAATAATCTGTTTTTCTAAATAAGAATAGAGCCAAAAGGGCTTTTCTTATTTAAGATAAACTTAATCTTTGAAAACTTATTCACCTTGCGCTGGTATCTAAAATTGTGAAATATGCGAGTTTTCGGTCTGCTTGAAATGTGCTGATGGAAGGGTTCTCCCTAATTGTAATTGCTCTTAAGGATTTATAGAAGTCAATGGAGTTTGCACTAAATGCCCTGATAATTGTTAAACTTGTTCAAGCAGCTCTACATGTACAACTTGTAACTAATAATATACATTAAATAATGGGTAATGCACTTGCAACGATGCCTTAAGTGGAAGTAGATTTATTTATTTTGTCTAACGCTCTTTCAAAACTATTTTTTTAAATAATAGCTATATGCAGTGATCCATTAAATCTTACTTTTAATACATTTATAGGAAGAGATTTAATATCAGTACAAATCAATTTTAGTGATAATATTAGAATATCTGGAATTGATGAATCTAAGCAATTTTAAATGCTCTAAAGTAATTGCATTATTTTACATTAAACAACTCTTGCTAATTATGGATTAGCATTTAATTAATAAAACGCTGGTTGCTATATAAATTAAAACCATTAAAATTAGTTTATAATTGTAGTAGGTAAATATTTATTTTCATAAAAATTATTTTAATCATATATTTGTTAATTATAATTATCAGGTTAACAATATGATAAAGTTGGTATCTTACAAACTCCTAAGTTAGTTACAAATTAAATACTAAATTACAGAAATGGATAAGTCAAACAAATATATTCTGCATTAACAAATTAAGTAGGGATTCTAAACTAATTAAATTAAATAAGTAAATCTTGCTATTTTCAAAATAATTAAATTGAAATAGGCGTACCATTTACTCCATCAAGCAGTAAAACTGCTACCATAGTTAACTAAAGTAATTTAAATGTTTAATGTAGTTTGATTTCTAACACGCAAGCAAACCCAACATTACCTTTTTCCTGTACTTAAACTTAGTTAAAATTTGACTTGAAAAATTTCTTTAAAGGGACAGTAATAACAATCTAAGCAGTTTGTACAAATATTTTTTAAATAGTAACAAACGACCAAATTTAAATATCTCTTACTGATAAAGATAATCAAATAAATATTCTTAATATTAGTAAATTACTTTCAAATTATAATTTTAATTCTAAAATTCCTTTCGAACTTTCATTAACTCACACACCATCTTCTTCAATGTTAGATTTTGCTGTTAATATAAATTCTTATCCTTAAATATTTACTCCTATTTCTGTTAAACCTGAAATCATTCTATATGAATTTGATATTCCTCCAAATTCAGTTACATAAGACACTTATGTTGAATTAAAGGTATTTATTTAAATTCATAATTTTTTTTTTTTTTTGCAATATTACTTACAACTTGTTTTTAAGTAAAAATATGAAGAAAAAAAAAAGAAATTAAAAACTGAATAAATTTTTGTGCTGAATAAAATAGAATAAAAAACGCTTTAAAATCTCAAAAATCTATTCTTCAATTTTCCATAATAGCTATTTTCTAAATAAATTCATTCAACAAACAAAATATTCAGAAAATTATTTTTTTATTTATTTTTAAATAAAAATTAATCTTTAAATTTTTTTTTTGAAGAAAAATAAGCTTGCATTTGCTTGTTGCTTAAAAAGTGAAAAATAATAAATAATAATTTACATAAAAAAAATAATTTTAAAATTTTTAATAAAAAAGCTATATAAAATTTTTAATTGAATTATTTAATTAAATAGGTTTCTGTAAGCAACACTCAATAAACAGTATAAACTGTTTAATACTTTTGGTTTAACTATCAAAGTTATTTTCAATTATCTCTCCTTTAAAAAACTCCAATCATAAATTTTGATCCATCTTAAAGTTTAACTTTAAATGCTTAAGTTATTGATTCAAATTATGCGACAACAGACACAAATTTGTTTTCAATTTAGTGGGTCTGCTTCGATACAAATAATCTACCATGCCAGTCAAGTAATGGAGCTCTTATTGATTTAAATTCTGGTTATGAATTGGATATGCCAAAAAATATATTAAGTTTGAATAGTAATTACAATATTTATGCTATCGCTTCAAGAAATTCTGATTTTACAAATACTTAAAAGGCTATCATAAGCATATATACTATACCTGCTCAGTTATCTTATACTATTTAAAATCAGTTATCTCCCAGCTCAATAACTGTTTCTTATCAAGATATAATTTCAGTGTATCTAGATTATACTTTGAATAATACACTTATTAACTATACAGTCAGAATATTTAAAGATAAATACACAATGAAGAGTATGTATTCCAACTCAAGTGCTATTTCATTTAGTATCTAAGATTACTTTCCCAATCTAAGCTTTTCAATTAATTCACTAACTGAATTAACTTTGCAATTCTAAGCTATGGATACATACTATTAGTCTACAGTTGCTTCTCCTACTCAACTAGATGTTAAAATACGTAATCCACCCTAACAATGTGGCTTCGGATTCAGTAATTCTTTTATAATTTATTTCTTAAAAAACATTTAAATTTACTAAATTATTAAATTTTTTGAAATTGAAAAATGTTTATAAAAAAATATTTATCCAAATAAATACTTCTAAAATTAATTAAATTTTTTATTTAATAATAAAATTAAACAAATCAATTATTATGGTGAATTAAAAAATAATTAATTTTTATTTTTGTTAAATTTATTTAGGTGGTTCAAATAATTATAAGGGATTCAAAGATTAAATTACAGTTTTTGTTAATAGCTGCTAATTTGATTCTTAATATTAACCATACACATACCAATACTTCTATTACTAAAATAAGACTCAACTATAATAAGAAATTGAAAATCCTTAAATAATAAATAGACAAGAATTAAGCTTAGTTTAAAGTAGCTCTCAGATCATCACATATTTCCCTCCAGGTAATTTAACATTAATGGTGGTTGTACAAGGCTAATACTCAGTTCAAGCAAATTTTACCTCAATTTTAGAAGTTAAAGATATTAACTTTGATCAATCTGAATATGAAAATTTTATATAAGACCAATATTCTAAGGCTCAGTAATAGCAAGATTAAAATTAAGAACTAATAAATTATCGAATGATTTCAATTGCTATTCAGTATTATGAAAATAAATAACCATAGTATTAATAGCCAGAGAATATTAATACATTAAAAAATAACATTATATAAAGATTATAAGATGCCTCTTGGTCTAAACTAAGTTAAGACGTATTATTGCTTTCCTAAAAAATTACTTCACAAATTTCTCAATCTAAAATTCAAATGAGTCCTGCTTTAGCTTAAATTATAAAGGCTTAAAATGAAAAAACTATTAATGATGTATCATAAGAAATATCAAATGCAGATTAATCTACTTTAACTAGCTCTCAAAAAAATAATTATTAATAAATTTTAAGCAATACATTATAGAGTTTCGTGAAAAGTGTTAATTCTATAAACAGTTGGACAGCTTAAGATTGCTAAAATATGATTGATCAAACATCTAAATCTTTAGATGGGATTTCTCAAACTATGGCAGTCAATTAAGCTCCTATCATCATATAAACTATAGAATCTGTGTTAACAGTTGAAAAGTTAAATTACTAGAATTTACTCAATAAATATTATAAAGGTAGCAGTATTTCAGGTCAAACATCTGGTAATAAAGTAACAGCCAATTATCATGTTTAAATGCAAACATACCCTACTTCTAGTCATGTCTATAGAAATGAACTTTCATAAATTAATGAATAATATTAAAATAAGACCTCCTCTTAATAAATATTAAATTTGCTTAATAAAACATATCCTGTAATAATTCCATCCATAAAAACCGATGTAAAACCTTCAAGAAGAAGAAGATTCTTAACTTTATACCCAGCTTAATTAGATGTTCCTATGGAGATCTAATTTGGGTAAATTACTGCTGAAGAAAAGTTAACATGTATTTAACGTTCAACAAGTGGAAAATGGGTAGCAAACAGTTGTAAAGCTTCAGTTTAAGTCATAGATAATCAAAGATAAATAAGTTGCTCATGCAAAAAACCTGACGTAACTTCATTGATAGCAGATGTTGAATAGCTTTTTGATAATGAAAATCTTAAAGATATTTTCGATGGGGATGGAATAGAAAGACTTATACACTTAACTGATTGGTACAAGTATGCACCAATTTGGACTATTATAGGTTTAAATATATTTTTGATTGTTTTAGTAATTGTTGGATGTAAACTTGACAAAAGAGATAAATTAAATATTGCAAATAAAAAATACCAATTAACAAAGCTTGAAGAAATTTAATAAATAAAAAAATCAAAAAGTTACCTTAAGGACGATATCAAAAAAAGCTAAAATCTTTTTATTATAGTAAAGAATAATGAAAAAATAGTAGAAAAATTATCTTAATTAGAAACGATAAAGCAAAGTGTTTACTAAGAGACTAAGGAAAATGAAAAATAAGAAAATTAGTTGGTTAAAGAAAATGGCAATTAAATGATTCAAACTTAATAACAATTTTCAAATTTTCAACTTGATAACGAATAAATCATACATGCAGCAAGTTTAGAAAATCAAGATTGTGAGATTTAGAATTTAAATGAATTAGAAAAAATTAACAATTTCGATAGTAAATAGTAAGATAGAAACACTAAATCATAGAACTCTAAAACCAGCTAAGCTAATATAGAAACGTAGCAGCAGTGTGAAACAAATCAAATAACTCCAACTAGTTAACAATATATTTAAAACCCCTAACCAGCAGATGACAAATAACCACACTAGCACTTGGATATTGATTCAATTAAATTTGATTGTTAGTAAGAAAATAGCGGTGAAGGTGAAGTACGTTCAAAGTAAGTGAGCTTAAAAAATTTAGTTAGTAACGAAACTCCTTAAAATAATCAAATACTTATTGAAAGTTAAAAAGAATTAAAAATAGGTTCAAAATCAGATTAAAATTTGAATTCAAAATAAGCATTTTCAATATAAGAATAGCTTGATAATGATCAAAATTAGTAATAATCAAATAATTGTTGTAAATCAGAATAACACCAATTATAAAGTACCATTTAAAATCAATTAGATGGCTAAACTCAATAAAATATCTCACTAAAGGATGACAACATGCAATAAAAAAATATGAGCAAAAAGGATTTAAAAAAATAATAAAAAGAAGAAGAAGAAAAGCTCAAATTATAAAAAGCAAAAGAAAAGCTAGATGACTACTTAAAATTAGAAAGCTTGGTGAAAGGAATCTTTGCTTTTCACATATTTCTCTCAACTTTCATAATTTACGACTAAAAATTCTCTCGTGCGATAAGATTTATAATTTACTATAATAAAATGATATGGCTTTTGGCGTTAAATTCAGTCTTTGGAGTAAATATTAGTGTAGTTTAGATAATTATTCTGAGTATTACATCAACTATAGTCCTGCTTATCGTAACTACAATACTTACAGCTTTGCTTTCAAAAAAAAAGTTAAAAATCATCGGCTTAATAATTACTTTTCTATTCTTACTATTTTGCTATTATAGCATATTAGTAGTTATTTCAGGATAGAATCCTTAGTAAGCTAATATTTGGATAGGCTCTTATTTTTTAACTCTATTTATTAACGAGTATCTCATAGGGATACCTATTTGCTGCTTAATGTATTACACAGCTAAAAAACTAGTTAGCAAAGTTGAGAATCCAATTATTTTATAAATTATCGGAACAGGGCTACTTATAGAAGCATTTAAAAATTGAATTTGATAAATAAAAATAAACTCTTAAATATTTTATTATATTTTTTTGGTGAAATTATTTTTACCTGTGAGTTTTGAAACATTAATTTATTATTTGACTTTATATCATTTATAATTATTCTATGTTAATTATTTTGTGAGTAAGGAATATATATATAGTTGAATAACAAATGTTATTTAATATAATAAAAAAAAATTTTAAAGAAATAAAAAAAGGTTTTGAAGCAGGTTTCGAACCTGATAGAAGAAAAAAATAAGTAAAAAATGTGTAATCTAAGATTTTATTTTTTACTTTTTTTATTTATTAGGTTTGAAACCTATTTGATTACATTTTTTTATAATTTTTAAACTTTATTTAATTTATAAAATAACGGTTATTTATTATTCTACTAAATATTTATTTCCTTCGTGAAATAATTATTTGGGAATAATTATAATGTTTCTATAACTTTATTTTTCCTAATGAGAAAAAAATTTATTGAGTTAATTTAAAAAGCTTTTTACTTAAAAATATAATTTATTGATTGTAGCTGATATTATCAATCCATTTAAAAAAAAAAATTACTTAAAAATGCAGGATTTAAATAAATAAGACGAAACACATATTTACAGTGTTAAAGAAGTATTTTAACTTTCAATATTTATAATTTAAAATTTATTAGCTTTAATAATAAATAGATTTATTCAAATAAATAGCATATAAGATGCTTAAAAATTGCGTAATTTATTTAGTTCAGACCAATATAAACTTTAATTGTTAACAAATAGCCCTACTGATTTTTTTAGTTATGGAATAAAAGAATTAACATACTAATTAGATTAATGCATAGATTTGATTACTTTAAAGATAGATTTAAAGTAAACATGAATTTAAAATAAAAACAAATAACAAATAACTTATTAATAAAAATAAACAGTGCAGTCCAACTTGATGATAGTGGATTAATTTCTATATCAAGGGTAATTGATAAATTCTATAAAAATATTCAAACACTAACTTTAGAAATAGAGTAATTTAATTAAAGTGTAAATAAAATTAAAAAATTATATATACTTATGTAGAAGGAATGGTATAGGTAATGAAGGTATGAACATTTTATGCGAGACCTTAAAAAAGTGTGATAGTATAAAATTTCTAAAATTAAATTTGAGGTAAATTTATTTTATGACAAACACAGCAATATTTATTTTTTATTAAAGAATAAATAAGATTAACGATAATTCATTCAGGAATTTAACTAACGCACTAATGTAAAAAAAAAGTTTATCCTACATTATCTTTGATTTTAGGTAAAAGATTATTATTGATATTTTGTATTGATTTTTATGATTAAATATTGAAGAGCAAACAATATTGGAATTGGAGGCCTTAAATTTTTTATAGAAAGTACATACTTAAATAAGAATATTCGAGTTTTCTAAATAAATACATGGTAATTTTTATAATAAATTTATAACTTTTATCAAATTTAGTAAAATATAATAGGATTAAGGAAACCTTTAAAAATACATTAATCAAGAACATAACTAAAAAGCAAAAAAGAATTTACAAAAGACTTGTATCAACAGAAATAATTATTTGACTAGCTTTTTCAAATTTTGATTAACTTTAAAAATTAACTCATTTGTGAATATTTATCTAAGAAAATAGTCTTAGTGAATTAATTTAATTATTTTTATATTTTTGTAAAACTAAACAAAATAAATTATTAATTTTATATCATTTTATTTATATACAGGACTTTCTAATATATTTTTACACAAATTAATTAACACTCATTTTTTTAAGGCTCAAAAAATAACTTTTATTTTTGTGTTAAAATTTGTGAAATACTCAAAATTTTATTGTAATGTTTTTATTTTATATAAAATAATTTTATAATTTATTCTTTATATTATTTTTAAATGATAGTTTGATAATAACATTTTAATTTAATTTTGTGTATAATAATTTTGTAATTAAATTCTATGGGTCAATTTTCTACTGATAAATAGTGGGATAAATTTACTTCCTAAATATATTTTAAATAAAATAATATAACTATGAATAAATAAAGATATAATAAAATCTAAAAAAGTAAAATTAAAAATATTTTTATATTCAAAAAAATTACAAAATTCAAAAATATTCATTTAATACATGCAGTTACATTATAATTATTTATATATATAATCTAAGAATCTAATTATTTTCAATATAGAATTGCGAAAACAATCAAACCAAGAGAGTAGACTAAATATACAGAGCTCAAGCTTGAGATAGAAGCAGAATTAGTCTTGTCTTCTCTTAAATTACCATTTGGTTTATTCTCAGTTTATGGCTTGTTATCAGGTTGAGTTTCTGGCTTATTTTCAGGATTAGATACAGGCTTATTTTCTGGTTTAGTTTCAGGCTTATTTTCAGGTTAAGTATCTGGCTTATTTTCAGGTTTAACATCAGGCTTTGGTGGTTAAGGTGTAACCTCAGGCTTGGTATTAGGTTCAGAACCCATAGCTTCTTTATGACATTTAATCTCAATATCAATCTTATCTTAGAGGATTTCACGTTTGGATTTGCATTTAGATTTAAAGCATGAAATTCTATTTGCAAAAGAATCATTATCATCCTTACAATCGCTAATGCAATCATTAATTTTGTCTTATTCTTCACTGCATTCTTCATAAGTTTCATCATCAAATTTACAGGTTTTAGGCTTATTATCAGTGCGGCATTTGATATATTTATCAGTGTCGTCTTTAGTCTTTACATAAGAAAGAGCTAATAAAACTAGTAGAGCAAAGGTTATAATCCTCATTTTTTTTTTAATTTATTTTATTTTTAATAGTTTTATTTTGTTTTTTATTAATAATTTATAAAAATGTTATGATACCAACTGCACTTATTTAAAGTATTGTTAATTAAAAATGAAGCTATAAGTTAAATCATATATTGTAAGATATACAAATATTATTTTAATAAATAGTTATATAATTAAAATAAGCAACTAAAAACTATTACTAAATATAAATTAATTAACTATTACTTAGACTTTATAAGTTAACTGGTAAGTAATTAATTAATTTTGAGTTATACTAAGTTAATATAAAATGAAAAAGATAATTTAGTTATATAAATTACTAGGAATGGTAATTGTAAATTTTAAAATTAAAATGAATATTTTTCATCATCTCTAGATATAACTACTTTGGCTTTTAAACATAAATATATTTTATTGCCTCTATATTGAATACGTAAAATAAAAAGATTAGGTAATTTTATTTAAAATTTAGTAACATAAATCATCAAATAATAAACAGTTATATTTGAACTTCGATTAATGAAGATTGGTAGTACATTAATTAATTAATCTTTAAAAAACTCTACTGATCTAATTAATTTTGTGCCAAAAATATTCTTATTAATTTTTTTAATATAATCTAAATCAGTTATCCTCAGTAATATAAATAAAGATAAGAAATTTTCGATCTCATTAATTTTACAATAGAATCAGAAATTTTATTTATTTAATAGTAATTTTTTAATGACTTATTATTTTTTGATTTCATTATTTTTTTAATCATATTAAATTCTTTAAATATTTTTATTAATTTGCTTTATAAAATTTTTTATTTCTAATTTTGCTAATCTATGAAATTTAAATTAATTTTACTCCAAAAAATTAAATCTTAGATAAAATGATATTAATTAATTTTTAAAAAGCAAAAAAATATTTTTTACAAATAGAAAAATATTCATTTTGATCTTTATTTTGGATAATACCACGACTAGTAATTTATATAACTAAGTTATCTATTGAATTTTATATATGCTTAACAGCTAAAATTAATTAAATGTTTGACAGTTATTTTATAAATCTAAGTAATAGTTAATTAATTTATATTTAGTACTAGCAAAAATTGCTCATTTTAACTATACAGATAAATATATTTATTTTAGTATGTCTTATAATCAATATATAATTTGATTTATAGCATTATTTTCCATGGACAATACTTTAAATAAGCACAGTTGGTATCATAACATTTTTATAAATTATTCATAAAAAACAAAATAAAACTATTAAAAATAAAATAAATTAAAAAAAAAATGAGGATTATAACCTTTGCTCTACTAGTTTTATTAGCTCTTTCTTATGTAAAGACTAAAGACGACACTGATAAATATATCAAATGCCGCACTGATAATAAGCCTAAAACCTGTAAATTTGATGATGAAACTTATGAAGAATGCAGTGAAGAATAAGACAAAATTAATGATTGCATTAGCGATTGTAAGGATGATAATGATTCTTTTGCAAATAGAATTTCATGCTTTAAATCTAAATGCAAATCCAAACGTGAAATCCTCTAAGAAAAGATTGATATTGAGATTAAATGTCATAAAGAAGCTATGGGTTCTGAACCTAATACCAAGCCTGAGGTTACACCTTAACCACCCAAGCCTGATGTTAAACCTGAAAATAAGCCAGATACTTAACCTGATAATCAACCTGAAGCTAAACCTGATAATCAACCTGAAAATAAGCCAGAAACTCAACCTGATAACAAGCCATAAACTGAGAATAAGCCAAATGGTAATTTAAGAGAAGACAAGGCTAGTTCTACTTCTAGCTTAAGCTCTGCATATTTAGTTTACTCTCTTGGCTTGATTGTTTTAGCAATGTTATTTTGAAAATAATTATAATCTTAAAAGCTTAAAATAAGATGTTTAAAAAGATTGATTTTTTTAGTTTTAATATCTTTATCTTCTTATATAAAATATTTGTTATCATTTTAGTAGTTTTTTTGAATATAAAAATATTTTTTTATTTTACTTTTAGATTTTATTATTGATTTGTATATAAATTATTATTTTTTATTAAATTTACAATTTTTCAAATGTATAATTTCATGATTATATCAATTAAATATATTTGATGTATATATCAAAAAAATCAATACTAGATAAATTAATCTATCATAATAATAAAATTAATATTAAAGAACCTTGCAATACTAAAAAATAATTATCACATAAACATAATCAAATTATGAATATTGTATTAATAAAATATTTATTTTCTGATAAATTTTGGTATATTAAATGAAAAATAGTACATCATTAAAATACTGTAAGAACTGTAATTTCCGCGTACCCTCATGCATTCATTTTATTTTCGTGCACCAAAATCATTAATTCATTTATTTCCGCACACTCCTGCCCGAAAATTTTGATGCGCAGAAATTACGGTTCTTACAATATTAGGTTTGGGCTAAATAAGTTTATAGAAAAGCATTATACCAGGAATTTAATTAGATTTAATGTTATAATTTTAATTTAGGGAAGTTTTATATGGTGGAATTATCAAGAAATAACTTTGATTTTAGTGTTAAAATTTGTATTTGTGACTAACTCAAAATTTTATTGTAATGTTTTTATTTTATTTGAAATAATTTTATAATCTAATCTTTACATTATTTTTAAACTGATAATTTGATAATAACATTTTAATTTAATTTTGTGTAAAATAATTTTGTAATTAATTCTATGTGTCAAGGATAAATCTATTTCCTAAATATCTTTTAAATTAAACAATATTACTATAAATAAATAAATAAAGAAATAATAAAATCTTAAAAAGTAAAACTAAAAATATTTTTATATTCAAAAATATTAAAAAATACAAAAATATTCAATTTAGTACATGCAATTACATTATAATTATTTATATATTTGCTTATAAATACTTTTTGTAATTAAGATGATAATTATTTTCAATACAGAATTGCGAAAACAATCAAACCAAGAGAGTAAACTAAATATACAGAGCTCAAGCTTGAGATAGAAGCAGAATTAGTCTTGTCTTCTCTTAAATTACTATTTGGTTTATTCTCAGTTTATGGCTTGTTATCAGGTTGAGTTTCTGGCTTATTTTCAGGATTAGATATAGGCTTATTTTCTGGTTTAGTATTTGGCTTATTTTCAGGTTTAACATCAGGCTTGGGTGGTTAAGGTGTAACCTCAGGCTTGGTATTAGGTTCAGAACCCATAGCTTCTTTATGACATTTAATCTCAATATCAATCTTATCTTAGAGGATTTCACGTTTGGATTTGCATTTAGATTTAAAGCATGAAATTCTATTTGCAAAAGAATCATTATCATCCTTACAATCGCTAATGCAATCATTAATTTTGTCTTATTCTTCACTGCATTCTTCATAAGTTTCATCATCAAATTTACAGGTTTTAGGCTTATTATCAGTGCGGCATTTGATATATTTATCAGTGTCGTCTTTAGTCTTTACATAAGAAAGAGCTAATAAAACTAGTAGAGCAAAGGTTATAATCCTCATTTTTTTCTTATTTCTTTTTTTTGTTGAATAATGTGATTTTGTTTTTTATGAATAATTTATGTAAATATTACAATTTTAAAAGCTCTTATTTAAAGCATGTTCGTTGAAAATGAAGCTATAAGTTAAATCATAGGTTGGATTGTAATATATAAAAATATCAGTATACAGAGTAATATAATTAAAATAAGCAACTAAATACTAGTACTAAATACAAATTAATTAACTATTACTTAGATTATAAGATAACTGACAAGTAATTAATTAATATTTAGTTATACTAAGTTAATATAAATTGAAAAAGATAATTTAGTTATATAAACTACTAGGTATGATAATTGTAAATTTTAAAATTAAAATGAATATTTTTCATCATCTCTAGATATAACTGCATTTGGCTTTTAAATATATACATATTCTATTACCTCTATATGGATTACATAAAATACAAAGGTTAGTTCATTTTATTTAACATATGTAAATAAAATATCAAATAAAAAACTGTCATATTTAAATCTTAATTAATGAAGATTGGTAGTACATTAGTTAATCTTTAAAAAATTCCACTAATTTAATTAACTTAATACTAAAAATATTCTGTTTAATTTGTTAAATACACTCTAAATCAGTGATTCTTAGTAATATAAATAAAGATAATAAATCAAATATAATTTTAATTTAAATTTGATAAATATATCAAAAAAAATATAGTTTTGATTAATGTTTCATATTCATGTTTTAATTAAATATTATTTTTTCATTTGTCTTGTAATATTTTTTATGACAATTATGTCAAAATCTATGAATTTTTTATCAGCGGTGTACTTTTATTTTATATTGAATTAGATATTTAAATATTTTTTGATTCAAACTTCCTTTAAAAAAGAAGGCTTATGATTAATTTTAAAAAAATTAAATATTATTTTGTTCCTTTTTTAAAAGAAGATATGATATAAAAATATTATCCAAACTAAGTACTGTAAGGTATTTAGTATTACTTAATATAATATGATCTTTACTTTATAGGAAATAATTATTTTTGCTATTTATTTAATTATCGTAATACCTCGATAGTGACGATAGTGTTGACAGGCATCACATATATTAAAAAATATTCTTTTAATAATATAAACCATTAATATGAAACTATTAAATTTGTATCCTTATTAATGAAGATTGGTAGTACATTAATTAATTAATTTTTAAAAAACTCTACTAACTTAATTAACGTAGTTCCAAAAATGTTATTTTTCTTATTAATTTTTTAATACACTCGAAATCAGTGAGCGATTCTTAGTAATATAAAAAAAGATAAGAAATTGACGATTTCATTAATTTAACTAAATGTCAGAATGATTTTTTTATTTAATAGAAATTTTTTTAATTACTTTTATTTTTTGATTTCATTATTAAATTTTTTATTTCTAATTTTACTAATCTATCAACTTAAAACTAATTAATTTTACTCTTATAAATTCAATCTAAGATATGCATTTAAAAAAAGCAAAAATGCATTTATTTTAAATAGAAAAATATTCATTTTCCTTTTACATTTACAACATACCAATACTAGTAATTTATATCACTAAATTATCTATATTATTTTATATTTACTTAATATGGATAAAATTAATTAATTGTTTGGCAGTTATCTTATAAATCTTAGTAATAGTTAAATAATTTCTATTAGGTACTAGTTATAAGTTACTCAATTTAATTATATAGATTAATATACTAATTTTTGTATCTATTACTATCAAATGTATGATTAAACTTATAGTAACATTTCAATTAAGAATTCTTTAAATAAGCGCAGTTGGTCGGTATCATAACATTTTTATAAATTATTCATAAAAAACTAAATCACATTATTCAACAAAAAAAAAGAAATAAGAAAAAAAATGAGGATTATAACCTTTGCTCTACTAGTTTTATTAGCTCTTTCTTATGTAAAGACTAAAGACGACACTGATAAATATATCAAATGCCGCTCTGATAATAAGCCTGAAACCTGTAAATTTGATGATGAAACTTATGAAGAATGCAGTGAAGAATAAGACAAAATTAATGATTGTATTAGCGATTGTAAGGATGATAATGATTCTTTTGCAAATAGAATTTCATGCTTTAAATCTAAATGCAAATCTAAACGTGAAATCCTCTAAGATAAGATTGATATTGAGATTAAATGTCATAAAGAAGCTATGGGTTCTGAACCTAATACCAAGCCTGAGGTTACACCTTAACCACCTAAGCCTGAGGTTACACCTTTACCACCCAAGCCTGATGTTTAGCCTGAAAATAAGCCAGATACTTAACCTGAAAATAAGCCTGAAACTAAACCAGAAAATAAGCCAGAAACTCAACCTGATAACAAGCCATAAACTGAAAACAAACCAAATGGTAATTTAAGAGAAGAAAAGGCTAATCCTGCTTCTACTTCAAGCTTAAGCTCTGTATATTTAGTTTCCTCTCTTGGTTTGATTGTCTTCGCTATGCTATTTTGAAAATAATTTTTATCTTAATTACATGAAAGTTTTAGAAGCTTAAAATAAAGATACCGAAATAGATTGATTTTTTTAATTTTGATAGCCTTATCTTAAAAAATATTAATAAATATTCATAATTAAATATATATTTTTATACTTTGTAGTTTTAGAATATAAAAATATTTTTTAATTTTATTTTAGATTTTATTATTGATTTATTTGTAAATAAATTAATATTTTTTAAATTTATAAATTTCTATGATTTATAATTTCATCATTATGTCAATCAAATATATTTTTACTTAAAATATGTTATATTCTGTAAATATTCTATTATAAGAGATCTCCTAATTGAAGAGATAGTTCTAATCAAGAGAAAATAACTTTTGAAATAATTTTTATATTTTGTATAGGTGTAGAATAATAAATAAACATGATAAAACAGTATCAAAATAAAATACATGTAAGAAAATATAACATCCATCAAATTTTTTCATGAGGATATCATTTATTGCACATTAATCATATCACTCATTAAAAATTAATTTTATAATACTTACCTTCATAATTCTTCACATGTATAATCTATTTATTAAAAATTTATTTAAATAGGTTAAAAAGCACGAATTTTATGCATTCAACTTATATACCTAAATTACATGTTCTCGTAAAAAAAACTAATAGGATTTGAGAATAATTAGAGATATTATAAATATTATATTCTTTTAAATATGTTTTAAATGTTTTATGAAAACTCACCTTACTAAACTAAGCTGAAATAAAAAAAAAGAATATTTTAAAACTATCTTCTCAAAATTTAATTAAATAATAAAAGTTTTTATCAAAATATGACTAGCATCTTTGCTTGCTATTTTAATAAGTACAAGCTTTTAAAAGAAATATTAAAATTTAATAATTAAAGTTACACAAACTTTTTGTGATTTCTCTTCCTAAAAGTAAATTTATAAAATTCTATTTGATAATTAAATTATATTTGTTCTTTATTAAGGCTTATAATTAATTAAATTAAATTTAATTGATATTCAATATTTTTAAATAAAAAAAAATGATATAACAGAAAACATATTTTTGCAATCTAGAAGAGGTGAATATTTAATTTATTTTTTATAAATATTATTTAAATTATTTTTATTAAAAAAATAAGTTTCTAAGCTCTTCACCTTAATCATTTTAGTTTATCCATATTAATCTGGAGAATCAGTAAATTTGATTTAAAATTATTATTTTCATCTAGTTTACAATATTATTTTTTAAATTGAAATTAATTAGCTTCTATATAAATTAACTTTATTCATGCGTATATTTTTTAATTATTTTATTTTAATTAAATTTTTATTTTGATTACTAATAATTTATTCTTTTATATTTTATAATTTTTTTTCATTTTTCCCTTCTAAATAACAATTTAATTATATATTTTTTATTCAATATTTAAAAAGATCTAATTAAGCTGGTGCAATTAATTCATCAGACTTAAGTTCTGGTTTAGGAAAGTGCACCAATCTTTCAAATTTGACACTTTATCTTGGGTAAAAACACTTGTTATTTTTATTTTATTGTGCTTGTGTTTTTTTTAATTTATTTATTTGTTTGCTTGTTAATTTAACTTATTTTTTCATATACAACTTTTATTTTTATTTTAAATTAATTTCTTTTTACTTCATATTTTTTCTTCATTTTTTCCTTCTAACTAACTAATTAACGATATATTTTTTATTCAATATTAAAAAAGTTCTAAATAAATTGGTGATAAAGGTGCTTAAGGCATAGGTTTTGGTTTAGGAAAGTGCACTAATCTCTAAAATTTGACACTTTATCTTGGGTAAAAACAGTTTATTTGTTTTGTATTGCACTATTTTTTAATTTAAAAGTGAATTTAAAACAAAATAAATAACTCTTTTAATTTATTTATTTATTTGATTTATTTTTGGCTTATTTTTATTATATTTGTGTTTTTCTAATATTTATATGTTTGCTTTTTTGCTAATTTAACTCAATTTTTCATTTTCAACTTTTGCTTTTATTATCAATTAATTCAATTCTTATTATTTCATATTTTTTCTTTATTTTTTTGTTTTAACTCATTAAATGATAATATATTTTTCTTTAATATTTAAAAAGATCTAATTAAATTGGCGCTATTGGTGCTTCAGATTTAGGTTCTCATTTAGGAAAATGTACTAATCTCTCAAATTTGACACTTAATCTAATGTAAAAACAGTCTATTTGTTTTGGATTGTGCTATTTTTATTAAAAATTAATTTAAAAAAAATATTAATAACTCTTTTAAAAATAATTAACAGCTTTTTCTATGATTTATTTTTTCTTTTATTTGTTGTGCTTGCTTATGTTTTTTTTTCTTTTTTATTTGTAAATTTAACTCATTTTTTCATTTTCAGCTTACTCTTTAATTATTAATTAGTTCATTTTTTATTATTTCATACTTTTTCTACATTTTTTTCTTTTATTATATAATTTTTCTTCAATATTTAAAAAGAGGGAATTAAATTGGTGATTAAGGTGTATCAGGCTTAAGTTTTTGCTTAGGAAAGTTATTTAACCTATAAAATTTGACACTTGATCTTGGGTATAAACAGTTATTGTTTTGAATAGGTTATTTTTGAATATCAAAATGAATTTAAAACAATTAAAATAATTCTTTTAATTAATTTATTAGCTTTTTATTTGATTTATTTTTCTTTCTTTTAAAGTATTAGCTTATTTTTATTTATTTATTTATTTATATGTTTGCTAAATTAACTCATTTTTTAATTTTAAACTTCTGCTTAATATGTTCATTATTTATTATTTCATATACTGACTTTCTTTATTTTTACTTCTAACTAACAAATTAATTATATATTTTTCTTTAAAGGTGTAATCAAATTGGTGATGAAGGTATATTAGGCTTAAGTTCTGGTATTGGAAAATGTACTTATCTCTCAAATTTAACACTTTATCTTGGGTAAAACAGTTTATTTGTTTTGGATTGTGATATTTTTTGGATTTAAAAATTAATTTAAAGCAATATAACTAATTATTTTAATTTATTTTTTCACCTTTATTTGATATATTTTTCTTTTTTATTATTTTGTTTATTTGTTTATTTGTTTTTTTTTTTTTCTTCTTTATTTGTTTGTTAATTATTTAACTCATTTTTTATTTTCAACTTTTGTTTTATTATCTCTAATTCAATACTTATTATTTCATATTTTTCTTCATTTTATCCTACTAAATAACTAATTAAATATATATTTTTTCGTTGATATTTAAAAAGGTCTAATTACCTTGGTGATGTAAGTGCATCGAGCTTAGGTTCTGGGTTAGGAAAGTGCACTAATCTCTCAAATTTGACACTTAACCTAAGGTAAAAACAGTTTATTTATTTTGTATAGTGTATTTTTGAATTTAAAAAATTATTAGTAATTCTATTAATTTATTTGTTAGTTAGTTATTTATTTTTCATTTTTTGTATTGAATTATTTATTTATTTGTTTGTTGATTTGACTCATTTCTTCGTTTTAAATTTTTTGCTTTATTATTAATTAATTTGTTTCTTATCATTTCATATTTTTTCTTCATTTTTTCCTTCTAACTAACTAATTAACTATATATTTTTCTCTTCAATATTTAAAAAGTGGAAATTAAATTGGTAAAATTGGTGGATCAAGCTTAAGTTCTGGTTTAGGAAAGTGCATTAATCTCTAAAATCTGACACTTAATTTAACGTAAAAAGAGTTTATTTGTTTTGGATTGCGATATTTTTGAAAATTTAAAAAGTGGAAATTAAATTGGTGACGAAGGTGTGTCAAGCTTAGGTTCAGTTTTAGAAAATTTCACTAATCTCTCAAATTTGACACTTAGTTTAATGTAAAAATAGTTTATTTGTTTTAGATTGCTCTATTTTTTAATATAAAAACTATTTTTAAAAAAATTAACTTATTAGCTTTTTAAATGATTTATATTTGTTTTTTTATTGTGCATGTTTTTTATTTATTTATTTATTTATTTTTTTGACTGTTTGTTAATTTAGCTCATTTTTTCAATTTTCAACTTATAACTTTATTATTAATTAGTTTATTTCTTATTATTACGTATTTTTTCTCATTTATTTCTTTTAACTAACTAAATAACTAAATCTTTTTTCTTCAATCTTTCAAAAGCGGAAATTAAATTAGTGATATAGGTGCATCAATATTAAGTTCTGGTTTAGGAAAATGCACTAATTTCTCTAATTTAACACTTGATCTAAGGTAAAAACAGTTTATTTGATTTGGATTGTTCTCTTTTTTGAATTGAAAAACGAATTTAAAACAATATTATTAAAGTTTTTATTTCTTATTAATTAATATTTTTTTTTCATTTTTTCATTCTAAACTTACTGATTTACTATTTTTTTTTTTCAATATTAAAAAAGTTACAATTAAATTGGTGTTATTAGTACATCAGACTTATGTTCCGTTTTAGAAAAGTGCACTAATCTCTCAAATTTGACACTTAACCTAAGGTAAAAATAGTTTATTTGTTTTAGATTGTTCTATTTTTAAATGTAAAAATGAATTTAAAACAAAAAAACTAAATCTGTTTAATTTATTTATTAACTTTTTACTTTATTTATTAATATTCTTTTTCATTTTTCTTGTCTTTTTTTTTAATTCTTTATTTGTTTGTTTGTTAATTTAAGTTATTTTTCATTTTCAAGTTTTGCTTTTATTATCAATTAACTAATTAGTTCATTTCTTATTATTTCATATTATTTCTTTGTTTTTTACTTCTAACTAATTAACTTTATATTTTTTCTTCAATATTTAAAAAGTGGAAGCTAAATTGGTGGCCAAGGTGCATCGGGCTTAGGTTATTGTTTAGGAAAGTGCACTCATCTCTCAAATTTGGTACTTGATCTTGCGTAAAAACAGTTTATTTGTTTTGGATTGTGTTATTTTTGAATTTAAAATTAATTTAAAACAATATAATTAACTCTTTTAATTTTTTTATTAGCTTTTTAAATAATTAATTTTTAGTATTTTTTTATTTTATCTGTATGCTTTTTTTATTTGTTTGTTTTTTAATTTAAATTATTTTTTTATTTTCAATTTTTGTTTTATTTTATGAATTAATTTCTTATTATTTCATTTTTCCCTTCTAATTTACTCTTTATTTTTTCTTCGATATTTAAAAAGAGAAATTTATATGGGTGATTAAGGTACATTGGACTTAGTTTAAGGCTTAGGAAAGTGCACTAATCTCTCAAATTTGACACTTTATCTTAGGTAAAAATTAATTATCTTTTTTTATTGAGCTTTGGTGTATTTTTTTATTCTTTGTTTTTCTGTTAATTTTATAACACATTTTTTAATTTATAAATTTTACTTTTATTATTATTAGTTCCTTTCTTATTATTTATAGTTTTTTCTTCATTTTTTCCTTCTAACAAACAAATTAACATTTGTTTTTTCTTCGATATTTAAAAAGTGGAAATTAAATTGGTGATGTAGCTGCCTCAGGCTTAGGTTATATCTTAGGAAAGTTCACTAATCTCTCAAATTTGAAACTTTATCTAGAGTAAAAATAAATATTTTATTTTTTTTGTATTGTGATATTTTTGAATATAAAAATGAATTTAAAACGATACATCAAACTCTTATAATTTATTTATTTATTAAATTTCTTTTTATTTTTTATGTGTTAACTTTTTTTTTATTTATTGGTTTAAAATGTAATGTTTTATTTAAAAAGTTTATTTTATTTTTTAGTAATTTACACTAATTTGTATTAAAAGGGAAAACGAAATCAACTAACCATAGCAATTGAATTTAAAGTGTTTCAAGTTAAAAAGATTAGTTGACTTAAAAATAAATTATTGATGATGAAAAAGTAGTGTAATAGGACGAATTAATATAACTATATTTGAATACTATAATATACTCTCTTTTATTTTAAAATATTTTATAATTTGATAAATTGACCTAAAATTTTGATAAATTTGTTATTATTACTTTTTTTATAAATGTTGTATTTAGGTAAATGAAAAAATAGTTTTAAAAAGTATAAATTTAAGAATTAAATTTACATAAATAAAGTAATTACTAAATTAACCTTGGTTAATGAAATAAAATAAGATTAAATAAATTTTAATTTATTCCTAATTAAAAATGATGAAAAACAGCACTTAGTTTTAACTATAAATATTAACAAATTATTTTATTAAAAAAATGTTGGCCATAATGATTAATTTTATTGTAAAAGATGGGTATTAATATTTAATACAAAATAATAAATGAAATTAAATTATGGATAATCTATAATTAATAAAGATATTGTTTCTAAAGACATTTTTCCAACTTAAGAAAATGATAATATAAAATTTTAAATTATAAATAGCAAGCTTAAATTTCTTTAATATTTATTTTTGGAGGTTTTAAATCAATTTATTTTAGTAAAATTAGAAAAAAAGACAATTAAAAAATATATTTCAGCTTATTTTTTATAATTATTATTAACTTTTTTAATCTACCTACATTCTATTTAAAATCTAAATGTAGAAAAAATAATTATAATTATTACTTTTCATTATTAAATATTAATTAATAAGAAAATTTTTTTTTTCGAAAAAAAAAATTATGTACTTGATCGCTAATTACGGTGATGAAGTATTTTTAAAATAGCAAATTGCGATAAGTAAAATTAGGAATTAATCATTTGTAGTATCGTAAATAAAATATCGAAAGATTTTATATAAATATAAAAAACAATTAAAATTTATTTTTATAACTAAATAATGAATTTAATCATTTATTTTTTAAAAGAAAGGAGCTTTATAGTTTTTATTATAAATATCCTAATTTTTTTAGGATTTACCTCAATAATTAATTAATTTTAAAATGGAATTTCTTTTTTTTTACATTATTTTTGTTTGTCTTATGATAACTCATCAATTTTAGGATACAGCTCCTTGGTTAGATAATTTTTAAATATTATATTATGTTTATTCATCTTTATTATTTAAGTATGTCATTTTTAGAGCTTCTTAAATCTTTTATTTTTTGACAGATGGAGTAGGTGTAAAAGATATTTATTTACGAGTATCACCTAAATAACTAGGATAAATCATACTACCTATGTTTGAGTTGCCTGTAACTGGAGTAGTTGCTAATCTTCCTAAAGGACTCTAACTACTATATGTTTTAGGATAATCTGTTTATACTTCTAATTTTTCTTTTTTAAAGGCTTAAGGATCAAATGTATCTCTTCTTGGTAGGATCTCTTCGTTTTAGGTATTTTATGTAGTTTAATCAGTAACTATTTGCTTTTCTTAATTGATGTTGTTTGATTAGAAAACAAAATTAGATTTAGCTGGTTAGGGAGTGAGAGATCTAAGGGAGTCATAATTTTTGGTGTCTATATATTAAACATATTGCTAATGCTCAATTTATCTTCTGATAAATTCAGAAGGTCTATCATTATAAGAACTTGGAGAAATAGTAGCTATGTTCAATGTTGAAATAGGTTGTGAAGAAACGTTAGTAAGCGAAATATTCTTTTTCATATTTTTCAAGTTTTATAGTCCAGAAATAGATCTATCTGATTTTTCAGGTTAAACTAAATTATTCTAATTGCTGTTGCTATAATTATTTTAATAGGTAACATTTTTTTATTAATAGTTTTAAATGTTTTATTGGTATTACTACTGCTACTACTATAATTATTATTATTGTTATTATTGTTGTTACTGCTTTTTTTATTATTGCTAAATTTAATTTGAGATGTTCACAGATTAAGGGCTTTTGCTTCTATGCTCATTAGATATATCTTCTTTTTAAGGCTGACTTTCGATATAATTTTATACTTATACCTTTTCTTTTGATTTGTTTATCATTTCTTATTAATTAGATTAACTAATGTCTGATTTGCTTCTGTAATGGATCAAGTTACTATTGTTGTTATTTGTATTATGATTAGAAGAGTATTATTAGGTGATGCTAGGATTGTTGTATTGGCCTTAAGTATTAGTATCTTTTTCACTTTTTTAAGCTGAGAAGAAATTTTTAGTCTATAAATTATTTTAACTGCTGTGATTAAATTATTTCTGATTTTCATTTTAAGTAATTGCTTAGTTAGAATTTAGCTTTTAATTAATTGCTTCATTTTGATAAGAATAATAATTTGTAAACTTTTTTTTCTCATGAGCTGAGTTATTTTACTAACTAATTTCGTTTTCAGGTTTTTGAATTTGTTTTTCTGCACTCAAATAAGGCTAAGATGGTGTTTGAGGTGTTTCTGAACCATTAAAACTTTGTTATGGTTTTGGTTTTATATTTGTATTATATTATTGTGTGACACTTACTTAAGCTTTAACTGAAGATTATGGAGAAGTAGTGATTTAGCTTGACTGTAAATTAGGTGAAGTATTATTTTAGAATTATTTTTAAGATAAATTTTATTCAAATTAGTTGATTTAGGATTTTATTTGATTTGGAGTTGAAGGTTGTTTAATGTCTATTGATTATTAAAATAAATTTTTTGAGTAGAGAGGTGATATGCTATTAGATAATTAGCTTTGAGAATTTTATTTAGATTAGCTTGGAATGTTTTAGGTAATTTATGATAGAGGATTTTGATAATTAGATTTATTATCACTTTGGCTTGCAATTTAATAATCTTTTTATATGAAAATTTAATTAGAATTTTGAGAATTTCTTGGATCTTTTTAGTGTGAAAAATAATTTGCTTATTGCACAGGTTAGAATTAGTGCTTTAATTGCTGAGTTTAAATAATATTTGCCTATGGGATTACAGCTATCTTTTCTGATTTTCTATTAGTTTATTCTATTCTGCTAAACTAAGCCATAGATTCATTTTCTATAAGAGAGAGAAGAGAATTCCATTCATCCAGTAGCAATTCCTTTCTGCATTATTCATAAATATTATTATTTGAATTTCCATTAATCGTTGCATTATGGTTTATTTAATCTTGAAGCTACTACTGATAAAGAGAATTTAATTTTTCTATTTCTTGCTTCAGAAGTAGAATAAGTTCTTCTTTAGATTCTATGTTCTTAATTTAAAGCTTCTCTCTATCTAACAAAACACTATATTACTTTACCCAGTGTTCAAGAGAATCTTTAGTTCTACGTAAGTCGCTTTTAAGTCTTTCATTTTCCTTTCTTGTATTTTCAATATCTTGTATTAAATTTTTATTTTAAATCTCAATTTAAGATGTTTATTTTAAAATGCGCTAGTTTTCTCTTTATTACTCGTCAATTTAGCTGTAAAGGTTTTTTATTTGCTTTTCATAAATATTTTTTTAGATTTACTCCAACTCTTTCACTGAAATTTAAGAATTTTTAATGCACTCTGTAAGTTAGATTAGGTTTTTCTCATTTGCTTATTCAGTAATGATTTAATTAACTTTATCTATGAAATTTTATCTTTCGTTTGAGTAATTTAACTTAGAATTATCAAATTAATGCTTTAAATTAGCTAACTCTTTCTGGGTTGCTTCGTTTTACTGTTACAATTTACTGTTTTCTTATTAGTAAAAAGTTATTTCTTTTCTGCTTGCTGTATTTTATTTTTTAAGCTCTTCGATTTCTTATGTTGAAGCTGCTTTCTCTTTAGCAATATTATTGCATTGATTAATCAACTATTGATTATTATTTACAAGATTTTCATTTTAACTTATCAAGTTTTACTTCTCTATCTTCATTGTTGAAATTTATTTCAGAAGATTAGAATTTTCTTCTAAAATCTTTTAATTCTCTTAGTGCTTCTAAATTGTCATATTCTGTATTTGACTCTACAAAGAAGTCACATTCAAGTTCAGCTCTTAATTAATTTTAATGAGATTTTAGTTTTCATTAAAAATGTTTTCCCTCATCATAGAATCTGTTTTTTAGTTTTACTAAATGACTCTGATTTCCTCTTCAAGTATTTCTTTTTATTATTTATATTAGAGTACTTCTTTTTCATAATTGGTATTTATCTGTCTCAATTATCTTATTTCTTCTTCTTTGTTACTATTAACACTTGTAAATTGATCTTTTTCTAATTGCAAATTCAATAAATTAGATTTTAAAATATCATTTTCTCCTTTTATCTGATTTAACTCAGTTATCAATTTCTCTTTTTCTAATTTTTCACTTTCACTTTTTTCTATTTCCATATTTAACTTTTTTGTTATTATTTACTGGTTAACGTCTAACGAATCGTTTAATTTTTTATACTCGTTAATTTTTAACCTCAGGTTTTCTAATTCCATTCTCAATTATTAAGCCTCTTCTTAGCTTATCAATGGACTTCCTTTTTGTTAAGCTTACTTAAATGCTTCGTTGCTCTTTATTGATTACTATAATTATGGATCTGAATTTATTTAAATTAGTTTTTAATTTACTACATTTATCATATTACTGAGCTAGCTATTACTTATTTAATTAGATTCATTATGCTATTTAAGTACATTTTATTGAATATTTTCAGCTTATAAGCTTGGACGTTGTACAAGATGAGAGTGTATAGCAGCTAAATATGATTCACTTGTATTACTTACAACAGAATTGTAATTATGGACATCATTATCGTTTACCTTTAAAGTATTTTGTTGTTAATCTTTTTATATATTATCATTTAAACATAGAGTTTCTTATTCACAATCATCTTAATTCAATTATCTACCTTCATCATCATCTTCTCCTAAATCTGGCTAGAGAATCTCATGATCTTCTTCTCTAGAGTTATTTCTGTTATGCTTATACAAACTAAACTCAGAAGCCATGCTTCTGTCGCTTTGTATTATCTAGTTTTGAATATCAGTTAGTTTACCTTCTTGATCTTAGGCTTACAAGTGATTTGATTGATACTAAGCAGTAGGTATTTTACTATACAAACTATAAATTGGCTACAATGTTGCTCCACTATTATTTTATTGTTATTATTTTTCAAGCTCTAATCTCTTAATATTGAAAGCCTCTTCCAAATTAAGAAGCTTTACTTTATTCTATCCTTTTTCTCCAGATTGAGATTTCTCATTGTTTAAATTTTCAAAAGAGCTTGGATTAAATTGAGGAGTTTAATCAGCATATTCAAGTTCATCATATTTTGATTTCTACTGTTAGATATCTAAAATTAAATCCTGCTTTTATTATTATTCAGGTTATATATTATCCTATGAATCATTTACAAATTTAGAATTAGAAAATGTTTATTCTTAATCATTCTCCATTGCCTATAAATGCTTCATTGATAATTATTCTTGGTTTTAGTTAGTTTCATAATCATTAATATGATTGTTTGCTTCTTCTTATTCGTAGGTTTGATCATTTATGTAATTATTTTACTAATTTTAATTACTATAGCTATTAGCAATTTGATTATTATTGTTACTTTAAATAGATTATTAGTTAAATTATTAATAATTTTAGTTTGATGAATAGTCTGTTTGCTTATTTTAAATTGTATTATATTGCTTACTACTTTCATGAATAGCTGATGATGAAATAGAATTATTTAAAGAACTAAGTTCTGGACATTGAAGAATATTAAAAACAGGATGATTAGCTGTTCCGATCATACCATCTGGAAGTATGTAAGGTTATTCTAGCTACCAAATCCTAAGCCTACCTGAAGTATCTGAAGTCAAAAAGAACTCATCATCCAAATGTAAGACATGATTAATATCATTAAAGTGGTAACTTGTATACTTTTTTGATTAAAAGTTAAGAATTTATGAGATTTATAAAAGCTAATAATCTTTTCCATCTGATATAACAATTTAATTAAATGACTATCTATCCATTGTTTAAATAGGATTCTATAGTTGAGCAATCTTTTTTTCTATAGTTGCTCTCTCAGTATCCCAAACTCCAAAAGCACCGCTTTAACAACTTATTAAGATATAATTACTCTTTTAAGGATGGATCATCATGCAAACAATTCCATTTTAATTCTAGCTTACAGTTTGAATTCCCTTATTAATTTCTTTGGTTTCATATCTTCTTTCTTCCCTACCTTACACCCAATTAAATATGCTAATATTTCCGCTAATTTTTGTTGAGAATATAATTTAAGATTCTGAGTAATTTAAACAGTTGTTAATAACATCATTTGGTATATCCCATCTTAAAAGTTCTCTCTCAAGTTAAAAGCCCTTAACTTTTTAATCAAATCTATAGAGGTAAATACAATTTTGAATGTCAATTAATATTATCCTATCAATTTTATCACTTCTGTTTTTAACTGGGCGGACAATATTGACTTCACAAGTATGCGTAGAAATATTCTCAACTCTTTTATTCTTCCAATTAATAACTATCATCATATTCCCTTCCACGCCAATAAGGAATTCATTAATTCCAAATACTAATTTACAAGGTCTGTCGGTCTTAAAAATTTTTTTTAATTTACCGGTTCTCCAATTCCAAACCTTGATTTGTTTATCTTCTGAACAACTTGCTGCATAGTACTTTTCTAATTTAAATAGGCATAGTACTTTACCATTATGTGCTTAAGCATTTTTGCTATCTTTAAGTTCTTTAGACTTAAAATTTCTACTACTATCGATAGTTGTTTCTATAAAAAATTGAATAAAAATATTTAATTAAAATTTTAATAATCAATTTTATCTGTAATAATAAATAAATAAATAAAATTAGTAATAAACAAAATTTAGATTTATTTATTTTTAACTGATAATTGACAATAATTAATAAAATAGATAAATATAAAACAAATGATAGTAAGTAAGATACTTATTTACAATCGTTAAATAAAAAAAACTCATTCTTTTTCGTATTAATTAAAAAAAAATATTTTAAAGCATAAACTAAATTAATAAAAAGCTAAACAAAGCAAATGAATAAATTAATAAATCATAAATTACCATAATCAACAGTAAAACTAGCGTTGTGGCCATTAAGCCATTTATGAATGTCTTCAAAATTATCTTTGCTCAATATCCAAGTCTAAAATTTACTCGTTTACAAGTATTGCTAAGCAAACCCTACTAAACATAAACCACCTAAACTTTCTATGTCATTAACAAAAACGGGTATTTATGTATTTATCCTAAATTATTGATAGGTTTTTTACTCATTTAAATGAGTTTGCTAATTTACATCGAATGAAACAAAGTATTTATCTTATTCAAAGTTTTCTATGACATAGGTTGATTCATTTTTACCTGAAGGAAGATAAAGATATTTATTTGTGTGGACTTTGAAAAAGTCGCTATAATCCTAAATGCTAACAATACCACAATGTCTAACATTTCTAATAGGTTTTTCTAGTTGCATGATAGCACAACAACAATACTGCTAATCGGCTATTGATGCCTCGTTCCAATCATCGTATTAAAATGTTTTTTCAAAGAAAAGTTCTTTTACGCCTACATATTCTCCTAATGATGATTAGAAAACAAATGAATCTTTAACACTAAACTCCTTACTTTAAGGAGAGACCACATTTACTATAGGGGTAATAATATGTTGTGGTGATACCAAAACAGCAGCTCCTTCTCTTTTCTGATTTTCTTAAAAATAAAGAAGTCTACCTATAGATTCATTTAAATTATTGCTGTTAATAGATTGTATTCCTAATTGGTTCCTTGTCTAGTGGATTCCAATAATTCGACTTGAATCCATATCTTCTAAATCTAATTGTGATTCTCTAACTATATATGTCTATCCTTTGAAATAGAATTATAAATTTTTGCTACTATACTGACTTTTATTTGCCCTTTATGTAGGTTATGCTTTGCTTGTTAAAAATATGTTTTTTGATAGTTTCTTTTTTTATCTTTTAAAATATCAAAATTTATTTGTTTGTTTGTTATTTGCTTGCTTGATTGATTGATTGTTTGATAAAGTAGTGATTAAGTAATTGAATATATAATTGATGTATACGAAAAATAAATCATTACAACATTCATATAAAATTAATATTTAACAAGATCTATAAACTGCATAAAAAATTCCTTAGAATAACCACATTTTTGATATCAAGATATATTAGGTAGTCCATAAATTACAAAACACAAAGAATTAATAGACCAAATACAAAATTAACAATTATTAAATTAAATTTCTTTGTACTATTGTTAATTTGTTAGGATGGACGCAACTTTTTATTATGATTACACAAATCAATTAAATTTACTTTGATTTCATTTCAAAATCTTTCATCAACTTTTTTAACGATTATTTTCTTTAATTTACTTATGTTTTCATTCCTTTAATTAAATCTTAAAATTTTTAACAATTAATTTTAACCATTAAACTAATTACTTACATTATCATTTTAGATAAGCCGTAAATACGCTTACATTTTTTATAATATCAACTATTATTTTTCTTCATTTCATCTTAACCATAAATATTAATTATTAACTTTCTCAAAATATAAGTTAGAAACATATTTTAAATCTATTAAACAGGAAAATCCAGCAATACATTTATTTTAATGGAACCTCAGAAACTATTTAAAAATGTGAGTGATGTAAAATTCATTAAAAAAATATTAGATTTATGTAATAAATAATAAATAAATTATGGTAAAATTAAAGTATTTATTTATTTTAGTTTCATTACATTATAAACACAAAAAGGATTATTGAAAATACTAACAACAGAAGAATTTAGTTTAAAAATACTTTTAAAGTTAAAAGTTAATAAACAATTTATAGACTATCTGCTTTTAGTAAAGAGATTATTTATTTAAAAAGTAATTCAAATATTAAACAATAATTTCTTAATTTTATTCATAAAATTTCAATAAATTTTTCAAAATAGTTTTATTCATATCTAAAATATATATTTGAGTTTATTTATAATGAGTCAAAATAGAAATTATATCTTTTTACTATTGAAACTGTTGTGTGTTTAAAAAGTTTGATTAAATTATTCCAGATTTAAAAATGATATCTTATTTTTTAGAAGTAAAAATTAATCATTTTTAATTTGATTAAATTATTTTATGTTTTATTTTTTAAAGAAATAATTTTTTGATGATATTAATGAATTAGATTAGCATTTATAAATTGAATTAATATTAGTGATCAATTAAACCAAAATAATAATACCAATTATTAATCTAATATTTATAAAATTATTAAAAAATATGAGATTTTTTATTTTGTTGATTGCAGTTTATTTTTAGATTTAGCAAGCCTAAGCAAGCAAAAAATAGATTAAAAGTTTAGTTATATTTTTTAGGCATGGCAGCAGAACGACTAATCATAAACATTACTATAATAATGAACTTTGGTAAGGCTACTAGCGAGGTGATTTGACTAAAAAAGGTCATACTGAACTACATGGATTAGGATAAACTTTTAGAGAGATTTATGGTTAATTCTTGCAAATAAATCAAGAAGTTAATGAATAACATAATGAAGAGACTTTATCTTAACATGATAATTTATCTTAAGAACATGTTAGAGTAAAGCATTCTCACATTGAAAGAACTAGGTCTTCTCTGATGTCATTTTTGCTAGGAGCATTTCCAAATTGGTTCCATCCAGATGCATCTCCTCACAACGAGCATTTAAATAAGCCAATTAGAAATTTAAAAACAACAAATAATAAAGATAAGCTCAAGAAAGATTACACTTTCTTACTAGGTGAGGAACAATGTCCTCTTATTAAAAAAATTAGAAATAAAGTATTCTAATCTAAGCCAATGAATTTCATGCAAGATATAATAACCTAATCTTACGAATACTAAAAGATTAGAGCAAAAATAAGAGAAGTAGAAGGCTTTAAAATGATTCAAGTACAATTTTTCATTCCTTTTGATACATAAAAACCCTTTGATTTTTGCAAAATGAGAAAATATTTTCTATTTAACAAAATTAATTATTTTGTTCTTTATTTTTTAAGAAATAAATAATATTTTTTATATTCTATCACTAATTAATTAGGGCCATGGATACGAAGATTTAGCAGATATTTATGATATTTACATGTGCCATAAAAGTGAGGGGTTGCCTATTCCTAATTTTGATAAATCCGACATTTCTTTTATCCAAATGGGAACACAATTTTTTATTGATGAAATTTATTTTGGACATAGAAGTTTAGTTAAGCTTGCAAGCTAAAAATTCTTTCATGATCTATTAAGAATTATTGAAAGTAAAAATCCAAAGAAGCTACACATATTTTCTGGGCATGAAGTGAACATCATTTCCTTATTCATGAATATGCTAACAAGAGATGAATAAAATACTATGTTAGGCAGATCATTTCATACAAAATTACTTCCATTTGCAGCTCATGTTATAATTGAATTTTTAAATAACGGAAATATAAAATTTTTGTATGACTTTAAACCTTTGAAAATAAAACTATGCTAATATTAAGAGGAATGCGATGGTAAGTTATTTAAAACTTTTCTTAAAACGAGGATACTCCCAAATGCTAGATAGCTTTGCTTTTACCATCATAAGCACATCTTAGAGAGAGAAGAAGAAATTAAAAATTTATAAAAATAAATGCTTCAAGCTCCACAAGAAGATGAAGAAATCGAAGAATAAATATGATAGAAATATTTATATGTAGTTTATTTATAGGAATTATGTATTTTCTTAAATTAATTTAACTAATTTATTAAAGTATATGAAATTATTTACAAAATATATTCAAGGATACATATTTATTTATTTATTTATTTTTAATAGAAATATAATAAATGAAGTTGTGTAGTAAGTTAAATATTTATTTATTTTATATTATTTATGGTTATTATTTGTTGCTCAAATATAAAATTATATTAATTTTTATGTTTTATATATTAATCCTGTAATTTATTATGAAACTTGATTTGCTTTTAATTAGCTTTTTTTTAAATTTATAAAATTAATCTTATTCAAAATGAAATGAATTTACAATATTTTCATTATCAGAAATGTAAGATTTGTGCAATTCATTATTTGCTTACTAAAATTGTAATAACCAGGAGGACTTACTATATTGTTTCTTATATTTTTACAAATTTTAGATTAATTTTTAGTAGTGTTTAAATAATAACAATTATTTACATAGTAGAGATGCTTAAAAATTCAATATTTTAGCATTATTAAATTCCCTAACCCAAAGATTAAAGTCCTTAGTCCTTAATTTAATTATCACTTTTGAATATTTTTAAATTAAAAATTATGACTTAGAAAAACTATGTTACTTTAAGTTAATTGTGAGTTTTTTCAAGTTGCTGCACTATGCAATTCCTTGTCCTAAATCTTTGGCTCCATCACTTTCTATCTTATTATTACTAAAAAATAAAATGTAATTTATTTAACATTTAAAAAATTAGCGAATTTTACCTTAATAATAAATTTAATTGAGAGAGATTTATAATTTAAGCTATTCCTTATCCTATACTTGATATTCCTTTATTTTCTATTTAATTTTAACTAAATTTAAAATAAATAAATAAAAAACTTGCCTTTTATTATAATCTTATTTAGTTACCTAAGATTCAAATACAAATTTTGTAGATTCTGACAACAAGATATTTAAGAACATAGTTCTTGTAAACCTTAATTTCCAATTTGATTTTAACTAATAGGTAAATAAAAGGATTTCGTATTTTTATTAATTTATATTTATATCATACCTAAAGCTTAGATATAAATTATTCAGATTAAAAAATCTACAAATCCCTTGGCAAATACTATAAATGTCATTGCTATTAATTCTGCTCTTTCTCATTAAGTTTGTCAATCTTATTAAAAATAAATTAATTTATCTTACAAAAAAATTGAAGTGAATAACTGATTTACACTGAAGATAATTTTAAAGAAATCGACATCAATTTATTATTCTTAGTTAGAGTGGAGATAATATTGCAGGACGATATGTTAGCTATTTTATTATTCCTTTGAAATTAAAATAATTTCTTAGATTTTTCTCATAAAAAATATTTTTTATACGATAAGCTTAAACTTAAAGTGTTAAGCATGCTTAAGTTTTTAATTGAGTCTATCATTGAATGTAAGCCAGAGTTTCCAAATAAATTAGAGCTATTTTTAACAAAATAATAATCAATTGAAATAAATTATCTAGTTTTCAAATGATATTTACTTGAAATTTAAAGCTAAATATAGTAGTGGAGCAATACTTGCTATTGAAGTCACTAAACTGCTAATCCCTCTATTGCCTAATTATGTCTATCTGTTTTTATTTAAATAATTTTATTCCTAAAATAATTCTTCAATAATAATAAAATACGATAGTTCAATAGTGAGATATTTAATTCCGTCTAGGTGTTGTAATTCTTTTCCTAAAATAATAGCTCCTTGATCTTAGATATTGTTATTGCTTTTGATTAATTTAAATTTTATTTTTTAAATTATATAGAAAAAAGAATCTCAATTTACTTCAACAGTAATGTTAGATCTGTAAGATTAAAGCATGATTAAAGCAGTGTTCCTAAGTGTTATATCCCCGCACTATTTATTTTATTATCCCTTTTAATTTTAAAATTCTATAAATAGATATTTAACCAACGATTGAATTTTTATACGATAGATCTAATGCTAATGTACAAAGATCTTAGCATTTAGCTTTATCAAGCAAATTTCCATCCAAATTAATAGTATAAATAGATCTATTAATAAAAATAAATAAATCTTAAACGAATTAAATTTATTTATTGCTAAAATAATTTACTGTAATTGAATTTCCAAAGATGATAAATCATTAGATGATATTAACACAGATATAATTTCTTCTATGTCCTCATTATCTATTTACTATTCCCTAATATAAAAAATTGATTTATATTCTATAATTAAGATAAATAGAAATAGAAATTATATTTAATTTATTTTCTATGTCAATGATTATATCTTTTTATTAACTAATAATTCTAAATTAAATAATTCTTACTAAAGATTAAGAGACAATACAGAGAGCTTTTGGTATGTCAGTGAAAACATCTATTATAATTAATTAGAATTATTAACTAATATGACGCAATTTTTATACAATTTACCTTTGATAGCTTGATAGAGACAATAGTATTTAATCTATTGAACGATTTCATTTTGATAAGATATTTTCTTTTTGTGATTGATGGGAAATAATAACTTTTATCTGATTAATTATATAATAATTAAGTTAAGTAAAATGTAAATTAATTAAATAATTCCGATTGTTTACTAACATATTTACATTGTCAAATAGAACAATAAATAATTTCGAAGAAATACTTTTTAGTAAGTTTTTTATTTGATAGAATTATTTTTAATCTTAATTTATTGAATTTGCTATTTTTGAATATGGGGGACAACTATGCGTGGATTTATTTTTAAATAAAAAATCAAATAATTATTTGATGAATAGTAACTTTATGGGATAACAATTATAGATTTTATAAATTTAATTTAAATGATTTTTATCAAAAGTAAAATTTTTCTAATTTTAAAAATTTAAGGCGCCTCACCTAATTTTGTTTTGAAAATGTAATTTATTTTGCTTCTCATTATAAATTCTATTCATTTAGAAACTAAAAATTTTATTTGTAAACCCTAAAAATGATTCGGATATCTTTGAATTTTTAGATTTAAGCATGTTATGCTAATTTTAAAGATATTTGTTACAAGCTGAGTTAAGCTTTTTTAGTCACATTAGTCTTAATAAATATTATTTACTGATTATATGATTCTGTAAAATGAATAAAAAAAGTAAGCTATTGCATTTTCAAATAAAATATTTAAAGAACAATAAAAGCGATTAACTATAATACTCTATTTTTAAAATTATTTTTAAAAAACTTAAAATTTTTAAGGTGAAAGTTAGTTTATCATAAAAGAAGCTGTTTAGATTTAACTAATTAAAAAAGAAGAATTGATATTAATGTTAATAAAATTTAAAATTAAATAACTTACTTGTAATTTATTATGGAGGATAATCTATTAACTTAATACAAGTGTTTTAATTGAATGATAATTTATATTTATTTGATTAACTCTAGATAAAATCTTTTATTTAAAATTAATTGTTCCCTTTTAGGTTTTTAGAATTTTTAGATTTTTTATTTATTTTTTTGATTTAATTTAATTATAATTATTTACATTCTTTAAGTCGCTTTATCAATCAAATACTTTGTGCCCTTTTTATAGGTATGTATTTTTGATCTTTATATTTTTTCTTCTAAAGATTAATTGTAAATTAAAAACATAATGATTAAATATTACTTCAAATTGAAATTTAGAGTATATTCCCTCCCCAAATTATTACATTTAGAAATATTGGTATTAAATATGTAAAAAACTAAAAAACAATATATTAATAATAAATTTGTGCTTGTTTAATTTATAAATATTGAAGGTTCTATGTAAAAAAATATAAGTCAAAAGATTGTATTAAATTTTAAGAAAAATTTCCTGTTTGTTTAGTAATTTTATATTTTCTTTAAGTAAATGAATAATTAATAATTGATAAGCATATCTACTGTTCTCTAAAATATTATACAAAGAATTAAAATTATTTTTTATTTCCCTTATCCTAATTATGAAATACTGGAAACTATTCATTAATTTATTTGTAATATTTTTCTTTAATTTAAATGTGATTGTACTTATTGACTTTTTAAAAAAATGCTTTTAGTTAGTTAGTTAGTTAAAGTTAAGAATAATAATTTTCTTGTTAATAAATAAGAATATATTCTAAGTTCAATGATATAAATATATCCATAGATAAATTTAAAAGCAAATATTAAAAAATATAAAAAAAAATATTTTGTTTGAAGATTAAATATAAGTAATTCTTTAAATATTATCATTTTAAAAATTAAATTACTTTTTAGTAAATAGAGTTTAGCTATTTAGCAAAATAAATAATTTAATTTGTTGATGTTAAAATCTAGAGTATCATTTGGTATTATGATTCTTTTTTATCTAATAAATTTTTAAAAAAATTTTAAATTGAAAAAAATCATTAAAAAACTCATCAAATTATTTAAAGATCTGTTTGTTTTTATTTTTGTAATTGTAATTGTAAAATTGACTTGAAAAATAATTAATGAATTAGCTTCAAAGAAACAAATTACAATCCACTCATTTTCAAAAAATAATATTTAATTAGTTTTTTTGATAGATGTCTATATAAATAAAGAAGATTAAAGATATATACTAATTATTATCTTTTTTTTATGAGAAAGCGGAGAAAAATATAATTTTTAAAATTAAAAAAAATATTCTTTTTTCCTCTATCCTAAATTTCTTCTCAAAAAGAAAAAAATTACTTCTGAAATGAAAAAATAAAAAAAAGAAGGTAGATACTATAACAGGACATTTAGTTTACATCTGTATAAAAATTCTTTTTCAATATAAAAAGAAATCAATATTAATTATTTGTCTTAAAATTTTTTAACTTGCACATCATTCTGTAATTAATCTAAGAATTTAGAAATATATTATATAAAGCTATAATAATTCTAATACTTTTTTATCTAACCAAAAAATAAATCAATCAATCATATTCAAAAACATATTCTTCATCTTATTTGATTTTTGTGACTAAGAAAAATAAAATCACAAATTCTTTTATCTTAAAATTAATTAGAAGAAAAATTAATTATCATTTCAGGTAAGTTTTTTAATATTCACCTGTCTGAATTTTAAATGTTAATTTACTTTATATCCACAATTTGATAAATTTATTAAAAAAAGTTTTCAGTAAATTTGTTAATTCAAAAAACTCTAAAGATAATAGATTAGATAGATAATCTTAATCTACTCTTCCTTGGATTTAAAATATTTATCTCTTCTTATCACGAAAAAAATTCTTTTATCAATACTTTTAAAATAAAATAAAGATATTTTTAATCAAAAAATTATATTTATAAATCAATTAACTGTAACATGTTTCATTTTTAAATACATTTTATTTACTTTTTAATAAATAAAGTTAATTAATAACTAAATTGTTTTGAAAAAAAAATTAATTTGATTTTTTAATAAATAAAATATCCATCTGCCTAAAAAAGTTGAGAGATCATCAATGAATTAGTAAAAAATAAACATAGTATTTATCATATTTAATATATAAAGAAAAATTATATATTAAAATAACCAAAATTTTAATGTAAAGTATTACTTTAAATTTTTTGAATTTTTAATTGTAGATATTTGATTTCTTTTAAATAATTTTTACTTTTTGTTTATTCTTATTTTGCTTAAATAAAATATTGCTTTTTTAAAATAATTTTTTAGCATATTTCAAAAGCAAGATACATGAAATTAAAGATTATAAATTTTTAAAAAAATTTCCAGTCAAAAAGCTTCTTTTAGTTTCATAAAATTTATTATAAAGATTTGATAGTTTGTAGAGGTAAATATTAAAAGTTATAAATATACCAAAATTATACACTCTTAATCTTTTCTAATTTATCATTTTAAACAAATTTAAGTTGGTGAACAAAGCATTAAGCTGATAAAAGCATTATAATAATTATCTTAAAATTATTTCACTAAAGAATAAATCTTTTATTGTAGCAAAACTCAACGAAAAAGATTTTAAAGCTTAATATTTTAACTCTTAAGATATACTCCCATTTAAAATGAGTATAACATCAGAAAATCGCCCTTTTAGTGCTTATAATATTAAAAGCTTAGCATTAAATAAAACCCAATCGCAGTATAATATGAATAGACCTTTCTCAGCTTTGGACTAAGAGTAATATTATTGCATTCATTAATTTAAATCTTCAAATTTATAAAACAAAATAAATGATATTTTAAAAATTATTATTTTTAATGTATAATAGTACATCATCTCAAAAATTAGAATAAAGGTAGGTTGATTAAAACAAGCGATATGAATAGTATTTGCATTTATTTTATAATAATATAATTTTAAAATAATTAGTGTCTCATAAAGACTACTGATGAATTGGTAATAAGTAAAAACAGCCAAGGATAAAGTATAATAAATTTTATTAACATTAGTTTCTTACAATTTAATTAAAGGAAGGTCTTTTTGAAGAATAAGTTCATTTGATGAATGATTTGAATAAGCTTAAGGAAGATAATTTTAGGATGAAGGAGAGACAAAAGTAAATTGAAGATGAGTCATAGAAATTAGTTGATTATATCTTGAAAATAGAATAGTTTGTGATAAAAAAAAAAGGACCAAAAATCTATGAACAGTAGGTATATTTCACTATTAGAATAATTTTTATGTAAATATGTTAAATTGATTATGAAATAAAGAGTATGTTAATAGTAAATTTGAAGAAGCTGTTAGAAGATATGAGAGAAGAAATTGATCAAAAAGAAATTCAAGTAGAAAGGAATAAGAAAGATCCTAAATTTTTAAAAAGGAGAGAGTTTCAGAATACTATGGAAATATATGAGCACTATTTAGAAATCATAAAATAACAGCAATTAAGGTTAAATATTGAAACAAAGAGGAATGAAGAAAATTAAAATAATTTACATTTTGAGTAAGTTGATCAATTAATTTGCAAGAAGAGTATTTTATTTAAATTTTAATAAAAAAATAGAGCAGAGGATGAAATACCTTAGGAATAGTTTGAATAGCTGAGTCCTAGAAGCATGAGAAAGAACCTCATTAATCTTAAAACTAATCTTACTATTTTGTAAGACACAAATGATAAGTTATCAGTGTAAGTAGACTAATTAAACAAATAAGGGAAGATAAAGCGCTATAGACTAGAGGAATTGGAAGAAATAGAAGAAGAGGAAATGGATGAAATGTTTAGACTAAGCTAATAGATTGAAGACTACAGATAGTTTGAGTTGGAATAGAAAAAGGCAAAAGAAGAATTTGAAAAGATGCAAAAAGCATAACCATAAGAAAAAAACACAAAAAGTTATCTTGAACAAATAAAAGACTTCCATAACAACGAAAGGAACCAAATTCTTTTAAACCACTAAAAAGAATAAATTGAATTGTAGGGAAAATAAATCAAAGAGCTTTAAGAAATTCTCCAGGTTTATCCATTTATTCATTAATAATTATTTTTAACTCTCTAATTCAATTAATATTTTGATAAATAAAGACCCTTAAAAAAAATGATGTACTAGAAAAAGAGAGACTAAAAAATGAGAAAGAAAATTTAACAAAACAGTTATAGATTTTACAAAAAAAGTATCAAAAATCTCAAGCAACTCTTGAAGCTCTAGATAACTAAATTTAATAGTTTGACATTAAAAATTATCCTCAAAGTTTAGGTTAAATTGTTTCTATATCCAACAACATCTTACAAAAGCATGATACAGTGAAAATTGTTAAAGTGCCTAAAATTGAATCAGAGTAAGTTCTCAGGATAGGTACATTATTATTTAGTTATATTTTAGTGAAACAAAATAAATTAACACAAAAAATTAGCAAAAGAAATCAATTTTAGATTAAGACTAAAAAGAATTCCTTTAGAAAATGCTGTTTAAAGACTGATTACTCAATAGATAAAAAGAGTAGGATTTACCTCTTTAGAGTATCTGACTAAGAAGTTAAGAGGGTAACTAATTAAATATTAATATACAAATAAATAAATCCTAAAATTATTATTTTTTATAATAAAGGGATCCATTTAATGTCCCAGATAAAAAAGATGCCTTACTAATTTCTAGATTCTTAATTGAAGATAATTAAGATAATATGGTAGAAGTAAACTTAGGTGCTAAATGTCACTACAAAGTAGCAAGGAGTGTTTTCAAATTTATTATTGGGAATGTAAAAATATATGAAAGTGATGAAGATGAAAAAATAGTCTGGGAAAAGTGTGTTGAAGTAATCAATTATTGTTTATTTCTTTCAATTTTGTTAATAAATAATAAAAATTATTTTAAAATAGGAAATATCTAAAAATAGTGCTGCTTTAAAATAATATGCTGAAATTTATTTTTCTAAAAGAAATTAAGAAACTAACTACTAAGTTAGTTGGGAACAAATAAAAGATACTTTTAACTATGCATCAAATGACTTTGATAATAAAATAATAGATTATGTGTTAATAAGGCTTTTCGAAGAAACAAACAATATTACTAAGCTTAATTTTATGAGGATATTTGAAATATTTAGTCCGTAAAATTGGAATAACATGGATGAGAGATCGAAAAATTCTTTAATTTTTAAACCTGGTATACTTTCATATAACTTAGATTTTTAGCATTACTCTAGTGATTCTGATGAAGGAGATGATACCTCACAAATTTCAAACACTTAAACTTTAACAAATCAAAAAAATAAAACTATAAATACCATAAAAAATACAAATTAAAACTAAAGCAATAATAACAGTCTCTATTCTAAAACATAAGAAGACTAGAATACTTAGAGAAGCAAGGCTATTTCTAATATTACTCCATTTAGCACTTCAAGAAAATGAAATTATTAAATAAAAAATTTATCAAATCTATTAAATCAATTTGATATAAATCAAATTAAAATTTTAGCTGCAAAGTTTCTATTTATTATTTAATTTTAATGTCTTATTATCAAATAATAAGCTTATTAGCATCAAATTTATTTTATTAATATTAAAATAAAGTTTTCAAACAAATAAAACGATTTTTAAAATGAAACTTTACTTTTTATTTTTATGTTTAAACAGTAAATTTTCAAGTAAATTTATTATAACAATTTTTAAGCAAGCATTAGAAAAATTGTAAATAGTTTTTATATGAATAGATTAATAAGATTTTTTTGAATTAATTGAGTAAATATATAAAAAAAATACCAAAAAATTTTAAAAAATGTTTATTTTCTTTTTTAATTTTATAAACTTTAATATCTATTTTTTAGTGTTTTATAAACGTTCGTTAAATTTTTGATTGAAATTTTATCAAATTTATTTTGAAGGTGTTGAGTATTTATTTGAGAGTTAAATTCATTTTAAAATTTGCTTAAGATCAAAGCTCTTTTAGATATTTCAATCTAGAATTACTGGATAAATCTTTTTAATCTAATATTATCGAAAAGATTATAATACTATTACTAACAATGAAAATCAATTTCAGCAAATAATTAATTGTTTTTAACATTTAAGTTTTTTTAAAAATGCATAATAATTCTATAGTAAATATTATTTTTTTACTAAATCATTATAACAAATGCGTGTTTATACTATCATCTTCATTTGCTTTTTTATTTTAAAGTTTACATTTAGAAAATAATAATTCTTTACTGAGCTACAATAATTCTTATCTTATCCTAAAACAGGCTAAAAATCTTTGTAAAATGTAAAATAGATACATTAAAAACTTTTTTGTAAAATAATTTAATTTCAAATAAACAAATTAATAAAAATATTTTACTGTAAATTAAAAAGCAGACATTTATAAATTATTTTTTTTCTCATAAATAAAGAATAAAAGTTTTTTAAAATAGAAAAAAAAATGAAAAAGAAAAGAAAGAATTGATAAAAACTAAGACGAATGAAAATTTAATAAATTAATTAATATATTAAAAGACTAAGATCATATGTTTCTTTTTGTGAAGACTCATTCTAAGATTTAAAAAAACAAAACAAAAATTTCGGAATAACCTGTACCTATCTATTTATTTCTTTACAATCAAAAATAAATCAAAAGAACTCAAAAAATTAGAGATTATTTCAAGCAAAAAATAAACAAATAAATAATAGCGATCACTTGACATATAATTTTTTTAAGCCCAAATTTTTGATTGATGAAATCTCTAATAATTACTTAAAATTATAAATTAAAAAATTGATAATAACGATATAAAAAGTTTTTACAAATAGTTAATAAAAATAGTTAATAAAAATTTGCTATACTTTTAAGCAGTAAATAGGTGTGGAGTTAATTTTAAAAAATAATACCAATCAAGAATGGCTACTAAGTAAAAATTTTCTAAAGTTATTGTTTAATCATAGCATTTTTCAATTGTTAAAGTTATCAATTAAATGATTATTTTATTTTTTAGGTAATAAAGCATCGCTCGCTAGCAATAGTATAATTAAGCATCTGAAAATTAAAAGCAAAAGGAACAAAAAGGATAAAATAAGATTACATAGAGCAGGAGTTCATCTAAAAGAAATTCATAGTAATCACTATCAAGTAGCAAATAAAGCTCTAGGCAAAGCAATCAAGAAATGAAACCCATTTAAATCAGTTAGCCAATCTAAAACTCTATAATTGCTTAAGTTAATCAAAAGTGCAGCATAATTAATTTATTATAATTAATATTTTATAATTGCTTTTTTTTCTGACTGTGTTGTTATGTATACATATAACAATGGCCAGAAAAGAAAAATTCATTTGAAAAGCATCAAATAATTTTTTTAAATAAATTTAAAAACAGAGGATAGCCTACTGTTCAAAATACGAAAATCTAAGAGTAAAAGCCACTAAAAAAGAAATAGTCTTTTATAGAATTGCTTTGCAGATGTTTTTTGGGATCTTCTCAAAAGTAAATATTAAAATATACATAAAAATAACAAATGCTTTAAAAAAAATTATACATACAGCAGTTTGCAATAATAGAATGATGAAAAATCTACTCAAGAAGAAATAGAGCATAAGCAATTAGGACCATAGTTTGAACATGCAAAAGTAAACTTTTGTTACATTATAAATTTACTGAAACACATATATTCAATAGATAAATAAATTAATGAATGAATGAATTTTTCGCAATTATAATTCGCTTAACTGAAAATTATAAATTTAGCGAATTAATGAATAACTAACTAACTTAATCTATTAATGAAAGACGGACAACATTTTAATCATTATTTCTTATTTTAAAAGGGCAAAAAAACATTAATTTTAGACTTAGATGAAACTCTTGTGCACAGTTCATTTCAGCCAATGGGTAACTCAGACTACACCCTTTCAGTAATTAAATCAATCAATCTTTAAATGATAATTAAATTAATAGATAAATAATAAAGCTTTGAAAGAATTTATTTAAATATTAAAGAATCAACAATTAAATTTATAATTATAAATTCGATAGATTAAAGTACAAAATATACCATTTACTATACATGTCAAAAAGAGACCTGGTGTTGAATATTTCTTAGAAAAGGCTAGTGAATATTTCGAAGTTGTAATTTATACAGCCAGTCTAGCAGAAGTAAATAAATTAATTTTATTTGAAAATTTATAATTTTACATTTTTATTAGTATGCTGACCCTGTATGTGATTTAATTGACCCAAAAAGATATGTGTCATATAGACTCTTTAGAGAAAACTGTACAAATTATTAAGGATTATTTGTTAAGGATTTAAGCAAGATTGGAAGAGATATGAAAGATATTCTGATTGTTGATGTATATATTTCTACTAAAGCATTACAATAAAATTATAAACATTTTTTTTTATTTTAAGAATTCTGAAACATCCTTTTTGTTCTAGCCAGAAAATGCTATTTAAATATCAAATTTTTTCTAAGATGATAATGATAGAGAACTCTTTAGAATGTTACCTTTCCTCTAATTTCTTTCTGAGGTAATTAAATTTTTTTAATTATAGAATAATAAAAACTTATTTATTAAGTAAAATCACTTTTAAAAAAGGAATAATTATTTAATTTATAATTTTTGATAGTGTTTATTATTTTTTAAAATTGAATTAAGATTTCAAAACAAATTTTACCATTTATTTTTAAATATTATTTACATATTGAAACAATTTAGTCAATCAATAAATCTAATTAAATTCTAATAAATTTATAAAAAAATATTTAATAAGGTATAAGATGTTAGAACAACTAAAAGTTGGATGGAAAAATACTTAAACTAAGATTATATTGAATATATTAGCATGAAAGGAGAGCACATTAGATTTAATAAAAGACTATAGTTAAAAAAGCAGAGAAGCTTACTATAGCACGAAGGTTCAACTGTTGCATTAATGTAACAGCAAACTGCTAGTATTAGTAGAGATGATTCTTAGGTCATGATCAATCAAATATCTACTAAGAATACAAATATAAACAGCAAAAATAATACTTTAGTGGAAAACAATTTAAATCTTGAAGCATAAAATAACTAGAGTAAAAAGCCATCTGTAATAAATGATGAAAGCAATTCTCCCGATGAAGAAAATTTATAAAAAAATAATTACAATAACAGCAGTAAAACTTTAACTGCAAGTGGAAGTACATAAAGTGGAATTGGAAAGAAATATAAGAAGAAAGATCTTTAAATCTAAGTACCATAACAAGAAGATAAAATTAAATAATAAAATGAGTTAAATGAAGATTAGTTATAATAGTAAATGCTATAGGAATATGAACAAAAAATAGGCTAATAATAAAACAACTTGAATTCTGTTCGTAATAATAAACTAGAATCAACTCGTAAATTGTTAGAGAAGGGGACACCTAGGACAGATGACTATTTTGTTCATAAAACATGTCCTGATGAGGAATATCAGGTGAAAGATCCTAATAGATTAAATAAATCATTTGAAAAGCAAAGATATGACATTGGTATGTTTAACTTAAACTCTCCTATTGCTTAAAAAGATTTTATAGATTTTTTGAAAGAGCCAATTTAGACTTCACCTAAATTAAATAAAATTAGTTAATATTTCTAAGCTTCTAAAAACAGTTAACCACCTCCATCAAATAAATATTGTGATAATTTTAAACTTAAATTACTCATGTAGTAAACCTAATAAATACAAGAACAAGAAATAGAAGTGGATCCTAGTTCTATTTAGATAGATTAGATCATTTTGGACAGAAACCACAACAATTAATCAAATAATAAGGATTATGAATTTGATAAGTAAGTAAATCCTAATAAAAAATGTGAAATCATAGATTTTACAGATGATAACATTAAGTATTGAATATAAAAAAAAATATGTTTCATAAAAAATAAAAATTTGAAATTAAATTATAAAAATCTATTGAAAACTTCTAAGTAATTAATTCATTAATTAATCTTAAAATAGATAATAATTAATAACAGTAACCAATAAATACATAAATCAATCAGTTAAAGAAAGCAAATACTTTCTTTTTATACTTACTTCTCCTTAATAATTAATTTATCAATATCAACATTTTAAAAAAAAATCTTATATTATTTATAATAATTTATATAATATAAAAACAAATAAATAAACCAATAAAAAAAAATCAAAGCTATTCAAGATAAAAATAGACAAATAAAAAAATTTAACTACATTATTTATATGTTAATTATATCCATCCATATATATAATCATTTGATAAATTTTGTTTAATCTCATCAAAATCTAAAATACTCAAATATTTTATTTCAATTATCATCAAAATAATAAATGAAGATGATTTTCAAAAAATTTAAAATAAATTCTTTTCTTTCTATTGAATCTAAATATAAAAATTTTAATTAATTCTTTAAAAATTATTGATTAAAGATGATATTATAAAGTATTCTAATATTTATAATTCTTTTCCAATTTAATAAACGAGTCTAAATATACTAATTAATCTTACACTTATTACTCGATAAATATTTTTTTTGAAATCAATAACAATTTAAATAAATTATTTTTTGTTGAAACATAAATAAATATTGATCATCAAATATTTTACTCTTAAATTTCTAAAATCTTAATTTAAGTAACTACTCAGATAATTTGAGGGATTAAATGCTTCTATCAAATATTTATATATTTTTTTAATACTAAAATCTTTTAACAGATCAAACACAATAGATAGGTTAGCGGGAAAAATATATTATATAATTAATATCTTAGTTTGTTTTTTAGTTTGAAATCGAATTTAGCTCAAGTAAATAATTTAGAAAAATAGAAATGCTTTTAGAATCAGAAGTTAGAAACAAATCAAATTAAAAGGAGGATATCAATTAAAGAATTTAAAAAATAAATAATTAAAATCAATAAATCATATAAAATTTTTCTCTGAGTATCAAAAAAGGAAATAAACAAGTTTAATTAGATATCAATATAAAAATTAGAAGAAAATGATGTAATAATATACCTACGCAACTTTTACACAAAAATATAAAACTAATCTTTGCAGACATTGGCAAACATGTAAACAAACATTTATTTATATATAAAGAGCCATTTCTTTATATTTATATTTATATTATAACTAAAAATATATAATCATTAAAATTATTATTTATCAAAAGCTGGAAATTGCTAAATTGGTGCAAAATGTCACTTTGCTCATGGTTAAGAAGAACTCAGAAATCCAAATGATGTAATTAATATATTAGTTTAATTAGAATATTTAGAGTTAATCAACTCCTTATTTAAATATTAAATTTATAAAAATAAATTAGCCCATCAAGGATGCTACAGTGATAGCTAATGTTTTAAGTAATCCTATTCAAATTCAATCCTACAAATCAATTAGATGCAAATATAACGATATTGGTGCATGCAGATATGGATAAGCTTGCTATTTTTCTCATGGTGAACCTTAAGTTCCTAGCTCAGTAAGGATTAATTTAATATTTAAAAAATAATTTAGCTGTTTAGATACCTTATAGACAGAAATAAAAAATATTTTGATTAAATTATTATGAAAAATAGTTTTATAAATATTAAATTTATTTTAATAAAATAGTCTAGCTAGATTCAATAATAGTAATTACTTTTAGCCCAACAATACTAGGAATTACTTGCATAACAATAAATGTTGCAAAGTTAAGGAGGGTCTTCTGCTACTAGCTAGGGATCTTTCGCATCAGCATCCACACAAGGAAGTTCTTAGGTTCAACAATAATAAATGCAATAAAACACATCTTATTAGTTGAGCCCTGAATAAAAGAAGAATATTACTATTGCCTAACTTTAACATATGCTTTATGAAATGAATAAAATGAAATTATAACCTGAACACGCCACTATGGTCAATCGTGCTTCAGAAATTTTATAAGCTTAAAATATTCCAGGTTGCTCTTAACTTTTAAATGTAAAAAATTATAAATTCATAGTTTCTAGAAAATTGATCGACGCTTTTCAAATTTATAAATAAATTAAAGAGATTATCTTAAAATTAATTATAAAGATAAAGATAAATGTTAATCTCAATTCATTATCAAATTTAAAATTAGCTAAAATTTATATTTTTTTATATTACTTAACAAATAGGAAATTATCAACAGACCTGATTGTCCTCTTGATGAAAAGAGATAGTTTGAAACTATCATCAACGATGCTTAGTAACTAGCTTTAAATTTAATGTAACAATTCCAAATGTAGTCATAATTGGAAGCTGAAGAAGCTAGAAAGTAACTCAGCCAATAATTATAACAATCTTGAATAAGTTGAATAAGAAAAAAATCTACTTTCTCTAAAACAAACAATATATAAAATAATAAATAAATAGCGAATATATAAAAATTTTTAACTAATGCAATTAATTAATTATAGCTTAAAAGAATAGATGCAATTTAAATATACAAAAAAAAACTTCATAAATGTAGGCATGAATATATTAAAGATTAATATCCTTATTTTTCTTGGGATCTGAAACTTTATAGAAAGAAATGTATTAGAAAGATTGGAAATAATTAGCTTAGAAACAATCGCACTATATACTAAAACTAAAAAAGCACACACACTCATACATAGATTTGTTGATTGATTCATAGATAGATAGATAAAATCTGATTGTATACATAAATAGCCTCTTACATTCTAATTAACATAATCATAAATATATAGAGTCTTGCAAGGACAAATATGTACGGCAGTTTAAACAATAGAAATGAAGAGTTTACATCTTTCTATTAAATTCAAACAGTTTAATGTAGGAAGGAATATTCAATTCAATTCTTGAAAGAGAGAAAATATGCAGTTAAGGAAGGAACTTTTCTAATCTAATCTTATCTGATCTTTGGACTCCTAGTTTGTTTCAGTTTTTTTATTAAAAATATATTCAATTATTAATATAATATCATCATTCTTCTTGCTATAATATTTTTATACTATCTTAAAAAAATAAAATTATTTAGATACAGTCTTAATATTCGTGTCAGTAAATTTACCACATAGTGTAGAGCCTACTCTTTGTGCACTTTTTAAAAAATTAATATATAAAAAAATTATTTTTAACATTGTTTTTTTAAAATAAAATTTAAAAAAAATATATATTTAAGCATCCATACTTCTCATGATGTGAATCTGCAGCGATTTCTCATCTGCTTGAAAGCAACATCAACTAAATTTTCTCTACTAATAATCAACACCAATCAATCCATCCATCCATCATCAATCATAATAACTCTTTTTGATTTTTTATATCTTTTCCTTCGATTTCTTGTTGGCTGATTCATGCATTTATAATGTGGTATCATAAATAAAAATAATTAATAAATATATCGAATATTATATTTCATGGTGTTAAAATAAAAAAATAAATATAATTAGAAAACTAAGAGACACAAACAAACAAACAATCAAATTGTTTAGTATGTTGCATAAAAGATTGATTATAAATAAAATCAAAAATAGCCAGTCTTCAATCAATCAATTAAATCAATCAAACAAACAATTTATGAGAAAAACTAGGATTCAATCTTAGAGTGTGTTAGATATAGAAGGAAGGATCTAAATATGCAAAATAAGTTTTAAGTGGTTTAACCAAATAAACAAACAATCAAACAAAAGGATGAGAAATTAAACTTTGAGCTTCAAAAAAAAATTTAGATTTTAAAAATATTTCTTTTTATTTTATTGATTAATTTAATTAATTTTGTAAATTTAATTTTAAAGAATAATTATTTGATATTATATTTTTTGCGTTTAAATAAATATTTACTTTTTTTATTTGATAAATGAGATCACAAAATATCAATCAATATTAATAAAATAATTCTGTTCATTTAATAATATCATTTGTTCATTCTATCAACAATTGTCAATTATTTCTAATATTATATTTTTAAATTTAATATTTGAATTTTGAAGTAGAATTTATTTTTGTTTTTGAGATATGATTTAATTTAAAACACGCGTATTTATTTATACTAAAAGAGTGAGTGATATATTGTATTTCACTCAAAATCTAATAAATTACTATATAATTTTTTATCACTCTACAGAGAAAACCGGAAATGATTGATATCTTCATATATTCATTAATTTAATATATCAAATAATTAATTCTTAATAAAATCAATTAAAAATAGATTTAAGGCAGAACTATAAAATGAGCAAAAAAGTTTAAACAAAGAAGAAATAGTAAACTGATAATAGTAGCGATTCTGATTCTGAAGATGATCAATTAGAAATGAAGCAAATTAATTTATCAAGCGTAAGGGATATATTCAGAACTTTTTGGAATAGCTACAAGAAAAATACTCCTTCCAAAATCAAATTAATGGATGCATTTGTGGTCTATTGCATTATGATTATCTGCATTTAATTTTTTTACTATTTTGTTGTTGGTAACTTCCCTTAAAATTCATTAATTATTGGTATTTTTGCACCCCTTGGATCAGCTACTTTCACAGGTAAACCATTAAATTAACTTTTTAGCAATAAAGAAAATTATATTTTTGTAAAATCAACATTAATACTTATTGTTAATAAATAGTTTGCTTAAGATAATAAATCAGTTAGAAGACTAGATATATGAACTAATCAAGCGATAGGAGCTTCTGGGAATACTTTTTGTCAATGTATATAATGTTCCTAGCTTGCATTAACTATTTGGGTTGATAAATTTATAAGAAAAAATAAAATTTATTTTATGTTTTATATAAAATTGTAAGAAATATGAAAGAATTTTATCTAACAATAAATACTTTATTGAAATCATAATCAATATTTATTTACTTATCAGCATTGAAATATAATTTAAATTATTTTTTAATACTATTTACTGATATAAATAAAATAGAATATTTATAATTCAATTTTTTTATTATTTTCATTTACTATCAACAAATCTAAAGATATTCTCATAGATTTAATTATAATAAATAATTTAATTTCAAGCAAATCTTTCTGCTTCATCAAAAATAATTTATTTATTAATTAATTAATTGTCAATAAAATTCAAATGATTCTTTTATTTATTTTTTTTTATTAATATTCTTTAATAAACTTAACGAAATTATTTATTAAATCAAAAAAAAAAAAAATACATAAAAGTAATTAAGATGGCTGCTATAAGAAAGAAAGTTTTTATTTTTACTCTATCTGGAATGACTTTGATGACTATGTCCGCATGTAGATGGTAGTATAATAGATATCACTACTCTGTCAATAAATGGAAAGTGCTAGATGAGTAGTTCAAAAAAGAAGAACCTGATCAAATTTAATTTAGTAATCTGCCTTGGTAGGAATAACTTGCAAAAAATAATAAACTCAATATTGAAGACTTTGAATATAGATTAATTAGACTTAAAGGACTCCTTAAAGGATAGAGATTTTTTATCCATAGACATTAAGATGGTAGACCAGGTTATTTAATAGTAGCTCCATTTATAGATTCGACATAAAACACTAATAATGCATTAGTTGTCAACTTAGGCTGGATACCAAGCAATATGAAATAAAAGTTTGATAATATAAAATATAATGACGAAGAAATAGAGCTTTCTGCCTTAATTAAACGCCCAGAAAAAATAGATTATGTTAATTAGTAGTAAATTTAGTCTATGAAAAAAATGGAATAAATGAATCAATCTACAAGTAATTAATAGTAAACCTCCAAGTAGCAGAATCTTTAAAATTAAGATAGTGGTAAAATAATTCCAGAATAATCGAGGTTCAATTCTTTCATTGATCTTGAATTCCTCAAAAAAGAATTCAATTGTAACTTAGATACAAATGCATATTTAGAAAAATTTATAAGCAGAAAACAGTATAATTAACTCAGTATAAGTGATTCTGATGATGATTTGTATCCAGTATGCTCATCACCTTAAACATTTTCCAAACCTTACTTAACACCTGATAAACATTTAAGTTATTGCACTTTTTGGGGTTGCTGTACAACATTCGGTATAATAACTATCATAAGAGCTTTAAGAGTATGAATAAAACACATCAATTCAATATTTTAAAAACCTATTTAAATATTATAAGTATAAAGTATGAATCTATGAATAAGCTTATTGATAGGATTAAAGTAACGATAATTAATTAAATATCATCTCTAAATGTCTTATAAATTAGTTAAATATTATTGTATGTTTATATATTAATAAATATTAATTTTCAAGATTATATTTATACTAAAATTGATAAAAATATTAAATAATGCTATTTATTATGCAATTACATTTTTAAAAATATTTATTCAATTAACTTAGAATAAGTTTCTTTATATAAAAACATTCAAGTTATAGTTTGGGACTACTTTAACTAGTAATATAAGCACTCACTTTTTGTTATTGGTATATTTTTTAAAAAAGTAATATAAAAATATTAATATAAAACCTTGATAATGTTGGCACATCTGTAGTTTGATTAAAAAGTTTGGCCTGGAAGGTGGCCACTTTAGAAAATCTTTTTTGCATTTTGTATTAAAATTAAATAAAATTTTTGAAAGTTTTATTTTAGATTCTTTAAAAAAATTTTTATTGTTGAATTTTATTGATAATAAAACAAAAACATAAATTAAAAATATTTTGAAGTTATCTGAAAAAGTTTATTTCACTCCTTTAGAAAACAATGAGAATTTTAAGAAAAATATACAACTAAAAATATGAATTTGAGTTTAGCATTTTATTTTAGAAAATTTAAAAAAAAAGGATTTTTCATAAATAAATAAATAATAGAATAAATTAAATTTTAAATTATTATTTTGATATAAAACTGATTAATATATTCATATTAAGTAAAAGTAGATATAGTTTTTTTCTAGAATATTTAGTATAAATATTAATAAATTCATAATTGTTTATTTAATTGTAGTAAAATATCATTTTAGTTTACAAATGAAAAGCTTTTTTCAAAAAAACGAACGTAAGTATTTGAGAAAGAAATCAGCATTAGTCTAGGACTATATGCTGGCAGGTATAGGGGTTGTTTCAATTGGATTGTTTTGTAATTACTATAATAATAAACTAAATCCTCCTGACCCAGAAGAAGATACTGATTAAACAGAAGTTTGTAAAATTTTGCCTTTTGTTGAGTTTAAATTCAAAATTAAATGTCTTTTTATTTCAGTATAAAAAATAGGAATCAAAGATTTATATTAAAATAAAATTTTAAATGCGTTGAGAGTAGATTTTATTATTAATTATCTTAAAATTAACCATAATAATAATTCTAGGCCCAAAGAGGATCGCAGTATCTGCAAGAAGAATAAATTAAAAAATTAGAAAAAGAATATAATGAAAAGAAAGTAAAAGTGCTTTAAGAAGATAATACAAAAAAATGAGGATGGATTTAAATAATTTAATTTACAAAAATATTAGTTAAAACTTCATTTTTATTTGCTTATGAATTTTTGTAAAAATGTTTAAGCTAAATAAATAAATAAGCCAATATCAAATATAAGTAAAAAGTTGTTGTTTAAAAATAATTTTTAGCCTACTTTTAAACAAATATTTAAAGAAAATCATAGCATATATAAATTTACAGAACTTTAAAATTGTAAAAGTAAATTATTCTTCTAAGAAATAAATTTATTTTGATTATCAGAAATTCTATTTTTATTTAACAAAAAATGCTTTATAATTATTAAAATTAAATAAAAAATTAAAAATTTTATAGCAATTATGTATGGCATGTTATTTATTCTGGTTACTATAAATTAAATAGGAATACTTATACTTATAAAAAAAATGCTAAATAATTAGCACTTAGAGATTTAAAGAGAGAGAGAAAAAAATAAAGAGAATGACAATTTATGTTTGTTTTTAAACTAAATAATCATTTAAGTATGTGTGCTAAAATATTAATTAATTAATTGATTGATTGATAACAAAATAAAATTTTCAAGAAAACTTATAAATAAATTAATAAATAGTGTTTATTTATTTTTAACTATAGCTGTTTGTAACATATTTTCTACTTTTTTAGAATAAAAAATATAACTTTGATTTTTTAAAGAAAGCTCTAGGTATTTATCTTAAACATTAAAAAAATAATTATCATTCATGGCAAGCTTATTTTCTCCTAGACCAACTTCTAGCCAATCTACTTTTTCTTTTAAATCAAATGAATTTATGTCACCTAAATTAAAAAAATCTACTCCTACTTTGGTGTAAATGAGTAGCTGTAAATAAAGAGTGCTTTATACATCTCCACAACATACAGATTGTACTCGTCCTTCTAGTGCATTATAAGTTAATGAACTGAGCAAAAAATTAGGGATTTTTGAATATCAAGATGAGGTACTTACTAACTCAACTCTTAATTAAACGAGGCCTTCGTCAAGACAATCATCAATAATATTAAACTAAATGTCTTGTATAATTAAACCAAAAAAAGCTATGTCTGCTGTATCAAGCTAAAAATCCAAGAAATCTCCCTTGCTGATATACAAAGAAAATATTACATAATTAGAAAATAATTTCAACAATTTGGAGTTAGATTAAGATTACTCAAAACAGTACTCTATCATCTAACTCTAAAAATAGTAAAAAATAAATGAAAAAAAAAAAGAGTCTTGTCCTTTTGAAGCCTTTTCAGCTTTTAGAAAGGAGTAGAATGCAGGTATTAAAAGAGTTAATTCAAATGTAAGCAACTAGCTAAGTATAAGTGCAAGTAAATTTTTTAGCAAACCAATATGTATAGGATCTCCAACTGCAAATTATAAAAGTTAAAGAAAGGAATTATCGAAATCTACATCTATAAACTGCACTGAAGCTGTTAAAAATAATAATCAGCCTAATAAAGACCCTATTAATTAAATAAATTATGTTCTTGACGTATAAGGATAAAAGCGTCCAGAAGATGTTCCCATTTTGGCTGACTCTAAAAAGATGAAAAAAAATTAATATATAATTAATTTATCAAAGAGTTATTAATAAAATCAAGTAGATAATACTTCTACAGAATAAGGCAATTAGGATTCATAATAATTAGCCAAAGAGAGAATAATAGATTAACGTTTATCTATATCTCCTTCTTTTATTATGAATTTTGATTTAAATAAGATTTAAACTTAAAAGTTTATGAAAAATAACTAAATTTTAAATACTACAAATGCTTAAACTGAATAAACTCCTAGAAGCTCTAATATTTCTACTTAAAAAAACACATGTAACACAGACAGGAATAAATTTAGTTCTTAATAAAAATAGAAAACAACTGTTAATTACTAAAAAATAGCAAAGGAACAATCCATCTAATCGGCTTTAGCTAAATTTCAATTATGGCCACCAGCATCCAATTAGAAAACTTAAGAAATTAATTCAACTCCTTAAAAAGATTAAAAAATTAAATTTAAAGGAGAATTTAACTTTATTAAGTAAAAATATGAAGAGCCAAATTAAATAAAGTAGTAAAATATGGAGACCGAGAATAAAGTAGATGAAGAAAGAATATTAGAACATAAAACAGAAGTGCAGTAAATTTTGGAATAAATTCCTGATTACAAATTTGACTCTAATAATAAAGCAGTGTCTAATCATTTGAATTTGAAAGCCAGAAAGATATTTTTGTATGATAAAAACCCTAGCGTTCCTTTAATGTAAGTTCATTTCTCAAAAAAAGAAGTAGATCCTATTTATCGTAGAAATGTGTAAAACAATAAACTTAAATATTGTGAATAAGCTGAGTTTGTTGGAAACTTAGAATTAAAATAACCTTAAAAGACTAAGACTTAAAAAAAGACCATCAAAAAGAAAAAAATAGAAAACGAAGTAGATCGCTTTCAAGAGTATTAGGATATTATTAGGAAAGATTAGTAGGAGAAAGCTGAAATTAGAGAAAGAAATAGATAGTTAGCTTTGTTAAATTTTAGCGATTTTAGCGATGCATAAACTGAAAAAATTCTTGATGATGAAGCCAAACCTGAAGATTTATTTTCTGGAGCTTCTAAATGGATAGATAAATCTCCAGTTAGTGAATATATTGAATAAAAATTTCCTTTAGTTAAAAATTATGTAGATAAAATATGGAGTTATTATAAGTAGCATGATGAAATTCAAGATTTTGGTGATAACAACGGATCAAAAAATAACCCTAAATCAATTAAAGTCATTGACGATTAAGCTGAAGAAATATAAAAAATATATAATCAGATTAATAGAATGAATTCAGTATTTTCTTAAAGATTAGAAGAGATACAAAAGTATGAAAACAAGAATTTAATAGACGAATTCTTAAAAAGTATCTCTTTAATTTCTTATTTTTTTTTAATTTAAATCATAAACATAAATTTTAAATACTAGCTAACGATGAAAGATTAACTGTGCAAGAACTGAATTTAATAATTGATTAATTCACCTCACCTTAAAATTAAATAGATATCATGTTTGTAGATTAAATACTTACTAAGTTGAAGTTTTTCTCTAACTTTAATCCTTAGACGAGAAAGCAACTGATGAAATTAGGTAAGCTCATTAAAAAAGAAAAAGGAGAGATAGTTTTTAATCAAGGAGACTTTGGAGATTAAATGTACATTATACTTTTTGGAAGCTGTAATGTGTAAGTAAAATACGTTAATGATTATGGAGTAGAAATAGAAAGAGTAGTTGCGACCCTTTACGATGGGGTAATTAAATTTTATACATTTTAATTAGCTGAATTTATGTTTTATTTTTTAAACAGTAACAATTCGGTGAATTAGCGATGATGAAAACCACAACAAAGAAGTAAAAATAAACTGATGCAGAAGTTAACTTAAAAGAAAAATAATTGAAAGATATAAGAAAAAAACTAATTAGATATGATGGAATAACAAAACTTGAACGAAATTACTTAAGAAAAGGGATTAAAAAAACAAGGAGCTGGCTAGAATTTGAGTATGACAGAAACTAGAAAAAAAATGAGGTTGAAACCGAAGAAAATACTAATCAATAATTTAATGAATTAGATGAAGATAATCAAATGAAAAAGTAAAATAAAGAAATCTTAGAAAGAACTAAGCGTGCTGCAACTATTTAGATGATTGAAGAAAGCTACTTGATGAGCATTTCTAAAAGCGATTTTTAGCTTGTTTTAATGAATTTAATGCAAGCTGAATTAGATAATAAAATTAAATTGCTAAGTACAATCCATCTATTTGATGTAAACATTTTAATTTCCAAATATTTTTATTTAAATATTTTGATTATTAATATTATATAGATGTTTTAGCCTTTTGCTCTTATTCCTTTAGCTAATTTACTGAAGACTAGAAAATATGGAGTAAATGACTTAATAGTAGAATAAGGCAAGCCTCTAAAATTCTTTTATATAGTATCCTAAGGAAGATTGAAAGTTCTTCGAATTGAAAAGACATCTAGGAAATTAAAATAGTAAATCAAACCAAAGAATATGATCTTTTCCATTATGAAATGTATTAATTTATATTAATATTATTTTGATTTCAAGACAATTTTTTGTCTAGCTTTTGAAGTATAAAATGATGATGATTAATTCCCAAACACTAATTTATAAAAAAAAAATTTTTTTTAGTCAATGAATTTTTTAAATTTATCAAAATATATTTAATAAGATAAGGAAAATGAAGAAGAAAAGAAAGAAAAAGATAAACTTAAAAACCATATACAAGAGATAGAAGAATAGCCCATTTTAAAAGATTATGATTCTAGTAGCTTTGACTCAGATGATGATATTGAAAATGTGGAGAGATTACTCAGAGATTCAAAGTTAGCCAACACTGAAAAAGTTTTTGATTACTAAAAGTTTGGTAAACCAGACAAAGAAATAGTATTTTACAAAAAGTTTGTGGAATATGGTAGTTTTTCATAAGGAGATTACTTTGGAGGTAGAGTCTTAACAGGCAAAAATAAAGATGATAATCCACAAGGACTGGCTCAAAAAGCAGTGGTATCTAGTAAATTTAATATATAATAAATTAACTTTTCATTTTATTTAGATAGCTGACACTAACGAAGTAGAATTATATGTTCTTGAAAAAAATCAACTACAATATTTACCACAATTTATAAAAGTAAATATTTCTTTAATGTAAATAATTTTTACAAAATGCTTAATTAAAATTTAAGGACTGGTTAATCTAATGTTTAGAATGTACTTAAGAATTTGATGACCTTGATAAAAAAACAGAGTCTTAAAAAAATAGGAATTGGGAGAATTTTAAAGAATAAATGTATGAAATCACTTCTCAGCATTTAAAGCAATAAATTGAAGTTTAAAAAGCTAAAATATGGTGAATTTATAAATTAATTTTTATTTAAATATTTATTTCAAATTTGTAACAAAAGATTCTATTAAAATAAATTTTAAAAAACATGTAAAATAAATTTAAATTTAAAGTATCTCTTAATTGTTTGACTTAAAGAATTATGAAATAGTTTAAAAGTTTATTTAATTTTTAATTTATTGGATATAATATTACCAATGATTTTATGAAAATTTAAATTTTAGTCTATCAAATATCAAAAATTTTTTAATAAAAAAAATTTCAAAACTTTTATTCAATATCCTTATTATAATAATACAATTGAAAATTTTTTAGCGTGAGGTCTTATAGAAATTTTAAATAAAATATAATCTTATTGTTAAAAAAGACAAGAAAAAAAATATTTAATTAAAATTTCTAAAAATAAATTAAAAATATTTAGTGCTTATTTAATTATGGAATGTAAATAAATTATTTATTAAAAAATTAGTTAGTTACTATTAAAATAAAAATTAATATGATACTAAAAAAAAATCAAAATAAATCTTATTAACTTTTATCTTATTCAATTTGTTAGTTAATTGATATATCAAAATCATTTTATTCTTCTTTAATGTGCTACAATGAGCCTAACTAATTTAATTAGGAGTTATATATTTTAGGAATTATTTTATTATTGACTGTTTCTTTGAGCTTACTAAATCTTCTAATAGATGAAGTAGCTAATTATTTTTTGTTAATTTATTTTTTATTTTGATGACCATCTAATTGCTGCTATCTCATTAAGTGCTTCAATTAAGAAGTAAAATCTTCATTTAATTATTGATTACTTTAGTTCTTTTTATTTGAATCAACACTCTGCTATACAATAATTTAGAGTTCCTATCTGCTCAATTCAGATGTCAGAACCAATTCTAAATTAGTTTAATTCAAATGTTAAAATCTAGGTCTGAACTCAATATCAACATAATCATCGCCTTTATCCACTATCAAAACTTTAGTTTTTGAGATTTTTGTGTGCTTTTCAGCATCAAAGGTGAAGATGTTTTAGCTTACAGCTATGTTAACTACTGAGTCACTTTAATTTGGAAACTCAAATTTAGCAAAACATTTGAGATTAACTCTCTTGATATCAAAACACTTCATAACGTTTTCATACAATCTATCACTATTAACACTAAATTCTTGAGCAACTGAACTATAATTTATATTATCTTATGAAATGATGTCTTTAATTGATTCCATATGATTTTTAAAGTAGTAATATTGCAGTACTTAATTGTAATTTTGTTAAAATTTAAAAATAGCAGAAGGTTTCTCTTTAATTACCAAGATTTCATCCTAAAAATTGAGGTCTGAAGCTAGAATAGTTATTTCATGGCTTATTATTTTTTACTTATGAGATGTGTGCTATTCCTTTTACTGCACGGCAACAAAAAACTACAAACTGTTCTTGCTTTTAATTTAGTGTTTATGCTATTGTTTTTACATATCTAAATTAGCATCTTAAATGCTTAACTCTTAATCAAAAGAGCTATTAGGACTATCAATGCTGCTTACTTAGTCATTAAAATGATATTTATGAACATTATCAGTTGCTTTTAATAAAAAATAATTAGGATAAGATTTAAAATTTAAAATTAGAATTAAATGAAAAATAAATAAATTACAAAATAAGCATGAATATATAAATGATAAGAAATTGTTGCTGGTCTGATGCTTAGATGGAATCAATTTATTTAAAACTTTAAGGAATTAATTTCCTTTTTCTAAAGATCTAAATATGATTAACATATTTTATTTAATCTATTGTTTCTAGCTAAACATAGTTTGTTAAGAAAATGAGCAGCTGAGACGAATTTATTAGTTGCTGAAACCAGAAAAATAATTCTAAAGAGTTAAAGGCTATGTTGGTCTTTATCTACTGTCGCTGCTTTATAAAGAAAAAAGTATAATGTACTCCACCTTGTACTTATCAGTACAAAGAGAACCCAGATAGCACTAATTACATTTAGTCCCAATTTGAACATCTACAATGTATATACCATAATTTGTAAGTAGCAATAACATCTTTTGATATGGATTATCTTTCTCTTCATCTCTTTTAATAAAAACATTTAAATAAATTATTTTATGCTCTAAAAACCATTTTAAAAAGTTAAATAATTTTAAAATAAATTTTCCTTCATAAATATAAATGCTAATATCTAGAAAATATTAGAGAAAATAATAAAAGAAAATGTGAATTTACTTTCTAATGTAGACCCAACTCCAACAATACAGAATTTCCCTTTCTTAAGAGATAAGTATGTCTTTAACATAAAATTCATCTATCTTTAAAGTTAAATTTTGTTTTATTAATTTATATTAATAATAATAACAATAATAATATCATACTAAATTTATTGAAAGATTAGACTCCAAGCAGCACTCCATCATTTTCTAGATAAAAGCTTAGTTTACTTAGCTTTTCTACTCATAATTAAGAATGAGTTATGAATAGTTTAATGTGCAAACTTCTTTATGGTAATCCCCCTAGGAGAGACTGAAATAACTGCCTAAATTATTTGAATAAATGAAATTTTTAATAAAAATTTTGAAATGTACAAAATTACCAAAAAACTCAGTATAAATTTAGGTTGCTAGATTCAAATTTTTTCTGTTTTCTTAATCCAAATTGTCATAAGGAAACATAAATATTTAGCTTAATTAGTTTATCATAGTAGTATTAAAAAGCTATTAAACAATAAACTAGATATGCCTTTTATGGGGATATAAATTCAAACTAGGATGTTATACTTATTTATTTTTGATGTGCTTAGAGTTTTCGGTAAATACTTTGTTAACAGAGTCTAAAGAATTAACTTATTCCAAGATAATTTACAAAGTTTTTACTATTTCTTTTATCAGCATTATGTCTTATTTTTAAATTACTTTAAATTTAAATATCCCTTAATATAGTAGCCCAACCATTTCTTAAATACTCTGCAATGTTGCTATGTACAATTCTATTTATTCTAAAGGTGACCAATTTTTAAATTAACCCTCCTAATAATCTTGATCTTAATAATCATCATTAATTGATAGCTATTAATATTGCTTCATGTGAGATTATTTTGATGGTCCTCTCTCTTATAGCTATGTGATTGCCATCTCTATTTTTAAGAATTAAATTTTTATTTTATTTTAATTTAATTCTAATTAATTTTAATATTTATTTTACTGTGGTAATGCTTAAAAATGAGTCTGCAAATTGTTAAAAATTTACAACCAAGAGAAGCCTTAATAAAACCGTTTTCTTTGCAAAGAATCGAAATTTTGTAGAAAGTTTAAATATTTTTTGCTTAATTAATAGCTGATTCTTTGATTTCATCGTTCGGGGAGCTTTTAATGGAGAAGTAGATGCATCTCAAAAATGCAGAGAGAATAATAGATTTTTTATTTTTTTAAGTTATCTACATTCTGTGCTTAATATCACTTGATGTTTAGTTATCAATAGGTTTTGGTTTAATAAACATTTTAAGGAGAATGACATCTGTGACATTAGTTATGATATTATAAAACATTTAATTATATGAAAAATTATCATCTTCACTATCAAAAAGCTCAAAATTATATTGATTTAGCTAATTTTAAGTTAACTTTGTGTGCTTTTGTCCCATAAGTAGAATATCACTTACTTATTTAGCAAAGTCAAGATTCTTTTGAGACTCTTTTTAATCTTATGCTTTTTATGGCTTTTTTCAATATATAGACAATATTTTAATGAAGTTTATAATTTAATATCTTACAAACTATTCTGGGTATAGAATTCTTTGTATTAAATTTGTTTTGGACATCAATAAAACATAACGATGGTCTGGCTGAAGGAATGTTAAAATTCTTGACAATCCTTATTGAGAAGAAAATAAATTGTGTTGTATCTAGAATAAAGTAAAATAGCTTTGATCAATTTGGAATTTTTATTTTCTATCCCACAAAGTGCATTCTTCTTTAATCAATTAAATTAAATTGAAACGAGTACTGTTTATTTTTAACAATTAAAAAATAAATGAATAATTTGTATAAAATAAATATAAATTATTTTATTGAAGGAGCCAATTTGATTTATTAATAATGAATTAATTACTAGCTTCTGATGCTTTAGAAATCTTTTATAGATGTAAAATTTGAATTGTTTTCATTGTTTTCTTACAACTTAGAATCAAAATCTGCTGAAGAATTCTTTATCTCATTTTTAGCATCTAACTTAAAAAAGTTTTTACTATTTTTATCTGACAATGGAAACATTTAATTAACAGTCTTTTTTAAAGTTGCATTTGCTTTTTCTTAAGTTAATATTTATATGGCATTTCTGCGTTGAGATTCTAAATTTTTAATAATATCAGAAGTTAATGTTGTTACAGAATTTTCTTAATCAGAAGTTAAGCTAATAGAATGCTATCTAATTCTTTTTAATTAATGTATCATGCCATCTATTTTTTCAGCTTCTGATAGATTATCTTTAATTTTCTATACTCCCTTTGGTTCATTTTTTTAAAAAGATAATGATTTATTTCTTCCTCCTCCTCCACTTTAGCTCTTATTTAAGTTTAGCTAATAGAGTTGCTATGCTTTGCTAATTTAATTATTTAAATTAGAAAATTCTTCTTATTCCTATAATTAAGAGGTGTTTTCTTGTAATTTGTAAGTAGCACCTTCCAAAATATCAGCTAGCTTTTTAATTAACCTAAATGCTAAAAGAGAGTCATTTTATACGCCCTTATTTTCAAAGCATTCTAAGATAATACCAATATTTTAACATAAATCTTCGATTTAAAGAGGAGGAAAAGATTCATCAAATGTTTCTCCTTCATAGCAAATACAATTTTTGATGCGTTTTAAATTCTACTCTCTTTAAGTTTATTCTCTAATAACTTTGATAGATATAAGTTTTTTCATTAAAAAAACTGTTGAAATGCATAAATCAGAATTATTTTATGACTAAGCTTCATTCATAGCAAAACTATAAACTAAAGCATCTTCTAATCTAAAAAACAAAAAATTAAAAATTAAACCAACAAAAAAATGTATCAATCTTACATATCTAGCATTGTGTCATATTAAAATTGCCCAATTTCTTAAATTATTTCTTCAACATACTATGGCTCCACTTCAGTATAAAATTTACAAAATATTAAGATAATAAATGAAATGTCTTATTCCTTTTTAGCTCCTTTTTAACTACTAAATAAGAAAGAAAGTCTTGATAAAAGAAGTGAAAGATCATTTAAGTTCCAATTTAACTATCCTGTCTTTTCTCCCTTTAAATTTATTTTATTAAATTTAATATTTTCATAAAATGTTAATATTATTTTTTAAGTTTATAAATATCTTAAAAAATTAATCAATTTATTACCCTTATGGTTTTTAATGATAAAAGTTATCTACAAGCTTAAATTCTTATATTGACATCATTTAATTCTAATAATTTTAAGAGGATCCCTTTTCTCTGCTTTTAATCCAATAACTCTCTTACTTCTTTTTTAATTTACTTTGTTATCGAGTTTGCATCTTTAATAGGTTTTATAGCCTTTCTTGATATCTTAAAGTCGTTATTTCCTTTCTAATAAAAAAAATTGAAGAGATCTAATATATCGTAAACAGCACTCATGACAACTGGATTATTAACTTATATTTCATAATATTCTTCTTCAGAATTATCTTGTAAGTCTTAATTGTAATGCTTAAAGAATATTTCATGAGGTAAATGAAGTTAGCCAAGTTAAATCAATTCTTCAAATGGCTTATTATCTAAATCCAAATACTAAAGCAAATTTGTGCAATTTTAAATGTGGGATAAGAATTTTTTGAGACTGTCCACTTGCTAGAACATATGGTATCTTTTAAAAATTATAGTAAAATATCATCACTTCAAATGTTAAATTATATTCCAATAATTACTTAAAATAATATTGGATGAATTTACAGCAAGCAGATAATACTAAAGGATCCAGCATAGGCATCGAGTAGACTTTTTAGAATTTTTTTTATAATTTTTAAATACTCGACTACTCTTTTTATTAACCCTTAATTTTCTATCCAACCTATTATAAATAAATTAATTGAATAGTTAAATAAAGTTTAGATATGTGATTTTTAAAATCAATAACATGGCATATCAATTATTTTTTTATATAATTACTTTATTGTAACTTCTCATTAATTTATGTTTTAAACTTTTATATTAAAAGCACTAAAAAGAATACCTATATTATTTCATTTCCTCAATTTTTTTATTGAGGTTCAGTATAATTAATGAGAAGTACAGTATATGATTGAAATGATAGAATTTTTAAATATAATAAATTAATAAATATATTACAGGCTATTTTTAATAATATTAACCTTAGAAAGAACCAGCTGTTCTAATTAGTTGGGCAAAGTGTTTCATTATGGTGACTTTTTTATTTTTTTCTAAGATTTTAGAATCATCTTTTACTGCATTTACAAGCTAATCCATGCTTTCTTAAAATTTAGTGGTTTGGAAGGAATCGTATTCGCTTCCTATTTACCATTCAATATGCTTGATTGTGAAGAAGGTATATTTTTCAATTTCATCTTAAGGCAATTTTACTATACTGAGAGTTTCTTTTTCTTCTTGCATATTTATTAAAGAAGCTATTTGGATTTTTGAAAGCGATTATTCGTAATTAATTTTAGAGCTACTGTATGGTTCAAACAGCTATTCTTCAATTACAATATTAAATTTTTCAATTAAAGAAAGGAGTGTAATCTAAAACTAGTAGTATGTAATGAATTACTCTCCTTAATAAACAAGCTTCAAAAATTATAAATTGACTTCATTCAAAAAATTATAATACATTTTTAAAAAATAATTCTTATCAGTATCGTCTTAAATAAATTTGCTTATGAGGTGCTTATTACTCATGCAGATATCAATTAGCCTTTTAATTTAAAATATAATACTTTTAAAGTGTACTTGAAATTAATTTTTATGTTTTACTGTAGGATTTAGTGTGCTTTATGAAAGTTTTTAGAAAATTTAAGTTACTAAGTATTATTTTACAAAAGGTTTCCTTTTTAATCATTTTAATTTTGATCATCTCTTTCATCTTAGTCTTCATCATCATTATCGTTATAGCATAATTTTTTGTTCCCAATAAAATCGGTAATCTTTATTGTATTTATTTATTTATTAATTAATTTTTGTTTATTAATTAATCAATGTATTTTTGCTATGAATTAATATTTAAAAACGTTCAAGAAACTAAAATAATAAAAATTCCTACCTAACAAATCCATTTGTGCATCAAAGGAAATATTTCTTCATCAACAATAAACAAATTTGCAATATTTGGAACTTCTAAAAATGATATAACACCACTAACTTAAATGTCTGAGATCATAAACCAGTTTTCAATTTTGATATTTTAGATAATTATTTCTAAAATCGATTTTTCAACTAAGTCTTTAAGCTCATTTCCTTTAGATAATATATTTTTCAAGATAGTGATGCATCTGTATCCAAGTGTTTAAACTCTCTAATCTCTAGGATAGTCAATACATGAAAGTTATGTAAGTGACATCAGAATAATTTTCTGCACTTATTTGCTGTTTTCAATAATGAGAAGACAATTCTGTAAAAAGTATTCTATTTTTTAATCCTAAAATAATTTAAATTGCTGTTTTTAATATTTTTATCTTTGATGAAAAGGATTCATATTAAAATCATATTTTATGTCTAAATATTTACTAACACTATAAGTTCATCATTGCTTCCAAATTCAGTAAACCAAATATGGTTATCTTTTCCTAGAATTTCTAAGCACAAATTACTTAAGTCAGTTCCATAAGAGGGTGCTCTTGTACCTCCTGTTAAACATAACTCACTGTATCTGATTAAACTATCTAAATATTAGTATTTTCTTTCAAACCCTCTTATATTTTTAGACAAGTTCTAAATTTTAATAGTCTCATTAACTTTTTTAACGAAAATATTTTAAGCGCCTTTATACAATTTATTCATTTTTCTCTCTGAAATTTAAAATTTGTTTGACGTTTAATGTCTATCTTTTGACTAAAATAATAACAAAATTTATTAAATAAATCAAATATTTTTAAATCAAAAATTTTGTTTGATTAATATTTAATGCATATGAACAAAACGAATCTTTTATTACATTTTATTTATAAATCAAATTTAAGAGTTGATAGAATTAAACTATTTTTAACAACTTAACAAGTAAAAGAAACAAAATAAACATTTTAATTCTTTTTAATTCAATGCAACAAATTCAATAACAAAATATTTTAGTTTTAACAAAATAGTTTTTATAAATTTAATACAAAGCTTGGCAATTTATGGATGAATATATTGTGTTTTAAGGAAAATTGTATTTATATAATTTATATAATATTTATAATTTTTGTAAATAGTTTATTTATTAATCTAAGTGCTTTTAAATCATTTTAGGTTATATTTATATTAAAATGAGTTTTCAAATTTTGTTTACTTTATTATAAAGATTAACTGAGTTAGTGTTTAAATTATTATTAGAATTACTACCAATATTATTTAGATTTAGGTTAATTATTTATTTTTATTTTTAAACTGTTTACTATACTCCATTATTTTGGTTTAGCACTGATCTTGAAGAGGGCCTTTGAATTGGCAATTGTTAAGCTTATTGCTGTGTCTGGTTATTTTATTAATTGTTTTGTAAAGCTATTTCATTTCTCTTGATTTGCTACTTTTGCAAATTGGGGAAAATTTGGGATGAAATTTGTAATTGTTACTGAGGATTTATTTATAATTATTGATATTATGGTGCTAGTTATTACATAAGAACACCTTACTAAGTAGTGTTCAGCTAGTCTTTTTCTTAATGAGAAATAGAAAAATTTTTTTGATTTCGAGTTATTTTTTTGATATTATTTCGACTCCCACTTTAATTTTAATTTTCATTAAAAAATGAATCCTTAAAGGTGGAGTTTTAAAACTAAATTTAGTTCATATTCTATTGATTAGTTGTAGCCATAGGAGTAAACGATCTTTTTTTTAATTAATTTTTGAGGAGAGTATTTGTCAAAGAATTTTATTAAGAACTACTTGCATTATTTGTTGTTGTTTGGCATTGAATATTTAGCTTCTTTTAAATTTATTATTAATTTAACTAATTAGAATTACTATTTTAATATGAGTTAAAACGACCTCTATGGATATTATTCTATGTTTACAAAAAGTATTAACTTGAAGGCATATTTTATAATGTTTAATTGCTATTAATTGTCAAAGTTAATTGTGGATGCATTAAAAAATTATTTTAATTAGTACTGTTGCTGCTTGAATTTTTATTAGCAGATTATATTCTTTTATGGTTTTTCTAAAATTACTTAGAATTTATGCTTCTTATGTAATTCAAAGCATTTTCTTAGTTTGTTATTTTGTAAGTGCTGCTCTAATTAGTAGAGAGCAGTTGTTAATCTTATTCTGTTTTTATTGGCTAACCATCACTTTCATCGAAATTTATTTTCAAAGAGGAATCTGATTCATTTCCCTCTGTCTTACATATCACTTTGCCATAGTCAATTTGCTGAATATCTCCTTTTTTAAGAATTTCTTACTAATCTTCATTTTAATTAGATGAATCTAATAAATTAATAGAATTTAATTCTTATCCTTAAGACTGCTTTTTTTATTCAATAGATATTTATTTATTTTTCTCTTAAGATTGCTTCATCGTTTGTGTATTCAAGAAAGAACTTATTTCGAGTTTTGATGGGACTTCTATAATGCTATCTAATTCTTTTTATGCGGGAGATTTAGATTTACTTTTTTTCTTCTTCTAAGCAGATTGATTTCTTTTTTGTTATTAAGTTGTGTAAACTGAATTTTGAGGTATTGCCTGTGCTGATGACGGAGTATTTGCCATTATATTTTATTGTTAATTAGCTATTTTAGAACTATTCGCAGAAGATTATGAAGAAGATGAAGCTTGTTATTGCTATTATTGCTACTAAAGTTATTGCTAATTATTAAGATTTATATTTCTTTTCTTTTCAAAATCTGATATCTTTTTATTGATAATTTACTTTTCAATATTCAGTTAAACCTAATCTTCTTAATAAGATTTAAAATTCAATTATTTTTTTATTTAATGTTGCTGCTGCTAAGTTATGTTTAAAATTTATTATTCCTGCTTATTTCTGCTTTGCTAAGCTTATTGACTAAATGCATTTTTTTGTACTTGTTACTTGCCTAACTCATCTTAAGAAGCATCTGTATATAATGGAATATTATTTAAATTCATAAACGATTCGTTATTAGCACTATAATCTTCATCTATTATATGGTTATTTTTATCTGTTGAAAATTAATTGTTGCTTGAACTGCTTGCGTGTGCACTAAACTGCCTAACCTTTCTCTAAATATGATTGAAGTTTGTAGTTTCATTATTAGCAGCATTAATTTTTCCATTTAAATATACTTTATTTTAATCCCCAAACAACTAAACGTTTTTAATCATAGAAATTTAATTTGCTTTCCTTGAGTCTCCAGAACCAATACGTATAGGGTTTTATTATGAAGGTGATATTCCAATAGGATTTGTATTATTACGTCTGATAGCTCTATTTTAAAAATCTGCTTATTTTTAATCATTTCCGTTTATTTTCTGTATATTTTTAGAAGTATTTTATTATTAAATCATGACTTATTATTTAACTCTGCTTATTTAATTCTAATACAATTTTTAGTTTAAAAAATTATTATGCTTCAAATTGTTTGCAAACTGTTAGCCGTTTTGTTGAAATTTCACAAGATCTTCAATAATATTTTATCTAACTTAATCAACTTCATAAGATTATTCTTCTTCGTTAAAATAGTCTTCTTTCATTTAATCATACTCATGATTCCTCTCTTCTGTAATAATTTGTTTAGAATTTTTGATATCGTTGATAGGTCTCTTAGCTTTACAATATTTTAAATATAATTAATTAATTTGTGATAGATAATAAAAAAACCAATAAAATTTGATAATTTTATTTATTCTCAAAGAGAGAGAGATAGATAGATACTGTTTTGAAACAAAAATTAAATAATAAAAGTAATAATTTACTTAATTAAATATTCCTAAATTCTCTAGTATTATTAGTGTTGTTTATATTATAAGATTAGTTCTCGTTTTTAATGAAGGGCGATTTTCCTAATACCTTTTCATTTTATTAATAGAACTTGATACCACTGTCTTGAATTATATGACCACTTTTATAATTGCTTGTCATATCAGAAGATTCTTCCTAAAAATCATCATAAGAGGGCTCAGTTTAGCATACTCGGCCACTTTGATTATAATTAATCTAACCCTAAACTTCATTGTTTTTGGTAGTTTACTGCTTATTCAGTCTATACTACTTTTAATGAGTCTAAACTTATGACATCATAATCATCATAGATGCTTATTTATTTGCATTAGTTTAAAAATCGCTATTTATTTGATGATAAAAGTTATTGCTATTTTATTTGATATTTGTAGCATTTAGTGCACTGTTTGTGCTTATTTTTTTCTTCTTTTGTGGCAAATGGTATGAATTAAGCTATTGCTAGTTTTCTATTTCATTGGTATTATTTTTTTAGTAAATCATATATGGAGAGTATTCATTATACCCAAGGTTTTCATTCTCGCCCTTATTGTTTATGCCATTATTTTGTTAAGAGTAAGATAAATTATTTTGAAAAATAACTTAGTTTATATTAGAGGAGCATGTTTAGGAGTTAGGAATAATGCTTTCAATGTTCCTACCTTCTTTGAAACAAAAACTCTCCTGGCTCTAATAATTACTACTATTCTTATTTGGCTTATCAAAAAACTGAGCTACCTATTACTATAAATTTTAGCAATCTTGCCCTTAAAAATTAAATCTTGGAGTGCATTTAGGAGTTTATTACTTGCTTTCCCTCTTACTACCATATTTAGAGTTTAACTTACTATCAGATTAGAAATCTCTGAAAATAACATACTTTGATATGTCTTATCCACTTGAAAAATTATCATTACAAAATAACTTATCTATGCTGTTATTTAACGTTTAAAACAAAGACTTATTTTGCCTTCTATTATGTTATTCTCCCTCATCCAACTTTTTTTCTTCCTTTCTACTGCTATCCAATTATATTTATTTGTCTTCAACTTAGATATCTATTTTTAAGTTATGATCTTATTAAGACTGACTTCTATTGAAGGTTTACTGGAAGCTTGGTGATTGCTATTGAGATTATCTCATCTCGTTCTATTGCCATGCAAACCCTTAGCTTTCAATGACTTTTTTTATACCTTCTTCTACTCCATTTCGTTTAAATGTTTGCATTTAATAATATTTTAAAATATAAAGTGATTATTATAACTAATAAGTATTATTATTAAGAGACTATTCTAATAAAAAGAAAGGATGATGATGATGATAATTTTTCTATCAAACAAATTATTTAATATTTTGATATATTTTTTTCTTCTTTACTTTTTTTTAATAAATTAATACTTACTGTTAACAGATAAACTCTTTCATACACAAAAGTAAAGTAAAAAAGCTGATCTTAAACCTTACATAGTAAATACTCATATAAATTAAAAGATAAAACTATAAAGTTGATTCATTTATTATTTTACTCATTTTATATAAAAAATATAAAATATCTAAAATACTTTTCAATTTATTCTCATAAAATAATTTAAACAAATTAAGTCTCATTAAGCATCTTTTTTATATGGAAATTAGTTCAATTATCTTTTTCAATCACAAAAAGGTCTAAATCAAATTGTCTTAAATTAAATACTATTGAGAAAATAAATCAACCTTTATTCTTCATTTCATTGTAAAAATTTAACTTTTTCTAAATCAATTTATCTGCCTTTTAAAAATATCAGTTATTCTTGCTACAAAAGATAGCTTTTCCAAGAAATTACAAAAATTATATTTTTCTTTATTAAAATTTTATTATGTTGAAAATTTTAAATAATAATTAGATTTATTTAGTTAGTTAGTTATTAAGTTTATTAGTGAGAAATTTTATTTTTTAGCAGAAGTTTTTCATTTTTAAAAAATAAATTCTATATATTTATTTTGAAAATTAAATAAATTTTATTAATTTATTTTGAAAATTAAATAAATATTTTTAGGTTTTATTGATTCTAAACAAAGATTATTACTTACCTTTTAATAATAGAATATATGTTTTTATTTAAATTTCAAGTTTTCAAAAAATTATACTTAATTTTCTTATTAATTTATTTATTGCACTTAAACAATTTTAAAAAAAATAAATTTAAAAGAAAAAATATTTTTTTTTATTTTATTTAAGTAATAAATTTTAAATGGGTAAATAACTAAATTAATTATTTTTTTATGTTAAGATAAGATTTATATAGTAGATGAAATCTAAAATCTTATTAGTTATTATTTTAAAATATAAATAAAATACAATTTAATTAAGAAGTAAAAAAATAAGTTTATTTTTCAAATAATAGATTATTCGCTTTCAAAAAATGGTATTTTTGTTTCAAAATTAAAGTTTTTAGATTTAAAATTTGCTATATCCTTTAAAGCCATATATAATTAAATATTGCTGGAATTTAATTATTCACTTCTCTTAGCTTCATTTATTTAAAAAGTTTTGATCATTTCAATCCTTAATAAATAATTAAAAATAAAGGTTAAGTTAAATTATTTTAAGAATTTTACAATTATTTATTTTGCATCATCAAATAAACTATTTTTTATTCCTCTGAAATGTTGGTATTACTTAATTATTAAAGAATATTTTAGTTCTACTCTTTAAGCTCTTATGATTATTCTCCCTAAAACAAATAATTAATTTAATAAATAAATGAATTATTCATTTAAAAATAAAACTACTTCTTGTTTCATTATTGATGAATGTAAAATGGTTGAATATTTGGTATTTATATATTGCTCCTTAACAACTTTTAACTCTATAAGTAATTTGTTGTTTTCTTTTTGTGTATTTTATAATTAATTCTTTAATAATTTATTTTATTTTTCTAAGAATTCAATTTGTTGGACAACATTCTAAGAAATTTAAAAAATATTTTAAATAAAATTTCATATCATATTTATAATTTACTTCAAGTTCTTATTAAGTATATTAAGTAAATTGAGTTATTTATTTTAGTAAGCAGCTTTGATTATTACCATCATCTTCTTGTTACTTATTAATAGCTTGCAGGCTTATAGGTAAAGAAGATGAATCTTGATAATTTAAGTTCCCAGAAGAGACATTTTATTCATCTTTATGCATCTTCAATTAATTTAAGTTTTAAATAATTTACTTAACCTGTTTAAAAGATTTAAATTATACTTTAATAAAAAATAATTTAAAAATTACCTATTTTTCAATTTGATGATGCTAAATCGATGAATTAGTTTACTCTTCTTGTGTGTCTAAATTGCATGACATAAAAACATTTTACTCTTTCCATAGAAGCTCTAATGAGTTATGCAAAGTTTCTTGCATCTGCAAAATCTTTACTGACATTTCTTCAATAAACTTCTTAAGAGAAGTATTATCATTTACCTAATTAAATTACAAGATATTTTTATATAAATTTTTAAATTATTTAGAAGATATTACCACTTAAGAAAGGGTAGAAAAAATTTATTAGGGGTCTAAAATTAAATCAGTAGATTGATATTTATTTGATATTATAATTTAATTTTATTTAAGTTCATCAGCATTAATATGTTCTTAGCTTTTTTTATTTCGAGAAGTATACGTAGTTTGAAGAGATTCATACTTGCTCTTCTCTTCTTAAAGTTATTGCTAAAGTATTTATATAGTCGCATGAAGCTATTATTCTTTTTGTAGAGATATTTGTTTTACTTTTTCAATTGATTATTTAAGTTCGTGATTGAATAAATTTTTAACTTAATATTTAATTAGAGCAATTTTAGTTAAATGCTGTTCTTTTAAAATTTAATTTTCTTTAATAAGAGCACTCAAATTCATTTGACTTGCATCTGAAATTATTTTTTATGCTCTTAACTAGCTATTTTCTTGAACTAACTACTTCACTTAAGTGTTTAAAGTTGCTTCTCTCTATTAAATCAAATTGAGATCATTAACCACATGAAGATTTTTACTTTCTAAAGCACTCATTTAGATTTATAAATTTTTAATAGCTTAATCTTTCTTGCTTAATTCAACAAGATGTTTTTAAAAGTTTTTTTCACTCTCTTAATAAATTTATTCTAATTTTTCTACTTTCTTTGTTTTTTCATCAACCTAGTTCTAAATGCTACTTAGTTCTATTAAATTTTATCAAAATAAACAAAAAAATAAGATTATTATTTAACTTAAATAAAGTAAAATGATCAAATGTGAATAGAATTGTTTGATTATCAAAATAAATTTATCTCAAAAGCTAATAAAATATTTTTTACTTTAACTAGAAGTAATTCTATAATTATCTAATTCTAGTTAGATACTATTGACCAATAAATCTTTTGATCTTATTTAATCTTCAAGTTCTCTAATTTATAATTCTAAATTGTTGCTGTGCATATCTATTTTCTTCGATTTTTTGGTTTCTTTTTTAAAAAAATTAAAAAAAATTAGATAAAAAAAATATGAAATAAATATTTTTACTTTCATTTTACTCATCTTCAAGTTGAGAAATAGTTTATTAATATTAAAGAATTTATTGATTCATTGAATTCATTTAATTTTTTTATAATAAAACTTCGTCAGCTAGTTTATTATTTTGTTCAATTACAAGATCTAAGCTTTATTTTAACTGCATATTTTAACTGTTTATCCTTTAAATTTAATTTAACAGATCCTAACTTCTTTAATCATTTTAATCTTAAAGAGTATTTGAAGCACTTGATATATTATCAACATTTAAATTACTTTAATATTTTTTCAATTATAACTCAAGTTTGAAAATTTGTTCTTTGTAATTAAATATTTAGCTTTCTAAATCTATTTATTCCTATACTTTTTTATTAAATTCTTCTTTTGACCTAGAAAGCTCTTACTGTAAACAAGCACTATCTTGAATAAGCTGATTCAATTAATTTTATTATTTTTCATACAGTTCCTAAACTTACATCTAAATATAAAACAATTTATATAATTAAAATTATAAAATGTAATTTAATTTATTTACAAGCTTTTTAATTTAAAGGTCTTTATTCTATAAAAGGTTATTTTTTTCATTAAGCTCAATCTCAATTTATTGCATTCTTAATTCATTGTTTCCAAATGATAAAGCCAAGGCTTTATTTTTTTCCTTTTTTCAAAATTTTAAAATTAAATTTTAAATAAGTAATTTACTAAATTATTCAAAAGTCTAAAAAGTCAGTGGTATTTTATCTTAAATTGATAAAAAATAGTAAATAAAATAAAAAACTGGCATAATATATTTTATTAACAACTAATAACAAAAATAATCTAAAATTTTGAAAAAAGATAAGCTCATTGTGAATTAGATTAATCAAATTTCTTAATTAATATTTTTATTAAGTAATTTTATATTTGGATTTTAGTAAATTTTAGATAATTTATAAAAACAGTTTAAAGTTTTAACTAAAGAAACTAAAACTGATCTAAAAATTAATTGAAAATTCAAACTTAAAAGTTGATAAATTTAATATACCAAAAGTAAACTTTATTAAATTAAAAATAAACTGTTACTTTTTCTTTTAATTTTTTTGTTGCTTAGTCGTAATTGTTCTGCAAAACTTGAAGACTTTGAGTTTTTTCAGATATCTGCTATTTTAAAGATTAATTTTACTGTATCAAGCCATTTACATTCTACTCAAGTAAATTAAATTTTGTATTGCTCTCTTCTTTTTCATTCTTAAGTTCTTATTGCTTTTAGTTTATTATCTTTTGTAAGTTAATTATGTTATTTTGTAGTATTAAGTTTTAGTTCTTTTCTATTTCCAGTTTTTTATCTTAATTTTTAAATTCAGCTTGCAGTTTTATCAATTCACTTGAAAAGTAATCATTTCCTTTAATTGTATCAGATTATTTTTCATTATCATTATCAGCAACAATCTAATTTTTAAATTAATTGATAAATTTTAAATCATTATTTCAAAATAATTAATTAACTTTTTGCTTTATTTGGTTTTCTAAAAGAAGGACTTTAGAGTTTGCCTAATTTAACTAAAATTATAATTCTCCAAACTCCTTTTTATTTTAGCTGTATACCTTGTTCTGTTATTCTGATTGCACTTTTAATTAGCTGTTATCAACCTACAACTGCTTGTACTTGACTTAAAGAACTTCTAATTCATTTTTTAATTTCTAAAAAAAGATTGTGTTTTTTTTTATTTAGTTCATAAATTAATTAAAATAAGTAACTTACTTATACTTACTGAGAATACTCTGCATTTATGTTTTAAATTGAGTAAAAATCTTATTCGAAATTTGTTTTATCTTTGATGTTATTCACACTTTATGATTTAAATAAATCTATTCTTTTTTCTAAATTTTTAATTGTTATTCTCTGTTCTTCTATCTTATTTTTATATTAAGAATTGTTTTTTTCTATTACTTAATCTAAATCCTTAAGCCTATCTTCGATTATTTATTTCTCTTTTATATAATTTTTTTAGAATTTTACAAGTTCCTCATTTTGAATTTATAGATCTTAAAGTGTTTTTAATTATGATTTTAATAAACTGTTTTCTTCAATCAATTATTACTCCTTGGAATTTTAAGAATTAATTATCTTGTTTAACTCTTCAATTTAAACTAACAAATCTATCATCTTTTTCAATAAAATTCATCATAAATAAAAATATAACTAAATTAAATAAATTACTTTTTTTTCATCCTCTTGATTTTAATTTTAGTTAGCTGATAGCATTGTATCAACTTTACTTTTTAGTTTAATTTTGTCTTCGAGTTCTAAATTTTAGAGCTATAGTTAATTTATTTTCTCATTCAACTCTTTAATTCTAATTTAATTTTGCTAATCTTAGCTTTCATATATTTAAAGTTGTAAAATCTATTTTTCTAAATTATTTATTTAATCTTATTATTGAATATATTTTTAGATTTCCTCATTTTTAGAGTTAGATCGAACTGTGTTACTATTATTATCAAGCTCTACTTACTTGTTTTATTTTTATTTTTTATTTCTTTTTACTTTTTCTGTATCTTCAGTACTTTCTATGCTCTAATTCGAACCCAAATTATTTTAAGTAGTTTTTATCTTTAATTCTAATTCTTAACAATGCTTTCTTAATATTTCGTTTCTACCTTATTCTAAATTTAACTGCTCCTCAATATTACTTTTACTCAATTTTTCTTAATTTTCTTATCTCACAATTTAATTTAGTTATTCTAAATCTCTGATTAGTGACCCTAAGTACTATTGTAATTATTTTACTTTAGTCTCTTTAGTTTATAAATCTGATTTTAATTATTAAATCTAAGCCTCTAAATTACTCTATTAATTCTACTCCAAGTACTATAAATTTCAATTAATTTTATTAAAAAATCAAAAATAGTTTCCTTAAAAAAAATTACTTAGTCTTTAAATTAAGATTTATATTAGAAGCTAGTGACTGATTCCTTTAGTTAGTTTATCTGTTCACTTAATATTTTATTCTCTAATTATAAATTTGAGTTTAAAATCTTTAGGGAATCAACTTCTTTTTTCTATTCATCTATTTGTACCTTATTAAAATACATTTACATTTAAACCATTCTTTTAAAAATTATATCTAAAATACCTTTAAATATTCTTTATGCTAATTATCAATTTCAATTTTAGAATCCTAAATTTTTTTATCCTAAGCGATTTAGTTGAGAACTGACTAATTATATCTTTTTATTATTAAAAGCATTTAAAAAAAATTAAATAAACAATAACCAAAATTACTAAGATATCCACATATTCTTCTCTGCTTCTGTGTCTGCACATTTAGTTTTCCAGTACTAGAGATTTAATTCACTTTCCTATAATTTTTATTTCAGCTAAATATTTTCATTCTATTATGAATATTGAATCTCTAATAAATTATTTTTTGCTTTAATCAGATCTTGATCTTTCACCTTAAGCTAATCACTCAATTTTGTTATTTAGTCAATCATTTATTAAGCTTGCTATTTTAAAAGAGGGACCTGCTTATTATCTTAAATATTTCTTAACAGTTCTTTTTGTTATTATTCCTCCTAAAGCTTTACTTTCAAACTAGAATTTTCATCTTTTAAGAATTTTAAATTTATTTATTATGTTTATTCTTAATTGTTATATTTTTATTATAATTGTGTTAGCTATTCTTATTATTTTAAAGACAATTCTTCTAATTCCCTAATTTGAATTTTATATTATAAATTCTACTTTTCAACTGATTGATACTGTTTAACTTGTTCTTCAAACACATCCTAAATTGATCTCCCTTAAGTATTTTAACCTGATAAAAAAAATTAACTATGATAAAATTTATTCTTTAATTACCTTTTAATGAGTATAACGTTTTCTATAAATTTATGTAGTCTTATTCTAATTTAAAATATTTCTATTTCAGTTCCTAAGATTCAAATCCTCTTTATTCTAAAAACTAAGATGTCTACTCTAGCTGATTGGCTAATAGTACAACTTTTGTTTAAAGCTAGTTGTATTTAATATCAATATATCTATAGTTCTGAATTTTATCTTCAAGCTATTTGATAGATATAGAGAGCTACTTATTTTCATAGAGAATATCATTAACAAATCTATCTTATTTAGAATTAGGAGAAATAAAATTTGAATGACTTTCCAATTAATAATTCTTAACATCTAAAGAAGTCGAACTTTAATTTCTATTTGTTGACTAAAGTAACTAATTCTACTTTTCTAGTGTGCGGACATGCTCATTTAGCTGTTCTATTTATTTTTTTGCAGATGAATAATTGGGCTCTTTGTACTTATGCACATAGCTACTATTATTATCGCTATTATTCTCTTCTAAAATTTTCTCTTTTATATTCTTAATCTCAAAATCCTTTTTAAAAATATTTTAAATGTTAAACACACTTCAAAACTCAATAATTTTATTAATTCAAATTCCATATGTTATATTTAATAAATCCAATATCTTTAGAAAATTTTTAATTCCTTTTCAAATAAAATTTACTGGTTTTTATTTTAATTCAAAAAAACATTTAAAAAAATAAACCTCAATGACTTTTTTACAATAAAAACATATCCAATTGAATTCTATTCTATTTAATAAAGTATTCTAAAAACAAAAATATTTAAATTTACTTTGATATTTGATTCAGTTTAAATAAGGAGAACTTGAGACTAATTATTAGATATTGTCAAAGCCTAATTATTACTAGATCTTTTTACTTAATTTTCAAAATATTTTTCATCTGATATAAAATCTGAATTAAAGCTATATTTATGCCCATGCTAATTAAATAGAAATGAATTAGACGAAGCGCTTGAACTTCTGTTAGCCATTTTATTTGGATATGCTTCATCTGTCTTATCTTTCTAACTCATTTAATATTCATAAGAAAGTGCAGTATCAAAATTTCTAATAAAATTAAGAAAATAAAATAGATATTGATATTTAAAGCTCAAATATTTAGTTTATAAAAACCATTTACCTGACTACTATCTCGCTTTAAGACCTTTCTTTTTTTTGTCCTTAATCTTGCTAATAGAAACTCATATTATAACCATTTAATTGGTTTTATTATGTCTAATTTTACTATTAATTATTACTAATCCCACTATAAAATTATTCTTTTTGACTTAGCCTCTCAATATTGCTACTATCTCTTGTACTTCCACAGAAATAGTTCATACCTATTTAAAAATTTTAATCTTTGGCTTTAGAAATTCTTGTTTATTCTTGCTAATTTGAATCTTTTTTTGATTTTGCTTAAATTTTTTTATTATATAATTTTATTATAAAAGAAAGCTATTCGTTAATAATGATCTTATCAAGATATTTAAATAGTTGTCTTACTGAATTTTTTCAAGATTTATTTCAGTAATTTATTCAATTTAAACATATATAAAACCTTAAATTATTTATATAAAACCAAATATATCTTTAATAATATTTTTATAAAACAAATACTATTTCATCAATAATTAAAAATTTTTTTTATTTTAAAAAAAGAAATTTATTAATAAAATAAATTATTTAAAAAAATCTATTGCTTGTGACTACCTAAATAATAATTAAATTTTTTTATAAAATTATGTTAAAAATGAGAAAATATTCTAATTATGAGAATCATTTGATTTAATTATTTTTGCTCTTATATGTATATTTAAAATATCTATTAAATTGTTTAAAAAATAGAAAAAATATGTAAAAAACATCTATCTCTTTTTAATAATTAGCTAATATTAACTTTTTTCAAAAATTGTGATTAGAATGAGAACTTTCTTCAGAATGATCTTTAAATTAATCTAGCTAGTTTTTATTTATTTCTTCAACATCTAAATCTTCATTATCTCTATCATTTAGTAGTTAATTTATGTTTTTAGTATTAGAAACTAAATTTTTATTGTTGTTTTCACTTTCAGCTTCCTAATTATGATTATTGCCACTTTTGTTTATGTTGTGGTGTTAACTATTCTGAAATCTTGAAGATATTGAACTTTTATCGAGCATATTTTCGTTTTAAATAGCAAGATAGTCTTTTTTCATTCTAATATCTTTAGGCATTTTAAACCATATTCCTCTATAAGTAATAAGTTTGAATATAGGTTTAATATACTTAGCAGCTAAAGCTATAGAAAAATCAAAGAAAATAAAATCTATAACAAAACCTACAAAAACAGAACCTATAAAATACCCTGTTGCACTTGAATTACTGTTTACCTAAATTAGCAACAAAACACCTGCTGCCTCTGCTACTAAAAATAATATACATACAGCTATAAAAGTAATTACTCTTGATTTTATTAGATCAGGCTACATAATCAAAATTTTAGGCTGCTAGCCAATGCTTTTACTTTCTTACTCTGATTTATTAAGTGAGCTATTAGAATGTAAATGGTTAGTATTATTTTGAATAGAAGAAAATGCTTCTGGTTCTTTATTTATGGATGCTTCCTTGTTGATTTATTTATATTTAGAATACTTAGCGGCAGAACTAATTTTAATTTCTTTATTATCTTATTTATTTTAATATAGCTTTTTTATTGCATCAGCTTCTTGTTAATTAGAGACAATGTGGTAAGTGTACAATGAAAGAGTGCCTTCCATCTTTTCATTTTATATTTCTAGCATGATATTTTCTTCAGACTCAGAATACTGAGCCCAAATTGAAAAAAGACCTACCAAATAATTAAATGGTATTGCTGCTAAAACACCATAAAGTGCATAGTTTGGTACAGCATCAATAGTAAAACTGTCTTCATATACTAAGTAAAGTAAACTTTCAATTAACATTTATGTAAATATAGTCAAAAAAGCTTATATAATTCTAAAGCGAACAGGTTTGAGGGGATAACGAACAAAGAATACAGAGAGAAGAGGAGTTAATCTTCTAAATGTTTTTTTGTCAATGTAATCAGGATCATTAGAGTCTTTTGTCCCTAACCAGCACATTAAAAAAGATAGCAGTACAAAAATGACCATCCATAGTCCACTGTTTGAAACTAGCTTCTGAATCAAAGCTATTAAACTCTCAGACTACAATGGTTAGAATAAATCGAAGTTCCTTGTAGCAAAGAATACTGTGTTTATTGTTGGGCAGCTGCAATAAATATGATAATAAGTTTATTATATATATACACAAGTAGAATTAGTCCATATATTTTATGTTGTATCAAAAGAGAAGCAAGAAAATGGATTTTCAATTAATAAGATAGTTTGATCGTCAATTTAATTCCTAATTCTTGGAAGCATATACAGAATATATGTAGTATTATCATTTTTGTTAATATATTTTTAATTTAAATTAGACTACACTTCAATAAAGTGGGTTTCTATATTAGTAAGATTACCTTACATATTCGATGCTTAACTTTATCTAGGGTTCATTTACCATCTATGAATCTGCAATTAAACTTACTATACTGATGATGCTTTTATAATGCTTTTTGGAATCGTTACTTCGGTTTCTATGACATCATTTTAAATAATACCAGTCAAATTGAAAATCTTGTTACCATCTTAAATAACCTAGAGGCTTCTTCTGGTGGAACTATTAATTAATTAAATTTTATATGATCTAAAAAGATATTAAATTAAAAATACTTGTTTTATGTAGCTAGATTCCATTATGATGATGCAATAAGTTTTGTTGGGCTAGTTATATTTGCTACTTAGAATGTAACTAGATAGCAGTACAAATTTTATTAATAATTAACTGATAAGAATGGCTAATTTTAGTTAAGAGCATTTATCCTCTTGTTGTTTAGTGTTTGAAAACTTTAATAAACTGAATTAAATAATTATGTTTATTGAGAATTGCTTCCACTTAGAACAAGTTATTCTTCAGCAATCTAACCAATGATTTGAATGTAAGATTAATAGTTGTTAATTAAACTATCTGGGGTTATTTTATTTATATATTGAGAAAGAGAGTTTCCAACGTTAGTAAATATATTCTATCCAATATCTGTTAGCATGGTTGTATTTAAAGCGATTTAAATATACTATTACTCTGAAAAAGCCATACTTTACAACTAAGAATTTAAAATAGTACCAAGACTTTAAATTTGATTGAACTAATCTGTTGTGAATGAACAAAATCTACCACTATATCCTGTCTAGCAGTCACAAGATAAGCTATTCTATGTGCTATCATTACAAGTTCCCACAGCACATAATTATTGTTATCTGCCTTTAATTATTATAACAAATAAATAAATTTAGTTATTGACTTTACCAAAAGAAATATAAATTAATTTTAATTGAACTTAATTTACATTTGATTGGTATGCTGAATTTTTGATAGTAATAAATATTCAACTCTAAATTATTTAAAAACTGATTATTTTGTTGGAGCTACTATTAGTATTAAGCAATTATCGTAGAAATTAAAGTGTTAACCTAATAATCTGTTAACTAATTTAAATTAAAGGCTTTTCCAAATATTTAATCTAAAGGTCTTATAGGCACAGAGTTTGTTGTTACAGTTAAACTCTCAGTAGTGTTTAGTTAAATATTCTAATTCCATAAATATAACTAAATTGTATAAGTCTCACTGGCTTTCAAAAACGGAAAAATATATTTAACAGACAAATCTGTAGTGCTGCTTCCTGAGTCTAAAATTTATTTTATTTGTATAATATTATTTAATAATAAAAATTTGAATATTAAAAACAATTAAATAAGTCTAAATTAAAAAAAATTTATAAGAAATCAAATTCAAAAATAAAAATTGTTAAATCAAAAATTTTAATAAATATTAATTTTTTATTCATTTTAAAGACAAAATTTTATAATTTATGTTTAAATAATTTTATTTAAATAATGAAGGATACCAATATTCAATAATTTTCCGGTGCTTTAGCCAATAGATTAAATTTAATAGCTTATTTGCTAGGGTGTAGGCCAATATTTTGTTTAAATGGTTAAAGTGTCTGATAAATGGTTGATAATAAATTATTATTTTCCATTAACTAGGAGATTAATTGAAATAACAGGCTTTGAAAAAGTTTCTAGATTGATGAAAGACGTAGTTATTCCCATGGTGCTTTATGCTACAAATTTCAGAGTAATAAGCATATTATAATCTAAGTATATTTTCCTTACTATTATACTATTTGTATTTAACTATAGGCCTGATAAAAATGTTGGACTCTGATTTTCTATAGACCATGTCATACTTACTATTGGATAAACAGAAGAAGTAACTGCAGTTATTTTATAATCTTAGTTGATTCCAATTTCGTTACTGCCCTGCAAAGGTGGATCATAGATAAAACTTACTTTTGGATTTTAAAATTTATCACAAGTCTTTGTCTCTTCATTTTAAAAAGTTCCATCTGGACATGCTTAAACACAATCATCATTGTACTGATAATATGGAGAAATGCACTTATCACAATTTAACATGCATACAATACATTTATTTGAATTTTGAGGGTCTTATTTGTATCCATTTTTACATTAAAGTACACATTTAAGCTAGTTATTACCTAAATCAATTCTTAAAAATTATAATCTTAATTAGTATTTGAAGTATTAATTAATTAATTTATTTATTTATTTACTGCTTATAACCAATTTAACATGATGTACAAAAATTTGGACCGCCATCGCTGCATGCCAAACACGAAAAATGGCAAATTGAACAAGTAATTTAACTTGTAATAGGATCTTTAGATGAATAAGTACCTTGATCACACTTATCAAAGCACATATTATTGTTTATTAGCTGGCCTGGGTCACACTAAGCTATTTATTTATTTTAAAACAATTCTTAAACATAATTTATAAAATATAAATTACTAACACAATTTTGACCATTTATGAATGAGTTAGAAGGACACGATTAAACACAAAATCCTAAGCCACTTGTACTATCATTGAAGTAATTATTTGGGCACTTTTACAGGCATTATTCTTGGTAAGCATACATTCCTTACGGACACTAAATACAAGTACCAGTAAGTTATGAATTACTCAAATAATTTGTTTGACAAGTAATACATTATTTCGAACATAAGTAAGTGCAAACGTCCTAAGTTGTTGGTGATCCTCCTAAAATTTAAAAAATGTTAAATAAAACATTTTAAATTAGAAATAAGCAATTATTATTAACTATTCTTTTTAAAAATAAATTATATAAATACCTATGCAAGAATATCCATTCTCAATTTAACAATTAGAATCACATCCAGCAGTAGGAGTAGGACTAGGGCCAACATCACACTACTCTGTTCCTCCTTGTTGAGGTCCAACTCTAAAACCATCACCACACGTTGTTAAACATTTAGATTTGTAATAAATCAAATTTAAAAGCTAGTTGTAATTCCCCTAACTTTGATCATAGAAGCTGCATATCCATTTGGTAGGATCAGGATCATTAGCTATGCAGCATTTCCAACCTGGTTCTATTTAGCAAGTACTACTGCATCCATCATTGTTTAGATTGTTACCATCATCGCACTATTCTGTTTCTTGCGTTAATATACCATCTCCACATTTTGGTTGAATGCATTAATAGCTACCAGCCTTGTAATAATTTGTACTACAAGTAAGACAGTTATAAGAACTAGGCCCAAAACAAGTTGCACAGCTTTGGTCACATTCTTGAATTTTTAAATATTAGAAAATGATATAAATATTAAAAATTAAATAAAGGTTTATTTAAGATTTTATTTATCTAAATTTGTTTTAATTTTTGAACTTAAAAAAATTACTAAGACATTCAAGCAAGATTTAATCTGCATAATACCCATCTTAACATACATTAACACATTCATTAGCTCCAATAGCATTTAATTGTTTATAAGTATCTGAAGAGCATCTATCACAACCAGGATTAGTGGTACAAGAAACACATTTATTTGAACAAGGTTAGCATTATTTTTAAGTATTGGATTATTAGTAGTAAAATCCATCATTGCAGCTCTGAACACAAAAAAATGTAGCTTGATTACTCTAATTACTACTGTAATTTGGTTAGCAAGCTATACAATTTTATGAGGCATTCTAGCATCCATTACATTAAGGATCACACTCTTTTTGAATAAAATATTCACAAATTATAGTTAACTAATATTTGTATTTCAATATATATTTACATTCGAAGATGCTAACTTAATTTGGTTAAGAATCTGAAATCGGATATAAGTTATCTTATTGAGGAAATTAATTAGTTAATGTAGTAGTACAATTGTACTAACCTTACTAACTTGTTGAATTGTAAAAGTATTAAAGGTAGTAGGTACTTTATTAGCACTATACACATATAAAATAATTAATGCAGCGACTACAGCCTTGAGGACATTCTTTATTTAGATATAAATTATATAAGTTAAAGAAATAATAGCTTTTTTTATTTAATTTTTTTATAAATTTTACACTAACAAAGGCGGTTTTCATCTGGATATTAACCTGTTGGGCATTAAGATACGCATGATCTACAAAAAAATAAAGAAATAGTATTTTGGTTGAACTAAAAAAATTACTTTGTTGACTGGATGTAAACATAATTTTGCTAACAACTTTCACAAGTACCACCATCTACACATCTATAACACTAAGGGTTACATTAGTATAAAATATTATTTGCTTAGTTGAAATAATATCCAAAAGCGTTTTTATTTTGATTGCATGTAGCATAAATGCTAAATTAAGTTGTTATTGATGCATCTATTTTGGCATACTAACTTTAGCAGGCATTACAATTCTAACTTGAACCTAAGCAATAATTACCTAAAGCATCAAAGGAACAAGTTGAATCACAAGCTAAATATAAAAAAATTAAATAATAAATTAATTAGTGAAAATAAATTACAAATAGATGCCGAAACTGGATTAGTTACTACATTGCCATTGTAAGCCTAATATGAATAAGTAGTTATATATTTACTTGGCAGACAATTTAAATGTTGAATTATTTTAATCAATATATCTTTATTTATAATAGTCATAATTAATAACATGGTTAAATGCAATTAAAATTTTACATATAACTTTTAGCAAAGTTAGATTCATTTTTTAGTTTGTAATTATATATCTATTTTTAAGCTATCCTATTAGTATTCCAAATACTTATTTTTTAATAATTTAACTTTTCTATCTTATGATAAGGCTTAGTGCTAGCTTGCTTGCTTTGATTTTTTTTCTTACTTACTTACTTATTATGATATTCTTCTACTCTTTAATAGAAATTTGAGAATAATAAAGATAATCTTTTTCTTAAATATTAATCAAGAATTAAGAGCCTTGTTTTTAAAAACCGAATAATTTATTTATTTAATATTAGTATCTAAGTTTGATATAATAAGTCAATAAATAAATTGATTATTACTAACTGGTCATTATAAGATTGAATATTTTTAAATATTAAGAAAACATTTCTTTTTGGAGATATTCTCAATATAATCATCATATTTTACTTACATGAAAATAATTGTTTCTTTTAATGAGAGAATGAAATACTTAAATAAATTTTATAATAGTAAATATTAATAACTTTTTTTATTTCTTTGTAAACTTTTCTTTTTGTTTTAGCTTTAAAACCAAAATCTGAAATATATTAAGAAATAAAATTGAGTATTTAATAATGATTAATGCAGCTAAATTAAAATCAAATTTATTAAACTTAAAATATAATTTCTTATTTGTAAAACTAATTTGCAATATTTTAATATGTTTTAAAATCATACTTTATTAGATTTTTTTTTTAAATTAAAATTAAAAAAAATAAATATTACAAAAATATACTAATTAAGTTGTTATTTATGCGAAACTTCTTTTTTACATAAAACTTTTGATTAAGAAATTCAATATTTTTAATTTGTAAAAGAAATATTAGTTTTTTGAGTGTTCATCATATATTGATAATATTTCCCATACTTGAGTTTAATGAAATTATTTTTAGAAAGAGAAGATACTTAATTAAATTATATTCCATTAATATTTTGTTTGAATTTTTTAAAATTTATATTTTGCTTCTAGTTTTAGCTTTAAATAAAATCTTAAGATATTCATAATATGAAGTTAGTATTGTATTAATTATTTGTATAGAATATTGAATAAATATCAAATTTATTAACTTAAAATATTATTTCTGGTCTATTTAATTAATTAGCTAAATTTTAAATTGTTTTTAAAATCCATTTGATAAAATTAGATTTAATTTAAAATTTTTTTAAATAAATAGATTGACTATTAAGTTATTATTTATGCAAACTTTATATTTTACATAAAAGCTGGATAAAATAAATTTTTTTCAAAATTAATAATATTTTTAATGTTATTCTTAATAGATTTGATACCATAATTTAAAAATATTAGAGATTAGGTTAAATTATTTTTATTTAAAAAAAACTCAAAATATTTCATTTTGAATTAATAACAAATAATCCAAAATATAATGTTAAAAATTAATTTTAATTTATATAAAAATGGATGAAAAATACTATTTAAAATATACTTGTTATTAAAGATTAGAAGAATTTTGAAAAAAATAATCAACTACTTATTTAATATTAAATAATTAACAGATTTTTTGATATTAGAATTCATCTAACTGTAGTGTTTAAATTTTACTCTAATAAGATTAAAAAATTCATTCTGAAACAAATTAACTGAGCTTCTAACTGATTTTAAATATATTTATATTTTAAATTTATTATTATTTTATATATTAAATAGCAATAAAATTCACATTAAAACTTTTTCACATGATTTATATATTATTTGGTTTGTTTATTTACTTTGAACTAACAATTCTGTGTTTAAGTGATAATTATGAGTATGAAGATAATATTTATTATTTAAAAGCTAATATTCTTAACATATTTACAAAATATTTTGGATCTACTAAAAATTTTAATTATTTCTAATTTACATAAATTTATCCATTAAAATAGTTAAGAATATTTATAAAGATAACAAATATTTAGAATTGATTTAATGAGCTGTCAAACTGGTTTCAGTTTGAATATGATTTTTTTTTTTTGGCAATAAAATATTTTGAAAAATAAAAAATTACACAAGAATTATTTAGAATAAATTTTAACAATAAATTTAATAACTTTATTGTATTAAAAATTAAGATATAAATATACTCTTAATAATTTATCTAAATTTAGTACTCAAATTTGTAAACAATAATCACCAAAATTAGAAATTTTTATCAAATTAATCAATTTTTTTATTGCATTTTGATAATTCGCTGGTAAGATTACTTTAATTAGATTGCAAAATCTAAAAATAGAAAAAGCAATTATCCATTTTTTAACATTTACTTGAAATGATAAATTTTATTTTCTAGCTCAACTAGTTTTTTGTATCTTGAGTAAAACAAAAATAAAACATTTTTTAAATACTAAAAAAAATAACCGTATGAGAAAGTAAAATAAAAATGACACAAAAGAAAGAAATAAATGAATAAAAATTTTGCAATATTAAAAATAAATTAAACAATAAACTTAAATCCATCGAAAATTTAATAATGTTGTAAGTTTGATTTATTAGTTTTAAAAACCATAAAATTTACATAATGAAATTTGTTTTTTTATTCGTATGAATGTTTCTTTCATTGGTAAGCACTATTTAGTATTAATTTGTTTTTTTAATTAACAATTTTTTCTTTTTAGTACTGCAGTAAGCTAAAATTTGTTATTATTTTTACTGCTATTTTGTGAATTTAATTTTAAAGCTAATAAGATAATACTTTAATTTTAAATAATGGGTTATATACAGCATCCAACAGAATTCTGAGAAAAAATAAAATAATTTTTACTTGAATTTGCTGAATAAGCAACTGAAATAAATATTCAAATTTTTAATATTTAACAATAAATAGATCATTTTTAATCATATTCTAATTAGATATGAGGAAAAATAATAAATTAAATGTGTAATAGTTAAGCATTAATATAAGAGATGTATTGATATAATTTAATAATCATTTAAAGATTACAAATGTATGAGTCTAGTACAAGAAAAATTACTGAGGATTTTTAAAGCTTACCATCAAATCAACCAAAATAAACCATGTATTTAATTTGTAATTTAAGTCTTTCTTTCCAAGAGCTAGGAAAAACAATAAGAGTTTCATAGACTTTTTAATTACCTTAAATAATAAATAGATTTATAAAATATTTTAATCATAAACATAGATGTTTATTTAATAATCATTTATTTGCAGCACCTTAGTAACAAAAATAAAATTAGAATTATTTATTAGATTAAAAATATTCAGAAAATAAATATTTAAACATATGCAATTTTTGTATTATTTTGCTTTTTATTTATATCTTGTTGTACTATTCTTTCATTTAATTTATTTCCTAAAAATAACTTTTTTATATCAAATAGTACATTTTTTAAATCAAATGACAAATCTAAATATTCAAGCAAAATTTAAATGTATTAAAGCAATAAAATAAATTACTGATGGATAACATACTGCTTTATATTACTTCCTCTAAATTTAAGTTAATTTTTTTCTAACAAACTCTGAGGGGAAGAGTAAAATTTAATTATTCTGCCATTCAACCTCCTTTTATCGACCTAACAAAAGTAACAAAATAGTCAAATAAATGCAAAGCTTTTAATTAGATGAAAAAAATAAAATAAAATAAATAAATTTGATCTAATAAAACATTTAAATTGCTTATTAAATCGTTATGTAAGATTGGAAAAACGATCTTATTTGTTGAATATTTGTGATAAATTGCTTTTTTAAAACTAAAGAAATTATGAAAGTGTGATAAATCAGAGGTTCAGAAATATTTATTCCATCTCAAATATTTAAAAATCTTACTATTTGTATTTTTAATAGGAAGTTTTTAAGTATTTTAATATTAAAACATATTAATTACTCTAAAGAGTTGTAATTTTATCATTGGATTTGTGAGATAAACTTTAGATAATTGAATTATCATGATGAACTAATAATTTCATTCTTTTTTAAAGATTAATAGTAATTAAAATTTTTTTGACTGATGTTTTCTATGGCTTAGATTTAAATATTTATTTTTGTCTATTCTAAGATTTATACAATGAATTTATATAATTCATGTCTTTCGAGGAAAAATACTCTACTAAAAACTAACTTGAAGAGTTGAATTAGTAAGGCTCAAACATAAAATAGTTGAATGTAATAGATTTGATGAAAATACAATTTTGATTTCGTGCTTATTTCGAAATTGACGAAATCTAAAACTTTTGTTATGAGAGTATGATTAAACAAACATAAAAGGCTAACAAAGCTAATAATAATCAAATTTGCTCGCTGAAGGAAAATAGTATGAATTTTATTTAATATATATTTCAAAATCGAAAGAAAGGAATGAAAAAAATTAAGAGTAAAACAAAAAATTAAGACAAAATATCAAAATTTAATTAGATATAAAGAATAGTATATTTTTATAATCTCAAATTATTCTTGTATTTTTTTTTAATTTTTTTAAAGAATTAATGTTAAATGTCAAAGAATTACTTTTTTTCTTGAGTAGAGTGTGTATTTAGCAGTTGTTTGGTTACCATATTTTTTGTTTTATTGTAAATGCGCTTTAATTTACAATATTAATTTTACTTCTTTTAATGTAACAAAGGTTAATTGTAAAATATCGTTTATCATAATATATGTTAATATTTTAATTTGCTTTGGTGTGTGTAAAGATATAAAAGAAGAAAGAAAGAAAAAAATCTTAAACACACATACAATATATCATATATATTTATATACATATCAAACACAGTCAGGTGAAATTAAAAAAGCAAAAAACAAATAGAAAAAAATATAAACAAAAAAGAAAGAGACATAAATATATTAATTTCAATCAATAATACAGCTCTAAAAAAAATTAATCAATAAAGTAAAAAAATAATAGACTCTCAAATCAAAAAAAGAAAGTGATACTTTTGATATTAACCATTAAAGAAATAAAAAAACAAGATAAATAATTAATAAAATAATAATTAGGTAATTAGATTAAAAAAATAGAAACTAAGAGATATTAAATACTTAAAATACTTATCTTGCTCGAAGCTAAACTTTTATCACCAGAAATATTTAAAAATTTTCAAATTTAAGCATATTAATTCAACAAAAACAACAACAAAAAAAAATTTAAAAATCACGTTCGCCTAAACAGTAAATAAATTTAATTTTATTACATATTATTAAGGATTTTAGGACAGAATTAGAAAAATTGAGATTATCAAAATCAAAAACAAACAAAAAAGCAAACATTTAAAAAGTCTTAATAATCAACTGAAAAAAAAAACAAAGAATAAAGTAAGAAAAAGAAGAGAAAGAAGGAAGGAAGGAAGACGTATTGAAAAAATTAATAATCTATCTAATAATAAATAAAAAAAATAATTGAAAAAGAAAGAACTATAAAAATATTGATTGATATCAATAACGAGTATATTCTGTAATTTAATAATTCATTCAATTTTATTAATTAAATTAAGTAAAGTAAAGCTAACAAAACAATAAGAAAGCATAAAAACAAATTAATTAATTGATATTCATAATATCTATTAAATACACGATTAAATACCTTATCTAGAGAGAGATAATAATAATACATTTACCATATACAACAAAAAAACATATTCTTTAAATAACAATTTGAAATAATAAGTTAAAATAATTCTGATACTACAGTCGTTTTCTCTATTTGTATTCCATACAGAAAATGTTACCCTAGAATTATTTACTGCCTTCGCCTTAATCTAACTTATTATTAATCAATAATTAATAGATCCATAATGTTTAGATACTGCCTAAAGATATAGCCATCCACTAACAAACTGAAAGATCTATGACTGGCACACCCTACAATGCATTTGATTACATGAATGCCAATTTGGTTAATACTTAAAATCCAAACTCAACTACATTTAACAATCCCTATACTCAACAAAGCAACTTCAAAGGTTTATATCCATCCAATTATTGCGTAAACACATATCTAAATAATTTTAATAGCAATATAAGCAATAATAATTTCTTAACTAATTAAATTTATGCAAACTAATTAATCAATCACAGTGTTGGCATAGCTTAACCCTAAGGATTCCTTGACATGAATGAAAAGGCTTTTGGAGTAAATCAGAGTCTTGTTGGATTACCAAATCATTATAGCTAGCAATAGTTAGTTTAATTACATCCAAACAAACAGTAATTTGAATTCAAATAATCATAATCATCTGGGATATTTTAAATAGCACCAGATTAGTAAACTTCAAATTTATGCTCTGGTTACATAACACAATTTTAAATGAATCAACCCAGATCAATGCCAAACTATGATTCCATAAAAATGAATAAGCAGCTTATGGCTGAAACAGTTTTTAACTAAGGTGAGATTCAACAAAATGCTCAATAGTAATAATACCCTTCTAATTTGATTCACCAAAATTTCTTGTAATCTCAGAATACTTTTTCCCCAAATAGTCTATCAAACTATTATCCAGAACAATAAAGCAGCACTTTAAACTAATGCATAGAGCAAACTGCTGTGCCTCCTTTTATTTAGCCTTAATCTTAATGCAAAAATTTAAATATATTGCAAAGCAATCAAGATTCTCAATTTTTATTAAAATAGTAAAGCAACGATTTAAATTAACTAGCTCTAAATAATAATTAAATTTCTTAAAAAACCGCTAACTCTTAATAGTCATCATCCTATTAAGATGAATTAAATGAAATTTAAATGATTAATTACTAAGCGCGCTATCAAAGCGAGGTAAACCAATTCAGAAACAGATATATTAATCCTGCTGAACAATAGGAGTAAAGTAGAAAAAGAGCATTTTTATCTATAGAAAAAGTTAGAGACATCCAGAAGGATCAAGCAAAATTATCTAATTAAGAAAGTGCTTTCTCTTCTTAAATAATTATTAACTAAGACAAAATTTAGATATTTGAATCTAAGAAGCATCAAATAAAAAAATCAGAAGAAGAAGAAAAAGAAGAACTTTAATAAATTCAGCCTAAATAGCAAAAACAAAAAAAGTAGTCTTAGAATAAAAATCAAAATAAGTAATCTGTTGGTGGTAATTCTCAGAAACATATTTAGTAATCTACTTCCTAAAGTTCGATTTAAGCTTACAATATCAGTGAAAATAATAATAACTAGTGCTTGATTCAATAACAAGACAAGTGTAAATTTAATTAAGATAATTAAAATCAAAGCCAGAAAAAACTAAATTGCAATAGTACAAAAGATGATAATTTATAATTAACTTCATTATCATCCTCCTCTATTTCTTATAATAATTAAGACAGGTAATATGCATACACCTAAGAATAGAAATCAAATAAATCTTATACTCAGAGTAGCATCTCTAAAGAAAATGAGTAACGCAATCACGTCGAAGTATTTGTAGATAGCAGAAAGAGAAGTACATCAATAGATCATTCAGCATACCTACAACTTTATAATCTTTTGGCAGACAAGAAGGTAATTGACGAATTTACAGATTTAATTTAATACAGAGGGATTGAAAATATTGACGCGCAAAATTTAAATAATCAAATTTCAGATTTTAATAGTCCTTCATTTAAATCAGGAAAATACTAAGAAATAAAAAAATATAAATAACTTTTAAATCAAACATTCGTAGAAATTAAGTTTTCAAATCAACCTTTTTAAATTGTTCGTTACGATTCAAAAGAAGATTAGTAATTGAAGATAGAAGAAAGTGATGATAGTCTAGAATACAAATTAACTAATTTAACGAGCTTTAATAAAAAAACTGAAAAAGTTAATTAAATAGTGGAATCAATTGAAACTGCTATCCTCTCTAGAATTCCCTTACTTTTTAAAGAAGAAAAAATCCTAGAATCTCTTAGCTTAATACCTTCAGGGCAATACTAAGTTTACTCTAACTTATAAAACATGTGCATTTAATTTGTTAGAGGTGAAAAGCGCAAACGTTTTAAAGAGCGTAACAAAGATTCCTAATACATGTCTAGATTCCATAACTTAAATAGACTTTTCTTCTACTAAATTATGAGTATGTACTCATATGAAGCATTGTCATGCTTTTTGATAGATCCAAATATTTCAGAGTAACTAAGAAACATTATTAGCTGTATTAAAATACATTCAAAGCTCTAGCTAATAACTTAAAAATCAAAGCAATCAGATAACTCTACTAATAACTTACAGAACCCTCTCGCAAGCCAGACAACCAAAACAGAAAAAAGAAAAAGATCTTATTCATAAAAGGATAATTAAGAGTTAGAAGATAACCTAGACAATAGTGCAAAAAAAATTATGAAAATAGATACTACAGGAGATCATCATTCAGTACCTCCTGAAGCAGAGGGGAAAATTTCATTGAAGAAACAATAAAAAATTAGTGAAAAAAATGAATAAAAAAGCCAAATAATTACTAATTTTTATGAAGCTTATGGAGTTAGTTAATAGAATAACTAAAGTTTGAATTCTTCTTTACATTTTACGAGATAAGAGTCTCATTCTATCTCTACATAAGATAACTAAAGTAGAAAGAGGGCTTCTACAGCTGGTGAGTACTCAAAAACCATTTGCGAGTAGAACATTTTCAAAGATTCAGATTAAAAAATATCCAAACTAAGTCACTATCATTGTGAAAATAGCGAACTTATTTCTTAAACTCCTTCACCAGTAAACACCATCTTCAAATCTCTCAGTCAGAAAGGTGAAGCTAGCAAAACATCTACTTCAAACAATGAACTCGACGCAAATCAGGTCACAGCTAAAAAATACTCATCTTTATTGAGTCATTTAGATAACGTTAATTCTGAAGTAGAAGAAAATACTGGATAAACTTTAAGTAATGCTTATCAAAAAGAGCAGCAAGCAACTAAGTCTTAGAAATAGCAATTAAGATTTAAAAAAGTACAGAAAATAGAATCTTCATCTTTAAGTTGCTAATAAGAAGAAAATAGTAAGGAATCTGATGTAAGAGTGTAAGAAAAATATAACATAGACGAAGGCTGTGAAGTAGAAGTAGAAGAAGATGAAGAGGATGAAGATAAAGATTTTCCCATCAAAAACTTCAAGAAATACTACAGAATTTTGAAAGTAGAAAACTACACTCACTCACACTATAACACATTGTTTCTCAAGCTTAATGCATCTTCAATGGAATACCTTAAAAAGTAGCCTAAGGATGTAGACTCTCACTGGCTTGCTTATAAGATTGATCTCCGTGATCCATAGAGCATCCCACAAGAGAAAATAAAATTTGTAAATACTATGAAGTCTCTCTTCTACAAAATATTTGTTCACTTTAATAACTTCTCGTTCACTAATAAAGAAGATGAGCAAACCAAGATATTAAACAACATAGCGAATGACCCAAATCAGCCTATTCCTAAAGACTCTTAGGAATTTAAATAAATCCAACTTAGATTAGACTATTATCTTCGTGTTGTTTAAGGTATCTCAAAACTTAACTAAGGTATGTATTCCCACAAGTTCTGACACCAAATTATCCCTTTCTTAATATATATTTCTTCTGATACTCTTTTGATATTAATCAAATGAGCAACTAAAAAACTTTGCAAGTAGCTTTCTTTAGCATAACAAGTAAATAACCTTTTAAGATCTTTAAGAACAAAAGCACCAATGCATCTTTAAAAATTCTTTTTATTCTTATCTACCTTCTTAGATATTTCTAGGTTATCCTTCAAACTTTTTATCATCAATGATTCAATTAATCATCAAAAAGCTTATTCAAAATAAACGAATATATCTTTTGAGTTTGTTTCTTAACTCCAGTTAATTCTAATTGAATTTATCAATTGATACTTGTGATGATAATTAATTCTTAAAACGCAATCTAAGATGCAGACAGACACTCTTCAATCTGATTGATAATGTAAGTTTATTTCATTAAATGTTTTAAATCATGAAATTTATTAATTTTGTTTATTTCAATAGGAAAATAAATAAATAATTTTAACAGTAATCTTTTAAAGATTCTAAAATGAGACCAGCCATCATTTTAAAACATTGAAAACCTGAAATAGCAATTTAAAAGGTTATGCCAATAGTAGCATTCAAAAGAAAGTACTTAAAAGCCAATCAGAAGAAATAATTCTAACCCTTTCTTATATTCTTATAATTTCTTCAGGATCTTCTCTCCTGTTTTTTTTATGATATGACTCAAATCTTCTTCTTTTCTTATATATATATTTCTTATATAAAATAAATATAAACAAAATTATATAATAATATAAAATTATCTTTATCTTTCTTACTATTTAGTCAATTAATAATAACAAACAAACAAACAAATTAAAAATCCTTAGCCAAAATAGATCAATCCTATGTCTCTCTTCTTCTCTCTTTCTTAGAGAATAGCAGAAATATATCCATCCAACTTTCAGTCTTAAGGAAAACAATAGGATTCATTTCAGTAGACAGACAAAAAAGCTATATTATTCTCGAACGAGTTCTTTTCTTTCTTCTTTTCTTTCAAGAAAGCTCTTCTCTTCAAGATAATATTAGCAAATATACCATGACTTAAATTATCCAGCAGTAGATAAACGAATAAATATATGGTTATAATGATTATTACTTTTGCTTTGAATAAACTTTGAGAAACAATTAAAATAATTGATGACCCATCCTACTAAGTATAAATTTATATATACAGCTTAGCAAAAAGTTAAAAAGCAAGTCAAAGAAATAAATAGACTATGATTTCATTTAAAATGTAGACTAGACAACTTCAGATTTAGATTCCTTCTCATATCTTTATTATTCATTCATATATAAATATCATCATTTAAAAAAAGATTTAATTAAATATAAATATATATTGCATTAATGTTTTTAATCCATGTATCATTAAATAATAAAATTATGAATTAAGCATTATAATTTTTAATAATTATTCTTTATATTAAAAGGTTATTTTAAACTTATATCTATTTCTATGTCTTTCTATTTTGCTTTTTACTAAAAATAATCCATTTAAATTTAAAAAAAAGAAACTTGCTGTTAAATTAAACAAAGTCATTTGAATTTGTCAATAAATTTTGTGCAAAACAGATTTTAAAAAATAATAATAATGAAGCAAAATTGAAAAATGGAATTAAAAGAAAGCAATGTCGTGTGGGAGATTAAAAATTATTTATTATTCTCTTGATATTATCTATAGAGGGCTATTAAAAAAGAATTTACTCTTTTAAGTAAGAAAAGAGATTTAAAGTTTTATTGTTTATAGTAATAATACTTCTATTAATTCGATTAAAAAATTTATTATTAATTTAAAAATCTCTTTAGTTTTTGTTTATATGATAGTAAACATCCTATATAATTAAGTAAGCTTGTTTGTTTTTTCATGGGGAGAGTATTTTATGATGTTGAATAAAATCTAAAAACGTTTTATAAGATTTCCAACAAATTAATAGTTTATGATATTTATTTGAGAATAATTAATTATAATATATGTCATTAATAGATTGATTAATTTTGCTAGTTTGAAAAATAAAGAGGTAAATATCATTTTCAAAGTCATTAGTTTTATATTAAAGTCTAAAACTATAACCTTCACAAATAATTGAAAGTTATTTTTCACATTTATATAAAAGTATTCTAATTTTTAGTAAAATTTTTGTCTTTTACACCTTTTCAATCATCAAATTTCGCTAAGTTCTTGATTTAATTTTTTAAATGAATATTTAAAAAACCATTACATAATCAGATTTCTTAATTGTAAAAGCCATTGTGCTTCTTCTGCGCTAGCTTCTTTAACAATCAAACACAGCACTATTTATAATTATATTGATGATCTTCTACTCGCTTCATATTTTATATCAAATATGTCATTAACTCGAGGTAAATTTCTTAAGTATGAATATTATTTGTGTAATATTCTTTATAATTTATTCCTAATTGTAGTTTTTATTTCTTTATTTTTTAAGTCTTTGATTCTTTTTGTTATTATATTTATTAAATTAATATGATTAGATTGCTTCGTTTGCTTAGACGCATAATCAAAAAATATATCTTATTTTCTCTTCAACTCTCTATTATCTAGTTTTGTAAGTAAATGATATCCATAAATTTAGAAAAACTAAATGTATCCAACTGTATTAGAAAGCTAAGAATATTATTGTTGTATGTAAATATGTTACATAATCAAAGAAAAAATAAAATAAATAAATAATTAATTTTAAAAAATAAGTATTAACCATTTATAATAAATAATATATAAAAAGATATAGAAGGAAGTAAATTTTAAGATTAATTTGATTCTACTTCTCTCAAAATTTAATTATTCATCATATTTTTATAATTTGTTTTTGAAATTATCACTCGTTTTTTAATCAGGTGCCTTATCTAATTAATTAAAACCACAGAAAGAATAAATTAATTTATGTTTATAAAGGTTTAATAAAAAATTTACCACACTTAAATAACTAAATGAATTTTTTTCTTTATTGTCCCACAAATTTAATTTAACAATCTATCTCAAGAATCGCTTAAAAATAAAATTTATTCCAGAGTAAAATTTAATTAATTTATTTCTTTTTATAATTAAATATAAAAATATGTAATAAATAATTTAAAGAAAATAATTGCCTATGCATATTATGCTAAAAAAAACTTTTAGGATTGCTCAATAAATTAAATAATTAATAAATTATGAATAATTTAATAGTTTATATGTTCAAAAATACACTAATATGTTATGTTGATGTTAAACTTAGTTTTAGATTATTTTTACAATTTTTATTTTCTTTTTACCCTATAATTTTAAAACAATTTAATAAATTTTTATTGAATTAGAAATATTTTTAGCTAATTTAGATTAATTTCATATTTATCAATTATTGATTATTAAAAATTTAAAAGTATTTGATTAAAAATTTCAGTAAATTGAAAGCTAAAAAAAAATTTAAAATATTAATTTGTAAAAATATTTTTAAGAAAAAAATTCCTTTTTATAAATAATTTTAAATTAAAAATTAACTTATAATTTTTTTTTTTGATTTATTTAATAGCTTGATTAAACTCTAAATATCTTTCTTTGATATACTCACCTATTCTGAAATTTTTAATAAAAAATTATTTATTTTCTTTTTATACTTTGAAAATTAATTTTTATTATTGGCTAAATTTAAATTGGAAGAATTTATTTTTTTATTTTATTTTTTATTTTAAATATTTTAATTTTATTAAAATTGTTTTTTAATAATTAATAAAATTATTTATATTAATTGATTTTGTTAAATAATAGTTTGATTATTTTTTAAATAATATTTAGAAATATGCTCAAGTAGATAGAGACTTTGAAAAATAACCAAAAAAATCAATTTTGACCAGAGGTTTAATTATTAATTCAAAGCAATTTTGTTAAATTAATTTATTATGATTAATCAATTAAATATCTTTGTATTTTTTGATATATAAAATATTTATTATTCATTTTAGAAATCTTAAATAATAGAAATTAGAAATGGGAAAGAAGTTAACAGCATAGTAAAAGCTTTAAAAGCTTTAAGTAAGCTTAATATTATTTTGCTTAATATTTCAAGCATGCCTAAATAAATCAGAAATTTCATTTTTATCTTATAAAATATTTGATTAGGAAAAGAAAAAAAAGGATGCTGAAAGAAAAGAAATTTTGCTTGGCTTACAAAAAGGAGTCCAAGATTAAAAATAGATCATTGAAAAAATGACTTCTATAAAAGACATGGGCCTCTAAAATAAGATAGAAAAAAAACTTGAAAAAGAAAGAAAGCATAAAAAATCATTAGAGATGAAAAAGGAAACTGATGATTCTAAATTAAGTGAAGAAGAAGAAGTAGAAGGTAGTTATGCATTTTCAAATATAAAATTCATCATTAAAACTATGATTATTATAATGCTATTATTTTATTAAGCATTGTCTACTCACTTTTTAACTGATCATTATAAAATTGATTAGATTTTGAACCTGATGTTGAGAAAAAGTAGAAAGTAGAAGAGGATGATGCTTAAAATAAGTAAAAGTAAGCATAGTAGCCCTCAGTAAATATATTTGCTTAAGCAGAATATATAAATCCAAACAAAGATGAAGAAGAAGAAGAAAGATTATAAAAAGAATATGAATAAAAATTATAAAAGTAAAGGGAAATAGCTAATTCATAGATTTAGTTGGAAAACCAAGTTAAAAAACTTATTCCTGATCTCAATTTTGATACTTTTGATGGAGCAAAAACCTCAAAGAGAGTTTTAGAAGATCTTAGCACTACTGATGAAATGCGTAAAGAAAAGCAAAGGTTAGAAGAAGAATATTACAAAGTAAATAGCATTTTTACTTATTTTAGTAAATTTCATTTTAAAATCTACTTTTTATTCAAAAGTAGAATAAACTTTCCATTAAACTACCACAAAGTATTTTATGATTATTTAAGAAATGCCTTTGAATAAAGCAAAACAAAATAATCCAACTAATTTTATCATTTAAAAGAAGAAATTTTAAACTTAAATTGATTTTATAATTTAAATAATATTGAATGTAAATACATTTTTAGCATAATTTAACTTCATAAAAATTTGCAAATTCAATAAAAAGGATTAAAAAATTCTGTTTTTGGAATTGCATTTGCATTTAAAGAAAATCAAATTTAGTTAGATAATTTTAGCATTTAAAAATAATAACTTAAATGATCTTTGATATTTACAATAAAATTTGTCAAGATAATTTTTGATATTTATTATGAATTGACATATTTTTTCTTTTGAAAATCTTTTTATATGATTTTTATTATTAAATTAGGAACCTGAATATGATGATTTTATTGAAGACGAATTATTAAAGCCTATATTGTAAGGTCAAAAAAAAGTATTTAATACAATAAACAGAAGCGATGAATAAGACAAAGCAAGAAAAAAATTACCTATTTTCATGAGAGAAGCAGATATTTTAGATGCAGTAGAAAATAATTTAATTACTATCTTATGTGGTGAAACTGGAAGTGGTAAGAGTACATAAACTGTTTAGTTCCTTTATGAAGCAGGATATACTAATAAAGCAGGACCTAATCCTGGTATGATTGGTATTACTTAACCAAGAAGAATTGCAGCCATAGCTTTAGCTAAAAGAGTTTCAGATGAAATGAATATGACATTAGGTAAAGAGATCGTCTATCAAGTAAGACACGAACACTCTACTTTTAATGAGGATTCTGCAATCAAAGTAATGCATTTTTTTATCTTTTTAGAATATTTAAAATTTTTACTATAAAATTAGTTTATGACAGATGGTATATTAATGAATGAAATGTGTAGTGACTTTTTATTATCTAAGTACTCTGTAATTATGATTGATGAAGCTCACGAACGTAAAATTAATACTGATTTATTATTGGGATTACTATCTCGTCTTGTCAATATCAGAGCTAGACTTGCTCTAGAAGAAAGAAAGAATGCTCCTTAAGATTAAACTAAATTTAAATATTATCCTTTAAGAGTGATTATTATGTCAGCTACTTTACGTGTTGAAGATTTCACTTAAAATAAATACTTGTTGCCAAAGAAAATTAATGTAATAAACGTAGAAGCAAGATAATTCCCTGTAAATACTTATTTTTCTAAAAGAACCCCTAATGATTATCTATAAGCTGCGGTAAAAAAGTGTTGTTAAATTCATTCCGAATTACCTCCTGGTGATGTTTTAGTTTTCTTGACTGGTGAAAGAGAAATTAAAGAATTTTGTATTACTCTAGAACAACAATTGAACAAGAAAAAGAGGGAAATAGATCTGGGTAAACACGAATAAAAGGAATACACTGAAAAAGATTTCTTGCTTGATGATTCAGATGATGAAGATGGAAAAGAAAAAATGGATGAAGAACAAGATGAATAAGATGAAGTTTAAAAGAAGTTAGATGAGTTAGAAAATTAAGAATCTAAAAATTAAAATTCTATTTTTAGTTAAAAAAAGAAGTTACGTTTTGAAGAGGATTAGGATCATGAAAATTAAGAATTTTTAAAAGCAGCAGATGAAGAAGAAGAAAAAAACAGAGGAATTATTTAACACAATCCCATGGAATCTGAAAATTTAAAAGCTTAAAAGAAAACTTTTCTTCATTTTAAAATCCTTCCTTTGTTCTCAAAATTACCACTTTAAGAACAAGAAAAGATTTTTAAAAATAAGAGTCCTAATACTCGTCTTATTATAGCATCAACAAATGTTGCTGAAACATCTCTTACTATTCCAAATATTAAGTACGTAGTTGACTGTGGTAGAGAAAAGAAAAAAATTTACTCAACAAAAGCATCCATTTCAAAGCATGTAATTAAGTGGATTTCTCAAGCATCTTGTGATTAAAGATAAGGTAGAGCTGGTAGAACTGGTCCTGGTTATTGTTATAGACTATTTGCACCATCTGTTTATGCAAATATTTTTGAAAAGTTTTCTGATCCTGAAATACTTAGTATGCCATTAGAAAGTGTTATTTTACATCTCAAAGCCATTGGCATTTAAGATGTTATTAAATTCCCTTATCCTACTCCTCCAAGCCTCTTGAATATGAAGAGAGCTTTATAAAATCTTGTAAAAATAAAAGCTCTCAGAGATAAAAATATGGACGTCGACCAAGAAATCGAAGAAACTAACATAAATGTAAAGCTTGCTTTCTAACAAAAAACAATTTATTTATTTTTTTTAAAATTATTGATTTTTTAAAAAATTTTTATCCATTGAAATTTTAGGAAGATGACAGAATTGATAAAAGTGAAATCACTGAGTTAGGAAAAATTTTAGCATTCTTACCTATAAATCCAAGGTTTTCAAAAATGCTTCTTTAAGGCAGAGCAGGAGGTGTAACTACATATGCACTCATTTTAGTAACTGCTTTGACCATTGAAGAACTGTTTTGCAGAGGAGATTTCAGAATTGAAGAGAATCCTGCTGACAAATTAAAAGATGATTATTTAAAAGAAAATGATGAGTTGTATGCAAGTGATGAAGATTCAAAAATGAATGCTAAAGATATTTTAAAATAGAAGCTGAACATGATTTAAGAGCAAAAAGAGTTAAAGAAAAAGTTGGTTGAAAAACGTAGAGAAGAAATTGCCAGATTCAAAGAGTACTTCGAAAAGTTTATGATAGGAAAAAGTGACCTTTTCATTCACATGAACATAATTGGTGAATTTATTGAAAAAATATACAAGGATAACCCTTCAACTAGCAAGATTGAAGATTACATATATGAATATGCTAAAGAACGTCATTTACATCCTAAAGGAATGAAAGAAGTTTATTATAATCTCAATCAAATATCAGATATTTTAGAGAGCATTATTGATGACCCTGAAGAAAAAAAATAAATTTCTTAGGGTTTCTAACCTTATGTTAAGCCTAATGCCACTCAACAAAAACTATTATAAGAGATAGTCATAAGTTGCTTTATTGATTAATGTGCAAGAAAAGTCTTTTATTTGGATGAAGAAAATCGTAAAAAAGTAGCATATGAATGTTTGGAGACAACAGAAAGAGTGTTTATAAATTCTACATCATTTTTGATAAAAAATTAGCCAGATTTTATCGTATATACTGACATCATGGAAACCAAAAAGTATATAAATGTTTAATATTATTTAGAAACTCCGTATTATTACTATTCAATTCAAAAAGATTATGTACAACTAAGCTAAATATAAAAGAAAAATTCTTTTTAAAAAATCGGATATTTCTATTCAATAAATTAAATGCTTTTAAACATTAATTTTTGCTATTAAAATATTACAATGATATAATTTTAAATAATTTTTAAAAAGCAGTTTATTTAGTTTATATAAAATATTTTTTTACTTTTAAGAAATATTTTTAAGAGCTTGTTTTAAATTAAATAAAAAATCATCTATTAAATCATAAATTATATCTATTAAATATTTTAAAATGTAGGAAATATATGAACAATATTACAATAGTTGAAGATGTATCTTTGCTTTATAAATACGATTATAGAACTACAAATAGAAAATTGTAATATGTATATGAGCCTAAGCCATTTTATTCTAAGAAAAAAAATCAATTGGTTATTTTAGGTAAATCAACTTTTGGCAAAAGAAAATGGGATCTTCCTACATTTGAGGTAAATAGCAAATAAATTTGTATTTTTGATAATATATTATGAATGAATGCGTGAAAGAAAAAAAAATTTTTTTTGGAAGACTTTATTTATTAAAAATGATGTTAATGAAACATGAAAATAGATTATGTTATTTTCAAATTAAGATAACTATTATTGAATCTCTTAAAATGGTATTAGCCAACAAAAAAGTTTTTTTCAGAAATTTTAATAAAAATAATGAGTGGTTTTAATAATTTAATTTCCTTTTCTTATGGTTGCATCAAAATTAATTATTATTATATTTTACATTTATTTTTTACTTTCATCATTATTTAATAGAATTCGTTGATTTATTACGACACCAGTTTAAAAAAAAAGTAAACTGAACGAATTTCTTCGGAAAGATTTTTTATAAATACAATAAAATAAATCTGCATACATTTATATATTGATAAATGCTACTCATATCAACAACACTTCTCCTTTTATATTTTCCAATAAATTATAAAACTTGCTAATGCACAATAAAATTACAATAAATCTATCTATTTTTTTGTAGAAAAAGTCTTTTTACATTAAAGCTTTCTTTAGGAAAAATTACGTTTTTTTTTTATTTTTTGACCATTATCGCACATAATCTTTGAAAAAACAGATCAAAAAGTGAATAAAAAAAAACAAATATTAAACAATGTATTTAGTATTTAATTCATTTTAAATCTAGTTTACTCTTTAAAATAATATCTTTAAGAATTTATGAGTAAATTAAGAAAGATCCAAAAAGATTTTATTTTCTCTTATTAGAGTTTATAACTTACTCAAAGATAACTCTTAATTAATTGTTTTTTATGTGTAAATTAAATTTAAATTAGACAACATTTTAAGAAGAAAGTATTGAAAAATACTGTTGGTTTGCTAGATGTTTGCTTGAAGGTTAGGTCTTAGATTTCTTCAAAGCATGCAAGAGCCTCTATTAATTTGATCCTCAGATAATAAAATCATCTAATTTATAACCTAAAGTTTAAGCAATCGTTAATAAGCTTAAAAACAATCAAATTGATAATTCTCAAAAGCTAGTTAAAAAGTGGGAGTCAGATAAATCGTAAAATCTTTAATTAAATTTATTATTTTGTGATATTATTGTAATTTATAATAAAATAGTTTCTTACTTCCTGAAGTTGCTTTGTGGATAAAAGATTAATATAAAGCTAATATATAGAAGAAATGGCCTCCTACTTCTTGAAATAAGATTTTTTCATGTATATATTAATAAATGAAAACTAATTTTTCTAAACATTGTAATCTAACAAGATTAACTACTATTCGTTATAATTCAAATTCATGTTTATAAATTGTGATTGATTTATTGATTATCAAATCGGCATTAAAATTCATTCCTATTTTTATCCTTTTTTAATTCATTTTGTGGAGACGAACATATTTAAATATCTTAAAAGAATAAGTATATCTTATTGTAAATTTAATTAATAATGATGATATTTGCAGCTTAATATGCGATTTTTAAATATTTATGTAGCTATAATGAGTACTTTAACTTTACCGATAAATTTCTGAATAGAAACTTAAAAATTAAATAAGAAATAGTTCATTTTTTGGCTTCTTTGAAATTGAAAGAATTACAATAAATTAATAATTGCTGTTTTTCATAATGCTAAAGGTACTACACTAAATTAAAAAATGACATATGATGATGCAATTTATTTAAATTAATATTTTTACAGTTAAAAAAATAATTAGATATTATTTTTCTTCTTTAAATTTTAAAGAAAATGTTAAAATATCAAAAAAATATGAATTCAAAAATAATTTTGATTGTAAGAGTTAATATATTTCTAAAGTTTTAAATGAATGAATTTTATTTACAGTAAATTGTTAAAGAAATAAATATATATTAATGAGTGAGAACTTTCTTTTGTGCCATTTAGGATTTTACGTAATATTAAAAAAATCTTTATGAATATTTAATGAAATTGACTATTTCTTTTATAATTTAATTCCTAAATATAAATGAGTGAGCATATATTAATTTTTTTAAATTTTTAATAGGATATCAATTATTATTGATTAAATAGAGCAACAAACAATAGTAACTATAAAAAAAATACAGTACCTTGAAATTTTATGTGTGTAGTTACTTATTTGAGGGTAAATATGATGTGATCAAATTGAAGAATTTATTTATTTTTAGTTTAATTTTTTTTCAAAGACTCAATTAGACTAATAAACGAATTTAGTGGATGCCAGTATATTTGTTAAATTTAATATGCAAATCTAGTTGTTTACAAAACTTTCTATTGCGCATCACTGATATTAATGTGATAAATTCAAGTACAAATAAAGCTAAGATTTCATCTTATTATATTTGATTTTTATTAAATCAATTTCTAATAATACGAAAAAATATCTCAGATAAAAAATAAGGTGAAGAACTATAATTAATATATTTTCATCACTCCTATATGAGCAAACTCTAATTTGTATTAATTGCTGCACTTCTTCTTGTTGCAGTCTCTGCTAAAACCGCTTAGGAATGGAAGACACGTAACATTTATCAAATCATCACTGATAGGTAATAAACTTTTATACTTTTTTTATTTTGCGCACAAAAAAACGCCTTAATCATCTGTCTATCTGGATTACCATTCGCACTATGCTAGATAAATTCAGACTCCTAAACTGCAAAATATTCATGAGATACAGGATAAAACGAGATGATTATCGCTAATACAATAAAATTATTATAACATTTATCTCAATAATTTTATTTGAATATGTAGATTCGCTCTTGGTGATGGATCTAAGCCATACTGTGATTTAAATAAATAACCCTACTATTGTGGTGGTAACTTCAAGGGTATTGAGAACAATCTTGACTACATTCAAGGTAAATTTTTAATATCTTATTTCGTTAGGGGTATTTAATAAATAATACCTTGCTGCTATTTGATTTAAATTGAGAGATTAATAGGGAAATGTTATTTGGTAAATTAACAAATTAATTTGTATATGCTGTCTCTAATATCTATCTAGCTACGGCTATATGACTCCAATTAATGATTTATATTCAATATTTGTTTCCTTAACATTTATTTTTAATTAATTGGTCTTAATTTATATATAGGTATGGGTTTCAATGCTATTTGGATCTCTCCTGTTCCTGATAACTACCCCAACTAATTCCATGGTTATGCTGCCAAGAACATGACTGAAATAAACAGCCATTTTGGTGGTGCTGATGGTCTTAAATCTCTTATTGATGCATGCCACAAGAGAGGTAATCAGATATTCTTTTATCTAATAAATAAATATGGCCATTAAAATAGTCAAAAAACAAAAACTTACTTTGCTTAAAATATTTTTAATAGCAGAAAAAACTTAAAAATGTTTTTTCTCTTGCAATTACAATTGAAGAATTAATATTTTTTCTTAAATGAAAGAGTAATCTTTTTGTACTAAGTTTCTTTCGTCATTATGTTGGCAATTACAATTTAAAATAAATTAGTTCTATGAGTTGGCATAATTGAAAAATCTTCATATTATCAATAAAAAATAGATAAATTCATGAAAATTTTTCTTAAAGATAAAATCCAATCTAATTTAATGAAAGTTTTTTTCGATAATCAACATACAATTATACTAACAAATAAACTTTTTTTTCTAGAGGAAGACAAATTAAAAATGAAAAAAATTAAATATCTATCAGATTAATTTATCAATTTCTTAAGCAAAAAATAAATTTAAAAAAAAAGAATATATTTGAATCATTTTATTTTTCATTTTAATCAAAATTAATATTTTTTATTTTATCAAAAATAATCATTTATTAGTTTTTTAATATTATCATTAATTATTTTAATAATTAGATATCTGGGTTATGATTGATGTTGTTGCTAACCACATGGGTAACACCGATTAAAACTACTCTGAAAATATTCCCTTCAACTCTCCTGATCACTATCACTCTTACTGTATTATTTCTGATTCAGATTTCGCAACTAAGAATATGTACAACATTCAACACTGCAGACTTGCTGGGCTTGCCGACCTTAACTAAGAAAATTCTTATGTTAGCAACTATCTTGTTAACTGGATTAAGGATCTTGTTTAAACCTACAACGTTGATGGTATTAGAATAGGTAACATTTTTTAAATTACATACTTTAAATAAAAATAGTACTTTTATTGGAAGATTGAATTGTTAAAGAAATGAAAACTATATTTAACTAATCAATTAATAACATGGTAGAATATAAAAAAAAAGAATTATTGCATTATACAATTAAATATATGCTTGAATATCAGATTTATTATCTTAATTATCTATCATTATATATTAATTTTTTGAGTTTTTTTAATAAATTAATTCAAGATAAAAAGTTAAAAATAGAAAAGATAATTTGAGATAAATAATTTAATGGCAATCTTCTATCAAAATTAATAAAAAAAATAGTTTGAAAGAGTTAAAATTAAAAGTCAGATTAATTTTATCTATTCAAGTAAGCAAATTATTGTAAAGAGAAACAAATAATTACTTACAACTTAATTTTTTTAATTTTTAATAATTTAATATTTAGTAACTCAAATAATTAATTATAAATTACTCTAAACATAACAATCTTCCAATATAAACTAAATATAAATAAACTTGAAAAATTACTACTGATAATTTATTCAGTTATTTATTCGAAATTTATAATCTTGTTTGTACAAATAAATATTTATAAATTAATATTTATATAAATAGACACTGTCCCTGAAGTACACCCTGACTTCTGGAAATAATATACTACCTCTGCTGGTGTTTTTGCTACTGGTGAAGTTTTTGATGGTGATTTTGGATATGTTGCCAGCTACATTCCCTCTGTTGGCTCAGTCTTGAACTATCCTTGGTACTTTAACATGAGAGATATCTTCGTTAACCAAAAGGATATGTGGGGAGTTAGAACCTATTACTAAAATTGGGCTAATTAACACGCTGATCTTTCTATCCTTACTCCTTTCGTTGATAATCACGATAATCCTCGTTTCTTATCTGATCAAGTCTTCAATAATGGTAAAGACAGAAACACTCGTATTCAACTCTTAAAGGGATACACAACTTTCACTCTTACATCTATTGGTATTCCTATTCTTTACTACGGTACTGAATAATACTTCTCTGGTAATACTGATCCTTATGACCGTGAACCTTTGTGGAACAGCTTAAACACTAACTCTGATATGTAATATTTTAAGTTCAATTTAAATTAGTTTATTTATTTTTTTTTTTATATTTAATGAGGTACAAATATGTCCAATCTATTTTATATGCTAAGAACATCACTAATGCTGGATTATAAGGATAAACTGAAGCTTATTGTGACCAAGATTTATATGCTTTCTTCAGAGGTAAATTGTTCGTTGGTGTCACTTCTAAGTTTAATTAAGTTACAAGACAAATTGTTACTCATCCCTTCTCAAATGGTGAAGTTATTTGCAATATTTTCTATCCTACTTAAGATTGCCTTACAATTACTAATAACTCCTTCAACCTTGTTCTTATTGGTGGTGAAGCTAAGATCTTTGTTCCTAAATCTCTCCTCTAAAAATCAAGTTAATTTTTGAGATCTGCTTCTAGTTGAAATACTTATTTAAAAAAGCTATCTATTAAAAATTATAATTAAAAAGGTAATAAAAAACCTTCTTTTTTATATAATAAATAATAAAAATAAAAGTATCAAAATAATTCCTACTTATTCAGAATAAAGTATTATTCTATATATATATATTCTACTATTTTATTTGAATAAATAAAATGAAAATATTATTTTTTAACAAATTTAAAATTAAAAAAAATTTTCTTTAATAGAATACAAATTTTGATTGTATAATATCTTTATTTAAATTTTTATGTATTTTTTTAATTAATTTATGTAAAATGGATTTCACTTTTCAAAATAAAGGTTTAACAATCAAATTACTAAGAAGAGAGTTAAATACTGTTTAACTTAATTAAAATTACTTTTAAATTCATAAAAATTACAAAGACATCAAAGAACTTCTTCCTAATTTTAAAAATAAAGTATTATTATTTTAAGTGTATATTTACTTCTAATTTCTTTCAACAAAAAAATAAAAATATCATTTTTATCTTCACTCCAGTAAATTTAAGTTATTATAAATACCATTAAGATAAAAAGTTATAATCTTACAATATATACTAATTTTAAATTTTAAATGCAATTCCTTAATTAATTAGATTAAACTAAATAATATTTTCAAATTAAAGGATTCAATAATCAAATTACTAAGCAAGCTAAATTGTAATTAATTTAATTAAAATTACTTTTAAATTAATAAAAAAATAAAAGAAATAAAGAAAAACTTTTTACTTTTTATAATAAAGTATTCTTTTTTTGTAGATTTTCTACTATTTTATTTGAATATATAGATGAAAATTTTATTTTTCGTTCATTTTTTCAAATTTTAATTTTTAAAAAACATTTTTTAACACATAATAAGTAATTATTTTTTTATTTAATTTAATTAATAAAGATGTTATTTTAAGTGAGTTATGATCAAATAATATCTTAATTTAAATTACTTAGGTAATATTTTGAATTTACTAAACTAAGAATGTAAATAGGATATGAAAGAGTTTTGAACAATAAATTATTAACAATAAGTCAAACATTACTTTTAAATTTAAAAATACTTGTAAAGATAATATAATTTTAAATTATTAATCTTCATTTTTATTCTAATAATTAAAAAATAAACTAAAGACCAAATATTATTGAACATAATCTTATTGGAAATTGCATGAATTCTAAATTAAAAATATAAATTAACAAGGAAAATAACTAGTTAGAAATCATTATTACACTTTTGTGTTAGTTTTTATGTTAATTCTGAACATATAAATTTGGTTATTTACAAATAATGCAAGGAAATATCTTTTTATGAATTTTATCATTTATTAATTACTAAGTATTTCACTCTTACTAACTCACTCACTCACACTCTTATTTACTGATTTGCTTATCTACTTATTGTTGTATTCACTGCTTTTCATAAATTTCGTTGTATATTTTACGCCAGTTATCAACTTCTCTAGATTTTTGCTTAAAGCTTTCATTTAATTAATTATATTTTTCAGTTAACTCTACTTAATCTCCATATTCTTGTCTAAGTTTTTGTATTTATGATTTCAAGTTTATGCATTCATCTTGAGCACTTCTTAGCGATGCCATTATCTCTATTTTCTTATACTTATCCTTTAAGTCCTTACTTGTGAACTCAGAGTCATTGTTTGAGTGGCTCTAAAATTTAGCAGACTATTTTTCTTCTTCTTTTTCAACTTTAAAAAGCAACGACGAATCTTATTCTTGATATGTATTTGTTCTGTTATTTTCAGTCTCATATGGATTTATTTCTGATATGCTTTCTTTTTCAGAGAAGTATTTCGAGATGGCCTTTGATTACTTTTACTATTCATTCAAAGATTGCAAACCATAAACTGACTAGCCCTATTTTTATTTCAAAAAATAATATAAATTTCAAAATTAAAAATTAAAACAACTTACTTTTAATATGGTTGAAATATATCTTTCTTTTTCAGCTAGTTATTTTTATAAATTTTAAACTTCTTCTTCATTGTATCTCTGAGTAACTTCTAACTTTTGATTTAAAATATTGTTTTGATTTTCTAAATCTTATATGCGATTTTGTTGCATGGAGATGTGCTAGTCTCTTTCTTGAATTTATTATTTTAATTAAAAGGCCAGGGACTCTAATTCATTACTCTCTTTCTGTTGCTGTTCACTTTTTTCATTTAATAGGCTATTTGAGTTGATCAAATCTGAAAGAATTTATTAATTTTTCTTCTCTTGCTCTTAATAGTGAGTAATTTTTTTAATCAGCTCATCATTTAGTAAACTTATTTCTGATAGCTTATTTGAGCATTACATAATTTCATATTTAGACTTATTTTCTTTATCTTGATTTAATTTAGTGAGCTCTAGCTCTTTTTTGAGTTAGTTGATTATTTCAAACATTTCAGTTTTTTCCTTTGTTAATAAAGAAATCATCTCATTTTTACTGTCACAGCTCTACTCTAATTTTTGAATTTCACTCTTTAAGTGTTAAATATGATTTTCGTAAGTTTATCTCATTTTACTATCTTTTTAGTATAAGTTGTTATCATCATTTTCATTTTTAAAGCTTTAATTATTGTTATGATTTCCTAAATCCATGCTATTTCCTTGATTTCTTTCTCTTAATATGGATGGTTTATATTGGCTGTTGACTTGGTTAGAAACTAGGTTAGGCTATTGCTAAATTTATGGAACAGGTGAAGGAGCTAAAGACTAAGAGATTGGTGTCTTCTCTGGAGTACGAGTGAAACTTCTCACTTTAGATCCAAAAGATTCTCTTGGGTTATTTTAATTAATTTTATGTAAGTTCTCATTGCTATTATTATTGGGGTTAGTATATATTTAAGGAGATTAAATGTCTTTCTAAGCAGATGAATTAGTCTATTGAGTGGGTGTTACTGCTTATTAAAGGTAATTTATTTAATTTGTTTAAATTTGCTTCATTTAATTTTGCATCATCTGATTAAAAGGTGAGCTAACAACATTACTATTGTTTTGGTTAAGTTTTTAATATATAATATTGTTAATCATAACTTGTTAAATTGAATTTGGAGAGTTGTAAGGATTTGAACTGAGTTGATTCTAAGCAGCTGTAGCTGAGCTCATGTTATTAGAAAGGTGATTATTTTATTATTGCTAAGTTTAGGCACTCAATTTAGCTGCACTTGAGCTTCTCGGAACAACTATAACTCTTCCTCCATATTGGTTTGTTACTTAATTAAGGGATTGATTATTTATATTAATTTACTAGTTATTATTGTTATTATTATTGTTGCTGTTGCAGGGAGGTTGGTAAATCTAATTTTAGTTAGAATTATTCTGCAAAGGTAGATATTATTGGCAAGCTAAAAATTATTCATCTACGTTTTAGTTTAATGACACCTTGACAACACTGTTACTTCTTTTTCTTTCATATGGATTGATAGGATTAATATTATTTTATTAGACTTTGTATTGTTGAATTTGAACCTAATTTTACTGATTTTAAAATTATAAATTTACAGGACTTCCTATTTTTTATAAGTTAGCAGTGGAAGATGAAGAAATGTTTACTGGGTTTTTAATACCTTACGCATTAATAAAACTATTGATTTAATTAGAATCTTGTGCATTGTCTCTTTTTATATTATCCATTTCAAAAGAATTTTTTCTTTCAATTTTTTTTTCACTCTGAGAAATATTGTTGGGAACATTTATAAAGGAGTTATTATTACTACCATTATTAATAGAGTCTTAATATGGATTTTTATAATTATAAGAGAAATCTTTTTTCTCGCTACTAATAAAATTACCGTTGTTGTAGATGCTATTACCCTTAGCAAAGTTTTGTGAATCTTAAATAGAAGAAAAATTATTCTTCTAATTATTATCTAGGCTTTATTTTTTACCAGATAAAGCAGCAAGATTTTAGTTTTCAGAAAAATCTTAGACCCCTTCCTATTCTCTTATTTACTAAGCAGCACTATTCTACTGAGGAATCATTTAAATAAGATGTACTGAATTTTATCTAGTTCTGTCCACCACAGCTGCTTATTTTAATGGAGTACTCATTGTTACTGGATTTTCTTGTTACTTTTGAATTTTTACTGGCTATTGACCAAAGCTGTGATTTTGGATTTAGTTTTTCTGATTGAGAGTATCTTAATTTGCTTACTAAGGCTTATTGGTAATTAGTTGTTTTTATTCGCTAGCAGGTTTTTGAGCACTCTCTGGGTTTTTAACACTTTAGTTCTCAAGTCTTTCAAAAGATAACTCAATTGCATCAGTGTGTTGTCTAAATCTACTTACTTCACCGAAATTTTAGTAATTAGGATAAACTATTTTATATGTTTTATTAAACTAAGAGCTTTAGTTATTTTGAACTTTAGAGTCACCTTAGATACCTTCGATAAGGATTTCTTGGTTTTTATTATCATCTTCAAAGCTAAATAAAAAAATATTTCCTTCTATATCTCCACTAACAAAGCTTCTTTCATTTAGTGAGCAAATAGTGTTAATTCTACATGTGTGTTTATCAATTTTTTTATATTGCCATGTCCTTAAATTGAATATTCTTATAAGATTGAAGTCACCTACAGCTAATTCATACTCATTCAGAAAACCAGCGCAATAAATAGAATTATTGACAAGAATTTTCTTCACTTGCTATCCAGTGCTGATATCCCAAACCCTTATAGTTTGATCGCTGCTTGCAGTTATTAATTAATTTTCTTTTTCAGGATGCTTATCTACGAAATAAATGTTCTTTTGAGTGTTGTGGCCTTCTAAATTTTTCACTAAAAATCCGTCTTCCCACATCCAAATTTTAAGTTAGCTATCATAAAAATTAAATTCATAATCAAATAATGTTTAAATAAAATAAAAAATGAATTTAATTTTAATTAATTAAGTAAGTAAGTAAATAAACATTTCTAACAATTAATTAATTTGGTAGTTAGCGAAAATTGATTAAAATTAAGGAATATGAGAAGTTGATAAGCAATCCGAAAGAATTAGGATCTTTCAAATATCATAAAATTCATACAAGTAATGAATGATTGATTTTGTAAATTAATTAAGAAAAACAGTTTGATTTATGGGTTTTATTTGTTTTGATATTTGATAGTATTTATTTAAATTGTAAAAAAATCTATGGTCGAAAATTAAAGATTAATAAATAAATTAATTTAAAACTATAACGGTAAAACATTCTAATGAAATTAAACAAATCTATTATCTTTAAATCTTTATTGGTTAAATATTATCTGAATAAAATTTAATATTACCCTCCACCTCCTGCTGTAGCTATTTGATTGTTGCTGATTTTGCAAATAGAATTAAGACTTGACACATGTCCATTTTTATTTGTGGTAGAATTTGGTATAATCTAAATTTGTTACATTTAAGTAGCATCAATAATATATATGTTTCCAAGAGCATCTCCTGCAGCAATTATATCATGCCCTGTCTTTTCATCAATCTTGATTTTACAAATACTGTATATTTTATCTTAGCAAGAAAAGGCTTTATCTATTTGGTAGTTTGATTTCCATTTCATTCTAAATATATAATTATCACATGTACCAAATAAGTACTATTAATCTTCTGAAATGCAAAAATTCCTGCAGCATTGATCATTTTAATAGTTTTTTATAAGAGACTTTGAGATTGGATCCCAGAATTTGATTGAATTATCACAGCTACTGCTAACAACTATTTCATGATTAATTCTACAAATTTTATATATTCCAGAAGAGTGAGCCTTAGAAATAGCGTTATCATTTAAGTCTTTAATATCCATTTTAGTTGAAGCCACAAAACCTATAAAATAAATAATTATGTTTGTTTATTGATGTTAATGTCGTTCATACTAAAAGAAACAAGAATATCAGATAAAAAATTAATAATAAAATTATATGATAATTAATTAATTAATTTAGATATATCTATATATCTAATTATCAATAAATTAATAAAATTATCAATTAATATAGCTGTTAAAACCTTAATTTACTCAAAATATTTTGCTAATTTTATCTGTTCCTTATTTGCCTATCTTTTAATTCTATAATAAACTATAAAAAATATTACTAAAATTATCTGCATGTACTGTCTCATCACTCGATGACATCCATCTTTCTATCTGCATCGTGTTGATAAAAGGTATTGTACTATTTTGAGAATAACCAATAATACAATATCCCAACTGTTCATCCTTGATGATGTACCAACCTTTAGTCATATTCTATTAAGAAGATAAATAATTTTATTGCTAAGAATCGCTCTCTTAGACATTATTTATTGAATTTATTTTAAGCTACTTAAAGCTAATATCATTTATTTCATATTTTTGGCTAGGCTTATTCATGTTAATTATGCAACTTTCGCCAATACTTTTTTACTTTTATATCATATTTATGAAATAGTCTATTTTAGCATTAATTATGCCTAAATATCCATACTCGGCTCCAATATCTTACTCAAGTAGGGCTATAGCGTACTAGTTAGAACTATTTAAAAAAAAATCTTTGACATTAATTTCTTTGCCAAAATATTAGAAGTATAGCCTCTTTGTGATATTTTGATCAGAAGTTACTATCAGCTTTTTCATTTGACTTGCCAGCACTATTACATGGTAAGGGCCTACTAAAAGAGCTTCAGCAAATAAATCGTTTGGATTTTCTTCTTGCCTTAGAGTTCCTATACACGAGAAAGGGTATTATGATTATTGTTAAAAACACTGGCCATTAATAATCTCTTAATTTTCATAATACTAATTGTTCTTATATAGGCCATCGCCCGCTTCACTCAAGTTTCTATTATCATTATAACTTGCTATTGGCTATGCTTAATTTTTTTCTATTCCTCTCATAAGATTACCATTATTAGCTAATAATTAGCTGTTAATTTATTATACCTACTATTGCTAAAGATAAATCTATTGCTGTTATTGTTATTCAGGAATTATTTGTGATCTTCCAACCGCAATAGGAACTTCATTATATTTTTAGTACATTTACTACACTTAACTTATCCCTTATGGTTAATAAATAGTTTTAATGTCCGATGATGAACCTCTCCTTTAGCCTAATTATACTGCTTCTTGCATAAAATACTTGATACTGGTTTTTATGAATATTGCTTAATTTAACCAAAAATTAATAATTATTTTTATTGTTTATTATTTGTTAAACTAAATAATTACCTATAAAAATTCTTGATATTTATTAAGACTTATAATTTTTCAAAAAGTGATTGTTAAATTATACAAAATGAAGTGTTTATTTTTAACTATTTTTTTGATTTAATTTATTTTTCAATAATTTTATGAAGATAATACCATATATTATTTATATGTCTTGAAAAAACAATGGTTATGAAAATTCAACAAACTTCTTATTTAATAAAAAAGCAGAGCTATATTATTAATCAAAATAAATTATTTTGGCTAAAATTTAAATGAATCCTTAGATAACAAATTTATCAATAAATAAATAAACACACAAAAATATTTTCAAAAACATTAACAAAAAAATAAATTATTTAAAAAAAATAATTTTAGTATTTATTTAATTTGAAAAAATATTTAAAAGTCAAGAATGAATTTCACTTTTTAATAGGAAAAATAATTTTTTAATTAAGAAAAAGACAAACATTTTTTACTTAATAACTAACATAGACAGACATGAAGTTTAATCAAATTTATTTGTTTGCAAAAAAAATATTTTATTATAAATTTATTTATTATTTTTTATCAAAATTTTAATTGTATTGTATCTCAAATAAATGTTAGAAATATTAATTTTAAAGTTATCTTTCTTGATTTTCACATAACTTTAGAAAATCTATTTAATTTTAACCATTTTTAAAAAATAATCAATTTTAATAGTTATTTTTTCTGGCTTCTGTAAATTTTTCACTCTCTGAAAACGCATATCCAGTGTATTATGTGGTTAATTAATGACGAACAGAACGGGCAACAACTATAGGAGGATTATTGCTCTCCACATAATGACTCTTAGATATATCATGTTATTTGTTTTATTTAGATATTTTTTTTGACGTAGGAATTTTCTCACTCATTGAAATGATAATGCTGTGTTTTTAATTGCTTATTTGCTCTTTGAAATTAATGTCAATGTTTTTTTCTTGTAAAGTTGTTATGTCTCTATTTTAATAAAATTATTTTAACTATTTTTTCAAAAAAAGAAAATAATAAATTACGGAGTATTCAGAGCAGGAGTAGCAATTTAACTAATAATATTATTTTCTATAGGAATGGTATTTTAATTAGATGTAGGAGCAATTAGAGCTTATTTATCAGGAGTTGAAATTTGTTTTTATTTTATAAGATAAAATTTTTCTGGATACACCTACCCATATTTAAAGTAAGAAATGGCCCATTCAATAGACATAATTAAGGTAATGATTACCATGTTTGATAACCAGAAAGAAGGAGATTTTATTTATATAAAAAAAGTTTGCCATAATTCAGATTAAGCGCTAACTACACTTACAATAATGTGATTAGATAAGTAGAAGATGATGCTACCAAAAATACACAATAACGACATTATAGTATGAGTATAGCTAAATGTTAGTATTTTTAAGTTTCCTATTATAACAGAGCCACCAAATGATGCATTACCAGAAGAAGCAAAAAAGAACATTCTTCCATTTGAGGTTGAAACCAGTTCCATCCCTAATAATTAAAAAATATTTCAGCTTAATAAACAAATATATTTAATTTGAAATCAATTTACCTAAGTAACTAACCCAACAACACACAGCTGCCTGCCAAAATCCATTAAATAGCCATAATATGAATTATCTTTTGTTAAACAAAGAACTTCTCATGCCTTATCCGTACTCTTTAGGCATTTTAATCAATTCTTACTAAGAAAATTACTCATCAAATATGGCATATACTAAATAAAATTTAATGTATGATAACTTATAATCTAAGAAAGAAAAAAAATTTTTAATTACAAACAATAGGGATTGAGGTGTAACACATATTGTATAGCTGATATAGATAGGGATCATAAAGAGAAGTACCTGAAAATCCATTTATTATACCATACCATAATTGAGGAATGACTAGTAACATATTTTTATAAAAATTATAGCATATCAGTGCAGTGTTTCTCCTTTAAAAATAAAAAGGTCAATTAAAATTTTATAATGAACTAATCATAAAAAATATTCTACCTATAGCATTCTCTTCCATGAAAAAGTAATAGATTTCTTAAAATTTTAAATTCTCCAATAGCAAAATCACTAGCACGAGCAGCTTAATGACCCTCTTTTCCTCTAATACCTATTCCTACATGTGCCTCTGTGATCATATTTACATCGTTTGCACCATCTCCTATTGCAAGAGTAGTTATATTAGGTTTAGCTTTCCTTACCATGGCTACTATTTCTTGCTTTTATTTAGGAGAAACTCTACATGCCAAAACCACATCACATTCATTTGATATTTCCATGACTTAACTAACTAATTTGTCATTTTTCATACAAGGTATAAGACTATCTCCTGTAAGTACTAAAGCAATAGGAGTTTTTTTGTAAGGAGCTTAATCTTCGTCTTCTGTTCTAATCTCCAATATTTTTTTTCTAACATCTTCAATAGAATCACAAACTTACTATTCTGTTTCCCCGTCAACAACAAGCTGTTCTTAATCATCTGTCAATAATTTGCAAGAATATCCAATATTTATAGCTGTTTCAACTTTATCACCAGTAAGAACCCATACCTAAATATTTAGATATTAAATTAATAAATATGTTTTTCAAATATTTGAATTAATAGAAAAGAACAAAAAATTCTAGAAAGGAGTTTCTTCTCCTTTATCAAAAAGCTGAATTTATGAATAAATAAATTTTGATTACTTTGATTCCAGTACTTTTTAATACAGATATTGTTTCACCTACTTAATCTTAAAGCATGTCTTCAATAGCAGTTGCTCCTAACATTTCAAGATTTTATTCAATAACTTCTTGTAATGATTCCATTTTTTTATCTCTTTCTTCAAGAGCTGCACATGCAACTTGATACTATGCATTCCATTCATCGTATTCTTTTTATTTGATTACTCTTTTTGCACAAAGTAAAGTACGCAAACCTTGCTAAGCATACCTTTGGAGATTACCCCATGTTTTTTCAACTATTGTTTCATCGCACTAAGCCATCCTCTTTTATATAATAGAATCAGCACCCTTGGTGTATAGCACTATTTGATTATTCTCATTTCTAACAATTACACTCATACGCTTTCTGGTTGAATTGAATTCTAAAACATGGAGTAGTTAAAACTTTTTTATTTTTCCTTTGAATTTAACACTCATTTGTTCTTCTTCATCAATTCCAGTAAATTCCATTCCCGCAAATTTAGCAAAGTAGAGTAAAGCTAATTCATCAGGGGATGAAGCGTTGTACTCAATTAATTATGTTTTAGAATCAACTTCAGTGATAACTGAATGACAGACAGCGAGCATAGTTAAAAACTCACATATATAACTATAATTTGAAGACTTAGGGTCTTCAAGCTACTTGAATAAACTCCTATCTCTAAAATCAACATTTTTTACTTAAGGTAATTGTTTAATATCATTATCAGTTAAATCTCTGTTTTCACCATAGGATATTCCATTAATAGAAACGCATTTATATTTCATAACATTTGAAGTTAAAGTACCTGTTTTATCAGAAAAAATATACTACACTTATCCAAGCTCTTCATTAAGATTAGATGACATTACACTAGCAACTTGTGGGTGGGTTGGATCTTCAGGGTCTATCACCATAGTATTTCTATCACTGCTTATAAACTTTCCTTAAAAGAATTTGACCATTTCCAAAGTGACAAGAAGAGAAATAGGAACAAAATTTGTAAAAATTAAAATCCAAGTTCCCCATTTAATTAAAAAATTCAGCATAAAATTTTTGTCTGCATCATTATTAGAAATTTATAAATATCCAGCACTATTAAATATTTAATCAGATAAGATAGCAGATATTATAGCAGTAGCGAAACAAATAAAGATCTATATGTAAAATATAAGTCCAATAAAGCCATTCATTTAAACTTCTACTTTAGATTTCTATTTTAAATGAAATTAATTTTATATTAAAAAATATTTTTTGTAATTTAATTTATATATATAAATAATTATTTATATCTTTGACATAACAGTTAAAAGAGAGAGAGAGTAAAACTCATTTTGCTGCAATAAATAACCTTTAATAGAAAATCAAGTTAAAAAAATACCAAATAAACTTTTTTAGCAAAAAAATTCCAAACCACTAAGTTTGATTTACAAATATTATTTTTATTTTTAATCAATGAATAAAACTAGATTTTAAAATGGATACTTAGTTTCATTAACAATTAATTAAGATAAATATAGAAAGAAAGAAAATTAAAATAATTAATAAATTAATTATCATCACAGTTTAATTTTTGAAAATTTTGTGGTTAGAAATATATATTTGGACAAACTTGATGGAATTTTAGTGCTTATCCAATTCAATAATTGTAATTAAAATGACACAAATTGTAAGCATTCATTTTTTTATAAAAAAAAATAATAAATAAGCACAGTAAAAAAAAATTCGAAAATAAATCTTAATTAAAACTTTTGGTGATAATAATTAAAAAATCTGATTATTTTACTGGCACAAATGTAATCAATATCATTTTAAATAAATAAAGAGTATTTAATGTCTAAAAATTTAAAACTTTCAAAAGATATTTCCTTTAACCCTTGCTAAAACAGTAAAATACTATCTCATGATTAAAAAATTAATTGTATTTTTACTGTTATATTTTAAAATGATTGTTATAAATTGCTTATGAAAAATTCTAACAACAAAATTAAGATTACCTTTGGACGAGCTTTCACTGAATTAAGCATGATCTTTGTTTCATGTCCAGTGTAAGATACTAATCCATAAACCATTTCAGTATTTTATAATGAACAACCACGAAGAATAAAATTACTGTCATTTACTGACACCTCCTCTGGATTTCCTTTTATCCTAATAGTTCCATTGAATTTATACAAATAAGGATTTGGTGCTTCATATTAAAAAGTTAAGGATTATTAAGCGAAGTCTTGTATTGTTAAATTGTTTGAAATTTTAGGTGCTATCTTTTTTTTAAGGTTTGTTTCTCCATCGAGGTTTTTTGTTTCTATGAAAGCTTCTCCTTTTTTACCTGTTGAGTAAATACAGAGGACATCCGCAGGAAAATGTTCTCCTCTTCTTACCCTTAAAACTTCTCCCACTTAAATGGACATTGAAGGGCATTTAATAAAGCTTCCGTTTCTATAAACTTCAACTTCTTCATTATTTTCACTCTAGTCAGATTTATGCCTCTTAAGGTCTTCTAAACAATCTTTACCCATAGAAATAGCAATTACAACCAATAGAGGGAAGTAAATAACTGGTTGCCCTTCTGAGATCGAAATAGTATTTATCATCTACATAAATCCTATAAATAAGAAATACACATTAGCTAGCTTGCTAAATTGCTCCATTATGTTTAAAGGTAAGAAAGTTAAAAGAGTATATTTCGATGTAGAAATCCCATTATCCATATATAATTCAGTAGGTTAGTTTGATTATATTTTACGCTAATTCACTAAATCTTACTTAGCAGCTCTCTTATTAAACTTCTTAGTTAAATATTAAGAAAGCTTTTCCATTTTTGATTTTTTTTCTCTTAAAAATGATTGAATAGAGTTTAATTTTCAAAAATATATTTCGAAATATTTATAATATGAGTTCAGTCTCAAATTAACCTGGCTATAAACTTGGTATCTCTAAGGGATAGTTTTTCTTAAAAAGGTATGATTTTAAAGCTGCAGATATTTTTATGTCCTGAAAAAATCACTCCTATTTAAAACTTTATTTAAATAACTAACTAACTAGCCTTTTTATAAAACTCGAATATTTTACTTTTAAAGTAATACTATGAATATATGTTTATGGCAATAAATAATTTTTGGTTTAATTAACTTATTTGAAGAGTTATTAGTTTTTTTGGTTTACAAAATTTAATTAAATAATTGCCCTTTATCTAAAATCTTATTATTTATTTCTTAAATTTAAAAAAACACATATAAGTAAACCTTGGAATTGGTATTGTATGTATCTTTATTATAAATACTTTTTCGTTTGATGAATCACATTTTAGCCTATTAAACTAATTGTTATTGAAAAGTCTCTATTTTTTTTCAGTTTTTTTTGTAGAAATTTTCATATTTTGTATTTTATGAAGAAAAAAAATTTCAAAAACTAATTTTGTTAATTTTGATTTTTGTACTATTTTTGGATAACTAAAATATATTTTTACCATTTTTATTATATTTTTTATCTTTTTTTTTCATTATTAATTAATGAGAAATAACAGGTTAGTAATTAGAATTTAAAACATTTAGTTAACTAAAATTTAGAGCAAACATATGATAATAAATTAAGTGATATAGAAAAAAATTACATTTTTTTAGAATTGTAATGATGACATAATTAAAAATAAAAGTGCATAATATATTTTTTTAGCATGGATGATTAGTTTTATTAAATTTAAATATTAGTAAAGATTTTGTGAATCAACAAATTAATATAAGAAAACATATTATCAACATTTAAGTCGTAAATGTTTAAAATTAAATTATTATAGAAAATAAATATTTGCCATCTGCTCTTATCTTTCTTTATTTCTTTCTTCTTGATATTTTAACTTTATAAATCTAAAATAAATATAACCATTAAAATTATTATTATTATAACTCATCGAAATTATATGTAATGTTATTGTTATTTTTTTATAGAATCAAATAAATTTGAAGAAAGCTAAACGTATTAGAAATTTTTTTATTGAAACAATATTTTTAATTTTATTTTATATTTATATTGCAAAATTATTGCTGTTTGTTTTAGTACTTAAAAATAGAAAGCTAGCTAAATAAAAAAAGGTTTATAGTTTATAATAAGTTGGGAGAGCAGCAAACAAACATAGTTTTTAGATTTTTATGAGCTTAAATCAGTAATCGACAAATTTTTATTGTAGCAAAGAAAATCCCTTTTCTCATTATATTAAATAAAAATATTCTCAACAAAAAACAAATGATTAGAAACAAGATTAGCAAATATTCTAATCTCCTAGGGACTGTAACAGGAAAGTTTCTTTGCTTAATAATAAAAGTTCAAGAAAAGAAAAATCTATTACATAATTAGTTCATTTTAGTCATTTAAAAAATTAATAAATTGTGAATAATAGTAATGGAGTTGAGTAAAAATTGTTATTGCCAAATATAGGAAATCAGAAGCTTTAAGTTAACGCTTAGTATGACTAACTACAAGCTCACAGCCCAATTAATAGTGAATAAAAGTAAATAAATACAGAAACGAGTGGAATAAATCAAATTAATTATTTAGCATAAGATTAATCATCACCAGGTAGCGATAAATAGAATCTTGCAAATTTTTTTAGAGTACAATTGTCATAATCTAGCGATAAAGAAGCCTTGAAGAGCGAACCAGATACAACTAAGTTTGTACTTCCTTTACAATACTTCAATTCTCCAAGTTCGAAAGCTTAGTAAAGTTATTCATACAAACAAGCAAAAAAGAATAAAAGCTAAAAAATGATTGATGAAATATTTGGTAATAAAATAAGCCAAACAGCCTAAAAAAATTAGAGTAGTAAATTATTGAAAAATTTGTAAGAAAGTCAAACTACTTCAAAAAAGAATTATATTAAAACCTAAAATGAGCACGGTAACATTAGTAAGCTATTAATTGGTTAGAATACACATACTTAGAGTTAGCACTTGAGTGCACTTCCTTTGATATACCCTGCTCAAAATATTAGCACTTAAATACTTAAAAATAATAGTGACGTTACAAAATAGGTTTAAAGCCCTTAAAATTCGCATAAAAAAACTAAATTGTTTAAAAACTATCACGTTTAAAAGGTAAGTACTTACAATTCTGTAAAGAATTTAAATAACCCAGATACTAAATTATTTATCGAGAAAAATTATTTTTCTCCTTTTGGGGATGCTTAATTTGATCTCGTTACTTCTCCATAGTTTAGATATTCAAAATTAGGCTATTAAAGCACCATTAAAGATCAAATATAAAATACTCTAAATGAACTTCATAATCGAGATAGTAATTTAAAAGCTACCTAAGCATATTAATAAGCTAAATAAAAGGAATAGAATAAAATAAATTAATCTATTTTAAGTGAGCAACAACAATAGTAAAATGAGTAGGAGTGTTAGCAAGAAAATTAAAAGTCATTAATTATTGAAAATAATAAGAAATTTTTACTTAACCTAAATAATATATAGAGTAGTAAAGTTAACTCTATTCATCATTTAACTTAAGAAGGGGTAACACCATCTAATGCATCTAGTAACAGAGTTATTGAGATAAAATCAGATAGAAATGTTTAATCATCTCTGAATGAAATAGCATATGATCGTTTTACTTTGAACAAGTAAATTAATCTAAAACCTAGTGATGTTAAAAAGAGAGAGCTGGATTCCAAAAATGTTCATTAGAGTTTAGACACAAAGTACAAGCAATAAAACTATTAGTCAATGGTTAAAAAGAAAGAGGTTAAGAGCTAAATAAGTTAAAATTACATAATAAGTACCTTGCCTTCCAATAATTAGATTCAATTGCCTCCAATTTCTTTAAATCTTTAAGGTAAAAAGCAAAATACAAGATCAATGACAGATATAATCATGATCACAAATAGAAATAAAGAAGAGGATAACTCCAATTTTTAATTACCTAAAATTGTAAAATCTCCTTCTTTAGTTTTGATAGATAACAATTAGGAGCAGAATTAATAAATGTCTCAAAAGAAATAAAACTTTGAGAGATCAAAAGTTAAGAAAAAAACAGAATTCGTCAAAAGCATCAATAATATTGAGAAGAAATAAATTAAAAGATAGTACACAGTAGATTCACTTCACACAAAATTCTATTCAGAATCTAAAATCAAACAATTGGATGGAGATTCACAGGAAAGTTTAAGTTCAAATTAAGGATTGTTAAATGTAAATATGATCAACGAATAATCAAGAAAGCATAAGAATAAAAGCTTCCATTCAAAATCAAACTATAGTTAAAGCGAAATTCAAGAGGAAGAGCACGACACTTAAAATGTTCCTGTAAAAAGAAAACTGCAGAGAACTTAAACTATGGTGGAAATAGAAAAAGAGTTGATAGAGTCCATTCGACATCTAAAGCTATTAATTACTCAAGATGAATAGATGAAGATTTTTATTTAAACCTTTTGTTTCATTGAAGTAGAAGAATTCTGCTTCTTTCTTGGTGTATTCTTAGATTCAATATATAATATCCAAGAAGAAGGAACGAACTCGAATTAGCTTATGAGAAACAAAGAGAATTCAATCTAACAATAAAAAAATGTAATCACATCATAGCGTGTGATTACTTTAAATGACAATAATCAATCCTTTGCCCAAGGCAGTATGACCAACATAAATACTGAACCCATAAATGAATAGTAGATTCTGACATAATCTATCAAGCTTCCATTATATGGAGTGGAAAGAATAGAAGATTTATTGAAATAGAGCTTTATTTAAGCTAACGTAAAAAATATAGAGTACAAGCTATAAGTCTTTAAGGAAAACAGATCATTCCTCCTTCCAGATAATCTTTTAGATGAAATAGGAGGCAGAGTTTTTATAGAAAAAATGTTTGCCATTTTTTTTGGAGACCTAATCTAGAGCAAAGAATTTCTTAGAGATTGTTACGAAGAGCAGTATAACGCTATTTTGGAAAAAATATATAACCCGATTTATTAAGAAAAATATGTTTAAATGATTTGTGAGTTCCTTAAAATTAGTAATGATCACTAAATTGCTGAAACGTTGAAAGATAAGATAAGATCTTTAGGAATAAAGTTGAGTTCAATAGATTTTTTTATATTGAAGAAGAGATTATTTTATTTCTTGCTAAAGTAGAACTTAGTTATCACAAGATAGCAGATACTCAAAATTATTAGCAGATTAGACTAACTACGTTAAATAATATGTACTGATGTTTTGTTTATCAGAAACCCGTCGAATCTAGAGAGACATATTTTCCTCTCACTAAAGAGTTTTTTAGTAAGTAGTTCATTCATTAAAATAGTAACAACTCAATAGTTAATGGACTTAACACAATAATTAATCAATTACATAACATCAAAAATATCAGCTACAGTCTTTATTTAATATTTGTAATAAATTGCCATAGAAGATAACTTCTAACGACTCATTGAATCCTTAGAGTTTGTTTCAATACAAGCCTTTGAAATCTATTCTTATTTAAGTGTAGAAGATAGATCTGATCTGAAGTGCAAGTTCACAATCCTTAGATAAAAGTTAGGCTATGAAAAATATATATCTTAAATATTACCTTAACCACTACAAGTTATTCTAAAAAATCTATCAGAATGGGTTTAAACCTAAATAACAGACGAGCCTTTACCAAAAGAGATTCTTTTGAAAAATCTAGAAAATACTGAACTTTTAGAGTTAATAATAGAGTTTTCTGAACCAGAAATAAGTGCATTTAATTACCACGATTCGTTTGCAGCCTTTACTTATTACAACATTACTAAAGTATAATTCGACTTCTGGGTAAGAGGGTTTGTATCAGTTCTTTAAAAATTTGACACTCCAAAAGAAGATATTACCCTCGCGTAGAATTTCTTAAACTCTATATTCCCAGACAGGCAAACGAGCAAAGAATCTAATTTCAAATTAAACAAGCATTCTGAACAAATGTTTGACACACACATCAGAACTGCTTCACAACAAAAAATATAAATTAACCTCGATATTTCAAATGAGTAAAATGAATGAAAATTTGAAAATGAAGCTAATTTTTAGTTTAGAATCTAATCACTCTTTTAAGAGTTTAAGAATCAATCAATCAATCAAAAGTATTTACAAATTTATAAAATGTACAAGAAATATAAAAAATAATATTAACAGTATCAAATAAAATAAATATGTATATGTAAGAATAAAAATTTGCATATATATAATCAAGTAGGTATTAATTAGTTAAATCTATTTAATAATGTGTTTAGTTTAGTTTGGATATTGTTTATTAATTTGTTTTTTTTTTGCGTTTTTTTGTTTTTTTTTTGCAAGTTAAATGCTTGACTGACTGACTAATTTGTATTCATATATATAATTCACTTTAAAAGTATCACTTCATTAGGTTTGTTACTGAATTAAAATATAATAGTAATTTTCTTCCCAATCGATTTCAAATTATTTTAGACTGTATTTCTCAATCTTAGCTAAGTGCATTATCTTTAAGCTCTAAAACATTAGAAAAACCTTCAAGGATGTTGTATTTAAAGTTTTCCAAGAAATTTAATGTATTGTTTCTCAAAATGAATATATTTTGATGATACAACTTAAGTGACAACCAAATTTATTAAGCTTAATCATTTAAATTTTAAATCATTTCCATTTATGGACTTTCAGGTAACTAACATTTTTATTTAAAATTTTCGAATTCCTTATTAAAGTAATATTATCCCTAGTAAAACCCTGAATAAGCAACTCCCCAAATAAGTCCTAGTTTAGGACCAGCTTTTTATAATAAAATATTTATTAAGATTATTATAAAAAGTTAAATTATTATTGCATTATCTTTAATCTTTTTAAATTATTTTAAATATTTTCCAATTATATCTAAAATCGATGAATCTTTTCAACAAAGAATTTTTAAAAAAATTTAAAATTAAATTAAGATTATTTATTAATTAATTAATCTGTTTATTTATTCTTTCGTTATTTCAAGAAACTTCGTTATGAAAGATGAAAATTCTACTATAGTTTATTTACTAATAAATGTGTTTGCAAGGGATTTTAATTGGTTTGGTATTATTAAAATTGTAATAAATTTAGGGCATTTTTTTTAGGGTAATAAGAATATTCTATTTTGTAAAATAGAAAACTTAGTTCAAACCATAATTTTAAAATTTCTTTTGATTGAAAATAAAAATTATTAAAATAATAATGTCAAATTATATTTTTTTTATAAACTTGTATTTTCATTGGTTCTCTTTCAATAGCAGTGAGAAAAAATCTGAAACTCCATTTGCTTGCTGCTATTTTATTGATTGGCTAATATTCAAATATAATATCTATATAAACTTTTTTGTTGTTTTTTATATGATATTGAGTAAAAATAAAATAAATAGTCTTTTTTTACTCAAATATACAATTGTTTCTTGAAGTTTCTCTAATTTATTCAAGTAGAAAATATGATAAATTTTCTTAAATAAAAATATTGATATAGATTATTTTCTTGTTGCTTCTAAATACTCTTTTCTATTTTCCTTTCAATTAAAAACACTTTAAAAGCAAATTCTTGATCAAAATTTTACTAAGACTAGTTGATAATGCACTTTTCATTTTATATAACTGCTAAAAATTATATTATAGTAGAATTGTTATTACCTCTAATTGTTAAAATCCAACCAACGAATGCTCCGCCAGCTGCCCAGTTGAAAACATCATCTTTTCCTCTGAATTGTTTTAAGAAGTGATTTGATGATTCAAAGATTAGTCTCCAAACCAAAAAATTAGTACCAAGGAGAACTCCTCTGGTTTTAGCTAGCTACCATCCTGCCTAAAACTTACTAGTTACAGGAGCATACCTATATCCTTTTAATAATTTTGCAAAAATAAGTATCTTCGTTAGCCTAAAAATTGTTTTGAGATCTCGAAATAATAAAGTCAGTATTAAAGGTGGTTTTTGAACTCATTTAAGTGAGTATTTTATGTGTTATTTACATGCGATTAAAGATAATTAACAAATTTATAAGGCAAATTTAAAGTATAAATAAAGAATATAAATTAATTAATTTGTTACCATGGTAAAAGAAACATGGAATACCGATTGCCGAACCAAGTAAAAATGACTATCCAATATTGTTACAAAATTTTTAAAATTCAGTAAATTTTTATTCTTCTTTTGATTTATTGAGCATTTCAAGTTAATTTACCTTTTGCTTAAGTAGATGATTTTTTTAATCTTTAATTATATTGATTTTTTATTAAATATTATCATCTGTGCCGTCATCTTTTATTTACGCTTGACTCAGAAACTTCAGTATATTAATACTAAAAAATTTATTTTCAAAATCAAAAATAGATTGTTTGATAGATAGATTGAAAGATAGAAAAGAAAGATAGGTAACTAACTAACTAACTATTTTTATTTCTAAAACAATTACTTTAACAATCAGTCAATAACTAAAAATAAATTTCCATGATCTTCTAAATTGTTCTAATTTATTTTCCTAACAATAATTAATCAGGAAACGATATTTTTGACAATTTTACAAATAAATTATTACATAATTTAATTAAATTCATTCTTTTAAAACTGATAATATCTAAAACCTACATTAATTATTTTATTAAATTTATTTTAAATTATATCAATTAAAATACTTATTCTTATTGTACATCTTAAGCAAGGTTTTTTTATTTTACAAGTTATTACGTGGTACTATTTATTTACCAACTAAACATCATATCAAGTATTTATTTACTTTTTTTCATGTCTAAAAAATTGATATCTCTGAATATATTCTCAAATATTCTAATCAAAAATGATTATGAAGCATAGATTATTGTGAGTTTTTGAGTATATTCTTATATTTTCATTCAAATTATATATATTCTACCATCTTTAGTCTAAACACGATCATAAAAATATTTATTTAGCAATCAAAAATTTAGATTATTTTGTTCATAAAATTATAATTTTAATTCTCATAAATTATTAGCTAAAATTTTAATTAGATTTAAGAATAGATCTAGTACAAATTTAGTTTTATCCAAATTTATAATTAAATGGTTAATAATTATATTTGTAAATTTATTAAAAAGAGCAAATTATTTTTAGAAATTATAAAACAATTAATTTTACTGAAAAAAAAATTATAAAACATTTTTTAAATAAATTTTATAAAAAATATATCATTCAATATTTATATAAAAATTTTCAATAATCAAATATCTTAATTAAGTTTTTATGTACAAAACATTTTTATTTTCTTCCATCAATATCATAACATAAATATTAAATTAAAAGTAAAAAGATAATTATTTATAATCAAAAATGATTGATACCAAATTATAAAGATTATTAAAAATAAAATTCCATTTTTTATTTTTCCAAAAGAAAAATTTAATTTCTTATTACTAAAATTTTTGATTAAAATTTAAAAAAACAATCTAAATTAAAATGATTAATAACATATGTTCTATTGAAAATATATTTCAATTATTATATATAGAAATGAGTAAAAATGAATAATAAATCTGCAAATAAGTACTTGAGTATCTAAATTGTTATTTTAGCAATTATAGAAATGTAAATAACGAATTAAAAATAAATATTTATAAAATTAAAAGTATTTTTTTTAATCACAAACAAATAACAAATAAAAATTAATTTCAAATTTGAATAAATTTATTTTTTACTTAATTTTATAATCTGAATTAAGTTAATAAAATAACTAATTCATAAATTTAAATAATTTTAGAGTAAAATTACATTTTCTTTGAAAAATTAAAAATGTTAAAAAAATATAAAATAAAATTTATTTTGAAGATTTTTTTATTTTTATTAGATAAGAATTAAAAATTGTTTTAGTTTATTCATATTTATTAATTAAAATTAATTTCTCATTTATAAAATAAAAAATTAAATATCCAAAATTAACTTACATTTAATTCATATCTAAATAGCAAAATAATAATTTATTTCATAATTATTATTTAAATATTTTAAAAGTATTTTATATAAAATTTATTTGTATAAATTACTAATAAAATAATTAAAAGTAATAACCCTAACCTGTAGATTTAAAGTTAAAAATCAATATTTATAAGGTTTCTTAATTATGAATAAAATATTACTTACAAAACTATTTTATTTTCTTTCTATTAAAGAATAAAAAACAATATTTTATTCATTTTCTTTTTTAGAAAATAATAAATGTTTGTTTAATTTTTACTCTACTTTCTTAAATTTTATTTAATTTAACAATTATAAAGGCATTTAAAAAAAAGTTTTTATTTATTTTATGAATATATTTATCAACTTATTTTGTTTACAATGAAGTGTTGGATTTGAATTTATTTTAAAATTAAAAAAAGTAATTATTTTTAAATTTAATATTTAAGATTTGTAAAATAATTCAAACTATTTAATTTTATTAATATTAAATTTATCTTGATAAATGAATAGAAAAGTCTATATTTTAGTTTATTATAAAATTAAAAATTTATAAGCTAGCTGATAATTATTTAAGATTAGATTTTAAATTATTTTTATTATGTTTTAATAAATATTTTGCTTTGAAGATGAGAATAAATTTTTATGTTTTTAAACAAAAAGTGTATTGAGAATTTTTTATTAAATAAATATATCATAAACAATTTTAATCCATAAAAAGTTTTTAAAGTATTAAAATGAATTGATTAATAAAAATTAGTATAATAATAAGTTTTCATAAAATTAGATCTTACAAGTTACACAAATATAAATGCAAAGATACAGATTTCAAATTTATAACCCTTTGTTAAAATAAAAAGTATTTCCCAATAATAAATTTAACAGCTAATAAATTATTAATTGATTACATAGTTATGTTAAGTAAAACAAAATGAAAAGATTTAAATATATAATTAATAGAAATATTTATTTAAAAAGTAAGATTGCTTAGCTGATTCGAGTTTGAAAAATATATTAAGGGGTGTGAAAATTCCATGAAAAATAGTATATTGTGTATCCAGTAATTGAGATATATTTAAAAAAATACCACTTAACAAAGTATATTACTCAAAAATTGAATTTAAATAATAATATGAAGATTGAGAAACTTAAATATCTTAGTATTAAAATGGGTAAGATATTTTTATATAGCATTAAAGCATACAATAATCGAAGTTTTGAATTTAAATATTCAGATTATAGGATGTTTTTATTGAGGAGTATTTAATATCCATTAATTTCATTAAAAAAATTGAATGGCAAAATGATTAAAATTCAAGTAATTGAGGTAGTACAATCATCAATAGATTATTTTTAAAAAGAATATATTTGAAAACAAGTATTTAAAGCTAGAAGTGCGTGTTTGTTTTCTAAAGTTTATAATCACATATTTACCTTCTAACAAATTACGAAATACTAATATTTAAAAATACAATTTAGCAATTTATTAATTTTGTGGAGAATAAGAAATTTATTTGATTGAAACCATCCTCTGTACTAAAATTGTAAAATAAATAACATGACTAAGTTTTTTTTAATTTTACTTAAGATTAAATTTATACTGCTCTAATTTTGTTAAATCATATTCTTATTTTCAAACATTATCGTATGTTTCTCTCAATACTGATATTAAAAATAAGTCTATACTTTATGTGGGGATTTTATTGTTCTAAGTTAATTTCTATTACTGTGTTAGCGTCTCATTTATTGATTAATTGATACATTCATTATGCCCTAGTAAATATTTAGCCTAGTTTTCAAAAAATTTTTATTTAAATATTAAGTGTTATAAATCACCAATTATATGCATATTTATATGAACAGGACTTATTTATTTGAACAAGTGTTTTTTTAAAATAATACAATCTGATTCTAAATATTTGATGCTTTATAAGTATTTATTTTAACTTAATTTATAAGTAAGCCGAATTAAATTATAGAGTAAAAAATTCAAGTTTTTCAATATATTTAGCTTTTTTGAATTAAATTGTAAATATTCGAAATAGTTGTTAAAATATTCATAAGAATTTTACAAAAAAATATATCTTAAGCTTATATTAGAAATTTCCCTCAAAATATTTCGTTAAAATCTTAGACTTTCAAACTTTTTCTTATAAAAATTTAATTTTGTAAAAATGGCATGCAAATAACACTAACAAAAACATGTAGAAATAATACAAATTTCAATTGTAAAAAAGGGATAAAAACATGTATTTATTTATTTTTTTTCAGCTATATTAAAATCTGTATTTAGGTTGATCTATTTTGTTTTGAATACTTGAAACATGCTCTTAAAAATATGATAAAAGCAAAATTAATTCAGCTGACACTATGCTCCTTAAAATCACTCATTCATCTTGTAAATTTTATTGATTTCTGCTTGCTTGAAAAGAAATCATAAAATGTGATTATTTTGTTGTAAGTTAGAAATTTACAATTTTTAATTTACGCAAATTAGGTGCTTTTAGAAGGAATTAATAAAATTGTCGATGCATTAATAATAAATAAATATTATACGGAGAGTAATAAATACTCTTATCTATTATAGTCAAATTTTAATTGATTATAAACAATTTTTTCTAATTTTCTTTGTTTTTTCTATATCTAAAACGTACACATTAAATTACATTCTCTCATAAAATAAAAGATAAATAATTTATTTTATAAATACTTCTCAGAACTTATAAGCAATTATAATTTCATAATTATGGTAAAATTTTCATTAAATTCTTATTTTGATTAACTCAAAACTTTATTTTTTTTTTTCTTTGTGCTAGTTTAATTTGTTTACTTTCTCTGCTGTTAAATGTGAGTTTTGTTCTATATTTAGAATGATTTTAAGATGATTCTTAAAATAAAAAGGTGAAAAAAGTGTAATTTAATTGATGTAAAAATGCTTTTATTTGATTAGAAATCAGTACTCTGAAAAGGACTGATCCAAAAATTTTGAACAAGCTTCTGTTAATAACAATTTTGATATTCGCTTTTTAAAAAATATAATTCGATAAAAAGTTATTATAAAAATGTATTTTTTACACTCTTTAGCATTAGAAATTAAATATATATCTACGTTGATAGGGTATGTCCCAGACTACAACATAAGAAGCAGCATAAATTCCAAAAAAAGATTTTCGTTTATTTTCAAAATAGAAAATTATCATAGTAGTATTTATTTTATGGGGTTAAGCATGTAAAAGAAGAGACTATACTACTCAAAATCTATTTTGTTTATTATATACTATTTTTTTATAATCAAAAGTAAATTAGAAAAAATTATTGCTCTCAAGCGATAATAATTGAGTTTACATTGACTCAGCAAAACATATTTTTTTACAACTAATCAACTAAAAACAATTAATTAATTCGAAGATATTTTCAATTGTAAGACTCGCATTTCTCACGAGAATTTATAAGCATTAAAAATTCTATATGTAAAAAAGTAAAACTAATCATAAAAACTGGGAAATAGAGGAGGAGGAGAACATTTAATTTTGAAGTATTTGTAACAAAATCTAAAAATTTTATTTACGAGCTTTGATCATAAACCCAATAATTAATCTACAAAACCACCTATTTATTTAATCCTTTTTAATTCATATGCAACCAATCATTTAAAAAATCTCTTTTACAAAATGGTGGACCCCTCAACAAAATAAATCAAATCTAAGAGTAAATTACTAGTAGTAAATTAGTCTAACAAAGTAAATTAAATGACTGCACCATTTTATCTTTTAAAATATCTAAGAGTTTGTTTAATTTATAATAAATATTTAACTTAAAAATTATGATTGAAAGATTAATTCATTATTAGTTTTTTATAATTCTGCTTCCATCATAATCAAATAAAATAAGTATTAATATGATAAATTGATTTTGAATAATAATAATAAATTAAAGGCTAATCGATCCCCAAGGATGATTTTACAAGAGAAATAATTATAATTAAATAATTTCCTTATTAAATACTATAAAACCTTAAATCTGAAGTGTAACTGAGCCATTATTTAATTACGGGTTGAGTAAAGATAATAATAATTAACACTTCTCAAAATTAATATGCTTTAATAAAACTGATTAAAAGGAGTGTAATTGTTAGTAAGTTGTAAATGAGTCTTGTGTCTTGTGAAGGATAATAATTTGTTTATGTATGTAAAATGATATTCACATAATAAACGAATAAAATTTAAAGAATTTGAAAAAAATTATAAGTATGATCTATCGATCAATTTTTTGTAAACCCCTCAACCAATTAAAAGATTTATTTAATTTATCACACCAACAGATGATATTAATCAATTTATTTAATTACCAAAAAACTCTCATACTTTTAATTAAAAAAATAATATCGATTGCTAAAAATAAATTTATAAGGGCACATATATAATTTTTAATAAGGATTATTTATTTTCATCAACAGAACAGAATCACAAATTTTAGTGAATCTTGCATACTATTTAGCTTTATTAATAAAAAAATTGATGACATTAGTACTCTCCAAATTTATTAACTGTAAGAAGGAATATAAAATGATTTGACTATTAAAAAAATAAAAATGAGTACCTAACTCTCTCTTTTTTTATTATAATTGTTTTTTTCTTTTTGATCAAATTATTTAACAACTAACAATTGTAATTTATCTTACCGCAATAATCAAAATTTTGAAAATAATTTGATTTGCAGATTTTATTAAATTGTTAGATCATATTTAAGGTATTTTAACAAAAATAAGGAATGTTTGCTTTTTTATGCGAGATAGCAAGGTGAGCTGATAGCCAACTATTTCTATAAAATGAAAATAAAGTTGATTCATTGAAGTGAATCTTTTCATCTATTACGATTTATAATTTCAGGTGATAGAAAGATTAATTTGTAGAACGGAAGAGCTGCTTTACAGTCTAAAAGAATATCGCTTGACTCAAAATAGAAGTTAGTAAAAAGGAGATATTCCGTCATTATTGATATTGTTTTAAACTTGCTCCAAAAATATCGCGCAACATCTACCTTTACCAGATCTAAATTTAATGATAAGACTACTATTAATCGTCATAAGAAACTGCATGGAAAATAGCTTGATATTTAAATTTTTTCCTTTCATAATTTGTATAAGTATATCATCAAATTAAAAGGGATAGTAATTAAGATATCAATTAACACAAGATTCCTTCTAAAATATTGTGAAATTTCAATTTAATTATTAAAGATGCTTTTAAAATAAATTATTTCTTACTGTCGCAGTTATGGATGAATAATAAAGATTAACAACAAGTACGAGTGAATACCAAATAAATTAACGGTATTAAAACTTTGGATTTTACTTCTTCTCTTAAAAACAAAAATATATTTAAGAATCTACAGGTAGACCTATTGCAACTGGTTTAACTTTTTTACCAAATATTACTATAAGTGCTGGATGAAATAGCTTAAATTTTAAATAATATTCAATAAAAGTTTGGAGAAAGGTAAAATAGATATATAGATAGCTAATCGGTGAGATAGAATTTTATTTATTTACACATATTTACTTATATTTAACAACAAAATACATGACACAAACTAACTTTTAAGTCTAATTATAATTCTAATAAATAGTCCTTTAATTAATTTCTCAGCTATTTATATTTAGCACCTCTTTAAAAAATTATGCTGAGTTTCTTATACTTTCTTTCTAAAGACATTTCTTATTATATGTGATCTTTAAAAATCTTTATTTTTAAACAATTAAAAACTTAAAAACTGATCGATCGATCAATCATTAATTTTTTAAAAAAGCTTCATTCTATTTTTAAATTTTTATTTAAGGTGGAGTACACTTATATAAAAATAATGTTAAGTTATCATATTCTGGATTTCTAATTTTCATTAAAGTGCTTAACCCTGCTTAAGTAACCATTTTAAAGCAATTTAAGAACAGCTATCTTAACATAAAATTCAATAATTTTTTTTCTTAAACTTAATTGAAAAAATAACAAATAACAATTTAAAAAAAAACACATTGTTTATCTTAGACCTCTAATTCAAAAATCTTTGACACTTTTTGATAATAATTTTGTTTTATTGGTAGTTTAATTCAATAAATTATTTAATTTCGATAAAGCTGAAAGATAAATACTGTTAAAATTTTGAATTCCAAATGAGTTTAATCTTTGAATAAAAAGTTTTTTTGAGTTATTTTAAATCCATTAATTCAATTTCGCTTTAAATTTTGGGGGTTTATTGGTATCAAAATTACATAGAGCAGTCTGATTTAAAATTTTGATCAAATTTACATTTAATGTATCAATATGTAAATAGGGCGCTAATTTTTAATAATCATAAATCTAGAGAGTATGGGAAAAATAAAGTATATTTTATTAATAAATTTTCTAAGCAGCGACTTACATTTAATAATATTGAATATTATACAATATGCATGGCCAAGAATGTATTATGTTGTAACAAAATTAAATGAAAAAATATAAGAAAGAGGAGGGGAAAATAGGTAACTTTATAGAGTTTAAAGTAAATATATTATTTACAAATTTATTTTTTAATGTATTTAAAGTTGTTTGATTGTCTTTTCTTCCTCCCTTTCTTCCTCCTTTTTCAATTAATTAATTATAATTTTTTATGGGTAGGCTAATTATTCAAACGCATTATTTGTTAATTAATGATGCTGAGATGAAATCAAAAAGGTTATACCTTAATATTCATAAGAATACATTCATCAAAAAGTAAAATATTCTCTTTGTTTTAAAGTAAAATATTCTGCGATAAGTTTTTTAAGGTTTTTTAAAAAGAAATTTCAACTAATTTTTTGTTGTTGATAACTTCTCCTTAAAATTTATTTAAAATGAAAGATAAATGAGATAGATGCCTGAATTTTTAAAAAAGACAAATAATGTAAGATCAAATAATATTAAAATTAAATATGACTCTTTAAATTTATAAATTAATCATAATATTGCATTTTGGAGTAAAATTGATGTAAGAGGTATAGTGAAATTCTATTTATAAATCCCGACAATTACTAAATTGATTTCAAATAGAGTGGACTTTTCAATACTTAGATTTAGAAAATAAGAATCAAATTAATTAGGTAATCTTTATGTGGAAGAATATCTATCATAAAAATCTTTATTATAACAAGAATAATTATTATTTATCTTAATAATAATTCTAGTTTATCTAAAATAATTATTAAAAAAATTTCAATACCAAAGATTATTTTATTTACTTATTCAAAACTTAAAAACTAAATCAACTGCAGTTAATTTAATAATATATTTATATTAACGTTTATAGTATTTTGTTAACAGCAATATAAATGAATCAATAGCAAACAAATGCTAGTGGAATAAAGCTAAGATTAAAAAATATCAACTTGAAATTTGAAGATTGTAAAATTAATCTTCATGAATGTATTAATGATAAAAAATCAACTTATTACATTCTTATCATAAATTAGAAGCAGCTATAGCTTGGTATAAAAAAGAAAAATGCACTAGCTCACCCATAACATCAAATTAATTAATTAATATTTTATTAATAAAGATCTAAAAATAGCAAGAATTATTTATTACATTTATTCACAAGGCGAGAAATGATAAAAACAAACAAACCAATCTTATTAATTTTCTATATATTAAATTAATCTATTTACATTAAAAAATATTCTTTTATTAATATCCAATTATTCCTTTGGTGTTACTCTAATATTATATGTAAGGGTTAGATTTTTTAATGGTATTGATTTATTAATTAATAATAATCTGTTTCAAGTATTATAGTAAAAAATTGCCTTTTTTTGAATTAATTTTCATGTGCTAAGCTGAGCATAATTTTCGTTTGGTAGCTACAAAGTATGTATATTAAATTATAAATATATTATCATAGAATCATTTGTATTTATCATTAAATATAGAGTATGTAATATCCCATTAATGATATTCCTTCAAAGAATACTTTAGCTTACAAGCTATAACTATTATTTAATTTGTTTTTTTTTCAAATTAAATAAATGCTATCTACAAAATTGATGAATCACATATCGCTTCTAAACAAAGGATTTTAATGTTGTTAATGGACCAAAATTCTATCTTTTTAACTTTAACCTCATCAAATTCTTTGAAAATTTAGTCCATTGATATACAAATATATAGCTGGCTAAACCAATTTCATTTATGAAGATTTTAATTAATAAACGCATTTCATTCTAGTTTATGAAAATTTATAAATTTATTTATTAGAATCAAAATTTTTACCTGTTTTAATTTAGCCAAGATCACTGCATAAGCTTTAAAAGAGTTATTTAAAATTAATTTTAAGTTACAATACAAATAAAGAGACATGTCTTTCTTAGTAATAGTGAGAGCTGCATGTTTTAATTAATATTAAAAGTTCGACCTTTTAACTTTATGAATAAGGGAATTTTAAATTTTTGCTTATGAAAAGACAGCAAAAAACTTCTTGATAATTAAAGATTAATCTTTATTTACTTAATTTCAATACCAAATTCTTCATTTTATTAGTTACCATCTCATATAAGTATAAATAAATTGATATTCTTCCTTTTATGAGAGATTAAATATATATTTGCTTATTTTATTAATGTATTTATATGTTAATAATTAGTAAATGCCCATTTAGATTGTTAATTTTAAATATAATTAGTTGGTTTATAAATTGATATTATTTTGTAAGGAGGTAAAATAAGCTCGTCAAAATTATATATTTGAAATGTGTTCATTTAGCAGTTAATTCCAAAAATTAGTCTTGTTTGCTAAACTCAGAGATAGAATTAATTGGCTAATATTTCAAAAATTTAAAGGAACTTTTTGTTGTTAGAACAAACTAAGCAAGTATAAAAATAGAAAAATTTTAGAAATTTTAAATAACCAATATGTTATTGTATTGATAAGCTTTTAGTGCAAAACTGATTTTTGTAAATAAGACAATTTATGTGAGTAATTGATTTGCGACATCGAGATATGATGATTATGATGATGTAGCTTTGCATAATTATTCAAATTTTAGAAGAATATTTTGATATCCTATTATCTATCGAAAGTGATTGATGGACTCTATCTAACTACATGGGGAGTAGTTTTTATTTATTTAATGAGTGTTGTAGCTGTAAATCAATGCAAAAATAAATTAAATATATTTAAATATCTCAAGCGACTCAACAAAACAACATAAGTATTTTTATTATACTTAGTTCTTTGTATTTTATGGAGGGTAATATATTATTGGAAGTAACTTACATTTAGAAATTCATTAATTTCATTTTTTGTAAGCTATTATAAAGACTCATACGCATAATATGGGAGCGAATTGTTGGGTAAATTAGCTTAAGTTTGTGGAAAAAAAGAGTAGCAATTTAAAAATATTAATGGAGAAGAGAAGGTGAAATAGACTTGTAAGCGAAATCATCTCAAAAAATAAGCAATATTAAAAACGTGGATTAGAATTATAGGGGACAGAAAAAAATGATTAAATATTGAGTGTATTGTGTGATTTTTGAATTGACTTGAACAGAGAGAAATGGACTATTTAGAAAAAGAGATTCAGATTTTATTGGATTAAAAAATAATTAAATTTTGAAGTCATTTACATTAAAATTGAAAACAATTTGTGGAACTAAGGTGATTTTGTATATACAAATATCTGATTGGTGTAAATAATTAATAAAAGAAAGGTATTTTATGTATTCTGAATAAATCTAATAATATATGGTTCGCTTGCTTGCTTGCCTATGTATGTATGCATGAGCTGTTTCTTTTTCTTTTTTTATTTAATTTTTAATAAGAAAATATTTGAAGAAGGCAAAAAATAAGCAAGGAGTAATATCATTAACTTTATTAAATTTTACGAAAAAAGACAATTAATTCAAAAGGGAAGATTAGTTAAATTAAAATAAATGATCAAATTTTTTGGGATGGATGGGGTATGCGAAAATTTAAAATAAGAGAAGAAATCATCCAAAAAAGAGAAGAAAATCAAACAATATAATTTGAAAATGAGACGTCTGTCTGTCTTAATTATCAAAAATTTAATAAAATAATGAAATATCCCAAAAACCTTAATTAAGATTAAAAAGAGTTCTAAAGAAAAGAAAAAATTAGTAATAAATAATCAAAAAAAATTTAATAAAAAAAACTTTATTGTCGCAAAAAAAAGAAATCTTCATAGTACATCGAAGATTTAATACTCAAAATTCATTTAGAATTGCCAACATAATTTAAAACCAACCTTTGAAAAGAGAGAAAGAGTACCCCTCAAACTAATTAAATGTCTTTGGATTACAGTGAAAAAATGTAGAGTTAATAATAATAATCTTAACTCCAACAAGCTTAAAACTAACACAACTACCTCTTCGAAAACATAGGAGCTGAGTGTATTTCTTACCACAACGACGAAGAACCCGCTATCAATTACCACTAACATTACCACTAAGCTTAATAACAAGCTGCTTAATATCCCTTTGCTGCAGCTGCTGCTATTCACTCAAATCCTTTGAAGGAAGAATAAATTTATTTCCTTCCTCACACCAAAACCACTGGAACATCCAACGACTTCCACAACAACAATTACCAAAGCTATAACTACAACTACAATTATCAAACTAGTACTCCTAGTTAATAATAGTTTGCTACTCCTTTCTCTCTCGGTATTACTGGTGCTTCTAAGGCCAGTCAAAACACCTAAGGTAATGCTAATACCTAATCTTCGAATTTTGTTTTCTCAAACAATAACCACCACACTGCAAATACCACCACAGTTAATTAAACTAACAATAAGTAAATTTTTACTGGATTGTAATAATACTCTTAAAAGGCTACTAATAGTTCTTTTGGCCACAACCAATATAACTTTGACATAGCCAATTAAGAAAACATTTTCCTTCCCAACACTCATTCAACTTAATACCAAACTGCTACAACTATCGTTGCTGCAGCTTGCAATCCCTCTACCGCATGCTCTACTTAAAAGACCATCAACCAAGGCTAATTCTACAAGAATATGCATGAAAATATTCCTAGTATTCAAACACTCAACGACATAGATACTGTCTTTTCCAGCACCCATGATCTCCAATCAATGACCAACTGCACTTGCCCTCCCCAGTCTAATAACAACAATTAACAAAATGCTTAATAATTCTTGCAACTTAACCAACTTGTTCACTCAACTTCAGCTCCTGCTAACTACTTCTATAACGAAAATAACAATAACAAGCATTAGGCTGAAGGTTTGATTTTGGATGATATCCAAATCAGTGGTATGGAAAGAAAAGACAGTTTGGAAGCTAAGAATGAAGAATCTATTTCTTCTCAACATTCATTATGTGAAAAATACTCTAAGTCTTCAAAGAATACTAGCCCCATCTTGAATGCCTACAATGCTCCCATTAGAAAGAGCTCTGAGAGCGACAGCGATGCCACAAAGAGCAGCTCAACCCTTGCTTCGAATAAACAATAATCATAATTGAAAAACGCTAACAAATTCTGCATGGTTTCACTCTTAAACTTCTTGACTGACATTCTTCCTAACTCAAAGGAATTCCACCACCTCATTAAATACATCATCCGTGTTAAGGGATCTGGTAAAATGAGACAAAAAGTCGACATCTTTACTCTTGCTCACTTCCGTGTTTTGTTCCTCACTCTCAATGATTGGAACATAACCCAATTAAACAGCAATGACATTAAGATGCACAAGATGATTTTCTCTGAAGTCAATAAGAATGGAAACTGGACCAAAGAAGACCTTGATTTCATGAACTCCATTAAGCAATAATTGCTTTACATTTCAATTTAATTTTTCGAAGACTCAGCCAATATTAAATAAAAGATTCAATCTAAGAGCTGGTAGAACGAAGACACCGCCAAGCACTATATTGAATGGGTTAACCGTATCGCTAAGGGAATTAAGAAAATGTCCTCTGGTGTTTATATTCACCGTTTCTGAAAACAGTTAATAAATTCGCTGATTAAATTTTAGCGAAAAAACACAAAAATTCATTCAAACTCTATGAAAAAAAAAATATACCTCACACTCTCTCATATAAATTAAGCACAAACAAAAAACCACACAATCAATCAAACATTAATTCATAATATCTCATTCATTGTCAAACAAACAACTAACAACCCTTCTTACTTAATTTCGAATATAATAATATCCTATATAAATCCTCTCATTTCACCTCTCACAGTACTTTATCAACCAACCTCCCTCCCTCACCTCATCATTAATTCATATATAACCTATCATTCATTCCCCACAATTTATTATTATTATTATCTCACTGCCTAAAATTTCGCTCGTCTGTTTGATTCAATTCCTATACATCAATCACATTATATCTCACCTCTCACCTCAATTAATAACCATTATTGTAAAAAAACCTTTATTAATAACTATTTCGGACTTTATTTATTTTGAAAATAAAAAGAATGAACAATAATTAAATGAATGCGTGAGTGAAATCAATCATCTCATAACATTTCAATTAATTAATTAACTAACTAATTCTTTAGAAACAAACATTCTTTTTGAAGCTGCTAATCAGAAAAAATACTTTAAGTACATCAAGTTCATAAATAAATAAAGAAAGAAAGAAATATTAATAAAAAATTCAATAATACTTTCATAGATTAATATATAAATATATCTCATTTCACACCTCAAAATTCATTCATATTTACTTTCTCACCATTCGTGTTCAATTTATATATATATTCTCATCCTCGTTTGTCTTATATTAAAATTTCACTTCTTATCTAATTTCATTTTTTTTTTAACTCACTTTCTTTTCAAACTCATAACACTTTTTACTAACCTAGCATAGGTCTTAAATCTTTAATAAAAAACGTTTAAATCCTTATTTATGTATTTATGTTAATTTCACACTAATATAAATTAAATATTTAGTTTTTTGTTTTTGACATTTTGTAAAATCTAAAGACATCTTTTAGTTTTTAATTAAAGTAAATTTACATTAGCTATTTCTTAATTAATAAAAAGGTGTAAGTAGTGGTGGGAATTAAAAATAAATAGATAACATATAGATTCAAAACAATTGTGGCTTAGTTTTTTTTGCCCGTAATACTTATTGAATTCTTCACATTAATTTATCTTTAAAAAGTGTATTTTTGTTTCTAATGTTATTAGAGTCAAATATCAAACACAATTAATTTTAAAAGATTTATAGATAGATAGATAATCAATATAGAGTTTTTGTTAATTTTTGATCCATCAATAAGAAAGCATCATCTCTAAAAGGTTATAATAATACTAAATATTTCATTAAATTAGTAAAATTTAATATCCTAACTTCTAAATTATTTGAAATGATAGACTTAATTTGTGGAGGATGGATGATTAAATTTTCAGATGATATTTAAATTTTTCATTAAATGAGAACTTTGTTTAAGTAATCAAATTACTTTTACAACAGTATTAGATAAAATTTTGTATTCAAATCTAGATTTAAACAACTATTTCATTTCCTTTCATATTTATTCATCTTTCATAAAATAATCTTTTATTAAATTACCCAAATATTTACAAATTCCTTAACTGATTGCTCGCATTAATGCAAAAGTGAGCACTTCCATAAAGGAATAATTCTTTCATAATCAATTAAAAATTTGAATTAAATTTGATTAAATTTTCCATGCTAAACAAATCAAAGCTTTATTTAGTTAATGTAAAAGAATAAAAAACAGCAAAAATGAAGTGTAAATTTACGATTGTAGGACAATCTAAATTTAGAAATGTCAAATTAAATAAATATTTTTGTCCATTTCTTTTTGTGGTATTAGAATAAAAAAGAGGTGCTTGAAATTTGGCCTGGATATTTTATGTTTAAACTTAAAAACCATAAATGTTTGATGAAATCAAATCTAATAAAATTAAGTAATTAATTTTAAAAATTAATTTTTCTACTCTTACAAAAAACTATCAAAATTATCTAGTTATTATAATTTGCAATTTTTTAAAATATTCAACAAAGAAATATAATTGAAAGTAAGTATTTTAAGATGTAATATTTATTAACAACTAAAATATTACGTATTAATTTATAAAGTGATGCTAGTATTTTAGCAAATGAAGTGAATGCTCAAAGAATGGTAATAAATTTTATTAAAATTGAGAGTAAATATAAAATTGAAAATATAAGTTTGTCTTGCTCAAATAAAACAATTAAAATCTAACAAATCACGAAAAATCATTTATCTCTCTTCAAACCATAAAACTAAAAGATATTTACTTAAATTTATCTGAATTTTTTAAAATTTACTACAGTAAAAAGTTTAAAAAATTTGTGTGTATCTGATTTCAAAAAAATAATACGATTATTTAACATAATTATAAATTGTGTAAATTTAAAATTTAAAGTTAAAAACAATATTTTAAAATTTATTTTAGAAGATTTTAAAATATAATTTTTTTTTGTGTTTAAAAAGATATATTTAAAAAGACTCCAAAAGCATCTATTTTAATTAATTCCAATTCATACAAGAAAAATATACCAAAATAATAGATCTAATTTAATATTTTTGATAAAAATAATTACACTTTTAATTAAATTTCGGCAAATAAGCTAGTACTTTTTTATATATAAATACGTTATACTATTACAAATTTGATAGTCTCTAAAATTAATGAGTTAGAAATCTAATAAGTGTTGCAATATCATCAATAAGATTCAATTTGCTTAGATCTATCATAAATTAATTAGTATTAACTTTTTAAAGCTTTATCTTATTTATCAAATTTTACTTTTTCAAAAAATCCATGAGTAAAAAAAAATATCACTTTTTAATATCTATCTATAATTTTTCTTCATTAAGAGCTAAAAATAGTTCAAAAAATATTTAATAAAATTGATTAGAGATAACTAAAAATCACTTTTAATACTTTATAAAACCAAAACATCATTAATTAAATTCTTTTATTTTACTCTTTAAAATGTTAATAGTAAAAAACTTTTAAAAAAAAGCTAATTAATTTTAAAATAGATTGGTAAAAATTCAAACATTTTGACTTATTTAACTAAAATTTTATCATTTTTTAATTAGATAAACTAATTTTAGCCATTCAATTCTATTTTTAGTTTGTTTAATTTTTATGTTTATCTTTATCCTTTAGTTAAAATTAGTTCTTTTTTAAAATTTTTTATGGCTATTTCAGACAAAGCAATGCCTTTTAAATTTAATAAATAGATTTACATAATTTTATTTATTTATCAAAATAAACTATTTAGTCTATTTTTTTGAGTTAAATATGTAAAATATTATAGATTTTTTTTTTAATGTCTAAAGCATTAGATAAAAAACAATATTTGAAATAGTTCTTGAATTATGTTATAAAAATAAATACTCTCTTTTTAATTTGTAAAATAATTTTAATAGGTTTTTATTATGAGTTTAGGTTTAAGAGAAATTAATTTTAAATTGCAAAAAATAAAAATAGCTCATTAAGAATTCTAATAGGTTTTCTATCCGCTAAAAGTATAAGCTTCGATTTATTTGAATTAATTATTTGTTATTTTTGGACTAATATTTTGTTCTAAGATTCAAGTTACGATACAATAGAAAAAAATTTAAACAAGTGTTAAAATTTTTCTTATTTGCTGATAGCTTTTTTACAATTTTCAATCAAATTTTTAAATAACACAACTTTATTTCTGATCAATCTTACAAAAAATGTATTCACCTAAATAAAATTAGAGAGTTATCATGAATCTACTGAAAAAAATATGTAAATAGCAAATCAATTTAATACTAAGTACAACTAATCATAATGGAAATAAATAAGTAAGCTTTTTTGTAGAACTATTAAAGTTCACAAAAAATTAAATAATTAAAAAAGTAGGAAAATTAATTTGTTTCCAATCAATTTTAAAACTTAGAAATATTATGTCCTACCCTATTATCTATTACTTAATAGAATAAAGCTATAAAACAATTATATATTATTTTTTTATTAAAGAAATAGTTCAAAAATAAATCAAAATAATGAAATAATTAATTAGAACTATAAAATAGTTCGTTTATTTTAATTCTTTTTATTTTCTATTTTAAATTTTAGCTTTAGAAACTAACAAAAATTTTTAATCACAAATTTTCTATCTCAATTAAATATTTAACAGTTCTCAATTAATAACTTTATTATTGATAGAATCTATAGTAAATACTATAGCTCCTCAATAATTAAGTACCACTTTTTTAATGGTCTAAAAAAAAATGTTTGAAGGAAAGAATCACAAAGTAGCCCTTCAAAATTGGGAAGATAATCCTCCTAATTTCTGAGAAGTTAGTGTATATTTATTTTTATTATTTATTTATCTCTTATCTAAATTAAAATTTAATACGTTTAAATAGAAATTAAGTAATATTTATGAAGATATTAAATTAGAAATTAATTATTTATATTTTAAATATTTGTTTTTTTATTTTATAAAATAAAACATTAAAATTCCTAGATATGCTTGAATGCAAATTTAATGATATGAGTGGATAGATAGAGATTAGGCTACTGATTTGCAGACGTTGCACAGTAAAATTAAAATCCTACAATATATGTGGTAAAAATTTATTTTATTTGCTAACTTTGTTCTATTAAATTATTCTTTTTTTGATTTTTCCCTAAAAATAATCATCCTATAAATAATAATTTACTTTTTTACAATTAAATACGAAATAAATGCTTTTAACAAGTTTAAATTTTTAATTTGTAAAATAAATTTTACATGCTAAGAATAAAAAATTAGAAACAGGATAATTATCAAAAAAGAGGTTAGTTCTAGCTTGATAATGTCACGTATTTTTTTCAGTATAGAGAAACGTCGTCATAATCAAAAGTTTCTTATCACCCTACTCAAAAGTACCAAACCTACACTTGTTAAATTACAATTTTTAAATCTTTTATAAAATAAAAATATCACTCATTATTTTTCAAAAAAATAATTGCTTTAATATATATTTTTAGACAAAATAAAGCTAAAAGATTTAATTAATCTAAATTTGAAAACCTCACATCTAATTTGTTAGTTTTATGTCTAAATACTTTCTAATCTAATTTTTTAAAGTGTTATTTAAATATTTTCACAAATGATCTATCTAATAATTATTTATTATATTCTAATTTTAGATAATCTTTAATTATTTTAATAAATATTTATTTATTTGTTTTTTGAAATTGAAAAAAAAGATTCATTTCTTTTTCTTATTTACTTATTTTAAATATTTAATGAAATATATTAATTTTTCTAAGAAAAACATTTCGATTTTAAAGCCAAACAAAAAAATAATAAATATTAATTAAAGTAACTAACTAACTAATTAACTAATAATAAATAGTTGTAAAAAAAAAAATCTATTATCTAACTTTTCATTTATTTGTTATAAGATAGAGGTTTTTTTAGAATATTTTAAAATTAACTAAATAAAATGGGAGAATAAGATTAATAAATTTTGTATGTTTACAAATTATTTTACTTTATTCCCTAATTAGAAATGCTAAATTAAATTAATTAATACAAAACATGATCACTATTTAGTAAATACTTATAAAAAGAGCTAAAAAACAAATTTAAAAACTAAGTAAATTATTAATTTGTTTTAAAAATAAATTAAAATTATTAAATAAAAAAATGTAAAATGAAAAAATCATTTTTTATTATTTATTTTAAGTATTAAGTTTTTTTTGTGAAATAAACCAGCTTTCTTAGCAAAAGAATGAATTATCTTTATGTTTTATCAATCAGATAATCTTTTTAATAATAATAAGACTTAAAGCTATATTTTTTATTAATAATTACCATAAACTAACATTTATATGAAATTTTTATCTTAAAATATTATGAAATAAATTAACTAAGAGTTATGGTTTTAATATGGCTGATTTAGCACTAAATACGCTCAAATAAAGTTAGTTAGCTATGGGATTGCATTTGAAATATATAGAACTGTATTACTAATTATTGTTTAAAAAATAAAATTTTGGCTTTAATCCTAAAATTTTAACAAATTCTATTTTTATTTTTAGCATTTAATGACAATAAACATTCAGTTTATAAGCTAGTTATACATATTTTTAAGATTTTTTAAGATATTAAGAAAATTTCTTAGAGTTTATTTGTTAAATATTGTGATCATCTTCACTTGCTTGATAAATCTATCAGTTTATCTACTTTACCAAGACTCATTTAAATTCCAGGGATAATCCACTCTCCACATCTGCATTATAATCCATCTAATTTAATTTCACCTACTTTGTTTTTACATTTTGGACAGAGTAAGTTATGATCCCACTCTTCAGCTACTCTATTTTTAATCCATTCTACTTCTTCAGAAATATATATCGATGTGCATTTATCTTTTTATGTTTGTGCTTCATGTTCAATATCTTCTTTCTTAAACAATTACTATCTGCACTACTTGCATCTATAAATAAATTTTCTTTACTAAGTATCCATTTCCTTTATTATTTTTAATTGATCAATTCTAAATTTAAAGTTTATTTTTTCTTTCCAGCTTCTCCTATTTTATCTTTTATATTTGCTTTTATCTATCAATACTATTAAATTATACACTTTTTGATTAATTCTATGTAGAAATTCTTTTAGAGTTAGAGCGAAATTTCTAATTAATGTGAATAATTACACTTTAGAAAGATTTTATTTAATTTAATCTTCATAAAAAACAATCAAATACAAAAAAAACTATTCAATCACCACTTTAGATAAAAATAAATTAATATGGTAAATTGATTGAATTTTTAATTTTTTAGTTAAATTTTTTAATGAACTATCATTTTTATTTTTTAAAAATTACACTTTAAATATTTGATATTCCTCAGCAATTTGTATAAAATGATAAAAATGAATCACTTGAATAAAAATTATAAATTTTAATTTATGCTTTGATTTCTTATTAGATATTAGAATATTTAAACAATTTGTAAAGGAGAAAGAAATTTTTTCATAAGTAAATCATAATTATTGAATATAACTTAATCTTAAAAATAAAAAAATAGAAAAGCGCAATGGAAACCAATAATTAACCAGTTTTAAATAAATAAAATGATGTTGAGCGATCAATGAGAGAATTTGAGAATGCTATTTAATAAGGGAATTTTTATGATGCAGTTGCAAACTTCATTAACCTAATAAGCAGCGGAAGTTAGTTTGATATAAAAATAGATGAAGTGGATCTTAATCAATTAGATTAAATAGACGAAGAAAATGAAAATTAAAAAAAGTTTTATAGCAATTCAGATATTTATTAGAATGTAAAAGGAATAAATTATGAATAGATTTACAACTAAAAAAAGCAAAATAGCATGGCAATCAATTAAAACTATTAAAACTAGATTCCATAATAGATGAATAATAATTATTAAAATAATGTTAACAACAATTAAAATAGAAATGGCTCTAATCAAAACATAGGTTATCAAGCAAACTAAAATAATATTTAAATATAGCAAAACATGCCAAACGTTTAAGGCTATGAAAATTTTAATCAGTTTAACACTTAAAATAGCGGTAATCAAAATTTTAATTTTGGAGATTAAATTATCGATAAATCAAAATTTACTCCTCATGAATAAGCATTGCTCCTTTAGAAGTTTTAGATGAATGAATATTAACTATAAAATACTAGTTTAGATGACTTATTCGCTCAATATATTATTTAAACATAGCAGAATCCAATTTGATACTATATTTGTATATTAAAACTAAAAAAATATTAAATTTTTAAAGCAAGTTTTATAAATGTTTTTATCACTTCAGTATAAATTGATTAACTAATTTTCGCTTTGTTAATCTAGATTTTTCATATAAAAGAAATTAGAAATTTATTTTTTAATATCAATTAAAAAAAAATCAACAATCTTTAATTATTATTTTTTTATAAAATATTTTAAATTGATTCACATAATATTAAAAATTTTTACAATCAAGAAACACCAAATTTATTTTTTAAAGGTTTCTTTTATATTTTCAATTTACTTAAACTTTTAAGTTGGTTAGTATTAATTGCAATCAAAAATAAATAAATAAATAAATAAATACATTTTTTTTAAATTAAATAAATTATAATTGTATTATAAATAAGGAAATAACATTTTATTTTAAAATATGCCTAATATATCTGTTTTTGAACATCTATTAATCTATGGTTTTATTAATTTAATACATATTTTTGGAGTCATTACTCTATTTACAATATTAAAAGTTAATAACTATGGACATCACTTGCTTTTTAAGAAATTCTTTCTCTCAATTTTAGAAATATTATAGAGAAAACTATTTCTTTTAAAAATTATTTAAATTTATAGTAATAAATGAATATTTTACCCAAAAAATCTATAAAAATATACTTAGGATTATTAAAAATTATTTAATTTAAGTTTTAAATAATTATTTTCCTTTTTATCATTTATCAGAAAGAAGTTAATAGTATTTTCTAACTTATTTCACCAATACCTATTTTCTTTTTTTAAAAAGTCTTCTTTTCTGATGAGATTAAATTTTATTATAACTTAATATTTGATTCATATTTTGTATCCAGAATATACCCTAGCATTACTATTCTGATAATTTTATTTTAATTCATTTATTATTTTCTTAATAAAATACTCAAAATATTACAATTCTCATTAATGTTATTTTTTCTTTTACATTTTAAAAATAGAAATGATTTTGGTTAAAAAATAAAATTTTTGGTCTTTGAATACTAAAATAATTGTTAAAAAACTAAACTTTTATTAGTTTAAATATCTTTAAGCTTAAAAATGCAGTTAATTAGTTTAGTAAAGATATGAAAATTTTAATAATATTTTGATAAAATATTTTTAAGAATTTAAACAAGAGAAAGAGATTTTTATTTGTCATTTATTTATTTTTGAATTATGTAAAATTTACTTTTTTAAAAAACATTAAGGAAGAAGAAATTACTGTTAAAAATTTAAAAGAAAGTAAGGCATATTTTAGAAATAAATAATTAAATAGAAGTGCCAAAGACAATATAAAAACGTTGAAAAACTAATTCATTTTGCAAAAAAAAAAAAAAATAGGTAGAAAATAAATAAAATAATAGATTCAAATATGTAATACGATTATATTAGCGATAATTAATCTGTGTCATCAAAAAGATCAGATGTTACACAGTCTCACTTTGGATATTTACCAAGTAACCACCATGCTGTAATTAACTAGCATTTAGCTTTCACTGATCCGATTTTATAAAATAATGTTAATGAGGTATGATAATGTTGTTAGTTTTAATAATATCACAAATTCTATTTTGAATACTTTTGATTCTTATTTACCTTTTTTTATAAAATAGAAACCATTTAGACCCACTTTGAAGTAAACAAACATGTACTTATAAAAGTCAGTAGTTTTTGATGTAAAAAACATTTTGTATTGACAGTTAAAATTAATTAAATGTTAATTATAGTTAAATAGCCAAGATAGAATTAAAAAAGAATACTAATGGAAACCTACAATTTAAAAAAGCTACTTAAATAAGGAGAGTAGTAATACATACGACATTTATCCTGGTAAACCAAGACAAAACCACTAATAATCCAATCCTCATAGAAACCCAATTTTGCAAGGAGACGAAAAGAGCTATTATATTAAACAATAAAAAGTTAGAAAAGAATTTGCTCCAGTGAATCAAATAAATAGATTACAATGAAAGAAATACCAAAGCATTTTAAATAACATCAACATAATTAAAACAAAGAATAAAATTAAATAATATTTATTTTAAATTATTTATTTACTAATTATATTAGTTGACATTTGACGCTCTTATATTTGAATAAATTATTTAAGCCAATCAACTAATTTATTTATATGAATATTTGCATTCTAATATATACTTTTTTATCTGTTTGTTTGAAGTAACAAAATAAATTTCAGGGCTTTTAAAAGCTAAGATTTTTAAATTGTTTTATTTTTTATTAGTAAACTTTTATTTTATTAAATTTTATCTAATTCATTAAATTTTTGAATCATTTTATTTATTTGGTGTAAAATTTTATAAATTTAATGGTGAGTAAAGAAAGTACTTTTATTGATTAGTTTAAAATCAAAAATTAATTAATTAATTAATTAATTGGCTGAATTTTTATTTTGTAAATCTATTTTAAGGATCAATTAATAATTTCCTTTATTAATTTATATGATTTAAATAATAAACATTTAAAATGATAATTCCTTGGTTTTAAATTGGCTAAGTCTCTAAAATTTATTTGATATATTAAGCAAATTGCTTTTATTTGATATCAAAACCCTTGAAAATTTAATTGGTTTTTGTTTGAGTGGAGATAGGTATGTATGTATGATTTTTATTTGATTTCTAAATGTAGGTTAGGTTAGGCAAATAATTAATTATGTGTGAATGTGTATAAAAAAGGTGGCTTTCAAGCTCTTCTGCTTGAACAGAAAAAACTCATAAAATCTCTTAATTTTTGAGTAAAAAAACAAATAAGAAAAGCAAAAATTAACTATTAAATCTTATTGTAGAATACAATAAATAATTTGATAGTAAACATCGTAACATAAAACTCTAAAAGTATTTTTTATAGGTTATAAAGCAATAGGTAAAAGCGAAGATGCTTTAAACTTTAGATATGTTTGGAATACCTATTCAGCTGAGATTTAACAAAATGTAATCTCATAAAACAATATTTGGCGGACTAGTCACATTAATAGTTATTCTTTTGATAACTCTTTACTCCTACTCTATTCTTAGTTAATGCATTTAATTTTAAAAACCAAATGTTGTCTTTTAAGAAAATCTTATTACATCGCCAGATGATATGATATTCGATTAAAATTAATACACTTTAGCATTGGGAATTTAGGATTAAAATTTTGTCCATTTCATTGATGAATCTATTTATTATTTAGATGTTTAACTTTTAGATACTTCTTAAGTTTTGAATTAATCAACAAATCAATATGAACAAGTAACAAATTCCCAACATATTTAAATGGAGCCATGCACTTTAAATCACTTTTAGGTATCAGGGACATAGCAATAGTTCTAAAATCTATAATACACAAATCTTTATTGCTTTCCGTTAAATTTTTAGATTAAATTAGGCGGATAATATGGAGCAATCGACTACAAAAGACTACAAATTTAGGTTAAAAGTTGTTTAGCTAATTGCAAAGACACATCTGTGATATAATAAAAATTAAGCAGCGTTGCTTTAGGATTGTATTATGTTAACTACATCATTCAACCTAATGATTCTAATAATCCTTTTCAACCAATTGTATAAAGTTCGTTGTGGAGATCTGAATATTCTGTTTTAAAAAATGTGAGTACTTACTTTAGAAAAACTACTGTTAGTTCAGATTATGGACTTATTACAGAGAGTTTAACGCATGATATTCGTATGATATATAGTTATGACAGAGAAACTTAAACAGCAAAAACGGACAATACATTTTACCAAATGTTTATCAGCCTAGAACAAAATAAACAATCTGAATACTTTAGAACTTACTTAAAACTACAAAGCGGCTTTTCTTTGATTGGTGGTATTTTTAATGTACTTTTCCTTTTAGGATTTATATTATGCATTCCAATCTAGAAAGTATCTTTAGAGTATAAGATGGTCAGTTATTTTTTTCAATTTTAGAAAAAAAGAGAGGAAAGTAAATGCTAGCTGTAAATTCGTAGTGAATAAAATCCGAGCTCAAGATAAACATTAAATCAATAGTTATTTTCAGGGACTATGCAACCAAAATTGGCTAACTAAGATTGGAATAATTTAGACATTGAGTATACTATGCAAACACCTGCTTTGGAGATTTCAAAGAGGAAAAAAAAACCTAATTTGCCATATATCAACAGAAATGAGGTAAAAAGAAAAAACTAACTTGATAGCGCTGCTGAAAGCATAAACCAAACTCAGAATAATTTTTATTTTAGCTCTTAGCATGAAAAGTTTCTCATGAATAATACTAATATTAGTGGGTTGCAGTACACAAATATAAATTTTAATCAAAATCAATCATAAATTTAACAGCAGCAGCTGCAAGAAAAGAGCTACTAATAAACAGAATATGTTATTGGAATTTAAAGAGTAAAAGAAGTTTTTACTAATGCTTATAAAGCATTCAATTCAATAAAATTTTCGTTTTATGGATTAGTTAAGTCTAAGCTATAAAATTCTTTAAACTTCAATAAGCCTTTTTCCAAAATGATAAACTATGGAGTTGAAAAACTGTATGACCAGCTTGATATCTCATTTATATTAGCTAAATTAATTGAAATTGAAAAGCTCAAATACCTCCTTCTAAATGAAAATTAAATCAAGCTCTTTGAGTTTATATCAAAGCCTACTCTCTATCTCTAAGATTTTGAAAATGAAAATTAGAAACGCCAAGTGAAAACCGATAAAGATTCATAACCAAATATGCCTTAAAATACAGCAACAGAAAAACTAAATAACAAAAGAGCTTAATTTGAACGATTTTCTTTGCTTAAATCGACAACCTAAAATGAAGAGTAAAAAGCAAGAGAAGCAGAAGAGGCATTTAATTAAATTTATAAAATAGAGAAATCTTAGTCAGTGATTGATAAAAGATTGATAAGACTTCTTGATATGGAGTTCTTTGTAGACTTAGAAATGAGCCAACCAATTAAATCATCCAATTCAAATATTCAAAGCAATTAATAAACTACTCAACTTGTAGATACAATGTTTAACACAAATAATAATGCTTAAAAAGAAAATATATTAAGTAATGGTATTAAGTCTAATTAAGATATATTATTTACAAAATAAAGACTTTCAGATTAAAATGATGTAAAAATAGAGTTGGAGTCTTCTCCTTAAAAGTAAGAATTCAAAAAAATCCCTTCAATCCCTAATCATATTATTTTAAAAACTAATGACGAAAACATTTGATTTTATTAAAAATATAAAAATTTATTAATTTTACAACAAAAAAATATAAAAAATAATAATTGGACCATATAAACAAATTTTGTGATACATTTTCCTATCAATAAACTAGCTAGTTAGCTATCTAACTACCTATCTATCTTAACTAACTCTCCGAATAACAATTATTTATATTCAAATATCAACTTTACTATAAAATATTATATATATTACTGCTTAATCAATTAAGTATTTAATTAATACATAAATTAAATCAATATGTTTGTAAATTTAACGACACATACAAAATATACTTTAAAACATAAAATTCATTTAATCTAATTAAGTTATAAAAAAATTTTTCATTTTTAATTGAATAATTAAGGTTATTAAATATATTTTTTTTTAAGAAACAATTATTTTTATAATTACAGTGAATGATAATTTTTTTTAAATAACAGTAAATTAAATCAATATTTTTCTATGAAATTCTAAAGAACAAATTGAATGAAGCAGGAGATCGAATAATAGAAAGATGATGTATTTAAAAATTAGAAAATTAATAGAATAAATGATGAATTAATATGAGATATTAATTTTTTAATTAACTCTCAAATGTTGCTTTAAATTAACAAAATTTAAAAAAGTTTTAAAAGTTTTATTGATGTTGTATTTTTAAATTGAAGTTTAATGAATTTAAACTAAAATTGAAATCTATAAATTAATTATATATTATATTTTAAGTTAGAAGTAACCAATTAATGATTTAAATATGATTATATTAATCAATAATTATATTATTAATTACTATTAATTTGCTTACAGTACCTTAAAAATTTTAAATTTGGTTACATACACTTTAAATTTCAAACAAAAATGGAAATGGACTAAAATGAAAATATTTTTTTTTATTTTTGGGTATATACTTTATTTAAATTCTTAAAGATTGCTTGTTGAATAGAAATAAAAAAGATAAGTCAACAATTAAAGTATGATAATGGATATAAAAAATTTAAAGCATGCATAAAATTTTAGAATATATTTATTTATGACCAAATAAGCAAACTATAAATGACACAATATATGATTACATTTGATTGAGATGAAACAGATAAAATTGTATGTAGATATAATCAAATAATAATAATAATATATAAAATATCACATATAAATGACGCATAACATATTTTAATATCTTATATTTTCTTCTTTTAGAAACTATGTAGAAAAAGAAATTTAAATGGAAATATCTTTCTGATAGTTAAAAATTAAATTATTAAAAATAATAATTGATAAATATTGAAAAGTTTAAAAAAGGGAAAAAATATTATGGCTATTAATCCTGGTATATTAATTGCTTTAACAATAGTTTTAGCAACTATCTTTTTATTCCTCAAGAAAAAAAAAGGTATCTTAGTTTGATTCATAAGAAAAGGAATTCGATGCTATCTAAAGAATATTATAAAATTAAAGAAATAAAATTTTATTTTTGAATTTCTTGTTCATTAGCCATTTTGTTTCATAGAAACTCTGCTAAAAATTTTTTAAAGTTTACTAAACTATAAACATAAATTTATTCCACTTGACTCAGCAGTACTGAATTAGCAATACAAACATCTAAAATAAAATAGCAGCCACCAACTAGAAAACAAAGCACATATATCTAACTAAAATGCTTTCATTTATTTTTAAGAAGTGAATATATTTTAATTTTGGAAACGAACATAATTTATAAATTTTAAATTAGACCTCATGCTTAATTTATCCTCAAGCAATAAAAACCTATTTACTTATTTGGTAATAAAAGCAAACGAAATCCTTATAATTAATTCCTTTTAATTTCATTTTAATAATTATTTTATTTCATATTTATTTTTATTTATTTTAGGAACTGCTCCTTCCAATTCAGCTTTAGGCGTAGTTGGACCCAATGGAAAATTGAAAGTTATCCTTAAAGAAAGATAAACTCTTTCTCATGATACCTTCAACTTTGTCTTTAAGTTACCTAATGAAGAATAGATTTTTGGTGTTCCCGTTGGAAATCACTACATTATTCAGTAAGATAGATTATTTGATATTAGCAGATTTAGTAAAAAATTAAATATTCTAAAATAGTGCTAAAGTGAATGGTGAAGATGTTAGCAGAAAGTATACTCCTACTTCTGTAGTAAACCAAAAGGTAAATAAGCAGTTTTTATTTAATTAAAGAAAAATATAATAATTGAAATATAAAATAAACAAAATAATTTTAATTTACTTCATACTTTTATAGCAGAAAATGATTATATTAGAATAGCAAAAATTGCTTAAAAATAAATAAATTGATTATAATTTGCTTAAAACATATTTTCAAATAGCTAAATTATTTATTTTTTTATTTATGAATTTCTTTATCTATTTAAAAGGGCACTTTTGAATAAGTCATTAAAATCTATCGTCCAAATGTTCATCCTAGATTCCCTGAAGGTGGTTAATTGACTCCATATTTAGAAAAGCTTCCCGTACATATCTATTTCAAAATAACTTATAATTTTATTTTCTTTTTTTCATTTAGATTGGATCTGAAGTTGAAATTACTGGCCCTCATGGTCATTTAGAATATTTTGGAAATGGTAAATGTGTTATAAATAGAAAGTTGGAAAATGGAAAAATCCAAAAGAAAACTTTTAAAAAAATGTACATGGTAGCTGGTGGTACTGGACTTACTCCTATGTATTAGATTATTTAGCAAGTCTGCAACGACCCTAGCGATAACACAGAACTTTACTTACTCTATGCTAACAAATCTGAAGTAATTAATTAATTAATATAAATTTAATTTATATTTTTAAATTCAATTTTAATTAAACAGGAAGATATTTTGCTTAGAAAAGAACTTGAAGAATATGCTAAGGACAAAAGATTCAAGCTTTTCTACACTCTCGATACAGTAAATAAATAAATAAATTTAATTGAATCATAATATTAAAAACTTTTTAATATCAAATATAGCCTCCTTAGGAAGGATGGAAACACTTTGGTGGTTTTGTAACTGCTGATATGCTCAAGCAATGCTTCCCAGAAAGAGATGATAATATACTTTGCTGTTCATGTGGTCCAGTTCCTATGACTAATCTTGCAAGAAAACTTTTCTTAGAATTAGGATTTAAGGAAGAAAATTATTATAAATTTTGAAAATAATTATTAATTTATTTGTATTGCATTGGCTTATAAATGTTATGCTTTAAATCATTAATTTATTAGAAAAACATCTCATAAATAGTATATTGGAAGTCTATAATTTCATTTAAAGAAAAGATAAAATAAAGGCTCATTATAATATTCTAATTCATTATTTTAATTCTTAATCTACTTAATTGAAAAATTAATAATTTTTACAGATTTAAAAAGTGAATGAATGAGTAGCTCTTAAATATTTTTTAACAACATTATAATTCTTCATCCACTACAAAAAAATTTATCATCATTTCAAAATAGAATATTCTTAAGCACAGCAATTTTAAAAAAGTAAATCAAATTTCTTAAATTATTTTGTATTTATTGATAAAATTTGAATAAATTTTAGGGAAAAAAAAAAAACATAGCATTAAGAAACAGAAAATAAAGAAGAACAAAGATTTAAATATTGAATTAAGTAATTAGAAAAAAATAAAAAATATTTTAATCATTTAGTTAAATAAAAAATTATATTATATAATTAATCATATATCCACTAACTTAAATTTATTAAAATCATTTGTTAGAATAAATTTCTCAACACAAATAAAGTTTATACAAAAAAATAAAAATTTTGAGTAAAAAAAAATGATTAAAATATAAAAATATATAAAAAACAAAAATTATTTTATTTGATTAAGATTAAGATTAAAAACAATAAAGAAGCAAGCTAATTGTAAAAAAAAAAATTATCATTATTATAGTTGTTGCCAAATTTTAAATTAGAATAAATTTTTAAACAAAAATTATAAATTTAAAGGAAATAGAATGATTTTTATTTAAAAAGTGGAAAAATAAATTATAAAGCAATCATACTATTTGAGTTAATTAAGATTAATAGACTATAAAGATGATAAATTGTTATTAAACTAAATAATCTTTTATTTTAATCATATTTACTAAACATTAATTTATTGAACATCCTATTTTAGAATAAACTTTTTTTAATCTGATAACTCCTTCTTAGGATATTAATACTCGAGTAAGTTTTCTATAATTTAAAAGAGTTCTTCTGCTATTTTAATTTTAGATTTTTTTCTAGATACTGATAAAGATATGTGATTATTAAAGATTTCCTCTTCAGAAACATCGAAATAAGCAAGTGGCAGTCCGTTGAGTTAAAATATTTTGTTTTTTAGATTCCTTTTTCCTATTAGGGATCCATCAACATTTTGATAATTTTTTCCTGTGATTTCTATACCAATAAGCTTATCTAGTCTTTTTGAGTATAAAAGGATATCAATTTCATATAGATAAATCTTTTAGTTTGTTAATATTATGAATTCGTCTTCTAAATTTTATTATTTTAACCAATACATCAAACTATTCAGACTAATTAATTCTTGCTTTAAGTGTTTTTGATTAGATTCTAAATTATATTCTTAATTGAATTTTATGCCTGTTTGATTTTTTATCTCAGATTTGATATTTTCAATAACTCCTTTTAAGTTGATAATACTCTCTCTACTTTCACCTTACTTTTACTCAATCAAATAACCCTATAAAATATTTAATTATTCAGTTCAATGTGAATTATTTATAATAATAATAATAAATAAATATTACAGCTCTCATGTGGTCAAGAATTTATTAAAATATGGAAGAGTTAAAGAAATCTTAATTAATAGCTTCTGGCATACAAGAATAGTAGTAGCATAGAACATTAAATAAAATATCTATTTAAAAGTAAGAAATATTGTTAAAGGAATCACTTTCTTTTGTTAAATGTATAAATATTTCTTTGACAATTTAAGGTTTTATTTTCACATTGGTAGAGGGAGATATTAATAGCCATCTGAGTATTTGAGCAATATCTTTGCTTTTTAGAATCTTTTAAATTCTGAAAGATTCAATAATATCGTAAAGCTCTTAAGACCCCTTTCCTGTTTTTACCCATAAATCAATAATTTTTTCTGCAACATTTTCTTATTTTTGAAGCTATTCTTTCTTTGAGATGAAGAAATTATTGAAACTTTATTACAATACATCGTTTATAGCTCCTGTGATTCCTATTGAATAATATAAACTCATAGCTAAATCTATTTCTTAGATATTAGAAAGAACTTCTATAGTCTTTTGCTATTGAGAAGCAAAGAATTAATTGCGGTGGTATCCAGAAAAAAATGTTTGATGAGATTTTTAGATTTTCCAAATAATTGATGCCAAGTGGTAGAGAGTTAACACATAAGACTTAGGGTTGGGATCTTTAATTGGACATTTTTCTAAATTGCTTAGCAATTATAGAATTAACTTAGGAGAAATTATATTTACAAGATCCTCTTCTTTGAAAACGACCATTGACCTGAATAAGTCGCTGCTTTCATTGTAAAACTTCTTGCAAAATACATCTACTGAATTCAATAATTGAACGAAATGGTAGTTATATCCTTTAATTTTGGAAACAACTACTATGCACTCAAAATACTCTCTCCAAATATTTGGGTTAATAATATTCATATAAAGCATTAATTCATTTAAATTTCTCAAAAAGTATATGAACTGCTATTGATTTTTATCATCTAGTTTTTCAAATCTAATTTTTTGCTTCTGCATGTATTTGACTGCTATTTGGATTAACTCAATAATCTTTTTTTATTGATACATTTCTTTATCTCTGAGTTACATAATATAATTCAACTTGTACTTAAATTCAACACATTTATTTAGACCAAGCTTGTTTTCCATAAACTTCATTCTATCTTCAATAGCATCGTTAAAATATTGACTTTGCACTAATTGATCACACTCATCTCTTGTATCACCTAGTTTGATAAATTAAACTTCATGCAATTTATAATACTAACTTTTTTAGTTTTCTATGGAGCATCTAAATCTATTTAAAAATGTTAACTACTAAAATTGCTAGGATTTAGCCCCATTTAATCCTAACTTAAGTAACTATTAACTTATTTACCTAAACATACTTTTTTAGTTTTATATATCTTTTTTTGATCAATAATTTTTGAAATTTAACGAAGAAAAATCTAGATTAATAGTTATAAAGAAAAATAACAAAATAATTTGTTTAGATTTTATAAAAGCCAATAAATGAAAATTATTAACTAAATCAGTATTTATTTAAATTTCTCCTTTTAAAATAATAGTAGAACTATCTATAATAAATATTTATAAATAGATAAATAAATATTGATAGGAGCATTCTTTCATGAATTTATAAGTATATTTATTAATCAAATTACAAATAATCAAAAAAAACGTTTTTTTATAAAATTAAAACTCAAAATTTATTTTAATTTTATTTTATTTTATTTTATAAAAGAGAGAGTGAAATATGTTCAAAAATAAAAATTGAACAAAAATTTATTTAGAATTTCATTAGTCGAATAAATATTTTAGAAAATAAACAAATTAGAGTTAAAATATTAATTAAATATTTAAAATTTTAATTTTCTTTTGTATTTCAAAAATAATTATATCAATGAATGAACATTATTTTTATTTCTCATATTCATTGTATTAATATCATTTAACTAAAATGTATGGGTTTTTTAAATCATGTTGATTATATTAACATCATTTAAATAAAACCAGTAGATTTTTTAAATCATATTTATTATATTAACATTACTTAAATAAAGTGAATAGATTTTGAAAATCTGAAATCATAAATAAACAAACAATTTAATTAAATAATAAAATAATTATTATATGAATATTATATAAAAAAAGTATAATCAAAAACAATAAACGAAGATTTAAGTTGATTAAGTAGCATAAACAATTATTTTTTCTTGCATATCTTGATATATTATGAAATTATAATCATAATATTTTGTAATTTTTATTTATAAAAATATTTTTTATAATTTTTGTCAAAAAATATTTTAGAAAATATTTATTATTTGTTTTTAATTTAAATTTTTGCTTTAAAATAAGTTAAGAGATGATAAATAATGCTTATATTTTATGCAAATACTACCTTTAATTTAAAAAATTTTTGTAATTTCCAAATAAGAAACTTACTTACATAGATTAAAGCTTATTTAAATAAGCTTTCAGAAAATATTAAAATTAGCAAATTTATTAATAGAACTATATCTCTCTGCTATTAAATTTTTATATTATTTATAACTATTGCAAATACATATTATGATATTTTATGTTACTATTGCTTTATTAATCTCTTAAATTATAATTTTAGTATGTATAACGTATTTATGAAATTAATTGTAAGGGTAAAAGAGTCTAAAGTTGAAGAAATATTTAGCTTCATACAGTTTTAAATACAATTAGCAAACATAAAAATATTTTCAAAGATTTGCTTTAGGGAAATGTTTTATTTATTTTTTAGCATTTTTTTTATTTATAATGAATGCTACATCTGAAAAGAAAAATTAAGTTTATTTATTTTTAAGAATAAAATGAGTTTTTAATTTATTAGGCAATCTAAAGACCAGAGAGTATTAAGGCAACATGTATGTATCTATATAATTAATTTAAAATATAAATTTGTATTATTCTATTTTTAAGCTAGAAGACTTTTGCGTAAAATTTAAATATTTATTATAAAAAAGTAAATAATTAAGGGTATGTTATAGATAAATTTACAATCTATTATCTTATCTTCACTAATTTTTTGTAAAAAAAAAATAAACAGATCTTTAAATTTTTAAATAATTCAACAATTAATAAAGTGAAAGAATTCTCAAAAATTGTGAATTTTTTATGATAATTTTTAATTTTTTTCCATTCAAATCAACAATAAGAATTCAAATAATAAATGAAAAAAAATTAATAATTTCCATTTATATTTAATGACCAAAAATCTTATCTAAATACAATAATATATTTGTATAAAAAGAAAAAATGAGTAAATTAATAACTGTTAGTTAGTTAATTAATTTAGAAAATGAATCTACATCCAAATATAGAAAAATTAAAGAAAAATCTAAAAAAATGCTTTTTTAAAACTGGTTGACGCTCCTCTAATGGAATGTCCTAAATTTAATTTTGAAAGAATACGACATGAGTTTATATGAAGAGAATATAATTTATTTTAAGAAAGATATTAAAAGAATGACCTCAATAATTAATTTTAATTGCTAATTATTTATATAATTTATAATATGTGATAACTACAATTGACTTTAAATTAGTTTTAATAAGTCAATGCAAATAATTTATTATATTATTTGTTTTTAATTGCTTGTTTATCGCTAACTAATTTACATTGATAGAAAAGCAATATGATTAAGCTTTCTGAATCTAAATGTTATTAAATTTAATATTTAATGTAACCAAAAGAACACCAAACAAATAAGGTTGTAATTTTAATCAGAATTAAATAAGAGTGAATTTGCTCCAATTTTAGTTCATTTCAGCTTATTCTTATTTAAGTAAATTGGCTCGTTTTCAATAAATTGAAAATAAATACATCTATAGCTAATTTTATTTTTAATGACGTATGCCAGCATTTTATCACCTCTTATTTAAGTCAGAATATTAGGTTTAAGATATTTATGGTAAGAGATGAATTAATTTGAATTATGAAGTGATATGAAATCGTAAATTTATCTTACTATTCTTTGGAATCACATTTAGGCATCATTACTGCAAAATTATTTCGTCATCTAAACGTGAAAAAATTAATTAATTGATTTTTTCTTTAAGTCAAATGCTCTACTGTAAAGTATTCGATAATTAAAAATCTATTTTTTGTGTGTGTCATTATTCTATCTTATTCTAAAATGATAGCTAGATGAATAGATAGATAGATTGATCAATTGACTGATTGACTGTTTAAGTATTTTTAATTAATGTAAATTTGTTGCTTGCAAAGTATCTTTATTTAATTTAATTTATCAATTTTCAGTGGCAGATACTTTTTACCCATAAGCAATAGATTTCAATAAAGTTCAAAGAGTTATTTACTTTAATAAGTTATTGATTTTAAATAATTTAATTCTGGATAACTCACTTTATTTTTTTTTTCTATTTTGATTAGTCAACTTGTAAATTTTTTTTAGTTCCATAAAATACCGATTATATAAATAGTGGTTCATAATTGATATCATTTGCTTAGTGCTGAGTCTAATTAATTCAAATTAAGGCTTAGAGTGTTCTTACTTTCAATTTGTTTCGTAGCAATACAATAAATTTTCAAAAGTATATTTAATGTATAATGAATTTTTCAGAAGTTAATATATAAATAGAAATCTTAAGCTATATTTTAAGCTTAGAACTCTTATTTAACTTCCTATTATAAACTGAATAGTTTAACTAAATAAAACGATTCTAAGTATAGTAAAAGCGAAGTGCTTTTTAAGTTGATTTATTTCAATCTATTATCACTATTAAGCTTATTTAATGACATCACTTATCAATTTTATGGAGAGTCTTAGATTCATTTAGCAATTAAAATTCGATAAAATTTCAGTACCTTCTTAGTATAAAATGGATTGTTGTTTATTGTTTTAAAACAAGTTTGTTTATAGTATATTTTTAAAGTTTTAGGTCGAATTATATTAGTTTTAATTCATTCATTTTTTTTGAAATTTAAAAAAGATTATTTTTACATTAGATATGATTTATGTATGATTTTTCATATTTATAAGATATCAAAAAAGTATTAAGTCCTCATTTAATTGTTTTCAGTCATGAGGAGAGTTTTCTTAGTCTTAACGAAGTAAATAGCGATAATAAAAATTAGTAAGAAGGACGAAAAGAATGCCTAATACAACCACATCGTCAAGGATTCCAAAAATACCAAAAATGCATTCAGGAAGAAAATCTAAAGGACTTAATATATAAAGTAAGCCAACAATAAAAAAGTGAGATGAGCACATATGTCCTAGCATATACATTATACCTTCACGAGTAAAAATAAAATTTATAGTTCTTTAGAAAAGGAAGGGTGATTCTCTTATTTTAGAGTAGAGCTTTTTATTTAGATAAGTAATGATAAGTAAATATTATGATATTATTTGTTAGTTAGTTAGACATATTAATCTTAAAATATCTAAGTCTATAAATTCTTATATATTGTTTAAATACTTAAAAGAGTAACTTTTTAAAAAAATTTTAATTTGAGTAGGAAATAATGTTTTCTAATGTAATCAAAAGATCCTTCTTAAAGGTATCTTGTTTTATTGCTGTTAATGTGCTTGTTTATATTAAGTTATAAAAATAGACTTTTTTATAAGGAAGGAATTAGGGGATTGATAGAGTAAATCAAATTTCTTAACTCATCAAAAAAATTAAAAAATCTCTCAAAAATTCACCAAATAATTTTGTTTGTTTATTTATTTGATTTACATTTATTTTGTAACTTGAATATGGATTTTATCATATTATTATGAATAGAGAAAGATAAGAAAGAATATGAATCTTACAGAACGGTTTTTAGGAGCAAAGGTTGAATTATATTATCTTATTTTTTGACGAATTTCTATTAAATATCTGTCTCCTTCAGCTTAAAAATCTCTGTATATCATATCTATATTTTTTCTGCAGTACATACATTTTATTTTTTTGTTGTTTCCATTTTCCCAACATTAGATAGCGCATTCAGCTTTAAAAATACAATAAAAATAATTAATAAACTATTAATACCCAGCTATTGTAATGTAATTATGATAAAAAAATTTGATTTAGATAGAACTATTTTTGCTAGCTTAATAAATATTTTAATTCCTTTTTTAGATATTGAATATTAAATTCTATTTACAAAAGGTTGTGATGGAATTTAAGATTTAAAATAGAGCTTGAAAAAAATAAAAAATAAGATGATTAAATTAAATAAGTGTTTTTTTTGATGATTTTTTTATCATGTTTGTTGATAAAAATTTGCTGTTTTTACTATTAACAATTAATTAACTTTTTTAAAACAACAAACAAAAGTTTTTTGATTGCTTATTATTTTTAGGATTTAGCTAATAAATAAGAATAATATTTACCACAACAACTGTGTTAGCATGGAAAAATAACTTTATTTTTTATTTGGTTGTAGCAAATACAACACTCTTTTTCGCTATATTTGCGTCCAGGTAATGGTCTTGCTTGCTGACAGTAAACGCAATCTAAGCACAAATCATCAGGCTGATGGTTTGGACATTAGCCATCGAATAGCTTTGTTATTGGCGAAAGAATAAATTTCTTTGTTTCATTGATCAAATATGTAATGAGTGAATACAATCCCATGAAGATTGTAGCAATTATAACAAAAAAACGCATAGTGGGTGGAGTTGTAGAATTGCAATCTTGGTTAACAGCTCTTTGCTGGTTTTAATTTTATGGTGAAACGCGTGTATTTGTACTCTATTAAACAGGTAAAGCTTAATTTATTTATATGTTTTGTCCCTCTAGTTGACTAGGTGCAACTACTACTGTTTACTAGGCTATTTCTTAAACTTATTAAGACAGATCTATAAGCTGAGTTCCAATAGGTTCTATGTTAATACTCATATAAAATTTTGCTAAATTTGAAGAATTTTTTTCTTCTTAAATATCTATTGTAAAATATTTTATGAGTCAGGTTGGTTTAGGTATTTTTTTTGCGTTTGCTTGGTAATGGTCTTGGATTTTTTCAATAGAGTTTTTTGAATTACTTATATTAATTTCTATCTAATAAGGCTTTTTTAGTTTTTGTTTGTTTGTTAGTTAGTTAGTTAGTTAGTTTCTTCTTTTGTTTCTTTTTTAGAAAATATTATGTCTGCTTTTATAAATTCTTAATTAATTATTTGTTATTGCGTATTTTTTGTTTCTTTGACTGCCAAATATATATACTTTCTAAGCCTCCCTATTGAATTTCCCTCTTAATTAAATAACTAAAAATTAATAAGCAAATTAAAGACTCAGGAAATTAGCTTGGGAGTAAAGAAATATATTATCATTTGAATCAATCAGATTTATATCAATCTATAGAATAGCTAAGATAAATATTTATTTTTAAAATCTACAAGCAATTAAATCCTTTGACAACTAATTAATTATTGTCATTTAAAACTTTAAATTTTGATTGATTGATTTTATTGATGTTTCAAGTTAACATTTTTTTTTGACTGATTTTTTAATTGTAATAAAACTGGGTGATTTTAAGATAAAATCTGACAATTCTCATCATTTTTACTTTTAATTAAAATACAAATTCTTCTTTTTCTATCAAAAATTAAAAAGAAAATTAGTAATCAAAATGATAATAAATAATTCCCAAAAAATAAACATACAAACAAACACACACACACACACATATTCATTCACTCTTCTTTATATGAAAATAGTGTTTAATATTAATTTTCCTCACTTTTTTTGAATATTAAAAGGGACTATTCAACTTTTACAATTAATTTTTATTTTAAATAAGTAAGATAGAATGAAATAGAATGCTATTCATTATCCTTTTTAAAATCATGAAAAAAAAAATGGCTAAAAAGTAATATAACTAAGAAAAAAACTGTTATTTGTATTTGATTTCATCAAAAATATTTAATTTTTAAAAATAACATTCACTATTTTTTTTAGTAATCTCTTTAATTTATCAAATATTTTCATGTAATACTTATTTAAAAATAAACAATCTAAATTTCAATAAGAATTTATGTAAAAATATATTCTATTTTAAAGAATTTTAGGCAAATATATCATAAGAGTAAATGATTTATAACAATAAAATATTTTCGCTAAGCGAATAGCACTAGCCTTAAGTAGGAAGATCAGAATTGGCTCATCTTACTCTATCATTTGATTTAAGGCATTTCAAATTATAAATATAATATAATTGCATAAATTTTCTGTTTTTTTAGATAAACAAAAGAAATATTAAAAAGTGTTATCTAATTCAGTTAATTTAAATTACATTCGAGAGATAATTATACAAAACTAAAATAATTATATTATGGATGGCTTACATATGAGGAAAAATGAGGAAGCAAGTTTATGCTTAGACTAAGAACTGTTTTCATTTGTTATCGACTTCTATTTTATAAATAAACTGGTGGGGAAATAAAGGAGAAAGTAAAAAAAGAAAAATCATGATTGAATTTAATTATTTTTTTTTGATCTTGAATTTGTTTCATCATTTTAACTCTAAAAAAGGGAATTCTTTCAGACTATTAAAGCAGCATGTACGAATTTTATTAAACCAATCTTTAATTAATCAGAAGCAATTTTAAGAAACTAAGATGAAAAAAGATAGCACATAAATTCCCTAATTTTTAAATATTAAAAGCAACAAAAATCATAAAAATTTTTCAGCAAATCCAATAAAAAATGAAAATTTGAAAAGATTTTACTTCTAAAATAATAATTATATTAATTAATTAAAATTTAGGCTTTAAATTATTTAAAGTTATTTGATGTAAAAATTTATTTAGACTGTTTCTTTTTTATTATTTTCCAATGCATAAATGATTTCTCACAATAATTTACTATTTATGGAAAGAAAATATTTATAATCAAAGAATTTGAAAGACACCAGAATTTGTAATTATAAATTTTAATTTACATTTAATACCAAAATTCATCCAATTCTATTTTTATATTTTCTTTTTTAATAAATATGGAATCCAAGCCATACATTTGTTTTATAAATAAATACATCAAGTTATATTTTAAAGCTTTGATAGATGACTCATATATTAAAAATAATTAACTCAGTAAAAGCTGAATAGAAATAAATTTACATTTTATTTATTTAAGATACCTGTTATAATACTAAAAACCACAAAAGAAATAATAAAATATGACTGTAAATAAGTTAGTAAGAATAAAATAATTAGGTATTTGGAAAAAAACCTAATTAATGTTGACTTAATAATATCAAATATTAGTCATATATTTATTAAAATCTAATTTTATAATTAAAGAATATTATGCTTTTATCTAATCATTAACAACATACATAAAACCCACAAATACAATTTCATTCATTTAATTGTATTTTTTTTATTCCTAAAATAAAATATTGAAATATTTTGTTTACACTAATTAAAATTTTAATTTTTTTCTAATCTCTATATGATGCTATTTATTTTAAAGAGACTTTCAAGGTTAATATTTACCTAAATTTTTGAGTAAATTATCTATTAAATTTCAAATATGCTTTGATAATAGAAAAATCAAAAACGCTAATATGATTTCATAAATATCAAACTAATATTGTGTGCTAAAATAATACTAAAATTAATTTTTATTTTGACTATAAAAAAATAATAAGTAAATACATATTTATAAATATTAGTGTAAACACTTAACATTAAACAATAACTTTCATCAATAAAAAGAAAAAGGATAAATATTTAAAATATTTACTTAATAAAATAAATACAAAAGCCAACTAATTACATTAATTAATGAAAAAAGGTACCATTTTTTAATAAAATTCATCAAATTATATATTTAGGCTTTAAATTTTTCAAAATTTGTTGATTTTGACATAAGAGAATCATTAAAGATTCACTTTAATTTTCCCTTTTAATTATTTTTACTTTCAATAAGATACTTTCATTAATTTTCAAATATAATTTTATTCAGTATAAAACTTTTTAAAACACAAAAAATAAAAACACATATTTATTTTATTTTTTTTGAATATTTTATTGTAAAAAAATATTAATATTTTTGAATTATGTCTATCAATAAAAATAATAAGATAATTAAAAGTTTAAAAGTTGTAAATATTATATGATTGCTAGCTAGGTAGCTATCTACACTTATAAAATAGAAATAAATATATACAGTAAGTAATATATTAATAATACCATAATAATTTTATTAAAATTTGAGAAATTTATAAATTGTAATATTATCAATCATTGAATTTAATAATCTTGGTAGTTTAATAGCTTTTTTTAGAATTTACACATATTTAGAAAATTTTTGTCTACTATTTTTAAATGCTTTAATATGCTTTTGTTCTTCAAATAAAGATTGTATTTATCTGTTTTTGTATCTTTTGTAATCATGTAACTACATAATTCATCTAATTGTTGTTAATATATGCCTCCTATTTAAATTAATAAAAATTACTAGGATAAATATACTCTTTAATAATAATTTACCTAATTCACTAATTGTTTATTTCATTTTTTCTCTGATTTCACCTTCAAAACCACTAATAGTTATTATTTTATCTCTCTTTTTGATAATAAATGATAAATTATTTTAACAATTCAAATAAAAGTAATTAAATAGTTAAACAAGTAAAATATTAATTTAAAATTTGTTCAATTTAAATTAAAATATTTGAATTAATAATTTAATTATTTAAAATAATTTGAATAAAATTGATAAACATTCAATTTAATTTATGAAAAGTATTTAAATTATCAAATAGATATTTTTATTTAATTCCAGAAAATAAATTTTACCAAAATATCTTTTAAAGTTGTCTAAAAGAGGAAATATTTTTCTGGTATTTTTCTTTATAATTCTTATTGCCTTTAAAATTTTAGAATTCTGTCAGAAAGATGATGAGGCTACAATTAAAAATGAGAATGGAGCTAGGAATTATTGTTACTTTATTACTGATTGCTATTATTTTTATTATTTATATTTATAGATACTCTCTACTTATTTTGAATACCATTTTCTTATTCTTAATTATCTTATCTATTTAGCTTATTCTTATCAAACAATTTTGATTATATTAAGCCTTTTTCTGGGTTTGGTTTGTATTTATTATAGTTAGATTTTTCAGTTTCCTAAATATTTTCTGATTTATGATTAATATTTGAGCTTTCTATTTCCATTGTATCGTTTTCATTCCAAATATTTTAATTTTAATTGTTTTTTTTGACAGAATCAACAATATTATGCTTGTTTTATTTTCTATCTATATTTTCAGGGTCTTCAAAATCTCGATTCTATAGATATTTTTTATATTTATCATCAATTTAATCGTTTTCAATATCGTCTTTAACAATCTCTTCTTCCATCACATTTTTATGGTTGTTTTAGTTAGTATGATTTTAGTTTTTTTAGTTTTAGGCTTTATTTTGATTAGACTCCTTGTCTTCTTTGGAATTGATAAAACTTTAATTTCCATTTAAGGAGTCATCGTTATATTATATATTTATATTAACTTTTTTGTTTTCACTTAATTTCATCAAATAATTTTATTTTTTTTCGCTCTTCTAATAATTTTATTATTTTTAAGATTAAATTTCTTCATCTGTTAAATCTTTTTATTTCTATTTGACTTCTTTAATTTCTTCTTCTTCCATTAATTATGTTGAATTACTTGTTTCTTTTATTTTTTTAATTTCCTCTTCCATTTGCTGGTCTTCTAGCTTCTTCTTCTTTTCTTCTTCCTGTTTACTTAATTCAATAGCTTTTTATAATTGAGCCTCAAACGACTCATTTTCAATATTTTTATTTTCTGATTATTTGAACTCAACATTCATTTTATTTACATTATTCTTATTTTAAATTTCCACTTAATCATCTTTTTTATTTAAATATGTATGATCGTTATCACTTTCATTTTCTATAGTTTAAGTTTCTATCGAGTCATAAGAATCATCTTTCTTTTCTAACTATTAAATTAGCTTCTTTTCTTCTTCTTTTTTCCTATTTTATTCATCTAATTCTTTCTTGCTCATTTCTATAGCTTTTTGAATATCATCATCTTCATTATTATTATTTGTAAGTTAATAATCCAAAATAGATTTTTATTATTTATTTTCTTTAAAAAGTTTATCAAATGATTTCTCTTATATTATATGATTTCTTTATTATTTGCTATTTGAGTATTAATAATACGATGTTCCTTCCTTCTTATTTGATGTAGGAGAATTTTTTATATTCATAATACTATTATAGCCACCGCCTCCTTCTGGAGCTTTTAGAGTTTTTCTATTTGCTTCACTTGGTTTATCAATTTACAGTAGCTATCTATTAAAATATATGAATAATTAAAATATTTTGATCATTAAAATAATACAAATATTAATTTAATTTTGCATTTCAAGATTATATCTTTGTTATAAAATCTTTTACTTGATATTCATTATCATTAAAATAATAAAAATTCTTATTCATCAAAAATAGCAATAAATGAATAAATAAGTTTATATTGTCTATTTATTTTTTGATTTAATATATAAAATTAAATGAATTTGTCTAGACCTTATTATAAAATTTAAAACTTAAACAATAAATTACAATTGCTTTTTGGTTGTCGGTTATGGTTAGAAGTTGTTTAATGAAATCTGATTTTATATATTATTAGGAGGTTTTGTCTTTTCGGGCAACTTTATGTTATATTAACCATGACCCTTTTTTTCTAATAGTATGTAGAAGAACTTTAGAATGTCACTTTTTTCTTTGTAATAAGGGTTTGAAAAGGTAAAAATTACAAAATTAACTTTTTAATCGCAATCCTAATAAAATAATCATAATAATTATATCTTTTTTAATTGATAAAATACTTACTATCTCAAATATCTTCTCTCTTAATTGGTCTAAATCTTCTTTCAGGAATTCATCTTTTTAAAGCAAATCAAAAACTCGCTCATAAACATTTTTTACCTGTGGGGTCCCTGCTTACAGCTAAATTTTTACTTTCGGTACATTCAAATTTCCTATTTTGAATATTTTAGAGTTTAATTATGATTTGAGATTAAGAGTTTAATTTTATTAATTATGCAAAACCTATTCTTATTCTTTGAATTGTATCCTACTAAACTAAATTTAATTTTATAGTAAATTCTTAGCTATCCGAGCTTGCTAAATCACAGTTATGTTCACTCATTATACGATCTTTTATAACCCAATCTATTTTGGCTAGATTAACTATTTTATATTTAATGTTTTACATTTTATCCCTATTTATCTGGTTTAGTCAATTATTTTATTCAACTTAATAACTATTAGCTAATTATTATTTATTGAAATTTTCAAAAATTGATTATTTTTTAAAGTTTCAAAGTTAGCAAAATACACTATAAATTATGTCGGATTTAATTTGTTTTAATCATTAAATCTTTTTAGAATATTCATTTTCTAGAATTATTTCTGAATTATTTTTTCTTTTAAAGTAAGCATAGTTAAAATATTTTATTCATAATTCACTTGAAAGTTTTTTCAAACAAATTTATAGAAGCTAGTTAACTGAATATCGAATAGTAAGTAAATTTTTGATCTGATAAAGTATATTTCGAAATTAAATAAATATTTTAGATAAAGGCGCCAACATTTATTTATTTCTTAATTTATTATTCTTAGATATTTTTTACTAACACTTACAAAAGAAAAATCTAAAATTAAAATTAATCAATTTATTTGATAATATTGTAATAATAAATAAAAATAAAAAAATGTGATATTATTTAATAAATTTCTTTAAATAAATTAATACTAAATTACACTAAATAAGGTAGATTTCCTGCTCAAAATGTTTGTTTATTCATGATTTTTGGGGTAATTTATTATTATTAAAACCTTGCTGAAATATATTTTTATATTATCTTTATATATTTACAAATATTGCCTTTATAAATATCATTAAAAAAAACATTAAATTCGCTCAGTAGTGTTAAAATAACCTAGAAAGAGGTACCAAATTAGCCAAGTTATTTTAACTATTTTCAAAGACTTATTAAAAAATTATTTTTTAATTACTCCATTAAATAATTAAAAACAAAAAATTCTCAAAATATCTATTAAATTTTTTTAAATAAATATTTTAATTCTCAATACCTCAAAATATTATGAATTAAATGTACAAAATAATTATTTATTTTTAGCTTTTTGAATATATTTTTATTTATTTATTTTTAAAAGAAGCTAGGATACTATTGTATACAAAATTATCATTATAAAACATAAAAAAAGAATAATTTGGTTAATTCCTGAATTAATTCATTGGTAATATTTTTTATATATTTATTTGTTTGGATAATCTCCAAAAGTACTTTTATCTAAGATTTTTGACATAAATTTCTATCTCTTTATTGCATTTATTAGGTTAAATTGTATTATATCTTTTTAAGCTTGTTTTATAATATCTTATTCGGTTTGTTTCTTTGTTAGTTTTTTTGTCTCCATGTTATCTTGATTCTTAATTTCTTCAATTTGTGGGTTTGTGGGAAGTCTATCTAATATTTTAGTTAGAGAAATTTCTTCCTAAGAAGGATATACTCCTTTTATTTTATCTAAATACTCTAAAGATAATTGAGAATTATTAAGTGAAGACTTCAATTCCCCTTAATCATAGAATTATAACTTTTTAACAGTAGCCGAACCTTGCTTGTTTACATTTTTTTCTTTTGGTGTGAATTATTTTGTTTAAAAATCATTGTTTTAAGATGGAATTTATGGCTCATTTTTCTTTGTTTGTAAAAATGAATTTTCATCTATTTATTCAAGTTATAATACACTCTTTTATGATTTATCTTTTATTATAGATGGCTTTTTTATAAATTTACTACTTTCTTACTAGCTGCTTTGACTACTTAATATTGGACTTTAGAAAAAGATGTTGCTTTTATCTTTCTTTTCTGGCGAAATTGACTGTGGTTTAATCAGTTTTGCATCACTTTTTTTATCGCTAGTTTATATTTTAAGAGACTCTCCAAACGACATACTTTTTTAAAGAGAATTTTTATATAAATAAGTATTGTATGTGCTATTCTATTTAGGAGATTAAGTATTAACATCTTCCAACATATTATACTCTGAAAAAGCGGAGAAAAGCTTCTTTCTCTCTATCTCTGCTACTTTTTTATCCTAAACAGTTATCTCTTCTATCTAATTATCTATAACTTGCTTTCTTAGTTCTTATTTTTTCAAATCTTATTTTATTGTTTTGAATAACTCCATTCTTTTCAATATTTTTATTTCTGGTTTTTGGTACAAAAATATATTTCTATCAGCTCTAATTAGTTTAACAAATTGCTTAATAGTCATTGGCCTGCTAGGAGTTTCATATTTTAATTGCCTTTAATAATCTCTGAATCTGGGCATATTACTTGTATCAAATAAATCCTCTTAATCTTCTTAGTCGTCTAGCCCTTTATATTCATTTAAATAGGGATTTTTATATTTTTTTTTTGCCTTCTTCTCTTAAAGAGCCTATCTTTTAAGCTCCTTTTGATGTTGTTTGATTGTTTCATAGAAATCTAAAATTTCCTTTTCTTCCTCTTTCTTTGGTGGCTTATAAATAATTTTTTCTTTAGCAAAATCTATATAGTAGTCAAAATTCTTTAAGTTTTAGTACAGTTTTCGATATTAATTTTCCTCAAAAAATTTAATGATATTTTCATGCTACTCATAATATTCTGGATCTTTGATGAAATCTCCAATTATTTTAAACTTCTTATCAAACTCTTCTTTCTCCTGAATTTTTCTTAACACCTACTTTTCCTCTTCTATTTCTTATTACTAAGACTTATAATTATCATATTTCTCATCATTAGGATCATAGAAGAATTCATACGGATAAACCATATCCCCAAATTCTTACTAAGTTAAGCCTAGTATTCCTTCAGACTAGCTAAATCTATTCTTTAAGAACTTGAAATCCTAGTATTAATATTTCCCATTTCCATTAACTTACATAAAATCATCAATCCTAACATTTAAAAAAATACATTCAAATCTAAACAACTTTCTTAATTTTAACATAAAGATAAATAATACGACACATTAATTATTTACATTTTAGGTGTGATGTGGCCTGTATTGCCCTTCATAAAAACTTAAATTGCTAGCTTGAAGCTCCATGAATATTTTTCAGCAATAGAAATCTTTAAATCCTACAAATCTGAAAATAATTTAACCTCCTTCTCAATTAATTCTGATAATTTTTATTCAATCAAAGGTGATATTTTTTTCCCTTAATCAAATACAACTCCTAAGCTCTATTTTACAACTGAGTCAATCATATCTTCATCTCCTTAGGGCAGCACTAATTTTAGAAAACTGAGAGAAAAGATAAAATTTTTGAATAAACAAATTTATATACTCCTTAAAGAACAAGAGTGACTTTAGCGAAGAATATCTATCTACTAGAAATTCTATATCTTTTTGCTTAATACTAAAACTATTTCTCCTGTTAAATTTTTAAAAAAGCTGATTTAAAAAAGAGTTAACGATCAATTTAAGATTTTATTATTACCTTAAAAGCTTCATAATATCAGGACACGATATATATTTTTACTTATCTTCATCAATTGTGCAAAACAATTAGTAACTATCAAATTTTACATGATTTATATATGTCAATTTAAATGCTTCTATCTTTTAAGAAAGTTTAAAATTTATAAGTCAAGCATAAAAATAAAATCGAATCAATACATCTTTAGCTCTATCAATAATTAACTGAATCAATTTAGCTAAAGCAACTTCATATTGATAATATTCGTAGCTATTAAATTCCATTTATTTTGTTTCTAAAAAATTGATAAATTCAGAAAATGTGTTAAATTTTTTAATAGGAATAATAAATAATAAATTCAAATTTTCATTTGATATTTTTTAATTAATTAATATTGATTTGATTTGAATCAACGATTAAAAAATTAATTGATTGCTGATCAGTTTATTTTTTTATATATTATACAACAAACAACTAATTTATTAAATAAATAAAATATTTTAGCAAGCATTATAAATTAATTATAAAATGTTGAATATTTTTTATAGCTTTTAATATAATTTTTATTTAATTCTTTTCACTTATTTCAAAACATTATTTCATGAAGGTAGAGTTTTCAAATCTTTAAATTAAAATTTTCTACCTCCAATTGAATTTAAATTATATTTTAGAAGTGATACTTTAATTAAAGATTAGTTTAAATTCTAGTCTATACAAAGTTTATTTGAAGTTTCTAGTAAATGAATCTATTGATTTATTTGGCTGTATTCAGATCTGTTTTGTGCTAATTCGTTTCTTCTTAAAGTTAAATAATTTTACTTTTCATTTAATTTTTACATATTTTCAGAGTTTGATGAACTGTATATTTATTAAGTTGGGCTGTTTATTTCAGACTTTTGAAATACCATGCTATCGTTTAGATAGCTCGAAATTTATTTATTTTTTTTGCTTTCATGATATAATTTAACATTGGTTTTGAAATTTTGAGTCTATTCATTTTAATTTGAATTTAATTCAACATGGTTAGGACAGCTTCTTAACAAATTTCTTTGGCTTGCAAAGTAATTTCTTACTTTTTATCCTTTTATCCCTTTATTTATGATTTTTTACTGAATGTATTAGTAGTAGATAGAATTTTCTATTTAATTACTATTATGCTTTGGTGTATTAAAATTCACACCTTCTATTTATTGTTCTACATGTTGGTATTTAAAGTCTTAGCATGCTGGTATATTAAATGACAGCTTTTTTAATTGAGAGTTTGTATTTATAGAAGGCCTTTTTTTAAGACTTAAAAGGCAGTTTTTTTAATTATTGCTTGGTGAATTTTACTTCTACATCAATGAAACTGATGATTTTTTAGTTTCATTTTATGAATCTTTATCATCTAAGTTTTAAAGTATTAAATTATTTTTTTCTTCGTTTAATAATTATTGGGATTATTTTTAGCTTTCTTTATTTGCTGAAAAAAATGATGCATTTTATTCTACTATTTTTTTTTGCTAAATTTTTTATTTCCAATCTTATTATTGAAATAATTCATCTGACTTTTTAAAAGTTTTATCTTAATAGCTTGTCTTTGAGCTCTAACTCTTAAGTTAATTTAATGCATTGTTGATACTGTCAGATATGGACTATTTTACCTTTTGTTTATATAAAAATTCAAATATAATTAAGAATCTATATCTTAAACACTTACTTAATTAGATTCTCGAACAGGAGAATGCACAGATTAAATTTTGTTTTTTAAATTCTTTTAAAATTCTTTTATGTTACTATCTAAGAAATTGCTTGTTTAGAGTGCCTAGTGTCCATATTAAATTAACTATCTATTAAACTCCTACTTCTACTTAAAGCTTAAATTTTTTTATCTTTATTTTTAAGAGTTATTTAAATCTTCAATTTGGTTATACTCTGTTTGACTGTTATAGTGTCCATTTTTTTTTGGTAACCCTGAAATATTTTATTTACAAAGCTTTTCAAAATCTTGATATTTTAGATCCATAATTGGTACACGCTCAAAGTTATCAGTATCAAGTTTTATTTTAATTTTACTTTTATTACTTTAAGTTGTTTATTAGTGATTATCGACATCAAATTTATTTTCTTCATGAAAATTATTTTTAATTACTTTAAGCTGGTTGTAATTTAAATCTGAGATATTTTCAACCCTTTTCAAAGAATTGGATCTCTTTTTTTCATTATTAATATTATTATAAGTTGTGAATTTAGTTGAGTCATTTTAGTTTTTTAAGAGCATATTTTAATGAAAATGCTTAGGACTTGATTGAAGACTGCTTACTATAGTGTTCTTATTGTGAATATTGGGCTCAGAATAATTTTTCACTAGAGTTTTGCTTAAAACTCTATAATTATCTTCAGGAGGATTGTCATTTTTACTAAGTTCAATTTTATATTTAATTTCATTATTGCCAGAATCTGCTTCTTAATTAATTCCATATTAATCTTCTTATTATAAAATATTTTATAAATAGAAGGTGTTTAGGTTGTTTTAATTAGATGTTTCCCAAGGTCCAAAATCGATAGCATCCTGATTGTACAGCTTATGCATATTTTAAAATATATTTTAATTCAATGAAAAGCGAGTTTGATACTTTCTACTATCAATTAATTTATTAAAATGCAAAAAATTAAATTCTTTTGAATTGATAAAATAGCAATTTACTTGCAAAACAAATAACCTATAAAATAAGAAATTAATAATAATAAATCCTACTAATATAATTAAACTATCTAATAAACATCTTTGATTCAGAATATTTAAATAAAGCTTTAAACAAATTATGGTTGAAAATTATAAAACAACTTCTAAAAAAAATCTAAATTAAAAATATAAAAAAACTTATATAATAATTTTTAGTTGAACATTTTTTATTTAGATTTAAAAATAAAATAAAATATCATAAAAATATTTTCTCATTATTAAGGTAATTAACTTCACTGAAATCATTAATTTGACCAATAAAAAATTTGAAATAATATATACTGTGTATTCATTCTGATAACATGTCATTTTTTTTGAAAAAAATAAATATTGAAATTTTTTTAGTTCAAAAACTTCCTAAAATAAGTATCAAAAGTTTAGATATTTTATTTAAAAGTACATACAGTAGGTATTTTTCAAAAATTTAGTAATATTTTATTTAGGTAATGTTTACTGAAATTATAATTTTTACAATATTTCTAAATAAGAGTTAAATTTTAAAATAATTTAAGCTTAAAAATATTCCAATAAATTTTTTAATAAAATGGTATTTCTCAGTCGATTTGTGCTTTTATATTAAATTATACTTACTTATTAAATACAATTAATTATTTAATTAAAATCTATAAATAAACAATAAATTAATTTAATTCAAAAATTTAATTTATAGTGATTAAAATATAAAATATATACATTCAAAAGTAATTTTAATAAGAAATACCTTTTAAATATGAAATAAATAATTTTTTCTTCTTTTTTCTTTTTTGAAATAATTAAATTTTTAAGTCTTGATTGCCTAATTATTATACAAAATATGTAGAATTATAAGAAGGATACATTTAATTCATCTCTTCTTTTGTATATATTATTCGTATTTTTTTGAATACAAGTTAGTCTAGTATCTATTTTCAGGGCTTATCAATCCCATAATTGTTTCATTTTAACTTTATTTTAATGCTTCCTTTAATTTAAGTATATTTGCACCTTTTTGCAATTAGAATTATCTTTATTTTTAAACAAGTTATTCGATTTATGTATCATTAAGATTACTTTAAAAATTGATTAAATTATGAAGATTTTTATTATTATTAATAGGAGAGCTAAACTAAACATTATTTTATTAATTATTCATTTACTGAGAAGAGATATATTCTCCAAATTTATAAAACTAATCCATAGGTATCTGAGTGTGCTGTAGTTGTAAATTTTTACTTTTTGTATAATCTTGTTGCTATTGATTATGATTAAATTCATTTTTATTTGCTTTAATACTATAGAATTGTTGATTAGAATTTGGAACAACTACAATTTTTTTTCTATAAAAAGGTAATTATATAAATTCAAAATCATCAGATCCTTTTGAAGACCTTCTTTACAATTTAAAAGTGTCATCATAAACTTTAATTTCTTTAGTCTTAACTTCCTATTTAATTTGAAATATTTAAGCCTTTTTAAAATTTAATTTCTCAATAGTTTTATTGACAGTAGAAATAGTTTAGTTTTATTCTTGATTAGTATTTTATTTATCATCATCAGCCTATGTCAGTTAGTTTATATTTGCATATTATTATTAATTTTCATATCCTTCTTCTTTAATTGATTAAGCTTTATTTTTAGCTGTTAAATCCTATGCCTCTATAGCATTTACTAAAGATACCCTTTTTGAATCTTCTTAAATTCTGTTATAATTAACAGGAGAAATATATTCTAAAGTTTATCTTTTCTTATTTTAATTATCATAATTTGAATACATATTTATTAGTGAAGAAGTAAAATTATTCAAGCTAGGCTTTAAGGGAGAATAAAAATATTAATTAGTCTTATCAGATTAAATTTTATTTGATAGATTAAAGTTTTTTGAACTTTAAGGGGTTTATGAATGTTCTTGCTCTGCATTTTCTGCAGCCAATTATTTATTCGAATTGTTTACTAACTTGGAAAAATCACTAAAAGTAGAAATTTTTTTATTATTTTGAATATTGTTTGAATTCATTTATTTATATTTACCCAAAAAAGTATTATTATTACTATGATATATTTTATTATTACTTCTATTGTTTCCTTTATTTTTTGATGAAAATATCAAAGAAGTGCTGTGAATATCTTTTGAATTAGGAGTTTTGATAATATCATCCACCATAATTTGTTTAGATAAACTATTGTTAGTTGTGATATTAGAAGTAGATTCCTGATTAGATTTTGATTATTATTGATATATTTTGTTTTATTAATTAGTTTAGTGTTCTTTTATTGATTATAATACTTAATTTGGCTTCTATTCTTAAATAGACATACATTCTTAATTGGTTTAATTTTCGACTGAAGTACTATTATTAGTGTCAATATTTTTACTTTAAATTTATTCTCCATTTTCAATACTTATGTTTACTGATCTACGCTAGTTTTAGTACTTGAAATTCATCCAATTTATCTTACCTCCACCAACAGAGTTTCTTTTTGAATAAAGCTACTACTAGTATGTCTTAAAAAGTTAAACCTTATTTACTTCTTTGGGAATCTACTTCTCTTTATTTTATTCTAGAGATGTATTGCTATCTTTTGAATTTATACCTACATTAGATTAGGACTATGAAGGCATATTATTTATGATAGTTTAAGAATAGTAACCTTAGTAGTCTTAATTGTTTTTTTTAAATTTAAAAGTTTAAGGAGTGCTTGGTTATTACAAATTATTCAAATTGCTATATGAAGAGCTTCTGATCTATCCTTCTATTTTATTCTAAAAAAAGTTATTAAAGCGCCTTAACGATTTTATATTTGTGCATGTTCTAGTAAATTGTGAATCTAATCTATTTTATTTATTTATTAATTTTTAAATAAATGAAATGAAAGTAAGAATAGTTAGTGTTGGATGGAATTTATTAATGAGTTTGAAAGAAATTTTTAATCAATTATTTTTTACTTCAAATCTTCTTGTTTATTCTAATTAATAGTTTTGAATATCCTTTTTATAGTATGAGAGTAGTTTTAGTTCTAATTAGTTTTAGGCGTTTTTTAGTAGAATGGACTAGTAGGAGTTAAACACCCTTAAGATATGTTAGTATAAGATTTATTTTCTGCTTTTATTCTTCTTTTAGGTAGGTGACAAGTGTTTTCTATGTCATTTTATATGGCACTAATTTGTATTTTTTCTACTTTGATTGCCTGTTTAAAAGAATATTTTATGGTCATAAATTAAATATTACACTAATAATAACAATTCTATAATTAACAAGTATATAAATAAATTTAGTTGTGTTTATAAATGTATGTGAATAAATCTATCTTTCAATATACATTTTAAGATTAATCTTTTTTAGTAATAAAAGGTTTTAAATTGCTTTGAATTGAGCTTTATTTAAACTTATCTATTAACCAAAACTTCTTCTTTTTGCAGTCGAAAAAACCATTTGATAGATGTTTTTGAATTTTAATAGTATTAAATATAATGATATTTACCGTATTCTAATCAGGATTTTAAATTATACTCATATCTATACTTAGTTATTATTGTAAGTCTATTTCAACAGATTTTCTTAGTTAGATGTAGTTACTTTTGGATATTAAAGTCAATTAGAAATACTTAAAGTATCAATTTTTTGTTTCCAAATATATGTTTGGTTTTGGTGTTATTCAAGCTCTAACTAACTAAATACTTTTTTTGTTAATTTGATAAGTATATTATTTAGAAAATCGCCAATTATTAAATTAATAATTTTATTAAAGCACTTCTGAAGGATATTCATTAAATTATTTATTTATTTATTACTATACATACATTAATAATTCTACAGACTATAAATATGATCATTTTTAAATTAACTATATAAAATACTCTATAAATATAAATAGATTCAATATACAGTCTATTTCAAAATCTATTTTTTTCATTGATATTCTAAATGAAATTAAATATTTGTATTTATTTATGAGGTATTAGTTAAATATTGAATGGTGTTGCATTAATCTAGGCCAAAGCGTATCAAAAAATATAAGTTAGTTTTAATAATCTAAAAATTAATTCATAAACTAAATATTTTGCATTAAAGAAATATATTTTTTAATTCCTTTAGAAATTAATAAAAAAAGATAAATAAATAAATACTTTTTTGAACTGAAAAAGAAGAGAATCTTCTTGGAATATTAACCAATGTATGTATGACTTTATATTCAAACTAAAAATAAATTGAAAATTTTATACTTTAGATTCACTTTTATTTAAGATAATATCTGATCAATTATTCAAGTCATGTAAAAAATTAAAGATTTATTTATTTATTTATTTTTTTATATTTTTAGACTTAGTTTAAGGGATTTAAAACCTGATAAATTTTGATTTTTTTTTGCAAAATTAATTTTTTATTAAAGTTAACTCCTATTAATAAGCTCAAAAGATAAATAAACAAATGGAAAAACTCACTAACGAAGAAAATCAATTAATTAAAGACTTTCACTTACATTTAGAGGCAAATTTGTATGATGATCCTTCGAAAAGCAATGTTATTGTTATAAGACATGCCTTCACCTAATAGAATAAAGATTAACATATTTATGAAATAAAAAGAGGAGGCATTTTTAAGTAAGACCCTGAGTGGAGATAGCTTATGCTTGATGAAGTTTATTTTGATACACCCTTACATAATGTTGGTATTCACTAATGTTTAGCCAACTAAGAAAAAGTAAATGAAATAGATTTTGAAGTTGTCTTAGTATCTCCTCTTTAGAGAACACTTTAAACTTGTCTTTATTTATTCTAAAACCATCCTAATCGCTAAAAGATTCATTTTCTCATTTATCCTTTAGTGTCAGAAGGAGTCTGTGCAACATCTTGTTTAGCATACGAAACAAACACTTCATTAAGGGAAAGAATGACTAAACTAGCTTAATCGTATAACATAAACCTTGATTTCTCTTTGCTAGACTAAAAATAAGTCGATTTTATGTGGCAATTAGAGCAAATTTAAGATGAAAAAATACAAGGTAAATATAAGGATTGTTTATAAAAAATAAAAGATGAAAAAGAATACAGACAATTTATAATATAAGAAATGACTGATAGCTTCCCTCATTTCTTTGAAAATTGGGAGCTAATGTTTAAAAGAGCATAAGTGGCAAACAAGGAAATTTCATAATTTATTTAGAAATACCCTAACATTGTAAATAATACTAAAAAGTTAGGAATAGTGACTCACAGTCATTTTATTACATGCATGACAGCAAAAGGCTTTAATCATGATGGAATAGCAGATGGTATAGTCTTGAAAAATTGCTAAATAGCACCTGTTTTTATTGAATGAAATCAGTATAAAATTTAAAAAACAAAATAAAATATTTTTTGTATCATTGTAAAATATTGAATTCTATTTTAAATTTCTCTAAAATTATATTTGAACAAACTTGAATTATATAATTTAAGTAAATAACTATAAAAACAATTAATAATATTTATGTTGTGAAATGTTTTTGTGAGTTTACTCAATAACTAAAAATTAATTAAGAGTTTTAAGAACATAAATTATTTCTATTTGTAAATTTTAACTAGACTATTTAAATAAAATATTTTCTTTATTCGTTTGAGAAATTATAAATTTACAAAAAAATAAATCTAAATTTTAGAACATAAATTTGTTTTTTAATTAACTATTTATTTATTTATTTATTTATTTATTTATTTATTTATTTATTAGTTTGGCTCAGATTTATTTTATTGTATGATCACAAAATGATAAAATAGTTTTAATAATATTAAAATATTTAATTTATCAATATTTTAATATTGAATTACCAAAAAGTATAGTAAAAAATTCTTTATCTTTTAAAGAAGCTTTAAATCAAATAAATAAATAATAAAATATTCTGTCTGTTTGAATATTTTTTTAACTGATAAATTTAATTGGGATATTCAAAAAATAAAGTAGATTTAAAAAAATAAATATAAAAAACAACCATTTATTTTTTGTGATTGAATTTGCTTACGTCCAAGATAAGTCTAAGAATAATAGTTTACTTTGGAAAATATTAAATTTATTATTTTATTTGGTATTTACTATTCTTATTAATCAACAACAAAAACTTTGATTATTCTAACAATTTTGATTTATATTTTTTGAATAATTAGAAAATTTTGAATTAAAAAAATTCTTTGAAGATTGAATGTAGAATTGAAGATTTTGAATTAAAATCTATAATTACAAGTTAAAATATAAAATATATTACAATATTTGCAATATTTTATAATATATATATATAGACCCAAAAAGAATTCATTAACAATTTAAGCTAAAAAATATATTGGTTATGATGGGAGTAAATATAAGAATAGATGAGTAAATTATTTTTATGAGATTCTGTATATGTAGGTATTTATTTTTTTATTTATTTATTTTTGATTCGGATATTAATTATTATATTTTTGAATTAATAATATGGTTGTTTCATTCATTCATTATCAATTCTTAAATAAAAATTTATTTGCAATTAATTTGTTTGTTAATTAATTAATTAGTTGTTGTTTGTTTTCATATTCAGTACATATGAACTTAATTAGGCTCAAATTTAGCTATATCTTCTCTGCTAAGATCTTCAAAGTAGGGATGTCTGAGAGCATCCTTTACTGATATTCTTTTAGCAGGGTCAAGAGCAATCATCTATTAAATAAGGTCAAATCCTTTATCGCAGAAATTCTTAAAGTAAGTCTTAGGATCAGCAGTTTTGAAACGAGGATATATAGGTTTAAAGTAAGGACATTCCTTCAAAGCAGGCCATGTCTACTCAGTAGGAGTACCATGGTATTAGAATATTTTAAATATTTAATCAATTTCAGAGTCACCCATGAAGAGAGCTCTCTTTTCAACCATTTCGTGGAAGATGCAACCCAAACTCCAAATATCAACTCCGAGACTATAAGCCTTTTAGCCTAAAAGAATTTCGGGAGCTCTGTACCAAAGAGTTTCAACTTCATGAGTAAGAGTCTTGATAGGAACACCAAATGCTCTAGCCAAACCAAAATCAGCAATCTTAATATTTCCCTTAGCATCAATTAAAATGTTTTAGGGTTTTAAATCTCTATGAATAATTCTACGGCTGTGGCAGAAATTCAATCCATTCAAAATTTGATACATCATGAGCTATTATTATAAAATATATTATTTTTTAACCGAAATTAGTTTTTATTTTATTAACATTTCAAAGTATTTCAAAATCATTTCTATCTAATTTTTTTGTAATAAATTCATTTTAGTATCAAAGAATAAATTCTCATTATTTATTTTTGGCATTTACTTTAAATTTAATACTAAATAAAATGGAGAATTGCACCAATTTAGTATTGAAAGTTTAATAGTTGATTGATCTATGATTCATTTATTTAACGCGTATGTTAGAAAGTGAGTGAGTGAGTGAAGGATTGTTATGTTTCAAAATATATTGATAATTAATTTGAAAATCTTTTGTTGCTTTTTTTTCAAATTGAATAAAAATATCAAACAATAAGATAATCTGTTTATTTGAATTCGAATTATTTAAATAATATTTTTTTAAGCTAATTGAATTAAGATCATCTAATTTCTAATTAATTTGCGTGCTTGAATGCATGTGTTCTATGGTAGATTATATAGAAGGTATTTTTGAAATTAAAAAAAAAAACTATTTTTGAATGTAGTTTATTTGTTTACTTTGATTTGGTAAGGACGAAGTTAAAGTTTTTTATCTTTGCGGTATTAGTCTAAGAATTTTTTAAGGTCTTAGTCAACAAATTCAAATACAAGGTATAACTTCTTCTCTTAGGGTTGATAAATAACTTCATGCATGCTATTATTATATAAATAAAATAATTAAAACATGGCAAATAAATAAATTCTTCTCTTTTTCTAAATTGCTATTATCTTATAAAAAATACAGTCAATTTTGTTAAACTCAAAAGTTTATCTTTTCAAAATGGATTCATTAAAATTTTGAATTATTTTTAACTAACTAATTTGGTAGCAAACAAAGTGTGGTACTAATTGAAGATTGAAGAGAATTGCAGGAACAAAATATAAATAATCGCTTTAGTTATGAGAAATAAAATTTTACCAAACGATGTTGGGATGTGGTTGTAACTCTTTAAGTATTGAAATTTCTCTTAGAGCAGTTGAAGGGACACCTTCATCTTCATTTTCTAATTTAATCTTCTTCAAAGCAACAATTTCAGAGCTTTGAATGTCTTTAGCCTTGTAAACTTCACCATATGTTCCTTCACCTACTTTAAGTAGCTTTTCATATCTGTCTGAGCCAAATGTATTATTGTTCATCCTATTATGTATGTATGACTGACTGATTGATTGATTTATTTGCTTAAATTCGAATATTTGATAGCAATAATTTTTCTTATGAGAGTTGATACTCTTTTATCTTTAAATTTAAATTTTTGTTTTGCTTTATAATTAATTATTTGTTTTTTGTTTTTTTGTGTGTTTTTTATTGTGAAATTGGCATGGTTGTTAACACTCTACCAATTTAAATATGAATATATATTATTAAACATAAAAAAGGAGGTCAAGGTAAAATCTATAAAATTAATAGCAAAGAAAAAATTTAACAAATACCTACTTTTAAAGAATGAATATATACGATAGATATATTTTCATGTCAAAAAATATGTAGTTATTAATGCAACATAATTAATTAATTTGAAATTGCATTCTTTTTAAGATACCAAAATTTATATTCAAATATTGTCTTTGATTTTTATCAAACGTTAATTATTGAAAACACGAAAAATTTATTTAGTTTGAAGTTATCTGATTTTTGCTTATTTGTTTCATTCAAATCTTCAATAAGTTAAAAGGAGTAATTAATTGTTTGATCTCTTATTAGGCTGTGTATCGTATTTTGTATTGAATTTATTTTAACATTCACCACATATTTTGAATTGATTTTGAATTTTTTGTAAATATGAGTCATTCATTCATTTTATTATTGTGGCAAACTAAATTTGAAAATGTATTATTTTATATAATAACACTGACTAGTATTTGTAGTATTTAAATAATTTATAAAAATATGTAAAAAATAAAACATTTAATCAAATTATCATAAATAATTATACTGTTTTTATAATATTTTTATTAGAGCATTTATCTTTTAAAAATGCTTTCGTTTATAATTTCTTAAAAGTAACATTCAAAGCATGCATGTGCTTAATCAATATTTTAACCTAAAAAAACAGCAGCAATAATTAAAAATTTATAAATTTTAAAAAATAAAATATTAAATAATAGATATTTTAATTAATATTATGGGTTTAAAAAGATATAAAATTTATTTTTTTTTTAAATTTAGTCAAAATAATTTTATGTTTTACGAAATAAGTTTTATATTTTAAATAGAAATGTTTATATTAGAAATTTATCTATATCAGCTATACAATTTTCTTTTTAAAGTAGAAAAATCAAAAGTGCATAATTTACAATTACTATTCTAATGAATACAATTTAAAAATTTCTTAGCATGCAAATACTATCAGAATTTTGCATTAATATTTTTGCAACTCTAAATTTTTTTTTTGCTAGTTTTAAAGTTATTATATATTTTTTGTAAAAATTTAATATATATATTAACATATTAGGCTTATAGTCAATAAGCACCAACTATAAATTATAAGACTTTAAAAAAAATTTAATACACACAATAACAATTATGAGCGCATTTGATAGAGAGAAATTTTTGGCTTTAAAATAAAGGAATAAGGATTTAGAATTAAAATTAGAGAGTATAGAGGAGGTTATCACTTAGTACAAAGCAAATGAATCTGCTGCGGATTGTATTTACTAGATTTGAGTCATTATTTTATTTGAATTTTCTTTTATGTATAGAAAAAATAAAGGCCTTGAATAGCATACACCAAGATAAAATTAGATCTTTAATGAATTCTATTTAGTTGCTTAAAAAAGAAAATGCTTAATTAGAAAAACTTACAAAAGAACATAAACGTAGTGAGTTAATAACTTAACTGTAAAAAGATGTTTCTGATTAGGATGTGATCATAGAAACAATCAGAGAAGTTTGCAAAAATAGAAATATTTCAGATGAAGTTTTGGATAATGCCATAGTAGATGCACTAAACAAAGGACCTCCAAGAATTAGAGCTCCTACTAGAGAAGAGTTAAAGATGGAAATTAAAAAGCATAAAGCAACTATCGATGGATTAAAAAAAAAGAAAGATGCTGGAAGTAATTTTTTTATTTTTTTTGAAATTAAAATTTAGTATTAATAAATATATACGTTAGATGTTGTTGAACCTTAAGATAAACTAAATAAAACTACTAATGAGAGCATGAGCATGAATGATATAAAGAATAATTAATCTATGGTATCCCAACTAAACGAACCTGCTGATTCTAATGATAATTTAATTAGAAGATTGGAGGAATTAAAACATGAGTGCGATGAATTAAGATTAAATTTAAAAGCAGAATAATAAATTGTTGAAAGATATGAAGATTAACTGGTATAAAAAAGTGAAGAACTAAACGAAATGAGAAGTGCTAAAACTGATTTTATAATTCTTTCAAAGAAATACGAAACCCTTTAAGTAGAACTTGAGAAGTTAAAAGAGGAAAATAATAGAAAGTTTATTAACACATATGATAAAGAATTAAAATTAGAAGAGATGGAAATAGTTGCCAAGACCTAGCAAGACAAATTAAAAATGCAAGAGTAAAATTTACAATTAGAGATCGATTCAATGTCAGCTAAGCTTGAAGATGTAATGCAGAGACACGATCAGACAAAAAGAGAATGTATATTAATTTATAGAAATTAAAATTTCTACAATTTTAATTGTATTCTTACATTTTAATAGACGAAGATGTAAAGTAGAAATATGATACACTTACTGTATTACACAAGAAAGAAGAGCAAAAAAACAGAGAACTCAATAGCAAATTCACTACTCTCACTATGGAGTTTGAAAAATTGCAGCTTAAGTACTAATCAGAAACAAAATCGCTTAACAAGAATATTGAATCACTTGAGAATAAGCTTAAAAAAGCTAACGATGAAATTTACTCTTTATAAACATAAAATGAAAATCTATAAGAATAAGTTAACTAACTCACTATTTAAGTTGATGAATATAAAGAAAAAGTTATCAGTGGTATTTAGATGTCTTTTTAGTACTGTATTCTATTTTTTCATTATAAAAAAATTAGGTTAAGGAGTTAATTTCTAAGGATAAAACTGGGCTTTTGGAAGGGGAGGAGAAGATCTTCCTGCTGAAACTAAAGAGCTAAGAGATAGAATTAGGGAACTTACTATTAGAGAAATAGATCTTTAAGAATAATTAGAAACACTTAAGGCAGATAAACGCTTCAGAGAATAAAGAGAGTTAGCTCAAAGCATCCTTAATAAAAAGGACTCTAACAAAAAATTAGGAAATATTGAAATTGAAAAAATAAAGAAAGAATAAATTAACACTGTTAGAGAAGAGTACGAGACTCGCTTAACATAATTGAGACTTAGGATCAAAGAGCTACAAGATAGAAATAATTAGCTTTCTGATATAAGAACACTAATAGTATAATCAGAAAAAGACAAAGTTGCTGAAGATTAAGTATTTATTTTTATATTACGATTTACTAAAACTAAATTAATTTTTTTAAAATAGTTAGTTGATATTTCAAGTTTGAAAAGTTTGGAGAGACACAAAGAAAATTTGTCAGAAAACTCTAATATTTCAGACGTTAAAGTTATTGAAGAAAAAATAACATAGGGCGAGAATAGAGAACTAAAGAAAAAATTGTAAGAAATGATCAGAAGATAGCAAGATTTGCAAAAATAGATAGATTATTTCAATAAAGAGAAGTAAGAAGGCAAGAGACCATCTTCAGCATAGAATGATTAATATGATAAGAAGTTAAAAGAAATGCAAACATCTTACTAAAAAGAAATAAAAGCCCTGAAGTAAAGAATTATGTAGCTCGAGCTTAAGGAAATCAATCTAAGTTAAGTTAGTTCTAATGTTAGCGACCTTAATCGCACACAAGAAAAAGTTAATAAATCTGTATTGGATAATATGTCTTCAAACGTACAGCTATCACTTTCTGATATAGATTGTAATTAATCTTTACTTCTTATTTAGAATATATATTTTAATTTATTAAATATTTTTTCAGATGTCAATTTAAAAGGAAAACCTCAAAATAAGATGAACATAAACGATTTAGATAGTGATGTAAGCTAATTAATTTCTAAGAGAGACATGAATGAAGAATTTGATAGTATGAGTTCTGGAATTTCCAATATTAGTAAACAAAAAAGTAATCAATTGTTTAATAACTTTAACTAAAATTATTTATTTATTTATTTATTTATTTATATAAAAATTAGAATAAAAGAACAATGACAACATATTTTAAAAGAAAAATGGTAAATTTATTTTAGTTTAAATTTTAAATATAATATTTTTAATTATCAAAAGATTATCAACAACCTTAGCTTAGTCTTAAAAATGTATCTCAACCAAAAATATAAAGCACTAAAAATATGTCTAAAGATTCTAAAAGCAACAATAATTTACCTAAAGAATCTCTTTAAAATATTTAGAGTAACAAAAATCTGCAAATCTAATTCTCAAAGATGAACAGTGATATTGGATCAATTATTGGAAAATCTAATTAAGATGATAAACTTAGTATTATCAGTTCTGATATCAGTGGAATAAGTAAATAAGCAAATCTTAAAGAGCAAATAAATTTCAGAATTAGAAAAGATAGTTAATAGAGTGTCAATTCAAGTATAAGTGGCATATTAAAAAATAATAACTCACAAATAGGTAATTTTTAGATTAATTTCATGAATAAAAATAAAATTTTTATTAAAATAATTAATAGATAATAATGGAAAAGAGCAAGATTTTGATGATATAAGCTCTAACATAGATGATTTAGATAAAATGTGAAACATTCATTATTGTTTCATAATTATAATTAAATTAATTTATTGATATATAAATATAAATATTTTTTTGTTAGTAAAGTTTGCTAATCATTTCTCATAAAATAGCAAACAAAGCATATTAATTAAGGCATTGTATATAATTTTACTTTAACATCATTAGCAAATAAAATAAATAATTCATAACTTCTTGCAGAGCGAGAATCTTAAATAGTATTAACTAAAAAAATTTTCATTCATATTATCTAATCATTCATTTTGAAAATTGAAAATTTCTCATAATAAAATGATAAACAAGTCTTCATTTACTTTCCCTAAAATTCAATAATAAACTAATTTATCAGATATAAAATTTACCATTTATGATACAAATTATCATTTTGCTTTTAATATCAGATGAAGATTAATTCATTTAGAAATATTTATATTTAAAATTACTTTAAAAAATATTTAATTAAAAATAAAAATGCAAAAGAATTTTTGAAATAAATATAAAAAATTATTGAATAGAAAATTAATAAATTATTTTTATCTTATTTTACTTTTGAAATATTCAAATTTTTCTTTTTGAATTTCAGATAAGTGAAACAAAGTATTTTTTAATTTTACAATAAAATAATATTTTAATAGAGAAAATTTTTTACAATTATAACTTTTTTTATTTAAAATTGATAGTTTATTTGTTTTTTAAAGAATTACTTTGATAGATAAATAAATTTATGTAAAAAATAAGTTGTCTTTCTATTTATTTATTTACTATCTAAATTATAGATACAGATAAATTTTAAAACCCATAAAAATAAAGTAAAAAATAAATAAGTGCATATATTATATCAAAATCAATTTTATTAAAAATCTATGTATTGTGATTTTAAATAAATATGAAATAAATTCCTGATGATAATATTTCCGTGTTTCACATGAAACTAAATGATTACATTCGAAATACTGAACTATATAATATTTTTTATGAACTTAAATAATTGATTTTTGATTTATTTTAACAAAATTAAAGATAAATTATTTTTTTTTAGCAGGAAAAAGTATCTAAAGTATAAATAAAATATCTTCAATAATTTATTGTTTTATAGATTGAAATCTTGAAACTTTAAGTTTAAACGTTTTATTTAAGATAAAAATGACTAATCGTTTTGTTATAGTTAAAAAACAGTTTAAATTGATTAATTTCTATTATTAGTTAAAAATAAAATGAGTAGCAGAGTATGCATTATTAATAAATTAAGATTTGAGTATTTTTTGGAATGAAAGACTGGTTGATTTATTGATATATGTATGTATGTACGTACATATACATTTAAAACTTAGTATTTATTAAATTTTAGTTATAAATTAAAATTATAAATAAAACAAATAAAATACACATTCAAGCTATTTATTTAGGAGTTTAGAGCAAGACAAATAACACTCCATTTAAAAAATAGGAAAATAGAAAAGACATTTTTGAAATTTACAAATACAAAAAGCAACAAAAAGCTCTATAAAATAAAATTAATTTAAAGCAAATAATTTTAAAGAAAGCTTTATCATCTAGAATCAAGTTTAGGTATTAGTTGTTCCTTGTAAAGTTAGCATGCTGTACTAATTAAGTAAAAAAACATACTCAAACTTGTATAGTGCAAATAAGGGGTATTTGTTTGGAGAATGGTTGAAATTTTTAAATAATAAGATTGAGCAGCGTTTTATAAAGGGCTGCTTTATTTCGAATATTTAAAGCTAGATTAAAATGCACTTAATTTAATTCATTTTAACATTGTTAGACTTAATCATAAACAAGCAGTACGCATATTTCACTTATCTAAATATAGTTTTATCAGTTATTTATCTAATATGGATTAAAAAGGCGCAGTCTGTTTATTAGGCTCAGATATTTTCTTTCATCCTTTAGTTTTATTTCTTTTTTAGATTTGCTTAGCTTGATCTTCCCTATGAACTCTATATTTTATTACTCTGTATTTGGGGAATCAATAATGTGATATCTTACAAAAGCATGGTACTACTTTTTTTATTAATGTTTACACTCCTTTCCTAAGGCCTAAAAAAAACTAAAACGCTTCTATGGCCTTTCCTTTTTTCTCTAAACAATTAAAGAGATATATTCTCTTTCTAACATTAAATTTATGAGAGCTATAAATTTAGTATAAGTGAACTTGAAGTTGAGTACTTTTTTATTAGTTCAGTCATTTACTATTACATTTTACGTAAGACAAGATTAAATTGGAAAGCTCTTGACTAAGTTAAACGCTCGGAGAGGGCTTATGTTAATTTATTTTAACAAATAAAAACACCAACATTTGTTGTTAACCACTAAGGTAACATACTCGAATTAAACGAAACTGGCAGAAATATTTTTGGGGAAAGATTAATATCATATGCTAATTGTAGCTTTTTTAAGCTATTTTAGAATAAATAGGAGTTAGAAAATGTTAAGCTAGCATTTGAATAAGCATCACTTACAAAAGAAACAATAAATATTAGAGCAAATATTAAATGCTTTTCTCAATCTGGAAACGATAATTTTAATTCATTTGGGGGAAATGAAGATCAATAGAAAGATAATAAATCCAATAATACTGTTTAAAATTAAAAAAATAGTTTAGGAGGTAATGCACCTAATGGAGAAAGCTCAATCAGCAATTCAAACACAAGGAATGGAATTAGTAAAAAATCAAATGAAAGTTCAGTATAGCCAAGTCCGCAATTACCAAGCTTAGGCAATAAAAAGTAGAGTATTGCTTCGCCTCCAATAAGGCACAATGTATAAATGGCTATGGCTCCCCCTTAACCAAAAAATATAGTTTAGCAAAAGATACCCTATCCTTTCCTTCAAGAATAATTCGATGATTTGCTTAAAAATGAATATTTGCATTTAACTCAGGATTCACAAACAATCAAATATTTCAACTTAAGTATTTCACCATATATTTGGAAGGAAACCACTTCATTCCTTATAAGTTTTGTTGACATTTCAGACACATAAGATTTCATAAAAATGACGAATTTCTTTATGAAGTAATTAATTAACATAGATTAAAATAAATTCTGACAAAAAAAAAATTAATTTTTAAGTTTAAAAGACAAATAAATAAATAAATGAGATTAATTTGATTATTAAATTAATTTTAATTCTTTCTATTTTAAAAGGAATGTAAATGATAGAATAGTTTCAGTTTTAAGTCATACAGAAGAAGATTACTAAAAATGGGGAAATTTGGCTTAGCTTAGCTAAATTAAGTAAACCGATTTGAGAGAATTATCAGCTATTATATCTGAGTAGCATAATATTTTTAGTTTAACTTCTCTAGTCAAGTATTTTAATTAAATGTATATTGGTCATGAGAAGGGGAAGCTTCAGGATTTTTAAATTACTAATTTGATTATTTAAACCATAGAAGTTCATTCTGTAAGGGTTTAAAACTATTTAAAGAGAATAGATCTCACTTTTGAAAGTTTTCCTCCCCAAGTAAATGGAGATCCCTCTGCATTTTATTTCGTAAATATTAAGCATTAATAACAAAACAATTTTTTTTAAATGTTATTAAATTTTTTAAAATTTAGATTATTCACAATCTTATTTATTTGATAACTTATAATTGTGAGTATAACGAAGTAGATCTTTCTCTTAGCTGTAAATTCTTATCATTTGTCGATAAGAATAATTCTTTGATCTTAAGTTTTGACTTCGAATTCTCAGCTACTTAAGAGCAAATTGAGTTCTTCTAAAAGGTAAAATGTTAAAACTCACTGAACAATTTAATAAATTTTTATTATTTTGACTTATAAAAATAAGCTCACTAAAAAGTTTGATGAGTTCAAGAGATATTTGGTTTAGAGCGACTTAAAGGGACATGATATTCTAGAAACTCTTTATCTGATGACTTTAAATAGTATAAAGCAGAATGAGGGAAACATTCATATTGATATAGTTGATCCATCAAAAAAAAATGATAATAATAATTAGAATTAGCCTGCCTCACAATAGAATATTGCAGCTCCATAATCACAATAGCTAATAAAATAAGAGGTTTAAGGAAACAAAGATAATCAAAATGCTTAAGATAGTAAAGAAAATATAGATAACTAAGTGAAAAAGTTAAAAGTAGTATTAGAACAAGTATTTAACTAAGCCGAAATGCACACAGTTGTCAAAAGGTAGCAAGATAATTCTATTATGGATTCTCCTGCTGTGTCTCCGCTTGTTGATAAAAAAAATACAGCTAGAAAGCACCATGCTCTTGCTAAACCTCCATAAATTAATTTATCCTACACAAGGTAAAAAAATTGTACAAAAATTAAATAGTAAATTAAATTAATTTTAATTAATGAAATGTAAGATTCAAAGAAAAATAAAAAGATAAATATCAGTGGAAGTAATGCAACGAAGAAGAGAAAAAGTAAGTTGCTTAAATTGGTTTGCCATCAAGAAGACCTAATGACCTCAAAAATTAGTTTCGTAAAATCTAAAACTTTGGTATTGGTAAGTTTAATTTATAAAAAAAATAATTAATTATTTTTAATGTTCTTTGTTATAAAATATTAATTAGACAGTGATGAAAATATTCCAAATCCAATAAATAGAAGTAAATTTTTATTTACTTTAAATTAATCATTTTCAAAATTTATTTTTATTTCACTAAAATATTTAATTAGATGATATAAGTCCTATATCAGTAAAACCTAATCCAAGAAAGGCATCTACTAATACTTTGAACATTGGAGTTTAACCTTCTTTGTAATAAGTAGAAAGGATGGTTAGCAGTGGAGCAGAAGAATAAAAGAATCAATAGATTTCTAATTCATAGAATAATATATAGGTGAATCATCCATCATCTTAATAAAACATTCAAATACCCTAAACTCATTAGCAATAGTCTTAATTTGTTCCTACTCCTCCTCCTACCAATAATAAAGAAGTAAATTAATCATAAAATTTGAGTTAAGCACCTTAAATTTTAGTTCCTAAAACTAACTCCTCAGGAAACATAAAGTAAAATTAGTTATTTATTTTAATATTTGTTGATGCTTTCAATACATTTTAAATTAAAAGCTATAAAAAAAACCTTGAAAACATATCAGAAAGTGTAGAAAATATTGATAGAATGTTAATCAGCCAAAAACCTGAATAAGCAAAATAAAAACCCGATGAAGATTCACCTCCTGAAATAAATGATTTTTTAAGCGAAGATAACAGTTCTATTTTGTTTAATTTAAATTTAAAAAAAGAGATTAAAACAAACTTAAAATTATATAATTCTAACATTGTTAGAGATATCTCAAAAATCATAAAAAATATTCTAACTGCTTCAAAAATGCAAGAAGAATTCGATGTAAGATTCATCAATAAATCTTCGACAGACAGCTTACCTGTTACCTCTCGCAATATTGCTTAATTTTGTTCTCCTCAGCTCCATTCAAATAGACTTAGAAATGATAATCGCTTTAAAGCATCTCCATAAGTTCACTCAGCTTTTGCAGGGTACGTAAATCCTGATCTCAAGAATCAAAACAAGACTGGATAATCATCTAATAGCAGTAATTAATTAATAACTTATGTATTAATATCAATACTAAAATATGAATAAATTAAAATAGGGATGGCCTATAGCAACACTGAAGAAACACCTAAAAGTGTTGTAATGTCCACTCGACCATCTAAATCCAATTTTCCTAGTATGATAATCAACAGCCCTCTTGTTGTAAACAATTTCAGATTTAGAGGAGATTCAAGAGGTTCTGAATGTAAAGATTAATTGAATATAAATTACAAGAAGTAAGAGACGAAATAATTACCATGGAATGAGATAATACCTTTTGAAGTACATTAATCAAGATTAAAAAAACATGTCAGGAAATGGATCTTGTAAGATTTATGGAAAAAGGTAGAATTTTTTGATTTTCTTTTCACAATTAAGTGCTAAATATGTCAATGTTATTAATCAAATAGGCTTATAAAAAGACTGATACTGTATTAGTAGTATCAGCGGAGTTAAGCGATTCATCTCTTATTTAACAAGTTTTCCTACAAAAGAAAGACCTAGGAAAAGAGTTATAATTCACTAAAGTTAACTAAGCTTTCAGTAAATACATTTAAATGTTAAAGGACGACTAGGTGTATAAATATATACTCGTAGATTTAAGAATAGACCCTAGTTAAGTAGAAATATTTATACAACAAATAAAAGATTAAGAAAGTATCAGCTAATCTATTCCAAAAACTTCTTTTGTTGGAGTAAAATTACTTAAATTTAATATCTTTTATTAAAACATTTCTATTTTTTTAAAGTATGAGAGCGAGCAAAACTAGCAGCAGTACAATTAACTTTTAGATTACATAATTGTTGGATCTTTGGAAGTGCTTAAGCTTCTCCCATTTATAAAGGCATTAAAAGAAAAAAGATGATTTATTTATTATTCTCAAAAATATTTAATTCATAATAAAGAAATAATTTCAAATTAAAAATTTACTTAAAGTTGATTTTTTTTTTTTTTTATAAACAATTGATTAGCTTTAAGTATTCCAAAAGCAGCGTTTTACCTAAATATTCAATTAATAATTCAATGTTATTTTTTACTTTAGTACCTAATTTATAAATCAAAAAATTATTCAATCTACAAATATGTTTTTCTATTTTAAAAATTAATTCTTATATCCTTTTTTGCTCTTTAATAGAAATTTTTTTTCAAGAATATTCCATTTGGATAAAGCAACTCTTTATTTTTTTACACTTCTGGATACATTGTTAAAAGCATATCTGCCATAATCTTTATAAAAATGTTATAGCGAGTAATAACTGATATAGGTACATCTTAAAACAAAAAATTAATATAATTAAATATCCTCCAAAATGAATAATAATATTTTCTATAAAATGAATTTGAAAAAATATTAATTACTCTATTTTAGAAGAACTAATTATAATTTGAATTAAAAGCAAACATGAAATAGTATAGAAATTTCGTTTTATTTCTCTGCAAGTTATAGATGATTGATTTTATTTGATCAAATCTAACTATTATCTATATTTAAAATTTTTGAAAAAAAACTATAAATATATAATGATGTTAATGACTTCATAATGAATTAAATTAATAATAATAAACAAAGATCAAAAACAAAAAACTAAACATTTTGAATATTGTAATCCATAATATTAAACCAACAAAATTTCGTAAAAAAAATAATAATTAATACTTTAATAAATACAAAATTAATTAATAAATAGGTATATCCAATAAAAACTGAGTATAGAATAGCACAAACGCATATAATTCTCATCAAATTCAGTTCGCATTAAAAATTTTAAACTATAAAATGGAAAAGCTACTCAAAACTTCAATTAAAGCAATTGAAAAGTTTAACTTCCAAAAGTATGGGTGGGTGATTACTACAGCTTCTGTTATTGCCCTTATAATATTTTAGAGGGGCAAAGATGATCATGATGATTTGAAAAGTAAAAAAAATTCTCAGAATAATTAATAAGGATAAAATAAATAAGAGAATCAACAATAGAAGTAGCAAAACAAAAACTAACATAATGAGGAAAGCTAGGAAGAAATTGAAAAAAATCTATAATAACAAAGATATTTATCTTCATCATAAACGAATTAAAACAAAAATAATGGTGTAAATAATATGAAAGATTAAAAAATGTAATAGATTCAATAGAATTTGAAAAAGCAGATGCAAGAACTTGATAAAAAAACTAAAAAAAGCAACCCAAATAGCTTGACTAGTTCACTTTTAAAAAGTTCAAAAAGCAGATATAATAGCAGATAATTTGACTAAGAATAAGGTTATCCTCAATCTTATGCATAGTCTGATATTGAATAAAGATAAAATCTTCAAATCAGAAACTAAATAACTCTTAAAAAATAAAGAAAATATATAACAGACATAGATGAACCCACTAATTCATATAAAAGAAATTAAATACTTAAAATTGCAAAAGATTAAAACCCTAATGATGGCTTGTTCTTCTAAGTGTTAGCTTCATTAGCTGAAAACGAAGACGAGTAATCTGCTTGAATCAAATATGATTGATGAGTGGATGAATAATTATTTTCAAAATTATCAATACTATAATGACCACCTAAAAATATTGTTTACTAGTTTAGTTATTAAATTAATTTATTTTATAAGTACAAAAATTTATACATTATTCTAATTACTTTACTCTCTAACTTCTAAAACGAATAATGTAATTTATTCAAATAAATAAATAAATAAATAAATAAAGCCAAAAATTTTATTCTAATTAATTCTAATTTATCAAAATCAGGCTTTATGTTTTTTGACTTATTTAATAATGATTAAATTTTATGATTTCTAACAAAAAAAATAATATTAAATTAAAATTATATGCTATTTTATTAAAATATTTGCGAATTTTAATATTTGTGATTTAATTCTAGATACGTCTACTTAGAAATTTTATTATAAAAGTAAAGTTTATGCCTACTTTTAAATCAAAGAAGAGACTATTGTTTATTATTTTCTTAAAATAAATTGTTTGTTATAAGATAGATATTAAAAAAGCAAATATTAAAGGAGTAGAAATTCATAAATAAATGAGTGAAGATAAACCTAACAGGCCTAAGATTTTAGTTGAAAAAGTGCATAATATGACAGGCTCTACTGCAGGTGCAGGTAGTGGAGAGTTTCATAATTATAGTCTTCATAAGTAGCGTGAAAGAGCTCGTCTTGCTGCAATGGAATATGAGCATAGATAAGTATATTGACTTAAAAATAATTAAAAAAGTAATAATGTACTCGAATATAAATAAAATAGGAACAGAAAAAGATAAAATTTGAATCAAAGCAATAAGAGCTTGATAATAAAGCAGAATAGATAACTGATAAGAAAAGATAAAAGCGTCTCAAAAAAAAATAAACCAAGCAAAATCTAAAATTGAAAAAGCAAGCATAACAATTAAATAAATTTTCTAATGATGGTTCATTTCTTGAATAATTTATGAAAACGAAGGATTAATAGGGCTCAAATGATAATGAAAGCGATCAAGATGAAGATAGCAGTTCTGACCAAAGTGAAAATGAAGGAAAATAAATTAAATAAAATGAATAGGAGCCAAATTTATAAAAAAAAGTTAAACCAAATGATAATGAAGCAGAAAAAGAATAAAACAAAGATACTAAATAAAAAGAAACAGATGATTGATTGAGTGATTGATTAAATAAAATAAATTAAATAGGAAAAAACAAATATTTACAAATTTTAAAATAGCAAAAAATTAATATTGTTTAATTTTCATTCTTTATTTATAAAGTAGAAAATTTTTTTCTCACTAAAATGTTTTAGTTCGAAAATTATAATTTTAATATTTTATTGAGTTTTTAACATATCTTATTAAATATTAATCATTTATTTTCTAGTAAACTTTTAAATACATAGATTACTTATCAAAAATGACATATCTATCTAACCTATTTATCTATCTATTTGTCATCCATCAATCAATCTATTTATAAATCTATTAGTCTATTTATATATCAATTTATCTATGATCTACATTTCTACTAATAATATTTGAGATTATAATTAGATCGATTTTATATTAATATATTTTGGTAAATATTCTTAAATGCTTTAAAATATATTTTCTAAAACAATTTTATGGGTAATTTAAGAGCTTTTTAGATAAAGAATAAATAGATAGATAACAGCAAATAAAAATATGATATTTTAATTATTTATAAATAACCAGTCATTTTTACTTTAAACTTTTAAATGTTTTTATTTATGGTAAGATATCTCAAATAGTGTCTAAATTCATGATTTTAATTTGTATTATTTCCAAATATTTTAAATTGATTAATAGATTTTTATGAATATATACATATAAATAATTGTTTTTGTGATGTTTTCGTTCCCTTTTTAAAAAGTGAAGTTTATATTATGATCATGTTTTATTTATAGTCATAAAATTATATCATGTAATTAATTCGAAATTTTGCTCAATACTTTATTCTACAAAACTATATAAAAAGTTATAGCGAATTAATAAGTAAATCAATTTTTAACTAATAATTAAGTAATAAAAGTAAATCAATCTATTTAAATGGAAATAAAAAGAATTTGTATCGGATCAGATCATGCCGGTTTTGGTCTAAAATCAGAATTGATCAAATACATTAAGAATGACCTAAAGTTGGAAATTGAAGATTGTGGCTCTGAAAACGCTAATAGATGCGATTATCCTGATTTTTCTGTCAAGGTCTGCTAAAAAGTTTTAGAAAATACTTAAGAAAATTTAGGTATCGTAGTATGTGGAAGTGGTGTTGGTATTTCATTAGGATGTAATAAAGTCAAGGGTATTAGATGCGGTCTATCTCATGATTACTACACTGCTAAATATTCTAAGGAAGTATTAAATTGTAATATTATGTCAATGGGAGAGCGCATCATAGGATTAGACGTAGCAAAATAGATGGTTGACGTTTTTATTAAAACATAATACAAGCCCACTGAAGAATCTAATACCTTCATATAAGAATTGAAAAAAATAGAAGAAGCTAATCTCAACTTACATTGAATTAGAAATTTTAAATAGAAATATAACAATAATTTATATCTTTAATCTAATCTAATTTATAGTTTTTGATAAAATTGTTTAAGAACAAAATATTGATAAATGTTATACCTATCAAAAATTTATATCTTTGGTAATCTATCTATAAGATTAGCTTATTGTTTATTTTATTTTCAGGTTTATTAATTAATTAATATCATAGATTAATTTCTAAAAATCTACTACACAAAATTCTTTGAAAGTGAATTAGAAATGTTATTTTTTGCTTAAAAATATCATTTTAGCATTATTTAAATATTGAAAAAATACTATTAAATACCTTTATTAGTGATAAATTACAAACATTTCAAATAATTTTCTTTCTCATATTCTCTTATTTATGAAAAGATAAATCATTCGTTAACAAATTACAATCATTTATTCTAAGTTAATAATTTAAGAAATTAAAAAAAAATATTAATACGAAAAATCAACTTACATTTTACTCATATTTATCAAAAGTATTTATAAAATTTTTTTAACAAAACTGCAAAAATTTGGAAAAAGTATAAAATTAACATAATAAGTTTTTATATGTTATTGATTTATGGTTCTCTTAAAAGAGTAATTAAAAATCTGTATATTTTAAACCCAATTAATTCTCATCTATTGCATTTTTATTTAGGTATTTTTTAACTTAAAATTGAGTTAAAAAAATTAAAACAAAAATCATTCTGATAAAGGAAAATGTATTAATTTTAAAGGGGAATATCGATGTAAAATACGTTTAAATTTAAATTAAAACGAGTATTTATTTGTTTTATAAATATATTTTTAAACTAGTAATTTGAAATTTTTAAAAATGATTCAATAAAATTGTTGTTTTTTATTTATTTATTTGTTTATTTAAATTTGAAGAATGAATAGAAATTAAGTAAATATCTTTATTTAAGCAAAATAAAATATAACTAACTTAAACTATATTAATTAATTATAAACAAACCAATAAATTTATTTAAACTTTTTATTAAGAAATCCAGCTTTCCATTAAACTTCTCAAAGTTCTTCCTATTCTTTCTTCTTTTTGTTTTTATTTTTTTTATTTTTTGAGTGACTAACTGGCTTTATTTAAACAAAATCGCTTTCTGTTGGCAATCTTCCACCTAAATTATATTTTTAACCAATATCAATTACTTGTTTTTTCTTGATTAAATCTTTTTACCTGGACAAGGGCAACCAGCAATAGTCTTTCTCTTTGCAAAGATACATTAGCCACCTCCTTCACATTCACATTAACCGAAACTCTTATCAATTTCAATTTTCTTTTCGCTGCATTTTACGATTTCAGCTGTAATAATTGAATCATAATCTGTATCCTCAGGAGGTCTAACAGGGCAAGGACAGCCCATAACAGGTCTTCTACCTGTAGTCCAAACACAGCTTGAATCATCATGACACTTACATTAAGAAATGATGTCTTTTATTTCTATCTTATGATCCATAGAACAGCCAAATGCTTTAGCCATACTAATTTAGGTTTCTAATATTTAAATAAGAAAATAGATTAGACATGAAAAAATTAAAAACAATAGCTTATTTATGAAATGTTAAAGTATTTCGTTAAAAATAAATCTATATTTAGATCTATTAAATCTTACCTGCCCTTAAAGAAGAGATTCCTATAATAAATACTACTCCAATAAAGAGTAATTTAGTTTTTGCGTTCATTTTTTTAAACACTGATTTATAGCTTAAAACTTCTTAATTTTTAAAAATAAAGATTTAAAAGTTTTGGCAGAATTTAAAAAGAATTTATAAACCTCTAAATCTTCTATCAATAGAACATTTGAATTATTATTAACTTTTTTTATTTCGGTTGATTTATCGTCATCATACCATATCACATTAATTAACATTAATTTAAAACGTGTTCAATAAACACTTGTCTATTTGTTTTAAGTTATTTCTAAGATGAAATGCTAATTAATTCTACTAGAGATTTCATTTTATTTTAAATTTATTTCAAATTCAAACTTAGAAACTAAAATAAAAATTTAATTTCATGAGCAAGACATACAATTTTCTGAAAATTTATTGTAAATCAATTTTTAAAAAAAATTATTTATTTTTAAATAGAGCTGTTCCTGCATTTGAAATATCACGAATCATTAATGATATCATGATTTGTGATATTTCAAATAATTTTTATATTACTAATGAATTTTTTTTCTTTCTAAACCTTAGTTATTTTCTTAATATTTGATTTTAAAAATGTTTACAAAAATTAATCAAAATACATTATTAATTCCTAATTATATGTATAAAAAATTTAAAATTTGACAAAATTGGCATAAATACGGTATCTATTTTATTTATTGGTAGTCGTTAAAAAAACTTATTTTAATCAAATAAATAAATATTTATTTAAATTATTGATTGATTTTTAAGATTAAACATTCAATAAATCGATAACGTATTATCCTTGTTTGAATTTAAGAGTTAGTTTTGTGTATTTTTTTAATTTAAAAAAATAAGAAATGAAATAATTGAAATTTTTTAGTTTATTTTTAAAATAAATTTTATTAGAAAAATAATATTCATTTTTTGTAATATGAAACAAAAAGTTATTTTTAAGTTCTTTTCTTCTTTTTTAAAATAAAATTGATCTATAATTTAATATTAGCTACAAAATTTAAAAACGTTTTTAATATAAAATTTTAGTATTGATGAAATTATTAGAAGAAATAAAATATAGGTTCTATAAAACTAATTAATCATTTTGGCAGTATAGGCTATGCATGAATATAGTTCTAATAGCTTTGATAGCATTTTTATATATTTATAATAAAAATATGTTTTTAAATTTTAGAAAAATTAGTCTCTTAATCTTCTTTATTTTTGAAATTTCATAAGTTTTATGAAATTTAATTTCTTTAAATCTCAAAAAAAATAGAAAAATAAAATTAAATATTAATGCGCTTAATAATATAATGAGAGAAATTAATTACCAAACACATGAAATTTCTATAACCACCTTATAAACTGTATTCTTTGTTTGTTTTGAAATGCCTTTTAAAGCAACTATTGTAGTTGCATTCATTTCACAATCATTATTGTTAATTTATATTTATAAAGATGAATTCTAAATAAAACTCATAATAATTTATATTTATTAAAAATAATTTTATATTTTGCTTAATTTATTTAATTTGGCTAGGGATTTGAAAATATTTAAAAATTAATGTGTACTTAATGTCAGAAATTTGCTAATAGAAGAATTGGCTTTTCTAAAAGAATATTTAAGATTGATTTAAAAATCAATTCGTGTTAAGGGAAAAACTAATGATATGAGTGGCTGGCTATAAGTGAGGTATTATCTTAATTTATAAATTGTTTCTTAATAAAAGGAATTAAATAGATAGATATATGATAAAATTTGTTAAAATTTGAAAATATAATTCAAGGATTAGATTAAAAATAAATTTTAGTAATATCTTTATTTATTTTAGCGCGAATTATAATGCGATAATTAGAGTCAGTGTTTTGCTTGGTTATTTGTTTTAGTGGGTGATTTTAACTTATTAACAAAAATAACGAGCAAATTACAGCGATATAAATAAATAGTATACAAAAGATTTATAAAACAAACACACTTGACAAAAAAAAACAATAAAGATTTACAAAACAATTCTGCTCATAGTAGATACATAGACAGACAGATAAATATATATTATTGCTCTCTTATAGATTTAGATAACTTAAATTTCAAAAGATGGAACTCTAACAACAAAAAAGTGCTTTGTTTGCATAATTCAATAATCATATTAATGACAAAGGAAATTTGATAGAATAGCTCAAAGAGTTATCTTAAAAGGAAGGATATGGCTTGAATTCCATCTCTGATAATTTGTATTCTATTGAATTCGAGTGTAAGTCTCCTGAAGCTGCTATCGAATCCCTCAAAGCTGTCAATGGAATTACTGTCTCTATCCCTCACAAGACTATCTCCCTCTCCACAAGTAAAATCACTTAAAACTACCTCTAAAGAAAGCTCAAGGTGCCTATTGATTCTTTAGAGCTAGCTAATGGTTAAGCTCATATTACTTTTGAGACAATTGAAGATAAGTAGGAAGCTTTGAAAAAAATATTTGCTGATAGAAAATTAAAGAAATTAGTGATTTTAGATTCATTAACTACTCATATATAAAATGACTTGTCTACTGATAATTCAAGCTTTTCTGTAAACTTTATTTATACACAATAATATTATCTTTTTATCCATAAATTCTTATTACACCTCAATTTACTGATATATACCTATTTATTAAGCTACAAATTGAAAACCCTTTACAAAGAAAATTATTTTAATACAATAATTTAAATTTTATTTACAAAAAGCCTTTGATAAATTTATATTAGCATATTTTTATTAATTGTATGCTATTCTTTTATTAACTCTTATTTAATTAAATAGAGCAGAAGTTCTATTGAGTGCTCTCCATTAAAAGTTGATCAACCAATAAATGGCAAGAGAAGAGGTCATTTACTCATTGAAAACGTTCACGATGAAGTTATCTAGCAATACAATGTCTAATAAAACTCTGATGAGGAATAAGGAAAAGAAGAAGAACTGTCTTTATCTCTTGAGAATGAGAACATATAGGTTGAAGATAAGAAAGAAGAGAAGTAATTAGATGAATCAGAAAATTAAGATTCTGCTTTAGAGCCTTAGATTCAAAAGAAGCGCAAGCTCGAATAAGGTAAATATGAATTTATTATAATTAATTAATTTAATATCAAAATTAATTACTCAGTTTGATTTTTGATTGATGATTTTTTATAGATGTATAAGTTACAGTCTTTCCTTTTAATCAAATATCCAATCTTAAAATTAAATTTCTTTTTTTTAATTAGGATTTTACTATTTGGAATAAGGTTTTGAATATGTTTTACTAATTACTTTAATGACCATACTTGCTTTGAAATTATTCAAAGGCATCTCTTACTGAACTTACTGAAGATATATTATCTAAAATACAAACAATTTATTTTTGATTTGCACTATAATAAAATGCATTTAATTTAGTAGTTTGCTAGCTAAAGCAAAAATGTAACAAAATACTTTTATAAACTAAAAACTGCAATAATTAATAGAAAGAATAAAAAGAAAGAGTGAGGTTTAACAAAAATAAATTTACTCTTTAAAATTATAGAACAATAAAACTATAGACATCAATAAAACAATCAATCAATCAATTAAAATATATTATAATAAATATAATACAAGCTATAAATTTTGTTATTTTGTCATATATTAATTTATATTATTATATTAAAATTCATTCTTAAAACTATTCTCTATTAACAACTACTTTAATTACTTGTGAATGACATAAAAATATTATTTGTTTTATAACAATTAAATACCAAACTATATTTACTAACTTAGATAATAAAATGGATTTAATAAAATTTGTTTATTGTATTATTTTTAAAAGCTAAATATATTAAAGTACTACTATTCAAATAAGTAAAAACCTTCATTAATGCTTAAGATAAATAATGTATTAAAAATACACAAAATATTCAATATTTTAAATTGTACCCTAAAAAAGGAGTAAGATAGATTCAAAATAACTGAGTATTCTGAATTACTGTCAAAAAAATAATCTTCCTTAAATCTTTTGGTTTAAATAAAACCTTTAAAAATGTTTTAACTTTTTAAGAATTGAATGTTTCTGGTTTTTTATAAAATAGCAAAGTTATAAATTAGTAAAATTGTTTTTTAATAAACAAATATATATATAATTTATTTGAAAATTTTCATTATTTTTTTAGTTTAATCTTTACTAAAATTTTTATCTCTTAAATTTATTTAAATTAAAATTTCTAAAATCTCCTAGATAATAAAATTGTGAAACTTAAATCTTATTTTATTAATATTTAATCTATTAACTTATTGATAAAGATAAATAAATGATAAATATTTTAATAAAAAATATTGATTGATTAATAGAAATAATATTGTTGAACATATTTTAAATTATTTATATGCAAAAACCTATTTAGAAAATGTAATAAAGTTAAATTTGAGTCTAACAAAAATATTTTACTGAAAAATACAATTTATTTTTATCTAGTAAAATATTTGAATTGCATCTACATATTTTATTAGCAAAAAATAATTTTAATTGATTTTGTTTAAATTAATTTGTTAATTTAATAAAGTTAAATTAATTTAAATTTTTTCAGTTTTTATTTATTAAATAATATAATAATTTTTAATTAAAGGTAGTATTATTCAAGGTGATTACCATATTCACACTGGTAATTTTTTAATCTTATTTGATCTAAATCTACCACAGCCTGTCTGAGAAACTCTATTATTTCTATTGTTCTTTAACCTTGTATTAATATTATATATATCCCTAGTTAATACTTAAAAGAAAATTGATTAAATACATAAAAAAAAATAAAATGAATATTTTTATATAATTTGAGGAGTAATGAATTATGAAGACTTTTAAAATGATAAATTATTACTGTAGTATTATATGCAATTGCATATGATAATTTTGATGGTGCAATAAAGCTCTATACTGAACAATTTATAAAAGAAGTTCATCCTAAATTGGTGTTATTTTTTTTAGATACTATCATATTAATTCCATGTTCAAGAATAAGAAAACACTCTAATTAAATGATCCCATAAGAGAAGAAGCATTAATGAATTAATTAAATGAAATCTTAAAGAAAAGTAGCTGCAACTCGTAGTGTCATAAGAATCCATTCATTATATATTAAAGATGGAAATTATATTTCCAAAAAAACTAAAATTAGTAAAGGTAATTACGGATTTAGAAGAAAATAAATTAGGGATTTGCTAAATATTATTAGATATATTGTAAATGTTACAAAATATTATTCAAAATATAGTATTTAGTGAAGAAACTTTATTAGGCTTATAAAGAAATGTAAACCTTCATCATTACTATTATTTATTATTCTAAAGAAAATCTTTATAAAACCATATTTTAATTAATGAAATCACGTGTTCAAATTTTTGGGCAATGTTACCTTATAAAGACTGTTGAGTAAGGTAAGTTTATAGCCAAAATACAGTAGATTCAGAGATATAATATTGTGATATATTAAATAATTTTTGTGTTATTTATTCCTTACTTAACAAAAAAGGGTATTAAAAATTGTTTTTTCTAAATAATATAATCACCTCATTATTTAAACTACCCAAAAAATATCCTAAATTCTAAATTAAAATATAGATGTATTGGGAGGGGATGACATACTAAGTAGCCTCCTATAAACCCAGAATTATCAATAAATATTGTTGGTTATGGGGATATTTTCTATAGTTGCTTTATGAAAATCCAAAATATAAATTTAAATTAATTAATAAAAAAATTAATAATACTTTAGATATAATATTACAGGAATGATTCTCAATTCATATGGAAACCTTTTTAAAAGACTCATAGCATGTATAGATTAAAATGGAAAATAACTATAATAACATATGTGAGTGGAATTTTAATATATAATTTGACACCAAAATACTTTTAAAAATTTCCAGTGGGAAGATCATAATCATCATGTATTTTATGATTCTTAAATTAGTTTTAAAATAATAAATATAAAAAAAGATTTTTGATTTTTTAAATTATTTAATTTTTATTATTTATTTGAATTTATTAATTTATATTAAATCATTCATAATAGTTTAATTTTAAAAAGACTATATTATTTTATGTAGTTAAATTACTTTTTAGCTTCTTATTTTAAATTTAAGGTTTATTTTAAGTTATTTTATTATTTTAATTTGAGGGTAATTTAATTTTAATTTTTTAATTTGAAAAATTTATTCAATAAAATTCATAAAAAGATGAAATTAAGATTAATTTTCTTTTAAATTTTTGATGTGATTTACTTTAAGAGAGAGAGAGAAATAAATTTGATAATTGATAAATGAGATGGTTATTTGATATATAGTTTTGATGAAAATTTAAATATTTTAAAGATTAAAATAGCTTTTGGTTTATTATCTCATTTAAAATAATTCATTTATTCTTAACTAAATAATAAATGTATAAAAGAAAGTTAAATAAATCCATATTTTTTTTATTATATTTAAATGGCTAAGAATGTTTTTTTATAGAAATGTACTTTTGATGAAATTATATGAAAAAAACAGTAAAAATATGTAATATTTAGATAATTAAAATATCTGATGGCATTTATTTAAATTTATAAAAATACGCATCAATTAATTAACTATTTCATTTTGATTCATTCAATAATTTACTTTATAAATAATTATTAATTTTTTACAATTTTTTATTGTCTTTTATATTTTTATAATATAGAATTTATATTGCTAATTTATTATTATATACAGAATTGTTTAATGTTTCTTCTATTAAGCTACTTAAATAGTTTTGAAATATTTATATTATGATTTTTTATTATAAAATCATTAAAAATACTATACTTTATTTGAAAAGTACAGCCAAATATGTCAATTACTCTAAATTTTATTAAGTATACAGACTTAAAATAGTAACAATTGTTGAATTTTAATGCAAGTTTTAATGAAGAAAGCTTCTCTGAAAACTATAAATATCCTTTTTCAAAAAATATACCTTATTTTTTAGAATTATGAAAATATTTTTGAGAAATAATTTGTGTGTTAGTTTGAATAAATTTAACAAATATTTGAGATATAAATTTAAATCAGTAAATCAAATATTAAAGTGTTATATTTATTTTTCATATATTAATTTATGTGTACTTTTTACTTAATCTAAAAAATGGAAATAAAATGAATAAAATATAAGCAACATAGAGAAGATAAACAATGAATTCATGCTTAGTTGAATTGCGGAGGATGTTTATTTAACTAAATTTATTTGATTTTTTTTAACTAGTTACTAAAATCGTTATAGAAAAGAGAAATACTATATTTTATAGCTTTAAACATTTTAACAGTTATTATTACCACTATTTAAAGAAAAAATGTATTAGTATAATATACCTTATTCTTTAATTATTTTCCAGAGTCAACTTTCTTTTGATTAACAAAAACCACAAACTAACTTTTACAAGAAATAATTGAGATATGCTCACAATAAAATACCTATTGAATTAAATTTTCTGACAGTTTTTATATCAAAAATAAAGGTATAAATACATATTTTTTATTTTATACCTATCTGACGCTGTATTTTTGCAAAGAATCTAAAATGTATAATTTGTTTTCAGTAAGAGGAGTATGTAATATAAAAAATAAGAATGCTAAAATAATCAAGAAATTAAATTTTTTATTTATTTTGCCTTCTATTTAGGTAAGATTAAAAAGTTATATTATATGACTTAGAGTTAAAAAAAATACGAATTGCTTTCTTTTAAATTTTATAAGATGATTTATAAAAAATATTGCAAAATAAAGAAAATATGTCCAATTATCTTAGATTTATTGATCAGTTTGGCAGCTGATGAAAATCATAATTTAATTTTAGATTATGGTTACAGAATATTTTCTAAGAGGAATTTAAAAATAAAATGAGTTAGAGAATCATCACATTTGAGCTGTTAATTTGTTTTATTCCAGTTAAGTGCAGAATATATGGATTTATTTGACTTTTAATTTTAAATGAAGTAATCAATAAATTTAAAAGAATAAATTAAATTTAAAGCTGAAAACTTTTTTGTCAGTTTTTATGATACTCTTTGTATTTACTGTTGCTACTTAATTTATTTAAATTCTGTTGACTCTCAGATAACCTAAAATTGAAATTAATAGTTATTTCATAATTTTCAGCCTCATGCTGAAAAATGAAAAAACCATAAAAAAATACTTGAAAATAGCAAATCTTAATCAAGAATTTCTACTACATCTTATTAAATAAATGTATTTTTTATTGAATCTAAGATATACCAAAATGAGTGAATTAAGTTGTAAACAGTATGTAAAAAAGAACAAATTGCCTCAGCTTTTATATTTTAAGTTAAACGAAATTTGACAAATCAAATGAAATCCTCTTTATTGCTTTTTTCTATTTCTTTGTAATAGATAAGAACTCTTAATAACTGCGTTAATACTTAAATATATTTTATACTATACTAAATTTAAGCAAATATTTTTGTTCTATGCCTTCCACAAATATTTACAATTCCAAAAGTAAGATAGTTAATGAGATATTAAAAACAGATACAGCTCATTGCGGTATTGTCAAATATATTCTTAGGGCATTAAAAATTATATTCAAATAAAAATAAGCTTCATAAAAAGAATTTAAAAGTTGGCTTTTAAATTTAATATTGCCTCGGAAAAAAATTGGCGATTTACACTTCGCTTCTATTATTAATTAAGGGTTCTGGACGCATAGTTTTAATATCAATAAAAGCGTAATATATTTTAAAACCATCCATATGATAGTTACAAAAAGTATTTGAATTGAAAAAAAATAAAGTCAAATGGAGTAACAAAGAAGCTAGAAATTACGATATTGTTAATTTTAAATTTTAGTTTGAAATTAATCACAATTTAAATAATTATTTCAATCTTAAATTAATATAATTTACTATTATTTATTATTTCTTTGTTTTTAGTTTGAATTATATATATATTACACCCCTTAATTGTAAATTTGAGAGTACTCTTCTTATTTTTTCTATCTTATTTTATATGATTAAGATAGAATTTTCGAAGATGTTTCTCTGAAAAATTACAATAAAATTCTTTCTATTTCATTCATTTTTGAAGATTTTTTTACAACCCTATCAAGTATTTTGAGGGATTGGTACGTTTTAGCATAAATAACTCAGAGGGCGTTTATGTATTGTATTTTGTTATATATGGAGAGGCTTTTGATTAAGAATACTTGTTGGATAAGATTGATTACGAATTATATTTCATTTTGATTTCGTTCTTAATAGTGAATATTACTTGAGGATTTACGCTAACTAAGTTCGAGAAAAGACCTGAAAATTGGTCAAGTAGTCTCAGCTTAATATTTTCAACTGGTTAATATTTTAGCATGAATATGAATTAAATCTTAATCTTTGAATTTAAAGAACTTAATAATTTTTTTGTTTATTTGCTTGCTTGTTATATAATTAATATACCTTAAAATAAAGGCTGGCCATCATTAAAGAATAAAGGGTGAAAGGATACTGATTATTTTTGTGAAGAAAAAAAAATATAGATTTGATGTTTCAAATTGTTAAGGGAAGTGAAAATTAGATTAATCAAAATTATTAAAATCTTGGGTAAAAATAATTTTGGCATTAATAAAATATGTTTAAATTAGTCGCTTGCTGAAGTAATATATATATTTGTGTCTATGTATGTATCCTGCAGTGCTTTTCACACTAAATTTAATTGTGAAATATCATCAATTTATCTTTTAAAAATTAAAATAACATACATTAAAATTTATGAAAAATAAAAAACTTATTAAAATATTAAATTTATTTATTTATAGCTGGTAAATGTTTTTCATTTTTCAGTTACAAAACCATTTAATTATTTCATAGAAAATGGTTAGATTTTATTCCTGCGTTATTTCTCTTGATTCTTAAAATTTAAACAAAAGTAAACTAAATCTAAAAAAACTGAAACTCCTAAAATATTTCGTAGCTAGTTTATAAACTTAGTTCTACAAATTTTATTAAAACTTTTAGAAGAAGAAATAGTCTTCAAAAGACTCTAACTAACAAGAGTTAATGAAATACTAGAAGTATATTTTTTTTTCTAGTTCGATCTATCAAAAAATAAAATGCAATATGATTTCCAATTAAAGTAACTATATTATATCCATAATTAAAATAAAAATAGATAAATTTTTTAATAAAATCTATTTTTAAATAATTGAGGAGCTTTTAAATATTATTAATTTGTTTCTAATTAAATAATGCCTTTAATATTACATAAACTCTATTGAGGTAAAGAATTAAAGTCTCTCAAATAACCTTAAGTTAATAAATATTTTCAGGTAAAATATAATCCTGCTAAAATTATGAAATAGGAAACTTCTCACCGAACTAACTATAGCTGTGTTACCGTATGTATTCTTTTTCTCGAGTGTAATTTTGTAGAGATAAGTACAAATCTAGACAAAATAATAGATTTGTTGAAAAAATAAGATGTAATAGAAGCAATTAGTTTTTATAACAATAGAACTTTTTTGTGATTAGTATTAAATTTAGAAATTTAGATTTGCAATATGATAACAAAATGCTAATTATGCACAAAAATAAAAAAATACATTGATTACTGTTATTAAGAAGCATTTCTAGTAAGGTTATTTTGCTCCTGCTGAGCTACCGAAAAAATTATTAATCAGTATAGGCTGCTCGAATGAAGCGGATATTTTAAACATATAATTTGTTGATAAAATAACTAAAATTACTGACTTGAAATCATAAGAAACATGCTGGCCTTTTAATCTTACTTTTTAATTTACTTAAATCAACTTGCGCATTCTAGTTTTAGTAACTTGAATTGATCAGAATTATAGGTAAGTAGTTATAGAATAAATAGTATTCGACTTAATGATTAAATATAAAAAGTTAGTTCTTATAACTAATTTATTCGAGCACAACTATTTTACTGCACGAAAAATGGCTAGAAAAGTATTTAGAATATATTGTGGATAGAAATATTAATTAGAAGTAGGAAAGCCTACGATAAGATTATATATATAACTTTTGACTAATCCTTCTATTACATTAGATGTCTTTAGAATAATTGTAATTGCAAAGGAATTTGAGTAAAATCCACAATTTTAGTATACTTTTCTCAAAAAAAGATATGTTAAATTATTTATGAATATGTTCAAAAATTATGCCAAATTTCCTTGGTTGGGACTGAACGGGTGGGTGGGAAATCAAAAATTAAAAAAGGGCTAATTGTGATATTAACCCAGTCTTTCTTTTTTTAATTAAATAATTAACTCTCTTAATCTAAGTAACCTTAGACCTATGTATGCTTCGCCCTAATATTAAATAGCACTCAATAGATTGGAGTTTCCCAGCATTATAATTATTAATTTACAAAAAATTAATTATTTCAATTTTTCAAGAAAAAAAAATTAATAAATCAAAAAAAAAAAAAGAAAAAACTAGCTAAATAATACCAAAGGGTATATATTTCTTACCTCAAAGTCTTTACTTATCTCTACAACAAGATATTTCTTGATAATTACCTAATTTTCATAAGTCCTACATAAATCCCAAAAACAAATAAAATCATCACTCTCTAATTAAAAATCAATCAATCAATACAAATAAAATGAAGAAAGAACAAATTAGACAACAACTCTAAGAATAAAACGCTGCTGCTGCTTAAGCAAAAATTGAAAGAAGAAATCGTAAAATAAAAAAAATTTCTCCTAAATTACAATAAAAGCTTTGCCGCTCCTTATAAAGTTATATTCGCTCTAGCTCTTTCTAGCCTTGCTAAATTGAATCTATGAAATTAAATCTTTTCTTAGCAGCTTAAAAATCTAAAGAATAGCTTGAAAATGAGCTAGAATAAAATCGTGTCGAAATTAACGAATGTACTAAAAAATCTGACCTTGTATGCAGAGTAGCTCATGGGCGTACTTTCGGTAAAATTGTAAAAAAGTGCCCCACCTGTCGTACAGGCTAACTTCAACTAGAAATTGAAGAAGGAAGGTACATTTGCTAATACGACGATAGCCTAAACTGCTACCCATAATAAAACTGCGGATTAGCCTATGATTTTTCTGAAATAGAACACATAAACTGGATTAATTCTAATTGAAAATTTTGTAGATACATAGATAGATAGACCTTTATTTTAAAGTACCTGCTGATACTTTATTAATATGACACATTTTCTGATTTAATAAATTATGAGTAAGGGTTCACACATCTATTCATTCAACCAGAAACCACTTCTTTTTAAACAAATCAACAAATAACTTTATTATACAATTAATAATATAAAATTTACAAAAAATCCCATTTCAATTTCAATAATATTGATTGTACAGATGAAAATAAGTGATTAATCAATTAATTAATTAAATAAATAAATAAATTACTGCAAAATAAGCATCTCTACTTTCAAAGAAACCTTCTTTAATATATATTAAATAATAATAAATCTACTATTTATATAAAATAAGGAATAACATGTTAAAAAATTTAAAGCAATATATATTATTATATAAATTCTATTAAATAATTTAAAATAACAAAACAACTTAATCACTCAATTGCTGCTTTCTTTCCAACAACTCCAATTCATTGTCTCATTTCACTACTTTTCTTGCATGTAAGGTGTTAGAATAGCTAGCTAGCTACTTTCTAAATAATTAACCAACCAACCAATTAAATAAATAAATAAATAAGCAAATCTCACGAAAACTAATTAATCAGATATGATGGTGAACGAATAAATAAATAAGCAACTTCTATCATATAAAATATTACCTAACTAAGGCATGCATCTTATACTACTTCCCTACCTATACTTCTGTTATTTCTTAACTTATAATTTAACATATTATTTAATAAATGAATACATATTTTTGAAGTAAAACTATATATTTTAAGCATTTTGTAAATACTCTCTTTTCAAAATTGCATACTTATTTTAAAAGTTACTCAATAATCATAAATTAACAGATTCCATCCATATATTTAAAAAATCCAAATAAATATTTTCAGTTGTTAAATAAAATTCTATCAATTACAAATTTCTTATTTATTCCTAAATATATTAATTTATCACTCAAACAATTTGTTTAACTATTTATCTATCTATAAGTATATCTATCTATCTTTTTATTTTTTTATCTAATTATTAATTTGTTTAATACTATTTGAATTAAACTCTATACTATTTTGTACTTTTTGCGTTCTATGAGGTTTTTTAAAATTGTTCTAGAATTATAATTTTCTTCAGTATACTAAAAGAACTCATTTAATATTTTTTTTATTTGAACATATTTGATATTTATAATAAATATTTCTTATTTATGATTTATTTTTTCTATTTTTTCTATTTTTTCATTAGAAGCATCAAAATAAATTAGAAATGCTTAAAATTCTTGTAAAAAAATTATTTTGTTAAAAAGTTAAAGCTTGAACAATGTTACCTTTTTCCTCCTTGTTTTTCTTAAGCAATAGATCAGTTTTTATCTAACTTAAAATTACATTGGAGTTAGGGTGAAATAAAAGAAATAGAAAAATGAGTTAGTAAAAATAAAACAATTAAAGTGGCAATTCACTGAACAAGCTTTGTGCTTCTAAGGAAATGAATTATGTGAAATTGAATATAATTCTAATCTTGATAAAAAATAAGTAAGCTTTTAAAATTGCTTATAATAATTAATTAATTACTTTGAATTTTCTATTTTAAACAAAATTTGGTTAATAGAAACAAAATTTTAAAGCTAGCTAATAAAGTAAGTATTTCATATAAATTAATTAAAAAGTTTTTTAGTTTTAAAATATAAATTTGTTATTATGAAAAGTAAAACAACCTAAATGATATTTCTTTTTAAATCGCAAGAATTTTTTAAAGGGTTTTACTAAGATAAGAATTATAAACAACAAGCTAAATTGCTAAAAAAAGAATGATAAATATTTGGTATATACCAGCTTACAAGAGAAAGAATTTAGAATAATAGATATTTATTTTTTAAGTTTAACAGCACACTAATTTCAAAGTATTTTATTGTGTTATATTATTTTTTTTCTATATCCTTTACAACTGAATTTAATTTATGATTTTTATACTTGCTAATAAATTTAAAAGTAGCAGAAATCAAAGATTTATTGGCGAAAAATCAAAGGATTTTTCGCAATGACTCTATTGCTAATTCCCTTTTGTCTAATTTTAAATTACCTTCGAGCTTATATAGATAAGAAATTAATCAATCTATTAGTAATAGCTAATAATTATCTTTGTCAGTAAATTAAATTCAATTTTTATTGAATTAAGCATAAAGCTAAATAAAATATGCGTTTAGAATTAACACCAAAAAAGTCACTCATCCATTCCACCCACTCACTCACTCTTTGTTGATAATAGATAATAAAAGTAAAAATTTGTAAGAATATGTTAGATTGAGATAGAAAGAAATAAAATATCAATAAAGATTTATACACTTATTTATAGGAGTAGAAAATAACTTTGTTTGTAGATTAATTAATAAAACTGTCTATAGAAAATATAAAATGATGAATGAATGTGGTCTTTCATCAAATATGCAAGAGAAATAGTATAAATAGAGGCTAAGAAGATATTTTATATAACATAATTTATAACTTTTCATCATTAAAATCTATGCTTTTTTAAGAAAATTTCATGAGAAAGTATCTGCTAAAATAGCTTCGTACAAGAGTTATACTATTTACGTATATTTAAGAGATATTAATTTTTTTAAATTGATGCTTTTTATTTGCGGATTTAAAAGAAATCCTGGCTAGCTTGCTGTAACATAAACCATACTAAAGACATAAACATTCATTCACTCAGTGGTTAAAATTAATTTTTAAGAAATATGAAATTAATAGAAAAATTTTTTGCAAAATTTATTTCGGATTATAATTTTTTAATTAATAGATTAATTAATTTTCTCATTTTATTTTTACTGTATGTAGATTAATTAGCTAAAGTGTGGTAAATTTCGTAAGATTTATTTGAAATGATGTGGATATGCTTATATATGTTGAACGATAAATATTAAAGGATCGAATTTTATTTTTTCTCTATATCATCAAATAGTCTATCAAAATATTCAAAAATTGTTAATCTTTTAAATTTTTTGGAATTTATTTTTTAATTTAGCAGAGATTACCACTTATTTATTTATTAAATTAAGAAAAAAAGTGTTATAATCGATCATTATAAATATCATAATGAACAAATTCAAAAAGATACTTTTGTAAGATTTCCTTGTTTAAACTTGTTTAAAGGATTGATTAATTAACAAATTAATTAATTAATTCATTCATTCATTTTCATTTGATTTTTAAACTGACTAATTAATTAAAATTTCAATTTTTTAGATTTTTCTTCTATTTAAAGTAATTGCATGTATCTATCTATGTATGTATGAATGAATGAACAAATTAATTATCTTTTGAAAATAAATTCATAAAGCATATATACTCAATCTTAATTTCTCACCCATTCTCTTAATACTAGATCAAACACGCATTTTAAAAAAGGAAAGAAGTTTCAGCAAAAAACAAAAAATTGTTTCAATAAAATGGAGGGCGTTTCAACTTAGTTTTAACAAAATATTTTACTTCAAACTGACAACAACAGTATCAACAAAGAGTTGACTGCAAAATTGTAAAAGTTAGAAAAATATGTAAATTTTAACAACTGGCTTAAAGCAAATGGAGTCGTTTATGATGGTGTTGAATACCCTGTAGCTTTTGGTTAATACGGATTAATAGGTGCTGCTGCCACTAAGGACATAGCACCTTTAACTGCTTTCATTTCAATCCCAAATAAAGTAATCAAACCATAAAATATTAAAACAATTTTGAGGATGAATTTTTGTCTGCTTGTTTATTTTTTACCATCAGCTATTAGTTTGTTTGAGTGAATAACTAATAAATATTTTAAGACAGTATTTGAATAGAATTTCTATGAAATAGTAAATCTTAAAAATCAAATCCAACAGTAACAAAAAATGGAGCAGTTTAATACTGCGGTTATTATATCTTTGATGATACGATTGATTGAATGTTCGAATTTTGTTTGACATAAGATTTTATTTCCAAATCAATTAGAATATGAGTAATTTAAATAAGAATTTCTTTATGTTTGCTGCCTGATAAATAGTGTTAGAGAGTTAGACACATTATTTCAATTCAGTCAAGCCCCTAAAAATATAATTTGATGAGAGGGTTTTATAAATTTAAATTTTTTATAATTAATAGATAGATTACTTCTATATCTATCCAAAAATTTTTTATTCTATGTTCAATCATTACTATTCATAAAAGCATTAAATTTATTAAAAAATAGATCATCATTTCTTATGACAGAGCAAGGTTCAGTGAATTAAAAAGCTTTTTTAAATAAAGTGAAGATTTATTTAGTGAAAAAGAAAATGATGAAGCAGGTGTGAATGTCCTAACAGTTTTTTTCATGTACGAAAGACTTAAAGGTAAAAAGAGCTTATGGCATGAATATTTTGAAATTCTAGAAAATAATGAAACAATTTTAACTTGGACTGCAGAGGAAATCAATAGAATTCCTGATCCTTACATCTAAAAGCAAGCTAGAGAATACAAGGAACAGGTAAAATAAATGCTTATAATTTTTCTAAAATTTTTAATTTGCTAAGTAAGCAAGATACCAATTCAAATATAAAAAATATTTACTTAAAAATGCAGACTAAGTGTAGAGCTATTATAATTTCATTCTATAGATTTTTTTTCTTATTAATCCTTCTAGCTGAGTAAAGAAAATATCAAATACGATTACACTTATTTTCCTAAGATAATTTCATTTCTCTTCCCTTTAATCAGAATATTGTTATAGACCAAATAGAAGTTTAATATTTTTAATATTCATTACCACGTAATATGCAATACATTTATGTGTCCATTAAGCTGCACATGAATATCTAAATCCAAATTCCTAATAGGAATTAAAAAAATTTATTTTAATATTTTTGCTAAAGTAATAAATTCTATTTTATTAACAAATAAGCTAAAGCAAATTATTTTATGAAAAATTTATTTGCAAAATTTAGATTTTGTTTTCAATTAGATATTTTTAGTTTAAATCATCAAAACGTGATCATTATTCTTTGATGTTCAACATGCATTTTTTTAGTATTTTAACTGCCAATTATTTTTATTTTATTTTAATATAAATAAATTATTTTTACTGTTTAATTTTTATTTTAAAAATATTAATTTTTAGCTAAAAATAGCTTTAAAATTATGAGGTTTTATGAATAAAACACTATTATATTTTAGCTATTTATTTCCTCCATTAATTTATTTTTAGTATTTTTCAAAGTATTTAAACATTTAATAAAATTTTACCTGCTAATTTTTATAAATTTTTATTCTTTGGTTCTCTTAAAAAAACTCACTTAGAAAGCTAAAATTTTTCTAATGACGATTGTTGATTTCAGGATTAAATACAATAAAAGCTATAAGAACGTATTAATTAAATACACTTTTTAAGATTTTAGCTACTTAATTGTCAAATTTCATCAAAAACTCATTAATTAAAATTTGAATGCCATTTTAAAAATGAAAGATTTTTAAAGCTACTAAGCAAATCCTTTTATTGCATCCAATAAAAGTATAAAATACGCTCAAAAAAACTCCTTTAATTTGATTCTCAGCTACTAAATGTCCAAAAAATAATTAATTTTATAACAAAGAGCTATTTAGAATAATAAATAGAAATAAGGCCTTTAGCAATTAAATTTTTGAAACATATAATGCATAAACCCAAACTATGAAGCTAATAAGTTGCTATCACGCCTTAAAGCTTAAATGTTAATTTTGATGAATAAAATCTTAAAAAGATAAAACATATTAACCATTTTACTCTTGTTTTTGAAAGATTATAATATCTGAATCTTCAGATTATTTGCATAAAACAATGCAAAAATAAAGGATTACTTACTACCTTATATAAATTTTTTCAAAAAGGTGTAAATAAAGAGATTATTTTTTATCTGAAAAGCAACATATTACTAATGCTCAAATTTAAACAAAAACTATTTTTATCATTTTTCTCTCATCAAAGTATTCTTCTACTTTAGCTTTAAAAACATACTGCATTAGATAAAAAAATTAAAAATACTAGTAGTTCATCAACAAACAATATCTACAATCCAAAAAATTGTTATTATGATCAAAATAAGAGTTTATATTAAATTGAAATAAAGAATAATAATATCCTAATAAAAATAAAAAATAACTTCCTGTTAAAAAATTCTGGTTAAAACACAATTATAACTGAGAGTAGCAAAAACAAAAAGAATAATAGAAAAAATTAACTATCTTTGTTGAAATAGTTAATTAAAGTTAACAAACAATAGAATTTAACACACTTTTGTCTATTTAAAGATAATAAATAATCTTAGATTTAATAGTTATGATAGACCGACCATTTAGATAATCTAAGCTACTCCAACTAAGTTATTTCAAAAAATTATTTTTACTGTTTAAGTAGTTAAAAATTTAAGTTTAATTAATTTTCTCATGAATTATAGTCTTATAAAACCTAAAAAGTAACATAACTGATAAAAAATTATTACTATTCAAATATTTAAAAATTTTTATTTTGATTAATTAAGTTTTTTGGTTAGTCAATTAAGGGGTAAGTAAGATCACACTTTAGTTTTTAGTTTTGTCATAATTTAATCAAAAAATGTAATAAGTTAATCATTAAAGAATCAATTGTAAGACAAGAAAAAAGCATATAAAGTATTGTAAAGACTTAAGATTTTATCAAAAAAATCAAAGTCTATCTTTTAAGTGTCAAAATAACCTTTCTTAAAAATAAATACTTAAAAAACAAACACATAGCTCAAAAATAATTTAAAAAATAAAATTTATGATAGATTTTTAACTTAGTCATGATGAATTCAACTCTTTTTGCGATTTAAATATTTATAATTTTCGGCTATTTAAAAGATTTTTCTTTACAAACTTTTTATTTAAAAGCATATATTAACTTTTTTTAATTAGCGTATTATATTATATTTTAATGTGATTGGTAATTTATTTAGGTCGATGAATTATGGGACGAATTGAAAGAATTGCTTCATAGCTAGCCTAATTTTTTCTAAAAAGCAACTGCCACAAAAGAACTCTTTTTATGGGCCTATAATATTGTTATGTCAAGATGTTTTGGATACACTCAAAAAGGTACATCTATAGTACCTTTTGCAGATTGTCTTAATCATAATAAATATCATGCAACATACTTCTACATTCACAAAGAATTTGAGTTAAACTAGGCTAATAAACATCCTTAGTACATCATTAAAAAAAGGACATTAGATCTAAGTATAATCGATCCTCTGCTTGCAAATAAAGTTACACCAACATTATTTAAAAATGAAGTCTTTAACTTTATCAAGAATTATAAAGAGGATGCTTTGTTTAACAATTCTTCGGTACGCTCTCAAATGATTCCAATCGTTAGATAAATTAACATGGAATAGCTTCAAAAAAACTAAGATCAAGGTAAAATTATGGAGGATTTTTTGCATTTACCATTTTCGAAAGAAAACTCTTTTGAATTTTATTATTTTATATGAATAAGAAACTTTTTGATCTTTCTTAATAATTTCAGGAAATTTAGCTTGAGATTTAAAAATTTTAACGTTTGTTGATATTCTACAAGCTTAATCCATAAATAAAATAAAAAAATTTGTTTAGATTGAAATTTTATAGCAAATATATCTAAAAATAAAAATTAAATTAGCATTACAAAACCACTTCGAATGTAATTTTTCAGCTTTTTATTTCATTTTTTTAAATTAGATATTACCATTATGAATATTTTAAATTCATCTAATTGAATTCAAAAGAGAAACAGAATTCCTGGTTATCAATTATTTATTATTGACTCAACTGAAGTGTTAATTTAAGTAGAAACCACGAGTGTTGAAAATAAATTAATAAATAATTACAAAATTTATTTCGAGAATACATTTTTCATAAATATAAATTCACCATATATTATACATTAGTAAGATAAAATTTATCCAAAATTTTTGTAAAAGATCATTACTAATTTAATAAATAAAAGAGTTTGTTTGTTTGTTAAATTAAGCTCTTACCTATTTTACAATAAAATACATCATATTAAGAACTAAAAGCTAGATTTGATTTTATATTTAGATGAATGAAATAAATAAGAAGAGTTTTGAATAATTCAAAGTTTTTAACATTTTTAGATAAAAAGCTTACCGTTTTTTTATTATTTGTTCAAATTATTAATAATATTTAAAGGATTACACATCTAATAAAAGCAAATTATTTACAGTTAAATTCATTTTTTTTTAGATTGAGACTAAGTCTTTTAATTACTCTAAATACCTTTAGTTTTGTGAAAGTTTTTTAGAAGTAACAAAAATTAAAAACTATATTTAGAATAAAAACAAATTGGAATTAAAATTAATATATAATTTAATTTTAAAGAAATATGGACATCATAGTTTTTCACTACATCAGATGAAGAAGATAATGATACAGATTCTGAAGATGAAGAGGAAAAGAAAAAGGCGAGGGAAATTAGTACTCTAAAATTAAAAGAAAGCAGTTCTATGAGAGAAGCCTTAGAAAGAGTAAGGAGATATGAAGAGAAGCTAAGAAATTAACCGAAAATGACTCAAGAAGACGAAGAAAAAGCAAAGTAAGAAAGGAGAAAAGCAGATGAATCTTACTAACAATAATTACTGGAAAAGTAAAAGAAAAAGCTTGAATTAGAAGCTAAAGAAGGAAAAATTTAATAAGATGAAGAGTTAGAACTAAAAAATATTTATTACTTAAATGAAGATGATTATGATTGGTACAACTGCTAAGATAATTAAATTTATTTTATCTTTGCTTCAAATAAACCTATTGTTAAGGGTGAGTAAATATATAATTTTTATGGTAGAAGAACTAATAGGTACCTAATTTGTTGGTACGGATTCACTTTCTAGCCTAATGAATACGATTCACTTTCTTTCCGTCTTTTCCTTCATAAAAAGAGTGAGGAAATTAATGAAAATAATATTAAAGAAATTTTATATAGCGACTATATATCGTTTGAAGAATGGGAAAATGGAGTTAAGATTGGTGAAAAAATTGTTCCAACAGATGTCCTTTCTAAAGAGTTTCGTTTGAAGGATGGCTTACTATGTGATGAGTTAATTAATTATATGAGAATCAATAAAATGTAGCATTACAATGGGTTAGATCGCGATCTTATAATGCTTACATAACCAAGAAGTATTAATTTCGAATTGAGATGCATTGAAGCTGCTTTAATTGTTATAAAAGAATTAAAGAATCGCTACTTGAAATTCTCATCTTAAGTTAAAGATATGTCTGGATCTCTTTAAGGTGGCAAAAACAACTCAATACCTATTTAGGTAGCTCATCAATAGTTTTCTAAAATTCTGTACGATGGACATATTAGAGCTTTAGAGAAGCAAATAGCATTGCTTAATATATCTAAATAAATTCTGTAAGAAGTTGCTAAAGGAACAGAAAACTTTAAATAAATCTATTTGAGACTCTACCCCTAATTTGAAACAGAATAAGATTACCCAGCCAATCGTGAATATTTGAGAAAATATTTAAAGGCAATTAATGAAGGTATAGTGACTAAAATAAAATAAAAATGATTGAACATAGTCTTTGGTTAGATTTGATTTTAATAATCTTTTTTAAAGAAATTTTAGGGTAAATTTGTAGTTTATCTATTGAAAATATTCGTAAGGTATATGGGTAATTTATATAAAAAACTACGTATGTATGTTAATGCTTTAATGAATTGAAATTAATTAAAAAATTTTAATATTTATTACCAATATGAAAAGTAAAAACTTCAATAAATATTTAAATTACTAAATTGGTTCTTCAACTTCTTTCTAATTAATTCAAGAAGCTAATTTAATTAATTGTATTCATTCTTAAATTGTTTATTTGTTGTTAGTATTTTTAAATTATTATTAGAAAATGTTCAATTTGAAATAAACATGGTAGTAGTTACAAATGTTACTTAGTTTATTGAGTGACCTAGCCTATAAGCCTAACAAATTAATAATTTTATCTGTGATATTTTACAATTTATTATAATAAAAAATATACACTTTAGTTTCTGTCTATTTTTCGATCTCATATTAATATATCCAACTAAAGCAATCTATTTCAGATATTGAATATTCTGTGGATATAACCAAATTAAATGATATTTTTTAAATTAATTAAATCTGATCACAAAAAATTAATCAAGAGTAAGAATATTAAAATATAGTGTAACTTTAAATAATAGCAAATTAAAAGTATCTTTGTTATAAGTTTTCACATCTACTTATTTGGCAGTTATATTTATGTAAACAAAGGAATTCTTAAGAAAAACAATATAAAATGAATTAATGATAAATTAATTTATACTTTTTATTTTCATTAAACAATAAAAATATAATATTTTTTCTTTTTTTTTTTGATACCATAAAAAATAGTTAAGTTAATTTTTTTCTTCTTGAACAAGTTAGAGGTTGGATTTAGATAAATTTAAAATTAAAACTAAATTTAACTCTTTTTAATGTCAAATTATTTTATTTGGCTTAATACAATTTTAAGCTTTTTACTTTGAAAATATTAAGAAATTAAAGCATAAAATAATTAATATATTTATACAATTAATTAACAAGTAAGTTACAAATTTTGAATAGTAAAAGTAAGTTAAATGTTATTATTATTTTTTTCATAATAAATTTAATACCAAATTTAACTCTTTTTTAATGTCAAATTATTTTATTTGTTTTCATTCAATTTTAAGCTTTTTACTTTTAAAATATTAAGAAATTAAAGCATAAAATAATTAATATATTGATACAATTAATTAATTAAACAAATAAGTTACAAATTTTGAATAGTAAAAGTAATTAAACAAATAAGTTACAAATTTTGAATAGTAAAAGTAAGTTAAATGTTATTCTTATTTTTTTCATAATAAATTTAATACCAAATTTAACTCTTTTTTAATGTCAAATTATTTTATTTGTTTTCATTCAATTTTAAGCTTTTTTCTTTAAAATATAAAAATATTAAGAAATTAAAATGAAATTAAAGCATAAAATAATTAATATATTAATACAGTTAATTAAACAAATAAGTTATAAATTTTGAATAGTAAAAGTAAGTTAAATGTTATTCTTTTTTGTTTCAGAATATTTTTAAAATATCTCAGAAATCTTATATAGTTATCAGTTGATGAATAATTAATTCAAAATACTGTTTGGTAATAATTTTTGCAGTTATTATGAGCGAAGAAATGCATGAAAAAAGTAAGTTTAATTTCATTATTTTAAACTTTCTTCGATATCATCAAAGTAATCATTGTAAAGGCAAACTCTGAAATTGCTAGCTCCTCCAACACAAAAGCAGTATCTGTTTTGCTTATCTTAAAATTCTTTTTCTGTAAAATCTGCATAAAGATTATTTATCACACTCTTTACATTTTATTAATTGATCATTGTCAAGCAATCAGTAAAGGGATTATATTCAATTATAACTAATTATCCATTTGAAAATGAGTTACTATATTTTATAATAGGATTCTAAGGAGGTCCTAGCTCTTTGCCAGAACTTCTGAATAGCACTCTACGTCCAAGCCAATCTTCTTCAGGCTTTGGAGTGTCAATATCAGCGTTGTGTATAGCATAAGCTTCACGAGTTATTCCTAAGAAAAGTTCTCCTACTCCAAGGTTTTCAATCAAGAATGCAACTCTTTTAATATATAATTTTTCACTAGGAAATGGTATACAAGGCTTAAAATATGCAAACATATAACAATTTTTTTCTTCCTCATAGCAGTGATTAAATAAGTAGTAATTATCTGAATAAAGTAGTACACAATCCATTGACTTATTTTCAAATTTAATCCTTGTTGAACAGCAGCCCTAATCTAGATAGTATTTTTGACTTAAATCGTAGTAGTTTATTGGCTTAGTTTATGGAGGGGTTTTTTATTTAACATGATTAGCCTCTGGGTCTCCAAGAAGCTCTAAAGCATCTCCCAGTTAGTCCAAGATAAAAGAAAAATGAACTGGTTGGTCTTTTTATTTTTCTTCTTGCTAAAGCATCGATTAGATGTCCACCTATAAATCGAAAGATTTGCATTCAAAATTTTAATGATTTATCACCTAAATATTTAAGCTATTTTTTTTAGGATTAAATGCCATAATAATATGATCTTTTTCCTTCCATGTTATAGGAACAAACTCAATACGATCATTACAGATGAAAGTACTTTTATCTTAGCCTATTTCATTTATTATATAGAAACCTCCATGTCTTAAGTTCAAATTGTTGATTTTCTATTAATTAGGATGTTCATTTTCTGGGTTAAGCATATTAGCTTAAATCCATTAATTCCTTCTTTTATTTACTGTACCAATATTATAGCTAATACCTTCAGTTAAGCTTTCATAGCTTATTCCTACTCCACTAACTTTAGAGAATTGGTTAAATCTAAAGCTAAGAGTGATAGGCTTTTCAGATTCTAAATTTATTGAAGGTTCAAAAAAGCCTATTGCTTTTTATCCAATGTTTTTTCTTTAAGTATAAAAAAAAAATTTAGAATATATTAGGATGGATCCTTCATACTTTTATCAATTTTAATATTTAAAATCATTATTATAATTTAACTAATTTATTAAATTATAATTACTAAATTCTAATTAAATATGCCACTTTATTTATTTAGTATAATTTAAAAACATTTATGTATTTTTAGATAATATTTATAAATTTTAAATGTGTGTGTTTTTAAAATAATAAATTTAAGAACAGCAAATTTTTAGTTTGAAAAAGTGACATAAGTTATGAATTTTTTATATTTAAAGATTTTCCTTAAAATTCAATAAGTATAAAATAAATAGATTGAGAAAATCAATTTTAACCAAATTTTGCAATTTACTTAACTTTAATTAAATTGATTACCTAATTAATAAATATTATAACCTATTTAATGAACTTTCAAATCATTAATTTTATAATTATTTATTATAATCAGCTAATAAATTTCAAAATAAAATATAAAATATGTTTTAACTATTATTATTTTATTTTTATAACTTGCTGTACAGATTAACTCTAAAATGTTTAGATGAAATTAAATATGTGTACATTTTATTTATACATATATTTTTTTCTATTTTTATCACATCTATTGACTTTTATTTTATTTATAAATTTTCTATTTTTATAAACTTTGAGAATGATATTTTATTTATTTATTTACATTAAATTTTGGTTCATTATTATTATTTTTTTTTTCTCAATTTTTTGATTATTTTGGGGGTTTTCAAGATATTATTTGACTTTTTTAATGTAAACTTTTAGAAAAATATTTATTCAATTTATTGATTTTAAAATAAAAGCAAATATCTATCTCAGTTTCTTTCTGATCTTACTCAGTTGTTAGATAAATATTTCTTAAATAATTTGGAATATTTTAATAAAAACCCTCTTATTTAGTTTTCAAATTTATTTATTTTTGATGCATTTAATTACAAATTTTATGATATCAAAAATATAAGGTTAATTTTTTATTATCTTTTTATAAACAATGTGCTTGAATTATGCTTCCTTTTTTTAAAAGAATGGATAAAATTGACTTAACTTTTTAGAGAAGATTTCAATCAATTATTATTCTAAAATTTAAGGCAAAAGGTATTTTTAGTAAAGAAAGTAGATGTTTAGGTTATAAAACTAAGCTATTTGCAGAAGAAATACCACAAAAATTTGTGATAATAATTTTTTTTATAAACTAGATAAAAATTACTTTTTCTTTTTTGAAAATAATTATTGAAATAATAATATTACTCAAATCAGTGGGTTTTCATTCATTATTAAAGTAATAATATTTATTTATATATTCATATATATAAGTTTATGATTGTTAATTAATTACCCTTATCCCAGGAAAGCATGGTATCTACCCCAGCTATAAATGTTCATGTTTTTTTTGTCTTGAGAAATTTCGTATTCGCTCACTGGATGCCAATGGTTTGGTTTAGCTATCAGACATGGAGTATAGTCCTGTTTTATATATTATTAAGTAATTTTTGGGTTCAAAAAATTTTTAATAGCCATCTTTCACTTAATAATAAATTAATAATTACATAAGGGTCCCTCTTCACCAAAAGTTCCTTTATTTAGAACAATATTTAATTCTAAGACTCTTATTAAAATGTGATTTTACCTCTTCCATTTCTCTAAATAATTGCTATAATATAAATAAATTAAAATTATTTTAGAATGATAATTTCGTTATTATTATCAATCAATCAATTAATATAATTAATTATTTACTGAAGCAGTCGAAGTTGAAATATCACTTGATAAAGCTCTTGCCTTCATCTAATATTCGCTTTCGTCTACTATTGTAATTCTTTCTTCGCCAGAGCATTAGCAGAAAAACCCAGAAAGACTTCCGAATATATTGGGTTTCCTGCCTGAATTAGCCTTTTGCTTCTTATCCATTTCTTGTTCCTTTTTAATATTCTGATTGATTTTTAGTTGTTAATTTTAATGATATTAAACTTTTTTAGTAATATAAAATTTTTTATATGAATTCTGCTTTCTTATTATTTTAACTAATAGAAAAAGTAAGTAAAAAAATATCTAAATGTATTATTTGGATATTTGTTATTAAGAATTAATAATAAAAATAAAAAACACCGCAAATTTCAGCTTTACTTTTTTTTATTATTAGATTTTATATTCAAGCAAGATTATAAATTTTCTACATTTATTTATCTTTATGATATTATTTCAAAAATTTAATATGTTTTTTATTATTCTTTAAAATGATTTATCAAACAAAAGACTTTTTATTAAAAATTACTGAGTTATTTTAATTTAATTAATGTTTTTTTTTAGAAACCAAAGTTTATCTTTTTGTTTAAATTTATTCAAGCAAAGATAAAATCTGATGAGCAACCTAAAATTACAATGTTTAATTTACAATTAAAATTTAAAAGGCTTAGAAAAAGTAAGCTTATTATTTGCAAATGATTTTTAGATACTCTTAATAGAGATTGTAAATTAATAAAATGTCTATATACATACAAATATTTTCATAAATATAAATAAGTAGCATATTATTATTTTATATATAAATTATTTTATAAATTATAAAAATTATTAATTGATTGATTGATAAATTAACAATTTGGTAAATAGTTTGTTTATTAGTAGGAAAGAGTAAAATTATTGTTGTCTATAAATAGTTTTCTGTTATTTCGTATAAGTTTAATTTAAATCTTTTTAGTGTGCTATTTAGATAGTTTTACTCTTTCGGTTTTTCTTTAATTAGTTTTATTTAATTAAAGAAAAAGGGAGGAAAAATTTTATTATTTATGAAGAAAGAAATTTATTTTATAATAGCTAAGCTAGTTTGTTAGCACTATAAACTCATTTTATAAAATATGTTCAATTTTATATTTTTTTTGCTCATTTCCATTTATTTTTCTAGGATACTGACATTTAATATGTATTTTGGCTTGAAGAATTTATTGCTGGTGAGGGATATCTCATTCCTGTTTTTTTAGATCCATTTTGATTAGTTACAATCAGTTAAGGTTTGATAGAATTAGGAAGGTTTTATGGCTTAATATCTTTTATTTATGAAATAAAATTTGTTATTTATCGTATTAATAAGTATATATATATTTATATATTTCTAAGTTACTTTTAGACCCTGGAGAAAAAGAACGAATACCACCTCCTGTAGAAGAAGGTCTTTTATTTATGTTACTAGAATCAAAATTATTATTTTCATTCTCATTATAATTATTATTGTTGTTCATGTGATTGGTTCCCATCATAAAATTGTTTGTCATAACTACGAATCCATTATAAGCTTGTCTTCCTTGAGGTAAGCTTCTAAAATAATTATTACATAAAAATTTAGTATTTTTTTTACCAAAAATAAATAATTGAAATATTAAAATTTAATAAAATTACGTATTTGCTGAATTAGGTCTTTTTTCAAACAAATCAGGATTTGCTTTAATAGGAAACTTGTGACTTATAGGCTATTATTGCAGCTAAGAATTTTGGATATTTTGTTTCTACTTCATCATGTTCTTTGTTATTTTTGAATCCTATTAATATTATATGGTTTAGTTAACGTGCTTTTAAAAATTCATATTTTACTGATAAATCGTTCTTTATCAATGAGTAATTGTTGATTTCTTTAGGGAATTAATACTAATTTTAACCAAATACCATTTCTTATTTTATTTTGCTTTGGTTAAAGCTTTTAGAAATGACTTTTTAATATACCATATCAGAATGGTGGTAAGTGTTATTCTTACTGAGCATTTTTGAAAGAATTTAGGAATTTGAATTTTATCCTCCAGAATTTTATGATGTCTGCTGATTTTGTAAAATCGAAATAGGAATTTGCTAGATATTAAATTATTGAGCTTATTACTATTGTTAAGTTAACTAAATGTTTTGGTTTAATGCTTAATGCTGCTATTGTTATTACTGTTATTTTTACATCAAGAGCATCTACTAATTTTAAAATATAATTTATTGAGCCATAGGAAGCTAGGCACCTTGACCATTGTTCTTAAAATCACTCCCTTAATTCTTTGCTTTATCCTCGACAACAAATTTGTAATAATTTTATAATTTACTAGGATCGCTACTATATTGCTTATACTACTTTCCAGCAGAATTTTAGTTACTATTACTTGAATTGTTGCTGTTATTAATTAATCCAGAGTTGTTACTTTTAACATAGCTATTACTATTCATATTTGTAAAGTCTATACCATTTTAAGGGTATTAAACAATAAAAGGTTGTTAAGCTAAGTTTTCAACATTCATATCATAGTTACCTGGTATTTATTGAGAGTTTCCAATTACACTATTAGTGGCTACGTTTGCAATTTGGAAGCCTTGTTAAACTACATTACCTATTTTTATTTAAATTTAAAAAACAATTTTTACTCAATCATAAAACGAAGGTAATTTTCTTTCAAATATCACTTCTTAAAATAATTTTGGAATTTATAAAGAAGAGAACAAAAAAAGGAAAGAATAATTCTTGAATTTAATAAATAAATCAAATTTTAACTCATCTCGAGAATTTTTCTTGCTCTCAAATAATAAAAAAGTAATATTTTTATTGAATCATTTTGAAATAAATTTTATTAAAAACAAATTAAAATTATGATAATAAAGTGATCTAAGAAATTAAATCAAATAGCTGCAAAAAAACCAATTATAATTCATTAGTTTATTTACCTGTAGCAACATTTGCATTTACAAAGTTATTAACTGTGAGATTTATGATATTTCCATTTATATTATTCACTTTAGCATTACCATCATTTCCATACTTATTTTTGATATTTATATTTTAGCTATTGAGAGTATTTTGAGAGTTATCTTATCTTATTTAAGAATTATTGATGTTGACATTTGTATTGTTGTAAATTTAATTATTTAAACTTTGAGAATTACCAACTTCCTTACCACGAGTATTACCTATTTTTACTTGCTAAATTTCTTATTTAGCACTCTATGGTAATTTAGAATATTATTAGTACTGAACTTCGTTAGCATTTTTATCTTGCAGAAGAGATTCATCTCTTGTTGAACCAGGTCGACTTGAATTTTCTTTATTTGTAATGCTTTTATTTGAAGGATTGCTTGAATCACCGTTTTCTGCATCTGATTCTTGTTAAGTAACCCTATTGCTATTTAGTTTATTTAAGCTGCTGCTCATAGGATTTTGTGGAGGTTTATTAGCACTGTTTTCATTTGATTTTTATGCACTTTATTAAAAAGAATTATTGTATATTTAAGGTTGATTAGCTTATTACTTTATCTAATTTATTTCTACTTCACTTAGCTCTTCGCCAGTAATTTTTTTGAAAATCTTATTTGACCCCTATTTATTTTAAATTAAAAAGATATTAGAAATAAATTAAATTAAACAAATATTTATAATAAATAAATAAATGAATGAATACATCAGTTTATTTTTAGGTTTTAATTTTTTTAAAAGATAAATTTCAAATAATTTAGAAAAAAAATATGTGGTTGAAACGAAACATCTTTCTTTATTACTTAATATAAATAAATCCTAATTTAATAAATTTGACTAACGAAAATTAATCTTCTTTATAAATTCTATTGATAAAAAAGCTAACAAATATTTTTCATTAAAATAGAATTAATATTTTTTCCCTTTTTGATAAATTTATTATTTTTTTTATGATTGATTACCTTTAAAATAGAATCTATGTAATCCTGGTTTTGGTTTTAAGGTAGTATTTGAGTTTATTACTGTTCTATTTACTTGAGAGCTTGTTATTAAGCTCTTTTAAAAGGAGCAGGAGATGGTTTTCTGTGTTGTACAGAAGCCCCTTTCTTTCCTGTAGATTAGGATTAATTTAATACCTGGACTAGTTTTTTCTTATTGTTAGATACTTCATCAAGCCATATAATTTTGGTTGGAGCAGGCTTCTTATATGGAGAATACCCTCCAAATCTTTAAGGTTTTCCTATATTTAAGTAATAATCTGGAATTTATCCTTACTTAGAATTCACATAAGTGTTTCTTATAAGAATTTCATCAGGTGAATTTTCAACTTATATTTTTGCATCTGGCCCTGCACCTGATTGATTCCAATCTTAACTTATAGCGCCTTATCCAGTCTACTATAAATATAACTCAAGATTTTTCAATTATTCGAAAAAAGTAGCACGTATTTCAAGATCTGGTCTACGTGAATTTAAATAATCAAGAGTCTTAAGAAGGGTCCATTAATACTTTCTCATAAAATAAGCTGTTAAAATACAACACGCCCTGCTTTATCCTCTCACACTATGGACTAGACATGATTCACCATTTTAATTAGCTTCTTCAATAAAATCTACAATTTAGTTCACAGTTTCTATGTTTTTATCAAACAAAATCTATTTTTTTGATAAAATTATATTTCATTACTCCGCAATATAAATCTTGTTAAAATTAATATTTATTCCATTTGCCTTAATATAAAAATCTAAAGAGACAATTATTATTCATTTAACAATATTGTGTCTGCTCTAAAAAACGATGTATCTAATGATAGTAAATGTTTTTTTGCATATTTTTATTGTTTATGCTTAGTTAAAATTTTTATCTCCCTTCATTGAATAAAAACCAAAATAATTAGTTTGACATAATTTTATTATTACCTATTTATCTGATTCCTACCAATAAAAAGTTAAATACTAAACCCCTAAGTTTTCTAACATATTATCAATCTGTTTACCAGCTGCATTTATAATGTGAGTTACTTTATTGGTTAAAATGAATTCTAAGTCCTTTATTAATAAAATTAAATGGAGCTAATTTAAAATACGCTTTATATAATTTTTATTTTAGTCATTTAAGAATTAAAACGAAGTAGAATATCTAAAATTTTCATTAATTATTACTTTAACAGCTTGCTAGTCTCCTATAAAAAGACCATCCTTTATCTTGATAGCACCTATAAATTCTTCGTATATCATTTTACTTTTCTATGCTATTTTTAGTACAGTTTTTTATCAACTAGTCTGATCTACTTTTTATATTTTAAGTGTGTTGGTTAAAACCTAGTTGTTTTTATTTATGAAAGGTGTCCTTTATGCTTAAAACTTGTCACCAAAAAGTAATATTCAATATTTAATGATTGCTTGTTTGTTTGTTTGTTTATTTTATTATTATTATTATTTTTGTTATGAACAAAAATTAATTAAGAGATGAATTAATTAATTGATAGCAAATGAATCAACTTCAATCACTAACTATCATTACAAATATTATTTCTTAGTTATATATCAATAATTATAATATAAATTGCAATAAACAATAATCATATAATATATTTCTATGCATTTTTTTTCTTTTTTCAAAGAATATTTCAACCTTTATTAATAAATTTTTGCTCGTTATTTATTGATAATCTAATTATATTTTTTATTATCTCATGCTATAAAATTATAATAACTTTTATCTTAAAAAATATATGGTCATGCATTCTTGATTTATTTATTTATGCAGTTTATACATTTAGTTCTCTTAACTTATCAAAAAAATCTATATTTACTATATATTAATTGGTTTGAAGTAAATTAGATCAAGCATCGCACACACACACAAACAGACATACAGATAGACAGACAAAGAATTTAGACTATTACAATTTATATAAATTTGCTTGAAGATCAAATTACAATTTAAAAAAATAGGATTAATCCATATATTTTTTAATGGTATCAACTAATTAGAATTCCATAAATAGAACAAATAAACCCAAGCAAAAAAATTTTATAAAGTCTCTCACTTAATAATGAATATAAAAAGTACAAATAAATGATTGAATAAATAAAAATTAATATTTTATATTCAAGAAATGTAATATTCTGTTAACTTTTTTCCTTTAGTTGTATGCTTGAATATGTTTCTTATTATTTATGCATCTATTTGGTTTTAACTTTATTTAAAATATAAAATTAAGTTAAATAAAAATAAAATAATTTAATTTTACTCTATATTTAATTTAAATGTTCGAAGGTTTTAGCATTTGCTTAAATATTTTCCTATTTTAATTGCGATTTATCCTTAACTTACTAAATTTTTACTGAAAACAGTTTTAAAATTAAAATTTATTTACATAAATAAATTTACCCATAATCTATATCTAAGTTAAGAAGGTTGGAGCAATTAGATAACCCTTAAAATAAGACATTCAAACCTTCATCATTATTTAAAGTTTGTCTATTTATTATTTTTTTAAATTAGAAATTTAAAAAAAAATTAAATTTACCTTAAAGTTAATTAAAGATATTGCAATTTTTTTAACTTTGAAAGAGCCTATCCTAAATATTGGAGTCCATTTCTTAGGACATTTTATCTAAAAAATTAAATAATAATATTTAGTATTTGGTAAGCTAAAAATTAAGTTACGACAAATGAAGTTGAAAGTTAATTAAATTAACGCAATTTTTTAATCCTTGTGAGAACTCCTTCAATCCTTCAGAAGATATACCACATTTTCTTGTTTAATTAATTAATTTTAAATTAATATTATTTTATTTAGTTTACCTTAGAACTAAAAGTAGATTTTAAAGTTTATTCATGGAACTAAGGGCAGTGCCAAGATGCGATACTCCCTGACCATATGCTTTATTTTGACTATTAAAACAATTTAAATATATTTTTTAGTGTTTATTTATTTACAATATAAATATTGAAAGACTCTCTAACTACAAGGATTATAAACCTTTTGCAATCCATTAAAAGTCATTTTCTGAAATCATATTATTCCTTTTGATTGAAATTTAAAATATTTTCTATTTATTCAATGCTAATTAGAAAATAAATTTTACTATAAATCAAGGTGTAGATTTTTTAAATTTTAGAATTTAATCAATTCTGATCCAATTACCTTGCACGAATGCAAGCTGATTTGATTTTTACTAATTTATTTATATTTTAGATAGGAAATATATTTGAATTTATTTTACAATAGATTGAGAGATAGTTATTCTAACTATTTGCATTAACTAGTTTTACTTAGGATCGTTTGAATTGAAATGCAGTTTATCTAAGTTTAGCTATAAAATATTTAGCAAAATTAAAAAAATTGTTAATTTACTCCAAATCTAGCTAAAGGGCGGATAAATTTGCACAATTAGAGATGCTTTAACCTAATTTAACAGCATCTTAGTATTCAATTTAAAAGTTACTATTTAATAACAAAGTTAATTTTTTAATTTACATAATTAATATTTGTACCTTTTTTTAACTTAGAAATTATTAACAAGTTAATAATTATCCGAATTTATCTGTTAAAATAATTTTGATTAAATTTTTTTAACTAATTGTAAAGTAAAGTGCTTATTTACTTCATACCACTGAAAAACTTTTGTTAAATTTAGGTCTATTTACAATTAAAATAAGTTAAATATTGTAATTTAAAAGTAATAAATTTACTTACATCTTTCGAAATCAAATATTTAAATGATTAAATTATCGTATTACTCTTCTATCTCACAATAATATTTTATGCTATAAATTTTATCTAATTTTAAAAAATATAAAACTGTAGCTATCTAATTGTTATTTACCTAACTACGTTTTATCCTAAGTAAAAGTAGTACCAGTTAATTTTACAACTATTGCAATTATTTTTTTATTATAAATATCTTCAGCTTTTAAGCTCAAACTATATTATCCATTTTCATAATATTCATAATTTTAAAATTAGAATTTTTTTAACTCCAAAAATTCAAATAGCTTTGCTAAATAACATCTTTGGATATAGCAATCTTCTGTTATGTTTAAGAGTATTTTATTTATCGAGCTTTCCATTTATTTATGTTAAAGTTGTTTATGTATCTTAAATTTTTTTATAAGAAAGAAAATAACAGAAATTTTATTTATATTAATTAATTCAAAGTATTGTATCTGATCTCTATAATCAGAATTAATTATCAGACAATCTGAATAAACACTAAAAAATTTATTAAGCTTAAAGTGTCTATTTATGTAAATAAATTATCTGCAGCCATGAAAAATATTTTAGTAGTTAAATAATGCTATAGTGTACCTAGAATTGTATTTATGATTCATTATTATAACAATATAAATGAAAAAATAATTCATTATCCAAAAAGCTTGATGATTTCATACACTGTGGATAATAGCTGTCTTATTTTATTTTTGAAATTATAATTTTATTAAATAATAAATAAATTATGTCAGTCGTTGTAAATTGTATCGAAAACAAATAATGAAAATATCTAAAAACTAAATGGATTATATTTATAAAATAATAAAAAAATTATATGAATTAATCATAATTTATGCACAAAACCAATATCTTTTTTTTACATTTTTTTAATAAATCCTTTTTATTATAATTATTGTTTTATGATCTCTTTGTTATCTTCATTAAATTTTTTCCTGAGATATTACAATAAATAAAAATACTCTACACGATTACTAAACTAGAGTAAGACTCATATTATTTCTACTTGCCTTGACTCTAGATAAAAATTTGCTGGAAGTAAAAGCGAAATAAAGGATTGTATAAGTATTTTAGAAGAAGAATATTTTAGATTTTTAAAGAAAAAATAAATTTCAAATTCCTATGAAAATGAAGATTTTAGTAAAATTGAAATTTCAACTATATGAAAGAAGAAATATAAATAGGGTAATGACATAATTCTTGATTTAAATTATATTTTAGAATCTTTTTATATTGTTCATGGATAGTAAAAAGATGATAATAACTATGGTGAGATGAAAAAAGATGGTTAAATAGAATAAGAAAAAGATTTTAAAAGAAACATTTCTAAATTTATTGAATACTATTACTAAATTCCAAATTACTCTCAAACCTACAACCTGCTTCTCCTTCAGAAAAAAGATTATTTAGGTTATCAGGTAATATATGTATATACTTTGAAAAGAAATAGGCTTTAAACTTAAAAAAAAAACCTTTTCTTAAATCACTTTATTGAGCTCCAAGAAAAATATATAATATAATAAGCATTAAATAATCACTTATATTTTATTTAATCGCCACAACTCTACTTATTATATATATCTATAAATCAGATATTTAATTATAACTTTTAAAATGTTTACTAATATTAGTTTCTAAGAATTTATTTGAGTATATAACAATTTTTTAATGTAGCATAATATATAGTAAATTATTTTATTAATCTACCTTATTTTATATTTTTAGGTATATAGATTATTACTAAGGGTATGCAGATAAATTTAGGTATTTCCTATTTTTTTTAAACCATGTATGTTTGTATTAAATTATTTATTTATTAAATTTAATTTACATATTCTTAATCATTGCTGATAAATAACAAAATAAACTATTTTTGCATATATCTTATAATCCATTTATGTTGCCAAACTGTTTTTACTTTTAAAATTTTTGTTTTATTTATACTAAAGATTTTAATCAAAAAGAAAAAAGTCTTTTATTGTTAGCAGACATCATCATTTATGTTTAGTTGCAAAAGAGTCTTTTAAATAGTCAGCACATTAACCCTTAAAAATTTGGATTGATAAAGGTTAAGGGTAATACATTCATTTTAACAAAAAATATTTCTAAAGTTATCTTGGTTATCAATTTGAGACTATAGATACAATGAAACCAAGTAAAGGTAGAATATGATGTATAAATTTCATACTCATTTTTAAAATAAATATAAAAAGAAAGCTTTATAATTTTCAAAAATAACAATGAACATTTTCTTTTCTCAATTACCTTATTTTTGATTGATTCAGAAAAGTAATTTTAAGGTAAAAAAAGCGAGGATTAAAATTAAAAACTTTTTATTGAGACGGGAAATGTATATTTATTAAGAATTTTTTTACTTTATTATTAACATAAATAAAAGAAGAATTTTTTATTTTCTCCTAATTAATTAAGTAATTAACTACTATTAACCATCCAATGTTACTTACCAAATAATTAAGAACAAAAGAAGATCTATTCATAACTTTAATTATTTATAAAGACTTTTAATTTTGTGACATATTAAGTAAATTAAGTCATTAGTAAATAACTGAGTAATACAATAATGAGCTGCGATTCTTTCTAACAAAAATAAAAAAAAATATTTAAAAATGAATGCATGATTTTTTTTTTTTGTATTGTTACTAAAGAATCAAGCAATTACTATCAAGGGCTATCATTTCTATGGTTTAATTTATCTCTATCTTAAGAATAATAAGTTAGTTCTTTTTTAATTTATTCATATTTATTTGAATAAATAAATATGGTTTAATAGTTAGTAAGCCTCAGCTAAGGACTAAAGTCTTTAGCAAACGACACATGGTTATAAAATTAAGATATATAAAAATCAATTAGTCTTTGACATTATAAAGTTAGTATGTTTTAGGATTTAGGATATTTAGAGCAGTGTGAATTTAATAATTAATTACTTTTTATAGATATTTACTTTTTTATTTATTTTGTGACTTAACGATGTAGTTATAAATCTGAAACATATTCAACTTTAAATATAAATTATTTATTAATTAAAAAAAATAAAAAAGGCAATCATAAAAAAATACTAGATGTATAAAAAGAAAGAACTCAAAAAATACAATCTGCTTTACAAGTTTTTTTGTAAATGAAATATCATTTTTATTTTTAATAAATTTCTTTTTAATTTATAAGATCTGTTTTTGCTGATAAATTTAGTTGCAGCAGAGCTCTAGATAGACGTACTTAATGATCAACCTATAATATTTACAAGGGATTTCTTGGTAAACTAAACCCCATTTTGCTCATCTTAAAACTATATAAAACCAAGTTCTAATTCATTATAAGTTAAAGTCCTATTTTAGCAAATGTATCTCTTTTTTTTATTTGAAAAAAATCTATTTTATTTATTATATTAAAAAGTCCTAGTTTTTCACGATTAGCTATCAAAACAAATATGAGATCAAACATTGCAATAAATTCATATCTTTAAGTTACTGGTGGCGATGGACAAGTTATTAGTGACTACTTTGGACCTGCTTTAGGAAATCCTGAAGATTGCGATGCAAGACAAAACGATAGAACATAATATGATCAATTTAAATAAATAAATACTTTTTACTCTTTTGCTAAACCATAAAATCAATTTACTATTATTATTTAAGACACTAACCTTGCTAGCTCTTTTATTTATTTGTTTAAAATATTCTTTTACTTGATTGAGGTATTATAGACACTTAATTATATTCAAAACATATTTTTTTATAAATAAAACTTAAATATATAAATTAATTAAATAATTATTTACTTAAATTATCAAAAATTGATAATAAAGTAAGTTTTGGCATTTACTGCAAACTCCTTTAAAAATTTTTTTCTTTTTTAACTTGTTTTTAGAGGAAGGCAAAATACAAAGATATTTATTTTTGCTTTTTCAAATGAATATCTATATAAATCATTATTACTTTAAGTTTATAGTGAAATAGACATACTGCCCTTCCACCTTTCTAATTTAGTTTAATAAAATTATTTTCTGCAATTTTAAAAATTCAAATCTTTTTTAATTAATTACTTTTACTTAAAACAAAAGTGTCAAGAAGGGTGTTATAATGTATTGACAAAAATAACTGTGACCCAAACTCTTGCTTGAGTGGATTCACTTATATGATTTCTGACAATTACATGAAAGGTTAATAAATTTGCAATAGAAATTGCCCATAAGGATAATTTGTTCGTTTTGACCGATAAAATTATCTGATATAAAGTTGTTAGAATTGTATTGCCAATTGCGTAATCTGTTCTGCTGACAATCAATGTAGCTAATGTATTGCTGGATATTAATTTGATTCTCAATAAAATTTGTGTGTTGTAATATTTTTTTTTTTATTGAATTTAATTCTTTATTAGTTTGAAGAAAATATTTTTGGAAATTAGATTAAAGACATCAACTTGAATTAGTTTTATCATGAAATTGAATTTTATTTTAAATAACTTTTATTGCTTTTAATTAAATTATTTTCCTAATTTAAAAACTTCAAACCTATTTTGATTTCTTAATTGATTATACTCTTTAACTTAGAAGCGAGAATGTACTGAAGGATGCTCTAATTGTAGCTAAAATATATAAAGCTGTACTTAATGCATGAGTGGATACTCTCTGATGGCGAAACCAAATGATAACACCCTACAGTACTGCTAAAAAAATTGCTCAGTGGGATCATACAATTTTGTGACTAATAATATTACAATGTCATAAGAATGCAGATCTTGTATTAATAATTGCCAAACATGCACTAAATCTGATGACTGTAGTAACTGCTAGATTGGATATGGATATAATTATCAAAAACAATAATGCGCAGTAATTTCCTATATTTTATCAATATAACTCTTCCAAACTACTTCAGAAATATTTTAGTATTTCAGATTAAAATCATAAATATTAATTATTTTTTTATCTTAAACAATTTTTGATTTTCTATTTATTTTACTACTTAACAAAATATTTTATTTTTCCCTAAATTAGCAATGCTATCAAGGGTGCTCTAATTGTGATTAAAATTTAAGTTGTACTGAATGCTTTAGTGGATATATTTAAACTACAAACCCAAAAAATAATTCATAACAATATTGCAAAATGATTTGCTCAGCAGGATAGTTCACCTTTATTAATTGGTAAACCATGGCCTAGTAGTGCAACCCTTGTATAAGCAATTGCACATAATGTTCATAAGATAAATAGTGTGACACTTGTACAGCAAATTATGAATACATTCAATAAGTATTTTAATGCAAAATTGTATGCTAACAAAATTAATATAGAGATACTACTTTTTATAATTGCACTAACTGT